ATGTGCAAAACGATGGCTTGGAGTTTTCTGCTGCTGACCTCAAGATCCCCGTCTACGATACCTACTCTGGCGAGAACTTCCAGGATTCCAAGGGCGACGTTGTCGACAGACTCACCAAGTGCATTACCGAGTTGCCTGTTCACTGGGAAACCGCTACCAACTTCGATAGCACCCACTTGTTGGATTTCGGCCCTGGAGGCGTTTCCGGTTTGGGTGTTTTGACCCACAGAAACAAGGAAGGTACTGGAGCCCGTGTGATTATTTCTGGTACCATCGACACCAACCAGGAAGATGAGTATGGTTTCAAGCAGGAGATTTTCAACAGAACCCAGAGCTCCATCAAATGGGCTCCCAACTGGTTGGACGAGTACAGACCTAAATTGGTCAAGACCAAGGCCGGCAAGGTTTTCGTCGACACAAAGTTCTCCAGACTTCTTGGAAGAGCTCCATTGATGGTTCCTGGCATGACCCCTTCCACAGTCAACACCGATATTGTCTCTGCTACCATCAACGCTGGTTACCACATTGAATTGGCTGGAGGCGGCTACTTCGAGCCAAGGGGTATGGAAAGAGCTTTGAGAGAAATCGCCAGCAGAGTCACCCCAGGTTCCGGTATCGGTATCAACTTGATCTACGTCAACCCTAGAATGTTGCAGTGGGGTATTCCTTTGATCAAGGAATTGAGAGCCAAGGGTTTCCCTATCCAGTCCTTGACCATTGGTGCCGGTGTTCCTTCCTTGGAGGTTGCCACAGAGTACATTGAAGAATTGGGCTTGACCCACTTGGGCTTGAAGCCAGGTTCCATTGAGTCCATCAACCAGACCATTGCTATTGCCAAGGCCCACCCTAACTTCCCTATTGTGCTTCAGTGGACCGGTGGTAGAGGTGGTGGTCACCACTCTTACGAGGACTTCCACCAGCCAGTTTTGCAGATGTACGCTAAGATCAGAAAGTGCTCCAACATCGTTTTGGTTGCCGGTTCTGGTTTCGGCTCCGACGAAGAGACTTACCCATACTTGACTGGTTCTTGGTCCCACGAGTTCAACTACCCACCAATGCCATTTGACGGTGTCTTGTTCGGTTCTAGAGTCATGACTGCTAAGGAAGCCCACACCTCTTTGGCTGCCAAGCAGGCCATTGCTGAATGTACCGGTGTTGCTGACGCCAAATGGGAAAGCACTTACAAGAAGCCTACTGGAGGTATCATCACTGTCAGATCCGAGATGGGTGAGCCTATCCACAAGCTCGCTACCAGAGGTGTTATGCTCTGGAAGGAGTTGGACGAGACCATCTTCAACTTGCCCAAGAATAAGCTCTCTGAGGCTTTGACCAAGAAGAAGGACTATATTATTGGCAGATTGAACAAGGACTTCCAGAAGCCTTGGTTCGGCCGTAATGCTCAGGGTGTTTGTGACTTGGAGGACATGACTTACCAGGAAGTTGCCAACAGATTGATCGAGTTGATGTTCGTGAAGAAGTCCGAGCGCTGGATTGATGTTTCCTTGAGAAACTTCATGGGCGACTACCTCAGAAGAGTCGAGGAGAGATTCACCTCTGCTTCCGAGAAGCAGTCCTTGATCCAGAACTTTGGCCAGTTGGAGAAGACCCCTCAAGCTTTCGTTGACAAGTTCTTCGACTCCTTCTCTTTGGCCAAGACCCAGTTGATCTCTGAGGAGGACTGTGACTACTTCTTGATGTTGTGTGCCAGAGCTGCCCAGAAGCCTGCTCCATTTGTGCCTGTTTTGGACGAGAGATTTGAGTTTTTCTTCAAGAAGGACTCTCTTTGGCAGTCTGAGGACCTCGAGTCTGTTGTTGACGAGGATGTCCAGAGAACCTGTATTCTTCACGGTCCTGTTGCTGCTCAGTTCACCAACAAGGTCAACGAGCCAATTAAGGATATCTTGGATGGCATTCACGAGGGTCACATCAAGAGATTGGTCAAGGATGATTATGAAGGTGACTTTTCCAAGATTCCTGTGGTCGAGTACTTTGGTGGCCAGGCTCCAGCTGTTACTGAATCCGTTTCTGGTGTGACTATCGAGAAATCTGGTGACAAGACCACTTACAAGATTGGCTCTTCTGTTCCAAATCAGTCTGAATGGCTCAAGTTGTTGGCTGGCTCTCAGTTGAGCTGGTTGTACGCTTTCATCAGCACTGAGAGAGTTGTCCAGGGTATCAATCATGTTGCAAACTCTGTCAAGGACATTTTGGGTCCTGCTGCCAACATGGAGGTGGTGATCTCGAACGTTGGTTCTAAAAATGCCAACCTTTCTGTTTTTGAGGCCATCGAGGGTGACGTTAAGAAGGTCGCTGAAATCAAGTTGAACTCCGAAGGCTTGATCCAGATGTCTTTGATCGAACACAGAACTGCCGACAACAAGCCTGTCGAATTGCCTTTCCTTTACAAGTACGTTCCAGAGGACGGTTTTGCTCCAATTTCTGAGGTGATGGAGGGCAGAAACGACAGAATCAAGGCTTTCTACTGGAAATTGTGGTTTGGCTCTGACGTTCCTGTTGATTTGGATATCAACGTGGACCAGGTCATTCCAGGTGACAAGATTACCATCAGCGGTAAGGATATCTCTGAGTTTACCCACGCCATTGGTAACACCTGTGATGCTTTCATTCCTAGACCAAACAAGCCTACCTTGGCTCCTATGGATTTCGCCATTGTGGTTGGCTGGAAGGCTATCATGAAGGCCATTTTCCCAAAGACTGTGGACGGTGACTTGTTGAAATTGGTGCACATGTCTAACGGCTACCGTATGATTCCTGGTGCCGAGCCATTGAAGAAGGACGATGTTGTTTCTTCTGATGCTCTCATCAAGGCTGTTTTGAACCAGCCTTCTGGTAAAATGGTCGAAGTTGTGGGCACCATCACCAGAGAGGGCCGTCCTGTCATGGAGGTCACCTCCCAGTTCTTGTACCGTGGTGAGTACGAGGACTTCGAGAACACTTTCCAGAAGGTCACCGAGGATCCATTCCAGATTGCCTTCAAGTCTGCTAAGGACTTGGCTATTTTGAGATCCAAGGAGTGGTTCCACTTGGAAAAGGACGTGGAGTTGCTTAACCAGATCTTGACTTTCAGATGTGAGTCTACTTACAAGTTCAAGGCTGCTGGTATTTACTCCTCCATCAAGACCGTCGGTGGTGTTTTCTTGGAGTTGCCTACCAAGGAAGTTATCCAGGTTGGTTCCATCGACTACGAGGCCGGTGTCTCTTTCGGCAACCCAGTGATTGACTACTTCTCCAGAAACGGTAACACCATTGAGCAGGCCGTGAAGTTCGAGAATGCTATCCCACTTTCTTCTGGTGAGGAGATGACCTCCAAGGCTCCTTCTACCAACGAGCCTTACGCTAAGGTTTCTGGCGATTACAACCCTATCCACGTTTCTCGTGTTTTCGCCTCTTACGCCAAGTTGCCAGGCACCATCACCCACGGTATGTACTCTTCCGGTTCGATCAGATCCTTGGTTGAGCAGTGGGCTGCCAACAGTGTCGCTTCCAGAGTCAGAGCTTTCAAGGCTGACTTCGTTGGTATGGTTTTGCCAAACGATATTCTTCAGACCTCCTTGGAGCACATTGGTATGATCAACGGTCGTAAGATCATCAAGGTTGAGACCAGAAACGTTGAAACCGATAGTCCAGTGTTGATGGGTGAGGCTGAGATTGAGCAGCCAGTCACCACTTATGTCTTCACTGGTCAGGGCTCTCAGGAACAGGGTATGGGTATGGACTTGTACAACTCTTCTGAGGTTGCTCGTGAGGTTTGGGACCGTGCTGACCGTCACTTTGTCGACAACTACGGTTTCTCCATTCTCGACATTGTGAAGAACAACCCTAACGAGTTGACTGTTCACTTTGGCGGTGCCAAGGGTAGAAAGATCAGAGACAACTACATCTCCATGATGTTCGAGACGATTGGTGAGGACGGTGAGATCAAGTCGGAGAAGATTTTCAAGGAAATTGACCACACCACCACTTCTTACACTTTCCTTTCGCCAACTGGTTTGTTGTCTTCTACCCAGTTCACCCAGCCTGCTTTGACTTTGATGGAGAAGGCTTCCTACGAGGACATCAAATCCAAGGGTTTGGTGCCATCGGACGTTATGTTTGCCGGTCACTCTCTTGGTGAATATTCTGCTCTTTCTTCCTTGGCCAATGTTATGCCAATTGAGTCTCTTGTGGATGTCGTTTTCTACAGAGGTATGACCATGCAAGTCGCTGTCCCTAGAGACGAATTGGGAAGATCCAACTACGGTATGTGTGCTGTGAACCCAACCAGAGTCAGCCCTACTTTCAACGATGCCGCCTTAAGATTCGTTGTTGATGAGGTTGGTGCTAAGACCGGCTGGTTGTTGGAGATTGTGAACTACAATGTTGAGAACACCCAGTATGTTACTGCTGGTGACTTGAGAGCCTTGGACACCTTGACCAACGTCTTGAACGTGATCAAGTTGAACAAGATCGACATTGTGAAGTTGCAGGAGCAAATGTCCTTGGAGGATGTTAAGGGCCACTTGAAGGAGATCATCGACGAGGTTTCCGCCCAGTCTCTTGCCAAGCCTCAGCCAATTGATTTGCAGAGAGGTTTCGCTGTGATCCCATTGAAGGGTATTTCTGTGCCTTTCCACTCGTCCTACTTGATGTCTGGTGTGAAGCCATTCCAGAGATTCTTGTGCAAGAAGATTCCAAAATCTTCTGTCAAGCCAAACGACTTGATCAACAAGTACATTCCAAACTTGACTGCTAAGCCTTTCGAGATTACCAAGGAGTACTTCGAGGAGGTTTACCAGTTGACCAAGTCTGAGAAGCTTAAGAGCATCATCGACAACTGGGAGTCGTATGAGAAGGCTTAAGCTTACAACTTTGATTTAATTTGATATATATTTGGGCTCTTGGGCTTTCTAGAATGGAGTAGCACGTGGTACTGCTGTATCTATTTCTGTCGGAAAGCATATGGGATAAATAAACTTAGTATAGAGGATACTTCTGTAGCATTACTCTCCAGTGAAGAGAGGACTCGAGATGTTCACAGGAGTGAACTGCTTTGGCAACGACACCCTCGAGAATCTAGACTTCAATCTCTGGATCACCAAATCCATATCCAAATGTCTCGTTAAGCCGATCTTTGGAATACAACCAATGTAGTGATCATCATCCAAGTGAACGTCCAAAGGATCCTGTGTGTGACATCCTGGAGACAACGACATTCTGATAGAATGCTTCTTGCCTGAGGGGCTGTTGGAGTCACCGGACTCGTATATCTCAAAGACAATTTGAGACATGTAGTCAAGTTCAGGTAAGGCGTTTCTGGCGATCTTCATTGGAAGTTGCGCTCCGTAAATGACATTGAGCAAAGTGTATATGTGAGACTCCTTCGTGAAGTAGTTCACCACGGCTGCAGAGTCATGGCTCTTCATGTCTTTGATGTCCGACAAGATCTGCTTGGCCAATGGCAAAGACGTTAACAAACCAATATCGAGCTTCTCCTCGTCCTTAATACCGTATTCCTGAGGACAGATGAAATCGAACAACACCTTGGATAATCTGTACAATTCTCTGAGACGAGCAAATGTTGGGTGGTCGAATGGGTTCTCAGGGGCTTTTCCATTGCTGCTTATGCTGCTGTTGCAGCTGGATTTGCCATGAGTGTTTGTGTCGTTAATCAGACTTGCACCCTTTGTTGCGTTGGCTCCCTTCAAGACCCAACCAAGGGAACCTGCTGAGACTTCCTTATTGTTTGTGATATTTTGAAGGTTCGATGTAGATCCGGATGCGGAGCTGACATTTGAATTAGCTTCATGTGGAATCTTGAAGTTATTCATTGCCAAAATATTGATGGGGTATTCGCTCACAAGACCAGATGACTTGATGGTGTCACCACATCTCTCCCCAAAGTCTTGAGCAAGTTTTCATCGTTAGGATCAAATGCAAAGATCTTTTCCAAGAATTGACGATTGTGCAAAGCATCGTACTTCATGGTATCGTACAACTCGGAAATCTTTGATGGGTGAGTTTTCTCCACTGTGATGAACTCTTGGAACAATTTGTCCCACCTCTCCTTAAACAAGTATGGGTCCTCTCCGCAGCACCAATTCTCCTGGAATTTGCTGACATCGTAGTTCTTGAAGTTATACTCCATAATGTTCTTGTGGTAGTTCATCAACTCGCAGACTCTCTTGATAACGACGAATGGCTGAGGCATCTTGGGTGGCCAGGTGAACTGTGGAGGCGCTTCAGCACCCTGTCTCAACAAGGGCTTCAACTTTTTCTTGACTTTATCCATCAAGTCCTTGGCAGCGTTAGAGTCGTCCAAAAGGTCCTTTCTGATAATCAAGAAATCGTCAGGTAAAGTTTGCAATCCTAACATGGAGCTGGTAGCAAGATGGGCACTTGCAATGACTCTTCTCTCGGAAGATGTGTACACCTTGACGTCGTTAAGTGCTTCCCTGTTAAGCAACTTGATGTACTGTCTCAATTGTTCACCAACATCAGTAGCTTGGAACCTGGCCGAGTGAGTTGGCTCACCACCCCATTTCAAGATGAATTGCACCTTCTCGACGATATCTGGGTTTTCAGAGTTCAAGGAAGGCTTCAATTGAATCTTGGTACCGGGGAACTCCATCTTCTTCTCCAAGGCCATTCTCAATTGTTTAAGCTTCTTCAAGTCCTCGAGTTCTTTTTCTTCGGCTATCTTGACAGTCTCCAATACAACTTGCAAATCAGGCACAGCTCTAATGATGACCTCTTCTTTGTGACCTTTGAGCAAGGAGATGAATAAAGGTGATCTGAAAGAGTACTTGAACTTCTGTTTCGGCGTTCTATCGGCGTGTCTAATGACAGAAACCATACCCTTGAAAACCCATTTCTGCTGTTTCTCCTCAAACTCGGACTGGTTGATCTGGCTGGTACGAGGGATCTTGTTCTTGATAAAGTCTCTGGACTTCTTAGCCTCAATGAACATGTTTCTCAAGATCGAAGCACAAGAGTCGTAGTAGTCGTTATTGTCCTTGACGAAAGAGAATCCATTGACATCGATAACGTAGGATTCACCATTGACACGCAACAAATCGAACCCACAAATTGTCTGCTTGAAGACTCTGCTCACATTTCTTGCCATGGTCTTTTCATGATCGCTCAACTCGGTCACGAAACGAATCTCCTTACCGTGGGTATTACGTCTGACAATACCGTCAACGACGGGCGATTTTCTCGTTTCGGCGTGACAGAATTCTTGACCCACAGTGTATGCCTTCACATCCTCGAAGTTGTCGGTATCCATGAACTTCTCGTAAATAAAAGAGCCCTCCGTACGTGGGGTGCTCAACTCTGGGTCAAACTCAGATGACTTGTTTCCGATCTTTCGGAAAAGACGACGTCCTCCACCACCAGTGCTCTTGGGTAGTATATGTAAACGTTGTGATCCTCACCATCCACGGGTTTCTCCACGTAAGGTTTCTTCATGATCTTTCCGTTGACCACAAGTGTGTCTTCGTCAGGCATAGACCATTCGGGTTCGTCCTGGTGGGTCAATCTGTGCAAATGGTCACGAGAAATTCCCGCCTCCACAAGCCTGTCTTCTAAAAGTTTGTCAATCCGTGGTCCGCCGTCCCTGCTGATTTCTAGTCTTTCAGGCGTGGCCACATTGGCGTGGTTCAAGATGTTCAACACCAAACGCCTGTCCCACAAGGCTTTCTGCAACGTCAAGTCGTTGATTATGTAGGGCTTTCTGAGATTGGCGTAGCTTATAGCCTTATCAAGAGGAAAGCCGGTGGAGAAGAAACTGATGAGAAAGTCACAGGTGGGCCAGTTTTCCACAGCCTCATCCAAGATGACCTTGTCGCCGAAAACGATGGTATCAAACTCACCGTTCTCAATAAGTCTGTTCAAGATCTTTCTGCATGGCTTCAGCATGACCTTGGAGTCCATGGCACACACACCGATCTTGCCAATCTTGTTCACATTGGGTGGAGTAGCATTAGCATTCGAAGCTGATCTTCTCAGAGTGTTCGACAGGTTCAGCACCGTCTTGTTGAGTTTAGGCAAATTCAAGTCCCAAGACGAAGCAGAGTTCGTTCTGGAGTACGGCTTGGAGCTATCACCCGGAGCCACAGAGTCTCCATGTTCGGGCAGCAGCTGAGCAATAGCGTTATTCAACGACAAATTGTCTGACGTAAGCGAAACCGACTCTCCAATAGCTGCCAAAGACGATCTTCTAGGCGAAGTCAGCGCCGTGGCCATCTGAGAAGCAACTCCATCTTTGGACTCTTCAGCACTGGTCTTTGGGGTGAAACCTTCCAACATTGGAGCTATCAGAGCCATGGCTTTTTCCGTGACCTCCTTCCCGTCGCCCGAGCTGAGCAGAAGTGGCAGCATCGACTGGTTTTTCCCGTCCCCGTGCTTGGGGATTGGAATCAGTTGGGAGGTATCCATTTTGATGAAGAAGATCTGGGTGAAGATTGAGACTTATCTGGGGTTCGTGCAGGGTGGCCCACCCAGGCAGCCCGATAGACTGAATTTTACTGACTTGGGAAAAAGATTTTGCCTGGTGGGCGAAAAAGACTTACATGAGAGTACTTCTAATATTTGGTATATTTTGGGAAATATGGGGGAAATATGGTAGAGGAACTTGGGGTGCTTATCTATGGAAGGGTGGTCTAGGTGCAGTTTGCAGCCACGAGGTGGGCATCACAAATTGGCTCAACCACGGATGAACGCAGGCCAGTTTTTTGAATTTCATCATTTTGTTAAATGTAGAAGATAGATCAAATAATTTTGATTGGTGAGGAGATCCGTCGTCTATTTAATCAACCTTACAATCCCATCGCACATACTGAAATATCGCCTGATTGTCATCGGCTGAAAAAGTAACGACGTGCTATACGATATAGTGAAAATCCCAGATCCCTAAGACAGTTGTTTCCAGAAATGAGCCGCTCAGACCCTATGAGCATCTCCAAATATTGTAGTAGCTTCCGTAAAACGCTAAATTATCTGTTTTATAAATATTCTGTTGAGGTGGATATTTTTGGTGACTTTACACCGTGCTATTAAGCTAACTGTTCCTGGCCGTGCTGCCATCGTCAAATGCAATTCTCTACTCAATGGCAGCTAACGAGTCGAACAACACAGAGATCGACTCGCCAAAGTGGTCTCTTCTGATGCACTCAGCGAAAATTGGCGAAACATCAATCACCACCAACTTCTCGTTCGCCTTCTGTCTCTCCTCGCTCACTCTATACGTGTTGGTAACCACAATCTTGTCAATGCACTTGGAGTCGTTCAACTCGTCAAGACAACGATCACTGAACAAACCGTGGGTACCCACAACGTAGACGGCTCTGGCGCCACAGTTCAAACGCAAGTGCTCAGCAGCGGCAATAAACGAGTTGGGCTTGTCAATCATGTCATCCAAGATGATAGCCACCTTGTTGTTGACGTCACCAACAAGAGTGATCAACTTTTCCTGGGCAATGGCAGTGGGCTCGTCTTCGTCGTCAGAATTCGTGGCATCGAAGGTACCGCCCAAGGCGTCGCTATTCAGAATCGTTGCTGGCTTCTCAGCAACAGGGCCATTTTCTTGTTCGTAGTCATCATCCACAACATGACCCTTGACGACTCTGGCGGTCTGCATTTCACTGACGATGTTGTCTTCCTGGGAATGGGCCAAATGTCTCTTGGCCTTGGTGAAATTGTCTTGGGTACGGCGTCTATCCGTGTGAATCATGGCAAAGTTGATTTTGAGGGAGTCGGCCAAAGCAGTGACTCTTTTCGTGCCGCCAGGATTCTTGGAGACAACCACAGCGTTCTCCCAGTCAGGGATGTTGTGGCGGATCCAGCGGGCTAACGTAGGAGCACCGTACAAGTTGTCGACTGGTTTTGTGAAGAAACCTTGCATCTGAGAGGCGTGCAAGTCCATCAGAACCACATGGTCAGCACCAGCCATAATGATGAGGTTGGCCAACATTCGGGCGGTAATGGCACCACGGTGCTTCTTCATCTTCAGCTGCTTCGAGTATGGGAATTGAGGAATAACAGCAGTGATCTTCAGGGCAGAACCGCCACGGCAGGCTGAAATCAAAATCAAGAGCTCCATGATATGGTCGTTAATCTGAGGAGAGCCACTCTGGATGATGTAGACATCCTCGTCTCTCACGGAAACACCGATTTGCACGGAAGTCTCGCCGTTGGAAAACTTCTTCAAAGTGCATGGGGCAGGTTCGACGCCCAAACGGTCACAAACAAGTTGGCCCAATTCTGGGTGGGACAGACCGACAAACACTTTACACTTCCGCATGATGCTATTGGACAGGGCTAACGTGGGGGTAAGAATGGCGACGACAACGTGGACTAGGGGAACACAAGTCGCTCTATACAGGTGGTGTAATTGCCCAAGCTGAGCTGCTGTGGAGGAAACCTTCAGGACTGGTTGCTGGATATTGGCGATGGGGTACTGATAGTGGTATCGCACTAAAATTTTCGGTGCAGGCCGTTGAGCTGGTTAGCCCAGGTTTGGAGTACAGGGAGGGGGAAGGTTTTCATAAATGATATGAAAAAGGAGAAGATGGAGTGGGTTTGGGTAGCTGGCTAAATTTCGGGTCAATTGGTCGCCTGGTAAGGTGTTTTAATGGCAGCTCATCGGATGCACGTGAGTGTGTCCACGTGGACACCGGTTTCCCCCGGGTTCAGCACCATTTCTTCAGACGACTAATTTGGCAGAGGTGGTTTTAATATTTTACTTTCATTTAACTAAGCGGAAATCTTTTAGACATCTTTGTAGTTTTTCGTTGATGCATCGCATCAGGATGGCTGCGAAATGTGAGCCACTTCAGAATAGCCTGTTGTGCTTCAAGAGTGCCTGAAGTTGATGAACAATCCGCGGAAGCTCCGTGGCTGGTTCTTGTCTGCTAATTGAAAATATTGACTTGACTTGTCGAATTGAGTGGTCACAAGTTGTCGGCAATAGTGTCTTAGTATGTTTCCTATCACTTTATCTATGTAAACTAGCACATAGTTTTTAACAGATTAGCAGAACCCCCTTATTTGATGCACTTGGATGATTCAATTCGAGTGATAATTTATTCACTTACAGTAAGTACGTGTTGCTTTGTTCATTGGGCAGTCTGTCAATGCAAGACATCTGCAGGAAGGAAGGATTTTGCAACCATCACAAGAGTCCCAAGTATGCAACTAATGCCTCTGCTGAAATAGCCCTTTTATTTTTCAGTGCCTGATTTGTATAGAAAAGTTATATTTGAAAACCGAAATGCCCATTGACAGCAAAATGGCGCAGTAGCTCTTCATGCGAACAAGTGATAGCATAAGCTGTCAGTCACTACAGCCACAGTTATCAGATAAATATATAATTAAAAGAATTATTTTAAACTTTGTCTCTCAAAGCCTAACTAGTCTACTTGAGGCCAATTGCAACCAAATTTTGCACCTCTTCATCCACTCCACGTGAGCGCATCAACACTACCAAACTACACCCTCGCAGTACCTCATGGCTGATCATGGTACCCCAATCAATACAAAACTCGAAGGCCGAAAAGCTACTATAAATGAATCCGGCGTCTTCAAAAAGGCAGTTGATCTCCTAACTCCAATCAATGTTACGAGAGTGCGCTGCTTGGCTCTTGGATCGCCTACTGCAGAGTTTCAAGCTCTCTACCAGCTAGCTTTCTTGATTCTATTGGTGGAGAAGTTTGACATCAACGAAGTTTCGTGTTGGGACCCTGCTTTCACTGAAGATGACAGAAAGCTATTGGATAGATTGAACTTCGCCGTTGAAGAGAAGGAGGAATCTCAAAGTGCTGTGGTAGCTAAAACGCTATATTATATGCCCCATGCTCCCAGAACCTTTACCAATGATTTTATAAATAGCATAGAACCACGCTGGATTCTAGGTAATGATCTCACTGTTACAGCTGGAACACTTGGTAAAGCGAAGTTTCTTGAAACACTACCGACTCTAGCGACCATTGTGCACATGACTGAGGACCAAGTTCCCAAGAAAGATGACGGTTTCAACACGGTGAGCCGAAGGAAGAAGAAAAATCAAAAATTTGTCTATAAAGAGCCCGAGCTCGAGTACCCAGTGAAGGATATGTACTTTGATCAAGTGCAAATCACTAGAATCGATGGAGACTCTAGTCAGCCTTGGAAGGACCTGTTTAGCGACATGGCCTTGAACGTATTCAGGCTAAAGGAAGTGGAATCAGCACTTGAAGAGCTCTCCATAAGCTAGTAACTAATATGTACATAGAGCTACGACGAACGACGCATAATTAATAGCATTAAAGTATATCACAAGAATAGAAAAGGGCAAGGCTAGTGTTTCCTTTGCTTTTTCGGCGGCTGTTCAACAGCTTCCATAGAGTCCATCATAGGCTGGCCCATCTGCTCAGGAATGTTTTGCTGTGGCATCTGCTGACCCATGTTCACAGACAGGTCCATGCCTAGCAGCTGGTCCATCGCCGGGGTGGTTCCGTCCAACGGTAGCGTACGCATTTCTGTGCTGTTGTTTTCGTACTCTGCTGCCTTGGACGCTGACATCAAGTGTTTTGTCAAGATAGCATACAAATCGTCTTTGGAGAAGGGCTTGGCCAAAATGTCCGACATACCGTTTTGCAAGTAGTTGACCAAATCTGCGTCCTGGATGTTGGCAGTCATGGCGATGATCGGGGTTCTCGTATCGAACGAACGGATGATATTGGTAGCTGTGGCGCCATCAAGATTAGGCATCACAATGTCCATGAGCACAAGATCATACTTGGTCTGTTCCACCGTGGAAATGGCATTGAGGCCGTCGGTCACCACCGTCACTTGGCACCCGTACTTCATCAAGAACTTGCGGCACAACTGAATACAAACGTTATCGTCCTCGACCAAAAGCACGTGGAACTTCGGATTGGGTATGGTCGCTGTGGAAACAGGACCCACGACATCTCCTCCCAAGGGCAGCGTTGAAGAAGGATGTCTAGTGTGGCTCACGTGGTTGAGGCTGGGGTGGCTGGAATGAGACCCTCTGTTGCTCTGGCCCCGAACCAGCGAGTTGTAGTCGTACTCAGGCACAGAGCCGGAGCCCGATCGCAGATGTCCCGGTTCCTGTTTCACCACTGTTCGCTCTGGTTGTTGCGGCGAAGGCTGGCCCGGCAGCAAATTCAAAGCACTTGGATTGGGGAGGTCCAAGGGAGGCAATTTTATGCCAGCATCGCCCAAAGCGTTGACCAACATGCCCATCAGACGGGCCTGGCGCTCATTGAATGTTCTTAGCGTGACGACATTGTCCAATAGCGCCGAGTACTTCTTGTTCATGCCCTTGAGTTCTTCCCGAGCCTGGGCCAACTCCAGTCTTATCAGGCCAATCTGCTGGTCGTAGTGTGGGTTGGCCTCGTAGGCGGGTTCCTTCTTGGTGGGCGCTTTTCTTCTGATGTTCTCCAAAGCGTTCGGGTCGTCCTTGCGGAACTCGGGGTGCTGAAACTCCCAGGCGTCGTCGCCGTACTCGTAGTGCTGTTTCTCTTCATTCAGGATCTTGACCTTGTGGAAATCGTACTTGTTCAACTGGCGCACAAAGGAAGCAAAGTTGGAGTGCTTGAAGTGCCGCGGTAGGATCTCTTTGGTGAACTCGTTGGTGTCCAAGACGACGAAGCTGTTCCCACTGGCGGTCCAGCGGACGACGCTCATGTACTTGTCCTCGGAGAGCATCTGGAAAAGCTTCTTGACAAAGTCGTTCAGCCCCAGTGAGGGCTCTTCTTTTTTCGTAGACATCTGGGTAAACTTGTATTTGGGTAAATGGGTTTGGGTGAAGTGAAGGCGTCCTCAGACGGGGTAAAACGGCCGTATATATCAGCAAACAAGGGATCCGACGGAAATTGCCCAACAGCAGCTGGTTTCTCGGGTCTGGTGGAAACTTTTTGTTACCTACTATCGCCTCGAGCTATGCTGCAGGACCCTGTGGGAGCAGTTATTCAAGGCTTACCAAAAACGGCCTCAAACGGCGGGAGAGAAAAAATGGAGACATTTTGTCATTGGCTTTGAACCATTAATTATTGCATTGTTGTTTCTACGGGATTGACTAGGTTTCTGTTTTTTACCGGCTTGTTGCTGGTATAACCCGGTCCGCAATCAACCGGCGAGGCTCAGGATACTTGCGAACTTTGGGCCACTTAAGCAAGAAGTCTAACTTTAGAGAAGGAATTGAGCTGTTGTGGTGGTAGAGGTAGGGCTGAAGTGAAGTTGATGCTTTGATCAGCGAACGGCGTTCGACAGGCCAAGGAGGCTTTGCTGAAAAATCGGCGGATCGAGCAAGAATTTCCAGCGTCAGGTATGTTACGAAAAAACGAGATAGGGGTCTGCTGGGAAACGGAATCGACATGGAGAAGAGGCTCAACACAGTGGCAGGTAATTTTTCACTTGTACTAAGTATAGATATCTCTGCGATGTCTCATGGCTTAGGTTCCGCATGAGGTGGTGAAAAATTTGTGAACCCGCCCTAGGCAGCCTCCAGGTCTTCACAGTTATCAGGCTATTTTCAGAAACTTCGATGCTCGGGCTTGGCTCAAAACAGCCTTCAAACTTTCAGGTGCCGGAAATGGCCCGTTGATCATTTCGCTCGAGATTTGGCACATTGTGTTGCGGCGAAAATCCGGTGGTTTTTTGCGAGACAGATCTTCAAATGTCTCACCCGGCCAACCAGTAACGCTTTTCACAGTCATCCTAGCATCGTCAAGGGTTTCAAGCAATGGAACATTCATGTAAGAATAGGAATATTGGGCCGACCGGCACAATGGAACGGAGATAGTGCCAGCCTGGGCATCTGGTTGTTCATGTACGGTTTGGCTGCAAACAGGTTGACTATGGACCCGCCTTACACAGCCACCTTAACTTGGCTTACGCTGGAGATGGGCCGTTGTAGTAGTTGGTTTAGCACTAAGTGAAAAAACTACCATTTACCAAAAAATTCAATTCGCTTTTTGATTGAATTTGATAGGTCCCCTTGCTTTTTTTTTCTTTTTTTTTTTTATACCTTGTCCACTTGTCGTCCGTTTGGCTATCGGTTACTATGGTGTCTCACTATCATCATCGCGAATCAACTACTACAACATGTTCACCGGTGGAATATCCCACCGCTTGCTAAATACATGAAACCATCGAGTTCATTCCACAATTTTGACAAATTTGATCTCAAAATAAATTGAGGAGATGCCCCAGTTCTACTGTGTTTACCTCCTTCAATCGCTACCCAAACCGGCTTCCTTCTATGTTGGTCTGACCCCTGATCCAGCCAGAAGACTACGCCAACACAACGGCTATATAGCCCGAGGTGGTGCCTTCCGTACTAAAAAGAACGGTTTTCGTCCGTGGGTAATGGTGGCGTGTGTTTGTGGGTTTCCTTCGAAAGTGGCTGCTCTTCAGTTCGAACTGGCTCTTCAACACCCTTTCCATTCTCGCCACATTCTGCTGAAAATATCCAAAAACGCCAGGTCTGCCGCTGCAGTGCACCACCGTATGGGAAATATCCGGCTTTTGGTGGAAGCCCCGGCATTCAAAAGATTGAGTCTAGAGGTATGGATCTTCAACGACCTGGTCCACGAGACATGGAACCAGAATCGCTTCAAGATAGATTGTGGAGCGAAGGTGGTGAGGTTGTCATTTGACGAGGCGTTTACATCCACGGGTCTCGGCTCCCTACATCAGTTGACCTCGGCTGAGAACAGCAGAGTCGAACAGCTACTAGATATCGAAAATACCTCTTGTTTTGTATGTGAAGAGGAGGTAGACGTCGCTAGCGGCGTTTTTGCATGCTCGTGTGAGCTGCTCTTTCACCCTCGGTGTATTTTGCAGAGGTTTCTTCAGGGTTCAGGCGAGTTGATTCCAACTGAAGGGAATTGTCCAAAGTGCCAAACAGCACACTTATGGATCAAGGTGGCTCGCCAAATAGAGCTGACCCGGCGTGCCCTGGCCGATCCAGCTGTGCTCAAGTCGTATAAACCCGATACTCAGTTGTCGCAGCAAATGGAATCCATGTCTCAGCAAACGGGATCCATGTCTCAGCAAACGGAATCCATGTCTCAGCAAGATCACAACTCATCGTGAGCGCTGGAATGCTGTAACTTCACAGACCAGCTCTTGTTGATACGGAGCTTGGCGCCCACAATTTCGACGTATCCATCGTGCTTCTTGACGGAACCCAGGTTTGTCTTGCCCTCCTGACTGATCTCAGCACTGGTGACATCGTTAGCTCCCAAAACCGTGATTTTCTCAACGAAGATGTGCTCGAGCTGGTCAGCAAACTCAGGGTTTCCTGAGACAAAGTTTCCACTGATGATGCCGTCCTTGGCCTCGAATGTAGCGATGCCGAAGTCGCCGTCTCTGTACTTGAACGATTCCTCATCATCAAGATACAACAAACCTTCTGCATTGCCATCCTTATCCAAAGCAACAACCAAATGGTATGGGTCATTGTGCATAAGCTTAGAAGAACGACGGTACCTGTCCTTTCTTGGAAGAATAGAGCCACCCTTTATGTACATAGGAATGTCTCCAAGACTGACTGCTTTCTTCACTGAGCCCAAAGAATCTTTGATAGCCTTTCCAGGAACACTATTTGTGTAGTCGTAGTACACCTCGTTATCGGGAATGTAAATCTGGACGTAACGAGCGTTTTGTTCTGTGACTGGCTTAACCATCAAACCGGTGTTACCCAAAAAGAACTGGTCATCGATACCATAGACGTCTGGGTTCTCGGGATTGGCGTAGAAAAGAGGCCTCATTACAGGAGATCCGTTGGTGCTGGACTCGTAGAAGGCTGTGTAGAAGGCAGGAAGCAAGGCATATCTCAATCTCAATGCATCCTTAATGTGACCAGTAAATGGCTCTCCAGGAACCCAGGGCTCTCTTCTTCTGCTATCAAGATGAGCATGTGCACGGAAAAATGGGTACCAAATACCTGTTTGGTACCATCTAGTGAGCAATTCCTTTGAAGGGTCACCAAAGAATCCTCCAACGTCAGCACCAGCAAATGGCATGTTTACCACATTGGAAGTCAACACCATCGGAATCGACGTCTTGAGATATTCCCACTTAGCCATGTTGTCACCAGTCCACATGGCAGCAGTTCTTTGTGAGCCTGCGAAGTATGATCTGGTCAAGATGAAAGGACGCTGTCTGGTCTTATCCTCGTATCTCTTAAGAAGAGCATTATAGGTGAGCTCATGGAAACTCTTGCCGACGAGATTATGCAAGGAGCGGTGTTCCCAGTTTCCGTAGTGGAGGTTATCCTTGTGAGCAGTAGTCTCAGGACCATCGAACACAGATGGTTCACTCATGTCGTTCCAAAAATGGATATTTTCGGCTTCACCCAAGACCTTGTTCTCGCTAGACATTTCGTGGAGTTTGTCCCAGTAACCTTGAGCTGAAGGGTTGAGGGAATCGATCCAAACAGACTCACCTGGCCAACAGTGGTGCTTGTATGTGTTGTTCAGAGCATCCTTGTGGCCGATACCGGCCTTGTCAACATATTCACTCACCTCATAGCCAAGCTTAAAATGTGGATCGATAAGAATCACCAAATTACGTCCCGTGTGGTCCAACTTGCGCAACATCCTAATTGGATCTGGGAAAGCATCTGGCTCCCACGTGAAGTATTGTCTTTTGTCTGTGTAATCAACATCAAGCCAGATCGCGTCATAAGGGATTTCGTGCTCGTCAAACTTTTTGTTAATGTCCAAAACATCTTCTTCTTCGTTGTAGTTCCAGCGACACTGGTGGTAGCCCAAAGCAAAAAGCTGGGGTAAAGCCACGAAACCGCTCAAAAGACCAAGGTTGTTGTTGATGGAGGCGGGCTTTTCGCCAATCAGAATAACCAAATCCAACACACCAGCTTCGGAAATCCAGTGTGTGGTGACATCCTTGCCCTTTCTGACATCAACAAAGGTGTCTGCACTATTCATCCACAAAACACCTACCGAAACATCAGGCTTGGAGGCAGTCATGATGGGAATAGAGCCGTACATGGGCATTCTCGACTCGGCGTAGTACTCAAAAATGTCCACGTTGTAAAGTCTGTATGGCCATTGGGTCTCGGTGGTATCCTTCAAGCTCAACGAATCAGCATGCTCTGGAATACCGTAGACATGCTCAAAGCCATTGAATACCAAATCAACAGCCACGGACTCCGGACCAAACTTGCGCGTATCGTGTTTAGCATCTTCGAAAGAGTCCTTCCACATATCAAAAGTCAGCTCCAACTGGCTGTGAACGTGCTTTTCATTTTCCTTTTGCGGTCTGTAGTGCTCAAAGTTCAAAAGTTGTTTCGAATTGAACGACACCTGAGCCTCGTCGTTGTAATAAACCGTCAAGGCAACCTGGTTGAGATCTAACACAGCCTTGTACTGGTCCTGGTTTCCGTAAACCACTGTAACCTTTTCCTTCGTCACTTCGACCTTCTCCAAGGATTCAATCTTTTGTTCTTCTGGACCATCAAAAATAGCTTGAGCGGTCTCGTCATATCTCTTTGGATTGACCCCCTTGACATGGACGTCGGAACGGTCCTCGTCGATCTTGAATCTGATGTTGTCTCCTTTAAGCAACGACAACTCGAAAGGAAGCCAAATAAGCTCATTCAGCTCAAGCTTCTTGAGAATTGTACCCGTGACCTTGTCCTCCACCTTGACAGATTGGGGATCCACAAAGTACGGAATATGGCTTCCTGAGGCCTCCACCTGGTGCCTGTAGTGCCTGTTTCTGGAACAAAAACCCAGCTGATCACAGTTTTTGAATAAATAGTCCTTGGCTGCCCAGGCCTGGAGCCAAATGCAGCAGAATACTAGCAACTGAAATCCCTGCATGACGGAATTGGCTGTAGTATCTTGGAAGACTCGTTGTTCAGTAGTGCACCGATCTCGCGATGTGTAGGTCCTCTACTACTGCTACTTTTAGAAGGAACACTCTACTTTGATGGAGCAACATTTAACATTAAGTTGTCAGAAATGTGTTTAAGTTAGTTGAATGTGGCGCCAAACGACGAAGTGAAAATTTCGTGAAACCTCGATCGCCGATCAGTCTATTATAGTGGGGCCATACGCCAACGGCAAAGTTGCTGAAACGGTGGATTTCTTGAGTTAGACTATGTTGATTTGAATGAGTTCTATTGAGGATTTTACAAGATGACCCTATTTTTTGAAATCTACTTTTAGAATTCGACCCGACCTATCATGGTGTTTCATCAGTAAGGGGAACAATCAGCGCCCCTTGGACGACCAACTATACTCGTCATTCTTCCGATTTATCCTTATTTTCCAAGATCCAAGTCAAGCTATAAAAGGCCTATCCTAAAGTCTCAGAAATGTTATATCCCAGATACAAAGTCCGCCCTAGTGGCAAGAAATAATGACCCACAAGCAAGTAAGTTCCCCTGTTATCCAAAACCCTTGATCCTTTATTGAACCCTTTTGAAAACCAAAGCTTTTCCTTGTTATGGAATATCCAGTAATCTGCAAAGAATTCGTCCCTTTCGATCCAATGTTCCTCCTCAAAGAGAGTCTATCTGATCAACAAGCGTCCACCTTCATGTGCCACTCATAAGCATAAAAATACCAACTCCGTCTCGATTTCCCTCCGATATAATGTCACACAGGCAACCCGTCCTTATGACCGGTTTATCGGCACTTAACTTTTACATTCTATTTCCACCACATCTCTTCCATTCAGGAATCCCAAACTGCCAAATTCAGTCTTACCATTCAAACACACTCAAAAAGAAGAATTAACCACGCCCCTTTCATCGCTTCCCTCGAAGACCTACCACCTACTAATGATGGCTTAATTTGCCGATCCCGAGCTACGCAACCCTTGTTGAAACACCCCCATAACCACATCCACTCGCAACCATGCATCCAATAGCCCTCCAAAGCCTCAAACCGTTTAATCCCATCAGAATTATTTTCCCACGATAGTATCATGATTCTGTCGTTAATCCACCTCTGCTGGCTCTGCTTCGAGCTTATACACCGGTCGTGTCCAGCTTTCTATACGCACCAGTCAAGGAGAAAAAAATCATATCAAACTTCAAGTACAACTTCATCCACCTCACGGTCTTTGCATTCCCGACAGACACGAACGTGACTTCGTATACTAATAATCTCATTTCCTGTTCTACGTGTGGTACCCTTACAAGTTGTGATGGACTCCGAAGACAAGAAGAGACCATTCAGTGAGGTTGAAGACGATATCTTCGCCAAATCCAAAAAGCCGCTTCAAGAGCTTAGCGAGGACGGTCCTCTCACGCAACAAGATGTTGTTTATTTCAAGAAAGAGGCTATATGGCGCCAGATGCGCTTCTATAAGCTTCAAGCGGAACAGCTTCAACTAGACCTTTCTAAGTACGAGAGGCGATACCAAACCTTTATAGCTGTTCATCAGTTACTAGAGACCTGGTACTCTCAGATATTGAAGTCCTGTGACGCTGGAGAGGCTGAGTCACTAGATTTGACGGCATCTACTTCTGAACTCAAAGAGAAGCTAGATGCTAGAGCCAACAAGCTTGCGGGCATCCTTAAGCCTGCTGTAGCTGAATCTGGGGACCTTAGTGACGTTGTGAAACTAGAAGGTGATCTTGCGGCAGCTCAGGAGTCAAAACACGATCTCCAAGAGAAGCTCTCTGAACTTCAAAATCAAATAGCTGCGTTACAGAAAATCAAAGATAGGGAAGATCTGGCGACTCTACAACGAATCCAAAGCAACAGTCTTGCGAAACAACAAGAAGAGGAAAGCACAAACGGTCACAACAAAAATGGTGCTTTGGAGAACGGTAAGGTCGAAGACAACAGCGACACGGTAACTATCTCATCTGCGGACAAGGAAGAGCTTGAGAAACTTCGAATCGAAGCAGAGGAGCTCAAGGCTGCATTGGGTGCTTCTAAGAATGCTCTGGACAAGATGTCGTCTAGATTATCTGGTGCAGAGGCTTCTGCGGAAGAGTTGCGAGCCCGTTTGAGTAACCTTACCGACGAGGATCTCTCAAACTCCCCTAAGTTTGTTGAACTAGTCTCCCAAAACAACACGCTAAAGGAATCGCTTTCGCAGGTTACTCAATCCCAGCAAGAGCTTGTCAGTAAAGTGAAGATTTTGGAAGAGAAAGATGGTGCCTACTCAAAAGTAATCAACCGCGAATTGGAAGAAGAGAATGGCCGTCTCAAGGAGACCCTTTCGAGAAGTGAAAATGATCTCGCTCGTATCAGAGCTGTTAGAGATGAGTTGTTGGCGAAGCAAACCATACTCAATTCTGAAATGGATAACAAGAAGACCAACGCTGAGCTAAATGAATTGAATAGGGTGCTCAACGAGAGGTTATCGAAGTTGGAACAGACAAGACAGGAAGAATACAAGGGCGAGGAGGACTCAAAGTTGCAAAGTCTCGAAAAGGATGAGCTTGTCAAGAGGTTGCAAATATTGAGCACAGAAGTCAAGGAGATCGAAGTTGCCTTCCAACAAACAAGAAGTCTCACTCTAGAGAAGCAAAAGGAGCTGGTTGACAACGAAGGTATTGTGAAGAAACTTACCATCGAAAAGAACAAAGCAGACCAAAAGTATTTCGCCAGTATGAGAGTGAAAGATTCTCTTTCCGCCGAGAACAAGGTCCTCAAATCCCAGGTCGCAAAATCCCAAGAGCTCGTTAATAAGCTCACTGAGGTCGAGAAGACATATGTCAGCAAGATCGAAATCTTGAACAAGTCGATCAACGACTATAAGGTTATCAAAGAGATGGCTACTCAAGAGAACACACAATTGCATGGCAACCTTAAGATGCTCGGGAAGACACGAGAATCGATCAAGAAAGAGCTCAGTGACGCAAGACAAGATATTGCCCAGCTTAAGAAGCAGAATGGAGACTTGTCAAGTGAAGTCAACAGCAAAACGGTGGCATTCAGCAAACTAGATGCCAAGCTTCGGGCCACAGAGAGTCTTCTCCAAAAGTACAAGCAGAACAACACTTCGTCAATTTTAGAGGAAGACGAGAAACAGCTAGAGGCTTTGAGGTCCATCACCAAGTGTTCTGTTTGTCTGAAGAATTGGAAGAATACTGCAATCACTGCCTGTGGCCACGTCTTTTGCGACGGTTGCGTTCAGGAGAGATTAGCTGCTCGTCTTAGAAGGTGTCCAACCTGTAACAAGGGATTTTCATCGAATGACTTGCTTTCTATTCATCTTTAGTCGGCTTGTGGAATCTGTTTCACGAAACTGTTGCAACTATCACCAAATTTTGGAATATAGAGATAGATGGCAAAACCCAGCGATTATCGGGAACATTTAAGCTTCGCCTCTGCCATCAAAATTAATCAGTGACCTATTCATGTCTGGCTGGGCCGGAAGACTAGGGGCATGCCGTGGCGTGCAGGTTGCGGATGGCTAGCAATCCTTAAAGAGATCCTTTTTGCACGATGGATGAAAAGCGGGTTGTCACGTGATTACAAGTGCTTAGTGAATCATTCGGTGGCAACTGGCATATGCTACAGGCGTGGCAGTCAAAGGCTTGGTTAGAGGTGCCAATTCCAACAAATCTGTAAAATAAAGGTGGATTTATAAGTTAGTCCATCAATCTTCCCGGGATGTCTCAAACCACTCACCAGGTTTTTTTTTTTTATTTTCGTACTTTCGTCCAGCGTTCGTGCAGTACCTTACGTGTATATACCAAAAACCAGTGAGAAGCGCACAGCTGTCTATTGTCGCGCCAGCAAAAAGCGGGAGATATATAAATAAACGTGATTTCCCAGCAGGTCGCAAGGGCCAAAAATCCGCAATTTTTTGAAAAGTTTTTTTTTCTCGCTCCTGAACACAGTCGAGGCTCTGCATTTAACCCTACTTTCGCGGTTTGTGATTGGTTAGTCGGCAAAAATCCCATTTTTGTGGTTACCCTTTTTTTATTGCCCTTTTCTTTTTTTTTATTGGAGTCCCGCACCCGTGCCTCACACAACTGTTATCACCACGTGACGACAGTACCTCCATACATAATGTCAGATCCAATTGGCACAGAACAACAGGATGTGGCTGTGGACCCTGCCGCCACAACCCCAGCTCCTCCACTGACTGCTCCTGAAACAACGACACCAGTTCAGACCCCTTCGGCTGACGTGTTTCAGAAGGAGGATGCTTCACATGCAAATTCAAATGTCGAGGAGACACCAGCACCTGAAAAGCCATTGTCCCCTCCCAACCCTTCGCCCTCGCCAGAGAAACATAAGTTAGACGATGATGCTGGACAGGATGAAGCTTCGAAAAAGTTGAAGACTGATGGTGAACAGGCTAGTTACCAGGCTGACACTTCCAAGATGGAGCCAGCTCCAAAGCCCCCTCCAGAGCCCGACATGACCAAACTCCCCGCCAACCCTATCCCCAAGCATCAGAATAAGTTTGCGCATAACACAATCAAGGCTATCAAGAGATTGAAAGATGCCGGTCCTTTTGTTCATCCTGTTGATATTATCAAGTTGAACATTCCATTTTACTACAATTTCATCACAAGGCCAATGGATCTTTCTACTATTGAACGTAAGCTTTCGGTCAACGCATACGATGATCCACAGCAAATTGTCGATGATTTTAATCTTATGGTTGACAACTGTATCAAGTTCAATGGTGAATCTTCCGGTATCTCTCGCATGGCTAAGAACATCCAGGCTCAGTTTGAAAAGCACATGCTCAACATTCCCCCCAAGGTGCTTGCGGCTAACGGCCACTCCAATAACAATGGTGCTGCTTCCAGAAGACGCAACGTTATCGTGAGTGACGACCCAAAAACCGAGTCTGTGGCTGCCCACAGACCCAAGAGAACCATTCATCCTCCAAAGTCCAAGGAATTGCCATACGATGTGAGACCAAGAAAGAAGAAGTATGCCGCTGAGTTGCGTTTCTGTAACCAGGTACTTAAGGAGTTGACATCCAAGAAACTCTACAACATTAACTTCCCCTTCCTTCAACCTGTTGATCCCGTTGCATTGAACATTCCCCATTACTTTGAAGTTGTGAAGACCCCTATGGACCTTGGCACAATTCAGTCAAATCTCGCTAACAACAAGTACGAGAATGCTGATGATGTCGAAAAAGATGTCAGACTAGTTTTCTCAAACTGTTACTTGTTCAACCCAGATGGCACGGATGTGAACACCATGGGACGTCGTCTTGAGAGTTACTTTGACAAGAAATGGGCCGCCAAGCCCGTCCCCGCCCCATCGCCCGTCAACTCTGATGGTGACTACGACAGTGATGATTATGAGGATGACGAAGGTGAGGTCAATGAGGCAATGTTGTCGAGTATCCCTGCAATTTCTTTTATGGAGAACCAGTTGAAGAGAATGAAGGCTGAGCTCGAAGAGTTGAAGAGAACCGAGCTCGAAAAGTTGAAGGCCTCTCGCAGAAAGAAGAAGAAGACCAAGAAGACCAAGAAGGCCAGGTCCAACTCTATCGCTGACGGTCGTGCAGACGACCAGCCCATCGTTACTTATGAAATGAAGAAGCAGGTCAGTGAAGTTGTTCCTACCTTGAACGACAAGAAGTTGCAAGCTTTGATCAAGATTATCAAGGATGACGTTGTCATCAGTGACGAGGAGGAAGTTGAGCTTGACATGGACCAGCTCGAGGACCGCACCGTCTTGAAGCTTTACGACTTCTTGTTCGGCAAAAAGGCTGCTTCTAACGCCATGACCAAGGCAAAGAAGTCCACATACTCTTCCGGTAACATTGACCAGCTCGAGCAGTTGAAATCACAACTCCAGTTGTTTGATGATGCTGAAAGATCAAACGGAGGCTCTCACTTACCAGCCTCCACGTTCGACCTCAACAGTATCCCTGCCCAGGAGTCTTCTGATGACGATGCTTCTTCAGAATCTTCTGAGGAAGAGTAACGGTCGGCACGAATCTTGTATTATAGAAAAACATGTACTATATAGCTTTTCAATGAGGTTAACGGCGATATGATAGAACTGCAACCGTAGATTGGATCGAATATAAATGGTCCAGGTGCCCTGTATATACTACTACTCCCCACAATATGAAGTTCTCTAAGCAAGAACCCTCAGTACCTTGATAATAGATAGTATATAGATTGAATGAGAGAAATTTTGTTAGAATTAACTGAATATTGACCAAACCCCGGCTTGTATTGAATCTTTCACTAAGGTCGTTTCACGTGCCAGGTCACGTGCGTATCATCGAAAGTCTTTTGCATCTTGGTTCACTGATTGAACAATAAATACAACGACATGACAAGCATCGGACCATCTCATGGCCAGTTAACGCCGAGGGATCCAAAGAATAACCCTCTACGAATCTTGCAAACTATCAAAGAAAGTCATGGCCGTCCAGCTCACATAGTGGGACCAATGGTCCGGTATTCCAAACTACCGTTCAGAGAACTCGTTAGACATTACAATGCCGACATCGTGTATACCCCTATGATCCTAGCAAGAGAGTTTGTCAGAAACGACATAGCTCGAATCAGCGACTTCTCCACAAATCTCAATGATACACCCGTTATAGTCCAAGTTGGTTGCAACAACGTCAACGATCTTCTCAAATTTGTCGAGATGATGCACCCATACGTTGATGGAATCGGCCTCAACTGCGGTTGCCCAATCCGTGAACAAGTTCGTGAAGGTATCGGAGCAGCCTTGATGTCTGAGCCTGACCTTGTAGCCGAAATGGTCAAAGCAGTCAAAGATAAATACGGCGACAAGGTATGCATCGAGACCAAAATCAGAATTCATAGCGACTTAAGCGAAACCAAAAGATTCGTGAAAGAGGTGGAAAGCGCTGGCGTGGACTTCATCACGGTTCATGGACGGACTAAAACAACTCGTTCATCTCAGCCCGCAAACTTGGATGCAATTAAACTCGTGAAGGATACCGTCAAAGTGCCCGTTGTGGCTAATGGCGACTGCTTCACCCATGAAGACTTTGAAAGAATCGCAGAATACACAGGGGTTGACGGAGTAATGGCAGTTCGTGGTGCATTAGCCAACCCTGCAATCTTTGCAAAACACAAAACGGCACCATGGTCTGCAGTGGAGATCTTCTTTGATCTTGCTCTCAGCTATGGTTTGCCATATCGCATCACTCAACATCATCTTTCGGAAATGTTCAGCGCCATGATACCTAGGCTGTACGTGAAAGAGATGAATGAGATACCAAATCTTATAGATCTCATCGACTGGTTAGACCAGCATTTCATCCTCAAGCGCAGAGGTGAAGATGGCTTCGGAACGGACATAAATGTTCCTTGGAAACACTCAGCATAGCAATAATAGATAAGCATTCATGTCTTCACGGCCCTTTCATTCAAGAAGTCCTTATTCTGAAGAGAAATGCTTCTTGTACGGTTGTCCACCTTGTAGATTCCCACGAGCTGTTGCGCCAATTCAAACATATTGTTACGCAAGGAGATGACAACAAATTGAGCATTCTTGGTCCTATCCTTGATGTAGTTGGCGACGATAGAGACATTTCTGAAATCCAAAGCTGCATCAATCTCGTCCATAACATATAACGGCGTAGGTTTGTACTTATGAAGGGCGAAAACAAGTGCAAGCGAACTCAAAGTCTTCTCACCACCAGAAAGGTTGGATATGTTTCTCCACGATTTTTTCGGCGGCATAACACTGAACATGATACCCTCTGAGAATGGGTCCAAACTGTCAACCAAGTCAAGCTCAGCATTACCTCCCATTGTGATCATTTGGTACATCTCCTTCAAGGACAATGAAATGGTGTTAAAGCCCTCCATGAATTCATCAAGTCGTTTCCTCTTGAGCTCCTCACAGTATCCTTTGACCCCATCACGCTGTTCAACAGTCTCATTCAAGTCAGTACGGCGGATTTCGAGCTCCTTCTTCTTCTCACCATACTCTTTGAGGACTTCAATGTCGACCTTGACATCATTCATGTATTGCTCAAGACTCTCAATCTCCTCTTCAATGTTTGCAATGTTGATATCATCGATGGCCTCTTCTGAGAGCTGCTCAATCTCTGAACTCTCATACTTGGATCTTTCATCTTCTGGCATCCAATCAATATACGGGCCACAATCCCGGACGATGAGGTTCTTGATCTCCTTGTTGGCAATTTCGACTGCTGACTGGCATTTACGAACAACGCCATTAAGCTTTTCAAGTTTGTTTTCAAGCTCAATCTCCACTGATTTGAACTCGTTTATCTTTGCATTAAGGTCCTCAACCTCTTCAGTTACTTTCTCGAGCTCTGATTCATACTCGGTGCGCTCATTCATGAGCGCTGCAATTTGATCATCAATCTCACGAATCGCCTTCATACTCACCGAAAGGTCCTCTTTAACTTTCTCAATCTCAGTTTGAGCTGATTCAAGTTCAGCTACACTCTCCTCGACAATCTTTGTGTGTCTTTTGGAATCATGCTCAAGCTTTCGAAGTGCCATAGCGTTTTGTGAGCTTTTCTCTTCATTAAGCTCAATCTTCTCCTTCAAAGATCCAACCTTGGAGTCTTGGATTTTTAATTCGACACCACCGACATCCATGATTTTTGTTTGAAGAGCTGATATTTTTGTCTCCGTTTCGACCATCAGCTGTCGGAGCTTTTCGTTCTCTGCCGTGAGTGATTCGAGCTCTTTGGTCTTTTCTTGAATCGGTCCCTCGAGTTCGGAAGAGCCGTCCTCACTCTCCTTCTGAGCAAGGAGCTTTTTGCAGTTGGATGAAACCTCTTTCTTCTCTGAAATTAATGACTGAATATCGAGTTGAATCCTTTTTATAGAAAATTCGGTCTCTGGGGCCAACTCCTTGAGCTTTTGGAGATTGCTCACCATTTCCTCGCATTCATGTTGAAGTTGATTCACCTCTTCTTCCATCGACGCCAACTCTGATTTCATCTTTTCGATATCCTCTTCGGAAAACTCTGTATCCTCATTTCTAGAATTGGATGTTAGCTTCATGGCACCTCTGGCAAAGTGAGATCCGCCACCGGACATGGCACCCGAAGTGTCAACGACTTTACCATCCAATGTGACAACTTTGTATCTTTTGGCACCGTAAGCAACCGATTTCGCCTCTTGAAGATCACCAGCCACGAGGGTGTTGTAAAGTTTGCTGTAAAATGCTGGCAAAAAGCGTTTGTCTTTTGGAATAATCAAGTCAAAAAGTCTCTTGACGCTCATTGGATTTCCAGGAGTCTGAATTGGACCAAGATCGAAGTTTCGAAGCTTGTTGAGACAAATGAAATTGGCATAACCCAATTTGTTCTTTCTGAGGTAGTCGATACAAGCTTGTGCCGTCTCCACTGTGTCTACCACCATCGAGTCAAGGCCTGGGCACGCTGTTGAGATTGCAACATCGTATTTGTCATCAATCTGACCCAAGTCTCCTAGGCGACCAAAGAAGCCAGTAATTCGGCCAGACTTTGCGAGTTTCGTCAAACTCACCAAGACCTTATTTTTGTTCTGAGTGTTCGAAACGGAGTGGATGGCGTCTTGTGTCTGTTGCCTTGCAGAGTTGAGTCTGTTCTTTTTCTTCTCAAGCAGCTTTCTAGAATTTCCACATTGTTCTTCGCCCAATAGTATTTGCTCCTTGATATGCTCAAGCTTCCTCTCCTGTGAATCTAGCTCGGCCTCTTTCTCCTTGCCTTCTCTCTTAATCTCCTGAAGTCTCTGAGATGCCTGCTGAAGCTGACGCTCGGTGCTTTTAGATTGCTCCTCTAATATTTCGATCTCAGACTTGATTAATTGAATGGCGCTCTCTTTCTCCTTGACCTTATCGTTCACTGGGAGAAGCTGAGTTTCGAGCTCTTGGATTTCTTTAGAAAAATGTGAAGTTTTGTCGGCGAGTTTCTCTCGAAGCTGGAAAAGTTTGGCACTTTCTTTTTCCAATGACTCCTTCAATGAGGTCAACTCATTGACAGATTGCTCTTCAGTCTCACGAAGAGTCTTGAGTTGATGCGAGGAAGTGGATAATGTACGCTCAGAAGTCTGTTTAGTTTTCTCGATTTTCTTTACCTTGCTCTCTAGGTTTTTAACCCTCTCCTCGAGGGAGACATTTTTGCTGTTGAACGTCTTATGCTTCTTGTTGGCTTGTGTGAGCTTCTCGTTGGTCTTCGAGATATCCTTCTGTAGCCCCTTTTTCCTCTTTTGTGCCTCGTCTACCTCAATATTTAGCTCCATGTTTTTGTTCTTCTCCTCACTGAGTTGTTCTGAGACATCCTGGGCGGTCTTCTCATACTTGGAAAGCTGTTGCAGATTTTCGTGGATGGTCACTTGAAACTTCACAGATTTTTTGTTGGTGAGCTGCTTCTCCTTCTCGAGAAACTGTAACGCATCATTCTTCTTTTCCTCAAGCACGTTCGTGTCGTTCTCGACCAACTCAAACCTGTGCTCCTTCTCTAGACACACTTCATTAAGCTCGTCCATCTTTGTGAGGTTTTCCTCAATCAAAGACTTGTACTTGCTTGTGCCAATGATATCCTCTAGGTATTCTAGTAACCCGTCGTCGTTTTCCTTTTCAGCCTTGGCCTTCATCTGTGAGATAGACTCGACCTCGCCCTGCAAGATCAAGAATCGCTTGTGATCAAGGTCAATTCCCTGTTCTCTCAAGTACTGAGTCACGTCTGTGTAGTTACTAGACCTGCCGTTGAGATAGTACAGGGAGGCGTTGTTTCGAGTGGCGCGTCTGCTTATAACAATCTCAGAACCAGGTACATCTGTAGCTGCCAATGGATCGACTGGGTCATCGATAACATGGCAAAAGTGGATGTCGACCTGGCAAAAGTCGAGCTTTTGACCGGACTCGGAAGAATGGATCAATTCAGAGAGCTTGCCTTGTCTCATCTTCAGGGCCCTGAAACCAAAAACGAAAAGCATGGAGTCAATGACATTACTCTTACCAGACCCGTTGGGTCCAACAACAGCAGAAAACAGCGGGTTGAAGGGTCCGATCTCCTGTACGCCAGCGTAGGATTTGAAGTTTGTGAGGATGAGTTTGCGGATCACCAACCTGGGCTTGATCTCGTCCTGCTTGACGGCCCTTCCGAGCTCCAATGTCGACTTTGATGTAGGTCGGCTTGCAGGAGGATGTTCTATGGTTGTTTTGGGTGCCTCTTCAACGTGGTCCTCTATTCCATCCCCATCCTCTCCGATCTGCTCATTAGCCTCTTCTCCCGTGCTCTTCTCATTCTGATCCTCTTTTCCACTCTCGTTTTCATCAATCTGGATCTTGGAATCCTCGAGCTCCGCTAGCGTCACGTCCTCGTCCTCAGCTTTTGTATCATTGGCATCAACAAAGGTGGAGTTAGCTTCCTCCATGGAATCTTCCGACAACGGCTGGCTGGAGGGCTCTTGCTTCATTGACAGATCGTCATAATCGGAGTTGTTGATAAAAGTGTCTTCAGGCGCCTTGGAGGCGATTCTCTGCTTCTTCATGGCAGAGTAGGACGTGGTTTCCTTTGTTTATGTCAATCGCGCTGCGAAGATGTTGATCTGCACCAACGTTGATGAGTAGGGCTGGGGTAGGATTGGGGAGGTGAGCAGATGATATTTCATGATTTAGTAAAATTGTGAAATTGTGAAGTTGCAAAATGGTAAGATCCAGAGAGTGTGAAAGAAGGTAAATGTTTATATTTGCTTGGTCGCCGCTACTGGGGAATGGGTCACTACTTAATGGTTGCAAAATGTCGCACTCACAGTATCTGTGGAGACGCTGTCATACTATAACTTCACTAAACCGGACAAGCAGAAACTTCATTTTCATTTTTGGTTCCAATTAAGATGCTGCTTACATCTAGCGAAATGCTTTTTTCTACATTGCTCCCGCTCTTCTTGAACGGATGCCCTGACTACATCCTACACCTTATAACCTCTAGATATGCTATTGTACATGGTATGAACCGGCTATGCGACTACTCGTCCTTGGACTTCTTCTTCTTCTCTTTCTTTTCCTTCTTCTCCTTCTTGTCCTTCTTCTCCTTCTTTTCCTTCTTGTCCTTCTTCTCCTTCTTCTCCAGCTTCTCCGTCTTCAGCTTCTTGCTGCTCTCCTCCTCTTCGTCGTCTTCACGCAGTCTCTTTTTGCTAACTGGAGTTTCAACATCGGCAACCTCGGCAGCCGCTTCTTCTTGTTCCTCCTCTTCTTCAGCCAATTCCTGTGCCTCCTCTTCACCCTCAGCTACAGCATCGGCCTCAGCGTCCTCTGGTTGCTCAGGCTGCTCGGTCTCCTCAGGCTCTTCGCTGTCAAACTTAATCTTCTTATTCTGTGGCTCTCCGTCGTCGCCAAAAGTGATCTTCTTGTTCTGTGGCTCTTCCTTGTACTCGGTTTCAAGTTCAGCCAGAAGAGGCGGAAGCCCACGCAACTCTCTTTGCACTCTCTTCAACTGTCCGAGCTTGGGGTTGCTTCCGGCAAAGTTGGAGAATCCAGTGCCGGAAAACTCAACAGCGTCACCGCTGCCGGGTATGGCCGATGCGATGGCTTCACTGGTACTGATGAACTTGGTCAACAAGGCTTCAGCACGGGTTTTGTCGATGGCTTTTTCACCTTTGATTTCAGCCAATACAGGTTTGGTCACCTGACTGGGAATGCTTTTGTTCATTCGGCGGAAACTCGACATCGTGGCGGGCCCAGTGGATGTGAACTTGAAGTTGCACCAGACTCATCTCGAAAAATCATGGTGCGAAGTCTCGCTGTCGGTACTGCAGATAGTGCATGGTGAGCCTCCAACTTCATCAAAATTCGCCTGCATTAACACCGGGAATTTTTCCACCTTCCTAGAGACCTCCACATATATCCAATGTTCGCTGGCTTGAAACATTGTCAAAACAGTTTCAGGGTTGGGCTTAATGCCACCCGCCAGTTTTCCATGTTGAACAAGCCCCTCATAACGACGAGCCTTTCGTCCAGTCCAATTTCCAGAATGCCCGTTCAGACTCCACAACCCTCCACCCTTTCACTTCTTCTGAACCTCATCCAGAGAAGATTCAAGTCCAGAGGTAACACATACCAGCCATCAACGCTCAAAAGAAAGAGAACTTTTGGGTTCTTGGCTCGCTTACGGTCGAGGGGCGGCAGAAAGATCTTGCAAAGGAGAAAGGCCAAGGGCAGATGGTTCTTGACCCACTAGACCAACCAAACATTCTTGTAATTAGTCAATATTAGCATCATTAGAGACTACGCTGTCCCAAGCGCCTTTGAGTAGTGATCGTCGATCTCGTGAATGAGCTTCTGGAGTGTGACGATAGCCAACTGATGTGTAGCGTCAGGGAACTTGTCCCTGTGTAAACCAAACCATTCAAGAGGTGGAGTGGCATTTCCAAGCTCCTTAAGCCTTGGGGCTTCAATAATAGGTGGGGCAAGCGGAACGTAGGTGAATTTCGAATCTTTGGCAACCTTTTCAAATGTTTCATTGATATCTCTATCGAAATCCTTACGAGCATCCTCAGCGTCATAATCATCGCCAACCACCTCATCATCGTCAGGAACATCAGCTCCTAGGACTGTCTTTTCAATATCCTTCGTGTCTCTCAACGCTCCTACCTTGCTCGTGGAATACTCTGTACGAGATGCAAATGCTCTTCTGTGGGCAGCGTACATTTCACGAACGCAGTTGACCGAACCAAGATTCCACCTGACATCAACGGTACCTCCAAACGAAGACTGGAAAAGGTACTCAATGACATTGCTGTTGTATGGTTGGAAAGTTCTCATCGAAATCATGAACTTCGGCGAAAGGAAAATCGTGCCTCCTTTGGCCTTTCTTGCGTAGCTGGCAAATTCAGGAACCGTGAATGCTTCAACCTTCTCCTTCGTGATACCGGCAGATGTCGAGAGCGAGGTCGTCAAGTTATTGAACTTGAGTTCAATTTCGTTGGATACACCCAATGAATACTCGTTCTGGAAGAAGCTTGCAGTAGACTTGTCGAGCTTGATGTATAGCACACGGCTGTCGTCGAATGTCTGTGGATAGACTTGAATAGCGGTACTACCTGTCCTGACCTCAATGTTAGTCTCAAGCTTCTTAACAACCTCCAAAAGCTTATTCATAGGAATATCATTTTGACGCCGCAAGTTCTCCTTGTTGGAGTCGTTCAAAATTTCTCTGTAGGAGGTTCTCTTCTCATCCATCATTCTAGACATGGTACTGAAGATGTCGTGCAAGTCGGACGCAGCAAGAGAGGTGAGGAATACCTCAGTGGTGTGGTACTGAATTACGACATAAAGGTGGTCCTTCAGAATGTTCTCGCCATTCTTTCTGTTGTACACCTCAATACGCCATTTCTCCAAATTACCCACAGCGAAGAGATGTTCGTCAAAGGCAAGTTTGAGTGTGAGGTTTTCAAACCCACCAGAAAATTTGATCAACGGCACATCGAGCAAAGGAAGAGCTTTCGACTTCCATTCAATACTGGAGTGTGCGTTGAATTTCTCCAAAAGCACGTAACCACCCAAGCGACCACGAGAGCCGACTCGCAACTCTTGCAAACCAAAGTTCATGTCATAGAACCAATCTGAAGTCTTCCGAGACACAATCCAACCCAGGTTCACATCAAGCATCATCACTCCCAAAGCCACACCGAAGTCGACCTCCAACGCAAGATTGGATAAGATAAATGTGAGTGATAGTGGAATGGCATAGGTAGAAGACACCTCTTTCATCTTGCTCTGAGATCTCTTGGGGTTCAACTTAGGAGACAGTTGCCTTCTGACATTTTGATATCTTCTAGGGTACCAAATGTCTCGGAATAAATCGACATCATGGTATTGCTTCATCTTGACATAAGCAGTGACATCAGAAATAGACCCAGTGGATGCTATATTCACAGTATCCTCGAACGTGATGCAGTTGGATACCATGATACTCTTGACGCCAATGTAACCACTCCGTTGGTCGGAATAGATATGTTGTAAAGAAGCACTCATGGAATCCAAACGTGCCATTGCATCAATTGCGGATGAATTCTTGATGTTGTTGGCCGCCAGAATAGAAGCACCTTCGAATTCAACAATTGCTGCAACTTTTGCAGTGGGCTCGCAACTGAGAGATAGTCTCTGTTTCTCGATAATGATTCCCACGTGGAAGTCCACATCTTGCAAAATGCTACCTATGTTGGAGCCGGTGTCACATGGTTGAGCGTCGATATTGTCACCAAAGTCTTCTAATTCAGGCGAGTCCTCCTTGCTGTTCCTGAGCATCAGTTTGGATGCCTCAATGAAATCCATGATCACTGGAACACAAGAGGAGTAAACCGTATTGTCTGACAGTTTCATCAAAACCTCGAACTTAACAATATGACGTTTGACATTCTGCCTCAAATGCTTGTAGTATACAGCCAAATTGACAGATGGTGATTGTAAGGATAAAGATGGAGGACTGTCTTGTATATTCTCCTCTTGGAGCCTGTAGAAAAGGACTCTGGAACCAGCAAAGGAAAGATTGGTCTGAACGGACGAGAACGGAGGCTTGAAAGGTGTGGCTGGCTTCTTTTTCGCTTTTTGTGGGAACTGATCCTTGTATGACTTTCTGCGCTGAATAGTTCTCGAGCGAGATTTAAAGAATTCTTGAACTTCACTTCCCGACTTGACTGTTCTTTCCAACATCACCAACGAATTGGACATGAAACGAACGTCAAGCTCATCACCCTTGAGATCCACCCAGAGAGACTTTCCATCAATGATACAGTAGTTGAATTGCATCTTGGGCATGAATGCACGGTTCAAACTATTGAGTTCAGACAGAATACTGTAGAAGCTCGAGCTGGTATTTCCATTTGCCGCAGAAAGGTATCCTTCCATCAAACTCAACTTACCAAGACCATGTTTTGTGACTGCAAAAATTCTCTCCGCTCCCAAAATAATACCAGGGTAGTCCTTATGGGACGATCCAAAGAGCCATCCAATACAAAGGTTGTAAAACAAGACATGCACGGATGAAAACTTGATGGGTGATTCCTTTGTTTCTGATGTTTGAGTTTCTTGTGCTGGTTCTGCAGGTTCTGTCGGTGCTTGAGATAGATTAATGTCATAGCTTCCGTAAACTCTTGTTACCAGATCAGTAATATCAACAAGCTTGAACAATACAGCAGGACTGAGACAGATTCTGCTATGTTCAGATTCAATCTGAAGCGAGCGAGTATGTTCGGATGCAGCGTCCTCTGGGTTATCATTCAAGATTTTCGCTGTGAGATTGATATCGAGCATAGTAGATAAGCCGACTGGGATTGAGGGATCCAAAACACTTACACGCATAACTGGCAAAGAGACCCCACCAAACATGAGACATTTGGAAACAAAACCAGAAGCTGCTTTATGGATATTAGAAACCGAGAAAGATAAACCGTCCAATTCGAGAGTGTATCTGCATTGCTCCTTGAAGGTGGAGATACTCATGTTCTCCTGCTTCACGTAGGCTCTGAGTGCAATTTTGTCAAAGGAATCCGGTTTGGGTGATTGCTTTGGCGTACCTTGGCTATCTTTTTTCGGTGGTGATAACAGCGTGAGATCAACAATCCTCTTGTTGATATTATCCAAATTCTTCAACACCTCATGAAGAGAATTAAGAATGTTCAAATTCGTAATCTTCAAAAAACCGATATTCAAGTCACTGTCAACGGCCCAGGAGTCACCCACTTGAGTGATTCTCTGAGAAGTCAGCAAATGCGTGTCCTCAATTCTCAAAAGCGGGAAATCGTTCATCATCAAATCAAAAAGAAACTTCTGATACTCGGCCAAGAAGCTTAGACTGCCATTTTGATGTCTTATTGACGTCTTGCTTTTCAAGGTAGTGAATTGAATAATCAATGGACAAAGCACTTGAATATCAAATGTTATGTGACCGAGTTCAAAGTTAGCATGAAAATCAGGGACGTGACGTAAAGAAAAAGGTTTGACAGGAGTTTCTTCAACTTTAGGAGACTTTTCACTCGACACCAATCTCAGCTTAAGGAAGGGAACATCTTGTTCCAACAATATCCTTGCTGTATTGATTAACTCGCCATCTGAATCTAGCGCTTTGATATCACAGTTGCCTAGTTTGAAATCCAACTGATGGATCTTGCTTGTCGTGCTTCCAAAATTGGCTATCAGTAAGTTTGAGTCCGTAAAAGTGAAATCAAGATGGTTCAAGTCATCTCTTCCAAAGCACAAACTGTATTCCTTAGCACTTGACGCGAGACAGAAGCTGTTCCCTGTCTTTTGTAGCCCATTGAAGTTATCGTATGTGCTAAATTCTGCGAATGTCAGAGGTAACTGGATTTTCAAATGACAGAGCTTAATCGATGTGAAAAGGAAAAGATGTGACTTCTTCTCAGACTTCGTTGATTTTGAACAAGCAGTGGAAACACGAACCATCGAGTTGTCAACTTCTTGGGATTCACCCTCAACATTCGTTGTGGTTTTCTTTGGTTTGTCCTTCACCACCTTCATCACTGCGCTCAAAGTCTCAACACAAATTGTGGAGAGTATACCATCAACCACGTCCAAGTCGATTAAAAAAACACTCGTAGGTTCACCATCAGGCGAGGTGAGTAGGCGGACGATTATTTTTGCTGATTGAGCCAGGAAATAATCTCGTTTACCTTGCGGCTCAAGAAGTTCAAGCTCAAATGATGTGGTTTCAAAATGCATCTTTGATGGTAAATCAGGTTCTTTCTTCCTGCTTCCAAAGATACGATCGAGGAAGATTGTTCGCTGTGCCTCAACCTGTTCCCAGCTTCTCCAAAGCCCGAAAGCATCTGAAACTTCTTCCTTTGCCATAGCTGGGATTTGCCAGTCGGGATTTTTCAACTCCGCTGTCAAAGACTCGTACTGCTCACTCGGTAACCTATTCACCATGCTCCTGAACTTTGCAACCAACTTCCATCCCTCGTAGAACCTAACATGATCATCACAAGAACGAAGAATGCTTGACGGTTTGGTTAACACAGTCGGGTCGTGCTCCACTCCGTTAGTCTTTGCAACGTTACCGATAAGGTATATAAGTTTCTGGAGAGTGGCGGGATTTTCATTCTTCGGAACTCTTTGCATGGCTTGCTCAAACTCTGACGCAATGTCGGTAGCAAATGAAAATAACCAAGGGATATCATCCTGAAATAGCGTCATTTTGACCTCTTGAAACTGAACAGATGATGTGAGACCCACTATTGAGTCTTTAGCCATCCACGCTTCAATATCTTCAATCAAAAAAGTTGCTGCTGGAGAAAAATATTGGGGATCGTGAATGAAGCAGTGTAAATGCTTAACATGTAATGCTAGCGCCATCGGCTCCTCTTCGAGAACAGTCTGAGACCCTTTCGTCCGTGTTGTAAGCTTTGTTAATGCAACAGAGGGCTCTTGAATGTTGATAGTAACTATCGGTACTGTAGGTGATGAACAGAGCACATTTTCAGGGGATACCATGGGCTGCTGAGTGATCCTCATGTTGATTTCAGGTGCCACGAAGCGCACATTATCACACATGCTCAATGGAAGGATGAACATCTTGATGTCTTTCACTGTCTTGGCCTGCAAAACATCTAGTAACATCTCAATGTCATCAATTTGGAACCCTTGAGCTAAACCCAAGAAAGCACTCACCACCAGGGGACTTAAAAAGCCGTTTATAGTGTCGAGCTCGAGGATGAAAGCATCTGTCTTGTGTCCCGGTTCCTGCTCCATATTCGGCCTGAAGTCCTCACTATGATAGTTGGACGTAGGGTCAAACTTTTCATTTGTTTCCAAACCACAGAAGGACTCTTCCGTTGAGTTCACAGAAGGCAAGTCGTCCTCGTAACCTCTGTTTTCTCTCACAAAGTAGAAATTGTCTGTGAGAGGAACTGATGCATCAGGAAGACTCACGCTTGTTGGGAAACATCCATAAGCATCATCATACACTGAGTCTTTCGTCTCTTCATCCACCAAAAATGGAATTCTATGGGTTGGTGCATCGTTCCGTCTAGCCCATGCTTGTTGACTTCTTCTAAAGTCATTGGGCCAAGCCTTGAGACAAATGTCTGTGAACATCAAAGATGTCTCGAGGAAGAAATGATACTTTGCATCCACCGCAGAGTCTATCACCTGTACCGTTATTTTAGGCATTGAGACGCAAATCTTTGAGCTGTAACGTTCGTTTGCCCTATCGGTGAATGCAATGAGCGTGTCGTCGATCTTAACTTTCAAAGCAGTATTTGGCACCCCCGTGTCTAGCTTCAATACAAGCTCGTCACACCTAAAAGTGAAATTTGCCATGTCAAAAACCAAGGGAATTTCGTAGATGAAAGTATTCTCAAGGTCCTTGAATCCGGTGATGAAATTGCCGAAAAAGAGCTTGATACCAGCTAAGCATGACGGATGTGTGTCAAAAATGAAGGAAGCACATGAGAAGTCCCACTTACAGTGATAAGTAAGAAGACTTGGAAGAAGACCAAGCATTCTGTGAGTGTGGACCTGGAAATTATCGATGATGATATCGCTCCCCTTTTCTTTACCGACTCTCTTGTACTCGTCGATGTCATAGATGATGCCATGGTAATTCCCGGGCGTATCTCTTGTGAAGTAGTACCCTGTCACGGGACTGAAGTCAGCTTGCAAGTCCATGTAAAAATGGCACAAGTGAATATCGACATCAAGGTAGTCGAAAGTGAGACCAATATTGCTCGTATGATCATAAAGATTGCATGGTAAAAGGATGAGACCGTTACGTGCTTTGAAGGTAAACTGAACATTGAGGTCATTCTCAGTCTTGAGTTCATTCCAGTATAATGGGTCTGCCTCCTCTTCTTTCTCCTTCACCGTACCCTCATTACTTGCCATGGACCGAAGAGATGCCTCAGAGTCGTCCTGAAAACCCAAATTGGCACCATGGGTATACTCCTCAAAGGTTTTGAAGTGCTTAAAATCACCCATGTAATTTTCACGGAAGGTAAAAAGATACCTAATGAAATAGCCAAAGAACAGTAGAGTAATGTTATCACCAATGGCATTCATCACAGCAAAACTGCTGTAGTTGATTTCGATCCCTCGATAGAATGTGTAAGAGCCGGTGACTTCAAAATTATCAGCATGGCCCATCTTGTTGCTCCCTTTGAGATATGAGCTAGCAGTATGCCAAGGAGGCACCTCAAGAGCTAAGCTCAACGAGTCCGTGAATATTTTAAAATCAATGGTTGTGCTCTTTGCAAAATTTCCAAGGAGGGGTATGACTGAACTTATCTCAAGATTTCCACCATGAAAGCAAATGTATTTGTTGTTGTTGAAGTCCAAGGCACTGTTGATAATGTTGTGGTCATTCACATTGAAATGCAACCTGTAGTCCTTAATGTTCCAATTGAAGTTGTATTGGAAAGGCCTGAACTGTTCGTAGGGAGCAGGAGTCCCTGATGCAAAGTCGGACAATAAGTCTGTAAACAAAAATGCATGATCTCTCAAGAAGAAGAGTTGAGCATTCTTACTCAAGTTGTTGAAGGTCCAGACTGTATCGCCGTTCCATTTAAGTGGAAAGCTCAAATCACAATCAATGGTGTGCTCATCAGCGATGAAGAAAACGTCGTGGTTCACGGAAGAGCGCATTTCAGGTTTGGAGAAAAAACAAGTCATTTTGTTGGGCCAGCCATTTTCTGTCGCTTTGTAAGAATTAAAGGATGTGAACCTTGAGGTTTTTGCAAGCTTGAGTTCAAGCCAGCCGAAGGGCCTGGTGATCTTATTGCCTTTTTCGGTGGCAGCGTGGGCAAGCTCTTCTCTGTCTTTGCTCAACTCTCTAGTGGGTGTTCGAATGATGAACTCATCCTTCACAATGATATTAAAGTCGAACCCATCGTATGAACGAGGGCTACCAAAAGGCTCCCTCGATGGAGAAGGTGAACTATCACGGCAAAGTGCCGGGAATAGTAATGCATGAATTGGGCCACGTTGTCTATCGGCCCAAGGGCCATAATGGAAGGTGGCCATGGAGACTATCAAGTCCACACCAAACTTGGGCGGGTTCTTCTGAAGAGACTCTGGCGTGGTGATGCCGGGGATGTCGTAAAAGTAGATCATCTGGGTGGAGACCGAATCTAGAATGACACTGTATTTGGCGTACTCCTCGATTGTAGCTAGGTTCATTAAGCGTTCATCCTGGAAGTCGTCAATGTAACGCCTCAAACCTCTCCATTCCTCATTCAAGTCCGCATCTTGCTTATTGAGAAGCCTTCGAAGCAGCAACTTCTTAAATGCGTTGCGGAAGCGCCGAAGCGAAATAAATGGTCTTGCCTTGACACCTCCACGGTTGGCAAATGCCTCTGAGGAGTAGCGCAGAGGGTCGTAGGTGATATTAGGTTTTAAGGAGATCTGGAACTTCTCCATGTTGAGGTCGTAGACAGTTCTATACCTGTCGAACGACGATGCAGCGGTGTGGTAGTCAATGAGGCCAATGGCCGACTTGAAGGAAGCCACGAGGATCGTGGGAGTAGTAGGATTGCCCACCACATAAGCACCCTTCTTGATTCTCACGGAAATGGGCAACATGTGAAGTAGGAAGCCCACAGCGTTTGTATCGTTTTTGCTTGATTCCTCGCTATTAGAAGAGACAGGCTCGGAGGACTCGTGGGTAGACTCTTTATGCGATCCGTGGGTTGCCGAGGAAGACGTCAGTTCGAACTGGCCGTTGAGCGTATCCTTCACGCCCGGCATCTCCTTATCTAGCTTCTCCACGATGTTCTCGTATGCCCAGGATCTGTTGTACATGAACACTTCAAGACCCTCCAAAAGAAGCTGAAGACTGCTGGCAAGTTTTGTGTTCTGGTCCGAGCTGATTCCCTCGTGTTCGTTGGCCAGATCACCGTCTCGAGGCAAAAAGTACTCCAGGATCCTGGTAGGCCTGAACAACCAGTACCTCCATGTCAAGTTGATCCGTAGAATGGACACGGTGTAGTCATTGTTGGATATGATGATGTTTCTGGCGGTGATTCTGCCGCCTAGCGGCGATATTCGGAAGGCGTCTAGCGATACCCTGATCTTGTACCTCCTCCAGACCAAGAGTCGTAGAAGCTGAGTTATCACGAACCCAACCAACCGAGGAAACCAAAACACAAATGCTAGGCCGAGAATAAGCGCTAGAATCCAGTCGGCAAGGTACACCCACAGGGCGAGTGACGAGCCGTATGAGACCATGCTGCTTTCTTTGGTCCACTTGGGTTTGTGATGTATGTAGTATGATGAGTGAGAAGATAGGAAGGCTCACGATGGGGGGAGTTCCGAGATACTGGAAATTTGGTTTTCGATGTGGGAAGGGATCTTTTATATAGAGGTGGTGATAAGAAGCCGAATGCAAATTTGATTTTCTGTGTCACTGTTGGTTTTGTATTTACAGTGGAGGAAGGGTGGTTGGGAGATTGGGTGCAAAATGCGAGATTGCTGTGATTGTGGAGAAGCAGTGCAATATGAGAAAAACGTGTTTCGTCCCCAAAAATCAAAATCCCCGTAAAGTGGTCGGTTTCTTGAGGACAAGTAATCAATCTAGCTGGAACATCGCTATGTAGAGTTTTGACTCGTTTTATGGGCTGTTGATCTCGAATGCTTGTGGTACCTGTTGCGGTCATTTCGCAGCCATACTGTCTAGGTAGAGAAAGAGGAGGCACAGCCAAGCAAGCACAAGAAGCACAAGAAGCTGTTCAAATAAGATGTAAGTTAGCTATTTAAGTAAGAACCTTCGATTAGACTGTCAAAGAAGGAAGAAATTCGTGCCCAGGTGGCTCATCGTGATCCATTGGAAGCAAGCCTAATGGGACTACGATAGCGTTGCCTCAATGTTCCGGCACAATTTCTAGAAATGATACTCACATGTGTTTTGAAGCTTCAAAAAAATGTGCCTACAAGATGTTCCGTGAAATGCAAGACAGGCCGTCCCATCATTTATGGTACAGCAGCTGAGGTACAGCCATTTCGCAGCCATACTACTAAAAGCACCCCACAAGCTTCCACAACCACATCAAAATGACTTCAATATCCTCTTGAATAAAAACACTTTAATGTCAAATAGCTGCACAAACCTCTGTTAATCTTTCTGCTCCTCAATATACGCTACGGTAAAACCTCTATGCTCCCCATACTAGGTGGCTACCTCCTGCCTGCACAATTTCCCTTTCCGTACAAACCCAAACAAGCAAACCACAACTACTCTTCTTCATGTCCAATCCACTCCGAATAAAAAATAGGGACCAGGAGAACGCGTTTAGGGTTCCTAACAAGGACGAGAATGCCCAGCCACCCACAAAAAGACTGGCTCTCCAACCCAAGCTGAACAAAAGGCAGAGAGTGCCTTTGGGAGGAAAGGACCCTAACGGAGCTCCTTTGTTACAAAGATCCAACACATCTGTTCAAAAGCCACTTCGGCCTAGCAGTGCCCCGTTGTTGAAACAGCCTTTTTTGACAAAGTCAAACTCGACTTTGGGTTTCGCCCATGCTAACGCTCCTACTACCCAGAGAGGTCACAGCGGTCTTACACGGGGTCAGATCCAAAACGCTGATCCACTCAAAAATGATCTTTTCAGTGGGAAGTTGGCCAAAAGAGAGACCGAGCTAGTACCACAGCTTGTGTCCGATTCCCCCAGGAAGCCAGTTGCCAAAGAACTACCTCCATTGGGAACAAAACTCAGTGATACCTTCTCAGAAGCTACACAACAGCTTCATGCGAGCAATTTGCCCCAACAAACAGAGGCCGACGTAGATCCCATCAAGGGCCTCAAATTCAATACCCGCTTGATTGACCAGTTGGCAGAGGAGCCTGTGGATACAATCCCCGAGGTGAAGCCTCTCCAGGATGTGGATGACGCCCTCACAGAAGACGACTTGCATTTTATTAAAACGGGAAACAGGGTATCGATAACCGAAAATAAAAACCTCCAGTCGCAGCTTCACAAGGAGCACGGCCACTTGGGTCTCTCCAAAGACGAGCTTGACGACTTGCTTGATTTCTGATACGCATACCATCATTTAAATATATACACGGACGGGTTTCGTAACTATGACTATTGAGTAGTGCACTCGGGCTCTGCATCTTCGTAGAAGAAGTTCTCCTGGGCATAAGCGTGGCCATTTGGCTTGCTCTGCTGTGGTTCTTCATAAGAAGGAAGAGCATCTGCCGTGGCCAATGTCACCTTCTCCACATATTCTATATTAGCCTCGGGCAACGACAGCGAAGGAACTTGTTGCTTTTTGATGTCTGATTTGCTCTGTAGGTCGTTGGGGAGAACGTTTTTGAGCTTGGTGATGTCGTTCAACTCCAAGTACCAGTTGTCCTTGGGGAATTCAATGTCGACATCGATGTATAAATCACCGTAGGAGGCGCCCATGAGCTTGCTGAACGTGCCTTGTTTTTCACGGCGCATACCTTCTCCAGGAAGTTTGATTAGGTGGCCGGGACGAATAACCTTGCCTTTGGGCGTAGTAACATGCATGGCTCTACCGTCCAAGTGTTGGCAGACAACCCTTGAAAATCCCGAAAGTGCATCCACCAAGGGAATCTTGTATTTGGCAAAAAGATCGTCGCCACGGCGAGTAAACACATCGTGCTTCTTGCAAGTGTACTTGAGCACAACGTCGCCTGTTTCCATTGAAGGATGTTGGTCAGCTTCACCTTCAAGAACGATATTTCCCTCGTTGGGCGAGCCAGGGGCAATCTCAAACTCCAAGATTTTCGTCTCCTCCACAACCTTCGTGCCCTTGCATGTTTTACAAGCATTCTTAGCCGAGAAGATCTTGCCGGTGCCGTCACAGGATGTGCATCTGATTTGTTCCTGAACAACCATACCGGGTCCGAGTCTCTTGATTCTTTGGGTGCTACCTTTACCTTCACAAGAAGGACACGATTTCATTTTAGCTGCCTTCTTTGCTCCGGTGCCGTGGCAGCTTCCACAGAGTATGTTTCTGGTACTGGTCACTTTCACCACTCTTCCCTTGAAGAGGTCCTCCAACGTCACCTCTATAAAGATTTCGGCATCGTCGGTTTTTTCCTTTTGAGCAGGTCCCCTAGCAGCGCCGTGGCCACCCATGTTATTGAAGAAATCATAGAAATCCTCGGCATTATACTCTCTGTGGGCTCCATACGACTGACCAAACGGATGACCATTGGCCTCGCCACGGTCCATCGGATCAGAGTCACCGTAGAGGTCATAATCTGCTCTTTTCTTTTCGTCGCTCAAGACTTCGTAGGCATGGCACACCTCCTTGAACTTGATCTCTGCTGTCTCTCTTTCTTCTTCACCTACCTTATCTGGGTGATACTTTAGGGCGAGCTTTCTGTAGGCCTTTTTTATTTCAATTTCTGTCGCCGACAGATCCACTTCTAGAACGGCATATAGGTCGGGCATTTGTGTGGATGAATTATAGATTATAGGGCCTGGTGGGCTCCATTAGTATATGATGATACTGAGGTTCGCACACAATACCGATGGTACACTAGATGAGCCAATATGGGTCAGAAAAGAAAAGGAATTTGAAAATGAGAGTGAGTTGAAGTTAGATTGAAATTTTAAACGAATTTGTGAAAAACTTGGGTGAAAAAGAAAGGCAAAAAGATAACGACGTGGACAGGATTCGAACCTGCGAGAGCAGAGCTCATGAGGAGGTGCTGATGTTACAACCTGCACCTCACGCCTTAACCACTCGGCCACCACATCTGTTATGCCTAAGTATGAGGAAAAGGTGGATATTGTGCGGTAAAAGTGCGGATTTGTGAGTGCACATAAACACCATCCAAATTAGCAAGTATATTGGTCAGAACCGTCGAAGGCTAAGGAACATAGAAATGGGAGTCCTGGCCGGTTTAGAGCAATTCCTGAGGATCTATGAGCGATTAAAGATAATATCAGGATTATTCAGTAATTGGCAGCGCTATGAAGCCCTGATTCTGTGAAAAGTGCCATATGAAGATTCTTTAACGTCAAGGGCTGAAGAAGGCATCATAGTGAGTATCATTCGGGAGCAACTGTACTCAATAGTGACACAATATTGGCCTCGGATGTTCAGCCTCAGATCGATCCGAGGGTAAGGGTACCAGGGTAATTCAGCTTAGCCTGCATTTCCATGCCAATGATTTGAAATTGTGGACTTAAAAAACCAGTAAAAACTTATGATTCAAGTTCCGTGGAACCCTCTAACCATAAAATGGTCGGATTCTTCGATCCAGGCAAGATTGGCCAAACTGGTCACCAGTCTTACTATCAAAGCCCTTACTCAAAGAGTGCCCCCTTGACTTGGATCAAACTGATCGCTGAATCCCGCTTCTCAAAAACACCATCCAAACACGTCTTCACATTTTTCACTGTGATCATCAAAGCCACTCACTGGTTTGGTGAATTTCGCAACCTCTATCATGCCGGCTGTCCCCTGGCTGCGAGTCTGCAGGACCGATTCAAAGCTTCTTTAAAAGGAACCAATTCCCCGACGAATACGATGCCCAGATTTTTGAAATTTAGAGATTTGCTTCATTGAAAGTGAACTTATCCTGGCTCCCCGGCAGAGGAGCAATGGCCCGTTGGGCAAGACCAGAAAGGGGCCTACCTGCAGTACCGGTCTCGTGTTCTTGGACGAAAGTAAAAAACACCTATACTCACCAGTATCTACTACACTAAAACACAATGGTATGTGCATTCAATGCCTTCAACGCCTTCAACGCCCTGTTTCGTCATCATCATAATATCAACTTTATACTAACCTTCAGTCCAGATCCGGGTATGTTAACGCTAAAAAATTGACTTTGACCGTAGACTAACAACAGTGTTGCCGTTGCTGACGAATCTTTGCAGGCCTTCAACGACTTGAAGTTGGGCAAGAAGCACAAGTTCATCATCTACAAGTTGAACGACTCTAAGACCGAGATTGTTGTCGAGGAGACCTCTACCGAGTCTGACTACGACGCTTTCTTGGAGAAGTTGCCTGAGAACGACTGCAAGTACGCCATCTACGACTTTGAGTACGAGATCGGTGGAGGTGAAGGTAAGAGAAACAAGATTGTTTTCATCACCTGGTCTCCAGACACCGCTCCCATCAGATCCAAGATGGTGTACGCCTCTTCCAAGGACGCTTTGAGAAGAGCCTTGAACGGTATCTCTACCGACATCCAGGGTACTGACTTCTCTGAGGTTGCCTACGAGACCATTTTGGAGAAGGTCTCCAGAGCCGCCGGCTCCCACTAAGTAAGAATACATGACAGTGCTTGAGCCTAGCCAGGCCGGGCGTAGAGTTGATGCTGAGAATTTTTGTCAATTGGGGGCGATGAAAGGCAGACCACCTGGAAATGTTCTACGCCTTAGGTTGAAGAATCTAAATGCAACATGAAGAGCCCGATGAATCATAGGACTGTTAGAGTTATATCGCATCATAGGACTGTTAGAGTTATATCGCATCATAGGACTGTTAGAGTTATATCGCTCAATGACGACCCAGTAAACCCTCATGATGCTAGTTGCCTTTGCGATTCAAATCACCATCTTCAGTAAAACTTCAAAAGAACTCTCTTAAAATCAACCTTGCTTTGCAACCCTCTGTGTATTGCATCTCATGATTTCGTGGGTTGCAGCCATTGACGTCATCGTCCACCACCTTCTTGAATTCTAATTCCGCTTGAAATTCCCAACTCTAAACTGCACTCCATCTCCAAATCGTATATTGTTCATCTGCACAAAATACGTAATCTCCTCCATCTCGGCCCTCGGTACTTAGTCAGTATGAGGCATCTAATGCACCTCAACCTGCACTATCAACTACATATTTACATCCACAAACCACACAACTGAACACAACAAAGAGTTCCTTATAGCTCTATGGACCAATATTCACTTAAGTCGTTATTACAAATATCATATTCAATACCCCTACCGCTCCTTACACCACTGGTCCCTGCATAACCCCAGACCATGAAGACCAAAGAAAGACTACCTAGAGCCACTCTAGAGCAGAAGATCCAGATCCTAGACTACTTCCACTCGTCCGACAGGCCCCAGCTGGACACTGTGGAAAAGTTCAAGGATATGGTGGCGATTTCCACGTCCACATTCAACGAATGGGTCAAACGAGAAGATGAATACAGAGACAGATACAAGCAGCTGGAAGGCGGTTTCGGCAAGCATCTGAAGAGAAAAAGCTCTTATAAATACGATAAGATCAACAGGGCCATGGATCTTCTAGTGCAGCAGCGTTTGGACAGAAACGAGTCGGTTACTGAACCGCTATTGAGAGACTACTGGCAGGTTTATGCCCATCAGTTTGGCGTGGACAACCCCAAAAGACTTATTTCCTTCAGTCACGGCTGGTTGAGCCAGTTCAAGAAAAGACACGGGCTTTTGCGGAAAAAGGGCTCCAAGAACGATTTGACCAGGGTGACCAACGAGAGACTACTAGCAGAACAAGTTACTTCGGAGGGATCGGACTTTTCTGCGGATGAGCTGTCGCTGGACGAGGAGGAGCCGAAGCAAAAGAAGAAAAAATCGGCTTTTAGGCCCCAGGATACGCTCAGTTTCCAGAACCAGTTCTCATACACTGAAAGGAAGCTGCCGCAGCGGGACCGTCTAGGTGTATTGCCGGTAACTACGAAACCGGTTGCTGGAGATATTGAGAAATTTCTATTTAACGTCGCTGACGAGTTCTTCAACGAGCACCAGTACGAGTACCCCCAGACGATCAAGATGTACCATGAGTTCAAGCTGTCTTTTCTCAGTGAGCGTCTCATAGATCTACGGTCTAAGGATGAGGCAGATGGATCTCAAAACGAAAAGCTTCTTTCAGACCACAGGCTTCTTCCGGGCTCACAGCTTTCTCAGAAGCCCGAGAAAAGACGTCGTTTGGAGCAGATTCCTCAGCAGATACGCCAGCAGCTTCCCCAGCCGAATCTCTTTGGGCAATCAAGTTCCAGCAGGCTGGGGAATAGCGAGATTCTCGATAATATGTTCATGAGGAGGCAAAATGTTGAAGATTACAGGTTTCAGCATGGCCAACAGCTCGAGCAGCGCCAGGAAAAGCCCTCTGAGGGCGAGGAGGTTTGGAATAATCTGAGGAAGATGTGGGAGAGGAACAAGATAATGTTGTAAGGTGAAGCATTGGATGATTTGAGGGGATGATACAAGACCGCAAAGGCCGGTTGCTAATTTTGATTAATACTAATACAGGCTTTAGGAAATACCACAGTGACAGGGCAAGTGTATTACAAGCGTTGTGAGTTGAAGCCCATAGCTCTTTTGTTCAAAATTTTATTCGTTATCTTCATTAATGGCGCGTTGGCCAGGTGGAGTAAGTGCTCCCTTCTTCTGGATCAATTCTACAGACACTTGTTGACTGCAATTGCAGAGAGAACTGATCCTCTGATATCTCGAACCCAACAATGGCTTTGCAGGCATTGAAGCACGATGCTGAGTGGCCCATAAGCATTATCAGGGTCTATTCTGGGGAAGGCCGATTTCGGATATGGTCGCTAGCCAGATTGTACCCACTGCTAAGTCTCTATTCCCATTTATGCCATTCTTGTTCGATAGCCAGAATGATAAAAAGATTCTTCTTATCTAAAAGAACCTCCTTTCCAAGGCTGGGAACATCGATCCTGAGCAAACTTGACCATCAGACTGTCCTTGACTGGTACCTCTTGCAACCACCAAGGTGGTCCTACCTCCATCCGGTCCTTCCCAAACCTCCCCAAAACCATCCAAAACCATCCAAAACTCACCTCAAATCTCAATCTCCCCCTACAGCTCCAACTCAACCTTCACTTTCGGCACATCGGCCTTCTTAGGGCAATCAGCACAGTTGGCACACTTGGTCAGGCCATCTTCCAAGACTATGGCTTTTTGAGGCGGACAATCCAGTTTTGCCGGTTTTGGCGCCAGAGTTCTCCGTGGAAACCGCATCTCCTTGTTTATGAGCGCCGCCTGGTCCAAGTCCGAGTGTTTTGCGTAGAGGTAGTTGCGGAGGGCCATGTTTGCAGCCAATCGCACGCGGGCCGGGTCGGTATTTATACGCCCTCACCCGCCAAGCAGGTGGGCCCACCTTTTTGATGTGGTGGCGGCGGGCGACTTTTTAAATTTTTGCAGAAAGGGTAATAAAGGAGGGGAAGGAAAAGGAAAGATTGGGGTTTACAGAGACGACGGTGGTGGTTGGATGCTTTTAGGTGGCATGGTTTATGGGGATTTAGCCATGCAAGGTGCATAGATGTCTCGCTTGACAGGTGGAGGCATGGTATTTTTGAAGGGAGGCAGTATTATTAAAGAGGGGCAGTATTATTAAAGGGCGAGGGGGCAATAGAGGTGATGAAAAAATGGGATTTAATATTGAGTGTTTGGAGTTTTTGGTTTTAGATTTTGTTGGTTGGTGAAGCCTGGTGAGGATGGGGCTGTTTTGCAGCCATCAGGAGACAGCTTTGACGAGACAGCAGTTGACGAAGTGGCGGTGTAGAAGTCAAAAAATGTTTGATTTAATTGGTGGAAACGACGAGATAGCTTGTCGTTTACGGTCTGGCATGGTGGAAAAGGGGTAAGCAGGAGAGGTCCGAGGTGGCTGAGGATCTGCTCACACTTGTTCATGGAGTGCTTCAGAAAGGTAGCTTATTCATTATTTTGGGGTGATGTTCGAACTCAGCGGATGATGGCTCATCAATTGAAATGCCGTGATTTTCATGGTACTGATAGAGGTAGAGTTGGTGACTGGATACCCATTGGTAAAACTGTGATGCTTGTGCACTTCATGCAAAAGCGTAACTCAAAATCAGGAAATTGAAAGAATTGTTCTATTTTGAAAAATATCGAATAATCGCTGATCGAGCCGTTTGACAATGTGGTGGCTCTACGAGTCAAACGAGACCACACCTCAATTGGTTACTTTGTTCAGGATTGTACGAATCTGAAAAAACATCAAAGAGTCTAGAATTTGTTTTTTCCAGAAATGTCTGGCTGAATTTGGTGCTTATGGCTGTGTTTGCTAGTGCTCATGTAAAGATCAACGGAGGAAAGCTTATTTTAAGGGGCTTTAAAATAGTATAGACACAAAGTTTACCAATGCATCACAGTACTAGCACCAAAATATAATTGATAAAAAGGTCTACTCAATGTACCATAAAGCAATGGTCTTTTTCATCCAATATACTCGTGCCGTTTCAATAAGTCACCAGGTAATTGTATAAGCATAGCAAATCACAAGATCTATCAGTATATCCTACAGATATCTTAAAGGTATCGGCCATTGTTAGTATAAGTTACACATCTATGTCATTATCTTGACCGAAGGCGCCCCGAGGGCGAATATTTCGTAATCATTAGGTATGCTGCTGGGGATGATGCGCTGTAAACCGGAGCCCCAAGACGGTGATACCAATCACCACCGTCAAGAACTTATACTTCAAGTTCTCGTCAACGAGGGGCTCTTCCAGGGTTCTGCGTTTCTTGCGGAAATGCTCCTTACCCATGATGAGGTACCGGAGCTGGTTAAAGGTATTGAGCTTGGCATAGTCGACTTCACTTCCGCTGCTGGACTTCTCGCTTGCCATATCCTCCCACAAGTCCTCGTCATCCTCGTCGTCGCCATCTATACTCTCCTCAACGCTCTGCTCCCAGTCGGTTTCAAACTGCGAGAAGCTGACGTCCTGTGGCGCAAACGTCTGAGATTTTGCCTTCTTCGGCTGCTTGGTGTCCGCCTCATTGAGATACTCTTGGGTATGATTGGAGAAGAGTCTCAGGCTTTGGTTTCGATGGTGAGATAGGAAGCCATAGTCATCGCAGTCGCCATTAACGTTACCGAGAGAGTTAATGAAATGGCTCTTGAAGACAAAGTCGTCTTCGTCCTCATCTTCACCTCGTGCTGGTTGTAGAAGACCAAGCCCAAGCGCAGGATCGAGGAAGCTGGACTTCCTAGCATCCGCCTTGGTTGAAAGGATTGGGTTGATCGACACGGATCGAAGAACTCTCTTCTTCTGTATGAGCATGTCTCTCAGCTTCTCAATCAATTTGGCATCGGAGTACTCCATATTGCCGCCACGGAGGTTGCTTCTGCTCGAGAGCTTCTTGATATTCTTCTTCTGCTTTTGGAGCTCGAAGCCGATGTACGAAAGAAGCTTTTCGTTGTGCAACTTGAGCGATTGCAATTCGAATTTGAGCTTCATGATTTCTTGCTTGGTGATGTCACTGCTCAGAATGTTGATATCCGTGAACATGCTAGAGCGTTTTGAGGAAGAGCTGAGTAAGGAGTCACGTTTGGAAGGTTCAAGCCCCTTGAGCTTGCGGAGAGCTTCAGCTTGGTCTCCGTCACCTTCATCCACCTCCTTCAACTTGTTCAACATCTCCTTGACTGGCGCCAGGCTACTTCTGTACAGCTGATCTTGCTGCTCGAATTCCACCTTTATGGGCATGAAATCATGAGAGTTGTAACGAGAGTGGTTGGGCTTGATAAGCAGATGTCTCTTGGATGTGCTAGCCAGACGGGAGGACAAGTCAGGCTCGAAGTAGCCGTTGCTTGTGAGTTTGAGGGGAGAAAGCACGAACTCGTCTTTCAGGTCTTCCTGCTCCTTGAGTTTGATAGGTAGAGATTTGCGTTTGAGCACGTTAGCATCAGGCGAAGGCGGGAGGCGTGAGACAGGTGGTGGAAGTCTTTCTGGAGTGGGGAGCCTTTCAGGAGAAGGGATCCTCTCGGGCGAAGGAGGAAACTGGAAGTTTCTCGCAACATCCATGAAGTTGTCCTCCTTGTATTCGGGGCTCTTGATCGGAGACGATGTTTCTAGAGCGTAGTCGTCCTGGACCAACTCGTCGGCTAGCGAGCTGAGCATGTTCAAGCTCTCCTCGGACTCCTCGTCGTACTGCTGCACATGGTGCTTCACCACGCTCAGGCCCAGGGGCACCCTGGAGGCCAGGTTCTCGTGATCGAGCAAGAAGTCTCGCTCCTTGGTCAAATATTCAATCTGGTCTATAAGCAAGGCCTTGGAGTTTCTCTCGAGCTCTAGGTCCAGCTGGAGCGCCTTGACGGACTTCAACAAACGGGCATACTTATCGTCCAGCTCCTGGGACACCTGGTGCGAGTGGGACCGGCCTTGCTCGAGCTGCTGGAGGTACCGCAGCGATTTCCGCTGTAGGTCAGCAATGGTATCTTTGTAAAAAGCGATTTCTTTCTCGTAGAGAGCCAGCTCGTTGCGGCGCTCGTCCTGGAGCGCCTTGACGATTCGTTCTGTGTTGGACACCTTCACGGTGAGTTCATCCACAAGGGCTATTTTCTTGCCGAGCTCCTCTTCAAGCTGGCTGTATTCCTTCGCTAGCGTGTTGTTGCGAGCAACCATCTCGTGGTGTCGTTGTAGGGGCGATTCTTCCCTCAAGGGAGACCTGGAAGGCGATTTCAACAGGGTCTTTCCCGAGGGCGATTTTGACAATGTCGTGGTCGGCGTGTTCATCAGTCTGAGCGGGGACCGTGCTCTAGGGGACCCTAGCGATTCCATGGCCTTTTTGGAGGAGCCGATGGTTGGTTTTGGAGGATGTTTGTTTGGGGAATTGCCTGGACAGTGAAGGACAGAATCAACAGGTCAATGGGGCGGATTTGGGGTTGATGGGGCGGATTTGGGGAATAAAATGGGGATGTTTTGGATAGTTGGAGGTTAAAGATAGACGACGATCCAAAGAAGCACCGTTGTGTGTGGGAAAAATATGTCAGTGGTGAGCTTTAGTTGTTGTGTGTTATTGTTTGTGTCCAAACAGGAAGGCGCAGAGATGGGTGGCCTGGGTGCCTTAGCGATTTAAAGATATTGGAATTTGGTGATTTCAAGAATTTGAGGAATTGAAGAATTTGAAGAATTGAAGAATTTGAAGGATTGAACAATTGGACCGGTTTTATTTGGCTCTGCTCTGTTTCTTGTTTACGGAATGTGGGCTCATGGACCCAACGGACTGCGTCTACTGTAGGCTGCCTAATCGCACAGACTCTCGCTTCGGAAGCGACGGTAAGGAGGGGCAATCCAGAGCAATGAAAGTGGATTATAAAGTTTTTTGGGTTTTAATTGAACACTTCTTTAGAATTTGAAGTTTTTTGTTTTTTTCTTTTTTCATGTTGAATGGGGTTTGTTTTGATTCACGGTTGTGTGGCCTGATTCAGTCGTTTCGCAGCCATTCTGGAGCGTTGGCCTACAGTGGGTTATCTGAGACACCTCAATGAAAACCACTGCCTTATAAATTTTATTGAATTGAGAGCGAAGGTTTCATTTTACGAGAAAGTTTGTATTAAGAATCACTTTCATCAAATCTTTTAAATGGATCTGGTGGCCGCTGAAGAGGTCTGCAGATCTCGCGTTGACGATGGTGGATTGTTTGAGTAGCGGCTTTGATTGGTGGAGGTGACGAAAAGCCATGGTGAGCCATTGAGCACACAGCCATGATCCGAGCTCGGAGAGCTGGAAGGGGGCGATTTATGACTTTCTTGAAACTTGAGTAAAAATGGAAAGGGCAATTGGGGACGTTGGGGTGTGGATGGTGCAGGTTTTCAGCTACCCATCTTCAGTAAATCGACTGAGCAGTTGAAAACTTGGAGTTTCAGGTATTCTACTTGGGATAGAGATTTGGCGAGCTTGTAGTTGGATTTTAATACTTTTTTTTCATTTGGAAATGAAGCAGCTGTTGAGAATGGTAACTGATACCTCGGTGTACATCCTCTGTAGCGTCTCAATGTTACCCACTTATTGCCCCCACTTGATATTGCCCACTTGATATTGCCACTTTTGTTAACGCTGAGCAAATTTTTAGATGGTTAAAACAAAAAGTCGACGTTAATTTTCGATAACGAATAAGCTAATGTCAACTTGAGGGATAATGCTCATTGGTCAAGCTGTAACTACCCATATGCGTGAATTTGTCATTTCCGCTAATGGCAAATAAACATCACGTCGTGAATCAATGTTTAATGAATAGGACTCTCCGTCGGTCAATGGAGTAGATACTTCAAGGGTTGAACAATACCACATCTACATTCAGCATTTCAGTAAAAGGCCATAACTCTGCAGTCAGTAGCTTGACACGATACAGTTGACGACAAGGAAACTCCTAAGGTTGGGAGCTACAGCAAATGCATGACTTCAAAACCAAATTGATCATTACCCTTCACAGATTGCACTACTCGAACTTCCTAATACTCTTTCAATTTCCAGAATTTCTCTGCAATTACATAAAGCCTCCAATCCCTACCTCTGAGGAATCAATAGAATCATGGAAGAAGCATTGGACTTGGAAGCCCAGAATCCTGGGCCCGATGTGGATAAAAAACCCAAGGCCATTAATGTGCTTGTTGATAGAACAATAACTGGGGTTGAGAGATTCGGAAGAGCTATAAGAAACAAATTTGCGGCGTGGAAAATCCCTTTATTTCTTTACCAGGCATGGTTGGCCTTCTTCATTATTTATAGTTGTATGACTATGTTCAGCACAAAATTGGGTGTCGTGACATATAAGTACGATAGCTCGCTTAGCTTGAAGATGAATCAGGCGGTGAATTCTTTAGAACTAGCGATGGAGGGCTCAACTAAAAATTTGTCCAGCATGCTACCACAACAATGGCCTAACGGATTATACATGGTAGGACATTTTGCTGTTTGCAGAAAAAACCAAAATTCCAAGAAGGTCTGCTACAGAGGCAAGAAACTCGAAGATCTAGTCCTCAAAGATATCGGCATCCAAATTGCCGAGTACAATGAAATGGAAGACCCGGCTGCATTTGGCGAAAGCTTCTTGGTAACGTATCGAGATGTACAACAGAATTTGAAGGAGGTGCTGTCAGTAAAAAAACACTGTCGCTACTTCGAAGAAAAGACAATTTGTGGGTTTGAAGGGCTTACGGCGGAGGAGTATTCTTACCTTCCTTCTACTAAAGCAGCAGAAAATCCACCATTCATTTGTCCTTATATCTATTTGGTGCTAGCTGCTTTGTCTTTCACTGCGTTATCTCTAACGTTGTGGGTTGAAGATGATGTTTTTGCAGGAATCGTTCTTGTTGTTAGCTCCAGCATCCAGGTATATTTTATATTACTATCTTTCCTCGAAGTACCGGATTGTTTTCATCAGAAGATGCTGTACTTCGTTGATGAATCTTGTGCATTGGCTCTCACCGTTTACTTTCTTGCACCACTTATACCAGTGATTTTGGGCTTTATCATGGCAATCTCAGTTAGTGCAAATACCCCTGACTAGATTTGGGATGGAGATTATTGGTAAATCTACAGATTCACATGCACACAGCAGTGATCAGTGACCTACCGGTTTTTTCAAGCATTGTGGGGGTTCAAGAAAAGATGATGCACAAAGGATTCAAAAAACGCTCCGTTTCCATATTGTTGTATTTGTCCTATAGGTTAAAGAGAGACAGCTTCAAGGGGCAACGGGGCTTCAGTTTTGTCTCAGAGAAGCACAATACCCGTGGATTCAGATTAATCACATTTGATACTCAAAATTGGAATCTCGGAAAAAGGGCTATAGGAAATCCAAAAGACGGCGTTACTGTAGCCACAGGGCCAATTTTATAACCATTTCCATATTAGCAATCACACTCTGTACAAAGTCCTCATTTGTTTTCTAAATCCTGTCATAAAGGTTCGAAATTCAGCTCCAAACCATTTTTCTTCTTGTTCAACATTTTCACCCAAACCATGAGAGAAGCGTCAAACCCAGAATTCCAGAATATACCATTCAACGAAGAATATGTTCCGGAACGTTTGAATTTCTTCAAAAGGCTTGTTTGTGGAACAAGGACTTTCTTTACAAGAGCTCCACAGATAAGTATCAGTTTAGACGCTCTTCATTTCATTTACCAGATATGTACACTTTTTTATTATGCGTTGCATGACAACGTAACCGTGGGACGAGTAAACAATGAGAGACTTTTCGCTATTTTAGGATTCTAGAACTCGTGGTGAATACTAACATCAAAACAGAAACCTTCTAAAACCTTTTGACGAAGATATAAGGTGAATAAGCTTGAACAAATTTTACCTGTCTATATTATCAGAGTGTAGCTCCAGAAGCAGAATCACATTATTCGGGATTTTTGTCGTCATGGAAGCAAGTTGAGAATATTTCTAAATGTATGTTGAATGTTTATTGATGCAGTGGTGTATCACCTCTTCTGAGACATCGCTCGTTGGTATATGCGCACTTGAAGAGCACTAGGTCAAGCTGCAGAGGAGCTATTTCCTATACGATCATCACATTTACTTCTTGAGCATTGACTCCTCCCTCATCAATTCTTCAAAACGTCCAATCGACTCAAGTCTTCATTGTGAGGAAAAGCATATTAGAGGCCACTACGGGAACCACACTAGCTATCACACTCATCCAGCGAGCATCTTCCTTCTACAGACGCTTTGTTCTGTATACTTAATGGCAATTGGCAACTGGCTATTGGTCGATTCCCCACAGCCAATCTTGGCCACCCGGAGCATACCTTAACCACACAATTCCGATTTTTAGAATCCATGCGAGAACCTTTTTCGAGCGGAATAGCGGAAATCGCTATGGTCTTTTCGCAGCCACTACTGCAGTGACAGCCTGGTGCATCAGACGAGACTAAGGTGGTACGACAGGCATCGAGCATCACAGAAGCATCACAAAAGCATCAAAAAAGCATTTTATCAACAAGTTATCATACTAAGGTAAAAAGTAGCAATTCATTTTCCTTATCGAACGGCGTGTTGAACGACTTTGCTTCTCCCCTCCTTCATCGATTTCGCAGCCATTGAGTCCACCACCCCAGACCCAACCCTCCACAAATCTTCCATTCCAAACACAAAACACAAAACACAAAACACAAAACAAAAAACGACTCTTTCCAATCACAACTCCCAAAAACAATCTCTCATAGCTCGTTTGTGCAACCTTCACCAGACGGCGTTTCAACACGCCCAATGCGGAAGGCTGCCGCGGAATTAGCACCCAGACAGTGGAAGAACACAAGTATACTGGCGAAAAAGTCGACTTTCTTCGAAAAAAAAACGAAGTCAAATCAGAGTCAGCACTCCCCGAGCCCAATGTATGGCTTTCCAAATTTCCCTCTCCGGTCTGACTCTTCCCCGTTCTGACTCCCTTTATCAACTACTCTTTCCGCGGTGTCGGCAGATGCCGCCACGGAATTCTCCAACCACATATAAAGAGGCCAGGTCCAGCAGCTTTGCAAACCACAAAATGCCTGAGGTCTACAGCGAGGAAAAATTCAAGAAAGAGATTGTCTCCAACTACGTCAATGTCATTGGCGACCAGCTTGGCGGGAAAGTGTTGAGCTTTTCCGATGAGTTCTTTGCTGCTGCTGCCAACATGATCAAATCCACCCCCGTGGTTTTTGACCCCACCAAGTTCGTCCACTCCGGTAAGTGGTTCGACGGCTGGGAAACAAGAAGACACAACACCGAGGAGGCTGACTGGGTCATCTTCAAGGGAGGTGTCAGTTCTGCTACCATTGTGGGATGTGAGGTGGATACTGCCAACTTCACCGGTAACGCTGCTCCTTTCATCTCTGTTGAAGGCATCCGTTCCGAAACCGACAACGTCGGCCCCGACTCCAAGTGGGAGGACATCATCTCCAAGGTGGAGTGCCAGCCTTGCTCGAAACACTTCTTTGTTCGTCCATGCGGTCCCACCAAGGAGAACTACACCCACTTCAGATTGAGAATGTACCCGGACGGCGGAATTGCCCGTTTCCGCTTGTACGGCACGGTGATCCCCATCTTGCCCAAGGACCCTAAGGCTGTGATCGACCTGGCGCTGGTTCGTAACGGTGGTGTGGCTGTTAAGGTTTCGGACGAGTGCTTTTCTTCTGCTGACAACCTTCTTTTGCCTGGCAGAGGCGAGCACATGGGAGACGGCTGGGAAACTAAGCGTTCTCGCGGTGCTGGCCATGTGGACTGGGCCATGATCAAGTTGGGTGCTGTCACCACTGTCCAGGAGGTTCTTGTGGACACTGCCCACTTCAGAGGAAACTTCCCTCAGAAGATCAACGTCAAGGGCTACAAGGCTCCTGAGGGCACCGCTGCCTCTCCAGACAGCTTGCCCGCTTTTGACCTGGACAAGTGGGAGACCATTGTCAGCGACAGCAAGACTGGTCCACACGAGGAGTTCAAGTTCAAGGCCGAGGCTGCCGGGCCATACTCGCATGTCATGTTGACCATGATCCCCGACGGCGGTGTGAAGAGATTGAGGATTTTCGGCACCGTCGCCTAGGTCCTCGACCTGGGTACCTAGGTGGACCTGGCGTCTAGCGCAGCCAGCCCTAGAGCCACGAACCTCGGGCACCGCCCATGCATAGCTAGCATTAAAAAAAAAAAAAATAAAAAAAAAAAAAGAACAAAATGGATGGATGTAGTTGGTGGGGGTGATTTGCAGCCATTGCGTGGGGCAGTGTGGTGCTAAGGGGAAGAGGAGTCCAGGGTCGATATTGTTCAGATCCGGTCAGTGCAATTGATCTTTTGTAGGGTGAGTTAGTAAAATCGGCGGTTTGGTTTATTTGGACGATACCTGGGGTTTAAGTGTGATGGTGATGTAATGTGATGGTGATGTAATGTGATGGTGATGTAATGGAATGGGTATGATATTTGCAAATCATCATTCTTGGTAAAGCCGAGCCATCTCAATATTGGCGATAAATAACAACAATTGACTTCTGGGGATTATCTGGGATGAAGTGACCTTGATCTAAGGGCTACTATATGGATCTCGTACTGGGTAAACGGTATGAAAACATTGATATTCAAATGGTGCAACTTGTCCGATAATGCAAAGAAAACAGATCTTGGCCTTTGGAAGTTACTTGTCAGTATACGCCATTTGGTCAACCTTCCCATAGTGTTGCCAATTATTCCAATGAGCATTAGGCTACTGATCTCTACCCCAGACTTCTGAACATAGACTTCTGAACCACCAGTACAACCACTGACAGAAATCTTCCGTAAATCGTCTCAAACGCCCAAATTCATCATCACCACCTAAAAACTATGTTCATGTCCTCTCCAAAACCCACATTTTGCACCCATCCAAACCTCATCGTAAGCTTCGCGCTCATCTCAACTCCACATTTCAAACGATGCCTTCGCTTATAGCAGCATTGCGGCTGCGGGCTCTAATAAAGGAGGTTTTCGCCGAGCCGGAACTTCTAAAAACGGCACCTTCCGGCGAAGTCGTGGCTATTCTTGAAGAAATCGCCGAAACCAACCCGTACTACGCCAGAACCTTCCTTGGAGAATACGTCGACTGGCTTGAAGCGAATCCGGAGGACGAAGAGGGCGACGAAAGCGAGGAAAACAGGTCCGAAGAGAAGAGAAATAAGTCTGATGAAGCCGTGGCTGCACTCGGTGAATTGACTTTGAAGAACGCAGATGGTGACGAAAAAGATGGTACTGAGAGTCCGGAGGATCTGACAAAAACTCACCAAAAACATACCAACTCAATCACACCATCATCCACCAAACACATCCTGAAAACAGACCCATACGAGCTTCTTTGCTCGCTTCTTTCTGCTAAACCACTAACCCCAACTACCCCAGATCTACTACAGTATCCAATTGACAGCTCCACTTGGGTTTCAATCCAAGAAACGCCTCGTGTCATTTCCGGTCAGGGAACCACGGGAGCTCGAACATGGAATGCTGCTCTTCTACTAGCGCTTCTTCTCAATACGGAATCTCGATTTGAGGGTGCTTTCAAGGGTTCTACTATTCTCGAATTGGGCGCTGGAACGGGCCTTGTTTCAGCTGCTCTAGCAAAAAAGTGGTCTCAGCATAACCCCAAGAAAATTATCATAACCGATGGAGACGCTGGGGTTGTCGAGAAGCTCCCTCTTACAGTTGAGCTCAACGGTGTGGGATCCCACAATATCGAGTGTGTTCAGTATCTCTGGGGCGAAACGCAGCTAGATGAGAAAGTTGATGTTGTGCTAGGTGCTGATATCGTCTACGATCCAAGCGTGTTGGGAATCTTGCTTGATACCTTGGCAGGTTTCTTCGATGCTGGTGCCCAGTACGCTATAATATCCAGAAGCGACAGAAACCCAGAAACAACGAGACAGTGGGAAGAAAAGTGTGATGAGAGGTTTGAAAGAGAAGTCACAAGGGTGGAGGATCCGGTGAAGTCGACGTTGCCGTGTTGGTTCCACTCAGGAGCCAATGATATCACCGTAGAGATCATCAGGGCGAGAAGGTGAAGGTGTGAGATAGTTAATGTCGGGATTTTGAGAATTTGAGACCTTATAGAGACGTTGGCGTAACTGGGTATTGGTATAGGAAGAGTATAGACAGGTGTACTAAGTGGTTAGGTTAGTGACATTTAGGCTATATGTTGTAGTTGGTGAATGACAATTGAGTACAGCTCCCGGTATACGAATAGCATATTGGTTCCAAACATTCCCGAGTTTCTCAAAAAGCATCAAATCCTATAATCTGATACAATTCATTCTAGAATGTCAATTTTGCTGGCCTCATACTCTGCCATAGTAATGGCTGCAAAACACCGCGGTGGAGGTTCCCAACGAGTATTGCCAACTCCCCGTCCCCTTTGAAAAAACTATAAATTCAACGCGATTCCCGCCTTAGCAAAAAATCAAAAATTTATATCCCCCTTTTTTGCCCCCCAAAAGTCCCCCTTCTCCCATCCGGCCTAGGTGGTGCCCAGGTCGGTGTGCCTTTTCTGCAGAGCAGCCGTCTCATTGGCCAGCACCAGTGCGCACCAAAGAGCGGTTTTTCAAACCAACTTTCAACATTACCACCATCTATCCACCATGCTCCCAAGATTCAACACTCCTGTTTTGAAGTACTACTGGCCTTTTGCCGCCGGAGGTATGTTCCAGAAGAGAGTGTCAGTGAAGGTTTGAAATGCTGATTGAGTTGCTGAGATTCGTGTCCACGGTCCGGCAAACACCTATCCTTGTGAAGTTTGCCAATGCCCTTGAATTGACTTAATTGACGTGGTACTAGAGAGAATTTGACTCTTGTTTATTGGAGTTTTAGTTTCCGAGAAGAATTCATCCGTTGTCGACGTTCCGAGTCTCCCATTCCGTTCGATTGAATCCAAAGCACAATAAGCCCCAAAGATAGACTCAACACGTTGTTCCAACACGTCACATCCATGAACCTCCTATTTCCCAAATTTGGCCACCTCAATCAAGCACCAATGCTCCCTGACCAATTCCCTATCCCCCACCAAACCATACTAACAAACAGCTGCTATCACCTACGGATTGATCTGGAAGGCTGCCGGCGCCATGCAAGACACTGACGAGTTCATCAACGACCCTCGTCACCCTAGATTTGCCAACGGTGGCAAGTTCATTGACTTGGAGAAGAAGGTTTAGATACGTTTCACGTTCACCAGCCAAAATAACGAATACACATAAAGCAGAGGAGGATGTAGGGGTGCTGGGCACTACTTCAATTGCTATAGTAGCCGTCTTGATAAATATCGTAGTGAAATTGGCAAAGAAGGGCTTTCAATGATTTTGCATGTTGATGATATGGATATGACAACGGAGGCCCAACCCTAAATCACCATATTCAGTTCTCAACCAAACAAACACTCCAAGCCAGAAGCAAAAGAAATGTCTTGTTTTAGAGATGCTACGATAAAACTTTGTTGACGTTGTTAATGTGGTGATGTTTTAGGCGCTCATTCGAAACGTAATATGATATCTCGAATGCCACTTACTGTAGTCCTCCAAACGAGTCAAATTACAATCTTTTAAATTCTCCATCAAATTCGTCCCAACCCTGGTTCAACGAGTTAAGCTTGCTAGTTTGTATTTTATCAAACAGTCCAAACAGACCCAAATTGACCCAACTCATCAACCCACTCGTATGTCTACACGTATCTACCAAAATTGATCCGTTGGACGCACAGAAGTATCAATCTATAATCATATTTCCGTTTTCGTTTCCTTTATTGTGAGCGAGATCCAGCTCCATTGTAGAGCAGAAGCCACAGAGAGTATACCAGCTGTGGCAACACACATCCAGCGTACAAAACCGTTACTGGAATTTAAAACGAATTTTTTTTAAAGCATCTAAATAAAAAAATGAACCGCCTTTGCCTGCCCATCGCAACTCCGAAGCACGTTTTTCAACGAATCTGAAAAATCCATACTGTGGCTCAACATGCTCATCGGACCACTTGCGAAGTAGCTACAGCATCTCACATTCTAAGTCTCTATCCATTACTTGTACCACATTCTAGTCTCTATCCATTATTCGTATCACATTTTAGTCTCTATCCATTATTCGTATCACATTCTAGTCTCTATCCATCACTAGTACACTCTACAGCCTCTATCCATTATTCGTATCATTATCCATTTATCCTAATCCTAATCCTAACCCTCCAAACCTGTGCAGCGCACTCTATAAAATTCCATCAAGCCAGCTCAACGGGGTGTCACCGACACCAACCACTTTCTGTAGTTCAGCTGGATGATGCCATTGCTGCGTTCCACGGGCTCCAGCCGCGGGGTTTCAAAGCCGTAGGCGTGCAGAGCCAGCTGGGGAAGCTGGAACGTGTAGTTCAGTCCGTTGCATGGCAGCAGGGGCAGATGGGCATGGAGGCAAAAAGCACATTCGTACATGAGGCCCTCGGAAGGGGTGCCTGGGGTCTCGTCGATCCAGTCGGGCTCGTTGGCCTCGAGCACTGGAGAGTCCTGGTACTGTGGGTTCCACTCCGACTCGATATCGAGGTCTGTGTAGTCGACAAAGTCTCTTGGCTGGTCGACACTATACATTGTGGTGTTGTAGTGTTGTGATCCTGAGCGTATTGTGGTGGTTCTCGAGACTCGACGAGGGATTTGCTCGGAACGGTGAAGTGTGAAGCTGGAAGAGCTTGGAGTATGACTCAAGGTCTGTCGAGAAGCAGTCCTGTTAACTGCTTGTTGGTGTTGGTAGCTGGTAGCTGGGTGGTAGCTGGGTGGTAGCGGTATAAGTCAATGCCGATACCGGTGGTTTCAAATAAAAAGAAGTGGTCTGTTGGTCGCCTTCGTCTGTCAAATCCAGGTTGGGATCTCAGAAGAGTGAAAATTTCTGGCTGAGAAATGATCCGGGGTCGGGCCTTTATATGTCCGCGAGGTGCTGTTACGCAACAATGAGCAAGTTCAAGCAACCACACCGGGACGCCGCACCCACAGTCCACAGTTAACCCTGCCACCACCACAGCCGAGTCTGGATTCCGTGGTCCAGGCACTTGTGGCAATTCTCCAGAGACTTTTTGAATTGCCTCTTTAATTCTATAGAAACGTAGCAGGTAGAGGTGGTGACGAGCCGGCACGTGGTTCGGACCTCGGACAATGCTGTCAGTGGATGCGTAACCACCATAAGAGCGGTGCTACGGAGGGTGGCGGAACTGGGCGAATGTGGGCCAAATTTTCTCAAAAAAAAGGATTCCCGCCGAAAGTGGGCCCGCAGAACACGTTTCTACAATTTGTTTTTTAAAATTACGATTTGTTGTGCTGGTTTGGTGCACCCCCCGGTGCGTGAGTCATGGCTGCAAACGAGCGCACAGGCCGTTTCGGCCTCACTTGACTCACTGTCACCACGCTTTGCGCTTCCACATGCCACAATGCACCACAGGGACCCCCAAGCGAACAGAACCCAAACACTGGAATGTGGCGGCCCAACACCACGAGATTTAGAATTCAGAGGAAAACGTAGAAACGAGCTAATTCTGGAAAACCGAAATCCATCGAAATCCATCGAAATCCATCCAAATGCATCCAAATGCATCCAAACCCTGTGTCGCAGGCCTCGCACCGATCGGTCGCAGACCATCCAGAACGACTCAGTCTCCGTGTCGGTCTAAAACCATACTCAGGAACAAAGCCCACAACACAAGTCAACAAACTACCAAGCATCCAAAAATAAAAAAGTCCATCAACGGCAAATCCCCAAAATCATCCCACAAAACTCTAATCCCCATCGTCTGCTTATGCCTGCCGCCTGCTGCCCAAAATGCTACACCATGCGATGTTGGGACCCTGGCTGCAAATGGAAATTCTCACTTGGTCCACGACATGCCCCTATGAGCAAATGTCTGTTGTTACATTACCGAATAACGTGACTGCCACTGCCAATTAACGTAACCGATTTACTGCCGATTTACACTGCCGATTTACATTTATTTTGCCCCTGTGGATCCGTTCTGCCGACCCTACTTTAGCCTGCTCTTCCATGGACTAGCCTGGACCAAAAGCTTACTCTGCTGCTTTCTGCTTTTTCTGTTTTCTGCTTTCTGCTTTCTGCTTTCTGCTTTTTTCTTTCTACCCTTGCTTCTTCCGCTTCCAGACTCAACCGCCTCGCCAGGTCATACGCCTTGGCGGAGCAAATTGGCTATTTGCTCGCTTCCTTCCTTCTATGTTTAGCATCTATTTGCTCGCCGAGTCCGACCACCGACAAATAAACTTTGGCTCTCGTATTTCGATTTCCAGAACTGGCAACGGCTTTCAGACAGCCTGAGACAGTCTTCTTCGAATTCTACACTCTTCAAATTTCATTCTTCAATTTTTTTCATTTTCCATTTTCCATTTTTCATATCCTTCCTCCACCCACCCGGGGCGGCATTTCGCAGCCATTGAGCTTTTCTCGAGGGTCCCCGGACTTTTCCCTCCGCATCAGGCAATACATCTACACCCCTTCGGAGCTTTCGTTCTGGACTCGGGAAAATGCCTGTTTTCGCTAAGCTCCCGTGCCTAGGGTCCAGATCCCACCGCCTCGCTGGTGTACGGGTGTTCCTTCCCGTCACAGCCAGGCATGCGGCTTTCCATGTGGTCCGATGGTCTCAGGCGTGACCAAGAAGCTCTTCTTTAGAAAGATATTGTTGGTAGCACCACCAGGACGGCCAGAGAGGGTGTTTTGTGGTTTTCACGTGACATGTCACGTGCGCAAACCTCCCACCTGCACACCAAACAACACCTCTTGATCTCCTCCATATTCTCCTCCAACTCCAATGACCATCTACGCCTTCTACATCTTCGACAGACACTGCAGTTGTATATACTCACGTGAGTACTCCCATGCGGCTCAAAATACATCCAGCACGTCGTCTTCTCAGCTTCCACCATCCTCAGGTTCGTCCAACCTAGGATCGGTGAACAAGAACAATAACTCAGACACAGCCAAACTTCTATTTGGTTTGATCCATTCGTTGAAAAACCTTTCCTCGAAATTGGCCACGCAAGATACTCCAAATCTTTTGAGATCCTTCAGCACGGGCGCCTACAGAGTGCATTTCCTTGAATCACTTACCAACTACAAGTTCGTGTTGCTTTCAGACCTAGACACCGAGGATCTCCAGCCGGAGCTCTGGAATTTGTATTCTTCTGTTTTTGTAAAGACCGTGGTCCGCAATGCCTTGAGTCCGGTGGAGTTTGGCGAAAACAGAATCAGCAATGCTTCCTTCATTCAGCAGTCTGACACGTACCTCCAGGCTCTCCCTGTGTTCCATTAAACGATGAAAACCTTCTTAGTGCTGCTTGTTTAATGCTGCTTGCTCAATGTTGCTTGTTTTGTGGGTCGTCTGCCACAACGTCTGACTCACCACGGCGACATTAGTTGATCATGGTTCGTTTTCACGAAACTGCGGTGTTCGCCACCAAGTCTCTGTGTGGTTTCGCCACCACGTCTGGTCTGTGGTGTTCGGAGCCACAGGGTCTAGGATCTCGGACTTGCTATCACTGGCTGTGAGACATGCCACAATAAGGCAAACACATCCAGCAACCGGTGAAATGCCACAGCGATGATAGCCAGCCACAAGGACTCAAACCGCTTTTTATTTCGATTTGTCTGTTGCCTTGTTTTCCTTTTTTTTTTTTTTTTTTTTTGCTGTCTCACCCTGAGCAAGACCGTGGCTGGGTGCCTCAATCTGTCATGTCCCGTTGTGGCTCGTATAGATCTTGCGTCCACAGAAGGAATTGCACGCAAGCTTTTACTTCCCGTTTCGTGCTTAAAACCGCGTTGCAGATGCACCATCGTGGGGTGACAGAATACAGAATCGTTCACTGTGGCGAGTCCTCCCACCACAGCCCTAGCATCCCTTGAGATCAGGTGAAAGTTTGAGATTGATGTGGACTGGCTAACATAGTCAAAATGCGCGTGGAGACATACATGTGCGATTGTTTAAGGTTACCTCAATACTGTTGCTTCAATTCATCAAAAACACTACAATACGCTGCTTTCGAGATGCGTTAGGGTTGATGCCATCAAAACGATTGGACGTCTTGCCAAAGCAAAGTCTGCCATGCATAAACGAATTCCGTTCCATTGCATTGTACGATCGTACGGTTTTCAACGGAACAGCAGAAAAGCGCAAATACGTCAGATGCTTGCATAACAATCTGATCCCTCAACTGGCCCTTTAATGTGCAACAAACTTAAGTTCACATTAAAATTCCCTTGGGGTACTCCCCCATATACTACTTCATAAGCACTCGCCACATCTGAGACATTTGATTCCTCGGGAGAACCGCGGTTGATAGTCTTTGATTTTGCGCTTTTGCGAGAGCGATCTAAACGAGAGATTGCATCAACGGTAACTGCAGCACTGCCATGACGTTGAAGGACAAGAAATCTGTCATGAGGCTGACGTTTAAATTACCGCTTTAGCTCGGAAAGCCGAAAATTCGTTCCATCTTGTCGGGATGTCCGCTCTTTTGCAGCCGTTTGATCTCGATAATCAGTGAAAACCCGTACCTCCCGCCGAAATATAGTTGGTTTCGGCCCGCTCATTGTGAGATGTACGGGTGCGCTTCGAACGGCGTTGCAGGGTTTAAGGTCCAAGAACGAAGATTGTTAGTACTAACACGTTCCGCATCTTCGTATCGCCAATACGAGTACTTGCCACTCCTTTTGGCTTTAAATAGCCTGCGATCGCTCCTTTGTGTTGCAATAATCTTTCTTTGACATCCGCTCAACTCATCATATCACATGGTCAAGTTTGATCCAAGACCACCAACCCTCGCTTCGGGCCTCCAAGAGCTTGTCCTAAATGCTACCATCTGCCTCGGGCAGTTCTTGTCTCAGGGCTCGATCACAATGTCCCTAAGTACAATGAATTCCATTTCAGAGTCGTTTTCCAAACTTCGTGGTGAGGAGATGCCTCAGTCTCAACAAGTCTGGTTTATGGGTTCGTATGCATTGACCTTGGGTACTTTCATTTTGGTCTCTGGACGGTTGGGAGATCTCTTTGGGCTTAAGAAGATATTCATAATTGGCTGGTTCTGGGCAACCTTGTGGTGCCTAATAACTGGTATCTCCTATTACTCGCATTCCTCGGAGTTTTTCATTGTTTGTCGTGCATTCCAAGGTATTGGGTTTGCCTTGATTCTACCCTGTGGTATGGGTATTCTTGGAACGGTTTACCCCAATGGAAAGCGTAAGAACATGGCCTTTGGTTGTGTTGGTGCTGCAGCTCCAGCAGGTGCTACCATTGGTTGTCTTATGGCCGGTGTAGTGGCTCAAACATGGTGGTGGCCATGGGCATTTTGGCTTCTCAGCATAACGTGTTTCATCCTTGGGTGTCTCGCTCTTTACGCAATCCAGAAGGCTTTGAGCATAAGCAGCCTACGTTGAAAGAGGCTTTCGAGAAGTTTGATCTCGTTGGCTCAGCGCTAGGAATCGTGGGGCTCATTTTGTTTAATTTTGTTTGGAACCAGGGCCCTGTGGATGGCTGGCTGTCGGCATACATCATTGTGCTTTTGGTCGTCAGCGTGTTGCTCATAGTGTTCTTCTTTTTCTACGAGCTTCGCATGGCCAAGTACCCACTCTTACCGCGGGGAATCTTCACATACCGAGTCGGTCTTGTCCTTTCGTGCATGGGTTTTGGATGGGGTCTGTTTGGTGTCTGGCAATACTACTACTGGAGTTTCATGTTGAACTTGCGTGAATACACACCAATCAACACTGCACTTACTTACATGCCGCTTCTTGTGTTTGGTGTGGTGGCGGCTCTTATCGTTGGTTTCTTCATCTCCAAGAGAAATGCTCCATATATTATTTTCCTAGCCATGGTTGGTTTTATGTGCGGTGTGATCTTCCTCAGCATTCTCCCCATTGACCAATCCTTTTGGCGTCTTTCATTTGGCCAAATGTTCTTGCTAACATGGGGCATGGATTTCTCCTTCCCTGCTGCATCGTTGATTTTGTCTGACTTTTTGCCAAAAGAGCACCAAGGTATGGCGGGCTCTTTGGTCAACACTGTCGTCAACTACTGTGTGTCTTTGTTTTTGGCTATGGGCAGCACTGTGGAGTTGGAAGTTTTGGGTAAAACCAATGATGTATTGAAAAGTTACCGAGCTGCTGCCTACTTTGGTACTGGCATAGCAGCCTTGGCGGTGATAATATCGGTCATTTTCATCCTCACGGAACACGGTAGTGAAGAGGTTCCTGAGTATCAAAGTGACGAAATGAAGGTTTCCAGCAGCAACGAATTTAACTAATAGATTTTATAGATTTTGGTTTAAGTGCCTCTTTCTGTACTGCATATGAACGATAACTCCAAGTCTCAACACACTAGTAGTAGGTGAGCCTCACAGAAACTTTCAACAAAGTGGGCGTGGAAAAACAATACTAGCGACCCAATCAATCCCCCAATCTGTACTTTACTGATAGATACAGGCTTGATTATCAGGCTTTTGGCTTTTTTCCGAAAAAATTCGAGCATTTGAAGCCTCAAAACCCTTCGTTTAAATAGCGCAGACCAAGAGGGTGAAGAAACCCCTGAATCCATCGAGAAACAAGCTTTTAGACCCTTGATTCTGAAACAAGAGGTCAAATTCACCATATAAATCGTTCTTGCATTAAAAATGTCTGCCACACAAACACAACAAATGGCTACACAGCTACAGGTGAAAGGAAACCAAAGATCTCAGCTTGAAGTGCTAATAAAGGACTTCCAAAACAAACTCGGGAAGGATTGGGAGAAGTATCATGAGCTGCTTACTCTCTATCTTGTTGGAAAGCTCTCTAGAAGTGAATTGGTCCTGATTGTGGGACCAATGTTGAAGAACGGTCTAATCAAATGGCACAACAAGTTTCTCTTGCTCAATTTCGCCAACTCGCTTCAGGACAGTCCGGTGGAGTTTCTGTCTGAGCTAGCGTCGTTCTGGAATAAGAAGAATCTGAAAACGAAGAACGTCAGGCTGACTCAGTATGAGAAGTTCAAACGCAATATCATGGGCTTGCCCTTGAAGGAGAGGCGAAGAATCAGGAGCATCACTAGAGATAGTGGAAAGAGAAACAAAATCAATGCGTCGATCACGCTCACAAGACAAGCTTTGTTGCCAAAGATTCCCATGATCCAAGACAAGGAACAGCAGCAGTTACAGGTTAACAATTTGGTGCAATGGCAACAGGATGTTGTGAACGGAATCAATGCTCCTTTGGCAGCTACGTGTTACGAGTTGCCCGATACAGATAACTTGTCAAGGAGGGTGTTGATGACAATGAGGGAGCATGGCTTGACTGGTGGTGTGAATACCCAGGTTCTTGAGATGATCAGTCTAGGTTTGGAGGCACACCTCAAAACAATCTTAGAAAACGCTATAGATGTCTCCAGATACAGAGAGCAGAAGTATAACTCCAATGACTTCCTACTGCCCAAAGACGATACCCCCGAAAATGGCAGCATGATCAATGGCCACAGCAGAGCGGAGTCCCTTTCAGGAATTGGAAGCCGCAAAAGAAATCATGACGACTCACTGCCCACAAAGAAGGAGACAGTGGTGTTGAACGTGGAGGACATGTACAATACTCTAGAAATGTTCCCTCATTTAGTGGAACCAAACGGCGCCAAGATCAGACTTTCGAATGTGATGTTACAAAATGACGACCAGGCTGCTGACACGAAGCCTCATTACGACCTCAAGGAACGCCCTGCCGAGGTCGATACAGCAATAATATCAAATGGTGCCGTTAAAGACAAGAAAGCTCTCACAGTCGATAAGGCTGCACATTCCGAGAATGGCCTGCAAAAGCCTCCACAAACGCCGCTGACTCAGAGCCAGAGCCAGAATGGGGAAAATACTGGCAGTGCTGATGAGCTCAAGTGGCTTGTGCACGATCTTATCTCGGCGATGTGAGCATTAAGTTAGTGTATATACTAAGAACGAGCAATGCTTGATAGAAGTATCAACGTATCTGGAGCGGTATTGTCAAACTCACAGACATACAGGCTCCTTGTGTGGGTTTGAACATGACTGAAAAACTGAGTCTCTGCTTGTGTGGACTTGAGGTTGATTGTCTGTGCCTGGCTTGCGATGTCTTTCTGGGTAAGATCCACAATTGAGAAATGATTGACGAAAGCTTTCTTTGCCTTTTCATTCACCGCTTGGATCAGAAACAAAAATACCACTGATGAACCAGGCTGCTGTTGAAGCTTCTGCACGGCATTCTTGACATCCGAGGCACAAGAAAGCTGTATTCTTTTGCCTGTCGTTTCAATCAACTTCCCACGCTCATACACGAGCTTACATTCGTTCAGAGAGTCAAACCCATCACGAGTCGTTTCCCCTTCTATGCTGGTGCATTGTATGGAGAGCGTAAACGTCCAGCCCTTGGCCTTAAGCTTGTCCTGGCCTCTTTGCAAGTACGCAAAACCATCCAACAACCGCAGCTGGATGTCCTGCTGTTCAGAACCCACGAATGTAATCGTCACGTTGTGCTGGGTTAACGCCCTTTGCACGAACGGTTCCCATTGTATTAAAAACAGATCGTCGTCGCGGTGAAAGATCTTGCTGAACCGATACAGACGGTCGGCGACAGTTAATATTCTCTCTTCATCAATTGAAACATTCAAACCAGCTGGCACTCTCACGTAGCTTCTCGGGAGCGGATCGAAACTCATAATAGCGTCCTCGAGTGTTCTGTGCACAGACAAGTAGTTTTCGTATTTGGCTCTGGCAGACTCATACTGCTCTCTCTCTTTTCGAATGTTCTCAATCCATGAAACTGCATCCTTATCTAACGAGGCGAGCTCGGCCCGTTTCTGATGAAGAGTCTCTTCTAAGTGCTCAGTGGAAGCCTCGGCACTAGTGGAAGACTCCTTGAACGCCTTGATCTCCTTCCGTATGCTCTCCAACTCAGCTTCTTTCTCCTCGGTCTGTTTCGTCAAAGCCTCCAATTCCGCTTCAAGTTCGGCCAAATGGGCCTGTTTTTTCTCGTTCTCCAGCCGAAGAGCCGCTAGCTCCAGCTTGTTCGACTCAATCTCTTTCCTGATAGCCTCGTCCCGCTCGTTGGATACCTCCTCCAAACGGCTTTCCAACTCCGCCTTCTTCTTCAGTAGCCCCTCAATCTCATTGATCGCCTCTGTGTCCTCAAAATTGGCCGAGTCCATGATCTCGCTTCGTAGCTGAAATTGCTGCTTGTTGAACTCGTCCTCGAGTCTGTTCTGCATCTCCTTGAGCAGAAGCTCCGCTGTCAGTTCCTCGTGCTGGATCCTCAGCGTTATGTTATTCCCTTTCAGCTCGAACCTCGACTCCAAGTGCCTTAACCTAAACCTGGCGTCCAGGGCCTGTTTCTCCAAAATCCGGTACATCCTCCGTTTCTCCTGGAATTCCGCCTCCAACTGGTCCAACAGCGCCTGAGACAGCCGTAGTTCTCTATCTAGCATTCTCTTATCATTCTGTAGCTCCTCGGTATCGAACTTCTCCTCCTTTGGCGGTTTCCACTTCTCAAGCCCCAGAATCTTCAGTTTTGCGTTCAAACTTTCCTTAACCGCCACGAGCGAGTGGTAGCTTCTGTGTTTGCTGACTGGGATGTTTGTGGTTTTCAGGTGCATATCAGCCAATGAGTTGATCGCCAGCAGCCTCGACGGCGGAGGATCGGGAATGTTCAGTTCTGAGCTCGAAGGCATATCCCCAACGCTGACCATATCAAAACCAAGCAGCTTTCGCCGTTTATGTGGCAGATCGAGGTTACTGATCTTTGACAAGTGCCGTCTGGGCAGCATGTTTGGAATTGGATTTGGATGTGAAACTGGTGTGAAGGTGTTTTGGCTTTTTGAACAGTAAACGGTTTCAGCAGCGTTTCAGCTTGGTTTAGTGTAGAGGCTGTTTCGTGGAAGAGTGGAGTGGTTGATGGTGTTTGTAAACATGGGCCCTGCAGAGTGGCCCAATTGCAGCACAGTGGGTAGTTGAGGAGGAGGAAAAGAGGTGGATGGATTTTGGGATTTTTCGAAGGTTTCGTTTGGTTTTTCGTTTATTTTATAAATAAAGAGGAGGAGGAGGTTTTCAGGAATAAGAAGGCCGTTGGCGGTGCATGTATTGGTAGCTGAATAGGTGAGTCTAAATGGCTGCGAAATGTGGATGTATCAGCCTGGGGTACCACGAAGCTTGAATTTTGATATTCTATGGATTACATTTTTCAATCATTTGTGCCTCGAAACGTTGTTTCTGTTGTTTAGTGCAGAACTTCATGTCTAGACCGTTTCGTTGAGGTGAAATTCAACTAGTTTCAGAGCTGTCTCAGCAATGCTTCAGATTCCAGAGTACCAGAAATGCTCCACAACTTTAACACCGAACCATTCAAAACCCTAAAACAGTAACCTCCCCATCCTACACTCATTCTATTCGCTTGTGAATTCGCTGTATATACAAGCTTAGCCAGCACGCCCGATGTGGTTGCAATATGTACAAGGGGACAAAGTCCGTATGCTGTGCCGAGGCGCTCGGCGGTGAAGCCCGCTTCCATGGGGTCGTGGGGGCATTTTTCCTAGTGTATCTTGTGAAACTGATGAACAGTTTGGGAGTCCATGGATGGCGATTGAACAGGGACGGTAGTCAGTTAACTGGAGTATGACGAGGCCATGACGAGAGGCTGTTTCTCCAACCGGTAAGAGTGATCCGAAGGATCAGCCAAAACAAACATCCAAGGGATTTCTGCAAAACGGCGATGATCCGTCCAATGGCCATCCTATGGCCATCCAATAGCTCATCCAATGGCCATCTCAAACGGTGGCTCCACAACTGCTATGTTACATAGGGGTCTCCTGGATAACCGAGGCCGGTGATGCTTAAAAGCCCGTTGTCCACTGGACCCCAACCACCTCCTGCGACTTTCTTCTCGGAAACCGTCTCGCTCCGATCCGTCTAGTTAAAGTCCTTCAGCTGGAGGTTTCTCGTCATTGCAGGCAAGGCGACCCGGATCCCGTCCAACTCCTTGGACATCTTCACCTGGCAGCCCAAACGAGACGTCTCGGTCAAGCCAAAGGCCAAATCCAACATGTCGTTTTCGTCGTCATCAGGCTCTGGAATCTCATCGTAAAAGTCAGGATCCACAATTACATGGCACGTCGAACAGGCACACGAGCCACCGCAGGCACCTTCCATATCGAGTCCATGTGCCTGTGCAATATCCAAAAGGTTGTCGCCTTCTGCAACCTCGAAGGTCTGCTGTCCTCCGTCTTTGGTGATAAAGGTAACATGGAGTTCTTCACCAGGCTTGGGTTTGTGAAGGTGGCCGTGCATTTTGGGGACGGAAATCTGGAAATTCCGGAATGCAGGCACGGCCGGCCGCCGCCAGACCACAGGCGTCCGAAGAAGTCTGAACATTGTGTGTTTTGTGGAGTGGTGATGAGGAATTTTTCGACTTATGAGAGCTGAGGAATAGTAAGCCTCCTGCAGGAAGAACAGGTGATAAGGCTCCGGGAGGCACTGGTGGGTTGATTTTGGTGATCTGGTGATTTGGGTGGAAGAGAGGAGTTGTTAGTTTGATTGTTTGGAGGAGGTTGTTTTTGGTTATGTGGTTGGTAGGGTTTCTGGAGAAGTCACGGATTGGTCAGCAGAGTCAGCGGCACGGTGCAGTTCCGGTGATCCAGCCAGCCAATGGTGAAATTTTTAGAACTCTTTTGATTTTTGAAGAATTCAAGAAGTTTTATGGATTTGATGGTTTCGTGTTTTGGCTGGTTTCGACCGAGGATCTGGTGGTGCTTACAAATAGATGTGTTCTGAGTCACCCTCATAGACGAGTCATGGTCAGCACAGGCATATGTATGGAGCGATTTGGATGATTTTTGGAATTTGGAATCTTTGAGGATGGAGAATTCTTTGGAATGGAGCGGTTTGTGGTTTTTTCGGGATTTCGATTTTTAGGACATCTTGATAGTTTGCGGTTTTTAGCTGGGTACTGTCATACACGTAAAAAGCTAGGAATGGCTGCGAAACGTAACCTCATTAACTAAGTGTAAGAAACATTACGACTTAAACATCACACAAGTTTATACGAAATTAAAGTAAGAGAAGTAACATGCCTATATGATACTTGAAGTAAGCGAAGATAACCGAGATAAGCGCCCCACACCGCATGTTCTTTGCATGGAATCGTACGATATATGACGAATTCCCAATTCTTATCTATACTTTACACCATCGCATAAGCCACAAATTACTCGTATTCTCATGTATCAAACGAAACCTGTCACCGTATACTTGAAATATCAAAATACCTTGGCAACCCACTCTCCTCCCCACCTCCTACAATCCAACTTCTCATCATCACATTATCTAGAATAGTCACTACCGTCCCTCCAGCACTACCAGAACTTGCTGGCAAGCACCAAGAATATTAGAATGATCAACACGGCGATGATCGCATAAGAAATGAACTTGTTGGCCACAAGACGCCTGCCCATCAGCTTCAACGTCGCCACGGAACGGTCCACGTAGTTGTCGGCCGTCAGCAACGTGCTTCTGGCGTTCGTGATCTGCTCTCTCTGTGCCCTGAGGTCATTAAGTATATTGCCACCGATACCTTCTGTCTCAAGCGCCACACGCTGGGACTCCCGGAGCCTCTGCAGCGAGCGGTCCAACGACGCATTGTTGCTGAGCAACTGCTTTCTCTGTGACCCTTCCTCTTCGTTATCGGTGTACCTGCTGCCAAAAAGCTCCAGTCTGTCCTCTTCGTCCAAAAGCTCCTTGAGCTTCTGCTTGTTGGCCTCAACTTCGCTTCTGTACTTGCGGACCTTGGCATTGTAGCTCAGTCTCTGATTGGCTGGCAAACTCTGGATTTCGAGGTTCATCTGGTCCAAAATCTCTAGGGCTTCGTCTGTGGCGTGTTCAATCGACTGAAGGGCATCTTTGCGCAGACCAGCGCTGCTCAGCTGGACCAGGCCGATCTTGGCCTTTGCTTCTTGAAGTGCAAGTTGGAAATCAGACTCGTATGTCTCGAATAAATCAGACATGGTTGTTGTAGAAACAGTGAGGTGTTTCTTGCGGTTGATATGGGGTCAGGCGCTGGGCACGTGACGAGGCAGGCAAAGGAAGTTTTGGGGCACCATTTCGGAGGAAAATACATTATTTTAGCTTAAAAGGAGGCTCTTATTAAAAGAGTTTTCAAAAGGTTGTTTATAGTACGCTTTTTGGGTTCATTGGGGGAGTGGAGTGTGGAAAATTGTGGATACACCTTCCTCTACGGAATTGAGCATGTACAGTGATTGTCGATGGTTTGGAGCATTTAAATAGGGGAAACCTCTCCTAGCCTTATGAAATTATTCATGTAATGGCCTACATTTCAGTGTGTTTCAAAGACTTTGAAGTTTGTAAATTTCGGGTTCTTTGCTTCTTCTCCGATGCACTAAGCCATCAGCAAAAGCAACGAAAAGATCGGTTTATAAATAAATTCAAAAATTCTTGAAGTTTAATCCCCCTTATCTACTCCCATAGGTATTGCCGTTTTTATCTTGCTATTTATGTAGGTGAATTGAAGTGGACCCTCAGTGTCTGGTCTCAAACTCCTCGCCCTCATCCTCATCAGTACGGTTCTTGTACTTGTGGAAGGCGGCCTTGATCTGGCTGACCAAGGTATCGTCGAAACGGGAGTCAACAGAGGACCGAGACACAGAGGGTGTCAAGCCGTACTCATCCAACTCGGCGGTCACATTCTTCAAGCCGCTCTCCAAAGTAGGAACTTCCTTTTCAGCATCAAGCTCCTCATCTCCACCAAGATCCAACGAGTTGATGGTCAAGTTGAGCAAGGACTTTCCAGACTTTCTTCTCACAAGTCTCGATGGGAATGGGCCGACCTTTGGAGTGTATGTCTTGATCAATTCATCCTCCTCACTCTCCTTGGTGGGTTCGTCTTGGTCAAACGAGTGGATAGAGTTACGTCTTTCTGGTTTAGGCGTTCTAGGCGTCTTTGGAGCTCTGCAAGTGACACCGTTGTCATGGATCCACTTGGCAACCACGGCGGTCCAGCCACACTGGTGAGAAGCACCCAAACCACGGCCTGTGTCACCATCGAAGTACTCGTAGAAGGGCACGTATTCGTTGAAGTGGGGATCGTGGTCCATCAAATCATTGCCACCGTTACAAGCACGGACTCCGTTGTTGTCGGGAAGGAACAAATGCATCAAACGGTGCTGGATCTCTTGGGCACATTGAGCCAAGTTCAAGTACTCACCTGAGCCCTTAGGACATTCGACCTTCAACTCAGAACCGTAGTACAAGTAGAATCTTTGCAAGGATTCCACAAGAAGGAAGTTGACTGGGAACCAGATAGGACCTCTCCAGTTGGAGTTACCACCGAACATTCCGGAGTCGGACTCACCGGGAAGATACTTGACTTCGTATCTCTGACCGTGAACGTCCAACTCGAATGGGTGCTCTTCGTGGTACTTGGACAACGAACGAATACCGAACTCAGACAAGAACTCGTTTTCGTCCAACATTTTCTCCAAAATATCCACCAATCTCTCCTTGTTGACCAAGGCCAAAAGCAAACGCTCACCAACACCACGATGGGTCATAGAAGCAATGTTTCTCTCGGCGATAGCACGTCTGTGCTCAATGAACCAGTCCAAACGCTTCTTGAACGAGGGGAACTTGTTCAACAACTCGGGTTCCAAGGTCAAAGAAGCATACAATGGAATTAAACCGACCAAGGATCTGACTGGCAAAGACTGGGTATGAGAATCGAAATGGATGGCGTCATAGTAGAACTTGTCGTTTTCGTCCCACAATGACTGCTCAGTGGGCTGCTGATCGGCCTTTGTGGCACCTCTGTACGACATGGCATCAGCGATCAACAAGAAGTGCTCAAAGAACTTGGATGCAATGTTTTCGTAAACTGGGCGGGTCTTGGCCAATTCCAAAGCAATGTTCAACATCTGCAAACAGTAGAACGCCATCCAGCCTGTGGAGTCGGACTGCTGCAAAGTACCACCGGTGGGCAAAGGTTCAGAACGGTTGAAAACACCAATGTTGTCAAGACCCAAGAAACCACCCTCGAAAAGGTTGTTTCCGTTGAAGTCCTTTCTGTTGACCCACCAGGTGAAGTTAAGCAACAATTTCTGGAACACTCCCTCCAAGAAATCCAAGTCCTCCACACCGTACATCTTTCTTTCGATCTTGAACACTCTGTAGGTAGCCCAGGCGTGGACTGGAGGGTTGACATCACTGAAATTCCACTCATAGGCTGGCAACTGACCGTTGGGATGCATGTACCACTCTCTGGTCAAAAGCTCCAACTGCTTTTTGGCGAATTCAGGGTCGATCATGGCGAATGGAATGCAGTGGAAAGCGGTGTCCCAGGCTGCAAAGAAGGGATACTCCCATTTGTCCGGCAAAGAGAGCACGTCGTCAATGTACAAGTGCTTCCAGTCCTTGTTTCTGCCATTGGCTCTGTTTTCGGGCGGTGGAGGTGTATTAGGGTCACCACTGGACCAGTAGCTGTGGACGAAATGGTAGAACTGCTTAGTCCACAACAAACCAGCAAAAGCCTGACGTTGAACCTGACGCAAGTCGTCGGTGATAGGCAAGGGAGAGACCTTCCAGTAGAAAGCGTCGGCCTCGTCCTGTCTTCTCTCAAAGACATTGTCAAACTCTACTTCATCGATGTCGCCACGTTTGTCAGTAAGCTTGTAACGGATGGTCACGTAGTCGCCAGCAGGCACGCCGCCGTCCTCGTTGAAGGAAAACAAAGCACAGGCCTTGGTTCCGACGTTTTCCGGGTTGACGGCCTTTTCGTCCTTCTGCACCACGTAGTCGTGGAAAGCGTCCTTGACGTAGTCCACCTCGTTGGGCTGGTCGTAGAGACGCTTGTGGTTGGTTTCGTTCTCGGTGAAAAGCAACTTTGGCTCCACGTCAGGCAGATTCTCGGTCAAACCAGGAGCAGGCGCAAACACCAAGTATCTCTTGCCGAACTTGGGGTGGTCCACCTCGATGGTGTAGTTGTCGATCTGCTTCAACGTGGGCTTTCCATGCAAGGACTCCTCTGTGCCCCAGGCCCAGTAGTTACGCAAAACAAGGTGGGGCAAGATGTGCAAAGGAGCAGCATCAGGGCCTCTGTTGTAGGCGGTGATTCTGAACAAAAGCTCCTCGGGGTCCTCGTCGGCCTTGGCCAGCTCGTACACCACGTCAAAGTAGCGCTGCTCGTCGAAAATGCCCGTGTCGGTGATTTCGTACTCGTGTTCCAAACGGCTACGTTTCCCGTTCTCCTCAACCAACTTGTCATAGGGAAACTCGGCCTGCGGGTACTTGTACAACATCTTCGAGTACGAGTGGGTGGGCGTGTTGTCAAGGTACCAGTACAACTCCTTCACGTCCTCACCGTGGTTACCCTGGGAGTTGGTGACACCGAAAAGCTTCTCCTTCAAGATATGGTCCTTCTCGTTCCAAAGTGCCAACAGCAAGTTGACCAACTGTCTGGTATCACAAAAACCACACAAGCCGTCTTCTCCCCAACGGTAGGTTCTCAGGCGGGACGTGTCAAACAGGAAATCGTCCCAGGCCAGTCCAGAAGCTGAGTAGTCCTCTCTGACAGTGGCCCATTGTCTTTCACTAAGATAAGTGCCCCATCGTTTGTAGTATTGATCTCTTTTTTTGTTTTCAAAAAGACGGCGCTCCTCGGCGGTGAGGGCGTCCAAAACGTCGCTCATTGACTTTTTTTGACTAAAAGAAAAGGTGGTTTGAGTTGGTGATATACGTGGTGGACTCCTGCAGAATTGTCTTAGTTGCTGCGGCAGGGAGGTGCTTCCTTTCAGGGATGAATAGCCTATGGAAAGTGGGTTCGGGGGTTTCGGAAAAGAAGGAGTTGGTTTTGGAATTGGGATATTTTTGGGAAAATCGGTTTGGTTTTTCCGTTCGGGCTCTGGATCGTCGTTGGCACCGACGCACCCCACGGAGTCCCCCAAAGTCACCCCCACTTTGCAGCCAATGGAGGGGCACGTTGCCCCGCCGATCAATATATAAGAGGGAGGTTCGCTACTTCTTTGGATTCTTTTTTTTTTGGGTTTTTTGGAGTTTGCCTAAATTTTTAGATCGGCGTCGCCATATCAGCGGCCTTGCTGGCGCCCGATGCACGGCGGCTAGATGATATACGAGGAGGAGGTGGACGGTGTAGATGGGTCAGGTTTGGCCGATGGTGGGGGATGGAGAAATTGAGGATTTGGGATTGTGAGTTTGGGGAATTTAGAGGGATGCTGTGTGTGGTTTTGATGGGGTGGCAGAACTGAGCGGTGGAGGGTGGTGTCAGGAGGGACTACCAGTTAGATCTTTGTGAGGTTGTGATAGCGGATCAGTAAGTGGTTAAAATGTCTCTTATGGTGGCCAAAACTAAAATTAGGTGGTTTACTTCGGTCTGTTTCAATGGTGATTTGGTGAAATCGAAGGGTGGGTTCTCAGGTCCAGCGTGCCAGTGAGCATTGAAAGCAGATTATGGGATCTAATGGGCTACTGAAAGGTGTTTCAGGCGATGTTGAGAGCTTATTACGTTCCAGCCATAGAACTAGCGAACCCCTTCGAATCCTTTCCTGAGCGAAAAAAATTGCCTCCTTGGTCTATGCTTTGGCCAGAATTGCGGATAATCTAAAGTGAAGAGCTTGATCTTTACATGGAATAGTAAGTCCCTTCCGAATTCCTTCTAAATGGCTTCAATATACCAATCCTGCTGGTCAGAGGTTGAAATCTTTTCGGTAACATTCATCATCGCCATTATCGTGGAAACTTTAGCCTACATCTTCAAAGCCCCTCACTATTGGAACTGTACTATAAATATACTGAACCAACAGACTCCCATCAGAAATCAAGATCCGGACATCATCATCATTACATCCCACTGTATCTGCAACCTATGCAATCTTGAAGCATCCTCTACCCAAAAGATTTACTGAAGTATTCAGAACGCACCCTTTCATGAGCTCAATCCTTCTCCATGTTCTACCACACTTATCACCATTCCTTTACACTGCCAAGAACAGCTTCTCCACAACAAGAGATTCTCTGCATGATTTCCAAAAACACAATTCCAGGGCCCCTCATGATGCCCCGCTCAAGGTCACTCTCAAACCGACACAAATACCAAAATACCGTAGGGTCTTGTTAATCTACGAATGCCCGCAGATTGGGACTGGTCACTTCTTCAAATCGGCATTGTTGCCAAATTTGGCAACACCCACAAGATGCTTACAAATTTTCAGTTTTGTGGCATGTAGGTCATTTAAACTTTTCAAACACTATCCTTAAACTATTAACTCTAATTGGGTGAGCAGTGCACTGCTCGGTCCGGATAAACTACTGCCCGATGAAGAGTGCCCGAGAATGGTTCCGCCCCGCATTTCTTTTTCTGTCACCGGATAAAGCTGCAACGGCGCTCGTTTCTTTTCCGATGCGCCCCCACAGGAACCATTTTCGGAGTCTACCCCGGACTGGGTATATAAACAGGCGATTTCTCCCAATTTCTCTTGTGTAGATTGCTCATCAACATGACTCTTTCTGACGCCATTTACAACACCATCATCAAGCCAGACCACGAGGAGACCTCTGTTCCTGCCAAGGCTCCTTCTCTTAAGGGGACTGTGGTGGATAGATTTCTTTTGAACGGTAAAGTCACAGTTATCACTGGAGCTGCTGGCTCCATTGGTGGAGCTATTGCTGAGGGTTTTGCCCAGGCTGGTTCTCATGTGGTGATTATGGATTACAAGCACGATCCTAGTCTCGATGCTCACTTGAGAGACACTTACGGAATCAAGGCTCAGTCTTACCAGGTTGACGTGACCAAGTACGAGGCCGTTGAAGAGGTGGTCAACCAGATCAAGGAGGATTTCGGCACCATCGACGTGTTTATCGCCAATGCCGGTGTTGCTTGGCAAACAGGCTCTATCCTCAATGACGAGTCCACGCTTGATTCCTGGAAAAAGGTGTTTGACGTCAACGTTCACGGTGTTTTCAACTGTGCCAAGACGGTCGGCAAGATCTTCAAAGAAAAGGGCCAGGGCTCCTTCATCATGACCGCCTCGATGAGCGGACACGTTGTGAACGTTCCAAACTACCAGACCGGCTACAATGCCTCCAAGGCTGCTGTGGTGCAGATGGCCAAATCTTTGGCTGTCGAGTTTGCCGGTTTTGCTCGTGTGAACAGTGTTTCGCCAGGCTACACTGACACGCCGATGTCGTCTTTCGTTCCTACTAAGCAGAGAGCCAAATGGTGGGGTCTTACGCCTGAGGGTAGAGAAGCTTTGCCAGAAGAGTTGGTCGGCGCTTACCTCTATTTGGCAAGCGACCTTTCTACATTCACCACTGGCTCGGACATTCGTGTTGATGGTGGCTACACATGTGTGTAGGTTATGAAAAGAGCCGGACTCCCATTACGCTCAGGGGTCCAGGCATTGCATGATAATAGATATGGTGTTTCAATGAACATTTAATAGTGAGGAGCTGTAGACTCATTGGAATTGAGTGATTCGATAGGATGAAGACGGTTGTATTCGATACAGTATGTTGGCTGCAAAATGGTTGCGATAGAGTAACTAGGCTACAACTTGTACAAGCCACCCGAAACAAAAAAAAAAATTAAAGCTTCAAAAGGTTGACTACCTCAATGGTACATTCAACCCATGAAAATCCAAAAAAATAGTGACTCCGGCGTGATTCGAACACGCGCATCTTACGATAACAGAACTTGAGTCTGCCGCCTTAGACCGCTCGGCCACAGAGCCATTACTGAATATAATGCTGCGGCGGCTGTATATAGTGCAGCATTACAGCATTGAAAGAGTATATGCAGGACCCTTCAAATATGGTGAAGAAAGTGAAATTTTAAAAACTGATGTAAATTGTGAGGTCGTTTGAGGCCTGGCTCTTGTCCTTCAATCCAAAGTGAAGGCATGGAATATGTGAGACTCATGGGAAACATCCGGAAGAAGGATCCTGACTTTGCTGACAAGATACTTGACACAAATAACGAGAAAACGGACAAAGAGATCACGGAAGAGGCTACAAAATTGTTCTTCCAAACAAAAAGGCTCACTCCCAAGGTACTCACAGAACTCTCTGACGTGGAAAGAGGTACAAACGCAGTTACGACACTCGGTATGCTCAACGTAGCGACCGAATACTACAAAGATTTGTACTCTTTGCCGGCACTAGGAGATTCGGAGAGCATTTATCTCATCCACAAAAAAGTTACTTGCAAATTGACCGAGTCAGATCGAGACAACCTCAATGAAAAGTTCACTGTAAAAGAACTACACATTGCACTCAGTACAGCCGATAAAGCGACTGCTCCTGGCCCTGATGGGCTTCAGTATGAAGTTTTACACCAGTACTGGGATAGCCTAGGCCCAATTCTAACTCGGACCGCCAACGACATGATGAAAACAGGAACACTTCCAAAATGTTTTGAGCCTGTCGAAATTACTTTGATTCCAAAAAGGGACAAACAATCGTCAGTAGATTTCAAGGATCTCAGGCCCATATCGTTATCGAATACGGCACTCAAAGTTATATCACTTGCTGTCTGTAATCGTTTACAACAGTACAGAGATAAACTTATAGGCCCGTACCAGAGAGGGTTCATGAGAAACAGACATATCTCTCAAAATACAATGGAGTTCAATACAATGATGCAAGGTTTGTTAAAAGCACCTCCAGACGACCCATACTGCGCGGTTTTGATGGCAGATTTTACGAAGGCCTTTGACCGTATCTCCCACAGGTACCTAATAAAGGTAATAGCACGTATGGGGATCAAAGGAGGAATTTTCAAAATACTCAAGCTGATACTCACTCAACAGTACGCACGCATCCAGATCAACAATTGCAGGGGCCCGCGGTTTCCATTGTTAAGGGGAACCCGTCAAGGTAACCCTCTCTCGCCCATCCTCTTCAACATCGCTTTAGAACCTTTGTTCTACCAGTTGGAAGAATTGAGAGGCATTGATGTGACGTACAACAACATTTTGATTCACACGATGAAATATCATGCTTTTGCCGACGATGCCAACATCTACCTAAGTGATGAAGAAGACTATATCACTGCGTTCAATGCTCTATATGACTATGAACAAGCCAGCAACAGCAGAGTGAGCATAGAAAAGTCAAAGCTTCTTGGAGTGAGGAAAGATTTCAAGAAACTAGAGCAGGATATTCTCCCGTTCGAACAGCTTTTCCTCGGGGCGTCGTCAATGAAATATTTGGGATTGAACCTAGTCCGAGATAATTGGGCGAAATTTACGTCCTACCTTCCTTTCATGACGCACAAACAGGGATTCTCCAAGCTAGACTTGATAAGCAAAGCTCAAGGAACAAACACCTTCATATGCTCAAAAACAGTATACAGAGATCTTGTTCACCCGTTGGCAGATAACAAATTGTTTGCCCTTGATAAGGCCATTCAAAAAACATTTCGCCATGTGGGAGAAAGAAATCTTTATGCGAGACCAAAAAATGGAGGATATGGCTTGATTCACCTAGGAACTCAACTCTTGGGACATAGAGCCAAAGTGCTAAAAAGAGTGGAAGATGATGAGGGGTGGTATGGCAAATACCTTAGGGTAAAGATCGTGTTTCACCTCAATCGTCTCGATATTGGAAAAAAGAAGATCAGGAACTCACAACTCAGGGACTTTGATCCATATACGTTTCTCTATGACAAGACCAACGCATCATACAAGAAACTTGAGTGGACCTTCACAAAAACGGAGATCCAATATATTAGGGCATGGTTGGCGCTTGTTCCGAGACATAGAACACCGAGGGAGCCATTGTTTGGAGAGCTCCGTGAGGATCAACTTCAGAGTTTGGGGGAAAGAGAACCGGTGCCTAGGGACATTCCGGATGCGGTAAGGCGTATGGACTTTAAAGGTGTACACAAATCCTTTCAAGAGAAGTTGCCGTGTATTAAACCAGGCAATTTCTTAAAGATCTGCCCTCAAGCTAATGAGGACAAGAGGTGGAAGAAGTTTTGGAGAGACCTTTATCATCTAGAATGGACGCGTCGTATTGATCTTACAGCGATCCATCTATTTAATCATGGGTCCTACGTTCCTACGTTTGATCGAAAGCCACAAGATGAACCCGTCAGTGTAATGTGCAACCTTTGTTGTGATTCAGTGAGGGAGGATGCTATTCAGATACATCTTTACCAAGAGTGTGAATGCACAAAATACTGGTGGCATGAGCTAGGATTTCTGGTGCCTATGCATTTAAACTCAATGCTAGCTCCAGCTGACACGACATTCAAGAATTTGAGACGTCTTAATTGGTTTGTTAAAATCGTAAGATACACGTACTGGTCTAAGGAGAGAGTTTCAGAACTCCAGGGCGAACCACATAATCCCCTTCTGCCCCAACAATTGAAAAGGGCAATGAATTCAGTTTCGCCGAAGGTCGATGACATAATATGATTTGAAAAACCAGCAAAGATACATTGTCGCTCGCTATCCACCCCAACTAACAAGAACAAGGTGTGAAGTCATAGCCACTCTGGTATCTGGTAACTTGAGAGAAGGTTTTTACTATATAATTTCGGTTAATAGCTTTTAAAGCTGAGGAGTAGGTGAGTGAGACACCGATCCCGAAGCGATCTTTGATCAACGGCTTCAGCAAAAAAAAAAAAAAAGAACGCAATAACTGAGCATTGAAGGCCATCAAGGAAGCGAACCAATTGAACAGGCTGCTTTGTTATCCCACTTTTCCAACTGATCGTTTCCAGAAGCGGCTTTCCGTATGAGAGCCAAGATAGGGTCATTTCAAGCCACACTGGGAAGCCTACAAATGAAGCGAGTAATACCCAAAAGGATCTCAAACTTCCAAACTCACAATCACCGAAGCAGCTACGTGCAGCAGCAGTTTAGCCCACCCATTTCGGCACACACAAGTCAAACAAGCCGGTCCTACCAGCCGGTCCCACCAGCGGTCCCACAAAATTCCATTTCTGGTCACCAAATCTCAAAAATCCATGCTTCTCTAAGAACTCTCTGTGCATTTCATCACACTGTTATTGCCAAAAACGCAAGTCCCACCATAAGTTGGTCTGCCTGGATCATTCATGACTGTGCATATCCAGGGCTTAGCCTCTGCCCGGTGCAGCTGCACATGACTCAACCAGTAGAACGTGCATGGGCCCGTTGGAGGTAACACTATAGTTGTACAAGGGGTGGAGATCAACACAAACGACCGAAGACAAAAGAAAAGGCCATTTGTTTTTCCCTCTTAAACAACGCTTTTCTCTCGTCTGCCACAAGTGCACGCTTCTGTCAAAGTGAGCCATGCAGATATTACGAGGCGGCTGCAGGTTGAGCAGGCTGTATCCACTCCGCCTGGATCTACAATTTCCATGATGCAATCGGACCCCGTACCGATGTATAGAAAATTCCGTCATATGCACGAAACTAGCTATCAGCCGTGCCGGTACCCATATAAGCTGGCCATATCGCTCGTTTACGGCCAGTCGCTCCTTCTATCCATTCCATGCGTCTTCAACCTCGTCTATTTTCCTCAGGGTTCCATGGCTCTTCTGGCTACCATGGCTCTTCTGGCTACCATGGCTCTTCTGGCTACCATGGCTCGTCTGGCAACAGCTCCGGAAGCTCGGGCCTTCCTATCGGTGCCTATATTGGAATTGCTGCCGGCATCATTGCTTTCATCGTTCTCGTTATTGCCTTGAGAGTGTGCATCGTCAGAAATCGAGCCCGGACCGAATTTCCTCAAAATCAATATGTTCCAGGCACCGTTGGATTGGGACCTGGAAACCCGTCTCAGCAGCACCCAGCTCCTCAAACTGCTGCTCCTCAAACGGCTGCTCCTGATTATCAACTGCCGACAGCTCCTTCTCCTACTTATAAGGATTCTCGTTATGATAGAACCTACAACATGGTGTAGCCGTGGTGGAAGAAATGGTGAATGGTGGGTAACGGCTCTGGACAGTCAGCCTGGCATATATCCTACTTAATAGAGCATACAGATATTCACCTGTAGATATGTCTTGTAAACAATCAGGCGAATGGGCTGGTTACCAAATTGTTGCTAGGATCCGATGATCGGCAAAATGGTTAAAAAGTTTGGCCACAGTTAAAGCTTAGTAACTGAATCAGAATGCCACGTTCCCGAATTACCCACTGAATAGAGCATACAATGATACACTTGTAACTTGGTGAATTTGCACTTAACAAGGGCCTTAGAGGTCTGTTGTTTCACATGTAAAAACTGTGGCATATGATGTCGGGAAGACTCTCACGAGTTCATTCATTCAGAGGAACAATTGCTTAGCGACTCAAGAGTCACAGATCTTAACAGCGATTGTATCTTTGAAGACATAGTTTTTTGCACTGATAAAGATATACCAGTCAAAGTGTGTGTAAATTAGAAGGCCACAAGTCAGGTATCCGAGCTGCTTCTTAGACCTGATGATCGGCAAAAGAATCTGAGATTTGGCTGAAGTGAATTATGGAACTCAATTGGCGTTTTAAATGTCACGCTAACGAGCACAGAATTGAGCATCTTCTGAGAGAGCACATTAAAGAATGGAATGAAGCTTTCTCTGATTGAAGAGAAATGTTCTTGGACCAGATGGAGCACATAAGCATATTTGAAGATTGCGAGGTAGAACAAGGTCAGTTTTACAGAGAGTTTCACAGTCCACCGCTCTTCTACATGTGCTAGCCTTTTCATTAGTAACTAAAAATCAAGGAACTGCTTTCTGTCTTGAGGCGTACAACATAGATCCATGCATGCCACATGAGCATGTCGTTACATCTATCACGGGTGAAACTATAATATCACTGAAGTTGGAAATAAAGCCTCTGGCCCAAGGATGATAATATCCGTAGCTTAATGAAAATAGCGTGGCTTCTCCATCTGTAACTCCATGCAAGCTACTGAGACAATTCAGGCCCACACACTCCGACTTCAGCTTCCATAATATCGACTGAAAATGCCGAAATACCGTCATTCTGCAGATGCAGCTCCAGCAGCCGAAACCATATAAACCGGCTATATTCCACGTTTTCTCCTTCATCACCATGCATCTCCACCATCGTCGATATTACTGGAGCTCCTACGATTACCCTAGCTACACTTCTTCTAGCTATAGCTCCAGCACTTTCGCTGACGGTAAAACACAGGGAATATTTATCGGATCCGTCGTGGGCGGCGTTCTTCTCATAGCTGTGGCAGGTTTTGTGGTATACTATTTCTACGAAAAGCTGAAGAAGAAAAAAGTACCTCGAACCCAGACTGTTCCGACTGGACTGACGCAACAGCCTAGAGATACTCGTGAAAGAATTACCCGACCAGATCCTCCAGCAGTGCTTGGTTACAATGAACCAACAGCGCCACCTCCTACTTATAAGGATTCACGGTACGACAGAGCATATATGGATCCAACTCCAGGAAATGATGTAATTTTGGTGGATGCAGATTCACGGGACAGAGCGATGGTACGGGCTCAGGTGTGACGACGGGCATTTACGATAATACAATTGAGTATTTAACTAGAATTAATGAGATATATGAGGTTTTGTAGGTTGGTGTAGGTGACGACGAGGACACAGGGTTATGTGAATTGAGGTGGAGGTCATCGAGTTTGATGATTTTTGTGAACTATTTCCCAATTTTAATGGTATATCCTGAAGGTTGAAAAGATTGAAAGAATGAGGGTAGAGCAACGGGGGTCTGTTTCGCCGTGGAATATTAATAGGGACAGTTCAAAAAGGCTTACAGTGACTGGTTTGCAATGTAGAGTCAGCGGGGTGATGTAAAATAATTCTATTGCAGCAAAACCACGAATGCCGTGTCAAGAAAAAAGGAAGGAAGCCATGTGAGTGGTTCTTCAAGAAGGGTAGCTCTTTGATATCAAATGGTGATGGGAACACTTCAGAACGATTGGTACGCTTTACACCGAGCGTGTCATGCTAGAACATAGATAAAGAAACTCCCCGCTACAGCTTCAAGAAGGACAATTGGTGGAATACGGTTTAAGAGGAAATTCACGGTTTCTCAGAGATCAGACAAGAGAAGCAATCTAGAGAACTTCCTGTAAACGTAAAAAGCAGATCACAACAAATTCTATCTATGTTCAAGTAATTGAGTGCTTCCAATTCTCTTAGTTTAAAAGTAAGGATGCGATACTTAAGTGTAATTCGTAATGACCATTGATGCATCCGAGCATCCTAACAGATGAGTTAAGATTGATGACTTCAAAATGTAACGATTGAAAAAAATGGTAAAGATGCATTCAGTGTGGCATTGAGTGAATGATAGGCCAGTTTGAGTTTATTGTTCATGAGCGGCAAAAGCATTGCTAAAAAGAGCCGAAATGAAATGCAGTGAAAGTGTCAGGTTGAGCTGAAGCTACATAGCACTAACCAAAACAATTCTGCTTCCAAATGAAGTACCTACAGTGGTCTTCAAGAAAGATTCAAAGAAACAGCCATTGAAGGAGAGTCCTCAAAGCTGCACACACCATCCATCAACTACCACTCCTCTATCACGAATTTGGCAACTTCGAAGCAGGCTGCGCATGCATGAGATCTTCATCTGAGCAGAGTTTGCCGTCGAGGAAACAAACACAATTTGCCATCGAGGAGGCGGAATGTTTTCTGCTATCCTCGTGAAAGTCCCACTTTATCAAGATCCCAAGTTACCAAAAGTCTTTTCCTCGTCACCTGCTTCTTGCCATTGACTGCTTTTTGCCAATTGACGTAATTCAATAAGCCAGCTTCAATTCGCCCCAAACCTAAAATCCCTTCGACGTCTTCCCCACACCAAGGTCTCCAAAAACGACAGCAGCGCCTCCATGGCTGGACCCTGTCAGAAAGCAAAACATGCATAATGGACGTTTACGAGGTCTCCCCTTCCTGCACTGGTCAGCATCTATTTTCACCAGGTTTCCACACCCGGCCGTTCTGGCACCAGCCCGCATGATGTCAAAAGCCTTTTGCCCGATTCGTCATGGATTTCGTCATTGAAGCTGTGTTTTTACGATATGCAAGTACCGCTGTAGGTGTCTGTCAGGATCATCCATGACAGCGCCATATCCAGTCCTAAGCCTCTACGCGGTGCGGCTGGCGGTGACACACCCAGGGGAATTGACGAATGTATTTTTGATGGATTAACGAGAGAGGTGGATTTATTAAAATAACAGAAGAATTGAAAGAATCTCTGAAAGTCACTTCTATCTTAAATTGTTCATCACCGTCAAAACGCACCACCAGCCGTGCACCAGGGGTACCATCACACACTCCGACTACGCCGCTGTTTTCTGTATTTGCCCGCCGAACTTCCGTGCTTGTGCCGATGCACGAACGATGATTCAGCCGTGCCAAAACGCCGTATATAAACCCCGAGGGTCCCGCCTTCTTGAACCGTAAAATGCATCTTCATTCTCGTTTATTCACTGCTGGGCTCTATGGAGCATCTTCAAGCTCAGGCCCAGGAATCTCGACAGGCGCCATTATAGGCATTGTTGCCGGTGCGGTTGCCGTGGTGCTTGTGATGATAATTGTCAGCGTGTCGCTTGTGAGGAAACGCAGCAGGCTAAATCAGCAAAATACGCCGCAGAAGTATCCGCCTAATCAGTATGTGCCGCAGACGATTACTACTCGCCGAGGAGTATTATATCAGCCACAGCCTGCTCCACATACGTGTGCTCCGGATTATCAGCCGCCGTCGGTTCCTCCTCCTACTTACAAGGAACGGGAAGATGGAACCCAGCTTGTTGCATAGCTAGGTTGAGGAAGGTTTTGGGAAATATAGGTAATATAGAGCAAACTGAGAGGGTGTAGCGTCGGGAAGTCCATGGATTAGATTTTGTAGGATGCTAGGTTTTGTTTCTCACTTCTTGTGTGGATTGGTACATGTCATGTATGTGTCTCAATGGCTGAAGGGATATCTACAGATAATATCAGTGTAACGCAAGCGATTCTGTGTTTTTTTCTGTGTTTACAGATTGCACGTTTCTGGAGTAAGAAGCGATATATCAATAGAAACACCCTTCATTAAGATCTTGGGTCATACTTCACTAGACCTCAAGTCGGTTTCTCTGCGTTAGCCAGACATGAACCGGCTGAATGCTGTGGAAAGTCTATTTCTATACATAGCTCCATCTATTGCCTTACACTCGCAAAATTGTCCTTGCTATTGGAATAAAACGGTGCAGTTGATTTTGGCTGTCAATTGTTTTTTCACCAATATCTCTTTATAAGAGTAAAAAAACTTAATCGCTATAGAAACAATCTCATTTCTTGTGTGAACTGACTGATAATTTATATGTCCCACAATGGCTGATGAGATATATACAGATAGTATTTTTTTTTAACTGATTTCTCTTTATTAGAGTAAAAAAGCTATATCTCTATAGAAACAACCTAGTATGAGCGTGCAACAAGCAATGGGTGCTTTAAAAAATGCCTTTTGTTGGAGTAGAAGACTATGTATCAATAGAATTCACTTCCAATAGGTTTTGGGTTATAATTCCCGAGACCTCAGGTCATTTTCTCTGACGTCAGCATCCAATCTGCTAAGCGCTGTAAGATTAGTGAGCTTTCTCTCCTTATACTGCCTTAAACTTGCAAGATTCTCTCTTCTGATTGGAATAAAATGGTGCATGGTGATTGTGGTTCTCATAAGGCGGTCCACTTCTGTGTGCCTAATGACAAAAACGAAGAAGAGAAAGCCAATAAGAAGATAGAGTCAATCAGAAGCATGAAATCACCGAAATGAAGGAATTACACACCGTTTTTTTGATGTGGACTCGTTGCAAAAAACTGTTTTTGGCCATAAATTGCTCAATTTTTGAGCTATGACGCTGAAAATTTGACAGCATGCCAATGTAAAGCCAAATATTACAAGAATGTACTCAAAATTGTCGGCTAGTCAACTTCAATGAGCTACCAGAATATATTACACCTAAAGGCCATTCCTTCATCTACGCGGTTTTAGCTCAGTTGGGAGAGCGTCAGACTGAAGATCTGGAGGTCCTGTGTTCGATCCACAGAAATCGCATTTTTTTTTGTGGCACTATTGTTTCGCACCAGAGTGGTTATAACCACCACAGTTGACGAATATATAAAGAGCATCGTCCGCCATTTTTTTATGAGTGTTTTTTTGGAAACCAGCAGGGGAAATTTGGTTCTCGACCTAGATAAAAAGAATGCCAGAAAGAAATTCTTGATCGTGGCATTGGCCCATTTGAACCACTGGATCTTATCTGATTTCGACTACGAAAAAGATGTCCTGTTGACTGGGCAACTTGCTGATGTTCCAGAAGCTGTTAAAGCTGAATTGGATAAAAAGGAGTTGGAGGATACGCCAGGCACAAAGGAGGAGCTGGCGCCACCCGGATCGGTGGAGTTTCTAGGCTCCGAAGATGGCTTCCAACTCCGTATCCTCTTGGACTCCAGGTCATCAAAAGACGTTGTTGGAAAGGTTGCAGAGGGCTTGGACGTTCTAGATAACGTCAACAAGCTGGACGGGAAGCTCAAGATCTTGCACACCCACGTGGTCTTTGATCCTTTCCTGTTGGACTTGAGCTCTTTGGGTCAGCGCAAAACGGAGACAGATTTCCTGGCTGAACAGATCAAGGAGCTCCTCAAGGCTTCAAGGGCCCCTGAAGACGATAAGGCGTCTGTGGAGGCGTTGGCGTTGGAGCTTTTGGGCGACCTTTCCCACTACAAGGTGAAACCATCACCTCAAACGCTATTTATTGCCAAGTTGAACCCGATAACTACAGAAAACTCGCTCGAAGTGATTTTCTCAAGGTTCGGCGCCGTCAAGAAAGCCAACATCATGAAGGGTAAGAAAACGCCGTATGCATTTGTGGAGTTTGAAAGTCAGGAGTCTGCTGAATCGGCTTATACTCAGCTTCACGACAACTGTACGATCGATGGCCACCAGGTCGTTGTTGATTTCTCCCAGTCCACCAGCCGTCCAGGCGACGTTGGTTTCAACGAGGACAATTTTGAGGAATGATATATCGAAAGGCTTTCCATGAGCAATGACCAAATATCCAAAGGAGGCATTACTGGTCTTTTGGACGCCCCAATAAGAAAAGAAAAAAAAAAAAAAAAAAGAAGATTTTCCTGATCGAACCGCTCGAATTCCATCTCGTCGTTGGCCTTGTTGGCGATGAGATGAAGAATTTTCCAAATTCCAAAATCCAAAATCTCCATCCACAAATCGAACAAACGAATCAAATACAATCCAAGACCATCCATAATCACAGAAAAAGCACCCTACAATGCAGCTACATCCACAGTTTACGATAAATAGGAGTTCGTGGTCATTAAAGGCATTAAACAACACGTCTTTTTTCCCCGCGGGCTTCACCCTCCTCCAAACTATCAAACACAAGCTTCTTAGTTGACAGAAACACAGTCCTTCGAGATGTGGCCGGTCTGACCACACTGGTAGCAGGCCTTGGCAAACTTGTCAGTGGCCAAGTTGCAGTCCTTGGAAATGTGGCCAGTCTTACCGCAAGAGTAACACTTGACAGAGCCGGCCTGGCAGTCCTTGGCAAAGTGGTTAGGACCGCCACACTTGTAACAGGTGGTGGCCTTACCCTGGTATCTGCCAGATCTTCTTGGAGCTGGAGCAGACTCAGCCTTTGGGCACTCTCTGGAGATGTGGCCAAACTCGGAACAAGTGTAACACTTGGAGCCCTGAGCAGCGTTAGGGCAGTCACCCTGAACGTGACCAACGTCACCGCAAGAGTAACACTGCTTGGAAGCGGTGGTCTTTGGTTCAGGACAAGCACCGGACTCGTGACCAGGCTGGCGGCAGTTGTAGCACAATCTCTCCTGCTGCTGGCAGTCGTCGGCGATGTGGCCGGTTTCACCGCATTTGTAACAAGCTCTTGGGAACATTTCTAAAGGTTGTTGGTTGAACTGAGTTGGTTGTTCGTGGTAGAAAATTTTTCCTGGCTGATGTGCGCACCAATGACCAGAGTTACACAAAAATCACGGGACCTGGGGTCTTGGTCAGGCAGAACGGGGGATTTGGAGATATGAGGATTTGTGAATTTTTGGAATGTTTGGTTGGAATGGGGAGGCTGGAATGTCTGATTGAGACAGATGGAATGGGTGGGGGATCTGGCTGAGTGGAGCGACATTGTGGACGAGCGACATAATGGCTGCAAACGGCCAGCCGGTAGCCCGAAATTCCGTTGGGTCCTAGGGAGAGTTCTAATCGATATTCTGGATTTATATTGAAAGCAGGATTTCAGGGTTGAACGAAAATAGAGGTTAAGTGGGGTACAGTGGGGGAGATACTGGTTAGGACCCTGAGCTCATCGCATACTGATGGAAATCGAAGTTCCACAGAAAGTGGCGTTGGAATAAAAGAAATAACGACAATACAAAGAAGTCGTCCTTTTCACTAGATTCACATTGAAAATTCTCGAGGAATTCTCGAGTTTTTGTGCTCATCGCATGGAGAAGATCTCATCGGTTCCATTGTGTGGAGAAACAAACAACGTAAACGAGGCCGCATAAAAACCCGTAAAATGCTAAAATACTGAAAACCATTGATTTTCTTAAAAAGTGCCAATTTTCCATATTCTTACTTTGTTCAATCCACACTTCAAAAATGTGGCTCCCTTTGTGATCCAGAGCCCTCGATGTCTAGCGGTAATTCAGAGCTACTAAAAGAAATGAACAATAGAAAACTCTAAACAATAGAGAATGGTCAAACAAGAGAACATGATCTTCAAAATCACACCAGAGTTCTTCAACAGTGCATTGAAATTGACAGTTCTTCCAACACAGGGTCAGCTGGTACGCCAAAAGTCTATCGATAAATATGCGGAACTAAACATCGTCTTTCCTCAAAAAATCCCCTTGTACACGGCATCAGCGGTCTTCACGGCCTGCTGAATATCCGCCACATCGTGGACTCGGACAATATCAGTGTTTTGCTGAACACAAGCCACGACTGTAGCAGCTGTAGGGATCATTCTGTCCAGCGCTTCCTTTCCAGAGATGGTTCCAAGGAAGCCCTTACGACTTGTGCCCACAAGAAGCGCCAAACCGTGGAATGACGTGTAGACGCCCAGGTTCAAGTCGTTTTGGGCATACTGTTTCAACGTTTTGGCTCTGCGCAACAAGGTCAAGTTTTGGCTGATGTTTTTGGCAAAACCGATGCCGGGATCGATGATAACCTGCCATTTCTTGACGCCGTGATCCATGGCTACGATTAGCTGAGCAGCCAATTCTCTGCAGACGCCGTTGACAACAGGCTCTGCCGCTGGAGCTTGGATCCCGTGATGCAGATCAATCTGATACTCCACAAGCAGATCGTCGCTGGGACCGTACTCCGTGAGCTTGCTCATTGTCTTTGGAGTGCCTCTGGTGTGGCTCATGACGTAGGCACAGCCGTACTTGGCGATAACCGAAAAGAGGTCTGGATCCAAGGTGCCCATGGAGATGTCGTTGATGATATCGGCGCCGGCCTGGAGAACGGCCTCGGCAACAGCAGCTCGGTACGTATCGACAGAAACAAAAATGTCGTCAAGCTCAGGAGCAGCTCTAATGGCTTCAACCACCGGAACAACCCTGGTAAGTTCTTCCTCAACAGAAGGCTCCAGGGAACCCGGACGGGTGGAAACGCCGCCAATATCGATAATAGTGGCACCTTCAGCCTTCTGCTTAAGCGCCGCTTCTACGATATCCTGCTTGGAAAGCTCAAAGTGCTTGCCTCCGTCACTAAACGAGTCTGGCGTGGCATTGAAGATTCCCATGATAAGCGTGGGTTTCTTGCTGTTGTGGCTGAAGGTGAGGTGTCTTTTGCCCGAGCCGGGAACCACCAGAAGAAGCTCCGACAGCTCCTGGACCAGCGGATCTGGCACGGTGGCCAAAAGTCTTCGAAGATGATCGTGAACAGGTTCGGCAGTGACCGGGTGAATGAAGTCGGGAGGAACCAACTCGCAGAGCGGCTGGAGCACAAACGTCCGTTCTAGCATCAGCTTGTGTGGGACCACGAGGTCTGGGGTGTTGATGGTGGAATCGCCGAAAAACACGATATCAAGGTCGATGGTTCTGGGCCCATTATCGAACTCCTTGCGCCGCTGGAGGTGCTCGTACTCGATCTTCTTGAGCGTCTTGAGGAGGTCATGGGGCGCCATGTTCTCGCAAACCACGCGGACCACGCCGTTGTAGAAATCAGCCTGGTCGGTGTGGTACATGGGTTTCAGAACGTACAACGACGAGGTCAGCTGGACGTGGATGCCCGGCTGGCGAGAAAGAAGGTCGAGGGCGTCCTTGATGTTTTCAAGCTGGTTGCCCTCGTTGGAGCCAAAGGCAATGTATGCTGTTTGACGAGGCAGAATGGGTTTTTCTTCCACAGGCAAATCGAAGCCCGTTTTCAGCGCCAACGCAAACAGAATGGGCTCCTCGTTGGCGAAATCGGCCCGTTCACACTGTGTAGAAACGCCCACGCCGTCTGTGTAAACAATGGCGTTCGGTTTGGTCACACGAACATGGACCGTTTCCACGTTGAACTGCTGACAGATCCACTGCAGCGTGCGTTTGACCAACGCCTCCACGGTCTTGAAATTGGCCTGCTCGAGGTACTCGTAGACGGAGGCGGAAACCGCCGGAACGTGCAAATCGCCGTTGGCCTCCATTTCAATGTCCAAGTCGACAAACTGGCGGTTTTCCCTTTCAAACGTAAACACGCCGATCAACGTCAACGCACGGAGCCCGTGGATCTTGTACACCTCCCTGGAGCCGTCGGTCACAAACGAAACAGGCGCCCGGATGTCCAACTTTGGTGCCGAAACAGAAACCTCGATTCCAGAGCATTTCAGTCTTTCCTCGTGTAGCGAGCCGTATAGCGCCCGTCCGAGCCCGCCAAGCGACCCAAAGTTCCGCTGGCGATGCAAGTCAGCGTACTTCAACAACTTCTCCAGAATGACAGCGTAGTTCAACGAAAAGGTCAAGTTGTCTCTTTCCAGCGCCTTGACAAAGTCGGTGCTGAAAACCGCATCCACGGAAACCGGGTGCGGCACCGGTCTCTTCCAGTGGTCGACGCCGACAATGGCCTGCGCCTGGAGCCCCGAAACATACACCTTGTCCATGCGGAGGCCGCGAGAGATGAGTGTTTTGAGAGTCACTTTTGATGAAGTGATGAGAATGCGCGGGTGGGGGTGTGGCTTTGGGTGAAGTGGGTTTGGGTGAAGTGGGTTTGGTGGGTTTTGGGGATTGACTTTGGGATTGACTTTGGGATTGACTTTGGGTTTCGTGGATGGGGCCTGGGTAGGGGACTGGGGTTTCCAGATTGTGGTTGGTGATGTATGTTGATCCTTTCGCAGCCATTTTTCAAGCAGTCAGACGTGAGGTATTTGAAGTGGCAGTTTGGCGGTTTTGGCAGTTTCGGCAGTTTTGGCATTTTTGGGATATTCCGATTTTGGATGAGTTGGGAATATTGGAGGCTTTTTTGGATTTGGTCATTGTGGAATAATTGTGGGTTTGAGTGGGTGGATGGCTTTGAGTGGGTGGATGGCTTTGAGTGGGTGGATGACTCGATTGAGGGATCTCAAGACAATTGAGAATTTGAGGTTTTGGATGGATGAGGGCTATTTATCTATGTAACTTGACAATTGAAATACTGTGGTGATGGTGGTTTTGGGGTCTGTGGACGGCTGAAAAATTATGTCTCAGAGTCAGACATGGGGTGGTGTTAGTCGAATCAGACGTCAATCGACGACTGAGGTTTGTCTAATTAAATGTTTATGAGTGTAATGTTATCGATGGTTGCTATGACCGTCGCTTTGAAGTCAATGTGATATTAGAAGTTTGGTACACTTACGATGCTAGTGGTCGACTGTCAATGTAGGTTTTCAGCGTTTGCTTTATGACTCGTTAAATCAACAAGGCAATTGATAGGTGGTTTCATCGAGTCTGATTGCCGCATGGCAAATCTACCTCCATCAAACTGTCCAATTTGCCAGAAGCCAAAAACAATTAATGTTATTCAGTGATGCATGGATTGGTCGTGCAGCACGAAATGAACTTATAGCATTGGAATTATAAAAAAGGCTATTTTTTTCGGAGAGTAAGTTCGAGTTTCGGAAGTACACGCTGGTCAGCGGTTGACACTGATATCACCATCGCAGGTGACTGGACTATGGAGTCATGAGGTTCTCTTTGAAGTTTGGCTAGTGGTAGTTTGGACTCTGGGAGCCTATTAGATTTCTTGATTTAGCTCTATAAAATTGAATGACTAGTCGTTGGGAAGTGAGGTATCGTTGAGTCACAGTGAGTCCATATGGGAGAACGGCATGGCCGATTGCTGACTAGGTGAAAAGTTATACTTCTTAAGGCCATTTGAAGCATTCTCAGCAATTTCATGCCTAGCAGATTACTATAATATGGGATTGGGATATTAAGATCATTGGCAAGTTTTTGCCGTTTACTAGCTGACGATGCTGTGGTGACAGAGTCAGGAAACAAGCAAGTTCCGGGTACTTTTCATTAACAAAGTATCACATTCCCTTTGCATGTGAAGCCCCTTACACAATTTAAAGAGCCTTTCCACCTTTTAAGTTCAGAGTTATGAACTTCTTAGCAGAGGGATATTGAGCCCTATTTTCAGAACTACACTTCGAATACGAGTGTTGGCTTAGCTTAAAATTGCTACTCCAGCTCACATAATCTATCTATAAAATCTTCAACCACCACCGTCTAAAAGTCACCATGGCATCGTCTATAATAATATCCTCGGGCTGCACCAAATATACGTCAATTGGAGATTTGGACCAAATACGCCATGCCATCCAAAGCAGCCACCTTAATTCGGCCTTCCCAAAATTTATCTCCTTCCATCACTCATCCCTCTTCTCTCCACCCAATACGTCTCCGGCCTCAATATCATCGGCAAAATCCACCCCGTCGGCAACATAACACCCATACTCGATCGAATCCTTGAGGTACCGTTCGGCCTCGGCAAACTTCAAGCCTTTCTGTTTCTCCATATCCCGTAGCAACAACTCGTTGGCCAAAACATACGTGCTGAACGTCTCGGGACCCCAATACACAATCGTCTTATTGGTCAGTTTGCGGAGCTCGTCGCCGTAGCGGGCCATGATCAACCGAGAAACGAAATGCTGCCGTTTGAGCCCGTAAAACCCGCCAATGTACCGTTTCCACTCCACATTCTCCTGTTCTGAAGACAGCATCGTTTTGTGGGGAGACTCCTTCCGCTGCTCTAGGGCCAAGGTGTAGTAGAAACTGAGCTCTTCGTCGCCGGCTAGGATTCTCGGAATCACCGGTAGGAGCCGCTCGATGCGTTTTGTAAACGATTTTTGTGATTTCGGTAGTGGAAAATCACTATCTCTGTATTTCTCCGCCACGGGCTTTTCGGCATCGAGATTGCCCTCGAGGATGTTGCTCGGGAGCAGCAGGTACAGACTCGGGATGCTTTTGTCCGAGGACGGCTCCTTTTCAAGGATTTTGTCGATATCTTCAAAGTTCGGTTTGGATTTTTCACTCTTCAGTTTTGACACCGGGAGCTCGATGAGGCCGTCATCGTCGGGTTTGGGCTTTTTCTCCGTGAGTGAATTGTGGATGTACGGAAGCCGGCGTTTGCGGCTTTTGTATGTGGTGATTTTGTCACCGGGTCGTTTGGACATGATGGTGTTGATATTCGCGATGGTGTTTCTGGGGTAGTGATGTGGGAGTTTTTGACAAGAATTGAATTTACGTTTGTAAGGGGGTAATTGGGGAATTGAGTTGAAGGTTGTTGAACTGAGTTGAAAGTTGTCGAATTGTGTTGAACGGTTGGTGGTGTGGATGGTTCTTGTTTAATGGGTGCAAATTGCGGGTATAGATAAGGTGTACTATGGAGAGTCAAGTTGAGCACACCTATGGCTTGGTAGAAAGGAACATTGAAAGAACAGCTGAAGTGGTGAAATACCAAGTGAAGGTGTAAAAGAGGAGATGTTCGGATGTTGAATAGATGAGTTCAATTGGGCAAGTGATCCCATCATCAGACAATGGAAGTTCTCATTGAACGCCTGTAGAGATATTACTAGCTTTTTTGATTAAGAGAACACGGGTTTCAAAATTGGAAACTAGGCTATGGCGAATGACTCACTGTTGATCACACGCAAGTGTCGGTTTTACGACGATATCGACACAAGAGTCTCTGTCAAATGACAGAAAGGACCAAGGCGAAATTGAGGCTTCAAATTCCTTGAATTAAAGTTCCGAATCGATAGCGAAACGAAACCTTTCAATTATATTTCAAATTTTGAAATACTGTTATAGAATGAAAATCGTCCATTTTCCACGATAACCTAATGCCTTTTGAGTCGATAAGCAAACCAGACCTCCATATCAGATAAACACCCCAGCGTGCCTCTACTGGCTACAAGAGCCTTCTTCAAGTATTACTGCTTTGAGCGATTGGCTGGAATGGCTCTTACTTTTCAAACCACACAGAAGTGGCACCCCAACTGCGTTGCTGATACTTCAGGTGGTCTTTTTCTGAAAATCAGAAGGAGTGGTGAAATTTTTTTTTTTTTTTTTTTTTTTTTTTTGTTGTATTCATCTGATCAAATGGAAAACCCTATTTACTTTTACATAGAGAAAAACCCATCTTAGATATGAATACGTTTTGAAGCCTTAGTGAGACTGGAATGCAGCCCCTACCCTTCAAAGCTCTGAGTGGAACTAAATTTTCCAATCAAACCTGAAGACTATTTTGAGTCGGTAAGCAAACCGACCCTACCCTATCAGATACACACCTTAGATGCCTCTACTCAAGAAGAGTTTTTGAAGTTCCCTACCCATTTGTCCAAATAAACAAACCCAGCCATCTATCAAATCACATCTGTTCAAAATTTGCTTGTCAAAGCATGAAGCTGTCAAATCATGACGAATCATGCATTGCTCATGCGGCGCCACAATACACCTTACACGATCCGGACATTAATGAGCTTTGTGGGTTCTATTTTATGGAGAGACCTTTAGGAAGAAATGTCAAAGTATGAATTTTCAGCATCTTCTGCCTATAAAGGTATACCACCTGTGCTAATATCCCTGGATTCTATGGAACGCTTGACCGTGAGTCTCACCTCCTACTGCAATGATCCAATTGGTTACGCTTCTTTTTAAAAACCGATCAAAAACGCTCCAATTCATCTATATCTATAATGTACACCCTACTCTGGAATCCGCGTAACCGCATGGCACCCTCGGCAGATCCGCTCAGGTTGCCCCGCCGTCCGAGGGCCTGTGCTACCGAGGCCACCGAGGGTGGGGCACCGGTGCCCACCAAGGCTATTCGCTTAGGGAGCCTTTCCACATTCTAGCACTATTATCAACAGATCTACAGTCCCCTGACATCTTACTCAAAGTAGACTTCCTGCTTTTCCTCACGAGACCGTTAGAGTCCTCGTAAAGTAGGCCCACGCCTGGAAGCACGTCATCACGTCAATGCACCTCTGTTGAACAAATCAAACCAACACATAACAAAAACAACCCAAACCCGTCAATTCTCGGCCCAAATCCACGTCACTAATAGACGCTGTGCTGGACCTGCGGCGTACGGCTCCAGTTTCCTATTAGCCGTGGTGCTAATGCATGTCGCCAAAACCCACGACCAGAGACTAAAGTTTAAGATACTAAGAAATCGACCAGAACGGAGAAATTCCAGAAATTCAGCCCTGCCTTTCAAACCTTAAACCCCAAAGCCCTCCCACCAACTGAAGGTCGCTTAGCCCAGTTTGGAAAAACCGTAAGCCTTGTGCGGAGCCGTTTGGACGGGCCTTCAGGAGGATAATGTGCCGAAACGTAGCGGCATCGAGCCGCAAGAGGCTTAAAGAAAATTGCTGGTTTTGCAGAATATTGATAGTATGGATGTGTTGGTTGTACCCCACCCCCGTAACTGGTAGACCCCAAAAATGTCGTCAACCACCGGTCCCGGCCTCGGGTCGGAACTCAGGCCTCGGCAACTCTCACACCATCAAAATCTCCAAAATCGATACTTTCTCCAACAACCCATCGCCTCTAACCACCTTCCTATTAAGCTTTGGAAGCCACCCCACGTGGGCCGCATACGCGTTAGGTCTTTCACAGCCAGACGGCACGTGAGCCAATACCCTCTGGGTCAACCGGTGAAAAGTCATTGATGCCGAGGTGAACAAAATAAAAAAAAAAAAAAAAAGCATCTTCTGAAGATCTTCTGAAGATCTACTACTTCTTCTTCTTCTCCAAATCCGTCGTTTTCGTGAGGCGCTGTGCCTGGATTCCGTGGATCTGAGGAGTGTCTATCAGGTGCACATAAACTGCAGCATCTTTTCAAAACCACATAAAGCAGCTTTTCAGCCCGGACGGCTCTCGACAACGCCGTTTTACGTCCTTTTTCCAAAAAGCTTTTGAATCCTTCGCTTAACGGATCACGGTTCGCCAAACGGTTCGCTAAACGGTTTCTGTGCATTAACGAAACTGAACCTCAATAACTGGGAACAGCCGTGTACTACTGACTAGCTACCGGTGATCACGATAAACACGTTTCGAGATCAGAGTCAGATTCCGGAGAAGCTATCAAAGCTCCAGAAGCCAGACCATATCCAATAGTTGACCGCTTATCAAAGCATCTACACCATCTACACGTGAAACAGCCAGTTCAACACAAAGTCAAACAATCCGTGACAAACACACAACGTCACAACGTCACCCCTACGAAAGACACGTCATCACCTAATTCGGATTGCACCACTGAAAGTCGTAATCTGACCAACCAGCTACCCGCTTATCTACAAACTTCAAACTCCAAAGCTACAACTACGCCTTTGCCATGGACGAGTGGCTAGCTTCCAACCACAGCACGCCGGGCGCCGCCACGCCGGGCCACAAGAAACTCCCCTACGAAAACGAGCAGTTTCTCATGAACGACGACGCCCATCTTCTCGAAAAGAACATGCAGCCGTTCGACCTCGACCTGATCGACTTTATCATGCCCGACGAGCTCAACCCGGGCTCCAGAGCGTACCCGCCGCTGGCGTACCCGGAAAACACCCCGGCGCTTCTCCCCAACGGGCAAAACCAGCACCAGTACTCGAACCAACCGGTGCACTTCCAGCTGCCGTTGCTTCCGGGCCAAAACGAGAAACTGTACAACGAAGAACACCTTTACCACCGCCGCCAGCAGGCCCAGCAGCACCTGTATCTGCAGAACGCTTCGGGGGTTCGTCCAGATGCCGTTTTCACGCCGTTGGTGTCTCCAGCAGTGACTCCGATGGAATCGCAGGTGAACTCCAACAAAAACCAGGGCGTGCCCATGCAAGCGACATTTGAACCGCTTACGCTGCCGGCGCTCAATGCCCAGCAGAGAGAGAGACCGCCAGACAGACGTAGACCGCTGCTGGCGACATTTCCAGAGGAGTACAGTGGGAACGGCGGTTCCAAGCGCAGAACGCCTCATCTGACGCCGAATTTGGCGGCAAACAAGCCCAAGAGATCGCCTTCCTTGCGCAAAACGCCCCAGGCGCCTGTTTTCGAGCAGCTTCCGGATTCCTCCTACGATGCCAGTGTGGACGGTCCGGCTAAATCGTCCGAAACGACGCCGATGCTTCCGCCGGGCAAAAGAACACCTTACGAGGGCTCTAGCGGCGGCAGCACACCCTACAAGAACCAGCCAGGCCCTGCGACGCTCATGGGATTCACCATGAACCGTTTGGCCGAACTGCAGAGCACCAACAACCTGCTGCCTTCTTTGGCGCCGCAAAACGGCCACCACGACGACCTGGTGTCGACCCGCTCGTCCGTGAGCGGCCATCGCACGCTGATCAAGCACGAGACGTCGCTGCTGGAGCCTTCTCCAGCGTTGGATCCGCAAAACGGTGAAGAATCCGGCCGCAAAAGAGAAAAGGGGCCCGGCAAGAAAGCGTCGCATAAAATCGCCGAACAGGGCCGTCGAAACAGAATGAACCAGGCCGTGCACGAGCTCGCGGGCTTGATTCCTCAGACGTACCATGACCAGGTCTCCATTCCGTCAAAAGCCACCACGATCGAGTTGGCGTCCAAGTACATTACGACGCTTGTGGCTGAGCTCGAGGAGGCCCGGGCCCGGTTGCCACAGGACGAGCATCTGAGGAAGGACGAGAAGAGGAGGCGGTAGATTTGGGTTGCGGTGCTAATGTAATAGAAGAATGGATTTTGGGATTCACGCTGGAGGTTCCGGCGGTGTAGAGGTGGAAGTGGGGTTCGTTTGGGGGGTTTAGAGTGGGAGAGTGGTGGTTTATTTGTGGATTTGCTCTCGAGTTGTGATTGAAGGGATTGTTGAAGACGGTGGGTTTTGGATACATAGTGTCTATAACTTTGATTCCGATCTCCGTGATCTTCACTATGATGCCTTTTTTTTTTTTTTTTTCTTTGTTGGTCTGTTCTAAAACACACGTTGTCGTTGTTTTAGGGAATTCCGTCCTTGCTTAATATGTTGTTGATGGCTTTTGACGAGATCGTGAGAATGGGAATATCAAACCAGGACAGGAGACCAAAGCCAACTACGAATTGACTGAAATTTCATTGACACGGACCTTTAAATCGAGGTGCTTATTTGAAGCTTCTTGGTTCGTTCCAATGACAAGTTGACGCTAGAATTCGTTATTGAAGACATTCTGCTGTCTTTTTTATGAAACCTCAAACGGCTTTTCTGTGGAGATCAATGAACCACTTCTGAAAAATGAATAATGAGAACAAACCATCACAGAGAAGACTAGATTGATTAGGAATTGGCTGAACCTCAAATGTGATGAAACTGGGGCTTTAATTGTCTTTATTTGAAAGAGGTCTAAATCTACATGATTATACGTTTGGACTCCATTTGAAGGGCATGTGGACGCTCCAATAATTCAGTATTGAAAACATCTTGCTTACTTCCATACGAAACTTCAAACGGCATTTCTGTGGAGCTCAATGAACCAATGCACCGATTTTGACATAAAATTCTTTTAATTAACGCTGTGAAAAATTCGAATCATGCAAAAATTTCCCAAACATCTCCCACTTAAAAATTCGGCATCTTGAATCATGACATACTAATAATTATCCAGCCACCGTTTCGAATAAATTTAAAGAGAACAGCCCCGGGAACCTCAAACCTTTTTTCCAAAATGGAACCGGGTTCGATATTTCTTATCTGTTGGTTCAGTCTTATGGGTGCAATTTTTTTTATTGGTTGCTGTTACGAGGGCTTCGCTGAAATTGATAGAATGAAGAAGAGAAATGTGCTCGTTCAATCTGCTAATACTGGTAACAATCCACAAGCTGTTCAGGATACAGATGCTCATACTAATCAAGAAATCGCAGCTCCAGAGGATACTGTTCAAGAGGATACTGCTACTTCAGTCCATGAGAGCATACCCCTTGATGATTTACCATCCACTACGACCGGCGAGGGTCTGAATTCAAATACCTCTGTGGAGACGCCGTTGCCTGTCTATCAAAGCGACTTTTTGCCCCAATATAGTGAGGTTGAGTTTGATAGGTAGGTGGACCTTTTGACTGTGTTTTTTATGATGGTGGGGGTGTCTGGTTTGGCATAAGGGGCTTCAGTGTCTTGGTTCTTGGTATGGTGTTCAAGAATAGGATGATAGAGGTATTTGGTATTCGACGTTATGTAACCTAGAATTCAAGCCTAGTTTGAAATCCAAGTCTGATGCTTTTCGCTTGAATTTTTGCTTCAATTGGCTGATTCTAAAAGAGAGGCCCGTTGGTTGCTGGCTCTTAGGGATGTTTTAGAGTTTCCAGCGTAGAGGCTGGAGGTGAAAGAGGGGGGTTTGTTTGGGTTATAGTGGGAGGGTGGTGTTTTATTTGCGGGTGTATTCTGAAGGTGATAGAGAGGGTTGTTTTGGATTCATAATGACTATGACCATGATCCCGATCTCCGTGATCACTGTGCTTTTTTTTCGGATCTTTTCTGAAACGCACGATTTTGTGTTAAAAAAGAAATGGAATTCAGTCCCTTTGAATATGTTGTTGATAGCTTTTTGGGACGAGATTGACTGGAACTCGAGAACAAACCAGGACAGAGGAGACTAGATTCAATCAGGAACTAGCTGAATATCAAATGTGATGAAACTGGGGCTGAAATCATTTTTTTTTTTTTTTTTTTTTTGGTGGACCTTTAAATCGAGATGTCTATTCATTTGGACTCTTTGGTTCATTCCAAGGAACATCTTGACGTTCTGATAGAGTTCAGTGTTGAAGACATCTTGCTATTTTTCATACGAAACTTCAAACGGCAAGTTCAATAAACCTTCACCCGTTCTTCATATATAATTCTTTTTTATTAACGCTGGCCATCGAAAGAAAAATTCGAATCATGCAAAATCCCTCCAATCCTCCGCTGTAAAACTCGGCAACTCGAGTCATGACAGATTAATAATAATCCAGCCACTGTTTCGAATAAGTATAAAGAATTCAGCCCAGGCACCTCAAACCCTTCTATCTAAAATGGAACCGATTTTGATATTTCTTATCTGTTGGTTCAGTTTTGGATTTGTTGCAACATGTATTGGTGCTTGGTGCTGGGAAAACAGGGAAAAGAAGGAGAGACATGTGCCCGTTCAATCTGCTAATACTGGTAACAATCCACAAGCTGTTCAGGAGACTGCTGCTCAGCCTAATCAAGAAATCACAGTTCCAGAGGGTACTGCTGCTTCAGTCCACGAGAGTATACGTCTTGAAGATTTACCATCCACGACGACCGGCGAGGGTCTGAATTCAAATGCCTCTGTGGAGACGCCGTTGCCTGTCTATCAAAGCGACCTTTTGCCCCAGTATAGTGAGGTTGAGTTTGATAGGTAGGTGGACCGTTTGATGGGGTTGTTACATGATGAAGTGGGCATAGCGGCATATGGGTTGAGTTATTGGAATTTGGGGTCTTTGTCGGTTGATATGTAGTTAACGATTGGAGTCTTTGGGGAAGGCTCGTGAGTGTTGGATATTGGACCCGAACGTTGAAAGGACGACGATTACAGTCTTAATACTAAATTTAAACGAGTTTCACGTAAAAGGCTACCTTATTGCTCCAGGTGGCTGATCCCAGAAGAGAGCTCCCTTGGTTGCTGGTTCATCTTGATGTGCCTTTCCGATTTCATTCTTATTCGAAAAACTGAAGGCTTGCGGGAACTTTGACTTCCGGAATTCTATTTGTTATTCCAGCTATAACAGCTCTTTCTCCCTATTTATTAAACGCTCTTTATTAATCAAAATCTCTCTATTCATGAAAATAGAGCTACCTATTAGCTAGCTTTAGATTCAGGACACTTGTAGTATATGTGAGTTTGTAGGCTCTGATGCATACATAGTCATCACATTTAAGTTTTTGTACTGGCGATACGACGGAGCCATCCTGTTCCAAAGATTCAGTTTTTTAATTGCCAGAATGTCAAAATTAAAAAAAGAAAAAATAAAACATCGGAAAACAGGCGAAAGTGTGGTACGTCAGCAGTTCAATAAGGATGTTTGAACCTTACTACATTCAAATGCCTACGACGACAAAAGCCGATCCTAAAACAACTTCGTTGCCACTTAAGGGCCAAATACTTACCAACTTACGGCCCTGCTCCCCATCACATATCCCAAAATGGAATTTCTCGAGATAAGCGACCGCATGACACCAAAAGATACAATTACCAAATCCACTGACCAAGGCGTGACGCCTCTTTTTCCAATTGCCTATTCTCTTTCAGTTACACCATTTCCAGTAACTCCAGCTGCCTTCCCACCAGCGTGACCCTGTTCTGGTCATCCACCTCACCTTCCTAAATAATTTCACAAACGGAAGGCCCACCAGAACAACATAAATACGCCCGATTTCCCCAAATTAATTTTCCCTTCTCTACCACATTCTGGCCCACCGTTCTGACCCACCACGTTAGAACCCTTTGTCTCTGATCAATTTATTGCTTCACAGACCACAAAACTACCAAAGCTACTACAAGTACTACCCAATTAACTGAGAAATGTGTTTCCAGTGTCACGAAATCAACGGCAACTTCTTCCCCGCCGCCGTTTTCAACGCTACTTTTGACGCCTCCGGTTTGATGGAAATCAACCACGGTGCCAACCACACTCTGCTTGAGTGGAGAAAGGGCCAATTCGAACGCATGAAGGCCTTAATCCAGCAAGCCAGTTCTGACGATTCTGCTCGCAGAAACGCCCAGGCTCTCTATGAAACGAAGCTTCAGGAATTCTTCCAGCGCAATTGTCCTTCCTGGGATGAAGAAGTTGAAGAAGTTGAAGAGGTCGTTTTAGAGAGTCTGAAGCAGGATTCTAAGCCTGAGGAGAAGCCTGAAGACGAGAAGAATGAAGAAAACTCCGATTCTGAGTCTTCTTCCGATGCTTCCTCTGAGGCCCCATTGGAATCCTCCAACAATACCTCCCCAGCTTCCTCTCCAGTATCCAAGGCTGCTGTTTTGGACATCTTCCAGGAGACCAAGACAGAGGTCACTGAATTTTTTGAAAAGCACTCTGAAGTCACTGACACTCCAGAAGTGACCGATGACGAGCTTTTCGAAAGCCTTGAGGAGCTGTACAGCGAGTTCAAGAAGTCCTACGGAGCTTCCCCAAATGAAGCCCCACCTTCCCAAATGAAGCCTCAGTTTCTAATAAAGCTGTTTTTTCTTTTTCCTCTCCAAAGCCCGGCTCCCTTCCCCTGGGCCACGGATGGCTTTACAACAATGGCATTTTCACCATTCCTGAGGAAGACGAGCCTGAGGAGATTTCACAAACTGAAATGACCACTTCTCTTTTTACTTGGACCATGGTTCCGGGTGCAACTTTGCCCCGCTGTGAGCCAAAGCAAACAAAGTATCCAAATCAGGAGTCTTCTGGAGTTCAGAAGCTCTCTTGTGCTGGAAATTATGAAGTTCTGGAGGTTTCACAACCTGAGACTTTGCAAGCCAACTCGAACCAGGACTGTTCCCCCAGTCCTACCTTTTTCCAGAACCCTACTTGTTCTGATCCTTCTCCATCATCGAATGCGGACCGCCCGGCTCCAACCAACCTGGCCTACTGTCTAGAGGACTTCCCTTCTTTAGACACGTTTTGGCGCAAACGCCCAAAAAAAGCTTTCTTCCTGGCGACTTTTTCAAGTTTCGGGAACTCTGCTACCCGAAGGAGGCTGCCTCGTTTTTGCCCGGTGAATGCTTCAGGCTTTGGTCTTTGAGGACTACCAGAAGAGGTCCTCGGAGACTGAGAAGACGTGCTAGAGCTGAGTTGACCTAGGGTCGCTCTGCCGAAGAGAAAAAGATAAAAATAAGAAAAAAAAAAAAAAAACTGTACTATATTAATAATCTAAATTAAAATAGTGGCGTAGGAGTAGTTGGTGGGATGGACATTGGTGCGAGGTATCCCATGATGTTCATAAGCTACAGGGAGGTAAAGGGTTTTCTCCAAATATTGTTGAATTTTATCTAGATAATAAGCCAGAGTAAGAAGGAAAAAAATTGCAAAAACCGCTGGGTTCTGGTAATACTCACTCTGTATTGTCTCATATAGACAAGGGCACTTGTATTATTCGCTGATCAACATGACAAAGCTGATTCGTCTTCTTGATTTGATTGAAATACATCTTCTTCTCAAGCTAAATGAAAAAAGGTAGCTGATGCACCTTATTTACCGTTCCGTTTTCGCTCCTCGGTCTACTCACACTCTGACCCATACGAGCTAAATCGTTATAGCTTTGCCAGAGATTTCGTCACAAGTTAGTTTCTTTTTTATCATTCCGCAGCTTCTAATACTAGCTTCCCATTGCCAAAACCGCCAAATAATGAGTTCATAGAAATAACCGTGTGAGATGAGATATGAGACGTCTTCCTGGGCCGGGGAAGAGAGAAGCTCTCTCAAAAATCAAAACCTATCTTCAACAGCCTAACATCATCTATCACCCGTATTTCAAGCTCAGAATCACACCTTCTTATTGGTTTTCTGGCAGACTTTTGATTGCATTTTTTGATGTTCAAAATCCGCGCTTATAGGCTGCATTTTGGCTTGAAACTCACAGCACCTATAGTTCTTGCTCTAAAGTTACAACAAAGCTAAAAATATTCATGTTTCAAGCTTCCCTTCATCCAAAGCTTTGTTTGATATATTTTACCAGCAGCTATTGTCTTTCACAAGATTGGTTTCGTGGTCTAGTTGGTTATGGCATCTGCTTAACACGCAGAACGTCCCCAGTTCGATCCTGGGCGAAATCACTCTTCTTTTTTATTTTTTGCAGGCATCGAATGTTAATTGGATTAAGGCCTTTTTGGTTCATGTTTTTCTACAGCCTCGTCGAACTATCCGCTCATTCCCACTGAACTGTCTACTCAGACTTATAAGTAATGCAATGTGTTGGTATCTATATACATGGACGGGACTAAATGAAACGGAAGTCCGTTATCAAGATCCGTCTCCCTAATCTCTAAAACCAATGTTCTGGTTTCAATCGCCCCAGAACATTTATCACCACTTCTCAGCCAAAAACGAACCACAATCCACTTCCATGGATTCAACGCCTTCTGGCTCTCCAAATGTCTCAACGTCTGCCATCTTCAAACTTCAAAACAACTTCAACCTCAGCATCAACCCCCTACTTCTCCTTCAGAAACTTCCCCTTCTTGCCCTTGGGCAACGCCTTGGTCTGGTTTTTGGCAGCTCCCTTCACGTAATTCGTGGCCTTGCCCACGTCCTCCTTGAACTCCTTCGCTCCAAGTTTCAACTGCCAGAACGGACCGTGCTGCTCCCGCAACTTCTGCTTCTTTCTCTTCACCTCACGGTTAACTATGCCAATCTGCTCGTCGTACGGAATACCAGCCTCGGCTTCGGCAATCGTCTCCTTGCCGAAAAGCAAGTCAAACACACGCCCGTCGGACCAGAAAAAGCCCCTTCTGTCCACGACCCACGACTTCTTGGTGGTCTCCTCCTTCAACACGAAAAAGAACAACGACTTGTCGGCAGTGCCGTAGAAACCCTTGCCGGTCCACACACGGGCATGGTGCTTTCTCGTCAAATTACGCAAAGGCACGGTGTAAACAGGCGACGGTCTGCCGGGCAACAACGGGTAGGAAGTGAACTTGATGTGCTCAACAGGACCAGGAAGATACCACATTCTCCTGATAAGCCTGGTGGGGAACATGGCCGTCTGGTACGCCATGAAGAGCATCACGGCGCCCATGATGCCGTACTTGCCGACCAGAACGACCCACTCTCTTTTCCTCAAGGCCTCTGCAAGCTCTTTCTCGTTCTCCTCGTAGTCCTTGTTGGCCTGGTACACGGCCCATTCGAGCAAAACACACCCGTACACTGTGAACACGACGGCGCAGCAGAAACACGCCAAAAAGTAGAGTCTGTGGGGCTCCAGCTCGTACAAAAGCTCGGGTTGGGTCTTGTTTTTCAAAATCAGAATCACCTGGCGAAACGACATGTTGGGCCCGACCCGGGCACGCCGGGACGCGGAAGAAGGGTCGGCACGTTCTCCTTGCCAAGCGGGAACATGGGGATCCGCTCCTTCAAGTCGTTTTTCTGGTCGCCTTCTCCAGGAATGTGCTGCTTCAAGTGTTTCCACTCGCCTTGCGAAGGGAGGCTTTTTTTCGGGTCAAAGTCTTGTGGAAGGTTTGAAAGGCGGCGGAGGAGGCTCGCCGGGGCGATTTTCGGCATCCGCCGGGCCGGTATTAGTGTGGTTCTGGAAAGAAAGAGCATGTAGTGGGTGCGAAATTTGGTGATGGTGGAGTTGAAAGTCGCGATGTGGGGTGGATGGGTATGAGTTACTGGAGAATGAATGGGTTTTTGAAATTGGGGGTTTTGGTTAGTAGGAACGAAATAGAGAGATCGAGGTGTATACTTTCTGTGGTTCATAGAGTTTCGTTACTTGTTTCGTAGAGTTGGGCTCATATGGGAAGGTCTTGATGCGACGGTGAAGCAGTGCTATGCTGATAGAGATACACCAAAACGGCGAAAAGAACAAGGGAGTGTCACACAAACTTGCTTTCGTTGAAATATTAAAGGCCCCTTCTGGGCTTTTAGCCGACTATTTCAGGGCACAGTTGGGTTGTTGGAACTTTGACTGTTGAAGGCTCTGTTCTTCCTGATCGATTCTCAATGCATTCGGCTGTATTTGCTAGCAGATAGTCAGTTTAATACAGCGTCAGACGTCCTCCTTTGGCTCATCTTTCTTTGAACCATCATTCGCTAGCTCCTCGTTCAGCTCATAGTTCTCCGATTTGTCGTTCTTCAAATCGTTGTTCTTCAGTTCACGCAACTTTTTCTCTTGCGAACTTGACCATTCTAAAAAACCTAGGATAACGAACCCTATAGATAGTAGCTCAACTGTGAATTCCACAATTTGGTGTGGACCTGGATGAGACGAATCGAGGAAAGGCTCGATTTCGGACCACCCTTTCCTGAAATCCCAAAGGTTCTTGGCTCTAGTGAAGATTCCAAGAAGCACACAAGTACAGAAGAGGTGAGTAACCGTACCAGGATCGCTCCCATCGTGCGTAAATGAGATAGCCAAGGACACCAGCATGAGAGCTATTGTGACATAAAACATACACTGCAACGGTTCAGAAGTCTGCTTTGTACTGGGCAAGTTGTTGAGAATTCTTGCTTTGAGGTCGTAGAGCCATTCGCCACTTGACCAATATCTTTTTTTCCTCAACTCCAACTTGAGGTCTTGCTTTGCTTCAGGGAACGTGGCCACGAACTCCTTCTTAAAACCGTTGACGTCCTCTAAGGCATTGTATTCTGCTATCTGGACAGCTATGTCTCCAGCAAATAAATCCACGATGTTATTTCCATAATAACACACTTGGGTGGAGTCGTCATTTATTCTGCAACCACGGAAATGTGCTTTGTACATTGCATGGGGCCATTTCTCAGGTAAGAGCAGCAGAATATCTCTCGTAGATCCTGGGATGACTGTCTCCAAGGAGTGAATGGTCTTGTGCATTTGGGTCAATAAGGAGTTGTCCACTTCGGCAGTAGCATAGTTGTAGTTGACGTAAGGGAACGCCAAAGAGGATAGAATTGCCACTGCATAGCCGTATGCAAAAATAACCCAGATAACAAGATCCCAGCTTAACAGTTTCTTCTTCAGGGACGACTCTTCAGTCACTGCTTTCTCAGGGTTTAAAGAGGGACTTGAGCCTTCGGTTTCGTCCCGTTTTTCTCCAACCTCCACGTAATCGTCAATTCTTCTTTCTCTCGTCTCCTGAGAGGTATTCTCAGAAAGGATACCCTTGGACTTTGCTTTTTCAGAGTCAGCCATGGTTTTTGATGAACAGATATGAGATAAGGTTATGCTGCCTCGAGGGCGTGCTGTGTGAAAGATTGGTCAACGCAGCCAATAGCCAGAGGACAAGGCAATTCCTTTGAAATTGGGATTTAACTATTCTTTTTTTTTTTTTAATTTTCCACCTTAAGTGGATTGTAAAAGTTGTAAGTCGAAGAGTAAAGACGATGCTCTTGTGTGCGGCTGAAGTAAAAGCCCCGAATCGAGCGCACCTCTCTGGTGAAGACAACCAAGCATAGTACAACAGTTTTGACCTTCTAATAAAAAGCGGTTTCATACTCTTTTTTTTCGATACCCTGAGCCCCAATCAACTCCACTACTTCGCAGGGTGGCGTAGTGTGATAGATATTCCATATCATATGGTAAGAGCTTCATTACTTCATTTCTTCTCCAATGGAATTCTTCTGGCTGTTGCATATTTCAGAACAAGCTGTACGGGAATGTGTTTGCGTTCGACAAGCTCCTTATTTCAGCGGTTGACCATGACAGTCAAGTATGTATTCGTCTGACGAATCCGTCACTCAATCCTCATATAACCCAAACTATTTTCAGCATGATAAAATGGTCCTCGATGCCTAGCATTCCACCGCCTGGGAAGCCTCCAATTTCTTGTCCGCATTACGAGAGGCAGGAAGCATCGCTCCGATTTTATCTCCAAACATCATCAAAATATTTGCAACAAAGCAAATGTGATGTGGACGTGTCTTCCAGCTCACAAGAAATGGGGCTAAGTGACGCCAGTCGTAATGCAACATCACAATGCCGCTTACCATGGCACATCCGTTCATGAATGAAAATATCGATGACCTCTCAAGGTTCCTGTAGGAGCCGTGCAGCAAACAGAAGCTGAGGTTTAGCAATTCTATCAACAGAGACGCTTTGAGGACGTAAAAAAAATACGTTATAAATAGGTCTGAACGGTTGAAAACGTCACTGAAAGTCACCTTTGAAGCATTTCCCTCTTCATCCTCAAATCTCACCTTGCCCAACGTGTCGAGAAACTCAACTTTGAAAGCGCTGGGGTCCTCCATTTTGTTATAGTCTGCGATTTGAAGAGCAATGTCACCCATAAAGCTCTCAAACGCGTTGAAACCAGGTTAGCACACAACCGCAGTATCGTCGTTAAATCGGCAAACCCCTGGAAGCGTCTGCTTGTACGTAGCATGAGGCCATGTCTCTGGAAGCAAAGCAGCGAGGTCTTTGGTTGACCCTTTGTTGACGCGTTCTAATGAAGCAATGTTGTGGTGCAACTGAGTAAGGAGGGAATTGTCCACCTCTGCAGTGATGACGCCGGGATACCACACAGAAGAAAATAGGAAGAATAGCCTGAAAAGACAGTAGGAAAAGAGGAATGGCTTGACTATGTTCGGGAAGCTTATCCAGGGTGCCCCATGCTTTGAGTTTCTGTCTGGCTCTGCTGAAAGTTTGAGTTCCTCGGTATCACACTTCGGCTCATACTCAGAGCTATTGAATGCATTCCAATTTTTTTCCTCTATTTCCATGGTTGTGTGTTTCTAGGCGTTGATAGTGTGTGGTATGGGGTAAATTTGACAGTTGATGCGGCTGCACCGTTATCTGTCTCGTGTGGAGGATCATCAAAGTGCCGGTTATTGGAAACTCCAGGGTTCTATGTATTTTCTTTGGGCTGTGGGAATATTCACTGAATTTAATGGACTCAGACTTGAACTTTATTTTAAGATGTGCCTTCTTTTTCATTCTTTCGGATTCGATTAGCCATTTTCCATCGAGAAGCTGCCCTTCTGATCACTCCAATGCGTGTTCCAGCAACCATAAGCACAGCTAAGGATCCTGCCAAACCTATAGATGCTGCAATATAGGTGTGCAGTTCCAGAGGCGCCAGCCAATGAGTTAGAAACGGCTGCAAATTCCTCCAGTCCGTCTTGAAACCATCCACCAGGCTGAACATGTAGCAGACCAGCATCATTGATGCAAGTGACGGAATGACAAGATCATACGGGTTGCCGAATGTGCGCAAGGGGGCAAGTATTGCCGCAACTTCATAGATCACAACAGCGATAAGGACAGGTAAAACGCCGTTTGAACTGTCACCGTTTTCGAGCCCTAAAAAATTGAGAAACTTTTCTTCGAAGGCACTCAGACCTTTTATTTGGTTGTACTCTGCTATCTGGAGAGCAATGTCATTCATGAAAAGTTTGACGGTGTTGGTGCCATAGTAGCACACGGTCTTGGAATCATCGTTTGTTCTGCAGAGCCCGTTGAAACCCTGCTTGTATACCGCATGAGGCCATTTTTCAGGTAGCAGAAATTGGACATTTTCAGCTGAACCCGCCTTCTCAATGGCATTGTTTATCTGAGTGAGTATGGAGCTATCCACCTCTGCAGTGAAGAGGGCAGTATTGACAATGGGAAATAGCAAGTAGCCAAGTTTGATGATGGTGTATGCTAGGACGAATGCTAAGATGCCAAGTTGTGTAGTGTTGCTGATATTGATCAGTGCTAGCCAGGGTACGGGAGGTTCTGGATGTTCGACTGTCTTTGAGGGATCGGATTGATTATGGGCATCATTGGTTGGGTCGTTTTGGGATGCAGCAGATTTCTCCACTTTTCTATTTTGCGTTTTCATGGGATTGTAGAATTGTCGTTTTCTGCCATGAGGATGAAAGTAGGTGAAACAGAGTCGGTGAGATTACCGGTTATCTGCTTGTGTGGAGGAAACCAAAGTTTAGACCGGGGCATCCTTGCATTTCCGTGAAGTTGACAGAAGAAAACAGTTGGAATTTGATTTAAGGTTTCGAGTTTTTTGCATTGAGAAAAGTTGGTTATGGTGTTGGTGTTGATGATGATGGTGGTGTTGATGCATATACGGATTCAGCGAGGCCCTAAGAGCTCTACATTGTGATTTTATGATTTTTATGATTTTTATGATTTTATGATTTTATTATATTCATTTTTGATGAATTTGCCTTCACATGTAATCTTAAAAGTTTTCTTCTGATCTTTAGTGAAGTTGTGTGGAAAGTCCACTACGTACATTGACTTCTTACTCTGGCTGCGAAAACAGAACAAACAGACGAAACTTGAAAAGACTACCAAAAATCCAAAATCTCATTAATTTCTAAAAAGTAGGCGGGACTGAGGCTGTTGTAATTAGAAGCAGCCTTTAGGTTGCTGAGGCCCTAGCTGGCTATGTTCCAGCTTCTATATCTTCGACCATAGGTATCACAGATCTGTACTCCACAGAATCCCCAGCAACGATCAGTTCGAGACCCTGTTTGGTTAACTTCTCTCGAAAACTGAGGTTATAGCTTTTGAAAAGGTGGCAAAAGGAAACAACGAGGTTCTTCTATGCCTCCATTGGCTCCACCATGGAATACCCTACCTTCACACTCTCCAAAATGCCCAGGGAAAAGACAGTCTTCTTGACCTGTTCCATCTGGAAGTACTCTCAGTAGCAATCTGACAATGAAGCAATTGTTAATCCAGACACCGGCCTCCATCCTAGGCCTCCATCTTCAAGACCTCATCATCCACCCAGTCCAGCCAAGTATCCATTCAGTCCATCCAATTATCCATTGCAACGTTGCATTGAATCAACTAGCTGAACCGTAAAATCATCAACGACTCCAACCTACCTCGCCTTCAGCTCCGCTCGCTTCAACATCACAGGCCTCTGCCCCACATACTTCCCGTTCATCTCCTTGAACGCCTTGAGATAGTCCTCTGCCTTGCCAAACGCCACAAACCCGTACCCCTTGTTCTCGCCCTTGCGGTCCTGAACCACCCGTGCTTTGCTCAAACTGGCGTACTTGGAAAAAGCCGCCAGGAGAATCGAGTCGGTGGCATCGGGGCCTAGGTTACCGACGAAAAGCCGAAAATGCTTGGGGCTCCAGCCTTCGTGCTGGGCCAGGGCCGTCACGCGCTTCTTCCGGCTGTGGAGGTACTGGTCTGGCCGTTTTCCCGCTGCTGTTCGTCGGTCCAGCGATTTGCTCATGGAGTTGTAGATGGTGTATCTGCGCAGTGCGATGTGGTTGGTGGAATTTGAAAAAGATGGGGGAGTTTGGGAAATTGAATGAATGTGTAAGGGGCGGGATTTGGAAAGTTCAGTGGTATTGAGGTTTAGTGGTTTGTGGAAATTCAAAGAGAAACGCTGTTTGTTCTCTAGGGCTTGAGTGAGATGGAACATAGGATGATGGAGTAGGGTTGATTGCACCTGTGGGATTAAGGAATAGCTCAATGGGCTAATTAAAAGGTTTGAGAATTGAATAAATTTCAATTCTTTGGACTCGAAGTATCTGCTTTATTCTTGTGGTGGTATGTTAAGCTAAAGAAATGAGCATTGATATGAAGCACATCTTGCTTACCCGAACCGTGAATTCGATTCAAGGAAGTCTTTTTTGAATCAGAGGTAGGTCCCATCTTTTAACAATCCAGATTTTCAATCTGACTTCACAGTCGAACTTGATAATTTCGTATAGGGCTATCGCAATGGTTGCAAATGGGCATTACTACAAAAAATTACCAAAACCGAAAAGCATGGGTGTCAATTTACGTAACATGATTATATTTGACCATTCGTATTGATAATTAATGATTCTGTGTTATTTAAAGAACATCTTTCGGCTTACTAATGAGCTCGAGAGTGGTTTCTCACCGTTTGAGACCAATTGTGCTGCAACAAAAAGAAATCGGCTTCAATGAAATTCAAATTTATACTATGTTCTCTCAAAAAGCTTTTATCATACTTTTTTTGAGAATCTGGCTAATTCTTCCTACACTATGCATCATACTCTCAAAACTCATCAGAATCTCGAAATGCTTTTCATTTTTTTCCTATTTCTTTTTTTCGGTTGAGGCAATATCACCACAAACACCTACACCACTTACATTACACATCTAAAACTCTTTAATGCTTCATATATGGCTATACACTCGCATCCTGTACTGGTGCCTCCTGGGGGTCCGCACAGGCCTATGTAGGAGCGCATCGCGACATCAACATTTTCCACCTCATCCGCAACTCCAGCTTCAAACCCATGTTCATACTATCGGAGCTCTCGGACCTCGTGCGTGTGCCGCCACCGTCGTTCAACATCCCGACGCCGGTCGCTCTCAAGGATGAGCTCCACAAGAAGTACGCCAACAAGGTCATCTCCAACGTGGGACTCGCCGTGTCGGTGTGGGACATCCTGGAGATCAAGGACGGTCTCCTAAAACCAGGCGACGGCGGAGCCTACGTGGAAACACAATTCCGTATGATCGTGTGGAAACCGTTCGTAGGCGAAATCTTGACCGGCTGGGTCCAAGAGTGCACTGCCGAGGGCATCAAAGTACGCATGGACTTTTTCAACGACATCTTCATCCCCAAGGACTACTTGTTCGAGGGCTGCGTGTTTCGGCCGGCCGAGCGGGCGTGGGTCTGGCAGCCAGACGCCGACACCGACTTGTACATTGACGTGAACGAACAGGTTCGATTCCGCGTTGAAGAGGAGGTGTTTGCCAACATCAAGCCCAAGTCGCTGGCTGAGGCATTGGGCCTCGAGACAGACCGGGCGCCTCCGTACGCCTTGGTGGCGTCCTGTCAAACCGACGGCATGGGTTGTGTCTCGTGGTGGGACTAGCTCCATGCACAAATGTATGGCTTTTTAATTGTATTGCATGTACTGCGAGGTCGACGAGAACTTGAGGTTGCCCTTGATGACCTTGTCGACAGCCTTGAGGAAATCCTTCTCGGTGGCAACCTTCCGGCGGGCTCTGATGGCAAACATACCGGCCTCAGTGCACACGGAACGCAACTCGGCACCTGTGGCGTTGGGACACAATCTCGAGATCAACTCCCAACGGATCTCCTTGTCACAACTCATTGTCTTGGCGTGAATACGGAAGATGTTGGCTCTGCCTTCCAAATCAGGAAGACTGAACTCCACCTTACGGTCGATACGACCAGGACGCAACAAGGCTGGGTCCAACGTGTTGGGTCTGTTTGTGGCAAACATGACCTTGATGTTACCTCTAGGGTCGAAACCGTCCAACTGTGTGATCAACTCCAACATGGTTCTCTGCACCTCGTTGTCGCCACCAGCACCGTCGTCGAAACGGGCTCCACCAATAGCATCAACTTCATCGAAGAAGATAATACACGCTTTCTTTGTTCTAGCCATCTCGAAGAGCTCACGAACCATACGGGCACCTTCACCCACGTATTTCTGCACCAACTCCGAACCAATCACACGAATGAATGTAGCGTCAGTTCTATTAGCAACAGCACGGGCACAAAGCGTCTTACCGGTACCGGGAGGACCGTACAAAAGAATACCCTTGGGTGGGTCGATTCCCAACTTGACAAATCTCTCTGGAGACAAGAGAGGAAGCTCCACAACCTCTCTAAGCTTTTCAATCTGCTCTTTGCAGCCACCAACGTCACCATATGTAACATCGGGTTTCTCCTCGACCGTCATCATCGTCACCGAAGGGTCGATTCTTGGAGGAAGTGGCAACTGGATCTCGTACTTTTGTCTGTCCACACCAACTCTCATGCCTTCTTCGATATCCGTAGGCGACACTCTTTCGCCCAAACCAACCACAAACTTGGCAATCTGCTTGATGTTGATGACGTATTTGCTCTTGTTGTCGGCATTGGCCAACATCCCCACTGCTGGCGTTGGGTTTGTGGCTTCTATGATTTTCGTACAACGGGCAACCTGTAAAGGCTGCTCCTGCGACATTCTCTGCTTGTCGCCCATGACATCCCATAAGTGAGGGGCACTGAGTCCCGTGTCACTCTCCTTGATGCCGATGTTCTCCTTGATTCTGTCCTCAACGTCCTTGAGGTCCTTTTCGATCTGTTTTAACGAATTGGCGTAAGGGGCGGCGCCGTAGGTTTTGAGAACCTGGATGTCTCCCTCAGAAAGAGGCACGATGTTCTCAGGAGCGGTGTCCTCGTCCTCTTTAGGTACGTATTTGTCCCAGTCAGCTTTTGGTGGCATGGTTATGGTTTAGTGAGTGAGTGCTCTGGTGAGACTTAAAGTGGCGAGGGTCGTGCGGAGGTCAAAAAGACGGTGGCCAGGAGGAGCCGGAGGCCTGTGGGCGGGGAGCTTGATGATTTGTTTTGGACTTTCTTGAAGGTTCTTTTAGAAAAGCGGCTCTTTTCTGTTTGTGTGGATCGGAGGTGTTTTGTACTGCCAGGTTGGCTGCGAAACTGCGGACATGGCTGCGAAAGTTACTTGCTGGTGAGCAAGGCGGTGAATTGGGATCCTGGATCTTTTTGCAAGGCAATTTCAAATTGTATAGATGAGGGTAATTTCTTCACGGTTTGATGTTCTCGAGAATCCACGTAGCATACCTCTTCGCTGAGCGTACGATATGGATGTTAGTGGTTGTGTAAGTTCGACGCGAAGAAATCGAGCTGGATACCTTGAGACAGAATGTTGAAAGGAGCTAAGATTGGGTCAGGTTCCTGCTTATCATTAAGAATTGAGTTCTGTCCATCTCGAAAACCTCTTCGATAATCGAGACCCTTCCAATTGAAGCAATAGATGCACCAGGTTGGTTGGAAAGCCGTTCTTACTAACAAGACGCGATCAACTCCTTTGTATATCACTAAAGCAACATAGTACTAGGCTTTATCTTCATATAGGTTAATAATCTTGCAGTCTTCGTCGAGATGTACATCGATAGTGAAGCCTTCCACCATTTGAAAACATCAACGATGGCCCATGGAGCCTTATAAACCTCTAGACTCTTTTGAATGCTTGCTTGAAATAGTCTTTGAGATCCCTTCTTCCTTAGTTGTGTAGCTGAAGCCTGGTATCTTCAATGTGATCAGGCTAGAACGGCATGGACTTCAGGATTCGTCAGGCCTTCTTAGTATTAGACAAATGTCAATCCAAAGACTCAAACATCTTTGGTGTCCACTCCTTTAACACTTGCCTTTAACTCGACTCAAACTCTTGACTAAGCCCAAACCTTAACTCAAAGCCCTCTCGGCGGTGCCCCTCAATCATGACAGCTATTGTTTTCCAACAATGGGAACGCAACAATGAAGATTCTCGATCTATCAACGTGTCTTCTTTTACACCATGACTCCCACAAAACTGAGTAATCCTCGAAAATCAACAAATCCATGTAAAATGCTCACCTCCACCCCATTTGGACCAAGATCAACAGATCGATAAGCGACCTGCAGCGGCTCTTATCTGGCGCGGCTGTGACAGTTCTCGAGATCCAACGTTTTCTTCGATATCCAGATGGACTCAACACTTAGATGGTATAAAAAGATGTTTTAGGGAATTCTCTTGATGTAAGGCTTCAACGCGTTTGCTTATGGGTGTTTTATGGAATGTGACGCGTCTTGCCAGCACAATCGCCTATTAACTCTAAATCACTGGAGTAACAGGTAAATTGAGTAGTTTAGAAGATCATGGAAAACTAGAGATTTATAAATTTCTTTTTGCCAGCCCCGCATAACCCCTAGCGGATTATAAAAGGACCCTGTTTCGCACATTTTTGGCGTTTCCTCAGGAAAAATATATTTCGCCCTTTGGCTGTATGACCACCACCTTTGCACCACCAAAACCAAATCTAATCACAGGGAAACGTTTTTGTCCTCGAAATTACCCTTGAGGCTGCGTATTGGGTGATTGCCTGTTGTTGTGATGTGTATGGGCGTTGCTGCTGTGGCCCTTTAACCCAGTCACTTGTACGCTCACCAAACCGATTCTCATGACTTGGAGGCCGTTTACTGCTACCTGGAATGCCAGGGATAGAAGGTTCGCCTCGACCTGCGCATCCCTGCTACTTTAGTGGGGGTTCACGGCGAGAGGTTAACGGGAAGAGTGGTATGAGGAGGTTTTGAAGGAAACGGATTGGCAACCCCTTCCGGATAGCCTTCTCTGTGCCAGCCACTTGAACCGCCGAAGGCAAGACACAGGGGTCTGACTTCTTGAGACTAACTAGGCAGTTGGTATTCGTGCTCCCGTTTTTGTGCGTTGCTGGAGCGGTTGGGCAAGTAAGTGACTTGGGAGAACCGTATATATGTGTGAATTTTTTTTTTTGGGAATCTCACCACCGGTTCTTCATCTTTAATTGTGGTCTCGTGCAATTAAGGATTACGGCTGTCACGATTCACGGTGGAACCCCCATTGGAGATTTTACGCAGTCTCTGATGGAAGACTCGTCTGGCGTTGTTTGAGCTGGTCCTTGAAACAACCCCCCAGAAGACTGATACAGCCAGTTCTTCTTCTCTTCGGAGAGCCTCACATTTGGATTTATCATGCCGGTGTGAGTACGTTGCAAATGATTATCAGGTGGTTTGGAGCATACAGCTGGGCTCTTCATTTTGTTTTTGTTTTGGAAAGCGACAACTCCCACCAGTCGTTTTTTCCTACCCTTTTTGAACATGCGTCCTTGCTTGTGTGCCTCGGATATGTACCCTCGGGGGCATTCCGGGGAATTCCAACACGCGAGCCCTCGGAGAAGCCTGACCAGCTTTTCCGGTTTTTCATCTGTTCCTCGGAATTGAGTGGATGAGTGGAGAGACAGTGACTCAAAGGAAAGAGACCGGTTCCGGACGCTCGCCGGAGAGTTCTGCCTTCGAAACTTGTTTTGCTAATTCTGGGTGAACCCCAAGTTTGAGGGCCTCCTTGCTCAGACTTGTGGTGGCTGACAAGATGGGACTTTTTTTGGTGGGGTGATTGCAACAAATCCCCACATCATAAAAAGAATAAATCTTGGGACTTCGGTCTTGGGGTTTTTCTTCCAAGTCTGGTGATTTGGTTTTTTTTTTTTTTTTTTTTTTTCTTTTTTTCTTTTTTATGATTAATATATGATGATGGTTTTAACCGAGCCTAGCTCGGATAAGTAGATGACAGCTGCAAGTGATGCAGGGGATACAGACCTTGCATGTATTGTTATGCGAGTCATTAGACATTCACTGCAACGTGTGCGATTAATTATTTTGAAGGCACATATTCACTCGCAGGTGAATGCGTTAGATAAGGCAGTGTGGCGTAATGTCGTCTGTTGGATGTTATGCATAAGTATGTGACTTATAATTCATATGCACAAGTTGACTTATAATACATATGCACATGTATAACATACATGTAGACTGGCAGCACACTGTCACGTTTAGTTCGTAGATATTTCTGACTTTGAACACTCTCATAGTTAGGGAGACTTTGTAGTTAGTGTATACTTTTACTTACTCCTGAGACAAGAGTGGGACCTACTTCAGTTCATGGGAGTCTTGAGTTCAATGTCTGGCTGACAAAGTGAGGCATGGAACACCACTTCTCGGTATTCTGCAAGTGTGAGAGCTGACACAGGACCAGAATGACTTTCATGCCCCCCCCCCCGACAAACTCCAACCACCCCTCAACCACATCCCTCAGCCGCACCCCTCAACCACTAGGCCGGACTCACCCACTACCTTCTAATCATTATATAAAGTCTGTCATATACATTACTCAAGGGCTTTGGTTTCATAATTGAACTTCTAGTAAGACCGGGCAATTGGCAATTGGCTCCCTTCAACTATGCGGATGTTGCATGGTAAACACCACTTTTGGTATATAATTGCTGCAGATTCAGTTTACCTTCCCATCTCAAGGGAATCTGACTGAGGCCCGAGACATAGCATCCTTGCTTTTGAATCAAGGCTGTACTACATTCAAATCAATCCAACCTCGATTTTCCCCAAAGCCGTATCTTAAGTTCCTTTGATCAAGATGTGGGTGATGCCCTAACAATATAACAGGTAATATGCAAAGTACGTTTGGGTATCGGGCACAAATCCATAGCTCAGGTAACTTACCTGAGTCTTGGCTATACCCGGGCTATGCCCATCGTATCAACATTCTTCCTGGAACTGTCTAGCCAAAACGTCGTTACTTGGGAATATTGAAAGTTTATAATATAAAGGCTCGGGATTGCCAGGCCCATTGAGCCGACAGATGTACCAAACCATTTGAGGCTGTGGTTACGGTTGAGAATTTGTAACAGTATCAAGAAGTCCACTGTTGGGGATTCCCTTAGTCAGGGTCTTGGGTCCTTTTTACTGTGTCTCTGAAAGTTAAACGGGTCCAACTCGACCACAATTCGTACCATTTTGTTCGATTACAACAATCGAATGGTTAATGATACTCATGGGTGTGGCTAGATAGTAGTGTTATTCAAATCGATCACCAACAGAAGGTCTCCGGGTTTGTAATCCGGGCCAGTTTTTCATGCATTCTACTAAGAATAAGCTTCTGTGATGGTCTGATTAGTCTGATTTCGTATTCCAGTAGCCCCAATAATAAAAGCTCAAATAAGATTGGCTTTTCGGGACAAATAGCAGCATTTTCTTGATTTGAATCGCCTTACTTTACTTCCCGCTTCAAAATTTTATAAGGAGTTGCGCAAATGAAGGGCTACATGTGTGCTTCAATTCTACGGCAATATTGGTGGCGTCCTTTAATTAGAATCCCCATATTACTTCTCAATCTATCCTTTTGACGATAATGAGTTTAAATATCGGTTAGGAAAGTGTTTGCTTGAAGCATTCTTCAACGGGTCTCCTGTTATTGAGGTTGAGATTCTGTAATGGTATGATTTTCCGATTTCGTATTCCAACTGACCCAAAACTCCTTCCTTAAACTCTATCTAAATTGGTATTACTGTACGACTCATATCTAATTACTCTTAGGTGTTGCAAGAGCTCTATGCCTTGATTTGAATCCCCATACTTTACTTCCCACCCTAAATCTGATTTGAAATTGGAAATCTAAAGGGAGTCGAGTTTGCTTGATATCTCCAGCAAAATTGTGGTATCAGCTTAATTTAGAATCCCCTTATTACTTCTCGATCTATAATTCAATAAATCGTGTTGAAATGAAGAGTGTTGAACTGTTTACTTTAAGCATTCTATACCAATACAGAAATTATGTGATCTTTGATCTTGAAATGAGCCGAAATGGCCTGGGCCCGTTGATTACTGACATTTATCCCTAAATGATGCAGAAAGACATCAAACCTCTATGATTCCAATCAATAAACCAGTCAAATCATCATTATTGGGAGAAGCTCAATTACCCACTTCCGAAAACAGGTGATAGCTGAATGACGTGTTATTCTTCGTAAAACTAGGGCTGATTTCCATAATAATTAGTACCTCTATGTGTTTATTTGAAGCTTGAATTTGCTGGCACGGTTCACAATAAACGTTAGAAGTTGAGTGGGTGTCCTACTTGAGGGGTATAGGGAATAGTAAGCTGTTTGTAATAATAAGAGATCGTTTCTTGGACATGTAGATTTACTTCATTTGAAGATTTAGCGTTAATGTTTGCAATTTGTGGATGTTGCGCCCGAGAATGTAGTATCTTGGAGACGTTTTGAGTCACAACCCAAGCTCCACAGTGATATTTCCAAGGCTTTTTGGTACTGAATCGATAGTACAGGTTATTAGCTTGCTAAAAATACCAAAGAAGCCATTATTCGACCACTAAAGACAGTTTGACGGCCCTTGATACTTTCTCATTTTTTTATGATCAAGGGGGGACCCTTCAAATTTCACCACTTTTCGGATTTTCGAAATTTCGACTTCGGAGGTCCGGGTTTTATGACCAAAACCCCAGATTTTGAGGATGTTCGGGTTTTTATAATCTTCCCTATTTCCTATGCAATTAGAGGTGACATTTTGAAATAAGTACCTTATTTCGGGTAATGAAACAGCCTAGTCTTGGTATACTTAATTTTCGTCGTTAATAGGGCCATTTAGTGTTGATAATGTAGTCGAGATATATCTTGTAAGACGCACACAACTAGTGCGAGACAGCTATTTCGAGTTTTGACCGGAAATCGGGCTTTGAAAGTATAAAAGTCTTTCCGAATATTCTTTAGGCCAGTTTGAAACTCATATAGGAGTTTTGGTAGATCAAACTGGAATTTGGATTTTTATTAAGCAAATCACGATGTGTGCTTTTTACCAATTGTTGCGAAATATCTATAAAATCCAGAACCACAGGACAGTTCAAGGAGTAAAGCAGGATTATGCAGTTAATTGAGGAATGTATACTTGAAAAGAAGAAGTAATTAATGATACGAAAAATGTGTCTTACAAAAAAAAAAATTACAAACTAGGAATAGGAAATTAAGAAACGGTAAATGTATATGTACGGGCTAGAGTGTAACCTTCTTGATCATCCCTTCCATAATCGGGGCCTCCTTGTCAATGTCTACCATCATGTAGTTCTGTCAAATAAAAGAGTTATAGCTATCCGGATTGGCAGTTTAACAATCTATTATTATATGCTTTCTTACTGCCTTCGCTACAAACACTTCCACCCGTCATGAGGTCCCACGGCTGCTCAGCATTTCGTATGAAGCTAATATGCACTAGGCCAGGAGTAAAATCGAAAAAAACATATCCCTTATATCCCTAGGGGAGTTCGCCAAAAGTGAACAATGGCTCCTTACCGATCGTCTATTACCTGAAGTAGTTGACGGGGGGTTGTAAGTAGCCAGTAGACTCCCGCTATTCATGATTCTCCTAAAGGCTTGATAGGGTCATGCCCTGTTGCAGTCATCCTTCCTTCAGGAGTCATGATTGTTTGGGGAAGCTGAATCCCTATCTAGGAAGTTGCAGAAGAAGCTTCATTGGCACCTTCACTACCACCGCCCGTGATACACCGAAATCTACCTTGCCTGCTCTTGCAAATGGTGCATTTATCGTGAGTGTAGAACACCTGAGACTTGTGCTCCCGCTTCAGAAGATTCGGGTCCTTTTCATCATTGCCTGAGACTACGGTAAAGTTGAGCTCGGGGAATTGCTTTATCAAGTCAATGTGTAGGTGAAACAACATGCTGTCAATGAGTCAAAAGAAGCGATTGGTGAGGTTTAAAAGGAATGTTTCAAAAGAGATATCGCGTTTTTGTTGGGACGGACGATGATGGAGCCGTCCATAGGTGCGGCGCTAAAAACGGTAAACTCGGTTATGCGCTGCATTGACGTTTTCTGAAAGCTGAAAGAGCACTGTAACAGGGATCGATGCTGCTGATTGGAGACTTTTAATAAGATTCGAGAGGCTTCAGAACGTGACGTTATTGACTATATGCTCATGTTACAACGTTGTAAAAACCTCTGAGTTTTCATTCCTTGACGCATGTGGCTGTCAAGGTCCTGCAGTGCGCTATCAATTTTTTTGTTGAAGCCACATTGCATGGCCAGTGAATATCCTATCGAAAAGATAAGAGCGGGGACTTGCATTAATAAAGGTATTTTTATTTCTGTCTTTGAATTTTTGCAAATTCGGCCCTTGACCCTACGGACAATCCCCCATCCAAAGCATTCGCCCAAAGAGAGTGTTAGGTTTGCCTAACAGCATTCTAGTCCCTGAGATTAAACTCAATACTGGCGGATGTTAGAGGTATTTTTAATCCAGCTGACATCCTAGTGCCTCTTTAGGGTCAGAGCGCCTTATCGTCCTCGGCTATTTTCTGATAAGACTCTGCGGCGTCTGCCTAACCTGCTTAATAAGGCGCCGTACAGCTTCCGAATCACATATTCTGGGTATACCTGACAGGGAAGGCCTATAAATTCGAGATCTTAAGCTTCCACACGAGAATGTCTACAGTGAACTTCAAAACTTCATGTATGTAATGCAAGGGGTTTCCGTACACCTCCCCGTCTCCGCCCCGCCGCGCCTCCGGCCTGCTCCAGCGCCCACAGCTCGCAAAACATAGAAATTGGATATTTTTATATAGTCCCTTAATATTTAAAGAATCTCGCTGTCAGGCGAGAGTTTGGCAGTTTTTGACATGAAGCATTTTGGTGGATCACGGGAGCAGGAATAGTAAAAATTTCTGATTGAAATTACTGAGTAATTTTAATATCGCTGAAGTTTGCATCTATGTTGTTTTGGAGTGTTTTGGAATGTTGTTGGGGTAGAAAACCGGCTATCTATTACTTTCAATCCCTTCGGTGAGCTCAATCTCGAACTCCGGTTACGTTTCTAGACCCGTACCTCCCTTATCAACAGAACGGTCTGGTATTCTGAAACGAACTGTTTGCAACTCCCTTGGCGTACAATTCTGTTTTGATATTATTCTGAACAAATAAATTTTAATCCTCTCCGGGTACTTTGGGAGCCCACAGTATATCTGGTGTGTCAATTTGTTATCCTACACTAGCCCTATGTAAGCACAAACTTCAATCGAATTGTTCTACAACATTTCATACATTTCTCTCGATTGTCAACCAATTGAAACTGCTTCGATTGTCGCTGAGGATATGGTCAGTTGACCGTTTAGCTCCACACAAATGGCATGCCGTTGTTCCTTTACCGATGATCTCAAGAAGCTACGGTTACTTTCATGCTAAGCTTTCTTGACTCGTATAAAGTGCAAAATAATATATTAATCCCCAATATAGCAACTCCCAGGGCTTAACTTATTGTATACCCCTGTAGCCGACATCCAACAGTCTTGCATGTAATGACTCGAGACGCTTAGATGCTGTTGTTTCAGAGTTCGGTTGCATGGAGGCTTGCAGTTCAGAATTACCTACTTGACATGGTAGGGCTAGAATTTGATGGATGATAGAAATCCATTTTGAAGGGCATAGCTGAGAATACCAATATAACCTTTTCTCGAGAGTATGTGATAACATTGAGGGAGATATGGGAGATTCCTCTCATGCAAGGGATGCGGCGACACGCATAAGAATCCACCTCACTCGAGTAGCTGAAGGAACTGTTTTGAGAACAATTGAACATGGTAATCTTTTTGAATCATTCTGGTATAGTAGAGCTCAATCCAGTTTCATGAGTTGAAAATAATGATATAATCTTCAGGTGGATGGATCGTCAAGAAGACCTTGCGTCAGAGAAGTGTATACAGATGTTTGAGGCCTCCGACACCAGATCTCGAGTTTGGCCGATATAAATGCATGTTTCAATTAAAAGCAGCCCAACATATAACTTCAGGGAGCTGTTAACTTATTTATAGAATAGTCCAGTTCTTCGTGAACTAGGATATATTTAGCCAAATTGTGTTGGATAGTCAATAGAGTACACTACTATCCTGCGGGAGTAAGTAAAAGTAGGGCTCCTCGGATGATAAAACGGAGGTTACACTATTGAAATATTGCTGAAACAGAATTGAAACAAATAATGGGAAATACAACTTTCTCCTCCCCCTTCGACATCTGTTTCAAATGTAGATCCTGAGCCGCACCCTATCCTCGAGCTGCATAAGCGGGTAGTATTTAAATATCCGCTACTTCTCTACCTTTTGTCATAGTTGATTTTTAACAAAGAAAGGCTTCATCTGTCAATTCAGGCGATTCACCAATTCGCCCTTCTAAAAACGCAAAAGTCAAATCCGTCTCAACACCATTCTACTTGGTACCAATCGTATCTTGATGAGTGAAGCTAACATCGACCTGGGTCCCACCCAAAGCTACTCAACTCTGTCAGATTATTCTGAAGACCAGTCTTTCAATGACCCTAATCGGAGTTCTTCTCGGCCAGAGCAAGTCCCGAGAGAAGCCCCCGTGTTAACGCTCCAGCAAATTCCACCTCATACTTCAATCTTCACAAAAAGAAGAATGCTTTGAAGAGAATACCAAAACTTCCACCATCGAAGCAGACAGAACGGAAAATTTTGCCGTCAGCACAGTCTTGCTTCTGTTCTATGCCTTTCAATTGCTCACTTTGAGGGTGGTGGAGAAAAAGCCACATCCGGGTGTCGAAAGTATTTTCAATGACATCGATAGCTATCAACTAAATTTCTCAATGCAGCTCAACTGCAAATACGAAAATATATTTTCGTTGGAAACACGAGAAAGCCTTAAAACTTGTGAGAACTACAGTGAGAGGTTCTTTAAGGGCTACATTGAAGAGTTCAAGACTTACCTCCCAGGTTTCTGGCCAAAGTTGGAGGAAGCTATGAAGCAAAACAGACGTGTCGAGAATGGAACTTGCCCGACTGTTCTGATGGCTCATTGTGAGTTGGAGCCATTTGTCAGACTGGTACGGACACTCACACAATACTTCTCTGTTTGCCGGGATGTGTACAAAAATTTAGCTGGGTATGAATATCACTATGACCGTGCTAAGATATTTCTGCTCATGATTTTGCCAGTTGCGGCTTTTTATTTGAGGCGTATTAGCTATATTTGCAGTATTATGATGCTTGCGATTTCTAGTTTACTTATTGTATCTAGAATCGTCAGCTCTACTACTCCATATATCATGAAGTTGGTTTTCTTGCTACTGGCAAACGGCAAAGAGCCATTCCAATGGCTTGTATGAGCTGCAAGTATTCAATAAAAGCAATTATTCTACCAAATAATTAGAAGACAGAAGACTAGAATTGGCCGCTTATGAAGACCGTAGTAAAGATCTGGAATGAGAGGTACCCCTGAGTTTCTGACGACAGAATGAAATACTAATTCTATTTTAAGTGCATGTTTCATCTTGATGGATTTTTTGTCTTGTTTCAGATATAGCTCCCAAAATAGGATGTAGACCTTGGGCGGCTGAAACACGCGTCATTGACCGCAAGGTATAAAGTGCCCCGAATCCCCTCCCAAAATCCCTTTTTTTTTTTTTTCTTTTACCCCATCAATTTGATTCTCAAACTTATTCCACTATGACCTCTCTGATGGATGGAATCCACCAAGGAACAGAAAATGAGCTCATTCAACGCAACGAGTCAGGATCTACTAGCCAGTCTCAGGTAGATGTCCATGAAGAATCCGCCTCCTCGACATCGATTGATACAGAAATGCTTCCTGAACATGCGGAAGAAGTACCACATGTTAGTCCGCATTGGACAGACAGAAGACCGTTCTCCACTGTAAAGGCGTTTTACAATAGGAGGAACTTTCGTTTGCACGCTTTAAGCTTGATTTGCAGGATAATAGCTTGGTATTACCTAATCACAGGTATTTACCACTTGTTGATTTATTTTTGGTTGGTGTTGGAGCAAACACCCAGGGATTTTTATTGGGAAAAGAGATCACAGCAGCTAGCTACAAAGGATGAAATGGGTCTTTGGGAAGAAGCCTTGACGGCTTTGGGTAACAATGATCTGGAATGGTTTTCGCTTGTGGCGCTTTACATTCGCCGGGAATTCGGGAGAGAGCCAAGTGCTCCAAGAGGGTAGACTTTCTTTTAATGATTAAATAGAAAGCTGTCCATTTGAAAATGAAGAAGATGAAAAAAAGAAGAGATGGGTCTTCTCGGAATCCATATAGCCTTAATAGCGTATGATACATGTTGTGATGCACTAGATGCTCTGAATACCAACAAAGCCTCTCTCCCTTTACCCAAGTAGTCTTGTATTTTTCAATCTAACTTGGCCAATTGAATTTTTTTTGGTTAAACAACATTTGAAACTTGTATCAATTTATGTTCTGTGGCTCATTTGAAACCGTACTTACATTTCGCAACACTCCGCCAAATTCACGACAGACTTGAAATTTGAATCCATCAGTAAAAACCGAAAACTCCATATAGTCTCTATCTGAGGATATATAACCAATTTTCTATCGTTGTAAATCATTATCAAAAAGTTACAGCTCCATAAGTGGCCAGAATGTTACGTAAGCTTCCAGTTCGTGCGCTATACAAACAGCATGGCTTAACACCTAAAAGCCGTTTCACTCACAGAAATACGAGCCAAAGAACAATTTGTCAGCATTTCAAGAAATCACTCATCCACAATAAATCCTCGTTCTATCTCTTACAACACACTTCTTAACACTGTCATTAGTTATACATCTAATTATGATAGGACACACAGCTTGGTCCGGTAATGCAATGGGCTGGCGGCCCTACTTCTGCCCCAAGCTGGTAATACTCAAGGAGTTCATCTGTAGCAACATGTCGTCGATCTTGCCGTCCAACACACCGTTGGCGTAGTCGTCTCTGGACGCCTGGTCCAAGTACTGCTGCAACTGGGCCAACCGCGAGTAGCCCTCGGTACAGAAACGCAATTGAATCTTGACCAAACTCTCAAACGAAGGGTCGTAGAATGGCACTCTCAACGCAATGAGCTGAGGCAATTCGCTCTTCAACTGCTCGTTCAAGTCCTCGTAGATATCCTTTGCCATGGCCAATTCTTTCTCGGCACGGGCAACTTGGCAGCATCCTTTGCTGGCTTGTCGATCAAACGCCTCACCTTGGCTTTGCACTGGTCGTAGTCCGTCTTCTTGTGCGCTCTCTTCTTGATGGCTTCGTCAATCTCGTTGAAGTAACTGGCAAACTTGGTCACGGGGTCCAAAATGGTTTCTCGGAACGGTCCGTCCACCTGCTTCACCGTCTCCTCGTCTAGCTCCCTCACACATTGCATGTAGTACTGACCCACGTTGGAGTACACGGATCCACCCTGACGGGCCTCCTCATACAAGTTCAGCACGATTTCGGCAATCGTGACCTGCGATGCGGTGACGGCTCTGAGCGAGTCCAAGTAACCCTTGGAAGCCTTCTGTAAGTTTTGGCCTGCCGTCTTGAGCACCTTGTATCTTCTCTCCTCCATGTCAAAATCCTTGTCGATGGTCTTGTCGACATCCTTGACCATGACGGCACCACCGGCTCTGTTAATTGCTTTTTTGAATCCTCCCACGACATTGTGTAATTGGACGGGTTGTTGTTGGGGTGGAGGCGATAGTGGTTTTTTCTTCGCACTTAGGAGTGACGGCTACCCAGTGCCGCTGCAGAACCGAGACCACGTGACCGCGGGCTTGCTATATCGGCGCTTTTTGCAACCATTTGCACAATCACAATCATGTCTCTTTTTTCTTCGAGTGATCGTCCAAGTTTTCCCGGATCGTGGGTGGTTCCTTCGCCGAGGTCGGAATGGTTGGATCCACCGGCCACGCTTAACCCGAAATACTACTCTTCAGACGGACGGCTGAGTACGCTTGGTATCACCGAGCCGTTCAAGAACAACGACGTGGCCGATTTCGGCATTGAGCTTCAGAGTTTAAAGAGTTTTCTGAATCCGCCGTCGCCAGCAGGATCCTCGCCTCTTTCCACTCAGATCTTTTCTCCCGAGATTCCTCACATTCAAACAACTCCATCAGCAGTAGAACCACACATGACAGAGCCTTTGCTCCCAGACTCTGCTCCGCTTGATTTCACCTGCTTGCTTCCACAAGCGGGCGTCACTATGGCCCAGTCCGCGGGGCCAATGGCTGGATGCTGGGACTTAAACCCGAATAATCGGACTGACGAGAATGTCTTGTTGCACGTCTTGAGCGAGGATTTTGAGCGGGTCACTAGAACAGCAAAGGGGCCAATAATCAGGGCGGAGAAGCGGTCTTGGAAGAGTCTCTTGAAGGAGATGACAATCGGCTTGTCTGAACTAGAGTACCACAGAAAGTACTACTGGGCAAAGTACACCCATGACGAGGAGCTCTAGCTACCTAGGAAGACATCCTTCCATTTTCCTGTGCGGAGCTTCTCCAAAGTCACCTCCTTGTGTCTTAATGCGTTCATGTCATGTTTGAGAAACGACGTAGAGCAGTAGATCGATGCTCCAGCCCAAGCTCCAAGGCAGTACTTTCCGGAGACGGTAAGTTTGGGATACTCTTTCTGGGATTCTTTCACAAGATGTCTCTGGAGATCGATGCTGGCGATGTCGCCGCAGAAAACGAGGTTTTGAAGAACCTGTGGTCTCACATCCACCGCTAGATCCCCGACCAACTTCGCCAACAACTTCGGCAAACCACCGAACTTTGCAAAGTCTTTTAAAGCAGCATTTTCCGCACCATCGTCGTTCTCAGCTTCCCTAAAACTAATCGTCTCTTCTGAATAGTCCTCAGTGACCGTATGTTTCACAACTCTAAGTTCACTGAGGGCACTCACACGGCACTCCAGCCAGCCGAATTCAACAACAAGCGAGTCCTCCACACTGGCAGCCATAGATATACACGGAGCACGCGGTATGAAGAACACAGAAGTAGCACACCCCAAAGGCCCTAGTACAGCACTGCATAGCTGGAACTTATCCAACGCCGAACTATCGTCATCTAGGATCATGATCTTGACGTAGCGAGGCGTCACCATGAGCTGTTTCGTGACAACATGCTTCAAAAGGCGACATAGGGATTCATATCCATCCTGCTCCCAGAAAGCGAACTCACCTTTACGATGAGCTTCCTGGAATGCATTGAGGGACTTCAGCGATTCATTATCGTCTTTCAATGAGAGAAGAATCTCCTCTTTTTGTTCTTGAGTTATGGAATGGGATTGAAGCTGGAAGTAGCGTGGATATGTCTCTTTATATGGTGGATGGTAGCGAATCCAGATCGGCAGGTCAGGCCGTATTGAAACTGAAGGAGCCGCTTCTCCGGCAAAACCAATATTGATTTTCCGGGCGGAAAACTCTAAAATCACAGCATAGTACTCGTTGGCCATGACGGCCTGGTGCTACGACTACTTCTGAGGTGCCATGTTGATATCTTCGTTACGTATGCAGGTAATTTGCAGCCTCTAGAGAAGCTCGAGGTCGGCATCGTCCAAGTCCATGAAATCGTCTTCTCCTTTGTCCTCGACATCGACGTTGTCCTCAATTCTCTTGTCCATCTTCTTTTGCTGCTGTCTCTGGTGTTCCTCCAACTGCTGGAGGTCCCACACTGATACACCTTCAGCGTCTTTGGAGTTGGTGGGTTGTGCCAACGATCTCAAGAACTTCTTGGCGCTTGCAAGCGCCATGTCTGTGGAGAGATTGGTGTCGGAGTCATAAAGCGCCTGGGCGATCCATTTGGGAAGTTGGTTCTTCTTTCTTGCGAATCTTCTGTCTGCTAAAACCATGATTCCGTAGTCGTCTTTACCACGAAGGACTCGTCCCAAACACTGGGCAGCGTGTCGCATGGCATCGAAAGAAAGGAAGTCGTTCTCTTTAATCTGGAAATGGTCTCTCATGAATTCAAGACGGGCCTTCAAGATTCTCGACTCGGTGTACTGGAATGGAATACCAATCATGAGGACGGTTCTTCCGTAGTGATGATCAAAATCAATTCCCTCGGAAACCTTACCACGAGCCACCGAGAGAAGCACTGCACCTCTTCCGTTGGAACATGCTTTTCTATATGTCTCCAACGCCAACGACGTCTCCTGCGCATCAGGCGTTTCCACCAAGATCAACTTGTACTTCCACACCTCATCAAGCACACCCATACTCTGCCACATCGAGATAATCGACTCCATGTAGAGATATGACGGGAAGAAAACAACCATACCATCGGGCGTGATCTTGGAAAACTCTATAAGCAACGATCCGTAGTTACGGACCACGGAGGGATCGTTTCTGATCTCGAATCGCGAGGAAATAGACACCTGGTCTGAGCCCTTGGTGACGATCATCGGCAAGAACGCCCTTCTGGCCAATGTCATGGTATATGACTCTTGAATGACCGTCTGGAAGTTCATCATCTTGGGGTACATATCCAAGGGGGAGATTGTTCCTGAGGTGATGATAACCGATGAAAACCTGTCGAAGACGGGCTTGATAGCAATGGAGGCGTCCAAACAGGTGAAATGCAAAATGGGATTAGGAACCTGGGACCCCTCGGTCTCGAAGGGCTCGAGAATAAGCTGGAAACCGGTTTCATAGGTAGAAACCAAAGTTGCAAACGTTGCAATGTCTTTCAAGGCATTAAGATCCTCAACATCAGCAAGTTCGAGTGTTCTGACCAAAAGCGATAGACGTTCTGAACAGAAGCGCAATGGTTTTCGGTCGATGAAGGTGAGTTCCTTCAAGTGCTGAAGAAACGAGACAGGCGTTTCACTGATGACATGGAGAACCTTCATTCTCGTCTTCAAGTACTCAATGAAACGTTTCAAGAAGGAGATGAAATGCTCGGCTTTTCTGATATTGCCCGGAATGGCCTCGTCCAAGAGATCTTTGGGTAGCACAGGATTGGCCATAAAGAGGTCCTCTTCTCTGGCAATCTCGTTCTGCCTTAGACCTTCCACGAGCTTCTCGTACTCGTTTTGGAGTTTTTCCGAATCCTGGGCCTTCATCTCGTCCACGGCATCAGCGAGCTTATTAGCACCTCGTGACGCTCGCTTCATCGTGTCGTCAGTCAAATATAGCGATAGCGACTCAATACAGACGTTATCGATGTTGTGAGCCTCGTCGAAAATAATGATACTATCTCTGGAGAGCTCTTTGGACACTCTTTCTGCGATCTTCGGGTCCAACAAGTAGTGATAGGAATAAATAATGACGTTACAGAAGGAAATCATTCTTCTGACTGTGAAGTACGGACAAGTGCCCTCCTTCTTGCAGTACTCAAGCAACGACTCAAAGGAGTACACGCCCTGGGGCAAAAGGTCATGCTGATCAAAGTCATTCAACTTCTCGTGGTACGAGCAGAGCCCTAGCTGGTCAGGGTTCTGGATCATCTGTTCCTGAGACACACCCTCCGACTCGAGTTTCAGCTTGAGCTGTCCGTTGGTGAGTCTTCTGCACTTCTCATCGACAACAGCGCCCTTTCTCTCCTGGCGGACCTCCGGATGCAAACACAAGTTCTTTCTCGACGTAAGCCCCAATCCTCTAAAGTCCTCCACATACCCTAGTTGACTGGACCTGTAGTCCATAAGCTTCTGAAGCTCGATAAGGGCCTTTTCGATCTCCGACATTGTACGAGAACAATACACAATCTTTCTGTGTTCTGGGTAATGCATCTGGTACGCCACCGTAAGCGAAAGCAACGACACCGTCTTGCCTGTTCCCGAAGGCATCTCTAGGATACAGTTGCCACCGACATCGAGTGTTTTCTTGATGTCGCTCATATAAGCATACTGCTCCGGGTAGATTTTCGGGTACGGGAAGAGCACCGGCAAGTCGTCGATGTAGAATTTCATGACTTGGGAAGAAGTACTAGGGTGTAGTTAGCTTGCGATATCGCGATGTGTAGGACCACACAGTTGCACAAAGTGGGGAGGCAACGAGGGGGAGTGAAGTCTTGGTGGATGACAAATCCAGAGTAATTTATGAAAAAGAGACAGTTTTTTGATTTTTCTTCGGAGTTCGGAGATTTTTCAGTCGATGGCGGGGTGACTAAAGGCGGTGATGCTAGTGGCTGCGAAATCGCTGCAGTAGTGAGACACCAGGTAGTGAGAGAGTTATGTCTAGATTCAGAGAAAACTTTCTTCTTTTTCTGAAAATGATATTATTGGCTGCTGGAAAGAAATTTGCAATCCACCTTATTGAATGTTTTTTAGAACAAGACATCGCTGTTGCTTTCGATACCAGCAATCTTCAGTAATGCTCAAAACCAATAGGCATTGCATGGAGCCAATTAGCTTGTAGGCCAATCTCACTGATTTGAAAAGTTTCAAAAAGTTTTCAAAACTCCTGAAGAAGTCGTCATTCGACAAACCATCCATCATACGACTCCTCCAACGGTCTCCACAATCATTGCTTGATCACCGCTTGATCACCGCTTGACTCTATTCAACCAAAGCCAATCTCACCATCGACTCCCCACCCATCGATAACCTCTACACTCCACCGTCGTGAATCGTATATTCGTTGTCGTCGTGACGTAACGTACTGTAGCGAGTAGACCGCCTGGTCACCTAGGCCAAGCTCATGCCTACCCAAACTTCTTCACCAAAAGCTCCTTGATCTGGGGAAGATAATATCACTGGTCTTTCCACCCACTTCATGCCACACGCCTCTTCTCTGGTAGTAAGACCGGATCTCTTCAATCTCCTTGTTATACTGGTCCAAACGCAGCTGCAACAACACGGCCTCATCGTCCTCCCGCTTGATCAATGGCTCTCCTGTATCATCGTCTTTGTAAGGCACTTCCGGCGGATCGTACTCCAAATTGTATACCTTGCCAGAGGGCGGATGCACCCACCTCTTCTCTACACGGTCCAAGATCAACTTCTGGTCCACGTTCAACTCAATGGCCATTGTAACGCCGGCATTGTTGCCATCGAGAATTCTGTCCAAAGCGACCGCTTGGGCCTTGGTACGGGGCAATCCGTGCATGACCCAGTTGGACGTCGTGTTGAACCAATTGTGCTCGTACAAGAAGTTCTGGACCAAGCACATGGTGACGTCGTCGGGGATAAGCGAGCCTGTTGCCATGAGCTTCTTAACCGAGGAGCTGAAAGGCAGTCCCCTGTCGATTTCTGTTCTGAAGATGTGCTTCAGAGAAAGCGACGAGACATTGAGGAAGGAGTCTTGGATTCGGGCACACTGTGTAGTTTTCCCGGCTCCGGGAGCACCGAGGAGCACGATACGGGCCGGTTTGGCGAGTTTGACAGCTTTGCTGAGGGGCATCTACAAAAAAAAAAGTGGTTGTTTCAAAAAACAGCCAGATCCGGGCTACTTATACCCTGCTGCTGTGTGAAGGAAGTTGGGGATTCCCAAACGGGCACCTCGCCTGCAAGAGGGGAACACTATTTACAATGTGGCTTTGGTGGGGCCTTAGTTATTGCGGTTTCTATTTGCAGCTAGGGATAGCCCGATGGTGGTGGCGCTTTGATAGGCTGGATTGGTGGGAGTTAGAGGTTGGAGGATTTGTGGTGGTGGAGGTGATTTTTTGAAAGAAGAGATTATTGAGATTATTGGGGATTTTGAATTGGATTTGGGATCGTTAACTATGAGGTTTTTTGTAGGTTGGTGTTGGTACAGCGGTGTTGATGCAATAGCTTTAGTCTGCGCTAGATAAGCATTGCTGCAGTAGACGTAGATTCCAGGCACGCGCCGAAGTAGGGGGATTATTTAGAAATTAATTAGATTTTATTGATGATCAGATAATTAGTTAGTTGGTTTTCATATTTTCAAGGCACAGAGGTCAATGGCTAACATACTAGGCTGAGGTGAAATAAGGTTCGGGCTCGGAGTTTATGGCTGCGAAAGCTTCCATCAGGTGGTGTTACAGTCTACACAGAAAGCGAAGATCGACCGATTGTGTGGTCTAGTCTTCCTGGAAATGACGTCAAACATTGGAAGACGTGGATTTTTGTTTGGATTGAGAATTGAGTATACTGTCCGATTGAGACACAGCTACAACCACTTCTGAATGCTTGTCCACTCGATCTATAGACTTGATGATCATTTGGAGATCTTGCGGCCACAGTGAGTTCAGGCAAAATTTGATCTAGACGACAAATTCAAACGACATCAAACCCAAACAACGTTCATTGAATCGATACGATCGATGGACGAGGATGATGGAGGTACTTTCCTATTGGGAGGTCGATGACACTCCACGGTCGACAAATCCGACCTCAAGACTTGGAAATTCGGCAATTGACTGTTGAGCCACTTCTGAGAGAACGCAAAAGTGCTCCTTCGATTCCCATCGAAGCCAAAGGAAGAACCTCGGCCTTCTGTTCCAGCTCGAGCTCCAGTCCATACCCCAAACCTCAATTTCCCTCCAGTCTACCACCACCTACGGCCTGTCGAACTTCTTCAAAATCAAGTCCTTGATCTTGGGGAAAATAATGTCGCTCGTCTCGCCCGCAACACCGTGCCAGATGCCCTTCTTCTGGTAGTACTCCCTGAGCGTCAGGATCTCCTCGTTGTACTTGTCCAACCGCTTTCCAAACACCTCCTTGGTGTCGTCCTTGCGCTTTTCTAACTTCTCGCCCGTCTCGTCATCCTTGAATGGCTCCTTGGGAGGATTATAGTCCAAGTTGTACACTCTTCCAGAAGCAGGATGGACCCAGCGGGCCTCCACTCTCTCCAATATGCTCTTCTGGTCAACCTCCAACTCCACGACCAAGTTGATGTCGGCTCTGTTTTCCTTCAACATCTTGTCCAAGTCTCTGGCTTGGTTGCCCGTTCTAGGGAACCCGTCCAATAACCACAGGGCGTTGCCATTGAGCCAATCGTTGGCCAACAAATGATTCTTGATAAGTCCAACCATCGTGTCGTCGGGCACGAGCTTTCCTTCCTCGATAAACTTGGAGACTGCCAGGCCCAAAGGTGTACCTCTAGCAACCTCGGTTCTAAGGATATCTCCCGAGGAAAGGGCATTTAAAGTGGGAAGAGTTTTCAATAATCTGGAAGTCTGGGTGCCTTTTCCGGCACCAGGTGCTCCAAGAAGGAGAAGTCTGAGCTGTTTTGCTAAGACCATTGTAGTGTGGGATTAAGAGTAGTAGGTTGTGATTTGCATCCACCGCGAACCGTCCTGTGATAAAGGATTTGGCGAGGAAGATTTACGTAAAAGGCAAAAATGGAGAGGAAGAAATAAATTGGGAAATCTATGCTTTTAAGTCATGGAGACCCGTCTTGCTTTGCTGTATATACTCACTTGCTGCCGCAATTCCGAGACCTGATTTAGTCCATGTCGCCTGTGACAGCCTGCCCGATGCAGACCGAAAAATAGACCAAGCTGGGATACTGTTGCTTTTGCGCCAGGGTCCAGTGGAGCCATCTGGGCTCCTCTTCTATAGTACAATGTGTAAGTAGCAGCCGTCTGCGTCTTTAAGCCGGGCTCTTTTTGATCAATTGGCCTTGAAAGCAATCCAAGAGACATACAGCCTCACTGGCCAAATGTGGACCAATTATCCCGAGATCGACAGAGCAATTGCGAGATGGCATCGAAAGGGGAAATACCTCGAGACAGGCACTCCCTAATGTAGTTTCAGAAAGCCCAATCAGCCACCACCACAAACCACCCCTAAGCCGAGCACCTAACGCTTAAGAGCGTTGACGTCGTCCCGAATAGGCCCAAACCTGCATGGCCTAATTGGTTACTGCTAACCTCCACCAACTTACTCCTCGTCATCAGAATCAATGATTCTTCTGCGCTTCCGCAGAACCTCCTCCTCGTCTCTATACTTCGACGCTCCCTCGTCCTTCAAATTCTTCAAACGCTCAGCTCCTCTCTCAAACTCCTCCTCCTCAGCCTCGGCATCCTCATCGTCAATCTCCAACTCCTCATCGTCGTTGGCCACGAAATCATCCTCGTCATCGTACTCGTCGGCTCCATAGGCCCTCTCAAAACGCTCGTACGCAGACTCCTGGCCATAACGGGGCGCAGGGCTGTCGGACTTGCCCAAACGCTCTTCTTGCAAACGACGTTTTTGCTCCAACTGTCTCTTGGCCTTGAGGTTCTTTCTCTCGTTCTCGTCGGCCATTCTTTGCTTCAACATCGGATCTCTTTCGGTCAACGTGTTCAAGATCTTGTCCTTCTTCTGAATCGTCTTGACGGCTTGCGTCAAACGACGATGCGTTTCGGTGAATGTAGATGCCGGTATAAGGTTGGCAGAACGGGTCAAGGCAGCCTCATTTTGTAGAACCTCGTGCTCAACGTATGATCTGGCCAAGAAGTTATCGAGAATAGGCTGACTCTTGAAGTCGAAAAGCTCGTTTCCTACCTTCAAAGAAATCAGACCATCGTCCCATTCGACAAAGTGTGCGTTGGACTGCTTGATAATCTCGTCGTTACCGGCGTTCAGGTATCTCCATCTGATGGTGTTTTCATTAAGGAGCTTTTCTGCCACAACATCGTTCTGCATCTGCTTGGCGTCCATTTCCATCTTGCTTCTTTCTTCAGCATTTCTAGCCACTCTTTCCTTGAACTCTGTAGGATCAAACGGATGAGCCTCAACGTTCAAAAAAACAGGAATTTTGATGGCAAAAACATCGCCTTCGGGTTTATGTGAAACAGGGTGCCTGGGCAACGTTAAAGTGGATGTTTTTAACGATTTCGTCTCGGTTTCTGAACTCGAGTCATTTTCATCGTCAGATTGCGTAACTGGTCTGGCTTGTGTGGTCTCTTCCTCAACATCATCTCCAAACAAATCATCAACTTCTTCTTCCCCGCTCAAATTGGATCTTTCCTCGTCAGACATGGTGCAGTTATTTCAAATCTGTTGAAGGTGTTTTTTCGACCTTCTCAGTTAGCGATACGGTCACGTGCACCACACATAATGGCTGCAACTTTGTATCCACATAACTATAATCTACATACACATACACAGGGCCGGGGGCCCACGGCCGGGAAATAAAAAATCTTGCTTGCGCTACCCCTGGGGCGCCTCAGAAACGATGATGGGAGGCGACAATTTAGACGACCCGCGTGATTCGTAGCCCCCACTCGCTGCTTCGTCGCTGGCATCAGCATTCACCACGTAGAGAAGATTGGGCACCTCGGCCTGTCTAGGGCGCCGCTGGCCAGCATCAGACACGTATTCGTCGTCGCTGGAGCCAGAGGCGAAATCTTGCTCCGTGTCAGATAGCGTTACGCCTCTTCCTGGAGCGGTGGTGTTGCGGAAACCAATAAGGTCTAAGTCGTCTGGGTTTGGAGACAGTAGTGACTGGCTGTGCTGTCTACCATTGGTGCGTGCGTTGAGGTATGAAGCCGCTGCAGGCTTGGCCTCAGCCTTCGGGCTTGCCCGGGTATCTATTGGTGTTGGTGTTGCAGGCTCCGGAGAGGACTGCTCCTGGTTGGGCAAGAGCTTGTAGGCATATTGTATAAGGAATTCGACGACAGATTGCGAGAGAGCGTACTCATCGGGATCCATATCGTGGTTGGGGTGGGAAAGAATGGACGGCTGGAAAATGGCGGCCAAGTTGCGCGCCAGCATGAGGTTCTCGTGGGCATTGCTTTGGACCATGGCAAGGAGGTCCAAGATATAGAAAAGGAGCTGTTTCAGGAGCTGTGGTACGTCGTCAAGGAGCTCCTTGTACTCGTCAATGGCTTCGTACACGTCTCGCGTGAGCTTCTTGTAGTTACGAGCTTTGCGTTGGGCCTTGGTAGGCAATGGACTATCCTGTTTGGCCTCGGATCTGGCTTTTTCCAGTGCAAATGGTGCCGTTGGTTGAGTCGTCTGTTCTGGATGGTTTGCTTGTGGGACCAGCTGGGATTGCTGTGGTTGAGGAGGGTCGGAGAGGGCAGTTTGGGACAGTTCTCTGCTGGCTTGGGCTTGGGCTTGGAGCATTTCCTGTGAGCCCAGGCGCACCTTCAGCGGGTTTTCTGCCTTGTAGCGCATGTACTTGATGATTCTAGGACGGGCTTTGAGCGGGTCCCTAAACTCGTCGTAGAGATGTAGCGGGATGAGCGGCTCAGGAAGCGCATTGAGGTAGCGCCGAAGCACGGAGGCGGCGTCGTGGACGGTGTAGCCGTCCCAGGAGAGCTTTTTGCCGAACTCGGGCGGCAGGTTAAAGATGATTTGGAGCTCCTTGATACGCTTGGAGGCGCCTCCCACACGGAAGATGCCCTCCACGTTTAAGCCGTTTTTCTTAAGATAGACACCGCACTTGGCCACGACCACGGGGATGCGGCCGTAGTGAAGCACGTCGTCGGAGGCCAGTTTGGGAGCGGCCGTGGCGCCCAATATGGAGATCTTGGCCAGAGCCTGTGTGATGGCGTCGGCCAACGACACGCCAAAGTACTTGCTGTTTTCGTCCACCAACGGGTTGTTCTGCAAGAAACTGTCCCTGTGCTGGCGCAAGTCCAGATTAGCGTACAGCAGGGTCTGATTGGTGGAGCTCAGGTTCGACCGGACCCGGTTGACATTGTTGGTCAGCCGCAGCTTGTGCTGCAAAAGCGGCCTCAAGAAGTCCAGCAGCGGCAGCGCGTGCGGGAACGGGATGGCCCCCTGCGGCGCCGGAGGCATCTGGTGGTTGTTCTGGTGGTGATGTTGGGGCAGATGATGGAACCCTAGGTTGAAGGAGTGGCCCAGCGTGTGTTGTCCGTGGGAGCCGTGGGAGCCGTGCACGTGCGAGGATCCAGGAGACGCCACGGAGCGGGAGGGCAGGCGGGATTCACCCAGAGGCCCATCGGAGTCGGACACTTCGTTGACGGAGTCATTCAGCATTGTGTTTCGCTTGAGGTTGCGGACCCAGCCGAATATCAGGCCGCGGTTCGTCGGGGATGCCGAGTGAGACATCGGCTGCTTTGGGGTGGTGATTTATGGCGGAGGGGAACGGTAGGTTGGAAAAAAAGTCGTGGAGTAGTAGGTGGTAGGGAATGTTGATAAATGGCTGTGTGTGTGCCTGGTGTACGGGTGCGCGTGATGGCGAGGCGTAGAGTCTGGCTTTCTCTGTACTAAGCACAATGACCTGCTACACGTTTGAGGCAAATGGAACAAAGACGGGTTGGTTATATGTCGTCTTTTGACGGGGGTGTGTTTTGTTGATTGGTGATTTTGGAAAGTCGTTAATTTTTTTGGACAAAATCGTCAGAAGAAATTGTTAGACGATGGAGGGTAGGAAGAAGACAGGAGGAATTGAGAGACGAGGAAGGCCGAGGCAGAAGAGAAAATAACGGATTTTGAGTTCAAGTACAGTACGGATGTTTGGTAAGGTTTCCAGATGAAGATCCATCCAGCTGTGTCTGCTATGGGCCAATCCACTACCTACCGGTTTTGTACAGACGACCTTCTAGCCAAAAAGAGAGCCAAAAGGCTTTGACAGAATTTGGTTCGATACCAGCTGTGAATTAAGTTTCTGAAAACGCAACATCTTATGTCTTTACCAGTATGGCTGGTACTGGTGCGTTTGGTGCCCGGGTGAGGCGGTTCAGCGTGTTGGTAATGACGTATCTTGGTTATTAACTTCCGCAATATACTTCCCCGATTTGCCCTTGCCGTTGATCAGAAAGTCCGGATCACTGCTGTTGATCTTTCCTCGCAGCTTCAGTTAAGCTTCCACAAAGCGAGCATTTGCAGCCATTCCCGCTGACACATGGTCCCACTTCTACAAGAATCCGCTTAGCTCAGCGAACTCAGCTTCCCCGAAATTACCATATTCTGACGTTCAGCGGCCCTATTTCTCGCTGGCCCGCCATCCTCGCCGACCTACCCGCGTATCTACACTATCCACGGAACAACCGCTCCACGGTCACGTTTCGGAACTCCCCACGGCCTCCTGGTTGGTTCCTTCGCCATACTGTATGGCACTTTGTGACGCCTGCTGGTCATCGCAGGGGAGAAGCACAAGAGGCTATGGTGCATGAGAACACCCGTAAAGCTGTCTTCTTTAGGCCGCCGACGGGATTGAGCGGTGCAGCGACTGAGCGGTAAAAGAGAGTTTTGGTGATTAGCAATCTGAAGCAATTTAGAGGCCAAATCAAGGATGGGAGGCTGAAGCCGGAATGTGTCAAGGTGGGGTGAGGGGCCCACTTGGAGTCACACCTTGGGCCACAGGAACGGTATTTCCTTTAGAGGAAGAAAAGCCTTTACATTACTGGCATTTCAAAGCATTTTCGAAAATACCTATCTTCTAAAGGCAATGCCGCTGATGGCCTGAGGTATGACCCCGGATTCTCATTGCCAGTTGCTGCCAGGAACATCCTGCAAGGCATTGCATACATCGACGTTAGTTTACCCCGGATCGGCTTTTTGCCTCTTTGATTCCTAAAAGATGACCCTGTTTTGCTGCCAAATATAGCCCCATCCTTCCCCCCCCCCCGGCTGACTCCCTGCTTGACTCCGACAAGCGTGATCCTCGGGACCCCACATATTTTTGTCCTTACAAGAAACCCATTTCTTTTCAGCCAGTCAAGACGTTTTCGACCAATCATGTCAGCGAAGTGGTGGCTGAGCCTCCAGCCTCAGAGCTTACCGTGACCGTAGCCTCCATACAAGCCCAAATAAGAAGCTATACGAGGCGACCGGTTACGTGGCAAAAGGGAGAGGGAAAAAAGGAAAAAAGGGAAACAGGAGGGCGCTCGTCAAACGTCAATTTTTCGGATACAGGCCAATCTGAAAAATTGTGGCCCTAATTCAGGGGCACCTACAATGGGACCCTAGTGCGTACTCTATAGAAGCACCTCACCACTTTGGCTCACTTCAACGGTGTTTGTTTACTTAACGCGTGAAACCCGTACACCACAACATCCTCCATAGTTAAGCGACCTCACCACTTAACAAACCACAACATGCTGCCCAGGCGACCTCTACTGAAGGTTCTGCTCAATACAAAACGCAGCAGCGAAAAGGGAAAGTCTCCTTTTGTCGACTATGCTGTTGCAAAGTTGCCTGCCACCCCGCCAAAGTGCAAAAAACTCCTGCTAGACGACTTTGAGTTTGGCAAAGTATTGGGCAAGGGCAAGCTAGGCAAGGTGTATTGCGTGAAGCACCGGGAACTGGGACTCGTGTGTGCCATCAAGGCCATGAGCAAAAAAGATTTGGTCAATCTGAAGCTAGAGAAGAATCTACGGAGAGAGATTGAAATCCAGAGAGACTTAGTCCACCCCAATGTATCTCGCTTGTACGGCTACTTCTACGACGACACGAACGTCTACTTGATTCTAGAGTACGCGTTGTATGGCGAAGTGTACCAATTGTTGAAAACACGGCGCCGTTTCGACGAAATCACCGCATCAAAGTACATCTTCCAGGTCTCCCAGGGCCTCCAGTACTTGCACTCCCACAATGTCATCCACAGGGATATCAAGCCAGAAAATATTTTGCTCCTGGATTTGGGCGACGTGAAACTCAGCGACTTTGGCTGGTCCGTGAAGCTGGATCCGTTGACCCAAAAAAGACTCACTGTTTGTGGAACCTTGGACTATCTTTCACCCGAGATGGTCGAGTCTCGCTCCCACGATTTTGGCGTTGATATATGGCTGTTGGGTGTTTTGGCGTACGAGTTCTTGGTTGGCAGACCGCCTTTTGAAGACGACGACAAAGGCACCACCTATAAACGAATCGCACGTGTGGACCTACGAATCCCGGGATTCTTGTCCGAAGAGGCTGCCGACTTTATCACTAAGCTTCTACAGAAGAACCCTCGTCAGAGACTTGCATTGGCCGAGGTTGCCAACCATCCATGGATCGAGAAGCACCGTCCTCACTGGAAGTCCGTAAACTAGTCATGAAAAAATGCATCACGAAGGCAGTCGAATCAATTGCATGAATTCGGCATTTGCATGGTTTTAAAAGAGCCGAAACACGGCATCATAGTCATAATACAGAGCTTCACCAAAGTGAAGCATCAATGAACTAAAATTGTAGATCTACACCACATGGACTCAATCACTGTTACCCAAGGACACGTCTACTATACATATATATTACACACCAGCAGCTCACAGAGACTGTGCTGGAACTTGACGCTGCTGAGAGCCCTGCTGTGACTGCAGTCTCTGTTGTTGCTGCTGCTGCTGCATCATTTGTCTTTGCTTGAGCTGCTGCTGTTGAAGCTCAAACACACGTTGCTGGAATTGCTTTTGTTGCTGGTAGTTGTACTGGGCAGTTGTAGCAATGGCCTTCAGTGCTGTTCTCACGTGGTAGAGTTCGCCTGGAATAGCAGCGCTGGTTTGAGTAGATGCCTGGCCTTCTGAAGCTGGAGGTGCATCAACATTGACAAGAGCACATCTGCCTTGAAGACCGCCAATGGAACCTGAAATCGCCTGGTTGGCCAAAGTGAGGTCACCCAGCGAAGACAGCGAATCTGCAGCAGAAGCGCCGTTGGTGATTAAAGCGTTGGCGTATGCCTCTCTCATACTGAGGAAACGGTGCCTGTTTCTAGTGGGATCATAACCTTGCGCTCCAACGGCACAGGGGCACTCTTTGACACACCCTCCAAAACCAAATGAGTCTCCTCATCAGGATCAAGCACCACAGGGAGACTACCAGCACCGCCTTCTCCACCTTCCACACCGGCCATTCCAGAGAGTTGAGCATTCTCCCTCCTCTGAGCAGCCAAGGCATTGTTTTGGGCCATTCTGGCCTGGTTACGCTTCTGGTATTGCTGTAGCAAGACGTCGTACGGAGCTGAACGTCCAGGAACAGCTCTTTTTGCACCCATTGAATGGGTCTTACATGTCAACGAACGGGCACAGAAACCGCCCATGGGTAAAGGCACACCACACTGTTTCTCAACATCAACAGGGCCCTTGGCCTTGGTGGGAGCCTTGGTTTTTTGCTGTTTCTTCTTCTTCTGCTGATTATTGGCTCTTTGAGCAGCAGCTTCAGCAGCAGCAGCCGCGGCAGCGGCAGCATTGGCAGCCTCCTTCTCCTTCTGCATCTGAGACTTTTTGTACTTCTTTTTGGGTCTCGGCTGGTCCTTCAGTTGCAGAGCCTGGGATCCAGCTGGAGTCGCTGGAGCAGGCAGCGCCATTCGAGACAGGTCGACCGAGGAGGCATCGTTCAAAGCGGCTCTTCCCCTCTTTCTCTTGTTGGTGGCCGCCAGCGAAGCAGCGCCGTTTTCTGTTTCAGCTTTCTTCTGTTTCATCTCCAAGCAACGCTCGTAGTGTGTAGTCAAAGATTCCTCGCCTATGGGCCGGCCACAGCTTTTGCAGATTTGGTACTTTGAAACCTGAGAAAGGTAGGAGGATTCGGAAAGTGAGTTGTAAAGAACGGTGTTCAGGGACGCCTTCGAGTTGTTGTGGTCCAAATGCCAGTCAAGCTTCTTATCCAAGTATACACCTAGGTCCTTCCACACGGCTTTAGACGGGTTTGCAGGAGACGCTAGGGAGCGAACGCTATCGAGAGTGACGATTCTGGACAGGCCACTTGTGGACATGCTCTGAGAAAGACACTGGTGGATGTCTTTCGGTGTGGTTTAAGATAAGTTTTGGAGGTGTTGAGGTTGTTCTGGTGATGGTGCACGGGTGCGAGGTGTAGGTAGGACCCCATGGCTGTGTTTCATGGGAGTGGGTGTGTTGTTTGGGGAGAGAGTATTATGGAAAAGAACTCAAGAGATTCATGAAGTTTGTGATTTCAGAGCATTGTGTTGGGAATTGTGTGTGTTTTTGGTGTGCGTGTGTTTATATGTGGTGGAAGTGGGGGATGTTGGTTGCGAAATGGTTGCAAACGAGCCGAGTTGTAGATTATTGGTAAATACAAGATGACATAAAAAAGAATCAGTTGAAGTTTTACAAATTAATAGAATTGAAGAAGGAAGCGGCTTCTTGTCTTGTTTGGCCATAAGTAGGAGGACATTGTAGCACGTCTTTAAGGAACCAATGGGGTGGATAGCATAGTAATGGAGGAGGAGAGTGCTTAAGCTGTTAGGTCAACAGGGCCTTTTTTGCTCTTCTTGGGATCTAAATAGCTTAAGAAGTCTCAAACGACTCCAAAAGATCTTAATGATTTTCGAACGATAAGGCCCAGAATGCAATTGCATCGGATGAGCTGAAATTTCAGCAGATGGAGCACACGAGCGATAAGAATATTGACGTTTCATTATTCAAAAGTCCCTGGCAAGTGAAAAGTTACAATAACCCCAAAAACTCTGTGTCTTTATATCCCACGATTGAGCCACCAAAACGACCACTGACCCGATAACTCCACATCCTCGACATCCACCATCAATGTCATCGCCCAGCAACACAATCAAAATCAACAAACAAAGACCCGAAAACTCCTCCCTCCGACGCGTCAGCCTTCCTTTCATCCGGCAAACCTCTAAAAATCCTCACCACCTCCCCAATTCAATCATCCCCATCTTATCTTCCTCCCTCAGCCTCACCAATTTCCACCTCCCACACCTCATCCACAGCCTCCCGAAAATCAACTGATTTTCTCAAACTCTGCCCTACTTTCCCGCCAACAATACCTCTCCTCATCGCCAAACGGCTCTTCGAGATTGTGCCATTGTTAGTGCTTCTCTGGCTAGATCTTGGCCTGGGACGGCTGCAAACGGGCACTTCAGCCGGATCCTCGGGTGCCCACGGCCAAAAGTGAAAAATCGCCAGAACGAAAAAGCCTATTTCCCGCCTTCCGCAAATCCTCCCGCTTTTTTTCCCAACTTTCACTTTTGTCCACCCCAGACTGTGTCCATCTCCCTCGGTTGCAGAAGTGGACTGATTTCGAGCATCCTACTGCAGGGCACAAAAGTACCTTCAACAGAGCTCCCCAGGCTCCTGGCCACCATGAAAATTGTGTACCCCTGGTTGATCCATGCTACCGGCTGGGTGCTCCGAAACCCCAAACTTTTCATTCTCGTGCCCATCCTCGTCATATACATCTTGTCCTATGGCGTTGTTCACGATCTCACCGTGAGGCCTATAAGCCTGGCACTATCTTTGGGAGAAGAGGGTCCAGAGCTTGGTTTTGGCTCCACGGGAGAGATATACGCTAAAGTGAAGAATGGAGATTTCCTGCTTTCCCGAATCTCCCTCCTGGCGCCGGCAAGTGTGGTGGATTTCCCCCATATGCGCCAGATCCACACTTTGCAACACAATCTCGAAGCCCACAACGACGTCTACGTGCTCCTGCCGTGGCACACGTGGCCCAAGGGGCTGTGGCAGAAACAGCAGTACGAGGCCTCGGCGCTACGAGCGTTGAACCACCGCTTCAAGCCGGAATTGGCCTCCCTCTTCTTCGATGAGCTCCACAAGAGAAACCACTTGGTCACGGCAGCGGGCAAGGTCAATCTATATGTTGTGCACCAGGGCGACCTCCCGCTGCTTTCCGTGGAAAAGCCTCTCCAGGTGCTGTTCTACGAGACTTCCAAGGCACAAAACGCCGCTAAAGAGTTCCTCAGGTACTTCCGCTACTTACAAGGAGAGCTGCTCCCGCTCAGCATGCTCAATAGGCTTGCAGCGTTCGCCCAAACGATTCTCTGCATTGTCTTTGTTTTCCGGGTCTACTTCAGCATCTGCAACCAGCACAAGATCCGGTCCAACTTCGGTTTGATCTGCGGCTGGCTCGTGGAAGTTTTTTTGGCCAGTGCCGGCTCCTTCAGTATCTTGGCCTCTTATAAAGGCTTTCAGGAGTGGCTGGCGATGTTGGGCCCGGTGATCAGCTACGGAATGGGGACGTACGTTTTGGCTGTGATGCTCTTCAGCTCCAGGACTCTTTTCCGTACTGTCAACGATTTGGCTGGCGATAATTCCATGGACGGCCACGACACGCTCCACAGACGGCTTATCCGTTTTTACATTGGCATTAACAACAGCGTCAGCAACTCTACAGACTCCATTTACAAGCTCACCCGGTTTGTACGCAAACGGTGCTTTGTCGACAAGTTCTCCTCGAACATTCTACCTGTTCCCAATTCGTTTGTGGTACTTTGCCTTAATTTGACGGGACTCTTCTTTGCCTTCGGCTTCTTCTTGGGTCTCTTGCACATATTTTTCCTGGGCCTGGAGTGGCATCTCTTGGTGGACAAGTACTTGGTGGCTCTTGAGGCAATGGCATTGGCATTGGCGATTGATCATTTCCTTCAACAGACGTTTCTCGTTGGCATTATTTTAATTGATCTCAATCGTGTTGAGCTCACGGACTTGCTCAATAAGAACCCCAGCTTTTACGATGCCGAATTCGTCGAGTCCATGGGCGAAATCGACCCAATTTCCTCCTTCATGCTAGGACTTCGTGGGCCACTTTGTCGTCCAACGCCTGGCTCATTCAGACACATCTTGGGGACCCACTTTTTAAAGCTTTCACCAGCTTCTTCCATGCGTTTCTGGTTTGGCGATGTCATGAGTTTCTTCTGCTGGAACTTTTTCTGCCAGATCTTCACGACAATCTTGGTCCTTCCATATCAGTTGCTTTCCGACCCAGCTCATGTCGTGAAGCTCGGATACCAGGCATCAGGTAAGCATTCATACAACGCTCTCTTCTACTTGGAGGTCGCTGTCACCATACTTTTCATATTTGCCGTTTCAGAGTTGACATTCACGCTCACATACTCTCAGAGACAGCGCAAGGAGGTCGATCCTACCGCCACTTTGGTGGCATCCTCCCATTTGGAGTACAACGAGTTGGCGCAAAACGAGCAGACAAAGTACTTTGAAAGCATCACTCTCGATAACGGCCATAACATCGATGTCATTAAGATTGCCACAAACTCGAAATCCTCCTTTTTGGTATCGACAGATTTGGACAGGAAAGTGTTGGTGTGGTCTCCCTTGAGTGTGGTTGAGAAAAAGACCCCCATGAGCATTTCCACCACCATCGACACGATTCGTGGTTCTCTTCACCCAGAGTTCTGGCCTATCAGCATGATCGAAATATCCGACGAGGGAAACTACATTGTTCTTGTGAACAACCGCCATTCTGTCATCAAGTGTTTCGACCGTCAGCTGTTATCTTTCATTTGGGAAATCAACCTTGCAGCCGAGCTTGGCCTCACGCCAAAAGAGTTGAAACCCATGCTTGCATTTTTCCGTAAGAAGACTATCGCCGGCTTCTTAGCCAGAAAGCTTCTTATGAAAAAGAGGAACGGTTCTGACGGTAGAAGGTCTAGTGTGAGCTCTACAGCCTCATCCTCTACAATCACAGGAAACTTTCCTCCACCACCTCTTCGTGATGACGATTTAGCAGTGGAGGACAAAGTAAGAGACTTTGAGCAGTCGCTCAACAGAGACGAGTTTGTGATGGTTTTCGAAAACGGGCACATGGTGACCGTCAACTGCACTGATCGCAAGATCAAGCATTATTACATGTTCGAGGATGTCTACGGCAAGGGCCTAGTTTCCGAGAACCTCCGAGTCACCACCGCAAAGCAGTTGACCACCTCCAGAGTCAGCGACAGAATCATCTGTGACTTGGTAAATGGAGATATCATTATTGCCTCTGCGGTAAGCAATATTTGGAAATTCTCCAAGCTCAAAACCAGCAAGGCCCAGTTCAACAACAAGCAAAATGCGATGATAAAGGCACCTGGCGTGCCGATGTCCAGAACTGCTACATCCATGGATACCGAGTTTCTGTCGATTTTCAAGCAAAACTTCACCAACTCACCGAATCCGTACCCGACAGAGCTTCCAACGCCCAAGAGGCGTTTTGCCGCTATCAATCACTATACCATCTTCACAATTGACTTTGTGGGTATGGTTGTGAGGGTCCGTGACTTAAAGGCCGAGCTTTTGGATATCCAGACTGGCATCATCATCAAGACCTTCTTCATTGGTCATTTCAAGCCCGGGCTGTTCAGAGTGATACATTCGGAACCTACCCATTGCAAGTTCTGTGGATGTGCCTCCGTCGAAACAATGTCGTTAGTTTACGAGGACTTCTACGATCCTACGCTCATTGTGCACACATTCTTGTTGGAGAACAAGAAGTCCAGAAACAACATCTGCCTCCGTGTAGAAAGAGACCCTCGAGAAATCCGTTGTTTGGGTTTCGACGCCGTTGTCGAAAAGCAGTACTGGTACCATAACATTGAAAAATGGGAGGCTACGGATATGAACGTGGTGATGGGGATCCGCAGAGCCGGAACGAAAAACTCCGACGAGGTGGAAATCAGAGACGAAAAGGCAAGCCACAACGAAGAATTCTCTCTGCTTAGAAGAAGAAGAACCAGGGCCCCAGCATCACCCGAGCGGCCCTCCATTAACGACGTTTGGCAAGGTTTCGTGGTGACTGTTCTGAATGGACAGTTTCTCGAGTACAAGATACCTTTCGGGGAAGAGGAGGACGAAGCCGAGTTTGCGTGTGTCAGGCCCAACGTTATTGCCAAATACGGCTACAAAGCCGTGGCGCTAGCGTTTGGCCGCAAAATCAAGATTCTCTACTTGGGCGGTGGAAAGTTGATTGAGAGTGACTTATACTACAAGGGCTCGCTGAGCTCGCTTCAGCCCAATCTGCAGCCTGGATCCGACGGAGCGGTCAACCGGAACGACTTGTTGTTTATTAACAAGAGACGGCGTATGTTGGAGCGCAGAAAGAATCGAGATTGATGAAGCCGTTTGCAGCCGTTGGTATGCAGCGACTATTTCCTGCCGCGCATGAAGTGGGCTGACCATTTTGAACCCTTCCGGTTACTTCCTGATTGGTCCTGTGAATGGTGTATGAACTCAAAAAAAAAAGTCGCCAGTCTGATAAGCTTCTAGACTACGTGCGTACCTTGAATGCGTGTGACCCATCACCGCAAACAATACCTCCAGGTCGTTGCTTGCTTGCTCATCCATCATAGTGAAGAACTCAACATTCAAAATTAACTTTTGATTTGCATTGCAACAAGTGGAATTTTTCTTGGATCGGATGACTCAGCTGTCATTTTGTGGACCATTGCTTTCTCGTACCTTTGTTTCTATTTCTCGCGGCTATGTATCCGAGCGACTTTCTTGCTAGCACGCATCGGGTGATCTCGGGCTTTTCTGCGCATTTAAGCAGCACAGTTTGCAATCGAAAATGCGCACATTGGAAAAGTTACCCACTTAAAAAGAAAAGCTCCACAAAACCATGAAGATTCTCAATGACGAAGAAAGAAACGCCCACTGGAACGCCGTGCTCCGCCAGGGTGCCATCGGTACCGCTGTCGGTCTCGGAGTTTCTGCCGGTTTGGTTACCTGGGTCAAGAGAAAGCAGCCTCTCAGATGGCGGTCCTTCAACACCTCGGTGAAAACCGCCATGTGGGTCATGCCTACCGTCACGATTGGTGCCTTTTTCGCCGATGAAGGTTCTGTCAAATTCGACGAGCAGATGCACCGTCTGGACTACCTCAACCAGCAGGAGACTGAAAAGTTGGAGCAGTGGAACAAGTTGTCCACTGCCGACAAGATCTTCACCAGGGTGAACGAGAACAAGTACAAACTTATCATCAGTGCATGGGCCCTCTCGCTTTGGGGCTCGTGGCACATTGTCAACAAGGACAAGTACATGAGCACCACTCAAAAGGCAGTGCAGGCCAGAGTCTACGCCCAGGCCATTACCGTCGCTTTGTTGTTGGGAACCGTGCTTTTGTCGATGCACGAGCAGGAGTTGAAGAAGAAGCAGCCTCCTCCAGTGCCTGAGTGGAAGAAGTTCTTGGATGAGCAGGAGAGCCACAAGAAGGAGCACGCCAAGCTCCGCAAGACCGAGGACCTTGAGCAGAAGTCGCTTGAAAAGAAGTCCGACGAGAAGAAGGAGTTGCTCAAAGAGGGCGCCAAGGAGAGCTTGTAACTTGTAAGTTGAAATTGGGGACTCCCGAGAGTATCATGACGGAACGATTAAACAGTTTATACTGTTGTTATTTAATGCAGAGGTAATAGAGTGAAGTGTAGATTGATAAGGGTGTCTATTAATCAGCTGTTTGACATGCAACGTAGTATGGGGCAATAGGCTTCTATGGGGCAATCCCGTTGTGGGGCAATCCAGGCAATCGTTGCACTGGTGAGGTATTTTTGCCAAATTTCAAAAATATGGAAAAGTCGTGATATGGAACATTCGATGATCTGGGGACTTGATGTATGGCGGTAAGTGAGACACCAGAAGCTATCCGAGAGTTCCATAAAGAAGGGGTCAAAATCGGATTAAGCCAATGAAGCAATGTGAATATCTGCATTATAAAGTTTTTGAAAAAATTGCAGGCCAATGTATCTGTAGTATTGTCTAATCGGTAAGCAAGCATTGGTTGCAAATTTGAGGTATGAACACTGCCAGGCCCCACATACCCTAGGTCAATGTTAATAAAATGTTTATCGTGAATGACGACGGTTTCTGAATAACAACGTGACAATCATTCGTTATGACGCTTCAGAAGGATCTTCCAATGGTCACGATCACCTTCATCCTCGGCTTTCCAACACCTTTTCCACAAGTCAGCCAAAAGAAGTATTTTCGGTCAATTGAGCTCAAATAAAGAACGATTCAAAATCCCTTAAGCATCAATAAGCCATTTCAGAGCCACCACACACTGTAGATCTTTGATCAGAAACCCCAACGGTATGATGTAATCGCAGGGTCCATAGCGGAAGTATCCCAGAAACCCAAAACACGAATCACCCCACAAGCAGATCGAAAGTTACTTCTTACCTAATTTAAAAAAAGTCTTCAAATTCAGTAAAAAAAATAGCACACTCTTCCCTCGGCACCTCTTTCTTGGTCACTTCTCACTATCACCACTCCACCCCACCTCGCGCTTTTTCATGTGCCTATTACTCCACAAAACACCTTTTCTTCCTACTACTTACTACCATGTCTGACGAGGTGGTATATGCTGTTTTCGAGCCGTCGGAGGCTAAGCTTCTCACAACGACGCTGCAAACACAGCTCCTTGTGGAAAATCCAATTTTGGCTCTGGCCTTGCTGAACATCTTTCCATATTTGCTTCTAATGGACAACTTGTTGGAGATTTTCACCTGGACGAACGGCGACCCGTACCAGAACTTTTTGTTTATCACAGGGTACTCTGTGCTTGTTCTTTATTGGCACACATTGAGGTTTGTGGCCCTCCCGTTGTTGATAGCGGCGCTGTTTCTGAGTATTGTTTGGAGAACAAGCACCATCATGAGAGATCTGAAGTACGGCGAGAAGCCCACGATAGACGAGGTGCTACAGACGCTTCACAACATCACGGTGCGGTTTGACTTGTTTTTTAGACCCGCCCGCCACGTCCGGTTCACACGGAAGAACTATCTTAAATTTGTCATTCTGGCCATTTTGGTTACTCCAGCCCATGCTGCCGTGGCAAGAACCTTTTTACTGCCAACAGTGCTTACGTGGCTCATTGGCGTGTTCTTCTTGACGTACCATTCGCCTTGGGCATACACAATTAGACACCTCTTGTGGAGGTCCCTCTACATCAGGTTGCTTGCTTACTACATGACAGGTCTTGACATCAAGATCTCTACGGATGAAGGAAAAGAAAAAGTACACGGTGGCATTTCACGTGTCCATTCGCCCAGCGCCACCGACGTTGAAGACGAAGACAGTTCTGCGCCCATAATCACAGACAACGACTTCACCATCGTCAAGAAGGTGATTGCTTCGCCCAAGCAGCTTCGACAAACCGTGCGTTTTGACATTCTCGAAAACGAACGCCGCTGGTTCGGCTTTGGCTGGTCCAAGCTCTTGTTGCCTAATGAAAGAGCCAGTTACTGCTACGAACAGCTGATGAGGCCTTCACCAGACCCTCAGGACGACGACTTTGAGTTCCCAGTATGCGAGCACGATCTTTACAAGTATACATGGCAGTGGATGGATGAACGTTGGGAGCTAGACCTCGAGTTCAACAAATCCAGATACAAGACTGGCTGGGTGTATTACGACTCCAACTGGGGCAACCCTGGCTACCGCGACCAGTCCTCCAAGTACACGAGGACGAGAAAGTGGACTAGAAGAGCCACCTTGTTGATAGACAAGCGGGAGACGGACGATTACTAAAAGTATAATAGGGATTATGATCTTACTACATTTATGAGCGCGACACGCCTGCCCCCATATCTTCCGCACCTCACTACTCATCTCTACCATACATCTTCTTCATGAGTGCCACAGCAGACAAGGAGTTTAAGGACATTCCAAAGAAGTACATCAACCCTTTGGCCGAAAAGGAAATCACCGAAGGCCCCCGGGTTAACGGAAAGAACTTTAAGATCAAGAAAGATGCCTTCAGGGTGCGTTCTCTTGGTGTCAAGAAGCTCAACACATGGCAATTAAGAGAAAAGAAGAAACTTGAAGAGGAGCAGTACAAAGCTCGTATCAAGGATCTTAAGCAGGAGAAGGAAGACGAAAAGAACCTGAGGGTGGCTGAGATCAAGAGAAGAAGAGAGATCAAGGAGGAGAAGGAGAGGTACGAGAGAATGGCCGAAAAGATGCATGCTAAGAAGGTGGAGAGAATGAGAAAGAAGGAGAAGAGAAACAAGGCCTTGAGAGAGCGTTAATCCGGTGGATGCTAGATTTACTGGAGATGTTTCGAATTTCACGTGACTGTGATGATAGCAGAAGCTACGTGGAAACCCGTCCAGAGGTACTTCCCAGTCTTCTGGCGATATTCCAAATTCAAACTAAGGGCCAGTTTTATTTTCTTCAATAGCCCGGTTGAAAATGGCAAAGATGGCTGGCAAAGGTGTTGTCTGCAGTATATCAAGCAATGCGATGGCGGTTACCCGGATTTCAGGTCACGACTATAAATACCGCGAGCCCGCCCACTTTTTCACCGCCTGTCCCGCAAAAAATTGCCTTTGTGTTACCTGGGTCTATATACAGTTCATCGTTCATTTGGTTCACCAGGTACTGCAGAAACCATTAAACTTTGCATACCAACTGAACAGCATTTATTCCCCAGAGTGGCCTTGTTGCATATAGTGTATCAAGCTATCCGTGAATAAATTCCGCTGACAGGGAGACATTTAGTTGTTCGTCTTTGTCGCCAAAATAATATTTCCATAATCACATCACCGTCCCCGGTACCATCTTCTCTTTTATAGACCATGGATTCGTTGAAGCTTCCGACCACCGCAGCAAACGCCCAAGCTTTCACAGCTCCCGGCTCCCTTTCGATGCCACAGGGCATCAATGACCCCAACAACGGTATTGTTAAGAAAGATGAAAATGCAGAACTTGGCGTTAAAGAACCCAACCAAGACGACGCTGATGGAGCTATGTCGGGTATCGTGCCCACGCTTCAAAATATCGTCGCAACGGTGAACTTGGATTGTCGTTTGGATTTGAAAACCATTGCCTTGCATGCACGTAACGCTGAATACAACCCCAAGCGTTTCGCTGCCGTCATCATGAGAATCAGAGAGCCAAAAACAACCGCACTTATTTTCGCCTCTGGTAAGATGGTGGTGACTGGTGCCAAATCTGAAGACGATTCCAAGTTGGCTTCGAGAAAATATGCTCGTATTATCCAAAAATTGGGTTTCAATGCCAAATTCACCGATTTCAAGATCCAGAACATTGTCGGCTCGTGTGACGTCAAGTTCCCGATCAGATTGGAAGGTCTTGCCTTCTCGCACGGAACTTTCTCGTCCTATGAACCTGAATTGTTCCCTGGCTTGATTTATAGAATGGTTAAGCCAAAGATTGTGCTATTGATTTTCGTTTCCGGCAAGATTGTCTTGACCGGTGCCAAGCAAAGAGAGGAGATCTATGCTGCATTTGAAGCCATCTATCCGGTGTTGAGTGAATTCCGTAAATCGTGATTCTGGCTCCACCGCATGTACCATAGCTATCCTTATGAGGTCTCGCAACACCGCGAGATGTGTCGTTAAAATGGGTAAGGGAGAAATACTCTTTATAAGGGGTCCTGCTGTATTATAATCGTGGGTTTGTTTGGTTGTTGTTAGCTTTTTCCTCTTGTTTTTCCTTGTTCGTTTACTTCGTTTGCCCCGTATCTCTCCATTTATAGTCCATGATTGACGACTTTTCATGATATGAATTGTAGATTAGCTTCTGCTTTTCATTTTGGCCCATTCAAAGTATTCACAGCGATGTTCACCCAACTCTGTTGAACTACCTTTCGATGCTCGAGGACAACACCAGAACTTCTTACCTTTGGATGCATTAGTAAGACTGGTTTTGAGGGTGCATTTTTCGCCATGATGACATTTTGGGGGATCCGAATAAATAAGGGACGTCAACTTGGATATCGAGTCTAACTTGACGGCGTCTGAGGGTTTATCCTCTTGGGTAGGCTCATAATTGTCGTCAGAGACTTTGTCGTCCTGCTTTGATGCTTTGTCTTGAAAGAAGAAAGTATTGATGCTATGTTGAGACGAGTTTGTCTTCTTCCGACTCACGTATTGTAGTTTTGGCTTTTTTGACTCACCATTGTCCTTCTTCTCCTCTGGTGTAGCGGACCGCTTGATACCAGTGCCAAACATCGATGAAATGTCTCTGTGTTTCACCAATTTATAGAAGGACTTTGCCTCAAACTTGAGCTTCTTCTGTTCTGCCGGTGGCTGAATTGTCACATAGGAAACGTCTATATCAGTGAACACCGGACAATGGTCTGACCCGTTGATATATGGAAGAATGTCCGCTTTGGAAATGCTCTTGACGGCCTCTTTGCAGCTCATCAAAATAAGGTCGATTCTAGAGCCAAAGTTGGACTGCCTAGCGCTCGTCATGGTGTTCCAAACAGTGTACATAGCCAAACGGCGGCCCTGGCTTACTCTAGTGGTATCGTATAGATAAGCATGCTCCAGAGCTTGTGTAAATGGGTTTGTGGGAAAAACGAAGCGCTGGAGAAGGGATCGTTGTGGTCTATCTTTGAATGCCAAACAAGCTTCCTTATTCTCCTTCTCGAATGCTTCACCGCCATCTTTGAGATTGTTGGACACCAAATTCGCCTTGATGCCCTCGTTGATCGCCTCAGCTTGGTCTATGAGGTCCAAGGACACGTTGATATCTCCCATGATGACCACTTGCTTGCCCAAAGCTTTAAGCTTCAAAGAACGTCGGAGAAGCACTTCTAGAAAGCGAAGTCTGAAGATCTCACCGTCCTCCGTGCCCATAGAGTTGGCCGGACAGTATAAAGAAAAAACCACCGTTCCAGACGCCAACTCCACCGCCACGGCACGGCCCTCGTAGTCCAAGGATCGTAGCTCATCGATGGTCATGTTCATTTCCTCCATATCATCTCCATTCAAGTATCCGCCAATAGCGTTTGGAGACTCGTCGTAGCACTGGCTTTTGTCTTCAGCACTAGGCAATGTTCCTGTGATTCCCTCTTCTGCTTTTACCACAGACAAACACGTCTGAACGTGAGGTGGATCTGAAGAAGTCGGTAATCTGACAAAAAGGCCGACTCCCGAGTAGCCTTTGCGTGATTTCGGCACCAGTATAAACGCCTTGTAATTCTTGAGAACACCCGTAGCTGCAAGGCCGTCGTTGTTGATCTTGAGCTCCTGAAGCAGAATGATATCAGCACCTAGGCCTGAGAAGAAAGCATCATGGTCGTTCTGGAGCCTGTTCCAAGGGTGGTAGTTGAAAAGTGTTTTTATGCCGTTGACGTTGAAGGTCAAATAGCGGATTTCATCCTTGGACGTTCGGGGTATTCGGTTTAGTGGGGCTGTTTCTAGAAGCTCCAGCAACACCATGTAGTAGTAACTGAGTGGTTGCAAATGCGTACAGGCATGGTCAGACAAGGTCCTGATAGAAAGCAGATTGAACCTTCAAAATTTGAAGTAGTAATAGAAATTGTTGATTTCGATGAAAGAGCGACTATGCGGTGAGGATGGCCTCGGAGGTTTCCAGGAAATACCCGATTCGGTGGTTCACGCCTTAGTCCAGTTGGTGAGGGTATCCCTGACAGTGCCTAGCATCACCAAAACAGGAACTCTGATTGCTATGCTGATCCAAAAGCAATTGCACTAGAAAAACCAAAGTATCGCTTGATCTTCGGAAATTCACGGTTTTCGTGGATTTGTTCGTCGTCTAGGGCAGGAGCCATTGTGTAGCAGCAGAACCCAAACACACTTTGACAACAAACACAGAAGCTAAGTGGGCGGAGCTTGTGGCTAGTTAGATTTTCCAGAAAAGGAAAAAACATAAATGCCATCCATCATAGGGGAGGCAAATGAAGCCACTTCTAGAATACCTCGCAGCATGCCAACGTAAAGCACCGGTCTGGGCTATAGCAAGAGAAACAGAAATTTAAAAAGAAAAGAAGCACTCTTTTTCGCCGGATCCCCACGCCGCCAAAAGCAAAACTCAATTGGCGAAATTCACGCTTTCCAATGTAAAACCACACTTTAACTATATAGGAGATTCTGGACCGCACTGCCCTTTAGATCACCGTTGGATCGAGGCTGAAGAGATTTGCCAAGCCATCCCCTCGAATCAACAACGTTGATTTTTACCGAAAACTACTGAGTTGAAAATACCCCCAAAGCGACGAAGATAAACAAGTCCTTGACGAGAAGTGCCTGTTCATTGTATCTGGCAGAGCTCCAGGCATCCAAAAGCTAAAATGCTAACACAAAAAAATGAAAATGAAAAACCCGATCCGTCGATCGGGCAAAGGGGCCCAACAGATCTCGAATCAGCCAAGCAGTGGCATCCTACAATTGTGCTGTGGACTACCGCCTTTACCTATTCAGCCTTGCTGTGTTTGGCGTAATTGGGTGCAAAACCATCGCCTGCGTGGGTTGCAAGAGGGTCAGCTTAATTCCACCAATACTAGTCCAATGGCCATGAAAATTACATCAATCGAATCACAAAAACCAGAAAACTTCAATGGTCACCTTATCTCTTTAAAATTCCTAATCCGCCACCAAAAGCACCGAACCACCGGGGAATCTAGATCTACATATTCGCGGCGCGCGCAACGCGTCGAAGCATTCTCTGCGACTGTCTGTTTTTTTTCTACAACCTCCAACCACTCCATCCAAGGCAAAGCCGCCTTTAAGACCCCATTTCCCGTCCCTCGCTAAGCTAAAGAAAATTTCACAAAATGGTCGACCCTGACACATTCATGAAAAACAGCCCTTTCAGCGTGGCCCACGGCGACCAGTACAACTTGCTGAACACAACACCCGATTTGTTGAAGTTTCTGCTCCATGAACACAACAGAAACGCTTCCCCACGGTCCCTGTCCAGCTGCTGTTTTCGCTGTATTTGCAACAGACGCTTTCGTCCAACTCGATTGGCGAAGATTCGGACGATTCGGATATCGACAGAACTAGCCACGAAAACGGTCCCCTGACGGTTTCTACGCCGACCACAGAGACCTCTGAAAGCAGAGACTTTTTTGCATCTTCCAGCGACTACCTCAACTTGAAGGTTTTGATTGAAAACTCCGTTTTCGACACCCTGAAGATTTCTCCAAAGGCCATCATGTCCTTGGAGCGCACCAGAAAGGTTAAGGAGCTTATCGCAGACAAGCAGGAGCTTCGGGACTACTTGCAAGACAAGATTGCGGTCTCCTCGCAGTTCTGCTCGACCTTGATGTTCAACGAGGAGCCAAAGCCAGACTTGGACATCAACCTCGTGCTCAAAATCATGAAACAGAACCTGGACTTGCAGCAGCTGCTCCGCACGGTTTCCACTGAGCTCGAGGAGCTCCGCGGCAAGCTCAACAACCACAACTTGGCCTGTTTGGTTTTGGGTTACGTGGAGGACATCAAGCACTCCAGCAGCTCGCAATCCTTGCACGCCCAGCTTTCTGACAGTCCTACAAAGGGCGGAGTCGCCGCCGATTCCGACAAGCTGTTCGACACGCTCTTTTCTCACATTGCATCTTTGGCGGCTCAGAACAACGTCAGCTTGCCCGAACATCCCGAAGAGGCCGAGACCCTGATGGACAAGAAGATCCAGTGGGCTCAATCGTGCATTGACGCTGTGGTTTCTGCCAGACCACCAGCATCGAGCCCAACTCCTCCAACCACCTCAGGAGAGCGCTCTGTGGACCAGTCCATGGTGGTTGACGAGAACTCTGTGCTCCAGGACCACTCATTCCTTTCGGCATCGCCTTACAAGGGCATTAAAGATACAGCCTCTGAGAACAAGACGATCTCCGAGTACAGACTTGCATTGAACGACTTGCGTTTCTCCCACCAGTACTTCATGAAAGAGTACGACTACTTGAAGGCCAACTCCTTGAAGACAATCTCGGAGTACCGCAAGAAAAATGCAGCACTTGAAAAAGAATTGACTAGACTTCGTTCAGGCGGAAGCAGCGTCTCGCTTGACAGTTTGGCGTCTCGTGACTCAGTCGACGCCAAAGACAAGGAGATCTCCCGTCTTCGCAAAGAGCTCAATCTGCTCAAGATCGACAACATGGGAAGCAAACTGCCCAGAAACTCCGGTTTGGCTTCGCCATCGCTTCTATCGAGCACGAGCAACGAGGACGATGCCCCCAACACCACACTTCCATCTTCACCAGGATACCCAGGCTTCCCCAATATGAGCAGCGGGTCTTCCATGAGCAACGCTATTCTCAGAAAGGAATTCAAGAAGATTGTGTCAGACATCCAGGATCAGTACGAGGTTGAGCTCGGCAAGGAGCGTCTCAAGCGTAAACAGCTCGAGGAAAAACTCAATGTCACGACAGTGTCATCCGAAAACTAAGCTTATACCCCCATGCCCGACTCACACGCTGTACTATTTTTCAATAGCTGGTTGTAACTGGCTGCAATATTTAATCCCCAGGTGGTTCCTGTACTAGCGAGACTAGCACCTACGCGCATCACCAAAATACACCCTACCTACCTTCGCTTCCTTATATATACCAACGGAGAACACACGATAACATGAAACCAGCATGGATCACATGCGACGAAAAAGCAGTAGTAAGCTGAATCCAGTAAGACGCGTTGTTTCCTCATCAAAGAGGGAAGTTGTTCTCACTGGTACCAAAAGATCCAGACCTTCATCCGAAGAATCCAATGATCTGAATCACATTTTGACATCCCAGCCGTCAAGAAAGAGCTCCAGACCAAACTCACAGCCTAAAGAAGATCCTATGCCAAAAGATCCTCCAATTTCCGATACTCAGTTTTATCTGAACTCCTCAGCAAAACTACCCAAGCCAAAGAGCTTTCTCGAAAAGAGTTACGAGGCGAAACTACAGAAGTTTTTGCTTACAGACGAGTCTGACGAATTTCTGGCGCTTGAGCTGGAGACGAAGGTCACCTCGTCGCTTCCACCTTCCCTGGTGGGAAGCATGGTGAAATCAGAGGAAGCGGCTCAGGAACCACCTGAAGAGGAAACGACCATTGAAGCAGAGGTGGAAGAGGAAGTCACTCCGGATTCAGTCCTCAAGCTCACGGAGAATCCTGACTTTGTCTGTCAATGGCTACTCAGAACCGCTGATACTTTCATAGAGGAAGCACACGGCTATGTCCTTGCAGCCAATTACATTGAGGGTGTCAAAGTCTACTATAAGCTTGTGAAGGCGGCAATGAAGGCGCTACATTTGGTGATCTCGCGGTATATGGCCTGCTTGAAACCAGTAGAAGCGGCATTGGTGTTGTATAAGCTTGCACAGATCTACCTTGACGAGACAGATAACTACAATACTGCCGAGGAACTTGCAAAAGGTTCCCTAGCTACTGCGTCAAAGAATGGCATTTTACTGGCCAGAGTTGCAGCAGAACTTTTGTGTGCAAAGATTTTGAAGGCTTCTGATGTCCACTTGGTTGGGCCCTTTCTCAACGAAAGACAGGAAATATACGAGAGGGAGAGCAAGAAAGAGATCTCGACTTTATTTGCACTTCAAAGGATTGGAATGGCCCCTCTTAGCGATATACCTTCATTGATTCCCGCCTTGAATACGGCGTGGCAGTCCCTTGATGGTCAAGTCCGCTGTCTTTGCTTGTTGTTGCTCAGCAGAATTTATCTAAGCCAGGGCTCTCCGAAGGAAGCAGAAAATGCACTTCATGAATGCAGAGTAACGTTTTTCAAAATGAAGCTGGTTCTCCCCCAACTTAAGGCAATGCTCTACTTGCAAAATCTTGCCGTGTGCACTCAAACCAACGATTTCAAGCATTCCAAAAAATGGATCAGGAAGTTGACTGAATTTGTCAAGAAGCAGAAAGAAGAAAAATGGGCTTCTTGGAGAAGCGATGGAACCATACCGATTGAGATTCAGTCAAACAATGAAACTGTGACGTTTCTGTTGCAATGGATTGGTCCAGATGAGTTTGTGCCTACATTTTACCTTACTAGCGGTGTCCACTTCATGACTGATTCGTCTGAATTGACAAAAGCAAGTCAAATCTTCGAGAAATGTCTCAGAGATGTTGAGAATGCAATCACAGCACTTACTACTTACCTGGCCAATCAAGAACAATTTGGTGTCTCTCATCTCACTACCAAAATTGTTCGACTTTCTGTCATCAAATTTACTGTGTTGTACTATCAAGTGTGGCTCAAGTTCATGCTGTCGAGTGACTTCGATGGCATCCAGGTTATACATGCATTTCTTGAAAGCTACAATGAAAAGAACTTCACGGCAGAAGAGTTGTGGTACTACAAATTCCTCATCCCCCACTTAACCTACCTATCCGCCATCTATCATCAATCACAGGGAAACTTGAAGGCAGCAAAATATCACTTCTTAAGAGTGAGGAGCCTAGTCACACAGAGTTGCAATATTCCGATTGAAGCTTTTAATTTACAACATTCTCTCGGGGTTGGATATGAAACCTCCTCGGGCAGAGGCAATGAGCTTTACATCTATTCCACCATGCATTTACTCAACATAGCAGAGTACGAATTCCGAACTTTGTCTCAAATTAATCAGCATGAGCAGACGATCAAGTCGTCTCGCTCCTTACTTGCATCGCTACACGCGGATATGACTAGCATTTTGGAAGATCCCAACACAGCGGGAATCACTTCTACCAACACATTCAAGCTTACGTACAAGTCGGCGTTGGCAGCTTTTAATAACGGCAGTAACCACCACGATAGTGCTCTTTCGACGGAGATCGAAAGGTTGGTCTTTTCTGACACAATACGCATACACAACATGGAGCTTCTTGGGCTATATTTGCTTCTTCGCCTCGCGGTCAACCTTGACCAAAGCAATCGTCTTTACGGCAAGTGCACGAGACGAATCACAAAGGCCGAAGACAACGGCAAAATTTTGAGCCTCTTTGTCTACTTGGAAGCTCAGCGTCGAGAATTAGGCGACACAGCTAAAGCGGAAAAGATCCAACGCAAAATCGACGCCATCAAGCACAGCGTACAGAGCAAGATCGACGCCGCAAGGCAATCGCTACAACCCAGATCTTCTGATCGTGATATTTAATAGATATACAAAGTGGCAGCATCGGCCGATGGAATAACATGCTAAACTGAGTGGTCGTGACGAGATTACTTCTTGGACTTCTTCTTCTTCTCTGGCTCGTCGTCGTCGGCCTTTCTCTTCTTCTCCTTCTTCTCTTTCTTCTCCTTCTTGTCCTTCTTTTCTTTCTTCTCCTTCTTCTCCTTCTTGTCCTTCTTTTCCTTCTTTTCCTTCTTCTCGTCCTCAGACTCCATCTTCACATCCTCAGCCTCAGACTTCTTGGGCAACTGGACTTCTGGAGCAGCCTTCTTGGACTCAGGCACAGGAGGAGCAGGCTCCTCGGCGTGGTCCTTGTAGCCGTCCTTCCAGGACTCAGGAGTGTTGTCGTTGACTCTACCGTACTTGTCCAACTTGCCGTCAGCCTTCAACTGCTTCTTCTTCTGGGCAACAGGACCGAGACCCCATCTTCTTGGGTAGGTGTCTCTCTCCATGATGCATCTCTTGACCTTGGCAACAACACCGTGGTCACAAGACTGCAAGTCCACAGTGGTCATCTGGGCAATACCAATGGCAATGGCCTCACCCTTAGTGGTGATGAGCACAACCTCGTCGTACAACTCAATGCCGTCCTCGTATCTCAACAAACCAGGAATCATCAACTTGGCACCGTAACAGACAGAGTTGACGGCGGAATCCTTGACCACGACTCTCTTGTAGCCCACGAGCAAGGTCTCCAAAGGCTGGATGATCTTACGCAAGTAGGACTCGTCTCTGGTGTTGTCGTAGACGTACTGGGCGTCCATCACGTCGTGCAAAGTGACCAAGTTGTCGTTTTCGTCCATGGCTCCGGATCTAACACGACGCAACTCTTGCATGTGTCCTCCAACACCCAACAACATACCCAAGTGGACACACAAGGTTCTCATGTAGGTACCGGCTTCACAGGAGGCCCAGAACACACCGAGACCACGCTTGTTGTCGAACTCAATCAAGTTGGAGTCGTAGATGGTTCTCACTCTCAACTGTCTCTTGACAGCAGAAATCAAAGGAGGTCTCTGGAAAAGAGCACCGGTCAAGTTCTCCAAAGCACGGCCCATCTCCTTGGCGTCCTCGAGCTCCTCGTGCAAACGCACAATACACACATACTCCTTACCGGCACCTTGCTGGGACTTGACCAAACGAGTAGCTCTGTCCACACAGACAATCAAACAACCAGTGACCTTGGGGTCCAAAGTACCGGAGTGACCGGTTTTCTCCACTCTCAAAATACGCTTGATCCAGGCGACAACCTCGTGCGAGGAGGGGTTGGATGGCTTGTCCAAGTTGATGACACCACTGGAAACATACGACTTCAAGTCTCTCTTCAAAGGCGAGGAGCCTGCTGGGATTGGGGTGTAGTGACCCAGACGCACAAGCAACTTGTCGTAGTTTTTCAACAAGAGGGGCCAGTCTGCCGTGCTGCTCAGCGCAGGCACGGACTCCGGCTTGATCATGAATTCTTCGGACATGTTGGTGGTGATGATAGTGCTTTTTTTTTTTTGCAAAAAGTCTGTGCGAGCATCGTGCGGCGGTGCCGGATTAGGTAACCGGAGGGGGGTGCGCTAGGGAGGGCTGTAGTGGTTGGATTTTAGTGAAAATTAGATATTTGGGATTGAGGAAGCGGGGAGATTTAGGTGTGTGAATTTGGTCAAGTTTGATGGGATATTGGGGTAGATGTATGGGGACCAGGTGGTTGCTCAGTGTGAGGTACAGGAAGGGCTCCAGAGATGAGGTTGAGGAGCCCAAGGAGTTGGGCAGGACTGAAAAATATATCTGAATGGACTTTAGTCGAAGAAGATTTTGTTGAAGAAGCGGATTTGGAAAATTTTATTAATCGCCTGCTGGAGTGTGGGATTGGTTGATGCTGGATTGAGTTAGGGCATGGCTTTATATAGAGGAGGAGCCATTGGCAGCCCTGATAGTTAAGTAGAATAAGATGGGAATTCGAAGGTAATGATAATGTTATACATCGGAATTGGAGAGTCTGGAAAATACCTCTTTGATAGATATTTTGCAGGGTAGCGGAAGCAAGGTCAATGATGGAGACCTCCGGTAATTGAATACAGATCGTGATAGCAGGTAGACCATGTCCATTTTTCAATGAATGTAGTCCCCAAAATACGTGGCTTCTTTTTGGAATTTTGAAGAAATAGCCTCCTGACGTCGATTTCATCATTTCATGGGTTGACAACACATCCATTACTCTCTACATCTGAAGACCCATGGACTTGCCGATCTCCGTCTTGGTAACCTCAAGCCAAAACAACTCTCTCGCTAATCCTCTGACCGACTTAATACACTGGTCCATGTTCTCGTCGTTGATGAGCTCACTTTCGCCCTTGAAATTGCCTCCAACAAGATCTATCGTGTCTTTGTGGGCCTTGATATCAGCAACAGTGTCGTACAACTGATTCACAAGAATCGAGTCAGGAGTCACAATATCCTCTAGCTTGATTTTCTGGCCGGGCCCAGTTCCAAAAGCAACCTCGTCCTTCGACTCTGCGTTGATCTGGTCCACTTGCTGTAGCTCTTCGTTAAGCTTTCGTATAGACTCTACCTGTCCTTGAACGTACGTGATGTGGTTCTGGAGATTTTCTTCGTTTGCATGAGCCTGTTTGAGATGGCTCAGAAGCTGATTTTCAAGGGCCTCTATCTTGAGCTTCTGTTGCTCAACAAACGGAGCAGCAGTGACTAGGCTCTCCTCGGATGCGAGGAACTCGTTGATCTTGTCACTAATCATCTGAAGTATAGGCCTGTCGCCCTTATTCTCGTTGAGTGTGACCTTGTCCATGAGATCTTCGACTTCATTGATACCCTGAGGATTCTCTGTACTCTGGACCTTTCTTGCAATAGGGGGCTTTCCTGGGCCCTGGGGTCTGAGCCTTCTAGGCTCATAGAGCTCAGAATTGTCCTGATAAACGACTTGAGGCGGTGGTCCACTCAACTGAGGTGGAGACTGAACTGGTGCTGGAGAAGGCGAATCTTGTGGAGGTAAAGGCAAAGGCATTCTATATTTCTCCGGTATGCTCGTATCTTGAGTAGGTTGAGCTTCAACAGGCTTCGGAGCTTCAACGGGCTTCTGGGGTAAAGGTGGTCCATTCGTCTCTCTGCGAGGTGGTTCTGGAGTCGGCAGCTGAACCGGGGTTTCGTTATACGACATCTTTGGTGGCAATTGAGGACCCGTGTTTGTAGGCTGAACCTTTGGAGGGGCTGCTGGGGGTTCAGGTCTTGTATTAAGTGGAGGATTCTGCTCAAAAGTGACTTTCAAACACGTCATAAGCAGAAGGAGCGAAAAGTCTCGAGTCTGGGCCGTCGGCGTGTAGTTCTGATGCCACAGAGCCATGAAAGGATGGTAGAAGCGGCCCTGAGAATCAACATTGTTATTAGGTCTTATCATCAAACCGTGTTCTGGCACAACAAACACCACTGGAACACCGTTGGGCTCCAGGGTGGGAATGTTTTCGTCCTGGAACGGGTAATTGAGCGGAATCCATATATTAAGCGGAACAAGGCACGTTCCACAGTCGAGCTTTCCGTATAAATTGATCAATAGCTGAGAATGTCCCAGTACAGATGTGTAAACTGCTGTTCTGATCTTGAATCCTTGAGTAAGGTATGCTGCTAGAAAGTGGTACAAGTGGGAGTAGGCCACCTCTTTATGGAGATACTGGGGCTGGAGAACCAGATAAAGCCAGTTGGCCACCTTGGACAGGATCTTGGCCATTCTTGGTGGGTTTGATTGTATGCGAATATGTGTATAGATAGACGGGTGATGAAGTGGATTAGATTAAGGTTCGAGGATTAAAATGAAATTGCCTCGAAATGCCAATAGTCCAGGATCTATACTTTATGGATGCAAAGGAAGACTGTGAAGGTTATGTATGATGTAGTTGCACTTTCGCAGTCAGTGGTATACCGATCTGCAAGGCCGTGATTGTACTGAGGGCTTTCCACCGAAAGTCGGAAACAAAATCGAGAGCCACAATGAAACGTAATCCAATTTCTTTAAATCCAAATATAACTTTCTCCAATTATTGGGAGATCCACTTGTCCTACTGAAGTTGCCGGAGGTACGGGTGTGCTCCGATTATCGCCAAATGCACCGCTCCACGAATCCTCTACTACATCTTTATCATGTCTGGGTATGTCACACTGGAATGAACCAATCAGGAGCCTTTCCAACTAACCTCTAGCTACATTGTGCTTTTTGTCCTCGCGGTCACGGTGGCCCTTTGTGTATTGTCATGGAACTTTGCACCCAAACAGGACCAGACGGTCTGGCGGTCTTCCTTGATCTTGGGATTGGCCATGTGCTACTTGATGTGGGCCATCACATACTTGGCGCAATTGCATCCGTTGGAGGCGCCCAAACGTTCTGATATGAGGAAGGAGGCGTGATCAGTTGAGCTGGCAGCCGAAAACAGCAGTGTATAATAGAAACAGCATTTGACGATGAACGTGTAGGATTGTGGGTGGGGAGATGGGGAAGGGCATAATTGCCAGAAGGGTAAGAGAGATTTGGCAAACTGGATTTGAAACAGTGGCTTTACGAATGCATGATTGGGTTCTGATGAATAAAGGATGTCGGAGACATGTCATGTCTTATAGTGATACTTGCAAGTATTGGGCCGGTTTCAATCATTGAGCAATTCGTGTCAGAGAAGGAAATCAAGCCTCAATACCAGCTTTCGTCTTTGAGTTATGTAAGAAACGTCATACTATTCATGTTTCTGGAAAGTACACTGTCGATTTCATCATGGTCAGGTAGCACCAGCACCCACCTGAGACACATTGATCAATCGACAATCCTTACGATAGAACAGCCTATTTTATACTCTTCGAAGGCAGTGTTGTTTTCTCATACTACCTCACCTCTTGAAGCTCTACAACCATGCAGATGCAAGATACCGTATAACAAAACCGATTGATAAAAGAGCAAGCTTTCAAAAAAATCAAAATCTGAAATACAACCTCTCGACCCTTGTTGTGCTTATTCTATCTCTCCACTAGCCCTACGACATCTTCGGTCCGGGTAACCTCACCCTATATATACTCGAGAAAATTTCACCCATCAGCTCCAACCATCAATACACACATATCCTTGCACACATGTAGAAAACCCAACACACTCCTGTTTCTGCCCTAAATTCATCCTCATTGAATTATAGGTTCTGGTGATGGAGAAGATCAAGCCCGTGAACGGGCGTCAGCAATCTGTCAAATGTTTGTAACCTGCTGGCGTCTTTTTGCGGGATCGTGTGGCTGGTCAGTGTTCGAAGATGATGCATTTCTTGATGCTAGTCGGCTGGCCTCCACTACATTTTCATTGGTAAGTGCTGTAAAGATTGTAGGTTTACGAGATGTTCTGTGGAGTAGTGAGGAAAGTGCAACCGCAGGAGACCAGATGAATGCACTAAGATTGCAGCAATTAAGTCGATGAATCTGTTTTTGATAAAGTCAATGGCGTCTAAGTGATTTTTTTCTTGTTAGTTGTGGATGACTTTGCCATTGTTATACCATAGTTGGCCTTGTGCTTTGTGAGTTTAGATGATAAGATAAGGCCCCGTTTTGTCCTATCTTGTGACACTAATTAATCCGTAATAGTCATATTCGAAGCTTTTTATGAGATGATCGAACCCTTCTGTATGATTTTCTAATCTTATTGAATTTTATGGTACCACAACGAGACAATGTCCACACGACCGTTCAACAATTCCACCCGACATTTCCATTCAATACAGAGCAGATTAACGACGTACTTGACTTGATGATTTGAAACCACAAAAATCGACCTCCCCACAATCGAAAAAAGCAAAGTCCGCAAAAGCAACTCAATAAGGTACCACGGTATCAAGTCGACTTCAATGATTCAACCATGCATCGCACAAAAGGCATAGCTGATAGACGTACGTTGTTTTTGGCCACGCTAAGTGAAAACGTCAGAAAATTTCAAAAACCGAAGCATAGACTCTCCTGTCCACACTTCCCGTAAATATCTGAATTTCACAGATGCTGCACTTTAACGCCCCAAGGCTTATATCGTTTGCTTTGTAACTCTATTCAGTTTTGTTGCCTATGGCGTCATTACCCCGACAAATCGCATGTTGGCTAAGTCTTCGACGGTTGAGCTGTTTCCAGCGGTTCTTTGATTGCACAAGCGTACGTTCGTCTAGAACGGATTTAATTGCCTCTACGGCAATTTGCTCACTGTCTAACCGACCATCAAAGAACTACAAAAAAGCACCACCAAATCCAAAACAGAAACCTAGATTGCTATTAAGCAAATTGCTAGATTGCCAGCTTCAAAAAATCACAATAATTTTACGAAACCGCCCCATCTGCCTTTTCGCTTCTTCTGCATTTTTCACCCACCGCTCTCTACTCCGCGCTGAGCAGGCTTATAATGAGCCACAATTAGCCTAATACTACGCCGAGTAATACGCACATTATTACGAGCATCACCTCATCAAGCGTAACGGCCACAACAGGAATGCGGCTAAGACGGCCACAGCCAATCAAAAGGCGTTTTGGCCAGCTTTTTCAGCTTTTTTAACTAATTCAATAAAAAAAAATTCAAAAGCTTTCGCTCCCCGTTTTGGGCCACAGTTGTGAAAAAGCCCAGCTTGAGAACTCCCCGAAAATTACCTGCTTTCTCACGCCCCGCCGTACCCCTGAAACCGCAAGCATTCTCGATTGAAGGACGCCCCGAATTTTCGAAAACTCCAAAATACGAAAATCCGCCTCGAGCGCCCTGGATAAAATGCCCCACGCTGTCAAGGCATTGTGGAAGCTGCCTTTGGGCCTTGGCAGTGCAAGTGGAATCCCATCGCAGGGAATGTTTGCAGCCGTCCGCGGGGCACCTAAGCTTTTTTTCTGGAAGCATGCGCCAGAGCCCTAGCCTCACAATATGGGCATTTCGACAGGCTTTTTCTTTTTTTTTGCAAATTACGCACATGGCGTCGTTAGGGCACATGTTCCGCTTCAGGGCAAGCGCTTCAACGCTATGGATGGTAATTGGACGCCAAGCATGGGTAATGGTGGCTCTATTGTGTCACGTGCGATGATAAGAGCATGGCGACAGCGCCGATCCAAATCGGCTGCGAGATAAGCACAACTTTTTGCGACGAAGGAGCGAAAAGTTGCCTTTTCATATATCCAAATTTTTCAACTACCCCAGTAAAACCACCAAATAAACCCGTCCTGGTAGTTACACCCATCCCGGAAATTACTAACCCGCACCGCCAGCCTGCGATGTCGCTTCTGTCATACTGCAGCCTCTGCAGATCTCACGCTCACTTCTCTCGCTTGTGACCTATATATTGCAGCCGATGCGGGACCGTTTTTTTGCAACACCTTCTTTTTTTTTTTAATGTGGTTCTCCCGAAACCGCTCCGCCAGCGAAGTGCTGCCGGACGCCTCTGTGGAAAAAAACACCGACCGTGCCTCCGTGCTAAAAAACGAGGAATGGGGTCCTGAGGGCGAAGTCGCCTCAGCTGACTACTCTGACTTCACGGAGCATGAAGATAGACCCTTGGCTTTGAAAAGAGCCCTCAAAGACCGTCATATTTCGCTTATCGCCTTGGCCGGTATCATTGGGCCTGGTATCTTGGTGGGTGCTGCCAACCCTACCAGTGAAGGTCCGGCCTCGATGATCATCGGTTTCGGTGTCATTGGTATCATTGCTTTTGCCATGGTGCAGAGTTTGGGTGAACTCGCCACCTTGTACCCTTCTGGCTGTGTCTTCTCCACGTTGGGCGGGAAGTTTGTCGATAAGGCCATTGGCGGCACTGTGGGCTGGAACTATGTCATTATCTGGGTTGCCGTTTTGGCGAACGAGTACAATATGGTGGCGAACGTTTTGATCGAATGGGGCCCCCAGGTGCCGCTTTACGGCTACATTCTCATGTTCTGGGCCGCTTTTATGGCGTTCCAGTTTTTGGGTGTGAGGACGTTTGGTGAGGCCGAGTTCTGGCTTGCTTTGACCAAGATTGTGGGTATCTTCGCCTTTTACATTTTCTCCATCATCTACGTTGCAGGCGGTGTCAAGGGCGTGGACGCCTTTGGTTTCCGCTACTGGCACGACCCTGGTCCTTTGGCCAACGGCTTCAAGTCGGTGGTTTCGACTTTTGTGTTTGCTTCCACTTTCTACTCGGGCACTGAGTCTGTGGCGATTGCTGCTTCGGAAACCAGAAACCCTTCCAAAGCCATCCCCAATGCCATTAGACAGACCTTTGTCCGTATTATCGTCATTTACATGGGTATCGCCTTCTTCTACGGTTTGACTGTTCCATACAACGACCCCTTGTTGGACCGTTCTTCCACGCTCAAGTCGCCCATGACGATTGCCATTCACAACGCCGGCTGGCCAGGCGGAAAACACTTGATCAACGCTTTCATCTTGGTGACGTGTATTTCGGCCATCAACTCGTCCATCTACATTGGTTCCAGAACCATTGTGCACTTGGCCAACGAGGGCAATGCGCCTAAATTCCTTGCTAGATTGAACAGACAGCAGGTGCCTTACCTTTCTGTCGTTTTGATGAACTCCTTGGGTCTTATATCGCTCATGAACGTCAGTACCGGTGCCGCTAAGGCCTACGACTACATTGTCAACATTTCCGGTGTGGCTGTGTTCATCTGCTGGGGAAGCATCAACTTCTACCACTTGCGTTTCAGAAGATCCTGGACTTTGCAGGGCCGTTCTGTCGAGAGTTTACCTTACAAGGGTTGGCTCTACCCATACTTGCCCATTGCCGGTCTCGTTTTGGACATTTTCTTGTTGCTCATCCAGGGTTGGAGCACGTTCAAGCCCTTTGACGCAGCCGGCTTTGTGGACGCTTACGTTTTGATTCCGTTCTTCTTCATTCTTGCTGCCGTTCTCAAGTTCTGGCAGAAGACCAAGTGGGTCAATTTGTCCGAGGTGGATCTCGATGCGGGCCGTAGAAAGGACTTGGACTGATCCTGTTTTTCTAGAAATAATATTTGAATAAACCGATAGAAAAGAGATTTGGATTTGTAGGCTGTATTTTAGACGTTTTGGTGAAGAGTGTATCTGAGGGCATCGCGATGAGATCTTTTAGGTACACCGTTTTTCATGGGTAAAGAGGATAAGAAAAGAAAGCTCGAGGAGGCTGCTGAGCCTGACCGGAAGCTGAAGAAGGAGAGAAAGGAGAAGAAGGAGAAGAGTGAAAAGAAGGAGAAGAAGGACAAGAAGGACAAGAAGGAGAAGAAGGACAAGAGCGAGAAGAAGGACAAGAAGGAAAAGAAGGAGAAGAAGGAGAAGAAAGAGAAGAAAGACAAAAAAGAGAAGAAGGACAAGGAGGAAAAGAAGGAAAAGTCCCCTGAAGTGATGTCATCCGCTCCTGCTCCATCCAATGACTCCTCAGCTTACTCCCAGAAGAAGGCTCTTAGCGATGTTCTGGAAAGCGAGGTCAAGGAGTTCTTGGACACCAATGAAGTGGCCATCGAGGACCCCCACAGCTTGAACTTGCGTCCACTTTTGCTGTTTGACCATGTGGACTTCATCAGCGAGGTCCAGAAAGTCATTACCAAGTTCCCCAAACCCACACCTATCCAGGCTGCCTCGTGGCCGTTTTTGCTTAGTGGAAAAGACGTCATTGGTGTTGCCGAAACGGGTTCCGGTAAAACCTTTGCTTTCGGTGTCCCTGCTGTGAACAGTATCTTGAAGGAGAAGAAGAAGGGTCTCAAGGTGCTCTGTCTCTCTCCAACTAGAGAATTGGCGCTCCAGATCCACGACAGTTTGGTGGACTTGACGAAAAACGCCGGCATCTCTTGTGTGGCCATCTACGGTGGTGTCAGCAAACAGGACCAGATCGACAAGTTGCAGAATGCCAGTATAGCTGTGGCTACACCAGGTAGATTGGTGGATCTTTTAGAGGACGGTCTGGTGGACCTTTCGAGCATCGATTACTTGGTTCTTGACGAGGCCGACAGAATGCTTGACAAGGGATTCGAGCAGCACATCAAGCAGATCATTGGCCAGTGTCCTGCTAAGCAGAATCGTCAGACCTTGATGTTTACAGCCACATGGCCCAAGGAGGTCAGAGAGTTGGCTTCTGTTTTCATGACGCTGCCTGTGAAGGTGACTATTGGTGAGAGAGACGAGCTTTCTGCCAACAAGAGAATCACACAGATAGTGGAGGTGATGGAGCCCAGAGACAAGGAGAGGAGGCTCGTGCAGTTGATCAGAAAGTACCAGCTGGGTCCCAGCAAGAACGACAAAATTCTCATTTTCGCCTTGTACAAGAAGGAGGCTCTGAGAGTGGAATACTCGTTGCAGAGAGCCGGCTTCAACGTTGCAGCCATTCACGGTGATCTTTCTCAACAGCAGAGAACCCAGGCGCTCAATGCCTTCAAAAACGGCGAGTCCAACCTTCTTTTGGCCACCGATGTCGCCGCCAGAGGTCTCGATATCCCCAACGTGAAGGTCGTGATCAACTTGACTTTCCCACTTACTGCTGAGGACTACGTCCACAGAATCGGCAGAACAGGCAGAGCTGGCCAGACCGGTACCGCCCACACGCTCTTCACCGAGCACGAAAAACACTTGAGTGGAGCCTTGATCAATATCTTGAGAGGAGCCAACCAGCCGGTTCCAGAAGAGTTGCTTAAGTTTGGAGGCCACACCAAGAAGAAGGCCCACTCTGTGTACGGAGCTTTCTTTAAGGACGTGGACATGACCAAGACGGCCAAGAAGATCAAGTTTGACGATTAGAAGAGCCTGACGACGGCGAAGATCAAGTTTGACGATTTGAATAGCCTGACGACGGCGAAGATCAAGTTGACGACTAGAAATAGCCTGACGACGGCGAAGATCAAGTTGACGACTAGAAATGGCCTTGTATAATATCTATTGCGCATACGATTTGTAAACCTACTTCTTTTTGATTTTTCAGCCCACAGTGCTCCATTCAAGCCAGCACTCGTCACAGCGGGGTTTAGCCAGTAAACCGTCCACCATGGCCATCATCTCCTCGTCAGAATTGGACAATGGTTTAGCTCCGTCGAGCCGAACGGCATTGCCAACTTTCACGTTTTCTTCATACTGGGTCACCTCACACCAGTCTGAGCTGATTTGTGAATTGTACCGCCAGTACAAATTGGCCAAAGCCAATTTTATGTCTATAAGCGCCAAGTCCTTGCCCAAGCACATGCGGATGCCCTTGCCGAAATGCAAAAGGTGCTTGGACATGTGGGTTTTTCTGAGTTTGTAGTCCTCATTCAGCTCTCCATGCTGAGGAAGCCATCTTTCTGGAATCCAGCTTTCAGCATGCGGGAATATGTCGTTTTTGCGGTGGTACGAGTACGCCTGGCACGAGACGGTTGTACCTTTTGGAAGTTCCACTGATCCGTTGCTTGTGTGGACCTTATATGTGGATGGAGTGATTCTGGGCATGGAACCGACTCCAGAGGTGTGGACACGGAAGTTTTCTTTGAGCAAAGCTTCTAAGTATGGAAGCTGGTCGACTTGCTCAATAGCATCGATAATGTTGCCGTCAGGAGCACCAAAGTACTCTCTGATTTCGTTTTGGAGCCGTTCTTGTCTGAACCGGTTCACCGGTCTGGAAAGCTCGTAGCAAATGTAAGTGAGTGCAATAGCAGACGTCTCATGGCCAGCAATGAGGTTGTCGCTGAGGAAAGAGTACGCTTTTTTGTCCTTAAGGCCGTTCTTCTTGAGTGCACTGAGCGTGGTTGGTCTAGAAAGCTCTGGATCGTATTCTGCGCTTTTGAAGGTTGAAAGAAGCCACTTTTCCACGGATGCCGAAGCTCCCATGATTCTTGGACCCGCAAGAAGCCAGTGGAGCAGCGGAAGAAGCATCAGGCCGAGCGTCAGAAGCTCCTTGGTCCGGAAATCCACCAAAATCTGTCTTTTGTATGTATCGTTCAAAAAGTCTGTGCCGTTTTTGACGCCAAGCTCGAACGCAGAAATCACGTCCATGGCCAAAGCGCCAAAAAGCAGGTACATGTCGATTCCAAGGCTCGACAGCTTCTGTGGAAGCCATCCGTGGGATCCTTCCTTGTGGCCTTTTCCATTATGGTTCATTTCCAGACGAGCATTGATCCAGTCGGGCTCTAGCGCTGTCACCAGGGAAACATGCACTCTGTTGACGAGCTGGGCGGCCTTCAGAACCAAAAGGTCTCTTGTGGCGGGGTTTGAAAGAATGGCCAGTTTGGAGTAAAGCCCCAGCATCATCTTCTTGTACTTGAGGTGCGGTCCATTCTCCACCGTGGAAAACACATTGTCGTGGCCGTGGTTCTGGAAGTGCTTGTAGTAAGGCAGCTTCGGCATGTTCTTGACGTAAATATCGTTGATGAAGCGGAGATCACCGTTGCATGAGACCTCATTGGGGCCTAGAAGGACAATCTCCCCATACTGTTCGTGAAGACGGTGGATCTTCCGGACCCAGCGGTTCTGGTGCTGCGCAAGGATGCACGGAAGCGTCGATATGCGGTGGAAGTAGGGTCCTGGCACTCTCCTGAGTGGAGAAACGTGGAACGGATAGATGTACAACTTCCACAAGAGAAACACCGCTGTGGAGACCACCAAGAGCAGGTGCTGGTGGTGAGCCGCTAGGGCAACGAACGAGATCACAGCGTGTGCCAACATGGCTGTTGGAAAAGAACCCGGGAGGAGCTGGGCATTTATAGAAAGCCGCTACGGACGAGAAAGTACAAGTGGTAGCGGCGCCACATGTCTGAATTGCGCTTCATGTACATGCTAAGGAGGAGGACTATTCTGCGGGATGTGGGGAGCTGAAGCCACAGGATTCGGGAGGACCCAAGGATTCCGAAATCAGTGGTAGTAATACTTTGATCGCTTTTTGCACCCAACGGAGGGTATGCATGGAAGGGCGACTTTGACATATTAACTGGGGCCGTGCGGGCGTGGAACAGGTTGGAGGCAGGTTGTGCAGTAGCGAGGCTCGTTCTAGGATATTTTTTTGCACCCATGTGAAGCCATCCCCCACAGGTTCCTGGCCACAGTGGGGCCTGCACGGCTATACTTTCTGACGTCTATTGTGGAGGTCCATACCGAGAAACACAAAGCGCCAGATCCGGCTTCAGGTCCACGTGCCAAGGATCGGCCGGTCACCAAGAAGCAAAAACTGGGCCGGTCGATTCAGGGACAAATAAAACCGCCTTGGTTGTGAAAGCCTGGTTGTGAGAGCCTGGAAAGCCTGGTTTTTTCAGCCTGTTTCGTTAAGCGGAAGCGTGGCCTCCACAGCGGTTTATTAGACCACGCAACCTCACTGCTGGGCTAAAGTTTCCGAGATCCAGGACCACTGGGGATCCCAGATCGACGATCAACGCGGAGGTCGAAGCGAATCCGGGCGGTGGTGTTGAGTCGATGGAATAGGGTTTGGAGGGAAAGTTCGGGATGGAATTTTGTGGATTCCGCTTTCGGTAATTCCTTAATTTTGCTTCCACTTTCATTTTTGCTTCCAGTTTTCCTTCAGCTTGCTTTCAGTTTTGCCTAATTAAGCCGACTTCGACTACTGTGAGCGCATTTCCGTGGCGCTTGGGGCCAGTGTTCGAGGTATTGCTCATTGATTAATTCGCTCACAGAGAAACGTGGGCACAGCCACAAAGTCCGAGGTGGTCCGGTCGAATCGATCTGGAGGTTTTTACATAAATCCTGGATTTGAGAAGATTTGCTATTTTTGAGATTTGGGAAGTCGTTTGGAGCACCATGTAATCGCATGCATCGGCTGCAAGGTCTGCTTACCAGTAGCCCAAGGGACCAAAACACTCGTCACCAGAAACAATTTTCAAAATATCGCAAATAAACCAGTCATAACGTGACGATTTACAATTTCGAAAGAAAAGTCACTTTGTGGTCACTATGGGAAAACCATCGCCTGATTCAGGGTGCACTTTCCTAACGCCGCCTTAGTCACACGACGACTTCTACAGCCTTCTATTAAGCCAAGCCCCACCACCTCGAAAACCCTCCCTCATCAAAATCTCACCATTCCGGGAAATCCGCCACTTTGCCACCTTGCCACCAAAAAGGCCACCTCATCGACACCTGTCAACTTTACTAATTCCTTATAAGGCCACCCTATAAGCAGTCGCAACGCTCGGGCATTGCTTTTTCAGGCTGACAAAGCTTCTTTTTGGCAGCAGTCACGTGACCACATCTTTGATAAGGCCAGCGATTTTGCAACTACAACGACATGAACCTTTTCCTCCTATTCCTAGCCACGCTAGCCACGCTAGCCACAGCGGCTTTTTCGCCCTTTGACTCGCCAGACTTTTGTCTGCAAATCATCACACCCACGTGTAACACGACATTTTCCTATATTGATGCTGTCAACGCCCAGCTCAGGGACCTGGTGGTCGACTTGATCCTGAAACCGTTTTTCCGGTTTTTTAAGCTTGACTTGGACAAGCAGTGTAAGTTCTGGAATGCTCAGCATTTCTGTGCCACGCGCAACTGTGCCGTGGAGGTGTTGCTGCCGGAGCAGTTCAACTGGCTGGATATTCCAGACGATCTTTCGCCTTCGAAACTAGGAGAGATTCTGAGAGCTTCTAGTGCCCACGACGAGGCCGACACGTGCGAGGATTTGGATTATTGTCATATTGACGACGACCACAACTGCGTTTTTGTCGATTTGAAGGAGAACCCAGAGAGATTCACCGGATACGGCGGTGCCCAGTCTTTTGATGTTTGGAAGGCCATCTACTCTGAAAACTGCTTCCCAAACACAAACCCCATGTCGATGCTGCCGGACTCCGAGCCCGAGCAGTGTGTGGAGAAGAACTTGTTCTACAGGTTGATCTCGGGCATGCACGCCTCCATTGCTGTGCACTTGTCCAACGAGTACTTGGACGCCGAAACCGAGGAGTTCCACCCTAATTTGAAGGTTTTCATGGAGAGAGTGGGCAAGTTCAACGACAGACTCTCCAACATCTACTTCAACTACGCGTTGGTGTCTCAGGCCATCGTCAAATTGTCTGAAATCGTGTCTCTTCCCACCTACATCAAAGAGAACCACGAGTCCACCAGCAGCGACGAGAGCCAGTTGCGTACGAACGAGGACGTTAGTCCTGCCGTTTACGCCGAGCTTCTTTCCAACATCAACAGTACCTTGAGTTCCCAGGTGCTCTTTGAAACACACTCTCTTTTCGACCCCATTAAGAGCTCCCCGACCTCAAGAACGAGTTCCGCTCTCGTTTCAGAAACGTGTCTGCCATCATGGACTGCGTCGGATGTGACCGTTGCAGAATGTGGGGCAAGCTCCAGACGATCGGTTACGGTACTGCCCTCAAGGTGCTTTTCGAGTCCGAGGACCCTAATACTCAGCACTTGTTGAAGTTCCGCCGGATCGAGTTGGTGGCGCTTTTCAACACGTTTGACCGTCTTTCCAAGTCTGTCGAGGCCATCAACAACTTCAAGTCCATGTACCTTCAACACTTGGAGGATGTGGCTGCTGGTAAGGTGAAGCACGGTGACTACGAGCCTTTGCACGACAAGGGTATCGAATTCCCATTTGTGGCTTTCCTGCCTGTGACCAAGAAGGAGCCATCCAAGGAGGCCTTGAAGGAGGCCTCTCAGGTGTTTGCTAAGGACAACTTTGATGAAGGCAAAATTGTCAACGTCAAGGGCCGCACTCAGGGCTTCTGGGAAGAACTCGAGGACGTCAAGGCCGCTCTCTGGTTTATCTGGGACATTTACTACCAATTCCCAAGAAGGGTCTTCGAGTACGTGTTGTACTATGCCAACGGCTGGTGGAATGTGTACGTGGGACGTGCTATTTACGTTCCACAGGGCAAGACCAACATCAATGACGAGTTGTAACTTTCAAAATTTTTTTAGTCGGCGACGCCGGCATGCATTGGAACGCTGTTCCAGCTTTATAGAGCTTAGAGCTTAGATAATACGACCCGTGGGTCGAGAGCCATGCAATAAAACAGGGATTAGAATGGCTTGTAGATTTAGCTTTTGGCTTTTTGAGCTATAACGTTTTTCCTGTTTTCCTGTTAAACTTTTCGGCTAGACTTTGATCTTTTTTTTTTTCGGAAACGGAGGATTTGCATTCCCAGATCCCGATCACCCTTAATGTCCCATCTGACTAAGATCTAGAATTTCTATAAATAAATGGCCAAGGGTGGAATTTCGGATTCTTGCTCGTGACATATGTTCTGGATCTGTGTAGCTGCATTGCCGGCTTGGCTTAGTAAAAAATGTCGTCAACGATGTGTAGGCTACAGGGCAAATTCTAATGTAAATGGTATTACGAAATAATCCTATAATATTTTATGATGAATGCATGAAATCCCAAGAACCGGCTTGTTCTCTTACAACAACAAAGCGGCGACACCGACCAAAGCGGCACCAGCGACAGCCTGCTTGTTGGCACCAGCCTCATAGGAAGAAACACTGGCGTTATCAGAACCCTCGGACTGGTGGACAGAGGTGAAGGTCAGCTGAGCGTAAGAGGTAGCCTCAACAGGTTCAGAAGTGACCGAGGTAGGGGTAGTAGTAGCGTCAACAGTGACGTCAGACTCGGCTGGATGAGAGGCAGCTGGAGCTGGAGGCTGGGAGCCGGCAGCGGTGGTTGGCTCACCAGCGAGAGTGGTTGGCTCAGAGGCACCAGGAGCTGGAGCTGGCTCAGAAGCACCAGGAGCTGGAGCTGGAGCAGACTCGGAGGCACCAGGAGCTGGGGCAGGAGCTGGCTCAGAAGCACCTGGAGCTGGAGCAGGAGCAGACTCGGAGGCACCAGGAGCTGGGGCAGGAGCTGGCTCAGAGGCATCAGGAGCTGGAGCTGGAGCAGACTCGGAGGCACCAGGAGCTGGGGCAGGAGCTGGCTCAGAGGCATCAGGAGCTGGAGCTGGAGCAGTCTCAGCAGGGGTATCAGGGGTAGCTGGGGCCTCCTCGGAAACTGGGCAGGTGGTGGTGTACTCAGTCTTGACACCGTCAACGGTCTCGGTGACAACGGTCTGGGTAGCAGCAGTGACGTGAGTCTTGCAGGACTCAACACCAGAGCAAGAGGTGATGGTCACCTCCTCAGTGTGCTCGTTGGTGACAGTCTCAGTCTCGAGAGAGGCAGGCTCAGAAACGGCAGCAGCAGCGACGGAAGCAGCGAGGAAAGCAGCGGAAAAGAAGTACTTCATAGCGATAGGCGGTAGTTGGTGATGTAGATGTGGAAAGACCAGTTGATTGATGGTTAGACAAACGAGGGGGTGGGTCCATATTTATAGCCGGAAGAGCAGCACAGAAGCCGGGTCACACGCGTCGGGGAAAGGCGTGCTAGCGTCCCTTCTTGATGGCTTTGACGTGTTTGGTGATGGGTCAGAAGAAAATGTCGTGTTCGCGATGTAAAAACAAACAAACACGCCGCGCCGAGGGCCATCTGGGGAAGAGTCGCGAAACCCAGGCCTGGACTAATTACCCTAGTTTGGGGCCTAGAGTCGAATTGGGTGCAAATTTCGAAGCACCACCGTTGGCCCCAAGCAGCTAATTGCAAATGGCAGCCAACGAGCAACGCAAATAATGCAGTACCGGATTAGTGCAGAAGATTGCTTTCCCCATTTGGCAAAGAAAGGTCGGCTTGGAACGACATGGTATTTGGATTGCCATTTGTCGTCTTCGCCCGTCTTCGCCCGTCTTTGGTGGATCGACTTCAGCCTCGACGTCTGGCGGTGGTATGCCGCGATGGAGATGTTCCGTGCCTGGCGCGCGGACTGGGGCGGTGGTTTTTTCAGCAAACGGCGTGCGGAATGGCGGCTGCAGGTGAAATGGGGCAGCGGTGGGAGAAAAAAAATGCAGAATATCGCAGAGGTTGCAGAGAAATCGGCGCCAGGATCGCAATCCAGGCAGGACCGGGTGCAATTAGGGAGCAGAATCGGGGGAAAGTTTAATGCACCGAAACGGCCTGGAGCCGACCTCTAGAAATTGAAGTCCACTTTGCAACGAATTTTTGTGGTTTGACGACACCGCCACCAAATGATATTCAGCCCCATTCTTCGTTTGTTATTCTTTCGTTGTTTTTCTTTCGCTTTGTGCCTCCGCCTAGATACCCGCGTCGCGATGAAATGGCTGCGAAATCCAGACCCTCCAACCACCACCGGGGATTTTTCGCAGCCACTGCTCAGGCACCAATATAAGCCCCAGCCAAGACAAACTTAGGCGAATCGTTGCTCTGCACGTCCCGGAAATATAGTCTCTCGTGATTTTCGTCTTTCCGTTTCGGGCAGTGTTCTTCAACCTTTTTGGCTTTAAGCTTTGGATGCATCGTGTGCAGATGTCACGAAGCTTGTTTAATGACAGAAGCATAAGGCTTGACGTAAACAAGAGCAACTGCCGACAGCACGACATAGCAACAACTCCAATTTCACTTGTAAGCAATTTTCCCTCTCCCACTCCGCCATCGCCGAGCCACGTCCACATTCCTCAGTTCAACATCAAGTTCATCTCCCAGTCCTGAATCACACTCACCCAGTCGGCCCGGGCCTCCTGTAGCTTTTTCCTCCGCCACACCTCTAGCATAATCTGCCGGGCGCCCCAGTACGAACCCAAATACTGGGCAATGTCGGCCCCCCACTTCTTGAAGCCCATCTGAAGATTCAACGTCACCGCCTCGCACCCGGCTATGAACCCCTGCCAGAATAGCGGAATGATGTGGGCCTCGTCTTTGGAAATAAGCCGCTGGATCAGGTTGAGGTGGTCGAGCGTCTGCCCCACTTTGTCCTGCAACTGCTCTGGCGGTGTTTCTTCAATGAGTCGCTCAAAGTAGATCGTGAGAGCATGGTAGAACGACATGATGTGGTGGTACGTCACCTCGTGCATCAGAGTGTAGAATTTGTGCTTTCCTGAAGCCTCGGTGTCGTAGAGCTTCCAGTCTAATTTCCAAACACTGAGCTTCTTCTTTAGTGATTGCACCCGATCGCTGTAATCTGCTGCAGGCCCCTTGGCCTCCTTGTCGTGGATCTTTTCCCGAAGAAGCAGAACTGTCTCGCTGAAGAGGACAATTAACGAATTGGGAAGCCCGTAAAGCGCATCCGTGGCGAAATTCTCGTCGTTCTTGTTGGTGTTGATCAACTTTTTATTCACAAACATCGGCGACGAAACCCGCCTGGTGTCCATGATATAGTCAATGCGGCCCTTCGTTCCTTCCTTGTCGAAATTGCTTCTTTCAAACAGCAACCGCACGTCGTAGCCAAACCGGGCCGTCAACTCGTAGTCCTCCTTGATATTCGCATAATCAAGGCACGTCAGATCCTGGATCAACTTCAACGACAGGAAGATCCGGTGCATGATCCGGGCCTTGGGCGAGAGCTTCTTCTTGTTTCTCATTTTCGTGTAAATCACCTTTTCACACCACTTGATGTAGAAGTTGGTGTCTTGCATTGTTCCCCACACCAAGTCCACACTGATCATAGACATCACCGCACAAAGCACGTCCTTGTACTTTTCGTTGGCCACACAGCGTTCGACGTTGCTTTGCGTTCCGCTTTTAGAGCCCAAAAGGGTTTTCACGAAAACGGATGCCTGGTTTCGGAGCCGAATACCGAGGTTGAGGTAGAATTTCATCGGATCGGAGTTTTTGGGGAACTTACTTTGAAGATTGAAGGCTGCCACTGCAAGAAGGGCATTAAGTAGAGCATTTTTAGCTGTGGATGTCTTGCCCAATGCACTGAGCTCGCCAATGGCCATCAAGGCTCTAGGAAAGTAGATGGTTTTCCATGGGTTTTCTGTAAGGGGAATCACCGTCATGAGATCAGCGACTTGCGTGACGTAATAATTAAGAAGATACCTTGTGAGCGGCTGAACTTGAAGCGCTGACGTTGGAAGTACCACGCCGTTTTTGGGCAAGGAGATGTCGAAACCGAGCTTTGGTTGAAGTGGACGTTGCACTATGGACATGATATCTTCGGGCATATGCGTGGATGTGGAGTTTTCGCCTTCTACCATGTCTGTGGCGTCGTCGTCGTTTTTCAGCGGATGGGCCGAGGCGTGAAGCTGGATTTCCAACGTTTTGTTGAGCTGGTACGGGTTGTTGTAGAAAAAGTTGTTGTAGTTCGAGTAGAACAAATGCTGGTTGTTGGGGTTGATGGAGCCCTCGTCCGAATTGAGGATGCTGTTCATCGAAGAAGGTGTGCTTTTGCCAACCTGTGGCAGAAGATTGTTAGACAGATTGCCCTGGTGTCTGTGGAAAACCAAATTAAGAAAGTCTGTGGATTCAGGGTTTGTAGGGTACCCTGAATTCCCCGGCGAGTAGTTCGGAAGCGAGTCCACGAGATCTAGAAACTGTGTATCTCCGTTCAATGCCGCAGCTGTAAGTAAAGCATGGTCTTTGAGCTCATTGGATAACCAGAGCTGGTCGTGGCCTAGTAGGGCGTCGGCTTCTTGCACTGCAGGCACCTGGCTTTGGTTTGCCTTTTTCCTCCGCTTTTCCTTGCTGAAAACCCCAAATGGGCCTCGAAGGATCGTCTCGGCTGGTCTTTTCAAGCTCTGCAAGTCCGCCAAATGATTATCCATTTCCTCGTATGTCTCATAAGGTTTACAATTCTTCTTTTCGTCCCAAGTGACAAAACCCACGTGGCGTCGTTGGAAAAAGCCCAGCTCGGCATTGTCGTTTTCCGACTCTGGAAACTTCACTGGATGCTGTACAGGGTTTCTTCCCTTTGGCGTGAATTGAACAGGGAGCGACCACCGAAGTTTGATGTCGTATCCCAGGCACGTGAGATGAGCTTTTTTGCAGTTCTGGCAGGTTGGCCGCTGGAGATCACAGCGTATCTTTCTTGAACGACAGGTGAAGCAGCCAGTGAAGGTCTTCAGCTTATTGGCACGCAGCGGCTTGGCCATGTTTGGATATTATGAGTGAAAGGAGTGGTTTTGTAGTGGTACAAATTCGACAATTCTGGCTTTTTTGTTCTGGCCTAATCCGCCTGGTCCAAGGTGTTGGTGTCTGATGAGTTGTTGATGTGGGGCGATGGAGGCAGGAGAGTGCGAGATGACCTCGAGATCTGGAGAAGCCGGCTTTCCACGGCAGGAAAGTGCGAGACCCCAGATAGGTATTAAAAATGGGGAAGCGGCTGAAATTGCCTTATATTCGGTTTTTCTGGGTGTTTTTGTGGAATGGCCTTTTTGCGTAGTAGTAAGCGTTCTTTTTTTGGCGGTGTTTCTCATAAATGCCGTTTACGGACCATGTCTCAGAATGCCGCTCGGTTGCGAAATACCCCGACATTATGGCTGCGAAACGACACAATTCTTGTGAATGGGAGGTGGATGCAATAATGCAAGATGGAAAGTGTCGTCTCGTATTCCGGCTTGGCAGTGACTAGGGGGTTGTGAAAGCCGTGTGATTTAAAGACTGGGTGAAGGGAGGACTTAGAGGGCTGTGTGGTCAGGTGAGAGTGGGGGAGAGGTTTGTGCCAATTGGGGAGGAAGAAATTTCATGGAATTTGAAAGGGAAGGTAATGTTTTGAAGAAGAAGAAGAAGATTTTGGTGAAATACTGACAACGAGTCTGATTGAAGGAGCGCCAGGGGTGTGGTTGGTTGGAGCCACAGCATAGACTGGGTTCGTGGCAGAGCGGATTTGACAACCCAACATGATCAATTGATACAAGAGGTGCTTATAAATCTTATTTTTATCAGCTACATAACGCCTCCTTCTGCTTTGTCATTTTATGGTGGGTACTCTGATTTGGCTCTGACGGGACCGGCCATAGACCCGTACACCACAAGCTTAGTTCATGATACCGCAGAGTCCTAGGAAACATAACGGGAGTGCCTAGCGTGAGATGCATTTTTACGACTTATGCCAATTGCACCACGCAGCAACGTGATTGAGAGGCAAGAGTCGCCGAGCCGTTTGGGATTATTTTAAAAAACTTGACTATGCTTTCAGATGTAAAAAATTGTCTTCTTTTGCCCGCTAAAACTGATATTCAAGAATTAAGAGAAACCGTCAATAATCCATAAGTGACGCCCCGAAATTTGTTGCCAAATCATTTCATTCAAAAAAGATTCACAAAAAGTATGTCTTCGTAAATCTTGAGCCCAGGAAAATGCCTCTGCGTTGTGCAATTAGCCTTTTTGCCTTTCCGGACTCGTGGAAACTGAAAAAGACCCTCGAGATGTAAAGGTATAGGCGATTCTGCGTCACCATGATTTTTGGCATCGAAGGCGCCTCTAACATCCTGGCAGAAAAATCAAGCGATACATTTACGAGAGCAAAAAAGTAACCATCGAGATTAAATCGAATATTTGGAATTTTTGTGAATTGAGAGCTCCTTATTCTGTTACCTTACATACTAAGTGCCTCTACTTCTGCAATCGCCAATCAGGACCCGAATCGTCCATTAACACCTCAAGATGCATCAATTGACGAGAACCAATTGGAATTCTACAAATCTCAACACAATAAGCTCCCATACCCCCCAAGTGGACACCAACATAACACTAAGATAGCCATCCTCACCACCTACCAAAGCCCAATCATACCAAGGCCAATCATACCGAGGCCAACCACACCAATTCTTCCATGCATCAAACAAATCAACATGTAGAATCACCCTATCCATTCAATTCCCCCAACTCTCCCACCAAACCTTATTGCACCTCCCTTGCTTGTTCTCACCACCAACCCCCATTACGTCAGTGCGCATGGGTCTCGAGAAGGGTCCTGAAAACCTCCACTAAATCTCGAAAATATTCCTTCCAACCATAAATCACCGTAAGCCTCGAATCACCCCATTGTTGCAAAACGAAAGCAGCAACTCCCGATCCAATGTGTACGACCCTGTGACCAACCTCCTTACCTCACCTCTGCTGCCTACATAAACCTCAGCCAATCCGCCATTTCTCAAACCTCCACCACATTTCCTTACACCACTACTACTTCTACAACTCAGAAAATGGTCAAACACTGGAACTACGAAAACGACGATGTCGTGTTGGGCGCATTGAGGGGCCTCGTGGCGCTGAACCCGGCCGTCAGCTTTATTCCTTCTGAAAAGGTTGTCTTCAACAAGAACCACAAATCAAAAGTCGCCATCATCAGCGGAGGCGGCCTGGGTCACGAACCGCTTCATGCTGGCTTTGTGGGCGACAATCTCCTTGATGCCGCCGTGGCAGGAACCATTTTTGCCTCGCCTTCTACAAAACAGATTATGGCTGGTGTCAAGGCTACAGCAGATAAGCAGAAAGGCGTCATTGCCGTGGTCAAGAACTACACCGGAGACGTGTTGCATTTCGGCTTAGTGGCCGAGAGAGCCAAGAGAGACGGCTACAAGGTGGAGCTCGTGGCTGTGCTGGACGATGTTGCCGTTGGAAGAACTCAGAACGAAATGGTGGGAAGAAGAGGCATTGCAGGCACTGCCTTGGTGCACAAGGCCTTGGGAGCTGCTTCTGCCCAGGAGGGTGCTGAGATCGAGCAATTGGCTCAGTTGGGCCGCTCCGTGAACGACGCCTTGGTCACTATGGGTGCCTCTTTGGATAGGACTACTGTTCCAGGAAGAGACAGCGACGAGGGTGAAGTAACCGGTGAAAATACCGCTGAACTCGGTCTTGGAATTCACAATGAGCCAGGCGAGAAGTTGCACCCTATTCCTAAGGCTTCGGAGTTGGTGGACTTGATGTACAAGCGCTTGTTGGACAAGAACGACAAGGAGAGACACTACCTTGAATTTGGCGACAACGACGACTACGTGTTGCTTATTAATAACATTGGCGGCACTTCGTCGCTTGAGCTCTACGCCTTGGCCAATTACGCCATCTCCAGAGTGCCCTTGAAGAAGAAGCCATCGAGAGTCTACATTTCCGACTTTGTCACTTCCTTGAGCAGCCCAGGCTTCTCCATCACCTTGCTCAACTTGAACAAGGCCGCCACGGAAACGTACACCAAGGAGGACGTTCTTGGCTTTTTGGATACTCCTACCAACGCTCCTGGCTGGAAACCCAAGATCTACTCCGACGAGCAATGGCAGAATCCTGAGCCAGAGATTAAGGAGCTGCCTGTGGCTCATGCCGAGTACCTCCAACTGGACGCTAAGGTTGACGGTGCTGCTTTTGGCGAGCTGCTCAAGAGAGCTATGGAGTTGTTGATTTCGAAGGAGCCTGAAATCACCAAATACGATACCCAGGTGGGTGACGGTGACTGTGGAGAGACGCTCAAAAACGGCGCTGAGGCGATCTTGAAGGCTCTTTCTTCCGACAAGCAGTTCAAGGAAAACCTCAACGATCTCGTTGCTACCGTGAGCGCCATCACCGAAATCGTCGAGGACGAAATGGGTGGTACCTCCGGCGGTATATATGCCATCTTTTTGACGAGTTTCGCCAAGAACCTCCAGCAGGCCAAATCCATTGACGTCAAGCTGGTGAGCAAGGCCTTGTCCGATGCGCTCTACGAGGGTTTGTTCAAATACACCAAGGCCAGAAAGGGCGGTCGTACCTTGGTGGACACTTTGCAGCCATTTGTGGATACTTTAGTGGAAACCGGCGATGTGGATAAGCTGGTGAAGGCTGCTAAGGATTCCTGTGACAATACCGCCAAGTTGCAGGCCAAGTTTGGTCGTGCTTCCTACGTCAACGAAGAGGAATTTGCAGGCGGTGTTCCTGACCCAGGTGCTGTTGGTCTTTTGGCCATCATCCAGGGATTCCTCAACAAATAGTGCAATCAGCTGATGTATAGGAAAAATCAAGGTTCATGCAGCGAACGATGGCCCACAGGGTTGTGCAGTGACGTCTATTGTTTGCTCTGAAACTGTTACAGCACTGGTTACACGGTCATGTTTTGGAAGCCCCAGGGTACCACTATTTTCCACCAGGGTACCTGTTTTGTCCAATCATGAAACACCAAAAGTCCACTGGGGTCGTACCGGCCGGGTTGGACCAACCGGGTTGAACCAACAGGGTCTGACCATCAGGGTGATGCTACTAGGGTGGCTGATGCTGATTGGTCCATTCTGGTTGTTTTGGTGTTTCTCCACAATTGCAATTGGAGGTATCTGAGACATGCGGTAGGACCAGGGTGGTTTCGACCAGAGGGGTGTTTGCATCGCCGAGAGTGGAAGAAAGGAGATTTCAGAAGAGCAAAAAAGACGTGATAATTAGGAAATTTGTTGTTTTGACGGTTTTCTAGAAAATGGAGGGTTCTATCGCCTGCATGAATTCCCAGCTGATAAGATGTGAAGGATATGATGGTACAGACCTACGTAGTTTTATGAATAAATAAGAAAAAATGGAGAAACTTTCTCAGAGTTCATCTTAGGACAATTGTGGCTCTTTTGAAAGATTTTGTGGTGTAGGTGCTCGGGGTTTGGGACACCCCCAGGGTAGATAATGCAGATCCATGCAGCACGATAAGACAGAGCCACAGTGGAGAAGCCCGAAGTATATATTTTCCAAAGCCGCCGGGCACTATGGATATAAGAAACATTTTTGAATTGATAAACTGAAGGGATTTTTATCATCTTCATTTCGTTTCTATTTGTCAACCATCATTTGTTGACGGTACTTCCATGATCTAAGCTGCCAGGATCATAACCAATCACCGACTGAGGTATTCCCTACGATCCGTTTCAAACTTCGAAACTTCCCAAAACGTCAGATCCGAAAACTTCAATAATTCACAACTTTCATAAACCTGGCAACCTCGCGTGCCAGCAAGGAAACGGTAACTACTACGGTGTTTCGCAGCCACCGTTAATGCCGCTTTCGAAAACAGAAAACAAAACAAACACGTAGAAGAAAAGAAACTGAGAGATCAGTGAAAACCACATTCCCAGAGGGAGCTAGAAAAGCTCATCCTATCACGATCCACTCCGAGGCCGAGTTTAACCACGATAAGCTGCAACCAGTGCGGTACCAAATGATCCAGACAGGGGTTTTCAAAATCCATTGCTCTGATAACTCAAACCCTATTTTAAGGCTCTAAACCACTTCTTTAACGGTGAATCACAACTCTGCAAAATCCTGAAAATTCGAAAACCTTTCCAGTAGACCAAAAACATCTACCATCACCCCTCTTCCAAACCACACCACCAATTCACCAGCTCAATTACCTACCTCCCTTCACCAATACCCCAAATCTACCCGTAAATGCCTCTACTCCAGCCTGTCACGCCCGATAACCTCCATATCGGTGGACCACCAGGGTGGTTGTCCCTGCAGGAATGGCTGCAAAATAAAACCCACCACCTCCCCAGAGTCCACAATATGGCTCAATTCGACTCTTGTCCTGATATTCACCTGGAAAACTTCTTTGAAGTTGTCATTGTCGGCGGCGGCACGTGTGGTCTTGCCGTGGCGCTGAGACTATGTGAAAACGCTCCTGGTTCCATATACACTGAGGAGGAGCACCAGAGATTCCACTGGTTGAAGACCCGGGGGTCCCGTGTCAGCACGATCCACAAGGGCATGACGAAAACGCTGAAATACGTGGCACCTACCAAACTCACGGCAGAAAATATCCTCGTTTTGGATGCGCTTCTGGATCTGTTCATGGGAGGCTGGGACAACCAGTTCAGATCGTGCCAGATTCCCCATTTACGGCTGCCCATGTTCTTTCATCCGGATCCCGTGAACATCGACGGAATGATCACGTATGCTCATAGCACAAAGCGGGAACGTGATCTTATGGAGATCCAGAATGTCGTGGGAAAAGAGTACCTGAAGCACCAGATCAAGAGAACCATGAAAAAGAAGCACAACAAACAACCTGCTGTGATTGGAGACCAGGCTGGCGGAAGCAACAGAAACCATGATCGTCTGGGCATTGTGGACATCAACATGCGGGACTGGAGAGACTACTACCGTCCACTGACGCCATTCTTCCGTGATTTCTGCAATGATCTTATCGACCGTTACAGTTTGCACAATTGTGTTCGTAAGGACGAAGTCGTGAGCATGAAGTACACGGATTTGCACATTTTCGACCGGAACCACGTTGAAAAGGGCTTTGTCATTAAGACGGAAAGCGGCAAGATGTATGGTTGCAAAACCTGCGTTGTCGCCAGTGGACATCGTGGAAAAGTGAACTATCCAATTTGCGGATTGGGCGACAAGAAGCCCAGTTTGGATGCTTCATGTCACACGACAGATATTTTCTATGAGAGGGTGCCTTTTCCACATCCCCGTTTGGTCGAGAAGATCCAGCCTGAAAGGGAGAAGAAGCGTGCTGGACTGAGGGGTTCGAGAGACGATTCTTCGAAAAAGATGCCTCGAGAGGAGAAGATCGAAAAGATGGGAAAAATGGAAGAGAAGCCCGAGGAGATGGACCATTTGAAGGCAGAAGCCATGGATGTGAAGAAGGATATGGCACCGAGGGAGATGGTCAATGAAAAATCTGAAAATTCTGAAAAGATGGAAACCTCCCAGACCCAGGCGGTGGAGATGACTCAGGAAGATATTGCCAACGACTTGGAGCTGAAGCGGACCAAGAAGAAAATGGCCCGTGCTAAGGAGATGAAGGAGAAGATGGCTATGGCCGAGGAGAAGAAAAAGCAGGAAATGCAGATGGCCCAAAAGAAGCAGGCCATGGAAGAAAAGGCCAGAGGGGAGGAATCCATGGAGCACGAAACTATGGAGAGGCAAGAATCCATGATGGATGAAAAGCAGATGGCCGAGGAGAATGACGAGAGTTCGACTGGCCCTAGTCTGCCAAAAATGGGAGAAAAGCCGGGCTCCGTTTCCTCAATGTCCTCCATTTCCTCAGTGGAGAAGGAACATTCCATGGAGAAGGAAGTGTCAATGAAGAAGGAAACGTCAATGAAGAACGAAATGCCAATGAGAGGTGAAAACTCCATGAAAAACGAAAACTTTATGAAAAACGAAACCACTGTGGAGAACAAAATGGCTGACATTGGCCCCACGGATATTCCCTCCATGGACTCTAAAAGCCAACCAGCCGAATCCATGAAAGACCTGTCCACGAAAAAACCGAGACTGAAACCTCCCATGGCCTCCAAACCACACTTAGTCATCATCGGCGGTGGTTTGACCTCAGCACAACTTGCCCACGTTGCCTGCCTCAAAGGAATCCACGTCACTTTGGTCCTCCGTGGTCCGGTCAAAATCAAGCATTTTGATTTCCACCTCGACTGGGTCACCAAGTACAGAAATGTCAAAAAACTGGCTTTCTACATGCTTGACACCGACGAGGAAAGAGCCCAGTTGATTTTGGATGCCAGAGGAGGAGGGTCCATCAACCCAGAGTACCACATGAAAATCAACAAGCACCAGGCAGCCAAGCGTCTTCTGCTTATGAAGTACACCACGATGGAAAACGGCCAGTTTGACGAAAACAGCCAAATGTGGAACATGGATCTTGTTACCAGAGAAGAAGGCATGGAACCCAAGGTGACCAATGTCGATGCCGACTACGTGATCTGTGCTACCGGTATTCTGCCCGATTTGCACGGTTTGGGTTTCCTTGACGAGATTATCAACGACTACCCTATCGACATTGTGGGAGGATTCCCTTGTCTTACTGACAACCTCCAGTGGTGTGAGGAGTTGCCTCTTTACATGGTGGGAAAGAACGCCAGTTTGAGAATTGGGCCTACTTCCGCAAATCTCGATGGAGCCAGAACCGGTGCTGAAAGAGTAGGCTGGAAGATCCAGGAGGATCTCGTGAAGGATGAAAGGGAAGTCGACGATACTAGATTACAGCTTGCGGGAAACAACCTCAACTGGTATACGCTTCTCCTGGAGGCATAATCCCCATAAAAGTTTGGTTGAGTAGAATGACGATTTAGACGAAGTTTTGTAGGCAAGTTTGTGGTATTGCAATTTGTGGTATTGCAATTTGTGGTATTGCAATTTTGTAGTATTGCAATTTTGTAGTATTGCAGACTCTTCTAAAAGCTTCCTTATCAAACTTTTCAAATAAAAGCTCGATATATCAATGAGCTCGTGACAAGCTGAGCTGGTTTCATCTTCCTGGAACTTAAAGCTTCATTACAGCTGCTATCGTTCAGCAAAGAAGAAGTGAGCTTATAGTATTGCAATTTTGTAGTCTTCTGAGGTATGTAGGTTTTTTGCAAACCGTGGTTAGGATACCCGAGGCGGAGCCACATGGCCTTAGAGGCTTAAGTGTATTAGGAAGCTTTTTTGGAAGCTTTAGACGAGATTGTCGACCTGACAATAGGGTTTTTTGACAGATATCGTATTCAGGTGGAAACTGCCCAAAAGAGCCGAACGGGCTGAAAAGTCCAAGCCCCTGCAAGCCCCTTCTTTTGAAAATGCAGAAAAAGAGGTATATTTAATTCCAGGAAATTGCATTCATTGATCCCTTAACTACCCTTCCTCATCCTGGTAGTAACCTCACCCCGTCTGTGCATGATTATCAACATCTCCTCCACCCTGGGATCACAAAAATTCTTTACATTCCCCTCCTCAGGCATGTAGGTTATGTGGAAAAGCTTGCCGATGACACAAAAACACGATCGTAATTCCACCCCGTTTGGGTTCTTTGTTGATCATGAAACTGTGGCTCCATACTGAAAAAGTAGCCATTTACGAACGCAAGAATACCGATTTACAGGGCAGTGCGTTACAATTAAGTTTCAGCCGTGCCGTCGCAAGTCAAAAGTTTAATGCTATGCAGCATAGACGAGGCACATGACGGAGTGATCGGAAGTCTAATTGGTGATCTTTAAGGTTTGACGGGTTTCGGCTATGCAACCGGAAATAAGGTTTGGCGTTTTCGGATTTACGGGATGTTGATAAGAAGTGGCACTGGAGCCACTCGAGATAAGAATTCGTATTTGGAGACAATCGGAATTTTAGAGTTACGGCAGAAGCTTATTACGTGTATCTTGTATTTGCTAAACACATAGAAATCGGGTTTGTTCAAATTCATTGCAAACAATTAATAGCTACTTGAAGTTCTGTCAACTTTTGCTCTTCCTTTTTTTTGGTTTTTCTTTTTTCTTTTTTCTTTTTTTTTTTTTTTTTATTATTATTCTTAATTATCGACGGGACTGCCAGAGCCCCATCGTTCTATGGTTCAATCATAGAGCGCTGAGTCTGTGACCCAACACCAGTAAAAGAACTTCCTAATATCCACATCAGTAGTTGACAACATCAACATGCTCTTCCTCACTGTCGTCGAAGGCAAACTCCCGTCTCTTCCAGTGTCTGTGGATCGTCTTCAACGAATGCCCGGCAGATCCTGATCCAACCTCAGAAGCCACGCTGAAGAACTTCTCCACTGCCTTGACATCCTCTGCTTTCACCACATTAAGCCCAGCGACCAGCACAGGCCATTGCACCATAAGAGGGGCGTACTTGAAAAGCACAGGTTCTCCGTTAGGTGACTCAACGAACGACACGAGATCAAGAAGCTTGTTTGTCAACTCTTGCACGGGAATCAGATTGTGAGCTACACCAAGAAAGTCAGTCAAGATGGTGATGAGAGCTGCCAAACAATAGGCTTGTTGGGAGATGTCCAGCCAGCTGACGATTTTTCTGGTGCCTTCAACGGTAGCTGAGTCGAGAAGGTAATTTTGAGGGATCACGCCGTTGGGGAAGTCGTCTGGAGACATCACGGTGGTGGATGAAAAGAAAGCCTTGTTGCGTTCTCTCTCAAACTCACCCAAAAGACGAATGCACTCGGTCGACTGGATTGAGATGTCAGGAATCTTGCCAGCACCAGAGACAGCACCAGGGCTCAGATCGGTAGTTGAAACTCCGTCTAGGCTCTTCTTGCGGCCCCTATTGAGAAGCTTGATGAGGTCTCTCAAATGAGGCACACAGTCGTTGTGGTAACCACCGATGAGGTTGAAGCCATTAGGCAAAATCAAGCCGAGCTCTGTGAGCACCTGAACCTCGTATGGATCAGCGTAGTTGAGCAAAAGATCAAGCTCCTCATCAACGTGGACTGTGCCGCCGAGTTTCAGGCCTAAACCAGCCAAAATCTCAAACGAGACAAACCAGTACTTGCAGAAGATCAACACCTTCAGCTTGCGTGTGAGGGGGCGGTTTTTGTTGTGTTTCAAAAGAAGGTCTTTGGCGCCCCGAAGGTGTGGTCTCCAGTTTTGTTTGGCATTGACAGCGTTGGAAGACGTCAAAAGAAGCACCGTTAAAAGCACCGCCTCGATGTTGGACACCAAGGCCAAGCCGTTTTTCCCAGCATCCCCAAGAGCCGGTCCGAGGAGCTTGAGACAACGCAGGAGGTACGAGTAGTAGGCCTGTTCATCGTCTGGATTTGCCAGCTTGGAGAAGACAGACCTGGCACCTTGAGCCAAAACAGCCGCCAAAAGGAAAGGTTCCTTGTGAGCACACTTGAGCAAAATGTCTCTGGCAGGATTAAAGAAGGACCTGGCCGAGGCATCGTATGCGTTGAAGGGCAAGATGATGTTTGCGAACTCACGGTAGAACTCGTGCAAAAACGCCTTTTCCGTATGCTTCCTCACCTCTATGTACCCGAGCGGCAAGTTTCTCGGTATGTAGTCGTAGTAGTTGCCCTCGTTGTCTTCCGAAGTTGGAGTTGGCGGCGTCGGCTGCAGCTCCAGATCCGTTTTGGGCTCGTAGTTGACGTCGTAGATCATGTCCAGCACAAGATTGTTCAAATCCGCCGCTAGAAGCGTGAGGTCCAGCTGGTCGTAGAAGGCTAGACCGTCAAGCGGCGGATCGTCGTGTTCCGGTGGCTCCGTCGTGGAAGAGGCAGTTGCTGACGATGTGGCTTCGGGACGGTTCACAGGAGTAGGAAGCCGTATGGGTTTATGGTCCCAGGCGCCGTTCAAGGCGTTCTGGCCGTTTTGAAAATTAAGCCCATAGCCATTGAAGTTGTTAGGAGCACTGGGCGCAGCAGGGGCGTTGTGCGGATATAGGTAGCCATTGAGGCTGTTTGGAGCACTAGGGCCATTTTGAGGATAGAGGCCATTTTGGTATGTGGATCCGCCGCTAAGCGGGCTTTGGCCTTGGTAGCTGGGCCCATTCTGTGAAGCATAGCCATTGAGACCATAACCTCCGTTCACGGGTTGTCCACTTAAGCTTCCATTGAGACCATTCATTCCGGGTTGGCCAAGGCCATTTAGAGCAGGCGCATGCATGTGGCCGTTCATGCTCTGATTAATTCCAAGCCCGTTCATGCCGTGACCAGGTAGAGCTTGTCCGTACGGATTAGCATCGCCATTTGCAGCAGCCTCTTGACGTTTCTGCTCCATCATGGCTTTTCGGCTCACACGAGCCACCTTCTCTCCCTTCAAAGGATACTCACATTCCTTGCGGAGCCTCGTGCACTGCCAGCAGGCGACTCTGCCCTGTTTGTTGATTTTCCTTATCGCTTCAGGGGCGGGTTGATGAACTCGTCGCATTTGATCTTCCGTCTTTTGCACTCTTTGCAGCCGTTCTTGGAGTACTCGCTGCGCAGTCTGCGGGGGCCGACATTGTAGATCAGTGTTGCTTTTATTTTTGTGTTTTTGAAATTAGGGAAGGTCGGAGGGTGTTCGTTTCAGAGCCAAGTAAATGGGCCTTTGTGACACTTTTGTCTATCAAATGAGGGTTCGGGGTCAGCAGGGAGAACTGACGGCGAATTGTAGTGGGTAATGTGGATCTGGCGTTTTTCAATGATCCTTGTTTGTCCAGATGCCTTTTTGTACGCTGGGTTGGCTGACTATCACGATACCGCCGATTCAGGATGATCTATAAGTAACCGATGACAGAAATGGACAGAAACAGATTTGCAGACGTTTCAGTGATTTGATGATCTCCTCAGTTCCAGTAGACGATCTTCCCAGCGTCAGCCATGCAAACCTGTCAAAATAAATCAACCTTATCAGCCCAATAATAAACCGTTATCGTGGGAAGAGGCCTTATCGGCTAACGGAGAGGCGTTTGCGGGGTGGGCGCGGGAGGCGCAGCGAAATCTAAAAGGTGTGGAGTTTATAGGCTTGGGGAGACCCTTATTTTTTAAAAAAAGGCGGGAAACTTAGAGGGACTCGCCTATATATATGTGGGATTCAGGCTGTGATATCCTGGCCTGTGGTTCTGGGGCCTGCAGGAGCGACGAAAAAAACCCTTTGATGGATGAATTGGGGCCATGCACAGCCTGCATAGGGAACGTAACGTACATCCATGCACAATGCAGCGTATATGGCGTACCCGCGTCCCCAAACTGCCCTCGACTACCGGGGTGACTGTGTATGGGAGGACACTTAATAATTTCATTAACGGCATGCTGTACTACTTGCATATGGCGCCGGACGATCGAGGCCGTTGTAGCAATAACACACTGAGCCGCCCGTAAGTTGCAGCTTAATCCCGCTACTGGAGCGGGCTCGCAGTGCGCCCGTGGCGGGCGTAGAAGCTGTAGCCTGGGAATGACGTATAAGCGGGGTCACGTGACACCCACGTGGTGGCATTTTTCGAGAGGCTGGTCGCCCATAATGAAGCCCGGCCGTAGGCAGACAAAAAGCGTCACATTTGAAAACACCCTGGAGTCTGAGTAGTGACGAAACACAGCCGGTTCATCTTGCAATGCACATCTCCAGATCGACAAGCCAGCATGCAGATACGGTGACAGGTTCGTGTCTGCAGGTCGACCCTCCACTAAAGCGTAGGGAGGTTCCGGAGGACGGTGCGACTATTCCGAGGGCAGATCGCAGAAACTCGAGACGGCTGCGTGCAGGCTTCAGCCTCGCCGGGCCCGCCTAAGCAAGTTGGTGGTTTAGCCGCGGTAAGCCCCCCTGAGGTCTGCCCTCCACACTGCCCTCGGAAATACCTCCACGTCTAAAGGCATGCGCCGCGTGTACAGGACGCTGAGAGACTATTCGCTTACTTGCAAGTGGAACAAAACCAATCCACCCAATAACCTAGTAGCACTGTTTGAGTGAATAAATCCGTGACCCCAGCCTCCGCTAAGATCTTCTGCCCACTTCCCCAACTCGGACACGGCTTCCCGACCAATCGGGCAATTCTCCAAATACCCGCCGAACCCCGTTTCAGACCATTGTGGTGAAACTAAACGCATTTGTGTAAGTGTACAACGTAGAATCCCGCATAGGCAGCTATTGGCGGTCTCGGTGTACGAGGCACAATGCCGGCACCACAGTTGAGCGATTTATCGCCCCCATTATGTCAAAGATCGAGGGTGTGTCCATTATCCGTGTCAAAATGGCTACTCAATCTGGTCAAACCTTTCCAGAAGGTGAGGAGAAACGGCAGGGAGAAGGAAAGAAACGAAACGAACAAACAAAATAACAAAAACCGCTGAAAACGTGCTTCCACGAATAATGCTCACTTAAAATACACACCGAGTCTCACTGTCCGGCCTTTTGTGTCTCAGCCAACTCGGCTATCTGATTGTGTGATTGCAAACTACGATACTCACAAACCACCTCTGTACCACGTTTTCAAGCACCACCCCATTGTCACGAAAACTACCGCTCGCTTACGGATCTGGAGCATTCCGCCAGCTGCAGATCTGATCAACAAGAAACCCTCCACTACAAGTGACAATTGAGGCCGTTTGGGCCAATTGGAACACAGGATAACCCCGTTACTCTCGAGGTGACGTAGCCAGAGAAGCCCCGTGGCTTTTTCACTTTGACACAATTCATTTGCGCCTGCAAGCAAAAAGAAAAAAAAAAAAAAAAAAAAAAAAAAAAAAACAGCCTCTTTCCGCTTCCCACCGTAAACAGAAGCTTATCTGAGAGATCTGGCAGTTAATCCGCAAGACATATTGACTGCTTTGTGCGTTTGGGGTTTCCACGTGACGGCCCGATCCGAGGGCGTTGGGAATGCAAAATAGGCTACTTGTGCCGGGTCCACCGTGGCGTCCTGGCTTCAATTCTCGAGCCTAGATAATGCAGACAATACAGCTTGGGGATGTTTACCCGGGGACAATCCACACTCCCACCCTGCTGGTAGCCAGGGGTGGAGGAGGCAGAAAAATCGCTCAAGGTGTCGAGATTTCGAGGAAACGGTGGTTGCAATTTTCCGTGTTTTTGCCGGGCGGGCATCCACACTTTTTGGGGGTTCTCAAATATGATTTGGCTATGCTCTGATAAGACCGCCTCGCAAGTGCTTCTTTGTCTGGCGAGGCTTTGCGCCGATCGCTCCTGTGGGTTCCCGTCATTCACGGCAGAGGCGGTTGAAAAGTACCATTATTTGTTTGACATTCTCCCGACCTGCCGCCCCTCTTTGGAGACTTCCATATGTCCGGTTGTTGCGAGCACAGATGAGCAACTTTCCCACCCACAGTTCCAACGCAGCACATGCCGGGATGGATATGCTGCAATCTCGTGAAAACCTTCCCTCACATGCGCGCCAGCGGATAAACCGCCCAAGGATCAACGGTGACGTGCTGCACCTGGCCAAATCCGGCAGCATCTCCGTCTAAGCCTTCCCCACCGTTCCTACTACTGCCATTTAGCTTGACTTACTTGGAAGGGGTATTTAGCTTGATTTGCTTGTTTGTTAACTTGGACGATTTTGGGGCCTGCAGTGCACGGACTATGACGGCCTCGGACAGGTACCAGCAGCCCTGGGTCTCTAAAACCCCCGGAAAAGCGTATCCGCTGCATTATCAGCACTATCTTTGAAGTGGATTGGCTTTATCGGGGAGGTTGTGGGGATACTCCCCGCTGCAGCTTACAGCCAGAGCCCGGGATTCCGACTTTTTCGAGAAACGGTCACTTTTCTCTTTCGCTACACCTTACTACGCTTTAGTAGTCGTACATACATGTGGCTTCCAAGTCCCAGAACAGGCTTTTTAGCAACCCCAATTAGCCATCCCCAAGTAGCCATTCCCAATTAGCCAATTAGTAGATTTAATTGTGGAAAGGCAGATTCAATTCAATTGCCGAAAAGTAGACTCAATTGCAATAAAGGTAGACTCAATTGCAGCAGAGTCAATTCTTATCCAGTATTCCGTAAAATGCCTGCGAGTTGCCACCGGCTTTGTGACGCTTGCCTCGACGTCTCGCTTACCCACTTCGCTTACCCAGATTCCCGAAACCGTCGTTCATAACCACTCGTAACCGATTTTGCCAAGTGCGACTGAGACACCTTATCGCTTGGCCCACGAGGGAGCAATATTATATTAGCTGCTGCTGGCGTTTTGGAGGTAGCTGGACCAAGAACAAGAGGCGCACGGTCGGGGCTTGGTGGTTTAGTCGTTTTGTGATTCAGCCAAGAAAGCTGATGGAGGCCCAATTAGGATGTAGAGGCTGCAATTGCAATTCCAATGGGCAGTTCCAGTTTATCATAAAAAAAAAAAAATAAAAAAAAACCTGAATTTCTCTGTTTCATTCAACGTCTGCAATTCAATTGTGACTGCCTTCTCTTCTGAGCAGTCGACTGTACTTGAACAACCGTTCGGCTATTGATGGTGCAAGATCTCCATTTTGCTAATACTCCATTTTGCTAATTTCCATTCTGCTGATTCCATTCTGCTGATTCCATTTTGCTGAAAATTCCACAAATCAAAACACCGTGTCGCTTCTGCCGGGCCACAATAGCTCAAAATCGGCATTCCGTGATTCTGGAAACCGAGATTGTTGCACAATGCTGGGAGCACGCGACCAACTGATTGTTGGAGGGCTTTGTTTGCTTTGGGTAATCATAAAAGAGACCCTGTCTAGGGTTTTGTGGAGATACTGATGTGGAGAAATGGGCAGTTCACAGGGTGAGTCAAAGCGAGTCATGTAGAGGGGACTGAGTTTGGCAACTTTACATCCAGGGCAACAATTGGCAAGGTCTAGCGCATCATGACGAAACTGTGGAGGCTATGCTGGTGGAAGGTAGGGTTGGAGAATTTGGTAGGATGATAACAGACAGAGCTCGTTTTGGACTCTATTGGATTTCCCAATTGAGAAGTTAGCCCAGAGATTTTGAATACTCAAGGGGAAACTGAAAATTCAAGGGGAACGGGAACAGCATTGTGGCCGGATTTCTTTTGGTTGACGAAATGTTGGGACGATTTTGACCACCAGACTAACAACGACTTGAAGTAGAAGGAATCCAGCTCCCCCAATTGCTTTTTGATTTTCCTCAAGCTAAAAGCATGGCTTTCATTGCTCGAATCACCGAATTATTGTTCTTTTGGGGTGGTAATCATCATAGAGTTCAGCGCAACGTTCGATCACCAGCAACCTGAATTCAACACCAATCACACAAAGAGGCCTAATAAAGGAGGCCCGTATGGCATTCAATTTTGTCCCAATTGGAATTCTCTCTTTGGTTGATAGATGGTTCCGATTAGCAATAACCTTCATCGCCTGACTGCCAGACTTAATTGATCTTCTCTTGCTGTACCCCAATTTCTTTTAAGAACAATAACCATTCCAATTCTTTAACAGTGGAATGTATGGCAATCAACTCAGCTTCTTTGGTTGAATCACTCTGTTTGGGTATGATGATCCCGGACCATCATAAATATCATCAAACACATCATCAACTATAGGATCCTTTTTCCCAAAAACCAAAATAATCTGAGCCTTTAGTTTAAAGACTGGTCCTGATGAGGGGTATAAGATGGAGATCAGAGTTCTTGATTAATCCTTTCTTTTCCAAGTTGATAAGTTTAAGGTTTCGCTTTGGAAAATATATCAAAAGGCCTTCGTATTTCTGAAACTCGAAGTGTGCAAGTTCTTGAGGGGTGGGGCAATTTGAGTCCTATTATGGTTACAGTGGATGCAGTTCAGAAAGCCAGGTTCTTTAGGAGTCAGATAGAAGGCTAGTTATGTTCTTCTTCTTATCGTTCTATCTCTTTAGTAGTGTTGTTTGTCTTTCACAGCACTGAACTTGGAACCATATTCATGCCACATTACCATCCAAGAGAACCATCCAAGAGAAACTTCAACAAAGCAATAAAGGAAGCAGTGGTACAACTTATTCATTATGCTTATAAGTGCTACACTTTTTGGTGCTGCCCTTGTTTCTTTGATCTCATAGTAACCGAAAACGGTGGATGTCTCAGGCGATAACTAATCTTCAAGGTATACGAGCAATCAATAAGGAAAACACAAAGCGACCTTAATGTTAATTAAACCAAAAATTTCCACCCACTTCACCTCACTATTGCATTGACATGGTAGCCATCCTGAAACCCCATTCAGCTCATTGACCACAGAAGTCTCCACTTCTAGTATCGATGATTGAACAACAACATTCTTGGTAAAGATGGAGCTGAGTAGCATCCTCCCTCACTGAAGCACAACCAAAGTAGCACATTACACTGGCGGGTTCATTGGAACATAGGACCTATGATTAGAAAGATGGATCGCTGTAAGATCAATACGACGTGTCCATTCCAAATGAATGAAGGAAGCAAGTTTTCACAGCATCCTTGTGATCCCCTTCGTGGGTTCCAAGTACCTCACAAAGTACAATTCATAATTGGTGAAAGAATGAGCATCAAGGTTGGTTCCCCCATTTAGCCAAAAATTAACAAAGGTCCCAGTATTGGAAGCTGGTCCAATGAGACTTTCTCCAACCTTCCAGACGATGTTTTCACTTCCACCCAAATTGCACTCCACCTCAACACAAAAGCGACAAACTCCTTTCACCACCTCTTCCTCCCATGCTCTTCTTGCTACTTCTTCTCCTCCTAGCGGCCGTCCTCGCCCTGGCGGCCATTGCAAACCGAAAATCCGCCATTCCAGGCGCCCTCCATCTTCCTACCTTCCCTATAGTCGGCCACGCTTTTCTCGTCCAAAACAACCCGGCAAGGGCCTTCATGGAATGGTCGAAAAAGTACAACCGACCATCTTTCGTGATTCGCCTCGGAACAACCCCAGTCCTCGTGGTCAACTCGCACAGACATGCCAGTGAATTGTGGATCCGCCATTCTCTGGCTACAGGCTCCAGACCTGTTTTCCACACTTTCCACAATGTTGTTTCGGCGACCCAGGGCTTCACAGTCGGTCTGACGCCCGCAGGAGCTTCGTGCCAGCGCAAGAAAAAGTGTATTGGTAAACAGCTCTCACCACAGACGGTCGGACTGGATTGGGCAGCCAGGATCGTCAACAGACAGTCCGCAAAAACCGTACAGCATCTTCTTCGAAAAAGCATGGCCCGTTTTGGCTGCAGAACGCCGTACGACGATTGGCTGCTTCTCCGTCATGCCCAGTACTTCGTTTTAGGGTGTGCTTTGGAGTACACCTATGGAATCCGCTTAGAGGCGTATGGAATCCACCACGATTTGGCCAATGCGGTTGTGGAAACGGAGAATAAGATTATCCGGCTCCGGCTGCCGCTAGCCAATTACCAGGACTACCTTCCTGGCGTTCGGAACTTTGCCTTTTCGACCAAGGCAGAAATGGCTGCAAAATCGAGGGACCAATACATGGACGAGTTTTTCCGGGTATTCCAGCGCAATTTGCAGAAAAACCACCCAGAAGCTGTCTCCTGCCTCCTTGGCAGAGTATTCACCCAGCCTGGCCGCCTCTCCCTAGCTGAAACCAAGAGTATCTGTCTCACCATGGTCAGTGCGGGTTTGGACAACATCGCCTTGAGCTTTGACCACCTTATGGGCCACTTGGCGACGCCAAAAGGGTACAAAATGCAAGACCGGCTTTTCAAGGAGCTTATAAAAATTTATCAAAATTCCTCGGCTGCGTGGGACGCCGTGGCGTGTGAAAACACCTCAACCTACGCTTTAGCCTTGATCCACGAAACCATGCGGTTTTTCACGGTTTTGCCGTTGTCGCTTCCTCGGGAAACAACCAAGGATGTTCTTTTCGATGGCATGTTGATCCCTAGCGGCACCATTCTCCTCATGAACGCATTTGCAGCGGATCACGATGAGGAGGTTTTTGAGAAACCGTACGAGTTCATGCCTGAACGCTGGATAGATGAAAACGGGAAAATCGTTGATGAAAAATACCTTCGTCATTTTGGCTTTGGAGCAGGTTCGAGAAAATGCTCGGGAATCGCCTTGGCTGTCAAGGAATTCTATGTTTTGCTTTGTCGGATGGTTCTCGTTTTCCACATCAAAAGACCACTAAGTGCCGCAGACGAAATGGAAATGGATCCATTCAAAAACAACCTGTATCCTTCTGCAACGTCCTTTGAACCGAAGGAGTTCAAGGTCTGGCTTAAACCTCGCTTTGCAGACGGGTTTGGCGATCTTCATAGTAAGATATTTGGCTAACTCAGGGTGCTTTCACCCCGAATAGATGCTGTCATCTGAGAAATAAAATGCCTACACCGAGTTAACATAACCCATGTAAATCCTATTTGCCTAAATAAGGCCCTGTGACGTGTTCGGGTCAATAAAGCTGACCTTGTTCACCGTCGCCGACTTCTCGCTGCTTGACAAAGGCAATTTGTACTTCAAAACACCCCGCAAGATGAGATCAAACGGATGTTTCCGGATGACTTCCCATTTTTCCGAGTTGTCCGGAGGCGTCTCTGTTTCGTCATACCCGCCCAAGCTTTTTTGCAAGATCGCCGAGTCGATACTTCCTGTAAGGTTTCTTCCCGGCGCCACCAACTTGATCTCTCCAGACTGCTGTTGGTAGTCACGCTGGAAGAAGCTTCCCTGGAAATCCAATATCGTCTCGAAGCTGGTAACGCTGCCGAGAAGCACCGTCTCCACCGAGTGATCCTTGGCAACTCCAGGGTCGGGGTCCTGGACGTAGCCACTTTTGGCGAAAATGTCAATCTCAATGTCCTCGATGGAAATCGTGAACCAGCCGGGGTTGAGTGCTTCAACGACAACATTGAAGAGCAACTCGTCTTGACTGACAAGAGCGTCCTCGACACCCACGATAGATAGATTGGAGAGGTCCTTGGTGGACGCAAGAAGGAAACCCAGCACGAAGCCAATGGCAAGAATCATCAAGATGCTCACCATGGTGTAGACAAAGCTCTTCAAGCATCTAACATGACCGCCTTTCATGCTATCGCTAGACACCTTCCGGGGTAGTCTAAAGTGAGTGTTGCTCGGAGAGAGCTTATTCCGGCCATTGAAGAAAGACTTGCTTTGTATTTCGTCAGGACTTTCGATGTTCGCTTCCTCGTCGTAGTTTTCAGGATCAAAATAGTACTTCTGGTCCAGGTACGGGAAGGGATAGATGTTGCCCTGCGAAGGTCCCCTTGTGTTTCTTGTGGGCGAAGGGAAGCCCATTGACGCATATCGCTTGTTGTTGAGCAGCTGCTGCTGGCGAGGGCCAGGATTGGACAAGTTCAACGAGCGGTAGTGGGTCATTCTGTGGTGATTATTATTGAGCAACGACGCGGTGTCGTTGAGGTGGCTGCCATTCTGGCTGTTGTAGGGAAAGCGAATGTTGTTGTCGTAATAAATTAGGTCGTCATCGAAATCCTCAATGTCGATGTCGTCGGGGATGATGCTGTAGCGGCGAGGCTGGGCGCCCTTCTTGTCGAACAACTTGGAAGTGGTCGAGCGAAGCTTCAGCGATGTCGTTGAAGACCGTTGGTTTCTGTCGGAGCTGCGGCTGGCCAAATGATCATCTGGTTTAGCGCTTTCCGAGTTTTGTGTGACTGTGTTGTTGAATTCAGTGCAAACCAGCGCAGCGTCGCCTTGGTACGATACCTCGTCGCCCATGATCCCATCTTCGAAACTGTAGCGGTCACCATTGACGCTGGGAGCCACAGGAGAGTTCAAAGACAGCCCAAAGTTCTGATTCGAGGCTGCGTAACGTGGTGATTGGTGAGGATGAATGCTGCTTTTCTCGTGATTAACCAAAGAGTTCGAGCTGGACTTGCGGCCCGCCTTGTGATTGGACGTCTTGTTCTGGTCAATGTACGGGTTGGCGTACAGATGGACATCGGAGGTGGAGCCCAGACCCAGTCCATAAACGTTCATGACGTTGGGTTGTTGAGGCTGTCCACGCAAAGCCGTTGTTGAAGGAGGTGTAGTATTGGATGTCCCGACGGTACTTCTGAGATTCCATTTTGACGATTGGACAGAGTGGATCAGCTCGGCTCGAGGAGGCCCCGCAGGCGCTAGTTGATTATGCTGTTGTTGGTTATTAGTGGTGTTCTCGTCGCCGAGCTCTTTGCGTGCTTCCACCGACGGACTGTGGGCTATCAGGCCAAGCGGCGTAGGGTTTCTTAGACTAGCAGCGGCGCTGATATTGTCTTGAACGAGAGAGATCCCCGTGGGAGGCTTGTTGATGTCGTTGTCGTCTGGATGTAGAATGGCTGGTCCTGCAACGCCGCCGCCGTTGCTGCCGTCGAAATCGTTGTTGCTGTTTTCGTAAACGAACGTCTCGTCGCTGTCAGACGTGTCCACGTCGTCTACAGCCGAGGCGAGCTTAGCAGCGAAGAAGTCGGTTCGGGTGGAGTTCTGCTTGGCAATTCGCTTCTTCGTCTTGGTTTTCGTGTCTTGATCCAGCTTACCGTTCACAGACGGCAAGCCCAGAAGCGGTGTTTCTGTTCGGCTGTGCCCTGGCGGATGTAGATGTTCATCGTTACCGTTTTCTCCCTTGTCATTGGCTCCACTGTCGGCCTTGTCGTCCTTCTCTTTCTCGGCCTTTTCCGAGCTCACGTTACCTGGAAACGTAGCATGCTGTGGCAGCGTGGTCACGATATCCTGGATCAAAGCGGGATTCCTCGAGTCTGTCTTGTTGTTAATGATCCGCTGCTTCTCCTTCAAAGACTTGTTCAACTTCGACAAAAGCTGCTTGTTGATCACGCTGGGACCTTCAGCAACATTAGCAGAGCTGTGATTAGCCAGAGATCCCTGTCCCGTGCTATTTTGGCTTCCAGAACCGCTAGAAACTTGGGGAAAACTGGATTGAGCTTGTGGAGGCTGGCCCTGTGGCGTCAGCACACTGGGTGTTCCGGGAACAGCAGAATAAACGCCAGACTCGGGCTGGGGGCCTGTTTTCGGTTTGGTTTCTGTGGATTCAGCCTGTTTCGTTGACGCTTCCTCCCCACCAAGCCCCTGGTTTGGAGGGATGCTGATGGAAAGACGCCTGTGATTTTTGGACAGCAGGGGTTTATCCAGAGACATGGTTTCCTTCGAAAAACCGCTTTTGAACGATTCAGGCTATTTTGGTTTTTCCAGCGTGCTTGGGCTTGTTTAAGGTTTGGTCTTGCGGTTCTAGATTTGAAGCGTGGGTCTGGTGTACGGGTGTCTTTCCCCAGACCCCGGGTCGAATAAGGCAACCACACGGCTGAAGAGCAAAGGCTTAGGAGGAGAGGTGGAAGTCAGAAAAGAGGTCAAAGGTCATAAAAGTGAAGCGTAGTTGGTAGGCTGGCTCGTTCGTGATGTGTCGTTATTATTAGTATATCGCGTTTTGCAACCATTGTCCAGAGTGGCTTCAAGATAGCCGAGGAGGACAGCATGACTTGGCGTAATCAGGAGAATAGAGGGAAGTTTCGTGCTTGGGGCGGCGTCCTCGCACCCTTGGCTCAATGGAGAAAAGCGGAATTGGTATTTTTTGTTTGGCTCAGGTTTGGCTGGCTCCAGGGTTTCTCAACTTGTTCAAATCAGCAAGTTTTCTGGAGCTCAGCGAGTTGACTCTGACGCCTTCAGTGAATGGAGTAGGCACAGCAGGCTCGTTGGTGCCTTCTCCGTTTCCGAGACTGATACTCTTGCGGAGAGCAGTGCTGCCGACCTGCCTTGGAACGGCATCTTTGTTTCCGGCTCTGCCGATCGTGGTTCTTCTTTGACCGTTAGAGCTGGGTGGAGCCGTAGGAATGACCGAGTACTTCCTCTCACGGAAGTTGACGCCGACTTCTCTCACGTTCTTCTGGTGCTCCGGCTCGATCTTCTTGAACCAGTCGGCATGCTCATCGTACTCGTACATGGCGTACTCTGTACCGTATGGCTTCAGCTCAAGACAGTACAACGTGTGCAATGGCACGTCCAAGTCGACAATGGAGGATTTGTCCAAATTAAGGAAGTAGGCGAGAAGCACACGCAAAACCACTCTGTGCGATACGATCAAAAGGTGATCAGTAGTTCTTTCAATCTCACTGATTACCGGACGCAAACGAACAAGGACATCGAGGTAGGATTCGCCTCCCACGCCGGGATATCTATAAGTGAGCTTGTTTTTGATCCTGCTCTCGAACTCCTTCGGATGTTTGGTCTTGATCTCGTCATAGGTCATACCTTCGTACTTGCCTCCACCAAGCTCGTTCAACATCCGCATAGCCTTGATGTGGTAGGCCAGCTCGTCAAAGTAACTTCCTGTCTCAACAGCACGAATCAACATCGAAGTCCAAACACAGAAGCTTGGTTCGGTAGGGATGTGACCCACATTCGCCTTCTTCTCAGTAGCTGATCCGTTCTTGATGCCCTTCTTGGTACCTGCCAATTCATTAAAACGCAATTCAAGTCGAGTCGAGAACTTCTCGAGCTGCTTCTTCCTGAACTCCTTACGCTGGTAGTTCAAGAAACGGGTAAGGGTCTTCGAGAAGTGCTGACCACGCTTTGTAAGCGATGCGTCTCCACCGATACGACCACTAAGGTTATCAATGCTCTCACCGTGACGAGTAAGCCAAATCTGTCTCTCGCACAAGTTGAAGTTCAACAAGAAGTAGACCGTTTGCGAGGCCAAGAAGCCCTGGACATTGAAACTCACCACCTTTTTACCGACGTCTATCATCTTCACGTACTGGAAGCCGTCGATTTCCTCTTCGGAATCGTCGATGGTTTCGTATGCCCTTTCGTAGTTCTGCAATCTGCCAACAAAATCTCTGAGAGCCACCTCGGGATCCATGTCTTTGTAATCAGGACCGGACAACTTAAGACGAATGTTGGTGTCGAGAATAGCAGGATCAGAGCAAATACTCTCCATGAAAAGCACCTTGAGTTCGCCCTTGGACCGCTCCTGGATTCTCTTGAGAACCTTGAGTCTTCTCTTCTTTGTGGAGTTAGTGGCATCCAAAATACCAACCGAGCCGGGACCGTCGAGTACCCAGTTGAGCAAGTTATCCAAAGTATCCATGGCCCACTTCTCACGAAGATCGTTGGATGCCTTGTTCTCAGGATTGAAGAAATCAGCCATGTGGGACGCAGACGCCTTGGTTTCTGGAGACCGGCCAGTATGAGGCAGTGGAGTGTTGGTGTCAGGCAAAGGCTTTTGGGCAGGTCCAAGGATGTTCTCCTTGTCCATTCTTCTTGTGTTTCCCACATTGAACACTCTGCAGTCGTGTTGAAGCCAGTTCAAGTAACGAGTAAGTTTGTTTGTGATGTAGGATTTGCCTCTGGCTGGAAGACCGACCATGACAATGACCAACTTGGAGCCCACATCGACAGAGGCAATGTGGCCGTCTGGAGATGTCTTGGACGAGGTCTGGCCCGGGATATTGAGTGTGTATGCTTTCTTTGATTTTTGGAAGGGACTCAGGAGAAGAACACTCTTAAGCTGCTCTATGGATGGAGATTTCTCAAACTGTTGCTGGAGCTCGGGTGGAACATCCTGAAGAAGGTTCTGTTTGATCTCAGCAAGAATCTTAGCATCTGCCTTCTTCTTCTGCTTCTCAGCACGCTGGCCCTTGCTCATTTCTTTCTTTGCTTTCTTCTCTGTCTCGGCAGCCTGCTTGTCCTGCTCAACAGGATCAACAGTGAAGTCGGACTTAATTTTGGGTTCTTGAGAAGTAGCAGGAGCAGTTGGGGCGTCTTTGACATCTAGCGCTGGGATCAGCAGAGTCTTGACGCCCTTTGCCGTTGACTTGGGCAGAATTGATCCGCTCAGAGGCCTCGAAGCGTCAACCACCTTGGCAGAAACCGCATTCAAATCCGCTAGGCTCAAGTGGGATATATTCTTGAGATGCCTGTTTTCCTCCTTTGCCAGCGGCTCTTCACTCTCACTCTCGCTCTGGTCCCGTGTCTCTGGAGACGCCACTCCAGACACAATAGGCGTATCAGTAAGCGGTCTTTTGTTGAACTCAGGAAGATTGAACTGGGAGTTCTGGTGAGAGAAGTAGGCACCTTCCAACAGCTGGGACTCGCCCATGGACGTGGAGGCGTGTGGATGAGACCTGAAACGCTTCAAAGCCAGCAAGTTCGCTGCCAGAAAAGCCAGATGGGATCTTCCAGAAAGCCCCAATCCGCCTTTGCTGGAATTCCGCTCATTCTTGGAATCTGTCTCCTCAGAATCCTCATCATCATCATCCTCGTCGTCGGAATTCTCTAAAGACAGCTCACGAGACTCCTGGCCCAGCAGGCCAGACAGAGTGAGTCCCAGATTGGCATGACTGCCCTGGTTACTCTTGGAATTACTGCCACCGTATTTATAAGGCCCAAGCACAAGGTTGCCGTTTTCGTCAAAGGTCACACGTTTGCCCTTCAGCCTCAGATGCTGGAGCACAGCGTTGGAGATCAGGTTGGCTCGTTCTCGTTTGATCAACTCAGCAAGGGAACTGTTTTCCTGGCCCTGGGACATATAGTTGCTTTTTCCGGATATTCAGTGGAATCAGTGGGAAAAGGATGTGTGTCCTAATGATGCACAATATGTAGGGTTGATTGTGGCCCGCGGGGTGTGTTTGGAACAAGTATGTGGTAGCCTCTGCTAGATAGATAGTGACTAAATTTTTGAGTATCTAGTGTCGATGTCCTGCACACAGGGCTCCGATAGTCACTGACAGCCCGGCAGATTACAAATTGCCCTGATTGGGATGGCCGGGAAGGAGTGACCAAATAGCGCTTGCGGCTACTTGGGAATATTGAAAATACTGAGAAATATAGTTTGGCCCACCCAAAACTTGCCCTTTTCGCTCCGTCTCGGACTTTGCTCCGAGAAAGCTGATGTCCTGCACACAAGAGGCGACCGCCCAAAAAAATGGGTCCTGGAGCCACACTCACCCTTGGCAAAGGCTGACCTAAACAGCAGAAGGGGCACATTTCTTGATGGTCATCGAGATGCCGCCACGCAATGACGCTCGGCGCACAACGGTCCGGCGGAAACGGGGCGGAAACGGTACGTGTATGCAGTACCATCGTAAGGCCCCCCTTCATTTGCAGCCATTTGTGGCCAGCAGCCTCTCTGGGTCCAAAAGTAAACGGAGGGGTTTGTAAGGGCAATTCTATTTGGTGGATCTCCACGTGCGAGGAGCACGTGCCAAGCCAAGTGGAAGCCCTTCTTAACCTTCCACACAATGCTCGTAGTGCATCGCTTAGGGAAAACAATGGAGATCTGGAAACTTCGGGCGGTTTGGGCAATTTGGAGAGGGTGGTCAATTGCGGGGCATTTTGTCAAATTGTCCAATTAAGGTCGAGATATGTTGACATTTTCTGCAGATTTGGGAAGTGTCGTTTTGGAATAGTATGGTGGTTTGAAGAAGTCCGGTGGGGATCGTGGGGTAGGAGGGGGCTTAGAGAGCAAACGAGACGATCATAACGTAAGGGTCTGGACAGATGTGGGAATAGGGTTTAGAGGGAATAGATGGGGAGGTTTTTGGGATTTTGATATTTTGAGCAGATTTTTGGGAAGGCAGGTTGGTGAGGAAGGCCTGGATTTGGGGGTTCTGCAATTGGCAATTATTCATATCAGGGGCACTTCTATTGCACACTTCTTGTGAAGGAAGGTGCAATTAAATGCCCACGTTGGGTCATAATGGCCGTTGATTTTGTGGGTTGGAAAAAAAGGGGTTTCGAATTTTCATTTCGGCAGTCTAGATGAAACCGTTGTATTGAGGGCATTGTTCTCCCGAGGCTAGACCGTTTTCGACAATCAACTGGCTTTCGTTCTGAGATTTGGTCGATGTAGATTTCTCCCTTTTTTTATGTACTCACCAGGCGAACTTCTTTGATTCAACGTTGATTGAATTCCACTCTGTATATTCCCATCTGAGCCTCGCTGCCAAAAGTTACTCAAAAAAGGCCTGGCTAGGAATTATAGACTCCTCAATTGCCTTACCCCTCGCTTCCAGGTCGTCGATATTGGGGCACAGATCACGGGGATTTAGACACCCACCTCTCTTATCGTTGAAGCTTTCTCGGACCTCCTTGGCCACTTCTTCCAAAAGCCTTTTACCTGTCCATAGATATATCAACACCACTTGTCCCTTGATCTCATGATAGCAGCAAGTTACTCTGTCTTTGCAGCTCATCCATTCTAAGACATTCTCTCGACTCGTGAACCACCGTTTTTTTTTTAAAAAAAAAAAGAAAAAGATGGGTCATAGGAAAACCTGACGACTTCGGTCAAATCCACAAGCATTGAAGTAGTTGTTGGTTATAGGCATAAGAAAAAGAACACTACAGTTTGCAGGTCGTTTCATAAAAAAAAAAAAACGGCTTTTCGAACCAACCGGCAAAACGACCCTGAAAATATCTGTTGTAGAGTTCAGGAAGAGCTTATGGTATGGACTCTCCAGGATAACTTTCCTGTATGGGTGGTGGTGATACTCCGAGACCTATCAGTACGACCCTACTATGCACTAACCGGCGATTGATACTTGATTTTCCTCTGATGTATAAGTGGAAATTCAAGCTTGTTGGGCCAAGGATCATGTGAATTCAGAAGTTTCGCTCGGATTGGTATCCTGAAACAAGATAGGTGCATCGGTTTACCTGATAGCATCTTCAACATGGCTTTGGAAACTGCAAGCAACGATTTTCAGCTTGACGAGTTTGGTATTCAAGGATGAAGGAACAGAGGCTCTTCGAATACGTCCTTGACACTGACAAAAAAATCTCTGCTCCATGCTCGTCGTTTCCTGCTAGTTCTATAGATGCCTCATTTCGCTCTTTTAAACCTACGAGTTTGGGATAAGGCAAAGTCAAGAGAGCCATTTTCAACAACAAGGAAAGTCTTGGACGAAACATGACAGAAATTCACTTATTTCACGCCTTCACGTTCACTCGTCTCTGTCCTCATTTCAGCCAACATCCAAGTGTGTTCTCCTCCTGATCACACTATGCTGAACTTGAAGCGGCATTACATTTTGCACAGAACTGCCGTAGAAGGTTGTGATGACGTGAAGTCAACCCTGCTGTTAATAGACTGGTTTGACGATGATAAAGAAAAAAAGTCGACTTTTCTGTGGGCCGACCTAAGATTCATAAGGTTTCATGAGAATGGAGGGAGAAGTGTGGTGGGATCATCGAAATCGATATGTCTCTCACACAACACGTAAATATCGCGTTTGTAACGCGTACTTGGAGATAACCGAGGTTGTGCTCGATAGGATGGACGATGGTGATGTTGATGTTAATGAGGTTACACCCGAACTTATCGATAAACGGGGCTGTAGTCCGGAGAGACAATATTATAAAATCCGCCAACACAAATGCCTGGAGATTAAGGACTTTCAAACATCATCTTGGAGGAGAGGAGCCCACGTTCCTGACACTAATTCATACTACGAGTCTAAGGAAAGAAAGCGTCAGAAAACCTTCATAGAGTACAGGCAATGCTATCCCTCAGACGGTCTGTTTTGGTATTTTCGGTCCAACAAGAATGCAAAGGTTGGCAGATGCGTCATAGGTTACGGACATGCCGCCTGTGACATCGACATGGATATTCACGTCCATGAACTTCCAAAACCCAGTAAGGTCGATGTCCACAACAAGTCTTTCACTCTTGAAGCATCTTTGCTTCCTCCATTGGCATTTCCGCTGACGGTAAGATATGGTAAGCCGGTGGTCGTTCCGGGTCAACAAATCAGTGAATTCCTTTGCTTAAAAGCCCGCTTCAAAGAAAGCCCGCCTTCATCTTTGCGCCTCGTTGGCGTAACAGCCAAGGCTATTGTGATGTCAAGCACATATCCCACATGGTGTCAGCAATCCACCTGTATGGCAACATTGCTCGACATTGATGATAAGGTTGGACAAAATCTTGACACTCTGCTGCTGACGGTGCAAATTCCAACCTCCAGCTTCTCGTGCAAGTTTCCAAACTGTTCGGGCACTTTTGTCTCTCATCGTGCAGCAACATCACATGCCCTTGAAGTGTCGGTCACCTTATGGAGTCCCGACTGGCCATTTTCGAAGCTGGGCACGACAATTTTACGTATACCAGTTGCAGATAGGCCGTACGTTTCAGAAGCATGGAGGGAGATTCCCTTCCCGAACCCTCGTACAATGGTGGTTCTAGGCCAGTTTAGACGGAAGCATTTTCAGCCACACCTTGTGGCAGCAAAAGAGATTGCCAGGTTGGCTGAGTACGACACGGTCTTGCTATCCCAGGATACTCGTGCCACGCTTGAGAAAAATATTGTCTGGACCACTACAATCATCACGTATAGCCATCTAGATGGGACTGGGTCTCTGGCAAGGCAAACAAGTAAGATCGACTGGGATATGCCAGTACTGAATCACAAGCCCCAAATCGTACCCAAGCTTGAAAAAATTTCGGATTCCGCTCACCCACGGGCAGCACTTGTTCACAAAACGAGTTGGGGTCGAAGCATGGCTCTCCTGTCACATTTTGGATCTTTTTTCAAAGAAGACACTCCATATGATAAGGTGGTGTCTTCAAAGGGATTGGAATGTAGGGAAGAGCTCGCAGCGTTAGTCGGGTTTCGCCCGCCAAAGGACCTTCCTCAGTGGCCTGGGGACAACATTGTGAGGCATCTGACGCCAATTCTGGACTTCCTCGGCATCACCCTCGAATATCTGATGTATCATGAAAACTCGCTTTGCGCAACTGGTGAATGTTCAGAATTGGATCGGCAGTTGAAACGATTCATGATCCGTCTGGTGACGGTCAAGGTCGTGATTGACGTCATGATTAAGACAAAAGGAGGCTTGGTGCGTTACGACTCTTGCAAGCGAGATCTAAAGCGGCATGAATGGAGTGGTAGCCAAATTGTGAGTGAGTATATGGTGGGTCCAAGGCGTTTTTACGTTTGGCAATTACCCATGGACTTTCTCAACGAGAATCTTCCTAATTTGAAACCGACTTTCATCACGAACTCCATGGCGAGGTCGTATAGGCTCGAAGTTGATATTGAGTTGTCCGGCTTTTGGCCTCGCGGGCTTCGCTGTCTGATTCCCATTAGTGTGCTCTATGAGAAACCTTAGAGCATTAGTTCCTTAGACGGTACTCACTGCAATTTGGCCAGAAGCTGTGAGAGATCAAAGGCGACTTTATTTCCTTCTACTTATATGTAAAAACATGTATATATCCCAACAATTCATGACTTCAGGTGTGGATTTGTGCCTTAAATATTGAAGATCACAGCAACAAGCGGCATTAAGAAACTGGGTAGCAATATTGGAATGCCGGAGGATTCAAGCTCGCGTACAACATCCCCCCACGATTTCAAGCTGTCCTGAGTAGCAAATAAAAGTAGGGCCAACATCAATGCGCATAAGCAGGGAGCGGTATAAGACCTAATCCATTTGCCTGGATACCACCGCTTCAACTTTGCCAGCTTACCCAGCAAAACTTTCTGGAGCAATTGGTCGTATTCTCTTGATGGAAGATTCTTGCGAATGAAGTAATTTTTTAGTTTGACAAGAACAAAAAAAACATCCTCACCTTCCTTCGCCGGAGCCGAGCAATAGTTATTGGCAAAAATGGCAGCCACATCGTGTATGTTCTCGTCAGAGTACTCCTTTCTTGCAAAAACCATCCTAACAGTCTTGTTATCAACATTTTCCGAACCAAACAGCTGGACAGCCTGTATGATCAAATTGATGTTCTGCTCCCTGGACATGTCATTTTCTTTGTAGTGAGTCTCAATAAACCCCTCCAATTTGCAGTCAATCCACCAAAGTCTCAATCTCTGATTTATCAGGAAAATCAAGTCGAGCAAGCAGGTTAAAGCTTGAAGCAGCGCAATGAGTAAAGCCAGTAAGAAGGCTGTTCTATGAGCGTATCTAAGCAGCCCTTCAGCATCATCCTCTCTATAATTGAAGTATGACCGGACGGTGGTGGCGAAAACAAGAGCACAGAAGAAAGGACCCATCCATCCGCAAACACTCCAGTAATTCGAAACCAAATAGCCGCATCCACTACGTATGCCCTCTTTGTAATTGTAGTTCCATGTTGCCATCCATAGTTGTCGAGGAAAGCCCAAGAGCGGCGTAGTGTGACGCCGGAACTCACCATTGGTGGGAGAGTCAGATGGCATGACGAGCGCCATGAGATTGATCAGATAGCTCAACATTCTTTCACGCTCATCCCTCGTTAGGTCTTCAGCCATTGTTCGTGCTACCAATAGATTGAGTTCATATCTCAAGAAGCGGTTTAAAAAATCTGACGGAAGGGACGTTCTTGCTCTTGCCAGGCGATACGGATGTGGGGTTGGGCCATTTGGAGGAGGGGCTGGACCACCGTGTTCCCGGACATTCTTCACTGGTTCCCTTGGATTGCTTGCATTCATGATTTAAATGTATTGATTTGAGAGCGGAAACGTGGAGGTTTATATAGTTTTGCCCCTTGAGTGGATCTTGCCCGTACAGGTGAAACAGCTTTTTGCAGCCATCCCAATTCGGCTCTTAGGGGGTAAACTGGACAAATTGCCACGTCAGCGTATGTTAGGAAGACAACAAATGTTGGAACAAGTGCTTGATATTTTAATGAACCGCAATTCAGATGGATTCGGATTCTGTGGTACATTTCGAGCGGTATAAATGGGATGCAAGAATAAAAGATGTAAATGTTCCAGTATGTTCTCAAAAAGCTCTTCAAAATGTCAATATTGGAATCATCCGCCGCTCCTTTTATCAAAAAACGAATATGACGTTTTCAGTAAGACAGCTTTAGCGAATACGATGACACTTTCCCCAGACACAGCGCTTCTTAAATAGCCATAATTAGCCACCATCTGTAGCCCGCGCATAAGTCCATTAAGGTCGAGATTCCAGTGGAGTTAACCAATTGGTCTGATAAAGACATATGTATAGGATGGGCGGACCTTCGAACCACATTGAAACACAATTCGTCGAATCAGGCAACTCTTCAATTATTTTTAGTCAATCGTATGTACCAGTATTTGTAAGTTTTGCATGAAAGATCCTCGTCGGTACGTCAGATCTGAACCTTTCCTGATACACCATTGAAACAAGCCCCAGGTCAGTAGCAGAAAGCTCGAAATCTGGATCAGAAAGGAATCTGCACTAATGACGTAACATCAATCTTTTTTTGAGGACAAAATCAGCATTCTTCAATTCACTGCAGTTTATGGATATGTCAAGTATACTTGGTTCATTAGTCTAGGATCTGCACATCGGTGTTAGAAACATCAGACCCTTCACTCAATCTCAAATGTCATCTATCGCATAGTAAAAGTATATTGATACATTGTCTAATTGTTCAACTCCTTCACTCCATACTCTCTAAATAGACTGGGATATCGAAGGTGGAAACATGCGTATGCAAAACATCAAAATATCCTGCACACGCACCTACTTCCAAGCAGGCATCTCATCACCCTAGTACCAATAACGACCCTAAATGTCCTTTTCTTTCGGATTCTCTCAGGCCGATTTCTCGGACGATGAGCTAGATTCAACCCCCGTGATTTCCAAACCACAAAACACCAGTACATCTGAAGCACCAGTGGAGATACCTCCAAAGATACACTCTCTCAGCTCCATCTTGAAGACCCTCCTCAATGTCAGAATCACCTTTGACAATTACAAAACAGCCAATGGGAACATTGTGTACAGACGTGAGCTTTTTGATGTGAAACACCAGTGCATGACTGAGGATACCGAAGGCGAAGCGAGTGAAATCAACAAGATCTTACTCGGTTCAGGCGAGGAGCTTGATCTTGAAAAGAACGTGTACGAAGGTGGCTTCAAGCTGTGGGAGTGCTCTTACGACCTTGTCGATGACGTGGCCAAGAAATCTGAGTTGTTGTTCAACAAAAAGTCTGTTTTGGAGCTAGGATGCGGCTCTGCTCTACCTTCCTGCTTCATTCTTATGAAATGGCTAGAGCAAAAGAAGTCGGATAAGACACTTCTACTTGGCGACTTCAACTACGAGGTTCTTCGTTTGGTGACCGTTCCAAACCTCATAGTGCATTGGGCTTCCACTCTTGATCCTCAAGAACTCGCTGATCTTCAAAATCCAGATATCCCCATGAAGAACGACGAGGTTGAAGTCACTCCACAACTCAGCGAAGCATTCATTGCAGCTCTCGAGAAACAAAAAATCGAAATCCATTGCATCTCAGGCTCTTGGGGGCCATCGTTTGCAGAACTCGTGAAGCCATTCAAAACCGACTTGATCTTATCCTCTGAAACCATTTATTCCTTGGACACTTTGCCCATATTTATAAAGTTGTTGCTCGACATCATGAACGGGAATAGCTGCCTCGCTCTTGTCGCAGCAAAGTCCTATTACTTCGGCGTTGGCGGCTCGCTTCAAGAGTTTACACAGCGTCTTCCATCGCCCTTGGCTCATGAGACACAGAACGTGCCAAACTCTCTGCTCAAGAGAGCCATTGTTCAAATCACCACATAGATTATTCCTCGCCAAAGAGATTGTTGAGCGCGCCATTTTCAGTGAATGGATCGTTCATGATATCGTTGGCGGCTTTTTTCTTCTTTGTGATCGATGCCATCTCAAGCTGCTTTTTCCTCATCTTTAACTCGGCATCTTCAGATGACTCCAACTGGTCACTCTTGGAGATACGAACCAATTCAAGTAACGCCATTCTTTGGTGGCGCAAAGATCTGGAACCAACCAAAAGGTTCTCGAAGTTCGAGACATGCAGAGAGGTGATGTTGGGTAAAGTATCCATAAGAACTCTTGCGGGATAGTCGTTCTTCGATCTCAATGCACAGTAGAGGGTTGTAAGCGCCGTCGCAGCTTCGGTGTGAGTCTCCACAAAATAGTCATCAAGCAAAACCTTCAATAAAGAATTCATGAACACATCACAGAGATACTTGTCAACATCATCGTCCTTAAGTACGATGCCAGGTAAGATGTTGCGAGCCACAAGAATGGTATTGAAAGAGCATTTTGTGTCCTTGAGGCTGATAATTCGACAGCAAATCTGCAAAAACGCACCCATTACCTCCTTGTTGGTAGTGACCAACCTCTTGCAAGCAAATTGGGTGTCGGTCATAGACTTGGCGTTGAATTGAGGTATGATGTCCATCAAAAAGCGAACGACTGTAGCAGTAAGCTGTCTAAGCATATGTTCCTCCATCATCTCCTCACTCAAGGTGGCGTCATCTTCATTACCTTGTAGCTGGAGGCCTGTATTGTACACTTTTTCCCATTTATCCCCAATCAATTTGTCAATGTCGTAGAGTGCTTTTGGAAGGAGTTCACCCATAAAAACATCCACGTATTTGACAGGACAATTCTTCACGACGCTTCTAAGACAGCTGTTGATCATGTGTTTCCAGCTGTGGAGGGTAACGCCGACGGTGTCGCCGGCTAAAGAGTTCCATAAAGACGTTGCAATGTTTGGGATTTCATAAAGCGTGTCTTCAAGATGAGACAAGGAGCCAATGGTGAGGAAAGCGTATTCTCTTGTATATCTGACGAGATGGCCAACGCTGTCAGCAAAATCTCTCAAGGTCAAAGCAGCTTTAACGCTTTCCTCAATAAACATTTCTTTACTTTGAATCGAAACACCCTGTTGCCAAAATCTTTCCAACTTACTGTAGCGCAAGAAAGCTTGAACGGCCTCAGGAAGGTCCTTCCAATTGTCTGGGTTGTGATAAGCCTGAATTTGAGCAAGAAGCTGAAGGACATGGGGTATGATCGGAGTGACTCGAGGCTTCCAAAGCCTGAGCAATGCTTGGTATTCCGGAGAGTCATGACTAAGCTTCTCAATGCTGTACTGAATAAAAATACGAGTAGCACGAATAGGGAATATTGACAGCCAGTGCTCTTTGAGCTTGTTTTTGAGAGCCTTGCCCTCTTCGTCCATCTCAGCTTCTAGTAAATTGCTGGTAGCAGTGATATTTCGTCTCTGGAAGTATTGGGCAATCTCAACAATTCCTAGCCTTTCCATGAACCAATGCAAGTCAGAGAGACCCTTCTCAGTCTCAGGTGCAGACCATGCCATCAAGTCGGGATCCACAATTTTGGCAAAAAGAGCATCCTTATTCTCAATGGTTGAGCGAGATGCAATGACCAAAAGGAAAGACTTGAACGCCACGTTCTCGTGATTGCTGACTTTGTTTGAGGCCAAGATGTTGGAGATTACATTCTCAAGCTCGGAGAAAATCTTCTTGAGGGACTCGGGCATAATGTAAGCTAATCTGTTAAGCTCGGTACCACAACTCGTCCTCAAGTCACGAATGAGTTCCTTCTCCTCGTCATCTATATTTGGAGGATATTCAAAGGTAGCTGTTGTCAAGATTTTTTCCAACACCTTGAACATGAGCGGGCTGACATCTTTAAGCAATGGAGCGAATTGAACCATGGTCTGAACTTGCTTTCTGATGAGCAATGGTGAGGCCAATTGCATAGCTAATAGACGTTCACCCAAGTCCTCCACGAGGCCATTAAGTCTATTGTTTTTTGCCTCGAAATCGTCCCCATTGTACCAAATTCGCCAGCGCGATACACCTCTGATGCTGTTTTCAATAATGTTGAATTGTGCAGATCCCCAGTTGAAGGGGTCGGATTTTTCTTCCAACTTGGACTGGTTTATGCAGACATTACCCAAATGTGAAGAGAAGAAAGCTTCTAGCCTGCTCTCTAACCACTTGAGACCTTCTTCAGGCTTTTTGCAGACGGTAATACGAACAATGTCTTCATTGAACTTTTTGTAGTTAGAAAGAAAAGAGGATGAATCCAGAGCCAGATCAAAATCAAATTCCAAGAACTTTTTAGACGCATCGTCCTCACCGATCCACTCGTAGTTCAACACTCTATTAGCTGCAAGCTCCATCAAATCCATCAAGACATTGACCACAGGCTCTTTGGAGCTTAGTTCGTCAAAGCGTAGTGTCGTCACCCACATTTGCAACGAGAGCCCAGATATTATTAAGCTCGGGTGGCTTGTGGTGGTGAGTATAAGGCGGAGGTATTCACTCACATCTGCCTTGTCCCAATCAATTCTATTTTTCGCTGGTAACAGCACGTTGAGATATTCGCTTAGAGAGACAATCATCTCCACCGTTTTCTTAAGCAAAGCATATGTCTGCTCGTCGATATCATCAGGATCCACTTTAAGCGAATGGTAGAATTGAGAAAGTTTTTTGATACCCTCAGCTGTGAAAATGCTGCCAACAAAGAACTCAAAGTCTTCCAGGGTGGGGTATGCCCTGGTGAATAATATATGCAAACAGTCGACGGCAAGAGTTTTGATTTTGACGTCGGAGACGGTGAGGATGTTGATTAACGTTGTGAGCACGTTCTCTCCACGCAACACCGAGGGCTGAACCCAGTGGAGACAGGTTTTGAAAGTGCTTAGTATCTTAGGCACAAATGCTTGGGCTGAATGTGATGAAATGTCACTGTTGGAAAGAACTTCAAGCAAGAAGTTGCTCCATTGGCTGAACCAGCCTTCAGAGACATATTTGCAGGGTGAGATCCGAGGGTTGGGTTCGTACATCTGATCTAGCACCGATGAAGGGTGCACAATGAGCACACTGAGCTGGTTCAAGATGGGCGAACGTTTGCTAGCAACAATGTCGTCCAAAAGGAAAATGTCCTCGAACAACGTTCTGGTGATCACCAATGACAACTCTCTGCACTGTGGATTCTCATTCCAGAGAGCCCATAGATCTGCGTCCATAGAGCTCCAGCCATCGGCCAAGTCCTCTTCGGAAGCGGGGTTCTGGCTTGAATCGTTCTTCTTCCCGTCAACCTCACCTTGACGCTCATTCACGTCTTCTCCTTTCACTAGCCAACTGCCCCATACACGCTTGGCCAAGGACGCCCACAAAAACGCAACCTTCTCCTTCAAGTAATGCGGGTCGTTCACCGTTGTCTTGCTACATAGCGTGACGATCCACTCTCTCAATGTGCGGACCTTGGCTCGATCAAGCGTTTGGAACTTGCTGCTCACCACGTGCTGGAGTAGCAGAAGGCCAAAATGCCTGACTATGCTGTTTCTGCCACTGTCACAAGGCAAGGCGAGCTGAAACCCCCAGTAGGGGGCTTCCTCGTTTCGTTTGATACCCTCTAAGAATTCTTGAGCTTCTCTTCGTTGTGCATTGGTCAGACGCGGTTCATGGATCACCTCTAACGCCAGAACTATTTGCTTGACGCCAGAAGAGTCCATTGTCATTGTAAAAAAGGGATCTGGCGGTTGTTTTGGGATCGAGTCTCGAGGTGCTTTTGCTTCTTATCTGATGGTCGATCTGTGTACCTGAATTGCTAGGCCCTGTACAGAAAAAACACGTTGAAGAATGATGGATCCTTTGAATAGCGATCGCCAAAAATATAATATACCTATATGTGCTATTTTAAAAAGACACGGGCGGGTTGGACCTTGCTTTCTCGACTCAATGGTTCTTTTTGATGAACTGCTTCTAGGTCACTTACACGCCTCGCGGGATGGTGAAGGAGGCACGGGTTTTTCTCGGCAAACAAACCATGCAACTCCAGAGCTCTTTGTTTGAGACATGACCGAACGTGCATTTTGCGGTGCAAATTTTGCTGATGCTGTGGAAATCGGAATTGCAAAGAGGGTCACGGTCACCAGCCAATTTTACATTTCTAAGCCTCCATTGGCCAATTGCATGCTGTGAGTGAAAAAATACTGCCAAATCTGCACAATGAAGCAAGTCCCCTAATTGAAAAATCAACCACGGTGCCCGAACACAATTGCCATCTCCGCCTAAAGATAAAACTTTCTCTTGTCTTTCTCCATGTCTGCCTTGAACTCCCACTCGATCTCCTCCTTAATGCCCTTTTGCAATCTCCTGAGCTTCAATGTGAACTGAGGCCCTAGCTCTTGAAGTCCCACCCTCTCGTTTTCCTTGAACAAGTAACGGTGTCTTCTGAAAAAGATGTAGTCTCTCTGATTATGCAACGTGATGACCTGTCTGCCCTGGATCTCGGGCTGTTTGGGGAAAATCGCCTGGAACAATCTGCCCACCGTCTTACCTAGACGAGTGTTGAAATTGTTCAAGATAAGCTCTGGAATATGCGTGGTGGCCTTACCGTGGCCTCGGATGCCCTTGGAATCCACCAATGACGACACGGAGAAGTAGAACGTGGGGCCTTCGGGAAGGTGGATAAATGTGATGCCGTTGACCTTCTTCCTATCTTCGTTGATCACAAGAAGGTCGGTGTACTCTCTGTTGGAGCAGAACTCAGCCATCTCCTTCATCAGGTACTCCTTCTTTCTCTTGACAAATGTAGCGTTGGGCACGAAGTCCATCATCATGTCGGCAAACTCGTAGGCTGCTTTTCTGGCACCAGCGTTAGTGGTGATCAACACCTTGGGGTCTTTCTGGGTTCTGTCAAAAAGCTCAGAGAACTCGTCTTCACCTTCCAACTCGGCTGAAATCGTCTCGTCGTAAACACGTTTGGACTCGATAGTCTCAGGAACGTTGGCTGCCAATCTCTCTTCCTTCAACTGGGGTTCTCTCTTTCCTCTTTGGCTCTGGCAGCACGTGCTTTATGCCTCTCTTTGGCACGCTCATGCTGGATGGCCGCAAACACCTTCTGCCTGCGGTGCTTGTTTTTTATTTTTTTCAATGTCTCGGCCGTGGTTTCCTGTTCACTCATGCTGATTTGGTGGTAGGTTTCTTTCCAATCTTTCGCGATGCCCTTCGCATCACCACAATACTGTGTACTGGCTTTCGCAGCCAACCCTCCAGAACCATAGTCCACACAACTTTTTGCTAAAATAAAAAAGGATGCCATTAATGAAAGCTTAGCAAACTCAAAATCTTCAATGCTTAGGCCTCTAGGGCACGCTTTCCATTGTCGTTTTTGCCCTCGGCTGCCTCCTTCTGTGAAGCCTTCACCGCAGCTATGTAGTCTGTGCATGCCTTTTGGGTGCTGCTCTTAAGCGGCTGTAAGCAATTTTCAAGGTCCTTCATCAACTTCTGCTGAAGCTTCTCGTTGTCTTTTGTATGTGGGTTTTCCTTAATTATGGCGGTGATTTTCAGCTCAAGCGCATCAAGAGCGCTCTGGCAAGAACGCAAATTCGAGAAAAGCTTCTTGAGCTGACTGGGATTGCCGGAGTTCAAGAAAAGGTTCCAAAAATGCAGCAAAAATTCCACAATTGTGACGTTGTACGTGAGGAGTTCTTGGACAACGTCGTTAGGAAGTAGATTCTCTCCAGTTGGGATATTCACTTCCTTGAGGTTGTTGAGCGACTTGAACGTCCTGAAGTTGTATTTCACGAGTGCTGTGATGTCAGTGGCAGCTTTCGATATATCTCCAGTCTTGGACTTGTAGACTTCACTAAGATCATTTCCGCTCGCCGAAGAGTTGAACACATTGGTTGTCAACAACAGCCCTAGGTCGCCAACTTCAACCTTCTCCTCCTGCTCAGTCTTGGTTCTCTGCTCCTCAAGACTTCTGCGAGCTCTATCGGTCTCGAGATGAAGCTGGAGAAACTGGATGTCTTCTGTCTCGTTCAAATCGTTCAAATCGAGCTCTCGCTCGTGCTCTCTCACCTCTTCATCTGCCGTCTCTTCATTCTGCTTGCCCAGGGAGTTCATGTCGACCATTTTGCTCGAAAGCTTGTTCATGTTCTTCATCAAAATGACCATTTCGTTTTCCCTCTTTGGCTTCTGACCACCGCCTACTCCAGAGTCGTTTCCGTCGGCATTCTCGTCAGAGAATTTCATGGTGAAATCAGGCAGAAGGCCTAATTTCTGTGAATTATCCTCCTCGTTGCCAAAAAGATCAAGAAACTTGTTCACCTGGTAGTTGGCCTTCGTATTGATCTTGTCGGTTTTTTGCTTCTTCGAGGGCTCTTCGCCGGTATCCTCGTCTAGATACTTGTCAATCACGACATCGCCTCGAGTGTTCAGTGTGTTGATACGGTCGCCTCGAAGACGCCTGAACAACTTGGAGTTGAAGAATCGTGACCAGAATTCACCCTCGTTGAGTTTAGCAGGCACAAGCTCGTCAAAAGCCCGCTTGATCACCGGATACGTCTCGAAAATCTCATTAATTGTCACACGCGTGACGTTGACGTTGACCTGGTTGTCGGACGTTGCCACCGGCTTAATGGTGGAAAGCACATTGTAGGGTCCTCTGTGTTGGGATATCTGTAAAGCACAGGTTCGTAGCTGACCAATTCGGCTCGACCAGAACATCATGGGTGAAAGCTTGAACTTGATCACCGACTGGGTGAAAACATTCCGCAAGTTCTTATCCTCAAGCAAGAGTTTCTGCTGGAGCTTGTGGTTCTTAAGTAGACTAGTATCAGAGAGCGATTTCGGGCTTGAGAAGTCCAACGGGTTCCCTGGTTGGGGCGTGCCTTCTGGAGTGCCATCTTTTTCACCTGGACCAGGGGATGCCGTCGCTGTGCTTCTTTCCGATCCAGCAGGGCTATCCTTGATGATGGTCTTCTGACGAGCAATGATCGTTTGGAGAGCGTCCTTCACCGACGTCATGGTCTGGCGGTTATTGAAGCTGAGTTTGATGTCCTTGATATCCGTGCTTGGCGGCTCAGAGTAGAATAACTTGAGCACCATCTTGGGAGACGAGTCTGGGGTGGTCTGGAGTTTCGATAGAGCATTGAGTGGAATCTCCAACGACTTATCCTGGTCGATTGCCTTCCACATAAGCTTGGACGGCGCGGTATCTTCACGGATCTGGACCAAGCCAGAGACCTTGGAAATGACGCAAGCGCCAGAGACAGTGGCCATAGGAAAAGTGGTTGGAACTGAAGAGTGAGCTTGATGTCCGGGTACTGTATGGAGGTGAGAGCCACCGTCTGGGATGTTGATGATTTGACTTGGTGTGGTTCTTTTTTGTATTAGTGGTATGGGGGGGGGGGGTGCTGATAGATTGGTGAAAAGTTACGATTTGCCAGGGATGTGTGATTTTTTATGGTTGTGGCGAGTATTGGTTTGTGATGGTGTTGTACTATGGCTGCGAAGAGGTGGATGTGGTGCTCATGCAAAGACGATGGACTTGGTGGTGAAATTTAAGAAGAAAAAGAGAAAAATGGTCACTTTAAAAGGATTCGATAAGTTGTGAAATCGAGCTCATGAAAGCTGGGGTTGTTCAATTATTATGCACTGGTAGGGCAACCCGCATATAGCAAGCCGAAAGGGCCCGCTGTATTTCAATTTTTCAGAAGATTTAAAAAAAAAATCTTCTCTATAAGGCTGTAAGATCTGACGTATTCCGAATCTTTTCCTCTTGGATTCACTTCCTAGGAGGTAGTATTCACATTTTGCATTATTTGTGTGATCCACAGCTATTCCCAACAACATCACTACCGTCACCCGAAAGTTGCAAACTTTTAGATTCCTTCAATCAAAGATTTTTCATACTCACGGATTCAGTAAACCATAATTGCATTCAATCTCTCAAGCTATACACCCACTATCAAATTACTCTTCCACCAATTCCTTCTCTACCCCAGGTTTTGCACCCAATTCGCGATACACCAAATATCACCTCCATCAACCCTCATCAATTCCACACAATCTCCTCCCCAAGGGATAATTAACAAAACAAAATCTTCCCAATTCCCTCATGTCATTGGCTCGATGGACGTCCCAGATCAAAAACGCTAGATGGACTTGGGACGACACGGTTTCTCTAGGGCAGCTTAAGCATCTCCGAACCCTTCTCAACGAAATCATTCCTTCCAAAACATGGACTCTCTACGGAACGAGCCTCCTTTTCAACAACCAGACAAACGCATCTTTGGGCTGGACGGCTATGATAATTACCAGGCGCCACAGGAGAACGGAAAGCAGCTCTTTGACCGGAGAATGTGGGTTTCAGGGAGCTTGAAGTTTCGAAAAACACCAAGGATCGGGGAAAGCCTACGATGCATTGAACGCATCCAGCTGGTCAGAAGAGTAGGCGACTCGGTGTTTGTGGCTGTTCTGCGAGAAACACGGAAATTGGATTTCGATAGTGAAGTGGAAGGTGGATCCGTCAAAGTCGGCAATGAAAATACTGGAGACGTGTTAGTCAGCGAGCTTCGGTCGTTGGTATACAAATGGAGGGCTGATGCCTCGGAGAATACGGAAACCAAAACCACTGAATCCAGCTCAACGGTTACTCAGAACGAGACGAATCCCGATACCACCTTGGAATTCACAATATCGGCTTCTCAGGTGTCCCGATTCAGTGCTCTCCAGTACAATATTCACAAAATCCACTACAACTGTGACTACTGTCTCTCCGAGGGCCTTTCAGACGTCATCGTGCTGGGACCGATGCTTGTGAATATCATGCTACATTACTTTGCGCTGAGGTATCCCAAAGCAGCAATTGAGCTGTTTTCGTACCGTATGAGCGAGCCGTGCTATGTGGATAGGCAATTGAGGATCAGTATGGAGAATGGCGAGAAAAATGTGGAGATAGCAGTGTGGGAGGGCAATAAGAAGTTGTGCAACGGCACAGCGAAGAAGTCCACTGGTTGATTGAGTATAAAGGAGGAAAGTGGACGTCTTTACTCCTTGAACAATTCAAAATGCCTTCTCTTCTGACTACGGCGTTGATGCCTCACCGACCTTGCATATTTATCAACACTATCGCTTGCAGCCATGCGCAGTGGATGCACGATCCACACCAAGATACAACGCTAAATATGACGGAACCGGATGTCTAATGACCCCTTCCCCGGCAACCGGACTAAAATTTCGCCTAATAGTGCCGTTCATTCAGTTCAAGTTGTCTTTCACAATTGCGTTCGCAGCCGTTCCACTGAGCGGCCCTGCCTAAGCCCTGACCCTAATTGCAGCTCACTCAAAGAAGCAAGTGCCGATTGGCCAGGAACCTCAAAACTCCCGAACCTGTTATCTCCACGTGCCTCGGCTACACCGATTCCGTTTGTTGACATACACGTGCGTACTTGTATGCCCGTCTGCTTCAATTTGCACCCAATCTATAAAAGGCCCCAGAAGGTCGGCTTTCAAATCGTCAAATGCTTAGCCTCCTTACACTCGCTACCTTAGCAGCAGCAGCCCCTGCTGGCTGCGTCTGCAAGCCTAGACTAGTCTCTAGATTGAATCACGAAGACTACAGAGTCGAATCGTGTTCTGGTGTCAATGAAGCCAACTACTTCTCGTGCACGGCTCCAGGAAGCGTTTCCCAAGAATCCTGTTGCTACGAGGACTTTGGCGTGATTATGCAAACTCAGTTCTGGGACTACAATACGGGTTCCAAAAGCGAGGGCGTTGAGAACGTCTTCACCATCCATGGTCTTTGGGACGACTTGTGTGACGGCTCTTACAACCAGTATTGCAGACCGGAGCTTGAAATTTCCGACTCCGAGAGCCTTGAAGACATCATTGTGAACCAGTTTGGTCGCCAGGACTTGTACGACGTGATGTCAAATTACTGGATCAATACGCAGAACTCGAACGTGAATAATGGTGGCTCCGAACTGCTTTGGGAGCACGAGTACAACAAGCACGGCACGTGCTTTAACACTCTTCGTCCTGAGTGCTTTTCTGGCGACTACAAAAGACACGAAAATGCCATTGCGTACTACCAGAAGACTGTCGAGTTGTGGGAGACCTTGCCCACCTACACTTTCCTCGAGAATGCAGGTATCACCCCCACCTCGGACCGCTCATACGCCTTGCTGGACATCGAGGCTGCTTTGGCTGCTGGTCACGACGGCAGTAAGGTTTATGTTGGCTGCAGAGATGGAAAACTTTCTGAAATCTGGTACTACTACCACGTCAAGGGCAATGTGCTTACCGGTGAGTACAAACCGATTGACTCGCTTGGAAACACCCAGTGTCCCGACCAGGTTTGGTATCTCCCCAAGTGAGGGAGTTATGCTTGAATTGCATGACGTCTGAATTAAAGCATCCAAGGTCAATTGAAGAATGGCAATGTGGCAATGACTTGAACATACATTTATCCATAATTCAAAAGATTACTTCTTGAAGCCGCAGAGGATGGTATAATAAATCATCGAGGAGTCATGAAAGACACTCATGGTCGTCCTCTGATACTCATTTAATCGCTGTACAGTGAGTGCTCGAACGTTCCATCTTGCGATGGTTGCCTCTAATTTCCTTTCTGGGCCTTCTACCTCCACTTTCCTTCTAGGTCTATATTCTACGATGTTCTCTTTTTTTTTTTTTTTTTTTTTTTTTTTTTTTTTTTTTTTTATATTATTCTTGGGGGTCCCGCCGGGCGAGCTATGTATAAGTAGTCTATAAGTATCCTATGTACAAGCCAAAAAAGTCGAATGGGCCGTGGCTTCCGCCTATGTACAGTGGCCCACCGAGTTGAAAAAGATCCAAAAACGAATTGAATGTTAAGGAACGGCGAGTTTCGGGTTAATGGGTAAACGAGTGACGTTTGGAAAGTATCCATCTTGGGATTCGGGACTTGATTTGCGACTTTTCATCTGCAAGATAAGACCCCATGCATTGACGAAATTTCGCAGCCAAATGCTGCCAGGCTAGGCTGTGATATATCGACTTGGTTTTGAAAAATGTGTGACCAGCATGGACGTCACCTTCTTCCAGAAGTCATGATTTTGGTGCAATTTCCACAGGCATCCTGTGTCCCCAGGTCAAGGGCTGCATCCAAAGGGTGCCAAAATCCTCAAGTGTTCTTGTTCAGCCGGGATGTCCACCACAGACACTGAATGGTTTTTCTTTCTGCCTAAAAAAGAAAAAAGTTTCACACCAACCGTCAGCTGTGAAGCCGGTCGCTTCTTCAAAAAGGCATATTCTCCCCCACAGCTTCATGAGGGTTGCCCTATACAGCAGTTGGGTGCTGACCCACCACAGATCATGTTGCACCGGCTCGGTAATATATGGCAGTGGTTCTCGTTCTGCCGTTTGTATAGCAGGCCGTGATTGGCCCGGCTGTGATTTTTGAAAGTCCACAATTAATTAAAACGTAGAGCCAAGAGCTTTGAAAAAAAGCTGGCGCCGTCAGGTGAATTGTGGAAAAGTCCGAACGAATCCATGACGACCGGGTCTCCCCAGACCGGCCAATCAGGAGTTCCAACGGACAGAATCCGATTTTCCTCGTGGCTCTCGAACATCCAGTGCTCGAGCTCTTCGTAGCCAGAGGAGGAAACAAGTCATCCTTACCGACATGTCTCCAGAAAAGGCCCCATTTTTTGTTGAGGGCGTTTTCTCCTTAAGCTTATTTGCAACTTAAGGCAGGTGGATCGGGGCTTCCCCTCCCCTACCACAGACCAGAAAGATGTAAGTTAGCAGAAGGATAATCCGCTGAATGGGCTGAAACACAGGAGGACTTCCCCTTCCTCAAGCGTAGCAGCACCGTTCCCTTTCTGGAGAAATTGAGAAACCAATTTATTGATTTCACCATGCCAGCGTTGGCGCCATGGGCACACTCTATGAAAAGTGCCGTCCGACTTCCCCTTCTTCAAGCGATTTTTATAAAGCACACTCGTGCTTTTTTTCTGAAAACTCTTGTCAAGAATCAACAGCAAGAAGTCTATTGCCTTTTGACTGAAGGAGGCATCCACATTTCTGGCTGGCTGGCTAAACAAGACATGTACTGAATGCTTTACCAGCACCCCCACCCGACACAGACTCTACTAGATAAGCTTTTTTGGGACCATCATTGGACTTCTTTATGTATGTCGACAATGTAGGAGTAGGTCTGAGACTCGAGTGGGGGTGGTGTCTGAGAGAGGAAAAGCACTTATATTTATAGTTAACGGTCTCTTGGAAGTGGGCTGTGCTTGAAAGTGTCAATTTGTTGGAATTGTCTGATTCAGAGCCAGAATTCGATATTATTTGGCGTTAACTACGGACGCGGTGTCCTAGGATCATGTTTTCCGGTTGAAACACCCACCGTAGGGTCAGAATGGTCATCGAAAATAGAAAATGGACCCAAAAAGACTGTTACTCTTTCCTATTTCTGGAGAAGAAGATGGAAAAGATGACATTGGGTCATTCAGGTGCTTCCCAGTGTCGAAACTGGTGCACTTCATTGAGCTATTGGCACGTTTTGATCAGCTACAACAGCTACAAGTACCCCGTTTGGATCATTCAGTATTTATGGGGTCATCTATAGACCATCTGAAAAGGAAACTGCAATCCAAATAGTATGGGGAAACGTTCTAGGTTGTACATCAGGGATGACACTGAAAGTGCCAGTCATACTGACGAGTCACTCAGGTATTTTACAGAATGTGACCACAAATCATAGACCTCTTGATTCTCTTTTAGGCAATGCCAACGTCGTAGACCGTCAATGACGGTTGTGATGTTGATCATAGTGCAAATCGATCCATGCGTTTCCAATCTATGGTACCCAGATTCTCTCAATTCTTACAATCTAGAGTCAATTGCATTACTAAACCCCTTCAGGTGGTTCCATCTTCCTCTTAGCCCATCTTCTCTACAACACTTTGAAAAGCAACTTCATTGACTAACTACTGCGCTATGGACTAGCTGGCTTAGTTGGTGAGGCCAATGACACCGCAAGCAGGTCTGGCACCAGCGTTACCGGTCTTCAAGGACTCCTCGTTACCGCCCTTACCCAAGTCGTCAGTGCCGCTGTGAACAACAACAGATCTGCCGACAACAGTGTTAGCACCGAGCAACTTCACCAAAAGGTCCTTCTTGGTACCCTTGGCAACACCAGAAGCATCGGTGGTGATGTTACCCAAGTCACCAACGTGTCTGTTGTCGTCCTCTGGAGCACCGTGGGTCTTGGAGAATGGGTTGAAGTGAGGACCAGCCGAGGTACAACCGTTGGTGTTGTCACCGAACTGGTGAATGTGCATACCTCTGAGGGAATTGGGGTCGTTGCCCGAGATGTCCCAAGAAATAGAGGTTGGGTCGGATTCGTTCTCTTGCTCGAAGTTGACAACTCCGCAAACCTTAGAGTCTCCTCTGATAACAGCAACTGGGTATTAGTATATTATGCAAAGGGTGTCAATTGAACAGCCATTCAAGGCTTATCATCGGCCTGTCAATGCCTCGCTAATGTTCCCTGCAATGTCTAAATGCTTGGTTGTCGGTTTCGTCGAAATAAATGCTCAATGTGAGCATATTATGAGCAAATTAGGCAAGGCTCGGACGAGACGCAAGGGCAATTGATAAGGCTGCTTGATGGCTGCAAAACACTTGGAACATACCTGCTTTAACCATTTTTTTTGTGTTTTATGAAAGTGATAGCAAAAGAACAGGGGCAGGGAGTTTATAAGTCGCTGGGAGGGGTGTGCCCGGCCCGGCTCCGTGCAGTAGTGTACGCACAGCAAGTGGTAGCGGGATCGGTTATTGCAGGACTGGCGATTCAACCGAGGAGATGGGTTCAGAAGTTCTCGGAAATAACTGGTCACGCTAGATTTCAGCCATCTAGTAGTTCGATCTTGATCAATTGGTTCTGGTTTTTGTGTTGCCTTCGAAGGAGCTATCGGAGGTAGTACGGCACTTGGCCAGACCGCGAGAATGCCATATGATGCGGATTAGTAGGCCTCGAGACCGAGTGTGAAGGAACGGTCACATTTGCCATTTCGGTTTAGGAGACGGGTAGCAATTTATGGAGCCAGCGCCACAAGCCAAAACACGAGTTAGTTTGATTGGTTTTGGACTTCACGCAAGCGAAAACTTTGTTAACCGCACCCGAGCAATTAGTAAGCAGTCAAGTAGTCAAGCAATCAGTTGCTTCAATCGCAATCAGTAGTAAATCTTCGAGATGCTTCGTCTCGTCTATCTCATAAAATCATCAATGCAAGGCGACCGTGGAGGTCGAAATGTCTATCGGGGGCTCATGGTAGCAACGTAGCCCTGGAACCGTGCCTCGTGATTCACGCCATTGTTCGATGACGGCGTGTACCAGCGACTATGGGAACCACCATCGAAGGCGTCCCCAAACGGCAAGAAATGTAGTGGAAAAAGGAAGGCCGAAGACAGACATCGTGCCATTGGAGAAATCCACATTTTTGGTCTGTCACGCGAGAAGTCAACCCACTCACCAAAACCGCATCAGGACTTCGGAACCAATGGATATGCCTATATGTGGCTCTCCTGTGGCTTTTTCTCTCACTTCCTTGTTCACACTAACACTGCTTTCTGCTCACGCCTCAGCTCTTCTCCTAGACTCAGGAACCAACGTGGTCTCGCTATCCAAACTCTTCTTCTTCCTCACCACACCTGCTCTGCTAGGGGAATCTCTAAAGGGACCCCTGCGGTTAACGTTGGATTCGTTGATCTCTCGTTCCTGGTTTCCACAGAAACGATGCTTTACAGCAGCACCGGCTCTCCACACAAAATAGCCAGTGGCGACCAAAAGGGCTAACATGGAAGAAAAAAGGTATTAGGTAGCAACATGAGTAAAAAAGCGGTGGTGATATAGCCGGTCGCGCACCAGGGTATATATGTGTGAGGAAAAGCACCACCCTGGTTATGGGCGATTTGGTGTAGAGAGGCGTACAATGGGCACTATGGAGGCTGAAGGGGTGGAGGATCAGAGGAGTTTGGGAATTGTTTTGTTTTTCTTTTTGAGGTAGACTTATACGGACGGTTTGGTTGGGTTTACTATGGAAGAGTATGGAGATGTGTGCTACATGGGCTGATCCGTGGTAGTAGTGGTGTTGACAAGCCAAAAGGCAGTGTTCATAATTGGCCTATGCTTCCATAGAGTTTGAGGAATGTTAAAGAAGAAGTTGGACCATATAGCTGGCTGTGATTTTTGGACCATGCTTATTATGGTAAGAATAGGCTATCTGCGGACGGACCATATTCCATATAGGCAAGTCGGATTCAACAGCAAAGGGTTTTCGCTGTTTGGCTAGGCTTGGTTTTCATTATGCTGATTTGGGTTGGTTTGGACCTGCAACTGATGTACCCACATGTCAAATCAGTCACTATTGAGCAGACTCAAGGGCCTTAGCGATGTACTTAAGACTGACAGTTGCGTTACGACGTGGATACAATTTATTATGAAGCGGTCCATTCTAGGACTCTGATGTTTTAACGCTTCAATTAGCTATCTGTCCATGACCTCTAGCATCTATTCAATGCGGAACCAGGAGTTCATCTCCTCTAGTCTCAGTAACCTGGCCCTTCTCTCTTCTTTCCAGTTTTGTGGGAATCCTAGCCCAAGAACGGCGAAACTGAAAAGCCCCGCTGCAACGCAGGCAACCAGAAACAAAACATAAGATAACCTATTCTGAAAACTGCCCTTGTATTGAAGCCAAACAAATGCAGTCAGCATGTATCCCATGAAGCCTGTGATGTGAGGTAACAATCCTAACAAGCTCACATTTTCGAGCCAGCGAGGGGTGTCTGGAACGGTATAGTACAGAATAACCAACATGGCCCAGCAATAAGCACTAAATAGCCATGGAAGCCAGTTAGAGGGAACTAACATAAGGATTGCCAAGTTTGCAATGACACCCACCGCCGCTTCTATCACACAGAATTTAAGGAGTTTCCGCTTACCAAGATGTTTGAAGTGATAAAGCGCCACGTAGGTCATTCCTGCTAAAACGCAATCAAGCAGCCATTGAGTGAGTATGCCAATGTTTCTCAACGCATCGGAGTCATACAATATTGAAAGCTGCACCACTGTGGGCCACAATGCCATGATCAAGAAACCGACAAGGGTAACCACTCTGAATCCCGCAAGAAATCCAATAGAAATACTGAAAACAGAAAATCCAACGTTGCCGAGCATTTGGTAGAGCGTGATGGCAATGGGCTCCGTATCCTTCAGATATAAAGGACCACTTCCGAAAAACACTTGAAACACGAGCATTGACAAAGTATAGGTAGTCAAGAATGCTGATGTGCTAAAGGGTTGCTTCCCAGGCAATTTATCTGGGAAATTGCTCTCGATGTCACTCATATTTATGAAAGAAACAGTTTATGATGGTGAAGGAAATAGGCGAATTTTAGCGAGTTTTTAGCTAAGGAAGCCGCACCATGACGGGTATTATGCACACCTTGACAGCTTGACATGTTGCTAGATCTTAGCAATAGATATCGATAGGCAAAGAGAAAGTAAACAAAAAGAAAAAAAAAAAAAAAAAAAAGGAAAATAAAGCGTATCTCTTGTATTATCCTATCAAAGTAGAGGCCGCCATGAGGCCGAATGCAATGTCGCACTATAGTCAGGGAAGACGATTTGTCGTTGACGTATATATACATTTAGACGACTATACTATTCAATGGAATACCATGATATGGTTTCCGCAGATGTTTGTCGTCTTGCCTGAAACTCTTCTTTCCAGCTGTCTGGGAATCCGTAATTGAGCATAATCAAGCTGTAGATGCCGGCCGCAAAACAAACAACCAGAAACAAAGTGCCAAAGAGCCAGCTTTTGAACAAATATTGATACTGTAGCCAAACGAATGTTGCTAATGCACTTCCAAAATATCCAATGATATGAGGCAATAATTTCGTGAAGCTTACTTCCTCGAGCCAGCGAGGAGTATCAGGAACGGTAAAGTACAGGAGAATAAGCATTGCCAAAGAGTAAGCACCAAACACAATTGCAAGCCAATTGACAGGAACAGCAATAACGACTGCCATGTTAGCACCGAAAGTAAGTGCTATGCCTAGTAGGCCAATAACCGAGAACTTCTGTTTGCCGAGATCTTTGAAGTGGTGTATGGTTGTCAAAACCATCCCTTGAATAACGCTTACACAGAGCCATTTGGTGATGAAGACAATGTTTTTGAGCGCATTAGACTCGTAAGGTTTCGACATCTGCGCCACAACGGGCCATAAGGTACTGATCGAGAAACCGACAAGCACAACTGGTCTGTAGCCGACAAGAAAGCCAAAGACTGTTGCAAATTGTGAAGCTTCAATGAGGGTGATCAATTCAATGAGGCCAATTTGAAAAGCTGGAGTATTCTTCGAGTATAATGGACCCGCTAGAAGGCACACTTGAAACACCAACACTGACAATCCTGCAGTTGTTAAGAATGTGATCTTGTTGAAGGCATCCTTCTCTATCCTTGGATGCGGAGAGTTATTTTCAAGGTCTCCCATCTTTGGATAAATGAACTGGGTCAAGAGGAAATAGTAGGATTATCAATGAGGTTGTATCGAAAGCGAGCCGCATCTCTATCAGAGATATGCACACCTTGACAGGTTGACACAATTATCATTGGCTCCCATTACCAGGCAATAGTACTTTTCTATGTTACTTTAAGATCAAGTAGAGCTATTTTACATCGAATCCTCAGAATCAAAAACTCATGGCAATTGAGTCAATGTCAGAGTAGTGATGATCAACGGTTCTTAGAGGCTTTGGAGGGCTTTGGAGGGCTTTGGAGGGCTTGGGAAGGCTTTGCTACAAGCAAAAGAAGGATGCTTATAGAATGGGATAGTCTTTTTCAGTTGGTACCAAGGAAATTCTGGTATCGCAATCATCAACAGATAAATTTTCATGTCTCAGTGGTAGCACCTCGTCGATTAGTGCTTGTTCTTCCCCTTTGAAACGTACAAAAAGAAGCATCATCCTCTTTCAGACGAGAAAACCTCGTCTTGTTCATAGATTCCATGGATTGCCCCGCTTGAAAACCATTCTTGAACCTCCCGAGCGACATGAACAGAGAATGAGGCACACTGAGTCGAAGAGGATCCACATTGCCAACGAGAGACTGCTTTACATTAGCGAATTCTTTTACCTCAAGCACGTCTCCCAACGACTAATCTCTTCGTCCTGTACCCATCTATTTCTCGCCTCGAGATGAACCATACAAGGAGATAGAAGGTTGAAGTGTGTTTCGGTCAATATGTACTTTTGGTACTTTTTAAGTTGAAGTTGCAGACCAAGCTCTCAATACAAGCTCCCAGTGGTTCAGCTTCAGCCAAGTAATCGAATTGACTCGCTCCATCCTGAAGTCTTAATCTGTCTAAGCATCCTGGTTCAATCAAGCAATCACTGTCTCATTTTCGCCCACTGTGCCAGCACCGGGGCAACAGATCCATCAATTACTCAAGAGGCCTCTGTATCCTTAAACAGGCCATATCACCGGTGCAATCGCTTCCGTTGTTCATTCTCTCTGTCTCGATCCTCCCGCTCCCGCTTCTTCTCTAGCTGCTTGTTCAAGCGGTGCATCTCCCAGAACGTCCATCCAAGCAGACCAAAGACAATTCCAATGTAAAGATAGAATCCTGCCCGGCGGACTTTGCCGGCAATTGCGTGGGCGGTTTCAAATATACCCATTATGTGAGGAAAGCCAGTGTCGGAAAATGTGGAGTTCGCGAGCATGGCGCGAAAGAATCAGCTAGGGTGGAAAGGGGTTCAGACCAACTCGCTACGATGTGGTTAAAAATTCACCAAATTGAAAACTGCTTCCAAAAGCACCCCTTTATAACCCATTGGCCGGTTTATTCTTTTCCATTTTTGGCCCAGTGGCGAAGATCCCCTGGTGGCGAAAAGCAGAGGACTGCGGCGCGCAGCAAGTACTTCCTGGAGCCTCACATTTTTGAGATTCCACCCACAACTACTACTACTTTTTTACTGAAAATGGCCGACGAGAAATACATTGTCACCTTGAAGGAGGATGCCTCCGACGACCTTACCTCCAAGGTCAAGAGCCAGGTCTCCCTGTTTGGCGGCGAGGTGCTCAGCGAGTTTTCCTTGATCAAGGGCTTCGTGGCGAAGTTGCCAGACGTCCACATCAGCTCCTTGAAGTCCCACGAGGGCGTTGCCAACGTCGAGAAGGACCAGGAGGTCAAGATTCAGGACAAATAAGTCATGGATTCTAGCGCAGGCCGATAGACCTTTTGAATATACTATAAGACTGTTGCTGTTGTAGAGTTAGGCCTGTAGTGGCTAGTGGATGGAGAGAATGAGGCAATTAATGGCAATTGGCCAGTTTGCGATGTTGTAGATGATGCAATTGAGCCTGAGATTAATGGTACCCAGGTATTCGGAGCGTTGGATCCATCTATTGGAGTATCCTTGGACGAAGACCGAGACGGAATTAAGCCTCAATGGCGACGAATCAGGTTTGATTTGTTTACTGTGGCGGTCTTGAGGGTCCACAAACCCAAGTAACGTTAGACTTTGACTTAAAATCAACAAAAGCTAATTGAGCGTCGGATCACTTATCACGACTAATACAATCTTGTGATATTCCACAATTGCCGCGCTGAAGACCGGAGCCGCACTAACTGATAAGCCCATTGAGTCTGAAGATGGGCAGAGGTTCTTATGATTTAAACGGCTTTGTGGATTCTGGAAAAGAACGTGTTTCTTTGGAGGTAATTTGGTTGAGCCAATGACTGGTGGGAGCTTATTGCTCACGAGGAATAGACGGATGAATCAGTGTAGGTGAGACGTAAACAGCTCATAGACTTAGGAATAGGCTATCGCAGCATAAATTGTATTTTGGAGCATATATGAAGCATCATTTGAGTCAATGCTGAATTGCTCTTGTCTGGATTAGCTTCTTTAACTTGACCTATGAGGCTCCGTGGTCTATGGTTCTCCACGACTTTCTGCCTGACCCATGGGACAAAGCCAGTGAAGCTTGGAAACCACAGGACAATATCCTGAACTTATAAGGGCTCCCTACAAGCTAACATCAAATGACAACAGTGAGGCTTGCAACCAAATTCGTGATCACGGCTCAAAGTCTGTTTCGCAGCCGATAAGCTGAAAAGCCACCAGATCACGGACCGACCGAATTGGTCAAGCCAAACACGAATCTCTAATTTGGAAAGAAACAATCCAAGCCACCAAACAATTCTCCGTTCAAAAGTACTACTACCGCTTGCACTCTACCAAAATGACTCTTCCAAAATGCCCTCTACCAACTTACTGGGAATCCCGGTCTCGGCTTCAGTACCAACCCATCCCAATTGGCCAATTGCCCAAAGTCACCAAAACCAAAAAAGCCACAAATCAAATCATGCCCGTATCCAACTGCTCCAAACATTCCATCAAAACCTTATCGCCACCGTGACCCTACAGCCTCAAGCCCCTCCAGAAGCTTATCGGTGCCTGGCTGCGAAACACCAATCGGATCACAGCCAGCCCATAGCCACAATGGCACACCGAGATAATTCCATCTTTTCAAGTCAATCAAATCACTTAATCAACATTGCCTTCTGCAATACTCTCCTACTTATTCACTTTTCTTATCGCCTGCCCAATCTCGTCATAACCTTTCCTAATCCGGCCACCCGCTGCACCCGGACTCCTCGTGTGGCACGCCGAAACCCGAACGGGATGGATCAGGCAAAGCCGGAAAATATTGGAATAAAACGAAGCCCAAGTTAAGCCTCCTCCTTAGAAGATCACGAAATTAGAAAAAAATCAAAAATTTGAAAAACCCCTATTGACCTCGTGGCACCAGGGGTGAGGCTCGTGCGGCCCACAGGGTACTTTGCAACCGTCTCAGGCTGTGGACCAGCAACCGACCAAGGGATGGAGCTAGTGGGATATCATGATCTGGGAATTGACAACAAAACGACAAAAGCGGCTTTCGATGGAATTATTTTTGCAATTATCCTATGTGGTCCCATCAGTCCACTGCCGAGCTGGTCCACCGATTCTCGGCACCACAGCCATCCAGCCAATCCACCAATTGACCCATTTACCAATGGACAAATATGAAAATTTCTTGAAGCTTCATTTTCTCTACTTCATTCTCTCTAATCTCTACAATATCCATGGAGGACCACCTCTACCTCTCCTGCTCCACAGCCTCAGGCTTCCACTACCTTATCTCGCAGACAACCAGACCACTTCCCCAATGCCCAATTCTCAATCCCTTCAAATCATATAGATCAAAAAGATGATCACAAAAGCCTCAATTCCTCCTCCCAATTAACCTTTCTTTGCTACCGTGTCTGACGGCACTTAGCTGGTCCCTGCACCACGCTTATCCAGCAACCTCCTGGCGCACATAAATACCCCAGAATCCCACTTCTCAATCCGCACCACCATGGGCTACGATCGCTATAACCACCAGCCCACACTCAAACCAATCGACCTGATCTATGAGAACAGGTTGAGGCAGTTCATTGACCAGGGCGGCCAGTATCCGCAGCTCAATCTCCCAAAATTCTATGACCACGAAAGAGTCGACTCCAACTCGGATGCTATCTCGTTGAAGGTGTGGAGGACTCCTGGCGACAGCGGTCCGGGAAACACCGAAAGACCGCTTTTCCGTGACATTGACTGGAAGAAGGTCGAGTGGGAGGACGCCAAGAAGGGCGACTCCTTTGGACCCTCGTGGAGAACCTTCTGGTTCAAGATCGAGTGGGAGATTCCCGACCACTGGCTCAAGAACAAGGACGTCGAGGAAATTGACTTCCACTGGGATTGTGGCAACGAGGGCCTCATCTACGACAGTCACGGCACGCCTTTGCAGGCGTTCACCGGCGGCGACAGAACCCTCTACAAGCTTCCCAAGACATACAAGAAGTCTGGCAAGCAATTGTTCTACTTGGAGATTGCCTGTAACGGTATGTTTGGTACGGGCGATCAGGGCCACCCAGACCCCAACAAGTACTACACCTTGTCCCACTGTGACTTGGTCTGGCCCGACTTGAACGCACGCAAGTTGTACTGGGACTTTTGGATCTTGAGCGACGCCGCCAGGGAATTGCCAGGCGGCAGAGACAAGTACCAGGCTGCCCAGATTGCCAACAACATCATGGACGCGTTTGACCCGGAGGACAGGTCCTCTGTGTTGAAGTGTAGAGAGCTCGCCGAGGAGTTCTTGGGCTCTGACGTTGACTCGCATGCCGTGTTTAAGAAGAACCCATTGAAGAAGACCGATGTATTTGGCGTGGGCAATTGTCACATCGACACTGCCTGGTTGTGGCCTTTTGCTGAAACAAGAAGAAAAATCGTGCGTTCTTGGACCACTCAATTGAAGATTGCTGACGACTACCCTGAGTACGTCTTTGTGGCCTCCCAGATGCAGCAGTTCAAGTGGTTGAAGCAGGACCATCCTGAGATTTTGGATAAGATCAAGAAGAAGTTCGCCAAGAAGCAGTTCTTGCCAATTGGCGGCTCCTGGGTCGAAAACGATACCAACTTGCCAAGTGGTGAATCCTTGATCAGACAGTTCTTGCTTGGCCAGAGAGCTATGTTGGAGGAGTTCGGCCACAAGTCAGAGGTCTTCTGGTTGCCTGACACCTTTGGCTACTCTTCGCAGATTCCTCAGATTTGTCAGGTTGTCGGCATTGAGAAGTTCTTGACCCAGAAGCTTTCTTGGAACAACATCAACCAGTTCCCATTAAGTACTTTCAATTGGAAAGCCATTGATGGTTCGCAGGTTCTCGTCCACATGCCTCCAGCCAACACTTACACTGCTGCTGCTCACTTTGGTGATGTCGTTAGGTCTCAGACCCAACACCACAACTTGAGAGATGTTCCAACCGGTCTCTTGCTTTACGGCTACGGTGACGGTGGAGGAGGTCCAACTGAGGAGATGTTGGAGAAGTTGAGAAGATGCAGAGGTATCTCCAACACAACCGCCGCAATTCCATCAGTGCAGCTCGGCAACACGGTTGAAGACTTCTATGCTGACGTCTTGGAGAAGTCTGACGAGGGAAGAAACCTCCCAACTTGGTCCGGTGAGCTCTACTTGGAGTTCCATAGAGGCACCTACACAACCCAGGCTGACATCAAGAAATGGATTAGACAATCCGAGATCAAGCTCCATGACTTGGAGTATCTTGCTTCCTACTTGTCGGTCACCACCAAAGACTACAAGTACCCTCAAAAAGAGATTCAAGAAATCTGGGAGGACGTTGCTTTATGTCAGTTCCACGATGTGATCCCAGGTTCATGTATCGGAATGGTGTACTACGAGGAGGTCAAGCCTATGCTCAAGAAGCGTTTGAAGCAATTGGACAAATTGATCAAGGACGCTTTGAAGCATGCTGGACACGAGGACTCTGAGAAGGTTGTGGCAATCAACACTTTACCATGGCACAGAATCGAGTTGGTGGAGGTTTCCAATGAGGATATTTCCAGTCTTGCGGTTGATGTTGTGAGCTGTAAGTCTGGTAGCTCCACTATTCTCGGTCTTAATACTGTGGACAACTCCTTCATTCGTGAGTCTGACCTTAAGTACCCTGCGTCGATCAACAAAGTTAAGGACCATTTCGTGTTGAGTAATGGTTTGCTTGAGGCCAAGATCACTCCTAATGGTACAATCTTCTCGTTGAAGGATTTGATCACTGGACGCCAGTCTATTGACACTGCAAAGACTAAGGCATCTTCCGGTTTTGGTAACCAGTTGGTTCTCTTTGATGATGAGCCATTGAGTTTCCCTGCTTGGGACACTGAAGTCTACTCGCTTAACAAGTTCAAGTTCCTTGAGAATGGTGAGGTGGTTTCTTCGTCTAGTCACCCATTGGAGTCTAAGTTGGTCATCAAGCACAAGATTTCTTCGAAGTCTTACATCGAGACCACCATCTCGCTCGTCGGAATCACCAACAACGAGAAGATCTCCCAGAACAACTACCTCAGGTTCAACTCTCACGTCGAGTGGCATGAGACTTACAAGTTCTTGAAGGTGCAATTCCCAACCACTTTGCAGACTGCTCAGTATGCGCTGTACGAGACTCAATTTGGTGTTACCCAAAGAGCCACCCACTACAACACATCTTGGGACACTGCCAAGTTTGAGGTTTGCCACCATAAGTTCATGGACTTGTCTGAGCACAACTACGGTGTCTCGATCTTCAATGACTCCAAGTATGGTGCTGCCATTCATGGTAACTTGATGAGATTGTCGCTCCTTCGTTCTGCCAAGGCTCCTGATGACAAGGCTGACATGGGCTCTCATGACTTTTCCTATGCTGTGTACCCTCACAAAGGTGGTTTGGGTCCTGAGATCGTGAGATTGGCCCAGAACTTCAACTACAAGCTCTTGTACACTCATGGTGACCCAGAAGAGGTGGAGTTGATTACCAAGGCCATCAGCTTGTCTGGAGACTCATCTTTGGTCTTGTCGAATGTGAAGAGAAGTGAGGATGATGAAGATATCAGCACTGCTGAGAACATCGAAAAACAAAACAAGGGCCAGCAGTCAATCGTGGTTCGTGTTTACGAGTCGTTGGGTGGATCCTCTAGCGGTAAGCTTGAATTCGGCTTATCTGTGGATAAGGTTTACAAGGCTAATGCTTTGGAGGAGATTGAACACGAGCTTGAGTTGCAGGACAACTCGGTGGAAATTTCCTTGAGAGGTTTCGAGATCGCCACCTACAAGGTTGTGCTCAAGTGATCGAGCGGGTTTGTTGCCCCAACAATAAAGTTGAATTGATTTTCCGTTAAACGAATAGTAGATACTGTAGGCTTCATAGCTCACTATACTGCGCTCATTCCGAAGCAAAGGAAAGACGTATGGTAGGCTTCGAGCTTCAGGCTAAACTACCCAAAATTCAATATTTGAAATAACTCAGAAAAATTGTCTGGTCGAAATGAACCCACCGGTTGTGGGTATATATATACTTGCGCGCTTTAGTATGAGGCATCGCTTATCAATACTACTCTCATTATGGCAGTCATAAACCAGCCGTCCAACCAAATCAAGCTCACCAATGTTTCCCTTGTTCGAATTAGAAAAGGCAAAAAGCGGTTTGAAATAGCCTGCTACCAAAATAAAGTCCAGGACTGGAGACTGAGAGTTGAGAAGGACATAGATGAGGTGCTCCAGATTCCGCAAGTGTTCATGAACGTTTCCAAAGGTCAGGTGGCCAATAACGAGGACCTCCTTAACGCCTTTGGCTCTACAAATCACGACGAGATCATCCTAGAAATCTTGGACAAGGGCGAGATTCAATTGAACGAGAAGGAGAGAAGTGCCAACTTGAGGCAAAAGCAGAATGAGTTCTTGAACCTCATCTCCACGAAATGCATTAACCCCAGGTCAAAGAAAAGATACCCTCCCAGCATGATTCAAAAGGCGCTCAACCAGCTCAAGTTCCATTTGAACCCCAACAAACCAGCTAAGACGCAAGCTCTAGAAGCAATCAAGCTCTTGATTGCAGAGCAGGTCATGCCAATTGCCAGAGCTCAGATGAAGGTGAAAATCACGCTTCTCGCTCGTGTCCAGCCGGCTTTCGATGAACACTTTAGAGCGTTGCTTGATACGGTAGAGGATGAGAAGGCAGGTGAGAAGTTGTTCGAGGCCATTGCGATCATTGATCCTTCCAATTACAAGTCCATTGTGGACTTGCTCCAGGGCGAGAATGCACAGCTTAAAAAGGGAGAAGGTGCTGTGGAGGTTCTCGACATGGCAGCTATCAAGGAGTAGAGGATGTGATTTTGAGGGTGAGACGATGATTTCGATGAGCCCCTCGGAGTATGATCTTCAAAAATAAAAGCGAGTTATGCTGAAACCAGAGAAGCTTCCTAATTTTTTCACGACATCATTATGCGAGGTCGAACCAAGTCTAGCGGGAAAGTTAATGAGTGCGAGATGTAAGGGCAAGTGGAAAGCCTTTGTAATAAGTCATGCCACAAACAGATGGTGAACGAGGATGAGAAGCAGAATTTACTTCAGACTATTTCATAGACTAATAGGATCCAAGCTATCATTCCATAAATGGCACCACAGCTTCTGGCGATGTGGCTGCGAAACACATGGGTTGACTTCTCAATGACATCAACCACCACCCGCCATTGAATTATGTCACATCGAATCATCTCAGTAAAACAATTAAACTGTCGAAGAAAAAAGAACAATCTCTCGTAGAAGCGTTGTCTATAAGCCCCCCACGGTTGATGCCCTCTGTTGATGGCGCCTGCACACACCACTGCTAGTACCACAAATTTTCCAGCTCCATCTCACTACCACACCATCAAAATGTCCATTGTTTTGCCATCCCTCCAGGGTCCTAAGACCCCCGCTTTCGAGTCTGTCAAGAACTTCTCTGCCCCAACTCGTCGTCCTATCGAGCCAGTTGGCAGATACTTCTTGGCCCACGCTACCAGAACCTTGAGAGGCCACACCTGGTCTGAATATGAAAAGTTGGAGGCCGAGAAGAACGTCAAGCAGATCGAGGAGAACGCTGACGACGACTTGGGCGATGAGGAGCAGTCTGCTGAATTGTTGGCCCACGACCCAAGAGAGTGGAAGACCGCTGACTTGTACGCTGTTTTGGGTATCTCTCACTTGAGATACAAGGCCACTGAGGACCAGATCAGAAGAGCCCACAGAAAGCAGGTGTTGAAGCACCACCCTGATAAGAAGTCTGCTGCCGGTGGCTTGGACCAGGACGGTTTCTTCAAGATTATCCAGAAAGCCTTCGAGATCATGTTGGACTCCACCAAGAGATTGCAATACGACTCTGTGGATGAGGCAGCTGTTGTTGCTCCTCCAGCTCCAAAGACCCAGTACGACTTCTTCGAGGCCTGGGGACCAGTTTTCGAGTCCGAGGCCCACTTCTCCAAGAAGCAGCCTGTCCCACTTTTGGGTACTGCTGATGCCACCAAGGAGGAGGTTGACGCTTTCTACAAGTTCTGGGGCTCTTTCGACTCGTGGAAGACCTTTGAGTTCAAGGACGAGGACGTTCCAGATGACACCGCCAACAGAGACCACAAGCGTTACATTGAGCGTAAGAACATCTCCAACAGAAAGAAGTTGAAGCAGGAGGACAACAAGAGAATCATCGACTTTGTCCAGCGTGCCCAGGCTGAGGACCCAAGAATCAAGCAGTTCAAGGAAGACGCTAAGAAGGAGAAGGAGAGGAAGAAGTGGGAGAAGGAGGCTGGTTCCAGACAGGCTGCCGAGGAAGCCGCTAAGAAGAAGGCTGAAGAAGAGGCTGCTAAGAAGAAGGCCGACGAGGAGGCTGCTGCTCTTAAGGCCAACTCCAAGAAGGCCAAGGAGGCTGCTAAGGCTGCCAAGAAGAAGAACAAGAGAGCTGTCAGATCTGCTGGTAAGGACAAGGCCTACTTTGGTGACGAGGGTTCTTCTGCCGACATTGACGCTGATCTTGAGTTGTTGGTTGAGAAGTTGGACGACACTCAGTTGGCTACTCTTGCCGGTAAGCTTGCTGGCGATGCTGCTGAGGCCAAGGCTGCTATCAAGGAGACTGCTGCTGAATTGACCTCTGCTGGTTCCGTCAGCGCTGGTCACTTGAAGTACTTTGCCTAAGCGATATATAGAGGGCATAGAATATTTATCGTGACAAGTCACCACTAGTCACCACCAATGGAATTGTAGACTTGAGGATGTATCAATGCTTGTGTTCGTTAGCAGAACATCAACTCTCCAATCCACGGGACCCGCTACACTTCTACGCATCCGGATATCGTTGCTTGCTCTGTCGGTTATGAAACATTATTTATCGTGAATCGTGAGGTGAGGCTACAGCAGCTCGTCTTCGTCGTCAGAGACCTCAATTCTGTGTTTGAGCGGGTTGGCAGCCTGGTGGTAGTGGGCCTTCCGCATCTCCTCAAACTTCTTGTGTCTCTCTTCTGCCGATAGAGGCTGGTCTTCGTCTTCATCTTCCTCGTCCTCCGCAGCCTCATTTCTGATGATTCTATCGTCTTCCGCCGGAGCAACTTCACTGTCAAATTGGCCCTCACCGAGAGAAAAGTCCGGAATCTCTTCTTCATCGTCATCGTTCTGATAGTATTCGCCATCTGGGTTGAAACCGCCTTCGTACGGTGTCTTGGGCTCGTCGATCTTCATGGTGGCGGCCTTCTCCTGCTCTGTCTTGTACAAATTAATCTCATCCCACTTCAAGTGTTCTGGTGTTTTAGAGTCGCCGTTTGCCTCCTTGGCCTCGGCGATTTTAGCTCTGATTCTCTCGCCTTTACTGGACTCGGACTGCAACTGGGCATTGAGCCGAGTATTCCGAATAACCTCGGATCTATCGAGTTCCGCCTCGCCGCTCAGTGGCAGACGGCTGGATTCAGCTTTGTTTCTTAGAATGCCCCGTGGTTCAGACATGATGAGTATATGGAAGGTTGAGCAGGTGAGCTTAATTCTGGGGAAGTGGTCCGAGAACCCGTACACCTCGCCGAAGCAGGTCAGTCAATGGAGGCCAACGTGGTGGGATCTGGCCATGGGGTAGTGGTTTTTCTGGGATGGGGAGATGGATGTGTTTAGCTTGATGAGCCTTGATACTTTGTATTGTGTTTCCGGGAATTCATGGAAGTGCTGCTGGGAGGCGAGTACTCATTGTCTAGCAATCGGTCAGAACTTACGTAATCAGGAACCAGGCAAAGAGGTGGGTTCACGATAATAGAGATTGAGGAGGATCTTAGGCACTTTCTGAACATTAGGTCGCTGAGGTTAAAGCGACGAAGGGTTGAAAACCGAAGACTTGACCCTCCCTGCTGACGATACTCGTTCATAGTGCCGCCTTAACTATAGAGAAATGGCTGCGAAAAGAGGCCTTAGGATCACCATCCAGAAACCCTTCAAGGAAACTCCAACAAAAACAGCGTCACTCTCTGTAAAACGCCGTTGGTAACGGCATGACCGCTGATTGAACCTTCCAGCTTCTACCGTCGCCCAAATCCCTGGGGTATATCGCGATCCCATTTGTGTTGCAGCTCTGTCTTCCCTACCCACCACTCCACAATGCAAAGATTTCACGTCATGAAGTCCATTTTCCGATTTTCAAGCGACAAAACCGTTTTCGCTTCCGCCAGCTCTCTGGAAACCTGCTTCTCCCGTCCGCTGCCATTATCAACGCCAATCAGCGTTACTCTGGTGAGCCTTGACGGTGAGACCCTTGCAGCCAAACTGGCCTCCAGCCAGAAGCCTTCCAAGAGAGCTCGCTTCAAGGAGATCCTCAGACGTCTTTTCAGACGCGACAGGAGAACCTATGCCAACTGCCCTTCCGTCGATTCCTTCAGCTCTGTGGTTTCGACTGAACCCATTTGCGCAGTTCCAGCCAGACAAGTTCTGTGCTACAGAGCCGTCCCACGGACCAGGCTCCCAAGGCTCTACGCCTACCGTCTTCCAACTCTCAGAATTGCATTCAACCCATTGAGGCCTGTCAAGTTCCCAGGCGTTTCGGAGTACACACTCAACGCCTGCTTCACAAGCCCAATCTGGACCACCTCCCCAGACTCCAAGGTCCCTCTTTCTCCTTTCAAGAGAAACCCACTCAGAATCACTATTTCCCAACCCCCCTCCGGCGATGTGACCACCCCCAAGCCAAACGGCCTTGTCTACTCGCCCTACCACGACTTCTTCGTGCGTTTGAACTGGCTCTTTGAAACCTGGCGCCGCCAATGCCAGACCAGCCCATTGCTGCTTCCCCAAACCGTCTGCCTGCCACTAGTGACGGTGGTCGTTTTCCCCAAATCGGCCTTCTCCCCCAATGGGGCCTTTTGCCCCGACGCTGTTTGTGCAACTGAGTCTCCACGCATTGAGACTTTGGAGCACGATTCCAACGCAAAGCTCGAGGAATGCCACCCCCGGCTTAGTGCCTTGGAGGCCCATCTCGCTCAAGCACTCCCTGACGACGCCAGTTTCCGCAGACTCGAGAAAATGGGCTTGGACGTGGTCCACCTTCATGAGACCCGCAAGCCAGTGGCTGCGAAATCCAAGAAGGTGAGCTTTTCTGGAACCAACGCCGTGGTTGAGTTTTCCGCTGACGATGCGCCTTCCGTCATCAGCGATTCTTCAATCGGTTTGCCCGGTTTCCTTCCCAAAAGCGCCCTTCGTGTCCCGGCAGCCTTCCCTCTTTTGAAGGCCGCCCTGGTGCCCCAGCCTGAGGTCGCACCCTACGATTTCGCAGCCGAGTTCAACGAATTGGCACACCAGGTCGAGCAACTTGACCTCCACGAGCCCGGCTACAAGCAGCAAAGAAGAGCAATCTGCCGCCGCTTTAAGGCCTTCTTCCATTCTGTCGCCTCGGGCCCCCACACCTCCGTACACCGGCTTTTGGCCTCGCAGGCCAATTCGCTCGTTCACGCCAGAAAGTGTTTCGCAGCCACCGCCGCCGTATCCAGAGGCCTCGCAGTCCAGGGCACCCATGACATAACCACCGTGCGGACACTCTGCCAGAACCACAATTTCACGGCAGAGTTTTTGGTGGATTTGGAGTCTGGCATCGACGACCACCTTGCCGAGTTGGGCCCGCAATTGGCGTCTTTGCAGGCCTTGAGACCCTCGTTGGAAGGGTGGTACATGCTGTTTTTCGAGACCCACTGCCGCGCCCGTTTTGCACCCACCGACGCAGACGAGGCCCATTTCCATGAACGCATTGGGTTTGCTCAGTACCGCCAGAGATGTTTCATGGTGGACACGGAATTGGGAACCTGGGAGCAGTATTTGAGGCACCATCTTGGTGTTTTGTCGGAAGCGGCGGGGTACAATGCCGAGCTGCTTCGGATGATGCTCTGTGTTGAGTAGCCAGGTTGAAGCTTGGTTTGAGAGGATGCGAGTTAGCAGGACTTTCGGGTGAAGTTGTTTCCACTTTACATAGACTTTGATTATGATTATTTATTAAGGAAGTGTAGGGTAGATGATGTAGGAGGCTGAGAAAATGGATATCGTCTGGCTAGGTGAATTGGTGTTTGTGAGGTGGGTCGGTGTGCTCAGCTTTCACGCAACCCTGCCCAATTGGACGCTTTTCTGCGTAAAGTGTTTCTGATCAAGCTAGACAAACAGATTCTCAAAGGAGATAAGTATCAATTAGGGAGACTTAGGTAAGTTATAGAACAACGACCCTCTACAAGTGTAGGTGCTGCAAATGTAGTGCTCGGATGCTCCGGCACCAGCTTTTCCGGGCACACAACTCAAATTCGGATAAAAGAATTTGTTGTTATTGATTAAGCAGCTCAGTGGAAGTCGGTAGGATTTCGGTTGATCCAATTTTGCTCGAATTTGCTAAAATTGATGGTGGATCAGACTCGGCTACATGCTGAGACACACTGCCGCGCCATTTTGCAACCATTCACCACATCAAAGAAGCAGAGTTGCAATGCCCAGTCGATTCAGAAGAAAGACCAATAACGTTACAGTTTTAAAAGCAAAGGTCGAATGAGACCACCCTCGTCGCCACCGCCCTTTCTGTTCCCTCCTTCCTGCCTTTTACATGTGAGTCTGGCCTCACAGATCTACCCTCTAAATCCACAGCACACTTTCCTTCAAAACCCAAATTTTTGCCAACCCCAAAAATCCACAAACTCTTAATCGTAAAACCCACTATCCCCTTTAACCACCTTCGCTTTCTCCTTAGTTAATCCACGCCATGGACCCTGGAGTCGTGCGCGGTAACAATGCGGTAGGATCACAAATGTGTCCATATCTGAATAATCAACTCGCTGAGGCCTATCTACCCAGACGCCACAACACAACACATCATGGGCCAAACATTCAGCTTTATGAACATCTTCAGCAAGCTCTGGGGCGTGCAGAAGGAAATCCGAATTCTTATCTTGGGCTTGGACGGTGCCGGTAAAACCACCATCCTATACCGCTTGCAGATGGGTGAGGTTGTCACCACAAAGCCCACCATCGGATTCAACGTGGAAACCTTGAAATACAAAAACTTGACCTTGAACATATGGGATCTTGGTGGCCAGACCTCCATCCGTCCGTACTGGAGATGCTACTACAGCAACACCGCTGCTGTTATATTCGTGGTGGACTCCACCGATAAAGACCGTATCGACATTGCCTGCAAGGAGCTCCACACTATGCTAAAGGAGGAGGAATTGCTAGATAGCGCCCTTTTGGTGTTCGCCAACAAGCAGGACCAGCCAGGCGCCTTGACTGCCGCCGAGGTGTCCCAGGCTCTCAGTCTAACAGATTTAAAGGACAGAAGCTGGAGTATAGTGGCCTCCAGCGCCATCCGTGGCGAGGGCCTCAACGAAGGCTTGGACTGGCTCATGGACGTCATCAAGGACGAGCAGTTGTAAGCCTCCACTCTGCCACACTGCACTTCTACATGGCATGTAACATAGCTGGTTTATAAATTTCTCCTTCGCTTCCGAAGAGCCCCTCCCTCATATACTGCATTATAATTTTACTGCTCCCGCTCCTTCACCCGCTGTAAGATAGTCTTGATCATCTCGTTGCCGATGGCGTTGGCGTGAGCGATCTTGGGCTCAAAGAAGCGTTGTGTTTCCTCGAACGTCTTCTTGTACAATTCGTAGTCGCCTCTAGCAATGATGTTGGCCCAGTTACGTGCAGCAAACGTGAATTCGAGATCGTCGTGACGGAAAGATGGGTCGCTGACGGCCACATCAATACAGTCTTCTAGAAGGCCAGGCGTGCAGAACAAGTATTCCGTGACACCCAAAAATATACGGAACAATGGCGTGGAGCAGATGATGTGGTCGTAAGGTACGATACCCAAGTGGTGCCAACTGTCCACAATGGCAATTAACGACAAATGCGAGTTGGGTTGCAGTCTACCTTCTGGAGGTGTTTTCGACAAGGAGAACTCGCTCAAAATGGCGTCGTCTAGCAAAAGGCTCTTGTGGTCGGGGTTGTGTCTGAACACAAAGTTCTTTGCTTCGTACAAACGCTCCTGGAGCTCCTTTTTCTTGCCCTGGATCATCAACGTAAATAGGTCAGTAGCAGATTGTGCGTACTGTTGGACTTGGCCATGCGCCGATGGGTTGGTAATCGCCAAACCGGCGTAGACGTGCCATTTGTTGGCGTAAATACGAAGCGAGATGTTCATTTTAGCGTTCTCCATACCTCCAACCCATCTGGGTGTTTCCCAAGGATACTGGTTGATCTCCTTCCACGCACAGCCCATGGACAAGAAGGCAGCGTGGGTTACAGCCTGGGTATCGGCGGTAATTTTGTCGTGCTCGGCTGCTGAAAGATGCACCACTTTGGAATTAAGGCACGATACGAGGCTCTCCACGAACTTGACATTCTCATCAGAAGCTCTCTGTTTGATAATCACCAAGGGCTGGCCCGTGGGGTCAACCTTAGGTCCGTGAAGCGAATGCACGGAAATGATATCAACATCCTCTGGAACTGCCTCCTCGAATGCCTGGATTTCGGGAGCTTTGCACGAAGTTTGACCTCCAACCACTGCACCTACCTTAGTAGATGGAGCGTAGGTTTGAACAATAGCACCAATGTTTTTCGCTTCCACGCTGTAGATGATGTAGTCGGAAACACGGGAAACATGGTGTCCTGAACGAAGAACTTCAAAAGCCTGGCCTGCAAACTTGGCCTTGGTTTCCACGAACTTGTCTTCTCTATCTGCTCCGACGACTTTCCAGCCGGCCTTGGAGAACCGCTCAGCGTACATGGCACCCATGTCGCCTAGACCGATAATTCCGACGATTTTTTCATTTTTGAGCTGCTCGTCTGTCATTTTGGTGGATTACGATGCAGCGGATCAGTGAGTCTCTAGATGTATTCGCTACTGACATTGTACCGGACATTTCAAAAGGTGGCTTCGAGATAAGCCTACCACAAAAACAAGGGCTGCTGGCGAATGGGATGGATAAGTAAGTACGAAATTTGAGGGGATGGGAAGGCTAAAAATTCCGTTGTTTTGACCTGTTCGCCGCTTCCTCACTTAAGGCGATATCTGATGATGCTCCCACTAGTACTCAATGCTACTGCTTCACATTACACAACGCTTTCTTTGATTTTCTCCATTCTAGCTTTTGGAGGTAAATGTTTATGATATTCCCGTTGCTGACCGAATCTGCAAATTGCCCGCTTCCTCTTGACGAGTTCGCTCTCCAGGTAATGGCTGCAAACAATACCATCACGGTCAAATCGCCAAATCAGCTTGTCTCAAATTTTGTCATTTTTCCCCAAATTATGTCAAATCGTTAAGCCCCAACCGGAATGTTGTTCGAGCCAGCCATGTAGCAGAAAACACAGACCTTTAGTGCACCCTTGCATGTACCACAGCCACCGCTGCTGCCCAGACAGGGGAGATAGAGCCCCAGGGGCTTTGAAGACGAAAGTATAAAAACGACAGATAAGAAGGTTCCTCTTTCTCGGTAACTTCAAATCTTCAATTGCTCCAGCAGCTCAGTCACTATTCTGCAGCCAGATCACCCCACCAAGACCAGCTCATTTCGAAACAACCAAAACATAAATAGATCATTTCTCGAAAATTCCCGAATCTCGAAATCCCCCGAAAATCTTCGCCTAGTTTATAGCAAATGCACCATGCCCGCAAAAAGAGCCACAAATCGACCTCATCTGATCCAACCGTCACTACCATCGCGAAAACTCACCACTTCACTTACCACTTCTTAATGGCCCACGTCTTCAGTGCTCCAGGAAAAGCCCTACTTGCAGGCGGCTACTTGGTCATTGACCCTCAATATGAAGCATATGTTACGGCACTTTCGTCCAGAATGCACGCCCATGTGCAGCTGGTCGAGTCTTCGGATTGTCGTATTTACATTTCGTCACCACAGTTTGGTGGAGAATGGGAGTACACCGTGAAGCTCAGCGACGACGCTCCTGCTTTTGCTGAAACCCAGGGAAGGAAGAACCCTTTTCTCGAGGCCACCGTGAAGACTGTGCTCAACTATCTACTACCCTCAGACCGTTTCGACGTGAAGATCACGCTCTTCTCTGATCCAGGCTACCATACCACCGAGGGCACGTCCGCTAAAAGCTCGCTGAACGGCAGAAAGTCGTTTTTGTTCCACCAGAAGCCTATTGACCAGGTGCCCAAGACCGGTATGGGCTCCTCTGCTGGTTTGGTGTCGGTAGTTACTGCTGCACTTTTTAGTCATTTCTTGAAGCAGCCGCTCAACTACACGAGAAACACGGTCCACAACTTGGCTCAAATCGCCCATTGTGAAGCGCAGAAGAAGATCGGCTCTGGTTTTGACGTTGCGGCTGCTGTTTACGGCTCTATCATCTACAGACGGTTCAAGCCTGAGGTTTTCAACCACCTTCTCGGCAGAGACCTGGACAGACAACTCTGCTCTGAGCTTCGTGAAGCCGTCGACTCCAACTGGAGCTTTACACACACGCATTGTTCGCTTCCCAAGGGAATCAAGCTAGTCATGGGTGACGTGAGTGCTGGTTCTGAGACACCAAAGCTCGTTTCCAAGGTGCTCGCATGGAAGCAGCTGGACCCCGAAAGCGCTATCTGGTACGAGCATCTCAACCAGGGCAACAAGGCTTTCGTCAGGTCATTGGAGCAGCTCCACAACCTCAGTGAGACGAATAGAGACTACGATACGTTATTGGCCGATCCGGCGACGCTCGAGCTGCTTAGAAGAGCTATTGCACAGATCAGAAGAGGCTTCCAAGAGGTCACTAAGCATTCGGGGCCGAGATCGAGCCTCCTGAGCAGACAGAGTTGCTTGACAAGTGCAACAGTTTGCCTGGATGCGTAGGCGGGTTGGTTCCTGGGGCAGGAGGCTACGATGCCATCAGTGTCCTTGTGCTTGAGAAGGAAATGGAGGCTTTCCAGAAGGCCAGTGAGGAGGACGAGTACTTCAGCCGGGTATCGTGGCTCGACCTCTCGGAGGAGTCTGCGGGCCTTTTGGAGGAAGACCCCCGGAACTATTCTGGATTGGTCTGAGCGGCGCTTCTATGACGTCGTGGGCGTGAGTTTTTGCCTACTTGAGCGTGGGGCTCGCTTCAGGTGAGAACGGAGATGTTTTTTTCAGAAAGGTCTGGATCTCACCGAGTCCGTGCGAGTGGGACGTTTTTCGTTTCCAGCAGACTGACCATGGCCACCTAGCTGGTCCAAATTGACATAGACAGAAAATTCGTCAACGGAATTTCGGACTCGGCACGGCTGAAAGTGCTTGCGTTTTCCACAAACTTCGTCATCTGGGGCACGACATAGCCTCTGCCTTCAGACGCATGTCCCGCAGATGCTCTGCGTGCTAAAAGTCGTGCTAAAAGTCTATAATACATGATCCCGCCGGACCCCAATTTTCTTCACCTTCCTCACCTATGAAGCGATTTACAAACCTCTCCGTCGAGGATACCATCGATGACAATGACCTGTTGATATCCAGACCGGCTTCTTCGGCTCGTCCGGGACTAGGGACCATTCCTTCTCAGGATCACCTCAGTCTATATGACTATGCCCGAGTCGGTTCGCAGCAACATTTGTCGCTAGATCAGCATCTGACGATATCTAAGGTGTCTCTAGATTCACATACGGAATATGAGCCAATTGTGCAGCCTGCTGTTCAGCAAGGCCAGTATATGGCGCATAATGCTCAAAAGGAGGACGACAAACGGTATGTTCGAGGATCCCAGGTCAGCTTGGCCATTTCCGTGATTTCGGCTTTGCTTGTCGTGGGCCTCGAGGGTTTCATGTATGGCGTCATCAATGTTCACCGGACGGAGTTCCCATCGGACGCTCGGTACATGGAGATGTCCATTTTCCTTGCACTTTTCATCTTCGCTGGTTTCTACCAGGTGTTGGTGACAGTGATTGCCCAGCATACGAAGAATATGTTGCTTTTCTCGCTCTTGTGCTTGTTCTACGCTACCATGGTCATCTACACTGGCATCCAGTACAAGGAAGTGTCAGCCAACTTGAACTTGGTGAGCTCTTCTGCATGGCGAGCTGCGGCCAGGGGCACTAATATCGCCGCTATCGGCGTCTTAGCGGTAACTTTTGTGTTGCAGCTGTTCATGATCTACTTTGTGCTCAACAGGTCTGTCCAGTGGTTCAAGTTCAAGAAGATCGGCGCCTCCATCGCCATCAAGCGCATGTACACGGTGTTTCAGATCCACCGGAGTCTTTTAATTTTCGACTTGTTCTTCTTCTTGGGCTTCACCGTGCAGTTCATCGTGGTGATGGTGTCTGACAAGACTTCCAAGGAATTCATTCTCACCTGTTGCATGCTCCCGCTTACGCTAGTGGTGATATTCCTTGCTGATTTTGCTGCAACACGAGAGCTACTTTGGCTCAGTTTATTCACTCTTTGCTGTCTCTGTGGCGGAGTAGTCTACGTGCTTTTCAAGACGATCCGTTTGTTCACAAAATACACCTCAGCCTACGACGTGGCCTTGGAGCCAGGCTCCTACTTTCCCGGGCGAACCTCCATGGTCACTTTCGCCGTCATCACCCTCGTTTTTCTTTTTGTCACTATCGCTTTTGAGGCTTGGCTGGTGTGGAACTACAACAACGGGTTGCTTCTGTCCGTAAACACATACTACAGCAAGCTCCCACTTTCTGGTTCCAGAACCACGGAGCACGAGAAAACGGACGCTGAATCCATCCTTATCGACTAACGACGTACGAATTAATGATACCCTTGAACCTCTGTAGGTCTCTATGCGAACTTCTGTGAGCCGATCACCAACACTATGAATCACCTCACTGTGCACTAAATTGAAAAGTCCATCAATTCCAAATCCTATTGTATCGTCACTTTCAATTTTTTTTATTTTTTGTCCTCATACCTCCGTATCGGGCGCCACAGATCAAAACGTTACATTGTTTGCTGGTTCCTGCAGCATTCTCAAGCACATCAATAACGCTCCACCCTACCCGGTCTTCATACTCAATCCCCAACTACACCTTTCTTTCCAGCCCAATTCACGCCTCAATTTTGGAAGCTTTTAAAAAGCATCTTATCACAATTCTCCAATAACCAGGCCCAGCCTCATGCTCATACCTCCTTCCACGGTCCAGGGTGACCGTCTGCTGGAGTACCTGGACTTCCTAAGGCTTCAGGCCACAGCAGCTCGTGACAAGGAGTTTACTAGCAACCACACCAAGGACTGGTACCATGGAATGCCCGCACCGTACACTCTAGTGAAGTATGCTCCGTTCGAGCAGTTCAACAAGGCCCACTTTGGACAAGCCATGAACTCAGAGGTGTACTTGAGCCCTCATGTCCAGTTGGAAGAGGTGGCGCTACCGCATTCAGATACGAGATCCAGCTCTGTCAGCCAGCTGCTGAAGCGATCGGATGATAAGCTGGACTACGCCGAGAACTTCAAGCGTGACTGGGATGCCTCGTCCTTCTCTGGATACTTCCAGCTTCCCAACTTCTCCTACTCCACGCTGCAGCCCCGCAAAGACTCAGCGGAAGGAACAGGCCAATTCTGCTACCAGACCCACTTTGACGTGGAGAACCTCACGGTGATGTTTGGTGGCTTAGTGGTCGACGCCAGACAGAGCTTGAAGTGCCTAGGAATCCCTCGTCTGACTGACTTGTCTCGAATTTCCGTCTACTTCCCCTATGACTTGCCTCCTCACATCAACAAGCACGTTCTCATGTCCCCCTGTGTCACGCAGAACACCGACATGATATTGTTTGATGCCATGAAGGGCACTGTTCAGGCTAACCCCATCAAACTTTACTCTGAGAATCACCCGGGCAATATCTGTGCTATGGAGGGCACAATGATCGCTGATTCATACGTATTTTACAGTGGTGGCTTCCATGTCGATGTGGACAAGGTGGAGTACAAGGAGGAGATCAACAGATGGATCGTTCACAAGTCCATCAGGCTCAACGAGTATGGCTTTATTCTCGACGTGAGAACAAAGCAGTTTACGCAGATAAAGATAAAGTCAAACTCAGAGGTGCATTACAATGGCTGCATAGGCAATGCCTTGGTATCCAACCGGTTGGAGAAAGCTTCGATGCATTCCAGCAAACTAGTGCTGCCTGATCTCCCCGCTTCATACAACAGTCAAGACACCACACCGTTGGCGGAAGAAATTCTCACGCCCACAAGCCCAGTTCGAGCTAGAACACCAGTGCAAACTCCAGGGACCACAACTCTCAAGGAACCCAGGCCCTCCAAGGGCCAACCGTCGTACCAGCTGGTGCCAGAATCAACAAAAAGCTCAACCATAAGCAGAGCACGGTCTTCGGCGCCTACAACATCCAGACAAATCTCGCGCCAGAACACAGACCAACTGACGAAATCATCAAGCAAGACTTCTGGCAGAATAAATGAAAGCCGTGCTCCAGTTAGCGCCATTTCCCCCACAAACTCTGCTTCCGAAAGCTCTCTGAAAATGACTTCTATGCTCATGAAGTCAGCACGCATATTCCACAGAAATCACCACAATCACGCATTTAGCCAGGGCCAAAGCTCTCAGAGCCTGAGCGTTAGCTCGGGTCAAACACAGACTCACAATTTGGCAAGTCTAAGGGGTGGCAGCCCTAGTCCAAACCCAGTGCCTCAAAGCTCTTATGCTAATCAGGTCAAGCAACACAGGGCGTCTGGTACATCTACGCCATCTACTTCCCCAGCAAGACACATGACCCAATCTCCGCCTCATAATCTATCATCACTCACGACTGAGTCCATTGATACTGTGAGTGATGAAGGTTCACTACTGAGTGGCGCCTCCAGTAATGTGGACAAAGTTAAGATCGATTCTACTACGTTCACAGGCGAGAAACCGAAAGCTGTCGAACGAACGTTAAGCCCGGATGACTCGACCTCTTTGGGCTCTGGTCTGACTGGGGAAGGCTTGTTCGCAGCGAAAGATTCAGCTATCGAATCAGGTGTGCTTTCTGTGACGGTATTTTTGTTCGGTGGTTTTGTCAAGTACGTTGACGAGAATGAAAGGACCGCTTTTAGAGCGACTAATGATCTTTTGAGACTCGAGCTTATTATTGAAGACGGCCAAGCAGGAAAGTTCCACAAGGAAGCCCTTATCTTCGATGCCGCAGACCGCAACGAAAATACCATGTGGCCGACAAGGCGTGGCTTCTTCGCCTACGTGTTGGTTAATGTGGACTCCGCCAACGAGGCTTGCTCAAACCAGACCCTATCCCAGGACCTTGATGCCGATGAGGCCCCCAAGTCTCGCACCGAGGGAAATCAGGAAGTTCTCTCGACCAGCGAAACGTCAACGAGATCAAGCACACAATCAACTGATAACTTCTTGAGCAGGCGAGGTTTAATGATTCAAGGAGGTGTGGATGAAAATAATCGTGTTTGCAGCGATATTTACATATTCAACTTCAACAAATCCCAGTGGCACAGACAGCAGAGCTATGCTTACGACTACTACAACGAGCCAAAACAACCATTCGAAGATGAGCAATGTGACAAGCTCACTTTGGAAGCAGCATCGAACGATGCTCCATTGGTGGAGGCCGAGCTTCGTGCCTGTCATCACCATGCACTTCTTTACGAGCAAGACAACAGAGAATATGTTCTCTTCGTTGGTGGCTTTGTGAACGATTACCTCAGGCATTTTGACCCTGAGCCATACGTTAGTGACCGCTACGATGTCTCTAGACTCGCAAGATTCTCCCTCACAACGACAAATCCGAACTTACTAAGGATACCAGCATTGAATCTTCGAACACAAACATGGATATTCATGAGATTCTTTTTTGATTTACGAGAAAACATATCGGGCAAAACCATGGACCTACTCATGGGAAATCCCTACTTCCGCAACTCCAGAATGGTATTCTACGGCGGAGGGTGCTCGATCCTAGGAAAACAAATTACCTTATGCCATGGCATGGTGGACTTTGTGTCAGAAAAAGCAGAGTACTTTGACAGATATAAAGACCAACTCAAGAGTGATGTGATTATGTCAGGCTGCCACTGTCATCTATCATATCCAAGTATGTGATCTTGGCTGCGAACACTACTTCGTGCACCATAGGGATCCGTACACCAGGTCTCACTGTCGAGTAGATTCGAAAATTTTGCAGGCGCAACTATACTATTGACGATATAACACATAATGTTCGGACTCACCGGTGCTCCACAAGTGTCTTCCCAACAGAAAATCCAGGCTGCCGAGTCCGAGTTGGACATGGTCACAGGCATGTTCAACTCTCTCGTGGAGCAGTGTCACACCAAGTGTATCAACAAGTCATACGCCGAGGGCGACCTTAACAAGCAGGAGTCTCTCTGCTTAGACAGATGTGTCTCGAAGTACTTTGAGACCAACGTCCAGGTTGGCGAGAACATGCAAAAATTGGGCCAGTCCGGTCAGTTCATGGGAAGAAGATAGACTTTGCTGATGACATCTGTACATACTATTTAAATAAAGCAGTTACGAAACATAGTGATGATCTTTGAGAAACACCACAAGCACTTCGATGTAACTATCCAAAAATGCCATTATTATTCCTATTTACAAGAAGGTCATTCCTCATGCCCAACCGAGGGCCCTTCCGATCCTCAACTTGAAGCCCTCCCAAGAGTTGATCTTGGGCCTCACATCAACGAAAACACCACCCTTCTCTCCTTCGCTGTAGAAATCAAGGACATACGGCACCTCAACTCCACATCTATCGACAGTCCAATCATGTCTGTCGAAGGGCTTCTCTTGGCCAAACAACGAAGATTTGATCCATGCACGAGGGGTCAACTTCTTCAGGTCGCCTTTGAAGCTGGTTAAAGAAATGCCACCACACTTCTGGTTGCTTGTCTCTAAATTGTATCTCTCCCAGTTGAGAATATGTCTCCATGCGAGTTCATTAACATGGTTATGGATAGGAACAACAGTCAGCATATCGTTCGCCTCTGGATTCCACTTCTTTCTCTTCATGGCCTCAAAGAACTGCTTCTGAGAAGGGTATATCCAGTTTGTCCTGGTATCAGTTCTTGGAATGGAGCTGATCTCTCTTTCTAGAGGTAGAGTGGAGTTGGCTTCGAGCTTTGGCTCTTCCTTGAGTTTGTCGGAAGAGCATCCGTCAACTTCTATCGCTTCTGGGGCTCCTTTAGTCGAAACTGCCACACTTTCCATCCATCTTGCTCTAGCCGAATGATCCACAGGACACGCCTCAGCAGCACCTGTAGCTTCCTGAGCTTGAGCCGCTTCTTTATGAGGATTACCTCCCATTTTCTGTATCCACGTGCTTCGTTGAGAGTGGTCAACAGGGCATTTTGACTCGTCTGCCATGGTATTGGTCTTTATTCTGCAAGGTTATAAAATGAGACAATCAGTAGCGATGCAACCATATTGGTGCACGGAGGTATCGCTGCAAGCTAGCCTATCGAGAACCACGTATTGTAACAGTACGGGAACTAACAGTCTAAAGACAAGTTTTATGTAGTTTTTATTTACCTTTGATACCGTCTTTGAAAGTTCGGCACAGGTGGTACAATGATGATTATCAGACCCAATTGCTGACAACCGCACTGTGGGTGTTTTGCACGTTCTGAAAAGAGAACTTAGTAAATCTTTTTCTTCTCGTCAATGGACAACTCACCGGCGCCAGCGTTGACAATGATTAAAAGACCTCCAACAATGGACAAGGTCTGGAAAAATTCGTACTTCAAGAAATCACGGTTGGCATTCATCGAGGAGTATCTCCAGAACTGGTTGACAAAGACGTTATAAGTGAAGAGAAGAACAGTCATCACTCCAGCGGCAATCTTGGTCTTGTAACCAACAACAATGGATGCGCAAGCAACAAGTCCCACAAGGATGATCAACACTCTAGCAAAGGACCAGTTTGCGGAAAAGACGAATCCCAAGAACAAAAAGATCAACAACAATCTGCCTGCCAACAAAAAGTACTTCTTCTCGTCCTTGTTGTTAAGCATTGGCAAGCCCGGCATGCTCAAGGACCTCTTATCCCTAACTAGGGAATCAGAGAAGGCCAAGATCAAGCCACCCACGACAGATAAGTTTCTCAACAAGAACTGGCTGTCGCTGATCAAACCGTAAAAGTAACCCTGGAAAACAACCACTCCGGTAAGTACGCAGGTAGCATACATTGAATGTCTTCTGAAGACCAAGAGCGTTGAAGCAGCCAACATCAAGATGATGTTCAAGAAAAGGAACAGAACAGTGAGCCACTTCCAGAACTTTCTGTAGACATGCAAATAATAGACCTGCTCGGACCATTGGAAGAAGATTCTCACGGCGTCCTCATAGAACGTGGCGACAATGAAAAGACGCCCTATGGCTGGGATGTAGCCCTTGTAAGGGCTCAAGATCTTGTCGTAAAAGTCTTCGACCTTTTTAAGGAACTCCTCGGCTTTGGCCAAAGGAGACTGCTGGGAGGGCACTGGGCCAATGTTGACCGATTGTCTTCCGCCGGAGGACTGGAATTGATTTCCTTGAAACTGATTTGGCTGGAACTGGCCATGACTAAACTGGTTGGGCTGGAATTGACCAGCGTTGAACTGGTTGTTGAACTGATTTTGCCCTCTGTATGACATTGGGGTATGAAGACGTTGGTGATTCGAGAAAGGCCACCTAGTGATTCAGGACACAATGCAAGTTTCTGTATGGAGCAGCCGCCTATATGGAGATGAACAGGCAAACCTTGAGTGAGAGTTTGGAGAACAAGCGCAACTTGCAGCGGAACCCAGACTTTTTTCGATGTGGGAAGTTCGATTACGTGGAGAGAAATCACAACCGGTATGATTCGAAAGTCACCCACAATGCAGGTGTACGGCTTTGAAAAAACTACCGTGTTACTATACGCCCAGGTCGTGCGAAAGCAGGTCCAGACAGATTGCCATGTTTATGTGCGCACCGTAATTGGAATCCTGGCCGGTGAATAATGAAAAGCGGGGTGCCGAGGCAAATTGTGAAAGGATTTGAGTTAGGGTCAATTTGGGGGAAGTTTGGGAGAGAGGTTGTGATTTTGGCTGTCTTTTTTCAGTAGGAGCTGGAAGTGTTTCATATTTGCCGTTGGCTACCAAAAGTGACACATGCCAAGCACATGACAGCGGCTCGCTCGTTCGTAGTAAGTATAATTGGGGACGGCAAGGTCCGAGTGGAAATTTGGTCTTGAGTTTGTTTGGCCTGGTGGGCGTAAAGTGCTAGGATTTTGAATCGTAGAATATTTTTCTTTCCACTTCTTCAGCGGTGTGTTGGTAATTTTGCAAGGTTGCGACAATTTTGCAACCATTTCGTGGGATGTCCTGGCACTTTAGTCCAACTTGGCACGCAGTCTATTTAGAAGAACATAAAAGAAGAAAAGTTTGAGTATGCATCTTTGCATTAAATCAGATAAACCTTACAAAACGAAAGAGCAGTTAGGGTATCCTTGAATAAAGGCCCAGGCTACACTGAAGAGGCGCACGACACTTCTTGGAGGAAGAGCAAAAATACCATCACTGCAACATTTCATGACATCATTGAGCTCAGTGACTCACAAATATTATTTCGTTAAAGGCGTTCGCTTCCTCAAGTTGACGTTAGAGTCATGTATAGAGAATTGGATTTTCCTACAAATGGTCGAGATAAAGAATTGAGAGAATCCAAACTCTAGTCAATGTTTTCTGAATCAGTGGGCTTCATGACTTTCAAAAGAACTCCTTGAACTTCTGAACAATGCAATAAGCTTCGAGTTCTCTGCCTTCGTCGCTACTCGCTTACACACATGGGCCCAATAATAAAAATGCCTCAAATCATGAAGACAAAAAAAATATCAGACCTAATCAGACCTCTCGAAGTTTCTATAATCTTCTTTCATGACTTCAATGGCTGGCGTGAAATAATATTTTTCAAAAGAGGTAGACGCAAGATAAGATAAGCGTCTCGTATGACGTTTTCGCAGCCAACATGGAAGGTCCAACTGTAGCACACAAATAATACGCCAAGGGCATGACTCAATTGCAGAAAATATCAAAGATGTCACGTCCTCATAATTGCAAGAGGTAACTACAGTCAATTTGGAGCAGTTTCATGACGTTTTTGGTCATCCATTACCTTCACAGGAGTGACACAAGCCAACCGTTTGAACATAAATAGAGGCGGTTCCCGCCGCTTTTTGTTTACTTCTTCATCTACTTGACCACCACAGTTCTGAACAAAAAGTTTGGAACATTTAAGCTTAACAGTCTTCGACATCAACAAGCAACAACTAGCAACAACAAGCAACAACAAGCGCAACAACTACAATGTGTATCGAAAAGTGTATCAGCATTTGCGGAGTTCTGTTCCCCAAGGACTTCAGAGATGCAATTTTTGAAAAGAATGGCTCCGTTTGGGTCGATCACGAAACCGCAGTGATTGACCTTCCCTGGGATGCAGCGGAGTTCGATTACTTCAACTACCTCAGGGAAAAGTGTACCTGGGATCCTCCTTTTGTGCACCAGACCCAGGATTTCTATGAGTACAGATTACTGCAATTCAAGCGCTATAACTGGAAGAAGGCTCAGAAGGAAAGGCTTGTGAAGATCCGTGTGAAGAGAGCCAAGCCGCAGGCTCCTGAGCCCAAGCCAGTCATTCTGGAGACCGTTGAACCGGTTCCAGAAGTTTCTGAGAAGAAGCCAATTCCTGAAGCCTCCGTGGCTTCCACCGATGTGGGTACTTTGAAGGCCTCGACCAGGGCCATTGAAGTTACTGAATGCCCACCACAAACCACTTCCCCCAAGAAGGTTTCAAACAACGACAAGGTCTCTGTGTCTTCTCCCACAGAAAAGCCTTACCCTATTATTTCCCAGAGTTTCCTTGCCGAGACTCTGAAGACCGTTTCAGTTTCCACAAACGCGAAGGAAGCTGGAACCAAGGATTCCGGGTGCCCTCCACCTTCCCAAACCCGGGTTTCCAAGGCTGCGAAGCAAGAGGAAAAGGCTGCCAGAAGGGCTGCTAAGCAGGCAGAAAAAGCCAAGAAGCAGGCCGAGCAGCAGACCAAGAAACAGGCAGAAAAGGCTGCAATGGAAGCCGAACAGGCTGCAATCGAAGCTGCAAGGGAAGCTGAACAAAAGCTTGCAGCAGAAGCCGCAAAGCAAGCAGAGCAGGCTGCAAAGGAAGCAGAGCAGAAGCAGGCGGAACAGGCTGCCAAGGAAGCGGAAGAAGCTGCAAAGGAGAAGTTGAGATTATCCAAGTCCCGCTTGCCTCCAACACCAAAGCAGTTTAGACGTCGTTACTGGAACGTCAAGCAGCTCGAGGTCCGCAACCACTACTTGCCAAACTACAGCGACCAATTCTCGACCATGCTTATCCAGGTGGATGACGATGAGTCTGACCGCTTGGAGCAGGACGATGGAGAGGATGTCTTCGAGTTCCTGGTGAACGTCGAGGTTTTGGAGCCCGTTCGCAAGAATCCAGAACCTAAGCACGATGTCCCAGAGCCGGAGCCTGTTCCAGTGCCTGAACAGCCTGAACAGCCTGAAGAGAAGTTTTTGGTGCCTGAAACCGAGGTGCCAGAACCTGAAACCATGGTTTTGGAACTTGAGTCCAAGGTGCCTAAGCCTACAATCAATTCGCTGAAGCCCAAGAACACCAATGTCTATTGGCTTGGCGACTTCCCACTCTTCATGCTGACGTTGGCCCCAAAGCAGTATGTCACCTACCTTCCTGGAGACTTTTTCAAGGCTCGGGAGCTTTTCTACCCAAAGGAGACTGAATCCTTTTTGCCTGGTGACTTTGCTGGCTTCAAGGCCCTCACCAAGAATCAGTCGGAATACTTCCCCTCCGACTTTTTCTCTTTGTGGAATGAAACACTTCCACACAAGACAAGGCCTGTCAGAACCTCGAGGCCTGTCTGGGGTTACACCATCACCAATACCAGGAGACATTCTTACGGTTTTGAGTTGGTGTTACCCAAGCTAATGAAGCTTATGTTTGCTCCATTGTGCTGAATGGTCCATTTGTTCATGGATCATGATATTAATATTAAAAAAAATAAAAAAAAAGAAAAAAAAAAAAGTTGAAAAAATAGAAAAAAAAAAAAAAAAATTTTAAGGCTATCGTAGACATTGAAGTTATTCTATTCGTTTACTTTCTATGCATGCTTGTCATCCTCTTGTTTTCAAAAGATAGGCTTAGAGCGTAGTAGGGAGTTTACAGCTATCGTGTAAAGAGTTCCATAACTCTTCTGGACTTTCGAAACTGTACCAATGCCACGAGAGTTTTGTTTCAAAGCGTGATACCAGAGAAGAGCCAACTGCTCTCTGAATCACATCGTGAATTTAACCTTGTAGCTTTGCTGATCTTTTGTTTCCATGCCTCCTGACCTCTTCATCAAGCAACTCCCTGACCTTGTGACTACCGGCAATGGCTATGCCTAGCACGGACTCCAAATGATCCAATGGCATCTTATCTTCCAAGAGTAACATGGCCAACTTTTCACTCTTTCCAACAACACCGACAGTCAAATTGCTGACATCTCCCTCTTCCAATGTATTGAGGTCTAGAAGTGGGGTTTGGTCATGAAGGCCAACAGTAACGGCCGATACGTAGTCATAGATGGAAATACCAGCATCTATAAGAGCCAAAGTGATGGCGTTGGTAATGGTGGCCAACATGCCACCATCCTGTGCGAGAACTTGAACACTGATTTCTATAAGTGTTTTGGGGTATAGATGCGTTAGAACACTCTTCTCGAAGGTTCTTTCAAGCGTGGTCTTGAGCTCAATAAGGCGCTTTTCGTTCTTGCTTCTCTTCTTCCTCTCCAATGTCGAGAAACTGGCAACATTGATGTTGATATCTAGCGTGGCATTGTCTTGGTCTTGCTGGGCCCTCGTACGTGGCTCCATTGGACCTTTAACAATACACATGACTTTGGTGTTGCCGTGCTCGACGTATGATGATCCATCAGAGGAGTGTGGATGCGTATTTATCTGACACTCGAAACGGCGCAACTCATTCCACCTTCTTCCATCAATCCGAAGCCCTTCGGGAGAATATAATTCCATGCGAGACATTGATGCTAGTGTTGATTATTCTTAGGCTTGAGATTTCTCCAACTCATCTCAGTCGCTGATAGAACTGGCGTATCTCGCACGTGAGTACAATCACGTGTACGATTTTGCAACCATTCATTACGCCAAAGCGATGAATTCACCTATGAGCCAGCAATTAACAAGGAAAAAAATGGACGATGAGAAGAGAAGCTCGGTGAATGTGCTCTCGCCGAGGAACTCCAATTTGTATGCGAAAAAAAGCCACATACCTTGAGATGCAATCCAAAGAAGAAGCATGAGACTTCCCTTTCTTGCATTCAGCTTAGAAAGCAATTGGGAGGTGGCCAAATAGCTTGGTAGGAAGATAAGGAACCAGATGAAATACTGCGATGTCATGACTTTGTTGAAAGTGACAAATGTAAGGGTTTGGATGAAGAAACATGCCGTGAGATTTCTCCTTGCCAAAACGAGTGGAATAACCAACCCTGAAAGGATGATCTGAGGAGCAAAAGCTGCCTTTTCAATGCTCTGGAGAGCAATAGTGAGAAGGTTCTCCGAGTCGAGGTTTTGAGGCAAATAGTCTTGAGCAGACTTGAGGTAGAGTGCCAAGTTGTATAGTGAGAAGTTGTGTCTGTGATCCAACCGGGTCAAGTGATAAAGGTATGAGTGGTAGAGAAACTCATAGCCATAGAAGTCGTACATGAGGTATGTTGGCACGGCGAACGATGCCAATGTTGCAACAAGATACGTCAAGTTGGTGGTATTAACCCACCCGAGGAAGGGAACGTTCTGCCATGCTTTGATCAACAGAGGTTTCTTTGACGCGAGAAACAACATTATCGATGGCAAATAAATGATTGGGTATATCTTGAAGTGGATAGACAATCCTAGGAAAAGGGCAGACATGATATACTGGTCTCTGAACAAATTGGCAACGGCGAGCATAATAAAACAGGAAAGGACGCTTTCTGAAGACCCTCTCGTGCTAATTGTGATGACCATGGGATTGAGAAGCCAAATGGCCGAGAGGATCGTGGTTTTGTTTCTTTGGAAGAAGGTGTCTTTTGTGCTGGAACCTGGAGTCTCTTTCTTGAGAACCTCTGTGATAAGGGCACCTGTGATGATGTCACACAACATGAAAACAGCTTTGCCGTAATGGGCCCAATTTCCACCGAATGTCACTGGAAGAAGAATCCAAGCAAGCATTGGCGTATATCTATAAGTCTCTCGTTGGTAGGGCGACTTGTCATCTGCCACATACTTAGCAGCGTCTGAAAACACGACATAGTCAATGTCTGTGTACCTCACGGCCATGTACTTGTCTTGGAAGAGGCCAAACAAGAAAAATCCAATTCTCAAAAGAACACCCAAAATGAAGAGCTGCTCTGTGGTGATTTTCATGGTGAGTTTAGGTGGTGATACTTACACTTTCAAGTCGCGCTGCGATTAAGTATTGACTTACTACTTCATAATGGCGGACCCACAAGAAAAAGTGTACATAGAGTTCGACAACTACGACTGGGAGTCTTTCAAAGAATTCCAGGATGGCCTTTCTGAGATTCTCCAGGGCCACCTAGAACAGCTCAAGGAATCTGACCCCACAGTTGACAGAATCCCAGCTCCCCAGAAACAGCAGCTCATTGACCAGGCCAAGTCCTTCTTCTTTTGCTCGCACACTGGCAATATTTTGAACCTTGACGACTACTATGCCTGGAAGAGAAACAATGGCGGTAAAATCACCTATGTGGACGAGTCTGAGTCCCAACCTGAGTCTGCACCTGCCGAAGCGGCAGAAGCACCTTACTCAAACAATTACCAGCACGTTGTTGACCTCATCGTCTCAGGCAAGCCTGTTCCTGGAATCAAGCAAATCCCAGATACAGTTTTGCCGGAACAGAGCTCAAAGTCAGAGGCTCCCATCAGACGCAAGCCATGGGAAACTAACACTGAGGCGCTGGAAGCTACGGTGCTGGAAAACCTCGAGAAGTGAGTCTATAATGAATCTAAATAGGGGAATTGAAGACAGTTTAATGCAAGAACCTCATGACGGCCTCAAAGGCAGCGAGTGCTGCCGCATTGGCAGGGAAAGAACGCAAGATAGATGGGCCGAAACCCCTGGTGAAACCTGCGAGTCCTTTTTCACGGTAAATGTGTTTCACGGCGTCTGTGTAGCGTGGGTACTTCTTGTGCTCTTTCAAAGGACTGTCAGTCATGATGGTTTGCTTGACAACGTCAGCTGGATAGGCAAAAATCCAAAACACTGTTGCAGAGAGACCGCCAGACCAGAAGTTGATCGCTGCTGGCGACATCTTGGTGTTGTCATTGAACCAGTTGGTGATAAGCTCGTACGAGCCCCACCAGAAGATGAAGTTGGTTCTGAACACCATGGTACTGAAAAGACCAGTGTACCATGTCAATGGCGAGATCCTCCAGAGCTTCTTGGCCACATCGAGTGGACCGGTGTAAATTCTTGTTTTAGCATCATATTGGACCTGTAGTCTAGCCTTGAACTGCTCTATTGGTGCAGCTACAAACGAGACCGTCCAGCCACTCCCTAGACCAGCAATTATATGACCCGAAAGCGGTAACTTCTTTTCCTCAGGGTAGAGATTCTCTTTCACAAGTCTGCGATATAGGTGGAGTGATCCAAGCATCACAGAGTCCATAAGGACCCATCCGACCAAGGGAGGCGTGAATCCTTTGTAAAAACCCTTGATACCTTCGCTTTTGAACGTCTGCCAAACACAGTCCATAGGACCCTTGAACCTGCCCTCTGACGTTTGTAGTCTCACTTTGACCGTGTCGAATGGATGCCCGACGGCGTTTTTCGTTACGCCTGAAAACATACCGGCAATAAAGCCTAGGTATTTTGGAGGAGGCGGCTTCTCTTCATGTTCAGTCATGTTTGAAGAGGCAGGTTGTGGTTGACACTTTCACACTTACTCGGTGCATATCGGTGAAAAACTCGCCGGTACCGGCCTCGCGCTGCCGGTAGAGGCTGCAAAACGGAATTAGCGAGAGAGGATGAATATTCAATGGAGTTTTAAGCAGTTGGGAGTCGATTTTATTTCTTGAATTACAGCAGCTGTAAAAAGAAGGTTGAACACTTTTCTTTTTTCTTTTTTACTAGAAACTTGGGCGGCCAGGCGGAGGTCCTTACTACAATGAGTGAGGTACCTCGAGGCCCTAACAACTACATAATTATGAGGCATGCTTTTAACTTTTTTTGTATTTGCAGCTAGTTTCACGGTTCAACTCCCATATTGGGGTCAGTATAAAACAACGCTTGAGGTTATCTCAAACATAACAATTGCATCGCAACGAAGCTTCACCCTAGTTCACTCAAAAGCGAATTAAGGCCGCGTAAAGATCCTCCATCTCTTTAAAGAACCGATCTCGTAGAGGGAGAATTAGCCGGAAAAACTGTTCACAGAAACTGCAGTGGTCAAGAATTGCTCGGTTGAAGGGCCGGAAACCGGGTCGCTGAATGCTGTTTGATTTCCTTCTCAAGCTCTTGAAAGATGGGTGGAGCAAGGCCATCTTCTTGTGATACTCCTCGATCCTCGAGTCAATTGTGCTCAAGACTCGAAGATCGCCACATAGTATGATTCGGCGAGCAGCTATTTGATTGTGGATGGAGTACATTTGGAAAGTCAATGATTCTAGGGTGGCTAGTTGCGCCATTAGAGCTCTTCGTGTGGATGGAGAGCCCTTGAAGTCACCGTTGATTGTGAACTCCTTCATCAATCTTTGACGAAAAATGATGTGGTCCTCGAATTGCTCCTTCATCATCTTCAGGCAACGCATCATCGTCAGACTGTAATTAATGTAGGTTCTGGATATTTCGAGAAGCCTTTGGTTCACCTTGCCGTTTAGGGTATCAAGCTCGGACTTTAAATCGGCTACAAGAGCATCGATTCGGTTTCTTTGAGTCGTTTTGTTGCAACTCTCTGTTTGGGACATCTCCTGCTCGACATAAGACATTATTTGATCGATCTTGAGGAAGAGCTTTTTCCTTGGGGTTCCATAAAAGACAGCCAGCCTAATTCTTCTTGGACGTAAACCAGACAGCTTCTGCCGTAATATCGAGCTTGAGCTGAGCTTCTGCTGTTCCTCGACAAACTTTTCGAGGTTTTTGAAACTATCTGGCTCGGGTGGTAGGTTGTCGAATACCTTCAATTCCTCTTGAAGCCCGTCAAAAGGAGGTATGGAGCTTGGGGGTTGGTTCGAATAAGTTGGAATTACTGGCTTCATTCCACAGGACCTTTCGGTCAGGAAGCTCTTGCGAGTTTGGAATAACAGTTTCTCAAATTGTAGTGCCTCCTTGGTTGGACTTTTTGTTGGATCTTTTGGGGAAGTTTTTGGGCGAGGTGCTCGACCAGAATCCTGTTTGGCAAAGCTTCTGGGCTTCTTGGTGCTAGTTTTAAACCCTCTACAAGGCATGGGCGCATCTGCAAAGGCAAACATCTTGCGCTTAAGCTTGTCGGTGAGCAACTTGATTTCGGCTCTAGGGTGTCTGAAAAGCTCTTTGATATGGTACTTTAACCCATATTTGATATCCAATCGCTCTTCGTCCGCAAATGGTGGCATCAATTGAGTTGCATCAATGACAGCTCGACTACCTCTCTTCATGGAGGCCTTCAAGGAATGATCCCTTTTCAAGTTTTCTTGAAGACGGCCAATGATCTTGGCATGATCATAGCCTTTAATGTGTGGTTGGAGAAGATCTTTTGTGGTGTGGGAAATTCTGGCAGTTTGACTCTGAAGAGGCTGGTAAGCCTTGGTGTGATTCAAATTCGTCATGATAATAAAATTAGTGTACTGATATTCTGAGGGCGGAAAAGGAGGTGAATTAAATAATCGAAGCAGTCGGACGTCATTATTTTGATGTAGATGACGTATTTGATATCGTCATGCTTTGGTCAACCAAGGAAGGTAAGTATAGGGAAGTATACAGAAAACTTTCGTCACGTTCAACCCAAGAAGGAAAGTACATGATGACAGAAGAGGGAATCAGAAAGAAGTAAGCTACAGACAGAAACTAACTCGAAATTTTTATGTCTATCTTTGACTATTTCATGTATTATGTCTTTGCAAAATACTGTTCTACCGAGAATTGTGGAAGGAAGAGAAAAAAGAAGAGCAATAGAAGAATTGGACAAATGGTAGTTCAATACTCAAGCCGGCAGACCTGAAGCTATATTTTTCGAAATAATTTGTTGGACTACAGGAGTTACTATGTCCCTGTTGTCATAGACCTGCGATGCGATTAGAATTTCGCAGCCATTCATTCCACTCAGTACTAACCTCACAAACTTCCAGTAAGCTTCTTTGAAACACCAATTAGGAAAGCCTCGTTGATTCATTTTTGTGGAGGTTATCTCCCGTTTGTAAAACCCAAAATCCATCGAACTGATCGGCTCTAAAGGTAAAAACCAATGTCCCTACAGCCGTTACCACAGTGTAGTGTATAAAGTGTGCGAGCACTATAATCGTATTATCAACTGTACCTTAATCAGCATCTTCTTCGAGGGATATGAGTCAATCACCGGTGAAGAGAGAGCCAGGCGTCAAAAAGGAGAATCAGTCTCCCCAAATGCTGCCTGCTCCAAGGCCTGCTGCTGGAGGCGACTGGAATATGATTCCTTTGAAGGCTTGCACTCAGAATGATTTGCAAGACACAAGGAACCATATCATGAAGTTCCAGACGAAACAGGACGTTGACATCATGAAAAACTTCACAAAGCCTGTCAGACTACACAGAAAAGACCCCAGGAATATCCAGTTCCAGCTCACGCGAGAAGAGATTGATCGTCGAAAGAAAGAAGGCAAGGAACAAGGGGTGGACTTGTTACAAGACCCAGAGGAGATTGTCTTGGATGAAAACGGAGAACCAACTGCTACCAAGATGGACATGTCTCAGGTGGCCCCAGATGGCGGTGCCCGTAAACATCGCCGGAACATGTTTAAAAGAAAGACAAAGCAGGTTCACATGATGGACGAACAGAAAAGAAAGCTCCGCTATGAAGAATACTATCCCTGGGTCATCGAGGACTACGACGGAAAGAATGTTTTCGTGGGTAATTACGAAGGCGGTCTGACCGATAGTACTCATGTTCTTTTCGTCTTTGATAAAGATGGCTTCAAGATGGTTCCAGCTGAAAAGGTTTACAGATTCACGCCTAGAAACAAGTACGCAACCTTGACCTTAGAAGAGGCCGAAGCCAAAATGGAGAAGAACCAATCTGCTCCTCGTTGGCTCATGAAGCACATGGATGAGGGTGAAAGCTCCGATCGTAGATTCAAGCGCAATGGTGCCAGCAATCAGTTTGGGTCGCCAGTAAACCCATCTGCTAGAAGTGCCTCTGCGAATTCGCGTATGCGTACGGTCCAGGGTGGCTCATCCCTTAATGATCGTGATTCAGATCATGATGAGTTGGATTTCGACGAGGAATTCGCAGACGACGAAGAGGCTCCTATCATGGACGGTGCCGAGGAAGACAACAAGTTGTCCGAGAAGAAAATGAAGAAGGATATGTTGAAGGCAGCTCATTTGGGAGGCCAGCTGGATGTGGACGATAGCGACGATGAGATAAATGACCTCTTTGAGGTTGAAAAGTCAAGAAAGGTTGACAAGGAAGGTAAGAAGCTAAAGAAGGTGCTACATAAGACTGAGGGTGGTGTTTATGACAGTGACGACAATGAGATTCAAAACCCATATGTGTCTCAATCGGATTTGGAGAGCGAGGAAGAATCAGAGCCGGAAGTCACAGTCAAACAAGAACCTAACGACGGGTTGTCCGATCAAGCCATTAACAGGCCTCGTACAATGTATGTTACGAGCATCAACGATGGCTTTGTCGTGATTCGTGCCTCCAAGCAATTCTTGCAAGGATTCCAACCCGGTGAATGGAACCCTCACATTCGCAAACGTGCTCGTTCTGTTGAGTCCCATAGTGCCTCGAAGAAACAGCGCAGGGAAGACTCCCCCACTGCCAAGAGTGCTAGTGCCCTGCCAGTACCAGAGGCTCCTGGAGGAACCAACTTGGAGGACCCAGGTACTAACGGCGAGTTGGTAACCACCAGAGAGGTGTTAGACATTGTGAGGAAACAACCTTTGGCAACCAAGGAGCTCTTGTTGAAATTGAAACACAGAATAAGCATGCATAAAGACAACAAACTTCGGATCATCAGCATTGTCAAAACTAATCTCAAATTGGTGGATGGACAGCTTCGCCTTAAAGAAGAATAAGAGTGAGATAAATTTGCGCTCTTTGTATAGCATTTAATGATACACCCGACTATTTACCTAAGCGATCTCCACGATCTTATCGTCATCCTCATCACTTTCCACATCCATGTCGTCCTCTGCCTTTGCAGCCGCTTCGTCTCTCATCAAAAGCTGCACCAATCTGTCACAAAGATCAGCAATGGCCTCTGAATTGACTGCTTTGTGAAGCTCTCTAATCAATGGGTAGACAGCCTTCTCTCTGAGATGCTCTCTCAATTCCTTTGTGGTACACAATAGAAGCAACGACTCGAGATGTGTGCAAATAATGGACTCCTCAGGGTCTCTCTTCTTGTCTGGAGGCAAAAACTGAAGCTCTTCTGGGAGGTCGAAAATCTCATCCTCACTTATCTCCTCGGGACCAGCAATTGGTAACAAGAGGTATGGCAATAAGTTGATGTTCTCATCCTTCACCAAAGGCTCGTGCTTCTCGACATCGAAAAGAGAGTTCTTGATAGTGGAAGCAACACCCTCACGCCTGACCTTGGAGTCGTATTTTTCAGTGAAGACAAGAAGTTTGGAAATGGGCACAACGCCGTCGTAGGCCTGTTCAGTAACAAAGTAGTCTCTTCCTTTTCTAAAACGGGAAATATCAGCAAAGAAGTAGGCGAGATAGTCAAAGTCGGCATACTTGTTCAAGCTGCGGTCTGCACCTTTGACAAAGCAGTCCATCAAACAGTCCATGGCGTTGGCAGAAGCGAACACCTTCTTGGCTTCTTCACTTCTGGTAACCGTGATGTCGAATATCTTTGTAATGGAGTCGTTCTTGGCCAAGTTCGCGAGGAGAATACACATCAAGTCGGTAGCTGTATTCGAAAGTCTAGTGATTTCTGACACCAAGAAGCTGACGTAGTCGACGTCATCGACGATAAGCTTTCTCATTGCCTCGTCATCACAAAGGTTCGCCAAGATCGTGACTGACTGACTAACCGTGGTTTTACCCGAGTCTTTGGAAAGCTTCTTAAGGTCTGTGATAGCAGTGTAGTTATCATAGGCAAAGACCTTTTGCTGTGGTCCAGTGGAGTAGCCCACCAAGTTGTCCAAAGCAATCTGGACAACAGCTGGTTGAGGAGAATGTAAGAAGCCAACAAGCTCTTCCAATTCACTTGGCATGATATGTAATTACGATGCTGAGAAAGTAAAAGGTGGATATATATTACGGTGCGCTTCGATAGCGATGAGCATCGCACTATACACTAAAACCACACTACTGCGCAAGCTGATCAACAACTTGCAAGTAGTTGTAGTAGAAAGCAATAATCAGAAGATGTCCGTCGAAATTGGTCTTTTCGTCGACCGAGTGGATGTTCAGGTGTGGGTTTGGAAGACCGGGTGCGTATCTGAAGATGTTGCGGGTCAAGTCCCAGTACCACTTGGTGTCGGTGTTTCCAGTCATAAGAGATGGGGCGAAAACAAATTCCTTGGATTCACCAGCGAAAACGACATCCTCGTAGAAGTGACGAAGGGAACCGCCAAACAAGTTCCAGATTTCGTCTTGAGTAGGTGTCACAGGAGCTGGTTCCAAGCTCTGTCTAAGAGTGTAGTTGAAGTAGCCGTGCTCGGTTGGCTCGTAGACTGTCTGACCTTCAAAGATCAATCCCAACTCGTGCTTCTCGGCAATCAGTTTAATCTGTCCCAAGACCTTCTCAGACGTCGATTTGACCAGCTCTTCGACGGCAATTCTGTGGTTCACCAAGGCAGAAGCATGCTCAGGCAAAGCATTCGACTTAACACCGCCGGAGATGATGTCAATGGCCTGAGAGGTGGTCACAAGGAACTTCTGGGAGACTTGGTCCCTGAGGTACTTCAAAAGAGCCTCATTTGCCTTGGTATCGAAATGGGCTTTCAAAATGTTCTTACGCAAGTCATTGTCAATCAAAGGAGAGTGTTCTGCCAAACACTGCAATTGGTTCAAGACAGGGTTAGCGTTGGTGATGACACTCTCGAACTCAGCATCCTCAATGTCACTAAGAAGCTTAGCCAAAATTCCGATAGAAGTGTGCTTAGGTGGCACAGACGAGTGACCTCCTGGGGTGTACAATTCGATGAAGGAATCAACGTAACCTTTCTCGCCTGTGGCAGGCAAAATCACATTGAGACCCTCCATTTCTTGGAATCCCGATGAACCCTCATCAATAATTTGAAGCATCGAGTCAGGGCCGTACTTGCCCACCAAGTGCTCGAAGATCTTCTGAGCTCCAGAACCACCAGCTTCTTCGTCATATCCGAAGGCCAAAATGATCGTTCTTTCAGGCGAGAACTTTTCCTCAGAAAGCAAAAGCTCGACAGTTTCAAGCAAGCCAATGAGCAAGTCCTTGCAATCAGACACACCTCTTCCGTACAAGAACTTACCATCGTAGCCTCCAGTGAAGGGTGGGAAAGTCCATTGGTCCAAAGTCTCCTTCTGAACAGGCACGACATCGTAGTGGGCAGTCAAAAGCAATGGCTTCTTGTTTTCGTCCTTACCCTTCCAAGTGTAAACCAAGCCAAAATCGTTCACCTTATCAAGGCTCAATTGCTCGTGAACCTTTGGGAACGTCTTCTTCAAGTACTTCTGGAAGTCCTGGAAGTATTTCCAACTTGGCTCGATCTTCAACAACTCGTCAACGGAGTCGGCCTCCTCTGGACGAGTCATTTCATCATACATCTCAGTAGGGTACTTCACGGCACCGAGTAACTTCTCAATCGACTGATTGCGGAATTTGGCATCATGAAGAATACGGTCCACGGTATCGCTCTCGTAGACAAAGTCCGAGAATTTCACCTTTTCCACAATTGGACAGAGCGAGTCAGGATTCTTTCCATCGTCGCCAGAGAACCTTTGGAAGGTATCTCCGAGGTACCCTTGGGTGTTCAAAATTCCGCTCAATACGTAACAAGAAAGACCGACTAAAATGAGGCTCAATGACCACACAGCTTTGCAATTGCGCTTCTTTGGGGCCACATTGCCATTGCCATAAATTGGAAGCTCTTTCTCGGAACCCATTGCTTACGAGTAAGGAAAAAGAAAGTAACTTTGTCTTATCAATTGCCAGGAATTAGGTGCGGATTTCATACATTTGACAGGCTAGATACATTCGGTATAGACAGTACGCATAATCTAAAATTGAGCAAACCACTGGACCTGATCGGAGATGGTCTTGGTCATAGCATATTTGACCACTGGGTCCTTGATATCACCCCTAACAGCGTAGCCATGCACAACACCAGAGAACAAATCAAGCTGGTATCTAGCCTTGATCTTGGCCAAAGCCTCCTCGGTTTGGTGTCTCAACTCCACAGGGAAAATAGGGTCGGTCTCGGCAGCAGAAATGAGAAGAGGCTTCTTAATGGCCTCAACCTCCTCAATTGTTACGAAAGAGGGGTGAGCCACAGCTGCGGCAGTGGCATATCCGTCAGATGCAATCTGCTGGATAGCATACTTGGCACCGTAACAGTAACCAATGACACCCAAGAAGGTCTCGGAGCCAATCTGTTCACGCAATGGTTTCAAGAATCCTTCAATGATAGGCTTGGTGACCTCTGGAGAATGCTTCTGCAACCATGGACCAAGGTCACTGTAGGTGGCTGGAACAGGGTCGTTCTCCAAAATGTCAGGAATGTAAACCTTGTAGCCGCCTAACTTAGCCAATTGATCGGCAACCAAAAGAGTGTTGTTAAACTTGTGACCGTGAATGTCAGTCAAGATCACGATCACTCTCTTGGAGTTTTCAGATCCGGTCACGTATGTGTCCAAGCCAAAGACATTTTGGTGGCTACCCAGAGGTGTACCCTCGTGGAAGTTAGACTCGATACAGCAAGCACCTGGAGGATTGGAAGCCATTGTTTGAATGGGATTGATGAATTGGTGATGTAAGCGAAGAAAAAGAATCTAAGATTTATGGAGGAGTACTTATATAACTAGTCTGCGGGAATGTGCGCATGAACTCGGTGCTAAGATACACTCATCGCCGAGCTCAATGTGCGGTCCCTGCAAACTAGGACCGCTCAACGGTTTCTTGCAGCATGTCACATGTCTATGCATTCGGAGAAAGCATGTCAGCCTTCACGAGGGCATGAATCTGTTGGTTAGTTTTTTGTTTTCGTTGTCAATAGTCTGAAAAATACGTACATCTTGAATTGAAGCGTGGATGAATTGTCTGACTTCAAGTGCAAGCCACACTTTGATCATGCTAGAAGTATCTTCGTCTCTCATAATCTCCCTTCCTTCTTTCAGGGCTCCGAGCTTTCTGAGAACGGGCAAAGAGCTGCATAGTTAGTATGTTGGTCATTATATCATTAGGTGTTTTTTCATTGTGCCAAAAATGGCAAGGTGTTCTCCGTAGGGAACCCAAAAACAAAGGCGTATACGAACCTTGCAAATAAATCTAGTCCAGGGTCAAGTTGTCTTCCGATACCCTCCAAAAGTAGAATAGCCACTATGACGGTGATAAAGTCTCCCTCCATTCTGACGTGATGCGAGCGCACCATCCCAAGCACCTGGTCTAAGAGATCGCCAATGCTAATGTTGCCCAAAGCAAACGTTCTTTGTTTCATGCGGTCAACCAACTTCTCGACTTTCAAAGCAAAGATTTCCTTGTTGATGGCAGTTTCCGGTGTCCTTGAACGTTCCACCATCAACTCGCCGGCGAGGTAACCATCGAACTCGGACAATGCTTTGAACAAGTCAATAAAATTGACACGATCAGTGTGATTCAATTCGGTAATGAGACCAACGTCAAGGAAGCAGATCTCTGCATGGTATCCCAGGTCATAGAGTTCTTCAAGCCTCTTCACCCAGGCCTGTCTATCATCGCCCAATGCAAGAAGATCTTCTGTGATCCGATTGGTCTCTTCTTCGTTACTGGTTTTCACAATCTTATACTCCTTCTCGTGGCGGTACAACTTATTTTTGTAGAACCTGATAAGCATGTTACCTGGATGAAGATCGGCATGAACAAAATTGTCCAAGATAAGCATCTGTAAAAATGCATCGAGACCTTTGTCACTGATTTCTTTAGAAAGATTTTTTCCGAAATTCTCCTTGAGGTCAAGCATCTTGCTTAAAGGGATTGCGTCAATGTACTCTTCCACAAGAACATCCCTTGTGCTGAAATTCAAGAAAGGCTTTGGAAAGTGAATGTCCAAACGGTTCTTGAAGTTGTGTCTAAATTTTGCTAGATTGAGGGCTTCGATTCTCAAATCTAATTGTAATCTCATCAATATGGAAAACTGCTCCACTTCGTCAGGAAGAGAGAGCCACTCCATTGTGGGAATAGCGTTGATCACGGAAGCGAAGAAACTCATAATCTTTAAGTCACGGTTGATCTTCACTTCCACATTGGGGTGCAAGACTTTAATGGCAACTTCCTGCTTCTTCGTGATGAAGCTGCTTGGCTCCGTAACAATGACTTTATCGAGGAATTGCTGGTGCTCGTGAGCAGCTGGGTCAAGCGAAAGCTGGACGGTGGTATCATTTTCCTGCTTGGCACGCTGAATTGCCTTGTCTGACAATTTGGCGAGGTAGACTTGCGCAATTGCGCCAACCCCCAATGGCTTCTCTCGGAACTCTTCAAAGATTTCTTCAAATGGCATGTCAAAGCTCTTGCTCAATATCTTCTTGGTCTCAGATAACGAATGAGCCTTTGCGTTGGAGTGGAGGTTGGAGAGCTCCTCGCACATCTCCTTGGGAAAGATATCAGTTCTGGAAGCAGCCCACTGGCCCAATTTGATAAAAGAAGCGCCAGCAGCCTCAGAGGCCCATCTTAAGTATCTGAACCAAAGCTTGGCTCCGCTTCTGACATAAGTGCCTGTCTTTCTGTCTTTCTTTCCAAACCAGCAGATAGGTGATGCGAGAAGCACCGGCATAAATATCGATGTGAGCTCCACAAACCTTATGATGGTTTTCAACGGATCTATAATGTAGTCAATGACGACAAACTGTAGGCGGAAAAACACTCTAGCAATAAATGGTCCCTTCGATGTTCTCTCTCTTCTATAATCATCGAACAAGTCCTGCTCTTCTTTCTGAGAGGCAGCATAAAGACCGTTTTCGAAGGTGTCAGCTGTCTCAATGGGTTTTAGACCATGTATGCTTGTATCGACCGGATACACCTCGTTCAAAATAGGCGACTTCCATACGAGAACCGCCATTGAGGCTGACAATGCAAATGTAATGCTGTATTTGTTTCCCTGGGCTTGTTCATGGTGCCCCTGGTGTTGATGACTGTGGTTGCCATGAGAGTACTGTCTAATCAGTGGGCATGGCTTGATAAGGGAAGGTCTGATTGGAGAAGCAAATGGTGACCGGTGACACAACAGACTTCTCCCAATACCCAAGCCTCTCCATTTAAGAATGCATTGTCTCATCGCAATGAACGAACGATAGTTATTGGCTGAAGTAGGTTTATGTGCGTAGTTTATTGTAAATGTGCGAAGGTTGCTTAGCCGAGACTATACAGATTATATGGGCGGCAACAAAATCGCATAACATCTATTTATTATATTATGCATAGCTAGTCTGGGTCAATTATTTGGGCACTCAAATGATTTCTAATTATTGAAACCCATAGATACACTGTTGAGGTGCCTTTGGGATTTGTCTTTTCGCCTCTTCTAGCAACGATTCCATCGTGTGCGTTGAACAGGTCATGATACACAGCGATCTTTTCCCAAGAAAGCTTATTAAGGTTTTCGATGATTTGTTTCTGATCTTCCGAAATGGCTAGTTTGGTATCCTCCGTAAAGAGAGGGAATTGTGAATAGTCTGTGACGGAGAGTTTGGCTGCATGCGTCTTCATGATTGAATCGTTGATGGCAGCATCTATGTCAACAGGATTTTTTCTTTTCAAAAATGATGCAAGATAGGAGGTAGCTGGCTTCTTGTCCGAATCCGACAGATCCGACTCGACCAGAGAGATTTGTGTTTCCTCACTAAGGGACTGAAGACCCTCTTTTCCTACGTCCTCTTTTGAACCCTCTTGTTTGTAAAGCTCCGATTGCTTTGCATGGAGCCTGCTTTCTGCGTACAAAACGTTCTCCATACCATGCTCAGTAAAGGAGGATGTGTCGCCCTTGAAGGACTCGTGTTTTGCTAGTTCGTGACGCTCTTTTCTTCTTTCTTCTCCACGCTGTGCATTTTCGGCATTGACCTCACCATCACCAAACACAGAGCTTCGAACTTCCTTCCAGTGGCTCAAAATGTCGGGCCCACTCAGGAACTTGACTTTAACCAAGGTATACAAGGACACAACCAGCGACAAACAAAGAATGACAGGAATATAGAAGGGAATGAGTATGGAGGCAGCAACAATTATGACAGAATACCGGACAAGCTTATTGCGTCTCACAAATGAAGTCGCCTCTTGAATATTGTCTGGCGGTTTGCCCAGTGTCTCAACTCTGCATGATCTCTCCAAGTCGACGAACTTTGGCCTCACCATTACGCCTCCAATTTTGGAAGAAGGTAGGTCTTTCAAGTATTTGACCTTGAGTTTGTCCCAGTGATCGAATGGTGAATGTTCAGTGATGTAGCTTGTGTAAAATGCCACACTTCTATCGTTCTTGATGTTGGCCAATAGCAACCGCTTTTCAAAACACTCCAAACCTTTGAAGTAAATAGAGCTGGGTTTGCTCATCTCGACCAATAAGGGATCTCGGTCTGCTATGAAGAGTTGGAAGCCAGTAACACCCAAAATGAATTTCCCGACAACGTTTGCTACCTTATCGAAAACATGATCTCTGAAAAAGTGGACCCCTACATGGGGTGTAGCAAACGTACAGAAGACAACTGGTTTAACTGAATCGAAGAATCCCATCTCGTAAAGCTGGCCGATCACATTCCTCGAGATCAAGCCGCCCAAAGAGTAGCCAACTATACTGATCTTCGTAACATTGCAGCCTTCTTTTTGCTTCAAGATTTCCATCTCGTAAAGAATCTCCGCAATCACTTTCTCGGCGCATCTCGAAATACCGTCATAAGTTTTCCAGAAACGAAACGACAGTGGCTTCAAAGTGACAATTCTTTCTTTCGAAACGTCCTTTAGTAAGTGTTTGATTGCCTTTTCCACCGTCAGCATATGGGTGGGACTACCCCAGAGTCCATGTACAAGAACGAATAAATGAGCGTCATCCTCGGCCATACTTCCCTCAACCTGATCAGAAGACGATTTTTACAAAAAAAGCAGGATTTCACGAACCGGTCAGATTTTCTTGATTAAATACTTCTTGCGATAGGAGATTGTGCCTCAATGCGGCCCCGGTGCAGGTGATGGTCCCTTATCTTACTTCGTGATAACAGATCCTAGCATTGCCAATTGAAGACGAAATTCAAAAATTCAGTCATTTTAATCTTTGAAGTTTAATCTTCATTCAAGCACAGCTTTAAGACTTATGTTTCTACAAATGGGCCACTATCGGGCTATTACGTTCTCATTTTCACATGCTCATAACGCATTAAGATTCAAGAAAAACTCCTTGGCCGACTCAACGAACAATCAACTTCTCTCTAACATTTGATATCTTGTGTGCCATTTATATACCGAAAACAGTCGAGTACGTCATTTATATGTTTTCTTGCTCTGTGACCCCTGATCTGCTTTTGGCTGCAAAGTCCGTGTGCCGAGCTGCTGGTATTCATTAAAAACTTAACTTGGGGCTGATACATTGAATTTAACTCTTAGCTTCACATATGTTGAAGAAGGTTATATGAGAATTCTGATGGAGAAATTGCTTTTAGCACCACAATGTCACACATGGTCTCCCACTGTCTTCCTGCGCTTCAATATTCTCGAAACTGTTCATCTCTTCAAGTCATTTGGTACCTTCAAAAGGACTCTTTTTTTTTTTTTTTTCTGATTCCTTCTTTTTTTTGGTTCCGCTTCCTTGAAGGAACAAACTCACAAAACTGAAGTAAGCTGAAGCACGAGCTCACCGTATTTTTCAGCTGTCGCATGCTAAGAGTATCGGGATGGCCATCAGGGTTCACATCATTTACTTAAAGGTGAACATTATTATTGAACCATTCTTCTTCAATTAGTGGCCCGCTGACTGAATCCTTGGCCTAACGGTGTTTTAAACAGTCAAAACTTCTGTGCAAACTGATCGTTGGTGCCAATACTTGTTCCGACATCAACTCAAAGACTCAGGATCTACATGAGATATCACTTTTTTGATTCATTTTTATGTTTCTAGCATTCTAATTATTTATCTTCTTTTCGGTTTTTCATGTATTGGCTGAACCAGTGGTGTCCGCCATGTACAACAGAGATGTACGGGTGGTGGCGAGCACTAATATCAGTACTACTTTGGTGTCTATTAGATCTCGAAGTTTTAAACAACAAATGTCCACAATTGCCTCTGAATACAGTGCAGAGAAGGTTTCTGTACCTATTGAGCATAGATTTAACCCATACTCCGATAATGGAGGAACTGTCCTAGGGATTGCTGGCGAGGATTTTGCGGTATTGGCTGGAGACACTCGTATCGTCTCTGGCTACTCTATTGATTCTCGTTATGAACCAAAAATTTTTGACGTGGGCGATGATATTGTCATGACAGCCAATGGTTTTGCTGCTGACGGTTCCGCCTTGATTGACAGGTTCAAGACTCAGTACAAGTGGTACAAGTTCGACAACAACAACAAGAAATTGACAATTAAATCAGCCGCAAGATTCATTCAGCATCTATTATACGGAAAGAGATTCTTTCCATACTACGTGAGTACTCTTATTGCTGGATTGGATGAGGAAGGCAAAGGTGCCGTGTACTCATATGATCCAGTCGGTTCCTATGAAAGAGAGCAGTGCAGAGCTGGTGGCGCCGCTGCATCCTTGATAATGCCTTTTCTCGATAATCAGGTCAATTTCAAGAACCAGTATGTCCCTGGAACTGATGGCAAAGAGAAGAAGCCTTTGAGGTATTTGAGTTTAGAGGAGGTCTTAAAGTTGGTGAAGGATGCCTTCACTTCGGCAACTGAGAGACATATTTACGTTGGTGATGGCTTGGAAATTTTTATTGTGACAAAAGAGGGCGTCAGGAAAGAGTACTTCCCATTGAAGCGTGACTGATCAGGTCGGCCGCATTCAAGGATCACTTCATCTATAAAGAATCATATCAAATTTCAGACTGGCAACTCAAAGCTCTTTCCTTGCATGACTTTAGTGTAGTATATGTAGAAGAAGTCGGAATAAACAAGTGTTTGAACGACACCAGCAAGGAAGGCAATGTAGTCAAAATGCAGCTCCGTGAAGAACCTGTAAATCCAGTTAGGGATATATAATGCTCTGTAAAGCCCTAAAGCAAAGATATAATGCGTAGTGATGTTTTCAGCGGAACCAGTTCTTTGCAACATGAAGAGTTGCGGAAGAATTGCACCAGCTTCTATCCATAAGGAGAACGACCAAAGCACTTCTTTAAAGGTGTATCTGTGCGTGAAAATAAAGGATAAAATAGCAGCGGCTCCAATGATGTATCTGGCTGGGAAGGTGTCAATATTCTCCCGAATGGACTTGGCGTACTTCACTGACATAAGGTAGACAACATAACAGGACGAGGCAATGAAAAATATCTTCATGAGAGTGTTATACAAGGAAATGTAGGTGGTGAACAAATCCAAGTAACGGGTGACAAACACCAACACGTATAAGAGTTGAGTTTTCAAGGACAAACCATTCACTGACTTATTCTTCTCAATGGAGTATAACAAGATAAGTATACTTGCTAAATGCAGAAGGTCTGCAACGAACCGGAAAATATTCATCACAATTTGTGTCTATCCCAATAACGTATCGACAATTCAAAATCCTGTCGCCGTTTCTCAATGCTTACTTGTTGTTGTCGGCCTGCAGGAAGAGGCTGAAACCTATGGAGTCTAGAGGTCAAAACAGCTTACAAAAATTGTGGAATTATTATATGGTCAATGCAGTAGCGACATACTCGCGACTATCCACTATTGCGCCCTCAATTGTAGGTTATAGCTCTATGTGGCGAAGAAGTTCCTCATACTCCAGGTCCATATCTACACTTTCTCGGGTCAACTTGCCCACATTCATGCCTCGTTTGATCTGCTTGTGACCTTCATAGCTCCCGGAAGATACGTGAGCTTCGAGGTCCTCGAGAGATTTGAAAGAATGGAAATCTTGCCTCTCCTTAGTGTCTTTCAAGAAGTCGTTTAAGTCCTCCTCTTCGAGCTTATTGTTCGTTAAGGCGTTAGTTGAAAACGAATTAAACGTTTTGAGACCGCTCTCTGAGATCAAAATCAAGGACGGAAAGTTGCTTACTTGGTACCGCTCCAATATGTCACCACCGGTCTCATCTGCAAAGACGACAGTAAAGGTTATATTGGGATGCAGTTGGGCCACTTGCAGGTAGAAATGGTTGGGGTAGTAATAGTTCAGCCATTCAGGGCTCGATTTGGAGACAATTGCTATTAGAACGTTGTCTTGTTTGAGAAGCAATTGGTCAAGCTGATTTGCAGAGCTCAAGATCTCAAATGGCAATTCAATAGTAGCATCGTTTGGTGTCGCCGAGGAAAACTCCGCTATGAATTTCTGAAGATTAGGAAGCGTCCTTGTCTCCCGGAAGTGTGCAATCTTCTTTTGATGGGCATCGTATAGCTTGATAGTGGGGAAGCTGGTCACTCTGAATAGCTCCGCGAGCTGTTTATCTCTATGCCCATTGATTTTTGCGAACGTGAGGTCGTCATTGTGGTCATAAATTCCATTCAAGTAGACAAAGTCTGCGTCGAACCCATTACAGTATACGCAACCAGGCGTATAGAAATAAAGCAATGTGTAATGGGATTCCAATATCTCATTGATAGAGCTGACTTCTGCGATCTTAGAGCAGGCAAGGTGTATCCAGAGTAGCCATAGTATGAGTTCCCTCATGAGTTGAATTTATGAGAAATCAATCACCGAGTCATCACGCTTATAGCATTCGCGCGAAATCGGCTTTAAGCGTTCTTGTGTCAATTACAGGGTCCACTGTGATTCAAGCGAGATGTGTTTAAGCCTCCTAAATGACAGAGAAATTTGTTGGCGTTGGTTTTCCAAATCAGGCTTGTTCCCACATCTTGGTGCAGCTGCACGGCTGGCTAGTGCGATAAGTCGACACAATAGGAAATGGCTTGGTACCGTTGAGGTGGGGCCATTGAAGGCAGAACGGCGTATACCGGAGTTCCCAAATGGTGGTCATTTACAACCGCCCTCCCAAAGCTCATTTTGACCTCAACGCCAAGCTGAAGAGACCGTAATTGGTCTAATTACTTACATAATGACAGAGCCATTGCGCAATCGAGATGCGGCAAACAGAATATTTTCACTGGATCATCTCAGCAGATCACTGATCTCGATGGCTGATCCCAATCACGCATCCTGATTTCTGTGATAGTTCTTGGGGTGCATCAGACCTTCGTGCTGGCTTAGACAAATCTGGCGCACCAGCTCTTCTTTCCTGCACACGTTGTGCATATTTCCTATTGTTCTTCGCTAAGACAACCGTCTCGCGTGCTGGCTGCGAAACTACTTCGAGCGCTTTGGCGATTTATCAAGCGATTTTGCTTGCACATATGCCAAATTGGAGTGACACCAGCTACTGAGCTTGCAGCAGTCATTGGCAAGCTGCCGTGGCTGAGGCCAATATATTTGGGGCTTTTGTCGTACTTTCATGCTCCTATTCTTCTTTTTTCTCGATACACAAAAAACAGTTCTGATGAAGTCTACTCAGTTAGCCACGCTTGCTTCACTTGCCTCGGTTGCTCTTGCAGACCTTCCTACCTTGACCTCGACCATCGTGTCTAGTTCATGTTCTTTGGGGCCTTCTACGTTTAAGTTCTCAAATGATACTACGCCTGTGACACATGTTACACCAGAAGCTGAATCAACATCCGAGCTTGAGTCCACACAGCTTCCCTCCTCCAGCTCCGAGGAGGTTATTTACGAAACCGATATTGTCACCAATGACAGCATCTTCACCACTGACAGGGTCGTTTGCAATGGTGGCTCTTGCTACACTACCACCGGTTTGGAAACCTGGGTCACCACCACCGACACCATCGATGGTATCTTGACGACTTACTTGACTCACGTCCCTGTGACATCCACTGAAGAGACTGAGGCTTCTGCAGCAGCCACAACCACTCAGGCTCCTGAGTCTGTCGTCACTGAGTCGGAGATTGGCACCACTGTCGTGACCATCACCTCCTGCTCTGACAACAAGTGCAAGCCTACTGCTGTTACCACCGGCTTGACTGTTGTGACTTCCACAATCAAGGGCGCTGAGACCATTTACACCACCTACTGCCCAATCAGCTCTGAGCTGTCTGTCAAGCCCAAAAAGACTATTCAGTCTACTACCGTCGCCACTGTCACAGTCTGTTCGGAAGATGTGTGTCACTCCTCGGCTGTTACTACCGGTGTGACCGAGTTGACCAAAACTATCCACGGCGTGGAGAGCATCTACACCACTTACTGCCCAATTGAGTCTTCCACCAGTGAGCAGCCTCCCACCAGTGAGCAGCCTTCGGAACCTGTGGAGGAGATCACCTCGTCTAAGACTGAGTACATCACCCTCAGCAAGTCCAAGGACTATGAAACCAGCTCTCCAACGCCTTCTGGAACAGTGAATGTCATCACCAACAACATTGTGACTCAATACTCTAAGAGCTCCTCTGTTGCTTCTGTGGTGCAGAGCACTACTCCTCTTGTTTCCACGTATGAAGGTGCTGCTGCCCAAGCTGCTCCTGCGGTTTTCGGCCTCATTCCAATCGTTCTCGCACTCATGTGAGATTTCCCTTCTTTTTTACCAGGTTCATCACGGAGCCTTTTCTTTCGTTAAGGATATATGTACAGTAGTCTGTTAAAGAAATACAATAATGAGCATCATATTTACCACACGCGAACCTCAGTAGCTAGGTGTACAGGTGCGCTACACTAAAACTCACCTACATTTCCATCGACAATTTAGCGTCACCATCTAGATGAATGCATACGATGTGATAATAGAGCCGACAACAGTGACTCACTGTGTTGGCTGCAATTTTATATCACCGACAAGGAAACATCTCATTGTGGCCAAAACGTCGGTTCTACAAGTGTTCCAAATCTTGAGTGAAACGTCTGATAAATCTAAAGAGAGCCACCAATTGAGCTTGGTGCTGCAATACCGTTTACAGGGCAAGGTGACTGACTTGAAGCCGATTCGTACTTTGGAATCGCTCAACCTTGACTATCTTTTAGTGTCTACCGAAAGTGCTAAATTCTCTTGCATAAAATGGGATGCATCAAAACATACCATTCAAACAGTTTCATTGCATTTCTATGAGCATTTGATGGAGGAAACCGCCTATCAGCTAAACAAAAGCTCTCAGCTCATCGTCGATCCAAATTCAAATGCCATGGCGTGCTTACGCCAAGCCAATGTGCTCATCTTTTTACCCTTCCACCAAGTTGAAGATGATGACGATGACGATGATGATGACACTGGCGATGATATTGTTGATGATAACGGAGCCGAAGTAAACAACGATCGTGAGAAGGAAGAACAACATGAACCAACTTCTCCAAACACCAGTAAGGATGAACGGGCTCCACTCGTTCCCCTGATTGACGCCCTCGGTCCTAGGGCCAGAAATATCTCCTTATTCGAAGAAAGTTTAGTGCTAGAGGTTAATTCATTGGATAGCAGCATTGGGGAAATTATTGATTTGCAATTCTTGGGTAATTATAGAAGGCCGACTATCGCAATTCTTTCCCAAACGAAGCGAACATGGACTGGTCTTCTACCGGTCCAAAAGGACAACGTTCAATTCACTGTTTTATCTCTCAATTTGCGAGCACAGTCAGCAACAACCGTTTTGAAGGTTGAGAATTTGCCTTATGACATGGACAGAATTTATCCTGTCCCGGGACCAATTCATGGAAGTTTGCTATCTGGAAGCAACGAAATTATTCATGTTGATGGTGGTGGTATTCTACGTCGAATTGCTTTGAATGAGTACCTTGCAGATATCACAAACACGCTGCGTGCCTTCACGGATCAACTGTCATTCAATCTTAAACTAGAAAATTGTGTATTTGTCAAGATTCCAAACGAGACAAAACTTCTCATGCTTCTAAAGAATGGCCAAAGCTATTGCGTAACATTCGATATGGATGGTAAGACCATTAAACGAATGGTGGTTGAGGCTTTTGAGTCTGAATCATTCCTGCAATGGCAACTTCAGCTCCCCGGCGAAATTGCTCTGTTAGATGATGATTTGCTTTTCTTTGCAAGCAATGCGTGCGATGCGGCATTGGTTAAGATTAGTTCGTCAGACATGTCGACGTCCGTTGAACTAAATGATAATGTCAAAAGTGCTAACGATGATGATGACGACGATTTTTATGATGACTTGGAGGACAGCAAAGCAACCAATGGATCGAAGAGTGGAAGGTTGGAGCTCAAACACTACGATTCACTTTCCAACAATGGTCCGATCTCCAATTTTACTCTCGGCAATTACAGCAGAGAGCGGTACGTCACCAATTTGCCGAACCCAGATTACAATCTGATATCCATTTTTTCTACTGGTGGTCTTAACGAATCTAGTCATGTGAACATTTTCACCCCTACTGTGCAACCTGAAATTAAAACGTCACTCACGTTTTCTCAGCTCAATCGTCTTTGGACGCTCAACAACAAGTATCTCATAACTTCTGACGATCCTAACAATAAGTCAGAAATTTTTGATATTACACAATCTTATGCTCGTTTACCAGCAAAGCAATTTATTCATGATGAGCTCACGGTGGCGATGCATGAATTGAATAATGGAAACTTCATACTTCAAGTGACTCCGAAGCATGTTATATTATTCAACAATAAGTTTAAAAGGATCGTTACATTGGATGAGCAACTACAAGAATTTTCAGATGCGGATATAATAACAAGTGTGTTTGATGATGGGTTTCTAATGCTATTCCTCTCCACAGGAGAGTTGTTGATTTTTACAATCAATACATATAGCAAATCTTTCACTCGGATTCCTTTACCGAAGTTATTGGATGACGTTCTTATTACTACGGGATACATTACCAATTCTAGGCTTCTCAATGCTGTGACTAAAGATCTTTCACTTCTCACCAATAGGGGTCAAAAGCGTCGCCGAGATGGAGAACAGACATTGAAGGAAGGAGGCAAGGATGATCCCAAGTCCAAAATTTTTCTCGTTGTTACTGGTGACAACAGAATTGTCGTCTTCAACAGATTCCATAATGAGAAGTGCTTTCAGTTAAACTCGGTTAACAAATTCAGTGATTTGGTTTCTCTTGGTTTTTTCGACATCAATGCAGGTGAGCCTGACCCAGTTATCAAGCAGGTGGTTCTCAATGATTTGGGTGATGAAACAAGCAAAGAAGAATACCTCACCATTTTGACAGTTGGTGGTGAAATAATATGTTACAAACTATTCTACGATGGAGAGAATTACAAATTCCTCAAGGATATGGAAACCCCTATCACGGGTGCACCACACAACGCATATCCCGAAGGTACCTCGATCGAAAGAAGATTGGTATTCTTCCCAAACATAAGTGGTTTCACTTGCATTCTAGTCACGGGAATTGTGCCGTATTTTATTGTCAAAGGTAGGAAGGCAAGTGTTAGGGTCTTCAAGTTCCTGAATATTCCGATTGTGTCGTTCGTCCCCTTTAGTGACGACAAACTTCAAAATGCCCTCATCTATCTCGACACAAAAAAGAATGCCAGAATTGTTGAGATTCCTAAAACGTTCAACTATGAGAATAGACTTCCAATGAGACGTGTCAATATTGGAGAAACCGTCAAGTCGATAGCCTACCACGAGGGATCGCACACCTTCGTCTTGGCCACTCTTAAGAATATCCCCTACAATTGCGTCGATTTTGAGGGAAATCCTATATTTGGCTTGAAACCTAACAAGCCACGAGAGGTATCCTATAAAGGACTGATAAAACTCTTGTCACCAAAGAATTGGAGCTTCATTGATTCTATCGAATTAGAAGAAAATGAAGTAGCTTTGCATCTCAAAACGATGCCTTTAGATGTTGGCAGCTCCGTGAAGCGTTACAAAAACAGAAAAGAATTTGTTCTCGTTGGTACCGGCAAATACACTACGGAGGATCTTGTGGCCAATGGAGCTTATAAACTTTTAGAAATCATTGATATCATTCCTGAGCCTGGTAGGCCGGAAACAAATCACAAATTCAAGGAGTTTACCCACGAAGATATCCGTGGTGCTGTTACTTCGTTATGTGATGTAACTGGCCGTTTTCTCATTGCACAGGGCCAAAAAATTATTGTCCGGGATATCAAGGATAACAGCGCTGTGCCCGTCGCTTTTCTCGATACTGCAGTGTATGTGACAGAGACGAAGTCATTTGGGAATTTTGTGCTCCTCGGAGATACGCTTAAAAGTGTTTGGCTAGCTGGTTTTGATGCTGAACCGTTCAGAATGCTCATGTTGAGTAAGGATGTTCATGGCCATGATGTTGCATGTGCAGATTTCATTGTGAAAGATGGTGACCTTCAAGTTGTGATTGCAGACAGTGGCGGTATATTGCACACTCTACAATACAACCCAGAAGATCCCGCGTCGTCCAATGGTCAAAGACTTCTTCACAAGGCTACGTTCAACACAAACTTCTCCGTATCTTGCATGAAAAGTATTCCAAAGTTCGAGCAGTTCAACCAGTCAGTGTCTAGTGAAAGGCAAGCCTTCCAAACTATTGCGTCAACTGCAGAGGGTGCATTTTTCACAGTATTCCCCGTCGACGAAGCGATCTACCGAAGACTCTACATTTTGCAACAACAATTGATAGACAAGGAGTTTCACCCTTGTGGATTGAACCCCAAACTGAACCGTCTAGGAAATCGAAGTGTAACTGATGGAACTTCGCGGCCACTTCTAGACTGTGAGTTGATTCGGCGCTACGCAAAATTGAACGATGATAGAAAGCAGACCTTGGTGCAAAAAATTGGCTCACATGCTGAGGTGGAGCTTTGGAAAGATTTGGTCGAGATGGAAAATGTTCTTAATATTCTATAGTAGTGCTGTATTAATACACGTGACAAAATCAAGCTCTTGAAATACCTCGCGCTACTGTATCGATATCATATCATAGATGGAACTTGACGATAAGAAAGATACCAAAGTGGCCTCGAGAAAGGCTAAGAGTGTTTCCTTCTCCGCTTCCGTTGGAGAGCCGACAGACGAGATAAATAACTCGCAGGAGGTCACGATTCCAGCAGTGAAAAATCTACTTTGGCCGAATCCAGCACACTATCTTCTCATCGTAAATGCATTGTTTTCAAGAGGATTAACACTGAATCCCCTTGGCGTCATGGGAGCAGGAATACCCATTCTAATCATCGCACAGGGTATATACGGATTTCTTTTGATGCATCTGAGCTCGAATGCTCATCAAGGAAGAACGATTAAAGAAAATGGGCCACTTGTTGTCATAACTGCTACGGTTGCATCCCTTCTACTTGCCAATGTTGTGTTTTGTATCGTCATTTTAATGGGTGCACCACTTTCTATGCTAGTTCTGGAGACCTACGTTCTTTCACTTCACCTTTCTTTGTTGGCTATTCAACCTGTCTTGGTACTTTTTAGGCTTGAGCACGATCAGTTGCGAAAGTTTTTCAGCATTGACAACATATACTCTCAGATATTGTCAAATTCCGTGCTCTGCTCCTCGTTCTTCACGTTAGTTGGTGCCTGGATAGGTGTGATCCCTATTCCTCTCGACTGGGACAGACCATGGCAGCAGTGGCCCTTAACAATACTTACAGGTGCTTATATTGGTGGATTCGTCGGTCACAATGTAGCATTTTTGAAACTGTTTCTTTGAGTTTTCATAAAGCAGGAAGCAGCACTGACGATTTAGGCTTCATTAGTGTTCGCCCATTCAGAACTACCGAGTCATTTATCTTTAAACAATGTATGTCACTTTTTTACATGTTTCCCGCAGTTCTATGAAGAAGCGGGTAAGGTTTTCGATTTTTTTTTTTAATTGGTCGTAATATTAATGCAAATTTGAAGTAACTTCATAATAAATCTACCAATGTTTTGCGCGTTAATACAAACTTAAGCATCTGTACAATCCAGTAAATCCTTTGCCCATAAATTAGTCTCTAAATTTCATTATCAATCTCAACAAAGAGTTTGGGCACTTGTGCGTCTGTGCATATTTGCCCGTATGAATCATACGGCCCTTATAGCTAGATTGAGTTCAACGCGTGCATCGCAACAAAGTCAAACATTTGATGCACGCGAATATACTGTGACATATGCGTAACACCCAACCACAACACTAAATTTGTTAGCAGTTCATCAAGACTTGTTTCAGAAATATGACGTCAATTTCAAGTCTACCGCAAATCATAGATCCCACAGATGACGATGCTTCAATCCATCCGTACAGTAATGTAGGCCCGGCACGGCCTTTGCATCGAAACACATACGATAAACGCATCTTAAGCATCCTACAAGCAGATTACTCCCGAGATAAAATGAAGAATTCGGAGCTTCTCAATCGCGCTTTTGATCAATACTTCGAGTATGACGTTGGCAGTACGAACATCCTAGAAACGGACATTTTAGATGATGGGTCAAATGAAAACCGGGTACTGACTCGCAGAGTCTCACAGAAAAGTAACAAGCTTCTGCTTGTAAATTCGGTGGGCTTGATCATCGGAATTGCTGTTGTCATACTATATTACTTCAATGGTCTGTTCCGATCCTATGAGCATATGCGGCAGATCAACGCCATCGAGGAGAAGTTTTCAAGGCTTGAGGCCCTCTCCCGTGAACTCGATGAGCTTGAGAAGTCGAATAGAGAGCTTGTTCAGGATTCTTCAAATTTTAAACACCCTGATCTCATGGTTGAAAGAGGCCGTCTTCAAGAAAACATCAGTAATGAACCACTGAACGATAATCCGGATGACGTCTTGCCACGAAACGATTATAAGCAAAAGGAAAAAACTCTTACATCTTTGAGTATGGAGGGCGATGCTCTCGATGACTTCGTCTTACGCACCATCTCTCGATATATCACCAAGTTTGTTCCAGTGTTCATGAAAGACCATAAAATTAGATACACCACAGAGTTCCATGATTTTATTCGCAATATTACTAAGGAAGAATTAGCCAATTATCAACAGCTCGAAACCCATAAAAAAGAATTCAACTTCGAGGGTCAAACGGGCGCCGCAGTTTTTGGAGAACAGGATATACGCAACTTCATACGGCAAGAGCTCGAACAACAAAGGCCACAAAAAAAGGCAGATTTATGTAACGATCAAATTGAGGTGAGTGACTTCAGCACAGAATTGCTAAATGATGGTTCCAAGCAACCTCGTGATAGCCACAAACAACCAAATTTCGCGAGCTATGAGCAAGGTGCTAGGGTATTGGGATTCCTCACAACTCAACATGGGAAGCAGAAAGGCTTTCCTCTTTTACGTGCAATTTTCTTGGGCTGGTACGATTATCTTACCTCTCAGGGACTTAATTCACCTGACCGCTTGCGGTTCAATGCAAACAATGCTTTGTCACGACAAGCACCCTATTGGCAGTGCAAGTCAAATCTGTGTTCGATAGGAATTCGCTTGACAACTAACGTTGCGTTGAGAGAAATCGTCTTGTCTGTTCCCTATTCCGGCAGACCTGCTAATCTTGACACGCCGAGAACAGTGTCAATTTTCATCAAACCAAGACATCAAACACACGCAAATCTTTTACGATCCCTTCTTGCCAATGATCTGCCCTCCAAGGCAAAAAGTTCGGAAATTACCCCGTTTTTGAAAAAGTTCGTCAAGGTCATGGAAGCTGAACTAAATCCTAGGGTTGAGCTCAACACCATCGTTTTGCCGTCGAACCTAACGAATCTCAATATTCCCCTGAGGGATCTATACATCGAGCTTGAGTCTGTGGATGAGCCTACTGGAGTCTTTGAGATTATAGCAAACGGCCATGTGTTACCTGAGGAGTCCTCAAAATCGATTCCTTGGTCACTTCTGAGACTTGCTGAGGAGCAATCTTTCTCAGCTACTGAGCTTGGTGACGACCTTTCTACTTAAAATATATGATTCACGATTCATTTGTCTATGCCAATTTATTATGTAAAACTATGAGATGGGCCCTAAGCTGGTCACATGGACTTACTCGTCGTCTTCGTCATCGTCACCGCCCTCAAGGAACTTTGTCTTGACGTCTTTCCACAACTTGCCCTTGTTGTGGTTTTCGTACCATCTAGTCACAGCGGAGTCGAAGAAAGCTTGGAAAGCAAAAGCTCCTCCGAAAATAGTTGCAACGTAGAGCGAGTTTCTTTTGATCAATGCTGACAACTTCTGAGTTAGTAAATGGACACATATGATTGAAAACCTTCAAGCAGTCTTCAGCTTCTCTGATTTTAAAGCGGGATTTTAGTCCTGGTAAAGTTGCTTTGTGTCGCTCCTGAACAAACATACCATTTTATGTTAGTGAGTACCCTACCGCTCTGAATTTTTTGGATAAGATGTATGTATAATGCGAAACGTGATTGGGCCAATGAATATAAATCAATCAGGTATATAAAACTCTATTTCCTCTGGTAAGCTTTCGAAAGACAGCGAGCGCGCAATGAAACACATCTGCCTACAATAAATCAATTCAAGCTCGTACCTTGCAAACTTTCTGTGGTTGATTCAACTTTGTCAGCAACGGAGGCATCCTTCAGACTACCTGGGTATCTGCTGCCTTTATTTTTGACTTTCTTGACCTTCTTCTCTTTCACCTCAACGGGGTATCCGTCTGCAGCAGCCTTCTGGAACTCAACATTAGAGTCATATTCTTCTCTAATGGGCTTGAGCAATTCGTTTATCTTGTCACTGACACCTGTCTTCAAATCGACAGGAGAAAGCTCGCCGCTGATGAAAGCATTCTTCAATGAATTCAAACTGTCGTATTGGATGGGACCACCGTATTTTTCAGGTCTATCGACGAAGAACTCAAAAGATCCAGTAACTCCGGTTTTGAGCTCGTGAATTGGCTGAATCACATTTTGAACAAAAGCGATTAAACCATTGTCTACGTCACCAGGGGCACAGAATGCAGCGCCTATCTTTTTCTTTACCACTTTTGGCTCTTCGATGATATCAATCTTGGAGTTTGGATCTGACGCGCTCATCTTACCACCTTGCCCTAGACCAGGCACCATAGGGTTCATCAAGTGCGCTCTCTTTTTGTAGCCTATGCCGCTCAAGTTCTCCTCTGCAAGCACGAAAATCTTCCTCTGATCGACTCCTCCAAATTGAGCATCAACATCGAGGTAATGCTCATCGAGAGCTTGCATCAAGGGGTAAATGAGTCCTGAAAGAAGAGGGTTGGCGACCTGTTTTACGACGTCTGCACCGGCTCTCTTAGCATCATTTTGAGAAACCTTATTGGACAACTTGAAAATGTCCATCGTGTAGTCTCCATTAAGTTGGTAAGATGACCCGACGACAAACTTCAACTTGTCAATTGGGACGTTGATTGACTTCAAGATGGCCTTTATCACCATCTCGTAGTACTTGGCACGGTGTTGAACAACTTCCAATGGTGCCTTCATGTTGTCCAAATAAGCATGCAAATCCGCAACCAAAACAGTCACTTCACATCCAGCTTTTAAAAAGTGACCCAACTTAACCATAGGAACGAAATACCCACAATGGGGTTTACCTGTTGGAGCCGTTCCCCAGTACACTTTGAGTGGTCTCTTTTCCTTTTCTAAAACATCTTTAATGATCTGAGGGTTCAAAACTTCTTGCAATCCTCTTGTGATCAATTCAAATTGCTCTTCGGAGTTCATTGAGGTTGTTGGATACAATGTACAATAAGCGTATCACTTTTTTTTTCAGTCGGTCAATCCGGTCAATTAGACACCCGTACACCACATGGGTAGTAAGCTGCAAATTGATAAATGCCTTTTTCTTCCTCGAATGGCAGCAAAAAAAAAACCAAGCAACTCGAGTACAGATAATTCTTCTCCACTTGAATAACACGCCAGGCATATACACGAAAAATTGAATCTGATTTTTTTGTATCGGGAAGGGTCTCATGACTGACCACGCTGTTCAGTCAGATCAAAATTATTCACGCTTCAAATAATTATGATGGACGTCACAGTCACAGTCACAGTCACAATGTAGAAAATTGTTGTTGGCAGAAGGGCCAACCTCGTTGGAAAGCTCTCGTAATTGTTCTTATAACACCGGGCTTAAAAGTTCTTTCTATAGTGTAGGTTCCTCTCGAGTTGGTTTGCACCCTTAATTCTTATGAGCTTGGAATATGCGGGAATTTGATTTTGCAATCAAAGCTGCTGGTTTTGATCTGCAAATTGAAATTTCGTTTCATAAATGAAGTCGCTCTGCCGATTAGGGCATATCGAAGGTTCTGATTTCCACCCCCCTTTTTTTTATTATTTTTTTTTTTTTTTCCTCTTTTGTAAATTTCATTTCTGACGAGTCACTTAACCTTGTGCCATCGAAATGTATACCAAATTTTGACTTGTATGGGATATGAAATGTGAAGCTTTCTACTCTGTCATGCAACTTTTGTTGGTGTGCCTGATTTCCTATACTTTGCATGCGATCCCATGAACCTATCTGAACGTTACCGCACTACCGATCTATCTCACTCAAATCCTCCACTCTTTATCTCGCACTGTGATGGATGATCTAAAGAGGTTTCTTGTTGAGCTATCGCCGCACTTTTGCTACAAGGATAATAGACAAGTAAAGGTCAATGTATATAAAGCCTTCTATTGGGCTATAACTGGTGAGGGCAAATACTTTAGCGAGCTCTTCACTGGGAGTGTCGAGGATCACGCCGAAATTTTGGGTGGCTTCAAATGGAACCCAACAGAACATCTATCGAAAAAGCCGTTCTTTGTGAATACTGGAATTGGAGAATACAGCCATCCGAAACAGCAGATCTGTGGCTACACTTTCAAAGAAGGTGATGCCATTTACAGATGCGCAGAATGTGGTTATGATGACACATGTGTCATCTGTGGCCACTGCTTCAATAAGGAAGATCATGTTAACCACAATGTTTCCCTATATTACGCCGGATCCGGCAACGAGGGCATGTGTGATTGTGGTGACGACACCGCATTCAAGAGTCAACTTGATTGTGCGTGTCAAGGAACTTTGGATGTTGAGACAAACTTCAGAGAATACATCCATGACGCGCTTCATATTGCATTCGATTATGTGCTCGACGTCACGAACTTTTCCATCTCCTCTCTTCCATTTGTGCATGACAATCTCGAAAACCGTGGTCAACGAGTGTTTGATACGCGTCAATTATCCGACTTCGGTGCGTTACCGTTCCATAAGTATGGATCAGTGGATGAGAATACATATGACTCCTGGTATCTCGTCCTATGGAATGATGAAAACCACAACTACGATGAAGCTCAAACTGCTATTCGAGCAGCAACAGGGCTTTCTATCTCAGCTGCGGAGAAAATTGCACGGCTCATCAATGCATCGGGCAGAGCAGTGCTAAAGGAAGAGACCGAACCTAGGGCTTTGTTAAGCTCACAAAAGCTGGCAGAGGCAGACGGATTGGTCTGCACAATCATGTCACGGCGTGACTATGTTCGTGAAATGATTGTTGGAGCAATCTTAAACTGGGTTTGTGACATCATCACATTCTCTTCCAATAGTGCCTTCCGTGAAGAATGCAAAAAGCAGCTCGGCATATTGCTACTCAAGCCTAACTATGAGTTCTCCAAATCTTTGTCTTCAGAGATGTTCCCGAGTTCAATCACACAGTTGGCGGATCAATGTTTCAGATGTGGTCTTGTGGTCGATGGAGTGCTTGACGATATGTCTCCACTTTCGATTGTAAAATCTGATTTTTCTTTAGATCAACTGATAGATCGATTCGTCACACCAGAAAAAGCTAATAGGAGACATGATTCTCGTCTACAGTATCTCTTATACTTTGAGATTCGATTCCCACTCCGAACTAGAAAGCTTTGTCGAAAGATTTTTCTCGCGTTAATTGGAGGCGAACAAGCTTCAAAGGCTCAATTTGCGGACCAATATATTGAGGCGTACTCTCAGCTTTTGATAATATCAGCCCTATCAGATAGGGAAGAGGCATTATCTTGCATGGATCATATTAGGGTTCAATTACTCACTTGCCCAAGAACCAATGCGAGAGTTCTTGAGAAAAAAAGTTTAGGAAGGCTTTTGGGACCCGTTTGCTGGTTGATTGAACACTTTGCCAGTCTTAAGAATTCCACAAATGGCCTTTTAAACATAAAGGAGATTGTCTACGATGTGAGGAGCAAAAGAGAAAAGTCATCAATTGAAAAAGCAATTGGCTCGTCCATCAATGATATAACTTACATATTCGCCAAGAATGATTCTTCAGACATTTTATCTTGCATTTCGAGCGACGATTCATTCTATTGGCTTCTCACATTGATGAAGTTTTACCAAGGATCACTACCTATCACGAGGAAGGTTGGCGAACACGTCTCACAGGAACTGTTGAAAGATGTGCTTATCTTTCTACAAAGATCCGTTCCGATATATTTCATCACCAAATGCGCTACACTCGCAGATCCTTCAGTCGGAGTGTCAGATGTGCTCAAGAGGTTTTTCGCACTTTATAACAAACACATGGGAAGCACTTCCCTCAAACCCAAGTCAAAAGTCAGTGTGAACCCAATTTCATTGATAAACCCAATCAATGCGTTTGCTTCCCGTTTGATTCAAGCTACTCCGGTTAGCGACTTAGCGGAAATTATCAGCTCTCATGATCTAGCTTTATTGCACTTGGCTGATATTTCCTTGAAAAGCATTGTTTTGAATTCACAAGTCAAAATTGGTCTTTGGATTAGGAATGGCTCCTCTGTCTCTCGTCAGGCGTCATATTACAGCGAATATTCTTTAAAAGAGTTATCCTACTTCAGGGACATGCAATATATTCAAGCTGCTGGTGTTTACTCGTTGGGTGAAATGGCCTACTCCCGGGACTTGCATATATTACAAACTGCATTGGTTTTTGGGAATTCACGAGATGTTCTTGAGATGATCATTGACCTCTGGGAGTTTGAGGACTGGTATAGTGGGGAAGTTGGCTCTGAGCTAACTGTATACGAAGATCGATTTGGTTACGCATGTGAGCAGCTCATCAAGGTATTATATCACATCTTTACCGACCGATCGCTATTTCAAACACAGCAGCTGGAGAAAGGTCCAGATATGTTCATCCGAAGAATTTGTTATTCTCTCTGTGATAAACCAAAATCTTTTAGTGATTTGATCACAGAGTTTGACGGAGATGATATAGATGTTGGTGTCTTCGAAAGCCATTTGCAAAAGTGTGCACTTTTGCAAAGTCCGTCAGGAATAACTGACTCTGGTGTTTACAGACTCAGGCCTGAATATTATGAGCAACTAGACCCTTTAAGCTCGTGCGTTGATCTGAGTAGGTTTGAGTCTGTTGCTGAGTCTTTAATCAAAAACCTATCTAAGTCGAGAAAGATCAAGGAAAACGAAGTTGTCCTAGAACCCAAGTTTGTTCGAGCTAGCTGTGAACGAGTTAATGAGAAACTTCTGAGCTTTTTCACGACTAGGGAATTTGCAAAACTCATGTATAAGCTCATGCGAGAATCGATAGACTCAGGTCAGGAGATTTACATTCAACAGTTGTTACACTTTCTACACGCAATCCTTGTGGATGTGCAGTCTAGTGAAACGATGAAGAAGCATCTTGATACTTACATCGACATACCCATATGCGATCTACTCCTTACCATTGCGGAGTCATCTATGTCTAGTGCTGTGACAGTGAAAGCAGATTACTTGCTAACAAAGCTCATAGATATGGATGATCGGGTTACAAAAAGTCTTCTCGATTGTTTTGGAGAAAGTCATATTCAACACTACAAGAAGCGAAAGTTAGGCGAGTTTCATCTGTCAGATAAGCGCAAAAGTACAGCTGAGAGACGCAAGTCAAAAATTATGAAAAAGCTAGCAAAACAACAACAGTCCTTTCTGGCGAAGAATGAGGTTAGTGAAACCGTGAATTCTCATGAAAACCCTAACATAAGACATTGTGTTGTTTGTGGAGAGCCCGAATCATCCAAGGAATTATTTGGAATTTTACTCTGTCTTACCAATAACTCGACGTTTTGGAAAGTTCCGCCGTTCGAAGACGAGTTCACACGACTTGCTTTTGCAGGTTATGATGCTAACTTGCCGAGGGAAGAAGGCAGCATCTACTCCGCGGGATATCCCTATAAGAAAATGAGAGAAAAGGGTCTCTTTAAACAGATCTCAGCAATGATGGCTTCCTCTTGTGGGCATGGTATTCACCATGCTTGTTTCACTCGTCAACAGCTCCGCATGCCACTATTTCCTTGCCTGTTATGCCATAATGTGCATCATTTCTTTCTTCCTAGTTTTATTATGCCTGTCAAACTAACACATGGTGAAACCCTTCTGCAAGGGGGCGTCCTCGAAAATCTGTCACGGCTGGGTGAACAAAACTGTGCTCTTTTGGCTAAAAGGCTTTTGAGTGAAGACTACTGGGTTGAAGATGCCAAACCCTTGAAGAAAATGATACCTGTCCTTTTCCAGAGCCTAGACAAGTTTTTCACAGAGGCGCACTCTCGTTCTCATGACAATCTTCTCAGCTTGTCTCGCTTAATTGCAGACACAATACGGGGAAATGAGATAGCTTCGAGGGTTGATGGGAATTGCTCACTTCGCAATTTCCTTAATCAGACCTCCTCTCAATTTCGGTGCACTGTTATCTCCCTTCTACAACATCACGCAATCATGGCATCTCAGCATCTGGACAAACCCGCTGAGCCTCACGATATTGCAGAATCCTCAATTTTCACTGAAGTCATTATGAAATATCTTAATGGCTACGGACCTGCCCTAGACTATATTCAAAAAGGTTACGTGAAGCTAATTGTTGTTCTGAGTTTCGAGTTGATGAACATTCTAAAATCCAATTGTTTTAACTTTGCCAAAAATCAAGCTTTCTACAAGAGTTACGATGATCACATTGAAGCTGATTTCCGATCCTACTTTGGAAGCCTCTTTGAAAGCTTCGAAGATGGAATCGATACGATACACGTCGAGCGAGAGAAACTCATAGCATTTTTCCTCGACTCATTGACACAAATCGCATCTGTCTACTTGCGGCAGTGCTCAATTTTCTGGGATCTTCTTACTGCTATCCAGTCCGAGAACGGTTACGAAAGGAGTGTGGAGATAAGGAAGTTAAATGTGGATTTAGACAAAGCTGAAGAAGAATCTGTCTATGAGGTCTTGTGTTCATTTTTTGATCTCCCTACAATCACGACTCTCATAAAGGATTTAAATTCATCAAGTACTAAATGGCAATTTGCAGCTCAGTTTGCACAAAATTATACCTTGGCAAAATATCGTGAGGACAAAAGTGAAGGGCGAACATTGATGGAATATCCGGGAAGAATTTCCTTGATTGAAATCCCTAGTGATTACAACGCATGCATCGTTGACCCCATATTTAAGACAAGGAAGGCTCAAGCAGATTCAATTTGCTTGTCATGTGGAAAATATCTTAACTCAAGGCAAATCCTATCACACTACCAAGAATGCTCGTGTATGTCGCTATATTTCACTCCGAGCAAAAACACTTTAAAGATGGTTATAAAGATTGACATCACCCACCTCAACGCCGAAATTCCTGCCCCTTACCTCACAGTACATGGTGAAATCAAACGCCGCGGTGTCCAAGGGAAGGCGTCTCTCAGTATCATGAGGTATACACATATCAACAAACTTTGGTTGAATTGCGGTCTATATGGATTTGTCACTCGACTTTTTTTCGATGGTCATCCACCACCATTTTTAAGACCAGATTTACCTACATTTGATGAAATCTTCGAGGGCGATGAGGACGAGTTTTTGGAAGACTTCATGATCCCAAGTGATTGATGATTTACAAGGTCTCCCATCCACCAGCATCAATGACGCCATCGAGTCTCCTGACGATATAATTGGGAATGTTGTGCTGAAGCCATAACGATCTGACAAACTCGTCATACCGCTCTTGCAGTAGATACACAGCTTTAGTCTTTTTATTATCGCCGGCCACTTCAAAATGCAGATCGATGTAGGGAATTGCATGAAATGATCCCCCATTTTTGTTGAGTAACAAAATCGAGCGGTCTTTTGGTAAAAGGAAAATCCCGACACTATTTTGGCACTTTTTTGTATAATGTGTAGTGCATTGGCCATCCCGACTTCCTAGAGTGGTTCGTTGTAAATCACATACATCACCGCAAAACATGCATACCGCCGGATTCTCAATAGTTAAATGAGGAAAATCAAACTTTTCCAGATAGTAGTATTGTGTGAAAAAATCATCCAATCTCAATGGCAAGCGCAAAAGCAGGATAACTCCAGGATACTCTAAACTCGTCCGTCTTTCAATGATTGTGTTTGAATCCCTCTCATGATGGAGATGGGCTAAGAAGGATCGGAATCGTCTCGCTTCAAGAGTTGATTCCGAGCTATAATGGCAGAAGCTTCTCAAAGACTCGCTTAGAGTCGGAAGTTTTAGCGTTGCACATAATTTGTCTGCCTCGAATATCGAGCTCTCGATTTCCTCGTTAGGCCCACTATCGAAGTGACAGTTCACAAATGCAAAGATTGTAGCTTGACGCAAAAATGGCGTAACACTCTTGAGCAACATCGAGTAAAGAACATACCCTAATATCTCTGATGAAATCGCGCTACTTAACCTTCTAAGCGAGCCAGGATCAAGCAAAGCTTTAAACAAATGTAGCACAGCGCGGGCGTCATCTGGAGCTATCATCTCTGAGAATGGGATGTCCAAAATTGAAATCATATCATTATTTAAGAGACATTTCTCCTCGATTTTTGTGGTAAGGATATTCAAAGTTTGTATCACATGGCCAATAAAGCACGCCCGTAGGATTTCGTGAAAGGAATAGCCAGCGCCTGGCATTGGAAAGACATTGACAAGAATCTCCAAGAAATCATGCTGAAGTATTGACTTATTAAAATTCTCGGCCGATAGTGTTAGCAAGTTCGCAAGAATCTTGACATGAGTGTCCGGTTTCTGATGAGAATTCTTCACCCAATTTGATGTTTTCATCATGAGACTAGTAATCCTGAACTCGTTTAAAGCTCTTAAATTAATTAAAGCATTGTTGCTTATCTGATGATAGACCAATCCAGAAGTGTCACAAATTCCTCGCAAGCTGATTTCTGTGGCCTTAATAGTATTGACAAGAATATTGGAAGAATCCGCCTTGAATATCTGCGGAAATGTCAAAAGTGACAATATTTGGAACATATTGGAGAGAAGAATGCGGAATTGTTGCTGCCCAGTGGATGTAAGTGAGTCCGAATCTTGGCCTATAATATCCCTCGCAACATTGGTGAGAATAGCATACTCTTGCAAGTCGTTGGAGGCTGCTTTGCAGAATGTGTGGAACCAATTCTTGTCATGCAATTTATTTCTCAGCAAATCATCAAACGCATTCAAGTTCGACGGCGGGGGGAGTAGAAAGTCTTTCAATGATCGATTGTTAGCAGTCCATAAGATTGGGACAAACATGTTATTGAGCGCTTTGCAAAGTGGGCATAAAAATTCTCGGTGCTCAATATTATCGGGAGTGTTTCTAGTAATATGGTTTGATCTCGAACGGTTACTCGCCAAAAATTGAATATAGCAGTTAAAATGCATTCCATGACCGCAGGTCAGAGAAACCAATTTGCTGCTAACATTTCCATCATTTTTGAAGCCCGGGCCAATGACAGAGCCTTCTTCCACATTTTTCATGAAATCTTTGAAAGCCTGTGTCATCGCTTCGGGGTAAGTATGCTTCTCATCTCGATCTAAGTTAGCATTGCCCGAGAACGCTTTCATTAACCAATAGTCGTCTTCAAATGGAATTTCTCTGAACTCAGATGATCTCGATACATGCACAATCAAGCCGAATGGTCCAGCATCCTTGGCTGTATCTTGACAAAGAATGCAATGAGACGTTGGAAACTTCCAGCCATCCTCATTAGCGTCCTCCATCTCAGTGTCACTGCAATCATTAGCTAAATCGTTCTGCTGAAGAAACAGTGCTTGTTGTTTTTTGAACTTCGCCATAAGCTTTTCTTGTCTGCGGGTTGCTAATCGCTTTTTTCGTTCCGAGTCGTTCTCCACCATATTGTTACAGGGGGCATGTAGGAGCTGCAACTCAAAATTGGGTATTTGTCTTTCCATTTGCAAATAAAAATTATCGACGCTCGTGTGTAAACATCTGAAAATCGCTCTGACTTTAGCATGATGTTCTTTCACATCATCTTGAAGAAGGAGAGTGTACAATGTTGATGCCAAAGACAACAGCAGCCCAATTTCTGTCCCCACGGCTCTCTGACAGAAGGATTTGTCAGCCCTCAGCTCGTTCCACTGCTCTGATGCACAAGTATGCACCAAGTGGAGCAACGTGTCGAGTAAGGCGTCTAGCTTCCGAGATCCTTCCAACAAAACGTATCGTAGACAAGTTACAAGAAATTTGACAAAATGTTGTGACGAAGTAAACCTGCCAAGTGAGTGGTATATACCTGCTCTGCCAGGGCTTGCGTGCGCAGGCTCGATTACCACATCGATCAACGGTTGCTGTGAACTTCTCGTTACTCTTTCTTTCATGAGTTTGAGTACCTCGTCTCTCTTGTTCAGGGAATAATTATGGTAGTACGGATTTACCCGTTTGTAATACTCGTCTTTCAAAACAAAAGTACCAGATTCTTTCCCGGAAGTTGGTTTTCGGAACAGAGCCACTTTTTCAAGAGTAGAATCAAAAAATCTCTCCGACACGATATGCTCGGGGATTTGTGAACACAACTTGGTGTAATTCATTGAACCAAGACACAATTGATGTATTATCTCATCCTCGATTTTCACCCTCGTTATCTCATCTACCGTGAGACTTCTCATGAAAAGTCCTTCTGTGAGTATGTGGAGAAAGAAACTTAAACACTCATCAAGGATATATGGCAAGGTCGATGAATCGTACGGACACCCCCGTTCAGGTGAGAAGTCGTCTTTTAATAGCCACAATCTCAAAATTGTCTCGACTGCCTTATCAACATCGTGACATATCAAATAAATTTGTGTTAAGAACACATCTCGCAAGTACCCTTGTTCTCTAAGACCAGTGCTTTTGTAAAGCTGAAGCTGGTTTTTGACACTAAAACCATTTCGCACCCAAAAACCTGTCTTCACTTGTGCAGCTAACACTATTGATTGAACCGGATAGTGAAATAAGCATGTGAGACTATTTTCGAAGGCCTCGACGGAATCATTATTCGTAGCGTTTATCGAGGCATCATGGATTAGGCGTATCAATTCGTCACTGTCTTTAAATGATGCATATTCAATAAGCCATGATAGGAACAGATGCAAAGGATGGAGAAAACTGACCACTGGATTGTTTGCGTCTCCTTGCTTGCCTCTAAGTGATTTCGAGAAGATGCCATAGTCAACCTCATTATGGTCTGCCCTTAAAGAGTGCAGATTTTCTAGCTGAAGAATGACTTTAACAACGTGTCTGATGGCGCTCTGAAATATTTCTTCCTTGCGGTTTTGGGCCTCTCCAATTTTTAGGCATTGCGTAACATATTCTGCTAATTGGTATATTATCGGGATAGCATGGAAATATGCAGTGTAGTCTGAGCTCTCATACTCGACGTGACTATCAATTTCTCGCTTCATTGTTGGCTTACCTTGGAATAAGGCCAATATATCACAAGTCATGGGGACCATAGAATCAGTGAGCGAAACATCACTATTTTGACCTCTTGAGACGATGTATCCAATGTCGAAAAATAACTGACCCCATCTTCTATTCTTCAAACTGTTTAGTGATATATCAGTGTTTGCACTGAGAGAAGCTGAATGTGTGCGGCCGCTTTTCAAAAACAGAAGTACGGTGCCAAAAATTCTCTCAACATCACCATGCGATAAAAGAGCATTCGAATTCGATGGTGATACAAACAACTGACAAGATAAAGTACACATGACATTGTTCTCGGGATCACCATCTAGATTGAGGAACATCTCGGCAATGAAGGGATAAATGTCACAATATTGGTAACAAATCATCCCCTTCCATTTCAAATTGGTGATGAGCGTAGTTGCATACATGGTGTGTAGAGCCAACCTAAAAGCTTTCCAAAATCGGATGTCGAGATATGCTAAGTATTGCAATCTTGAACCTATGTGGCCATCTCCCCGTGTATCGAAGACACTATATCCGCATTCGTGGCAGAGAGGCTCTATGTGTTCCCAAGGAAGCGAGTGCATGGTATCAGCTTCCTTCATGGACGGGATGTTGAGGTTGGAGTCAAGTTGGGCCAGACCTCGTTCATATTCATCCGGTAACAGAGTGAGGCGTACTCCACGCTCCCATTTCTTGCAAAATGCTCCGCAAAATAAGTTCCTCAAGGGCTCATTTGCTTTTAATAGGTCACAGGAGGATAGGCTTTCGAGCCATTGGATGATTTCAAAGCAAACCTCCTCCCTAAACTCATCGCGTGCATTTCTAATACAGGAGGATAAACCAGTAGCACTAAGAAGCCTTTGACGCTCGAACAACAAGTCAGGCTCTCTTGACCTCACAACTGTAGCTCTCCCGTGATCTTGAATACGCTTGGCAACCATTTCTGCAAATTCCGGAACTTTTTTGCTCGCTAGGTGGATTCTTTGCACCGCATCTCGAAAGTGTCTGACTTGATCGTTGTAGGCTATGAGCGAGAATTTCTGTGAAAGCTCATCGATTTTGTCGCTATCAGAATATCCATATTTTAGCGGATCGAGGTCATGACCTTGTGAATAATGCTTCGCGTCTGGTTCTTGAGGTGAGTTGAACTGTTGATCGCTCTGACACATTACATCGATGACATAATCCAATACTGCCCCAACGGTATCAGTAAGTGTTTTTTGAAATTCTAGACTGGGTGTCATGCTTTTTAATTTCTCAAAGGACTCGTTTGTTTCATGATAGACGCAACGAAAATCATTTACCCATGCTTCGGGATCACCACAATCACAAACACCGCCGTTTTCCCTTACGCAAATAGAAACGCTAGTGTTGTGCCCTTCGTGGCTCTCCGCTTGAAAGCAATTTGCACACATGGCACACGTATCATTGAAACCACATGTAAGACATTTGTAGATTGGCTCGCCTCTGCGGAAAACACGAGCACATGGCAGAGCTGTATGATATGCGTGATGATTTCTTCCCTCGATTGTTGACAGTTGTTTGGCAACGTGAGCTGTGTACTTGATGAGCAGCCACTGAACCACACTATCTAATTGATTGTGAACGTCGTCCCCCGAAAGATCAAATATCTCAGGGAAAAAGAGATTCAAGTAATTTCCCCCACATGACACGGTCTTGAATAGTTGCTTTCGAAGTTCGATTTTGATTTCATCAGTTAACGAGAAGTTCAGCCTGGCAGGGAGATCAAAAAGAAACCGTCGCAAAGCTGTGATCGAAGTCTCATGCATGTTATTCACCGTGTTGTTACGGTCTATAATGTCAAATGTTTGTGACTTCTAGATGGTTGCAAAAATAAAAAAATGGAGCTTCTTCAACCGGTGGCCAATTTAAATCACCTCCTCTAATGTTGATCAGACGCATGCAATTGTGTCACGTGATTTGCCTTGATGTATCTCAGATCTATTCGCTATTAATCCTAATGGTTATCTCTTATTGACATGAACGCGATCACTCATTCTGCATCAAATGAGCATCTGAATAAAGAAAAGCTACAAAGATACCAAGATATAACAACTCTTGCCTTGGGGGTGGGGTGTGGCATACTTTGCTTGGAAACCACGATTGGATTTCTTTTCTACACTGTTGGAACATTGATGGCGAACAGCGTCTTTTATATATTGTGTTGTGAAGGTCATCCGCATAAATTCTTCACATCCCCGATAAAGCAAATATTTTTTGATGCCATTTTTAATAATTTGCCTGGTTTTGTCATGATGTGGTGCTTTACATTTGCATTGGTTCAATAATTGATCTGGTACGAGGAGGTTGGACTCAATAATCCCTGCTTCCACCATATCAGATGTTCCTTGTCATCTTTTTGAAGTCTATCTCGATAGTTAGAGTTCGTCACCATATTTTTATTAAGAAGAATTATATTAGAGGTGTCCATACAACGCTGCTAGAGCTTATCAAGGAGCAAGTGGTTCGAGCTCGCTGAAAGCAACTGAGCTTGTAAACTTTCGTTTCGATTTGCGTTTGCATATGCATTTTTTGTATACCTGAGAATGGCTTATGTAGCTCAAGAAGGGGTTGGGAATAGAATATAATTGCAGCTCAAGTTCCAAACAGTACCTCGGGATTCGGCATGTAAATCTGGTGCCCTCTCCAATTCGCGTGCGTGTCTTATACCGGTCTTGCTCGGCGCTCTGTCCGTTACGTAGCCTCAAACGAATTAACTTCCCTGTTGATCAACACCAACATGGAAAGAATTGATATTTCAACGAACTCTAGCTCTATAAAGCAAGCCTATGAGAAAGTCGTTCGTGGTGACGGTGGTGCCACATACAGCGTCTTCTCTGTGGACAAAAATGGCACGCTTGAAGTATCGAATGTGAGCACAGGTCCGTTGGAGGACTTTGTTGAGGAATTTTCGGACGGAATTGTACAATTTGGTTTGGCTAAAGTAACAGTTCCTGGCTCCGATGTTAGCAAAAATTTGTTACTTGGCTGGTGTCCCGACAACGCCCCCGCTAAGTCCAGATTGTCTTACGCCGCAAACTTTGCTGATGTTTCTAAGGTATTGAGTGGATACCACGTTCAAATAACGGCACGCGACCATGATGACTTGGATGTGGAGGAGTTTGTCAGCAGAGTGGCGGCAGCAGCTGGTGCTAGGTATACTGCCCATTCAGCCCCTTCGTCAGGATCTGGCAAGTCTACTACATCAAAAGCAGCAGGAGAATCAGTTCCAGGCAGCAAGATCAGCTCGAGGCCAGTAAATCCCAAACCAGTCGCAAAGCCTACATTTCCGAGCCCTTCGAAGCCCTCATCCAAACAGCTCTCCAAAAGCACTGTGGACGAGGACGATGGATGGGCCGGAGAACAAGAACTTGAAGAACGCGATTTGGAAAAGCAGCCTTTAGAAGATGTCCCCTCGGCGTACAAGCCTACAAAGGTGAACATTGCAGAATTGAGAAAACAGAAGTCTGATACTGTGTCATCAAAGAAGTCAGAATTAAGTTCTGAAATTGTGAGTTCATCCGAGAAACCATCGGATGGTAGACTCACAGCTTTACCCAAACCTAAGGTTGGTAGTTCTGTTGCCTCGCGTTATACTGCTGCGACCAAAAATGCTTCTGGTGCCACTTTCGGAGCAAAACCCCTTAACAAATCGAAGCCAAACGATAAGGTCGTAGGAGGATTATCGAGAGACTTCGGGTCATCTGGTGGTAAAACTCCAGCTCAATTGTGGGCTGAGAAAAAAGGAATGTACAAAGATGTGAAGGCTGAAGAGAACGATTTACCTAAAACAGAGAACGAAAACTATGCCAGTGATGATGCAGGTGCTGAGGGCGCTGAGGAAGTTGACGAAGTTGACGAAGATGAAGGTATCGAAAGTGACACCAAGCAGAGCAACGACCATGATTTGACTGGCCTGAAAGATGATGACGATAAGATTGAATCGAGAATTGAGAAGCTTGGAATCTCTGATGAAGCAAAGCCACAGGATGGCCCTGTTGCAACGCCAAATAAGCTGCAAACTTCGAGCTCTACATCTGAAACCAAGAATGCTAATTCAGCTAAGGCAGACTATGACTATGACAAGGATGAGGATAATGAGCTCGAATTTGAAGAAGATGACATAATCGTGGACATTGAATTTGTTGATGAAGAGTGGTGGTCTGGGAAGAACAAGCGGACTGGGGAGCTGGGATTATTCCCTGCCTCCTATGTAACCTTGTCTGAAGATTCTGCTGGTGAAAAAGCTGATGCAGTCCTGGAGGGTCAAACTGTCGTTGCAGATGAATCGAAAACTGCTGTAGCTGAGTTCGCCTACGAAAAGGATGAGGATAACGAAATTGCCTTCGACGAGGGAGACTTGATCGTTGATATCGAATTCGTAGATGATAGCTGGTGGTCAGGCAAAAACTCCTCCACAGGGGAGATTGGCTTGTTTCCTTCAAACTATGTGAAATTGAACTAGCTTAGAGCTCATTGAGGATTATCAAATTTTTCACTGATAAGATACAAGCTGTTAGTAGTCTCTCATAAGTATGGGCTTAGCATCATATCTGCTTGGCCACTTCTTAATACAATTTTTTCTATTGTCGGAAAGTTCCTCACAAATCTCACCATCGGGATTTCCCTGCTTCCCAGTAGGTCGCTATCGTCCAAGTAGACTCCCCTTATGCGATGCAAAACAGGGGCTAAACCTTCAATTATATCATGAGCCATTGTGAGCATCAGAAGAAATTGATGGGACTCCCCTACCCGGGCTGCTTGAGGGTCTGGACATTTTGCCAAGGAGGCTTCAAAATAAAGCAGCGCTTCGTATTGAAGTTTGGGTTGACCATCATTAGTTTCAGTCACCACCGAACTGTACAAACTCTTCAAGTCACATAGAAGCTCTCCAATACTCTCAACTTCATTGAAAAACATAAATACGACCTCATTTCTGAATACAGGGGGTCGATAATCTTTGCTTCAAGTTTCATTCTCCTCAAAAGCGAGATCCATTCTTTGAATGTATATATGTGTGGTCTAGTAGCCATAATGAAGTTGTCATTGTTGGTGCTTTCGATCATTTGGTTGAGGTTCAATTGCGTTTGGCATCTCGTGCCATTCGAGACGATCAATGTCTCAGCTTCCATGTATTGGCTTGCTTCACCGCAGATATAAGAAGGCATAGAGTCTTGTCGAAGTGGGTGCCAGAGGAATTACTATCTGATTTCCAGTAAAAATAGCAGAAGCAGCTTAATGTTTCATCCAACTAACCTGAAAAGTATTGTAAGTCCTTTGTGACCAGTTCGTGGTGAACAGCTCATTGTGGGGAATCCTACACAATAGCTGGGACGCAGGTTTTCGACGCTGAAAGTTCCTCGAGTTCACGGAGCTTGAAGCCGCTGCCCGCACCCAGCGACTAGTACGGGGAAAACTGACTCTCATAAATTTTAGCTTTTAATACTACTTAAAGCTGCAAATAACCGAACTCCGCCATCTATTACCATTTATTATATCTTACACCAACATGCAAAGAACACACCCTCAAAAGCTCTACGTCAAGCTCATGATCGTTCTATCTCAAGCATTGTGGTCGACTTCTTCATCATTATGCAGTTGATCTCCATCTTCACCTTGGACATTCAGGCTGGTATTTTCAGCGTTATAACTTGGGGGCTTCGACGGTATTAGGCTATCCATAGTTATGCGCTCGTCTTCAGATGGTTCATCGCCATAGGCATTGTAACTAAACTTATCATGATTAACAGTGTCGACCTCTGGACCACCCTCAACGTGCCAAAAATCAGGGGGAAAATCGCTCTCCCTCTCATTCAAGTCGTTCTCGTCATCTATTTCTGACCGCTCCAAGAGAATATCGGCATTGAACTTCTTGTATGCTGGTGGAGCTGGACCGTTGCCCTCCAAAGGAGCAAATCCCCATTTTTTAACGTTGCCCTCAATGAAAACGTAGCCCAACTGACCAATGTTAACATGCACAGAGCAAAGATTATTAGCACCTATTATCGGATAAATTTGTCCATCCTGTGGAATCTTGAAGTTTTTGATGTGCCCTCCTAGTTTCAGTTCGCTTACCTTTTTCCCGTTACGTGTGAAGAAAACTGTGCCAGACCGTACACGGTAGCCAACTCCAACAACATCTCCCTCGATTAATTTTGGAAATTGCGGCTCTCCACTGGGAACAAATGGTTGATTGTGTCTCCTGTAACCATTACTATCATAGCTTACAGAGTGGGCATGTCTTCCAGGCAAGCGGAACCATGGGTACGGCTTGACACCGAGACCTATAGATATTAGCGTATCCTCTGGATGTGGTAAGGAGTAAATTTTACTCTCGAAATAGTAAACTTCATTAGTCGTTGGCATAGGTAGATTGGTTTGTGTGGAACATTCGAAGTGTTTAAAAAAGTTGAGCTCAAAACGATTCACAATGAGTAGATCGTTGTTCGTTAACATGTAATCTTTGACAAACTCCCAAGCACGAATACCCTTTTCTTGAACACTTAGGTTTTGACTAAGCAAGAGATCACCTCTAAAGTATGGGTTGGTTGTAAGATACTCTCTTGATTGGAAATAAAGCTCTTGCTCCTCCAGATTCAACTCTAAATAGGCCTGGTTTTCTTCTTCACGACTGAAACTTTCCTCATTCAAATGGCCCACGCGACGGAACACGATTATTGTAGCTATCAAAAGTGCCAGAAGTAGGACTATTGAGAGCGCAACGATTCCGATAATGAAGAGAACAGTGCCCCTATTGCTCGTCCCTGACAAAGCATGTAACATTTTGTCATCAGAGTCTGGTGGTGATAACGGTGTGCAATCGACTTCTGTTATTGCAAGAAGACTCATTAATAGACCCAAGGATACGCTCATGAAGTATGTATGTGAGTGAGGATGGCGTATCTCGACCCCATGGTTTTTACTGACGTCTACCATGTGCAGTCAACGCACTGCACAGTTGCGGAAATATCCTCCTGAGTCTGATTAGCGTACTACGACTTGGATCAAGATGAGAGTGAGAGGCCATGATAAAAGATTCTTTTTGCCTCGATTAGCCTACAGTAGGTTGACTTCCGGTTACCGAAAGACAACTGCTAGTGATAGTTGACTCACAAATGCATGAGAGTTCCAAATGTTACATTTTGTAGTTTGACAAAGTAGATCAACTATTAGTTATACTTTTAAAACTCACAAGACAACGGGTATTTGAGGTTGTAGCTTGCATCCCAAACACCCCAATATTTCTCCACGTCACTGGTACCGGAGCTGTCTGGCTTCCACGCCTCGTCGAAGGCCTCAAAAACACAAACATTCACACCCCAAGCTCTAATGGCACAGATTGCCTCCTTCCAGAAATCCTTAGCATTTTCAACACTTGGTTCACTTGCCTCAAAATGAGTACCTTTGGTGGGCCAGCCAGTCTCGCCCACCCAAAAGTTGCTGAGATCAGTGGAGCCCTTTGCGGTCTGGATAGTTTGCAAAGCTTGCATGATGTCGTCGACGAAAGAATAAGATGCATTCTCCTTCGTTTGGCCTTGCCAGTAAGAGAAGGCATTGGCGAATACGAAATCAGCTGCTTTAATTGCAGGGAGGGCTGCACCATCAACCAAAACGTTCCAGGAGTCAGCTGTTCCAACTTGCACGTCACCATAGGATTCGCCATTTTTGTCTTTAATCTCAGAAAGTAACTGCTTGACTTCATCAATGGCGTTGGCAAGGTCTGACGCAGACATGTCATCTCTGTACAAAGCCTCTGAGCCTACCGTGAAGACTTTAATAGTCAGTTTGGAGATTTTGGGCAAAAAGTCCTTCAAAGCCTGCTTTTCCTCGTCAAAGTGTGCTTGGTCAGTGGGCCAGATTCCAAACATAACCTGAAACCCAGCATCTTCCGCAGCTGGTCCCAAATTTTGCAATGTGTTGCAATCAGAGACAGCGTAAGTTCTCACAACCTTCGACTGCCCAGACAAAACATCGAAGTCACTTTTGTACTCTTCAGCCGACTTACAATTACCAGCATTGTCTTTAACACCCAAGCTGAATGCCAACTAGCTAGTTAGTCATTGTTCACTATTGTTACCATCAAAAAAGATCCTTATACATACGTCGCCAAGACTTGCCACTGATGACACCAACGCAGATACAGCCACCAAGTATTTGAATTGCATCTTCATCAACTCTATAGTAAGAAAAAAACAAGGGAGGAGGAGCGGAAAAGGTGGTTTTAAAAGCAAAACAAATGCGAAAATTTATTTTTAGGAACGCTCACGTGTTAATAGTTTGGGTCTAGATGTTTGTGATCCCACACACCAAAGATTTGGAATGGACTTCATTATCACTCTGCATTAAGTCTTTTCAATCTCTCATCCGCTTGTTGCAATATACTTCAAGCTTTCAGTTTTTCAAAGTTGTCAACTAAAGTTGTCAACTGGTAATACAATGGTACTATCGTACCGTCCATCAGTGGATTTATTACCGCGACAATGGTACGACGATTCCACCAAGCAGCGAGCAAATTAAGTTGGATTCGTTTAGAAGGCCTTATTCAAGAAATCATGTATCGAACAATTTAGCCAACGCTATAAATGCTGCATCCTCAATTCTGACGCCTCTTGGCACAACCAATTCGCAGTCAATGACATCCATTATGCTCGAGATGTTGTCGTCAGAAGCCGCGCAAGCTTCAAAGTCAAACCATTTGCCGACGAGCAAAAGTGTGGTCCCAGCACTTTTTTTATTATATTTGGGTATAGCCTTTGTCGGACTTTTCAGAAAATAATCATCGGCTTCAACAAAAGCAGTCTCCGTATAGCCACCAGGCACACCCAGTTCAGTGTAGACAGCCGAGATGGAGTTAGCGTACCTAACGGAATAACCAAAGGCACTATTACAACCGGCTGCCCCGTAAGCAACCTGAGGGCTCACAACGGTTCCACTAGTAAGGTCCACTGTCACTCTGGCGTTTACAGGAACTTCCTGGCCTTTCAATTCGAATGGCCTCTCTCGTCCAATGTTCACAAACTTAGTCACTTGCAATTTTCTTTTTGACCCCATCTTTTTGGATTTCTTCGCCAACTTTGGAGTTTTTTTGGGGATGGTCAAGCCTTCCTTAAAATTCTTGGAAGCGTCTGTTGGATTCGTGATAAACGTACGAATGCTAGGAAGCTTTACCGCATGCTTCAAGCTCAATCGTTCGGATGATTTAAATAAGCTGCGAACCAAATATGGCGGTGTCACGAAGTACTGTAATAAAGTGGCTAAAAGCACAGCGTCATGGCCTTTCTCGGGCATGATACCTTGGCTAACATTATTCTCTGGTTGATTGAAAACAATCTTTTTGGAGCTTTCAGGGGGACCAGGTATCGTGGCTTCTGCTGCAGCATTGATTTGATTAGAAAGTGGGATATCCAAAACAACTATCTCATTAACGTTGTATATGGCTGATAATCTTGCAATCTGATATGCAACAGTAGTAGCATGCGCTAAATTGCAAGCATTAGAGGGTCGAATAGCTGATGAAGGTACGCATAAGGACACACTCATGGCTTGATCTAAAAATTTAGACTCTCTCGAATTAATATCTGATATCTCATCTCCCATTTGGCCTATATGTACTACTCAATGGAGTAGTGCAGGATGTTGATGTTTCTCGCCTGGTGCAATCAAATCAATTGCGTTTTACAGCCTTGACGCCCTCTGGAAAGAGAGTTCCTGCCCCGGCTTGAAGAGTACTTTACCTCAATTAGATATGACTAGGCACCACACAAGGTCTTTGTCTTAGAGTTTGGTCATCGCTGCACAGACATGAGCCGAATCCTATTTGGAGTGCTTCAGGTCGCCATTGCCCGTGGTCTCAATTCCGCGCCTGGTTGATGAATACCGGTTCTGTTGGTCTTCTGTTAAAGCACAATTTTCAAGATGTGTCGGAGAAAGTTTCTCTTAATATCTCTTCTCTTGATTGTCTGAACATCAAACTACTAACGTCATGAGCATACCATCCTTGATCCCTTCTGTTCAGCATTCGCGATGTCTGTTTTATGGAAATGAATTATGATAAATGATAATGTGTTATATATTGACAATGACTTATTCTTTCTATTTCAACAATGCTGGTGAATGACAATCATTCCGCGTCCTTACTTTCTAACTCTGCAATCTCTTCTTTTGCTCTTTGTATGTTCTTTTCGGTTTGCTCGCCCTGTTTCTCCTCCAATGCCTGCAAAGTTTCCTTCAAGGTATTCACTGTTGTGGAAACATCATCCTGTTTCACTGGCAATTGGATGGAGAGGTTGGACAAAGATACGATGACATCGGGATCGACCGTGAAATTCTTTTGTTTAGAAGACTTCTTCTTTTGCTTCTTTCCACCAGAGCCCTGAAAGAAAGGTTGCTGCTCTTTCTTCAATACCTCCACACCCTCTGGCATTTCAATCTTTCTGCCCGATGACTCTGAAGTAAATTCCAGCTTTGTAGCTTCAGCCACCGCATTTTTTTGCGGCTTTTTGTAGCTTGAGTCAAAGTACAGCAACAAACCGTGAATCTCATTGATTTCTTCGGTGAAAGCGGGAACAGAAGCCTCCTCTAATCTCCTCTTCGCCTCCTCCTTGAGTTGCAATTTCTTTTCTTCCTCTTGCATCGCCTTATGCTCGGCGTCTCTCTTCCTCTGCTCTTCCGCCAACTGTTCCTTGAACTTTGCAAATTCTGCATTGAAGTCAGCTCTTAACTTCTTGATTTGATCGTACTTGAGATTTCTAGACTTTCTCAATTCGTTACGTTTGCTGATCAATTTGTTTCGCTGCTCATAGGTCGAGTTGTTGGAACTGTTTATCTCATCTAATTCTCTTTGGATAGACTCGAAACGCGCCTGGACCTCCTTATTCCCGATACTGCTCAACTGGTCCTTGAGCTCAGCAATCTTCGTCTTGTCTTTGTCGATCGCGGACTGTTGAGATTCTACCTCACCAAAATCTTTTCTCAACTTACGCAATGACGTTAAGTCACGAATGAGCTTCCTCTCCTCGGCCAATCTCAATTCGCCAGAGCCAATCAACTCATCCAAGTACTTAATTCTTGAATCGATCTCGGAAGCCGATTTGAAGTTCGTCTTGGAAGTCAACTTTTGAATCTCGGCAATCTTCTTCTTCACTTGCATGTCAACATTTTTGATCTGAGTTTGTATGGCAGAACGTTCGGCTTTGAATGATCCTTGCTCGGAAATCACATCCTTCAATTCGGCTTGCAATTGCTTCTTTCTCTCAACATTTCTCGCATCAAATTTGATTCGATCGATCTGCGCAGTAAGTTCATTGCTAGCCGCCTCTAGCTCCTTGATCTCAATCATCAAAGAATCTACTTCTTTTTTCATCCCAGAATCATCCGGGCGCTTGACGAACTTCTTGGGGCGCATGACAGTTGACATCTTGACGTGGAAGGAAAAAACCGTCGACCAAATTTTCGCAGTATTAACAGCACACCGCGAAGTACGCGACATTAGAGCCAACTGTATACAGGCGCTTGGCTAAGCTTTTGGGGAATAGAGTCGATTGCAGAGTAAGCTTATCTTTTGCCGATCGATTCGTTGTGTCGTTATTTGAATATCGCTTGTTAGAAAAATTTCAAATTTTTATAAGCAATGGCTGCTTCGGAAAAAAAAATTTTTGTTTGCAAGTTTGCAAAAAAACTAAAAAGGCTGCGGATCATTAACAAACGATTTGTCCTGAAGTACAGCGGTTGAGAAGTTTTTTAAAAAAAAACAAAAATCTTAAAAATATGTTATAGCAACTAACATAGCTCTACGATACAAAACAGGCAACAATTGGCCCTTGAAATAGCAGGCTAGGACCTAGTGGCGACACAGGGGGACTTAGTTCACAGGTGTGCTCAAGCGGTGCTAGTCTGGAAGCTGATAAGATGGTTGTTTTCTCTAAATAGATTTAAATAGAGTTTTCCATTGATCAAATGACTTCAACAAAAAACAAAGTTGCAGGCGACAAATTATTAAACTGTAATTAAACTGTCCTCCTATAAAAAAGACCATATGTTTAACGTGTGCATAGTGATGGAGCATTGTTAAAACTGCAGCCCACTCGACGGGTCGCGCTGTGAAATCAGTTATTTTTTTTTTTTTTTTTTTTTTTTTTCTCTCTCTCTCTCTCTCTACTATCCCGCTTTAGCCTTAGTCACGTTCAATAATGTCTTACGACGACTTGGTGAAATCTTTAGATAAGCTGGCTATTTTGCAAAAATGGCTGGAGGTAACGCCCTTAAATAGAATATCAGGAATTCCTACCTCTTCAGGAGGACTGTCGACTTCAGAGGATGTATTCGACGGGCACGACGAGGAGCAGGTCAGGCTAATGGAGGAACTATGTATTGTTCTTGACTACAACGATAAACCAGTTGGAGCTGGAACAAAAAAGTTGTGTCATTTGATGGAGAACATTGATGCAGGCTTATTACACAGAGCCTTCTCCGTTTTCCTTTTTAACGAGAAGAATGAGCTTCTCTTGCAACAACGAGCAGACGAGAAGATCACTTTCCCGAATATGTGGACAAATACCTGTTGCTCACATCCACTTTGCGTTCCCTCGGAACTCGGGATACTGCTGCAGAGTGGGAGTGGAAACAAAGATGACTTGAACACGGCCATTGCTGGCGCCAAAATTGCAGCACAAAGAAAACTTTTCCATGAACTTGGTATACCAGCACAAGAATGCCCAATCTCAAATTTTGAGTATTTGACAAGAATACACTACAAATCTGCGAGTGGTGTCGGCTCCAAATGGGGTGAACACGAGATCGATTATATCTTTATCATGAAATGCTCCTCCAATGTAACAGTTGATCCTAATTATAATGAAGTGAAGGATCACAAGTTTGTGAGTGCATCTGCACTTCAGGAAATGTTCAAAGACTCAAGTCTTGTTTTTACGCCGTGGTTCAGGTTAATCTGCGAGACATTCCTTTTCGGGTGGTGGGAGAATCTTTCAAATCTTTCAAAGTTCCAAGATGACGAGATTCACCGTTTATTATAGTGTCGTAACTAGTTGTCGTTTCGGAGTCAATGCTTTGGTTGAAGTCAAGCGAGAAGTCAGACCTGCATAAAAAATCAGAACACTACTTATATAAGGATTGTAACTTATTCTCAACTTTGCTCAATGAACACTAGAACAGTTTTTGGGAATGTTCGTCGACTTTACGCTACTTCTGAAATGGCCGTCAAGTCACGGAGACGAAGAACTCATTTTTCCGATTCGTTGAACAAGGGCCCGTCATTCGATGACTTCGTCTCTGGAAAAGCATCAGAGATGCTAGTTGATCCATTGGAAGCAGCGAGGACAGATACAGAACAGAAATTGCCCAAGTGGCTTAAAGTTCCTATTCCGAAGGGGAACTCTTTTCAGAGTGTCAAAAAGGATGTGAGGGAATTAAAACTAGCCACAGTTTGCGAGGAGGCGAAATGTCCCAACATAGGTGAGTGCTGGGGCGGTAAAAAGTCTGAGGCAACCGCCACGATAATGTTGCTAGGTGATACGTGCACGAGGGGTTGCAGATTTTGTTCTGTGAAGACAAATAGAAACCCATCAAAGCCGGACCCCAATGAGCCGGAGAATACTGCCGAGGCCATAAGCCGCTGGGGACTTGGTTATGTCGTACTCACAACTGTCGATAGAGATGACCTTATAGATGGTGGAGCGCAGCATCTTGCTGAGACAGTTAGGCGGATCAAGCAAAAAGCGCCTCACATTCTAGTTGAAGTGTTGGGGGGTGATTTCAGGGGAGATCTCAACAGTTGCGATATTTTGGCGGCCTCTGGGTTGGATGTTTACGCACATAATTTGGAAACGGTGGAAGCTCTTACACCGCATGTTAGAGATAGAAGAGCCACCTATAGGCAATCTCTCTCCATTCTAAGAAGAGCGAAGGAAACCAACCCTTCATTGGTGACAAAAACTTCATTGATGTTGGGGTTCGGAGAAACCGATGAGATGATCGTCCAAACGTTAAAGGATTTGCGTGCTGTCGGTTGTGATGTTGTAACGTTCGGTCAGTATATGCGTCCTACCAGAAGGCATATGAAGGTGGTAGAGTACGTGCGGCCAGAAAAGTTTGATTATTGGAAAGAGACAGCTTTGAAAATGGGCTTCTTGTATGTTGCAAGTGGTCCTTTGGTCAGATCATCGTACAAGGCAGGCGAGGCGTACATTGAAAACGTTCTTCGCAATCGCAAGCATAACGTTGGTGAAAGCCCCCGGTCTCTTTAATAGCATAAATAAAATTTCAGATGTTTTAGTGTTGTAATCGGTTTCATCTTCACACTGGAGGGATTGCCAGACGTGTATATAACAGCGAGCCTTCAGTCAACATTCTTTGAGATCAAGCTCAACTGTTTGTAAGTCCAGGCACTGTCTTGCTTTATTTTGTGCTTTCCCGGTTATTAGCTTGTACTACAGCTTTAGCACACTCTTCAAATACGGCTCTTGATATATCTGAAATCCTAACGCGACCCAATTCAAGCAGATCAGAGGAGTCAGATAGAAGGCACGGTTTCCAATCATGCCACGAAGTGAAAATGACGACGAGCTTGACGAATCTTTTATTACTCAGTTCGAAACAACGTTAAGTATCAGACCATCAAATGAAATTATAGAAGCTGATGACATAACGATAGATCAAAGCACTATTCTCAATGGGTCGGCCCTAAACACCATTACACGTGTTGAGGGATTGCAACCTATTCTGGAACTGCGAAGAGAGCTGACGAATCTGAAGGGCTTTCAAATCCTCGATAGTCATGGACCACAGGGACATTTCAAGCTCGAAGGAGAACAAAGACGGGAATATGAAGAAGTTATGGGAAAAGACAGAGAAAACCACGATGAGCTAATCGAGCTCCTAGAACCTTCTTCACTTATTGATATTGAGCTCGTCAAATTCAAAAGGACTCTCGCAGAGTTCATGAATGCGAATCCACAAATCGAGAAACAGAGTCCCCGATTCAATCTGACAATCGATAAAACATTAGTTCTTCTATCACCATATTCATCTGAGCATTCTTTCGGAAGAACATGGATGCTGAAATCTTACTTGTCCACCATTTTTGAGAGACCTCAAAGACTACTTGCTTCTTGTATTGGTGTCGCAGCCGCTCTTTCGATGTATCCGTATTTTTTTGCTATCAAAAGTTGCGGGAAAAGAAGCTCTTTGTTTTCTAAACATGTAACCAACGTGCATGGAAAAAGCTGGCCAAAACTTTTGTATGGGCTATGCCTCCGTTCACATGAAAAGTTAAAGAATGAGGAGCTTGAAATCCCCTCGGACTGGAATCCGGGCGACATCTACTTAACTCCCAAAACTATCATAGCACTTGAGGGTGTCATTGGAACCATCGAACATGCTGTGGACTCCCTTTTTGGAAAGGGTCCTGACATATGCAACCACAAGTTGGCTTTTGTTGTTCTTCGTCCTCCTGGTCACCATTCTCACGCGTGTCTTCCAGGCGGCTTTTGTGTTTTGAACAATGCACAAATAGGCGTGGAGTACGCTTCTCAGACTTATGGTGTAACACACTGTGCCATCTTGGACATAGATCTTCACCATGGTGATGGAACGCAAGACATCTGCTGGGAGCGAAGCGGCTATTGTGGTGACTTCGGTAAGTTAAATGAAGACGATGAGGAACAGGAAAGTACAGTCAGTGATACATCGCAGTCCTCATATCCAAAAGTCGGTTACTTTTCTTTGCACGACATCAAGTCTTATCCAACAGAGCTTGGATTCGCTACAAAAGAAAACATCAAAAATGCATCAGTATGCGTGATGGATCATAATGTCAATATCTGGAATGTTCATCTCCAGGAATGGAATACGGAGGATGAATTTTACAAACATTACCAAACAAAATATGTTGCTATATTGAATCGGGCAAACCAGTTCCTAAATCAAGCTAAACGCCAGCACGAGCAGGAGAACGCCAATTACCTCACCGAGCTTACCAGATACAACAAATACCTTGCTAAGCCTCATCTTTTCAAAGGCGCTGTTGCTAAACCCTCCATACCGCAGCCCTTTAAGCCATTGATAATTATATCAGCTGGACTCGACGCGTCTGAGTATGAAAATCCACAAATGCAAAGACACGGAGTCAACGTTCCTACTTCATTTTACGCTAAATTCACTAAAGATGTCGTGAAGCTTGCACAAATACATACCGATGGAAAGGTTATTTCGTTTTTAGAAGGCGGGTATTCAGATAGTGCACTTGCTTCTGGAATCTTCTCGCACCTAATTGGACTCACAAATAACCAGAGAGATACCACCGATGATCCAGTCCTATGGAATAATTCATGGGGGACAGAACATGTCATAAAAGAATTGACCAAAGGTTGCAAAAAGCTGTGGATCCCATATAAGAATCCTAAGACCGAGGTAACAATTTGGGCGAATGAAGTGATCAAGCTTGGAAGGCTGTTGATGCCACAGTCCATATTACCTGCAAATCACTCTTACTTACAAAGTTCAAAAATCCCTGAAAGCCAACAAGAACCACAAAGCAAAATGCTTCGTGAAATTTATGACGAGAATGCACAAACTAATGTCGCAACTTCGATTCTGGTCGCCGAACAGGGTCGCCGGATTTTGAGAAACTCGAGACATATGAAGCGGAAGGAAGTATGATTTTTGTGGTCAGCCATAATGACAATTTATAATCTAGATTTGAAACTCTCATGTCAAACACCTTCAATATCAATTGGTCACCTCTAATTCGTGGGGTAAACAAGTAATAAATACGCGCGCATGTTCAAGAAATGTAGGAAGCCACTTGCAAGCTTTATCAAATTCGCAGATGAGTCAAGACCATCTAATAGAAATGCGGGACCGAGGATTGAGGGAGATTCCCCTTCTCATCCAGCCTTTGATCGAACATCGTTGAGCGATAGTGCATTTATTGAGCTACTACTTTTTGAGATAAAAGAACTACGAGCTGAATGTGAGCAGAAGGATAAGAAATTGAGTGAATTCAAGCAACTACAATCAGAGATTCGTATTAAATCAGCATCAACGCAGTCTTTTGATGAAATCCCACAAAGGTCTGCTCGCCGAAGGGTATACAAAGAAGATTCTCGACACGTCGACCAAGAGAACCCTGAGAATCGCCCCGAAGAGATCCCCAAGACAGAGCCTCACCCCGAGATAGTTGCCCATAGTGTTCCTCTTTCAGAGAACTTCAAGTCCGGGCTTTCGTTAGCAATAAGACGAAGTAATTCGCCTGAGGAGGACTTGAAGGCTACTGGTGATGGAGCGACCGAGGGCAGAGGAGAAAATGATGTAGAGTCGCCGAAGCAAACAACGGAGGTAGAGAATGAAGATGATGCAAAACTGGATGATCATGAGTTACGAACAACAAAGCATGATAATTCAAAGGATTCGAACCTGAAGGAAAGTTTGAATCAAGAACTGGGTCATCTTGCAAACCATCTGAGAGTTAGTTCATACAGCACGAGAATCAAACTCCCGCATACTATGAGGAACTCCGAAGCATCCTTACCTTCGCGTGTACAACTGAAGGCAATTGCCAGTTCTCCCCCTCATGGTGACAGCGAAGCTACTACAACTCAGCCCGACAAAAGAGAGAAAAGCTCTAAAAGAGAAATTTCGTCCAGCTCAACCACTCCATTGCTTGCTCAATCTGGATCTTGCGAGACGCAAGTAATGATGCTGCCAAAGACACCTGTTGATTCATTGAATGAGCCACAAAGTCTCAAACAATCACCAACTTCTCAAGGCTCTAGCTTCCAGGTTCTCACATCACCTGATACTCATGATGATGTTATTCTTTTCATTAAGCCAGAAGATTTCCAAACAGTAAAAATCGAGGTCATTAGCACACTCAGTTTCAACCCTAAAAAGTCAGAGGACTTCAGTTGCACCCTTTCAATCAATGATCGCGAAACAGCAAAGGGGATGTGGAAAGTGAGGAAGTCTTACAGTCAAATTTTATCTTTCGATAATGAAATAAGACCAGTGTTGGAAGCCTTCGGCCTTCCACCTTTACCTGAACGAAGCCTTTTTTCATCTACAGTTCCAGCTAAAGTAGATTCACGAAAACAGAGTCTTCAACATTACTTCAACTCGATATTTCTAATTCCCCATATCCCCAAACTAATTTTGAACCGCATCTGTCGCTACATCTCGTTAGACTTCGTCAACCCCCTCGATGATTTCAAAAGTGGCGCTAAATTGGAGGGTTACTTAATAAGAAGATATAAAGGATTGGGTACTACATGGAAGACAAGATGGTGCCAGGTCGATGGACCATCTTTAGAGATTTATGAGTTTCCAGGCGGTCCAATGATAGAGCAGGTTCGACTTAATGGGTCGCAGATCGGTCGTCAGTCATCTGACAATGTTGCTGAAGAGAAAGGTTATCGGCATGCGTTTCTTATACTCGAGTATCCGAGAAACAAAATCTCGAGCTCCACACAGAAACATTTTTTCTGCGCTGAACTGGACAAGGAGCGAGACGATTGGGTCAATGCAATGGTAGAGTACACCGAGAATGACCCAATGATCACTCAAATGAATCTTGATGGCCACGAACAAAGGAACACTACAAGAGTCGTTGATCTGTTTAACTCCCCAAAAGCCGCTAACTTGTCAAAGGAGGAAGAATCCAAAGAATTGAAGGACGTCAAAAAACTTCGTAAACGAAGTTTGTTCCCTTTTCGATATAAAGGTCAGCAATTAGAAACGGAGGACGAAAGTACGGGCTCCACCCTTGAGGAGGGTGGCAATAATATGAGCCTCGAGGCCCATTTAGCGGTAATGAATTTAACGCCTGGTCAATTCAAGCCCGTATTTGGTAGAGAGCTTGCTGAGGCGCTTGACTTATCATCCAGGACATTTGACGGCCGCCTTATTCCTACAGTGTGTGGTCGATGTCTCGATTATTTATCAAAAACAGGCGCTATCTATGAAGAAGGAATATTTCGATTGAGCGGATCAGCGTCGACGATCAGGACGCTCAAGGACCAATTTAACAAGGATCACGATGTTGATCTATTCGAACATCAGCTTAATCCTGACATTCACACAGTCGCAGGTCTTTTTAAAACGTACTTGAGAGAGTTGCCTGACAATATCTTCGGTAACGCAGCATATTCTCATTTGCAACTGATGTTCACATCAGGCAACGAGGCTCAACCTAGATCCCAAATCGCGTGGAAGATGCAGCGGTTCATAAATGATAAATCCAATGTGACTCAAGGGAACTTCGATTTCTGTTTCACTGTGTTCAGGCTTCTAAGTACCGTGGTCGCCAGGAGGAAGACAAATTTGATGAGCCTCAGGAATATTTGCATTGTGTTTGTTCCTACATTACGAATCTCACTAGAAGTCTTGAGCCTTTGCATCACTGACTTTGACTGTATATTTTTAGATGGCAGGCCATTGGACGATGATAAGAGAGAAACATTGGACTTACAAATTCCGTCCTTTTAATGATCCAAACGATCTTGATATATACTAATATGCACATAAGTTTGACCATTCAAAGCGCATTCGCCTGTGAAATCCCGGTATCCATCGAGCTAGACGATGAAGTTCACCATTCACTCTCCCCGTTGCTCTTTGAAAAACGTAATCCCTGCCATCAATATTTGCAACACCTTCTTTCAAATTACATTTCCACTTGTTTTTAACTCTTTGCACCTTATCGTACAAGCAAAGCATTATCTGTCCTTCCTGCTCCATGTCCTCGTCATCTGACTTCTCGGAATCAAGCTCGTCATCTAGATCTGAATTGATATCGTCAGAATCGTTGAAAATTCCATCATCATCATCATCCTCGCCAATACCAACAACACCACTTTGGCGATGAAGTTCACCAAGACCATCATTCGGTCCATCAGATTGACGCTTTGCTAACGCTTTATACCATTTGAGATTTTTCTGATCAGCCTCTATGGTGAACTCGATAGGACCATCAGATTGATTGACTTTGGGAAGAATCAAACCGTTTTCTTCAGTGTACTCCTGCTTCACGGTCGGTAACTCTATTCCCATGGAATATCCTGAATTTGAATGACTAGATAGGTCATTTGTAGGATTACCATCCGTAGGATCATATTGCGGGATAGGCATCTCGAGCTCTTGGTTCACATGAAGAGATTCTTCTTTCACGGGGTGGGAGATCAAGCTCGCATGGATATTGCCATCTAGGTCGTCCAAGTCATTCCAAGAGAAGTTTCCAACACGAGATTGACTTAACTTCTCGCACCAGAGCTTTTTTAAATCTTGAAGTGTACCTTCATCAATCCCGCTATCCTCAAAATCTTGGCGAGAATCTGTGATCACCTCCTCAATAACAGCCTCGTAAAGCTTGCAAGCCTCAAAGTTTGACATGATATTCCTAAGTGCTGAATGTGAGTTCGTATAGTAGTATCTCTTTACATGCAGACTCTGAGGGTTGCTTGAGGCTTCTTAATCCTGCATTTCGGTGTAAAATGTGGACTCGTTTCGACCCTTCTACGAAAACACCCTATTTCGACCAAATGACCAAATTGGATTAATACTCGAGTGATAGAAATAAGTGCCAAAGATTTTGTGTTTGTATTGAGGTGCTCGATATGGGCATGAAATATGATAAGTTCCTTCTCCTAATGTAGTTTAGGTTCTACTCATAAGCAAGAGTGTTAGGACGTGCAGCGTGCATTATATGTAAAGTAGTAGCTAATTCCCTGAAGAACCCTTTCTACTAGGGAATGAAGGCATATTGAAATACTTCCAGTCAGAAATTAACGGGGTTTTAACTTAGGATTATTTTCACAACTGGTAAATCACCGTATTAAGAAAATAGCGTAATCTAGGGAAAGCTGGAAACGCATTCCCTTGCACCGGCTAAACCCGGTCGCCTGTCCTGACAAAGAGTTTTAGATAAAACCTCAGATTGTAGGCCAATTCCAACAGTTTCGTAGCCACAAGAGGGTCAAAGCAATATAAGGCTGAGAGGCAACCTGCATTAATTACGTCTGCGTAAAACAAAATCTAATATAAAAGCTAAACATGTTGACAGGGTAATACAAAAGGTCATCGTGTTCGACGACTTGATTATCTAAGACAGTTTCTTAATGAGTATCGAGTACCATCAAATTAGTCTTATTCATCAGAAAGCGTACAAGACAGCCCTTTTCAAGTTTGATGGAACTTGATAGGTACCATTGGAGCCTTGCAACGAATTGGTCGAGTTCAATGAGGTAGAAGAGGTAAAAATTTCCGTGGTGGTTACATCAACGTATGAAGTGATGGTCGTGGTGGTTCCACTTAAAGTGAATTCAGCCTCAACAGGGTGCGCCGAAACGTGAGTCGTGGTTCCAGTCACGACAGCGTCTTCCGACTTCGAGGGTTCCTTCTCAGTGACCGTCACAGTGACAGTGGACGCGGCACATGCCTCCAGAGCGCTTGATGACTCTGGTTCAGTGATTGTCACGAACTGTGTGATCGTAGAAGTCGTTGTTGGGGTCGAGGTAATCGTGCTTGTCTTTGTTGCAATTGGAGACTCGACGGCAGAACCATGGTCTTCGATAGTCGTGTACTCGACGATGGTGGAAGTAACGGTGGTCGGCTCAGTCAGGCTGATAGCTTCAGTCAGGCTGATAGCTTCAGTCAGGCTGATAGCTTCAGTCAGGCTGATAGCTTCAGCCAGGCTGATTGCTTTGGCGACGTCATCTGAGGCAGTAGCAGGGACTGTCAGAGTAGTCGAGGGCAAGGTGATAGTTATGAATTTATCAACCGTCACAGTGGTGTCATAATCCCCAGACTGAGGAGAGTAAGCTTCAGTGTTGTTGTCGTAACGCTTGAAAGGAACGGCACTTGCAACTGCGGCAACAGCAATGACTTTAACGAATGGAAAGATCATTTTAATCTTGGAAGAAAGGAACGGACGCGACTAGTATACGCAATGAGGTTGATATAAAATTTTGAGGTTAGAGGGTGCCGGGGTTAATTATATATTGTTCGCGATACAGCGTGTTTGAGCGGACGATGCAGCCCATCCCTTCGCCAATGTTTTTGTAAAACACGAAAAGCGACGCATAGATGTAAACATAGAAACTGCACACACTATATGCATATGTTGCTCAAGTCGACCTCTGTAAGGGCAAACACATACTGACAATCTTCGTTTATAAAATACAAGGGCATTTAATTGATGAAACTGTTGCTTGAGGTTTTCTTCAATCTCTCATAGAATAGAGGTCCTAAAACCTTTTAGATTCTGTATATAGGCCCGACTCTGGATGTCCTGTATTTATCATTTTCGCTCATTTAAATCTACGTGGCTCTTGAATAGCGCTTGTTGCTACGATGTTGAAAATACCAGATAATAACATAGGTGAAGCCTTGCAGAAAGTTAAAGTGACTTATCAAGAGATTCTCGACAGAAGTGTCCCCTATGTTAAAGAGAGGTGGATCACATTCGGTGTCCTCTTGACATTATTTGTCTTTAGGATTATCCTTAGTCAAGGATGGTATATCATATGTTATGCACTTGGAATCTATCTTCTCAACTTGTTCTTGGCTTTCCTCACACCAAAATTTGATCCATCCCTTGAACAGGAGCTGTTCTCGTCCAATTTAGAAGAAGGGACCGACGAAGTGGAAGAGGAGTTCAAACCTTTCATCCGCCGCCTTCCAGAATTTAAATTCTGGCTCAAAGCTGTGAGGGCAACTGTCTTGTCTTTGTTGACGTCTTTTTTCACTATTTTTGATATTCCAGTCTTCTGGCCTATCCTCGTGATGTATTTCATCATTTTGTTCTGCCTCACGATGCGAAAACAGATCCAACACATGGTCAAATACAGGTACCTACCTTTTGATCTTGGCAAGACGAGATATGGCCGTCAGTCCCGCTAATAGCAGGGGGCATCCAAGCTACCAAACATAAAAGACCGCATCAATTCAAGCTCTATTGGCAGGCATTCAAGTACCACTTTGGAAGCAGTGGCAAGCTTCAACTTCCACAATGTAAATATTAAGGGTGTTGGCCGCATTTAATAGAACATACAATGTACATCGAACTTTAATAGGATTGAAATTCTCGAAATCCCAACAGGAACTAGATGTAAACCAAACTTATACCATGCCCCAACACCGAGTATATTGAACCAAACTATGCGATGCTCTCAACACCTCTTGAGTATACAAAACCAATCCAGATCAAGTCACCCTACTAAACTCCCAATTGTTCTACTGTTTACCATTAGGGAAAGAAAAGTTCAACATTCGAGAACCAAACCGATCTTACCTAAGTAAGGGAGGGCCCACTGTAAAAACCGATTTAAGAATATATTTTTTATAACAGTGCCGCACAGGACCCCCGAAATCTTCCACTTATATTTTCATTAACCTTCTCCTCAGCGCTTGTTTACTTCGGTTCCGCCAAGGATGAAAAGAAAGTTTCAAACAAAATTCACCAAGTACAACATAAATCAAGCGTCATTCTCTTAAAACGAAATAGCTCCTCTGTAAAACATCACAAAGTACCGACTTGGCTATGGAAATTACAATCGGTTACACTTATATAATAGTGGATACTTAGATTGCCAAGCGCTGCTACTGATGGATCGCGTTGGCAAAGATGACTATTAAAATGGCTGAGGCAATGTTGATGACTATGTCTTCCTAAATCGATCTACTCATTAAGGAAAAAACTGTAACCAAATGTTTTCTCTGATACGTGCTGTATTGTGCTAAAAACATTACAGCAAATACAGTCGAAAATTGACGTCTCACGAAATATTGTGATTCTTCGATATCGCGCTTGATGACGATACAATTAGAATTAAGAAAGCAACACACCATAATCCATCCATCTCGTGCACCTTCAAACATGCTTGTTCAATAGAAGAAAAAACCATGATTGTATTCATTACGGCAAACACAATCCGAATCTCAGATACCGAACAGAATTAACTGGTAATAGGGCACGCATCAGAAACACAGTGATTTCGCAGATGGCTGTCCGAAACATGGACAAACTGCCCCGTGCTCGGTTTTCGTACTTTTTGCTTTTAGGCCTATTTCTATCCCTACTCCAAAGAGGGTAAATTTATACTTACTTCGTCCTGATCCCTTCGAACTTTTCCTACAAGTTTTGGAAACCTACTATTCTAAAGAATACACCAATAGCTAAAATGTCTTCAAATCACATACATGGCAACTGTCCTGTGGTGAAATATATCTTTCTCTTCTACTTTGCTCAATGACTTCACATCTATTTCTATCCGCAGCATGTTCTTCGGACTTTCATACAAACAAATGATTTGATGATTGTTGATCTCCCTTTATTAGAAACTTTTGGCGCCATCGTCATTGAGCTTCTGACTTTTAGAATTCAGTATAAGGCAGAGAATGAATTTTTCATTCTGATTATCAATGGTAAATTCGTCATTTCTACTAGAAACGTTGACATCGTTTACGGTTACCTTACTAAGGATACTGCTCCCGTTCGAGAGTTGTCGATCAGAGAGATTGTGTGAGCGTGTGTGTCTGTGTGTTTTTTGTTTTCCTTTTTGAAATCTTTCAGACACTGCGTAACGGGATTCAATATTCCTGATTCGGGAGATGAATAAGGCAATGCGCCAAGTTCTACCTATGGGTCGATGGTCCGTACAAGGCGCACCACTAACAAATCCCTTTTAGATGACCCAGGCCTGAAGTTCAGGATAAAGTCTTTCGCGCTATTTTCGGTAATAGAAGACATTCGGGTGCTTGATTAGTGGGTTATGTTTCATGAGCGATATAGTTTCGGTTTCTAGTGGAGAGATTTCCCTAATACATTCTATAAAAAAAAGAAAAAAAAAAAAAAAACGAAAAGGAAAAGTAGTTTTCGTTTCGTATCTTTTCCTCTCATAAAATTTTTAAAGTCGCCTAGTTAGTAGATTTGAAGGAATTTATTGCTACTTTCCTGTTATTAGCAGTAGAAGATTAGGAGATTGTTGGAAAGATTAAATGGTATGAAATGTGGTCTTCGTAAGTCTGGCTATGCCAGTTGGACGCTGTGAAGTCTAAACAAAATTTGTATTTATGGGGTCAATATAAACATCTATTCAGAATCGTCATCATCACGATATCCATGTTTTCTGATATCGGCAAGCCTTTTTCTTGCGGCTTGAAGTGCGTTTTCAAGTTTCAAAATTTGGACTTGTTGTTCCATTTCCAAGGTCTTTCCTTCATAAGGAGTTAATTGGCTTAGATCAATATTTGATTGATCCTCGTTGCTTTGGGAGAGAAGCGCTTGCACTTTATTGACCAATGATTTGCAGGCTGAATTCACCTTTGTAGATGATGATTCGAGTCGGTCTTGTGTCTTTGACATGGTGTTAGCCTTGACTCGAGACGCGGCTACAAGTTGAGCAGTCGAAGCAGCGACTTCATTGCAGGCGACAATCAATTCCTCGTGAGAGTTTTTTGCCCTCAACACTCCATCAGCTGTCTCGATCAAGATATTCGTTGCCCCTGCGATGGCTTTGGCCGCGCTAACAAGTCCTTCCGTCCATCTGTTATTTTTCTTGTAATACTCCCGTACTGTTTGAGTGCCCTTGTTTCTAGCGACAATCTCACGTTGAGAGTCGATCGACGCCTTGATGAGTACTGTGACAGCCTGTGTAACGCTCATAGCAGCTGCCACAATTGCCTGATGTACCTGCAAATCACTGCCCTCTATTTTTTGCAGTTGAAGTTTGCCGAGGAATTCCATCGCTGCATTTATCTGTCTCGCAGCCTCCTCCATCTCTTCATCGACCACATCTTCAATGTTTCCTCTCTTAAGAGATAAGGAATGACGTGGTTGGATGCCTTCGATAGCAACAGATAATTCTTTCAAAGAATGTTGAAATTGAACGTTGTAATCGATCACTAGATCAATTTTCTCGTCCTCGTCATCGAGGGCGTCCAATGAATCAGATGTGAGGCTTAGGAAAAGGTCTTCGGCTTTTGCGAGAAGATTTTCCATAAGTTGAATGACAACTTGCTCGTCCTCAGTTGGGATGTTTTTCGAAATGCCCTTTATGTTAAGCATCAAATCGTTGAGAGATGATGCCAACTCAGAACTGGTGAGGATAACGCTTGAAAATGTCAGGCTATCATCATCCTCATCGGTTAGTTGAGGACCCTCAGCAAGGAAATTGTTGAACACCAGAGCAAAGTCCGTGGCAGTGTCGGAGCAAAGGTCCAAAACTGAAAGAAGATAGTTTGGTGTAGCATTGACATTTCCCGTTTGCATTGGTGACCCAAGATCATACCTGGTATCTTGAACCCTGCGCACATTATTGGCTAAGATTATGTTCAATAGAGCCCACAACTGTTTAACACTTGGACCCTGAGAGCTGATTGACAACTCTTTCAAAGCACTGTCTAACGATTCTTGAGCGATTTCCAAGTCGATTTCCTTTTCCTTCAACTTTTCTCTGAGTGCTGATTGGCTGCCTAAGTCAATCAACTGACCTTCCTTCTCTTTAAGAAGCTTGTTCAAGGCGGCTAAATCCCCTTCATATTGGTCTTTGATTGATTGCAACTTCTTCGTCGAAGTTTCATCACTATCCGCATACCGAGATGAGATTTCGCGCAGTTGAGTTTTCAATTTGTCAATCTCCTGATCTTTGGTGATTCGTAATCTGTCAAGATCTAATCTTGCACGATCTCTTTCTCTTATGAGGTCCGCAAGCTCGAGGTTCTTTTGTTTCAATTCCTTCTCAAACTTCTCCTTTTTCACGATGGACTCCTGTGCACTGTTGATTTTTTGCTGAATCTTTTTGAATTTCGAAAGTAAGTTCAAGTGCTCCGAACGCAATTGCGAATAAAGCTTTGCCAAAGCTTCGTATTTTTTCGCCCAATTGGTTACTTGTTCCTCAATGTTACTGATCTGTTCATCTTTGGAAGCAAGTTGTTCAGATGCTGTTTGATTGATGCTTTGAAGTTCGGTCTCCAACGCTTTTACCCTCGAGTCATACTGCTGAAGTAAAGCTTGGTCATTGTCAAACTGATTCTTGAACATGACAAGATCATTTTCTAGCTCGGACACTCTGGAATTTTGGGCATTCGTTTGCTGAAGTCTTAACATTTGCTGCTCTCTTAGATTATTCTCTTCTTGAGCGAGTTTTTGACGTTCGAATTCTTGCTGACGACGGAGCTGCTCTTGAATTTGATTCTGTCTCTGAAGCTCTAATTCCTGTTGTTCTCTCTGTAATTGTTCTTGCTGGAACTTTTGCTCCTCGAGGAGACTTGATTGGTTGAACTCCTCTGCCGAAGGAGGGACCACTGGCGCATCATAAACGGAGGTTTGCTGAGATGACAACACTGGCTCTTCGGCGACCCTTGAGGTGGATGATTTGCCATCCTCGGATTGCATCAAGTTGGGTGGAGAACCCGGAATTTTTGGTATAGTTATCAAGCTTGTCAAAAACTTGATAGCTTGGCAATCAGCATAGAATTCGCGAAGATAAAAGTGTTGAGAATTGAACCTCTCAAATAGAGCAGTCAAAAGCTCATCGGACCCCAATTGTTGATACATTGCTCTTAACATTGATGTCAAGAACTTGTAGATGCCGTAAGACTCAGAAATAAGTGGAACGAGCGCAGACACTTTGCACAAATTATTCGGAGTTTGCTGCACAGTAGAAAATATGAGTTTTTGGAGATCATTGATTAGATCCTGGAGATCCATCAATTGTAAAATTGACTCATAGCCCTCGTTCGGGTCATTCACGCTTCGCAATGAGATGTACTCCTCGTACTCGAAAATTCCATTGAAGCCTTGGTTATTTCGGTGGAAATCAAGCTTCCGCATCAAAAATCGATCATAATGATTAATCAACCGACCATAACTTGATGAACTGGAGAAGACAGTTGATAAGGAGTATAAGAAGTCCTTATTCCTATAAGCATCCTTGAGGGTATTTGGATGACCCTCCTGTAACACCTTGTGAATCATAATTAAGGCTTTAAACAATTGCACTTCACTACTTTGCAATGGCTGAATCTTAACAGCATTCCAAAAAGCACGAGAGTTTTTATGATCCCAGGTGTACACGATACAAGCTCGAACATGTTTTCTTTTGGGAGGAACCTCCTCCGAATTGCAGGCTTTCTTGACACTGATCTGTAAATCCACCTCAGCCCTGCTCATTTTCTTAAGGTGAAGTAGTAATGAAACTCGATTGCGTTTCGCTGGCACTCCGCGAGATTCATGGTCCTGTATAATATCGAACCGAGCCTTCGGAAATTCGGTACTACTGATAAGGTAAAACAATTAACTTCACTCTCTTACCCATTTAAACCATTTCAGTGCGTTGCAAATAAAGCTTTTGACTAATCAACATTATTTCAGTGTATGTCCTCCTAACCATGAAAGGGAGACTGGCCTAAGTGGATCATGGCATTGGCTGTCGTTTGGTGAGTAGGTTGTACTGCAAGGTACTTTTAGCATTCAAGCATATGTGCTCTGTTGGGTCTGGCTAAATGGCTCAGCTTGTACTTTCCAAAGATTATGACTAGTGTTATTTCGCCCTAATGTAGATTGACTGGTATAACGCGCGAGGCCAAAAAAAATTGTGAAGCTCCAAAGTCCGTCGACCTGAAAAAAAAAAAAAAAGTCCGTAAGACAACCGTGCAAGACATTTTACAGTCCAGATGTCTTCAAATACTAGCAAAGTTATTTATCCGTAAGTATATGAAAAGAGGCAAGATTGAAATCATCTAACAACAGTTTTTGGTATGGTGGAGCTGCAAGCATGGCTGCATGCCTTGTTACACATCCCTTGGACTTGGCCAAGGTAAGATTGCAAACTGCATCGAAAAGAGGCCAGTCTCTTATTTCGATGGCAGTTTCGATTGTCAAGAACGAAGGTGTCTTGAAGCTCTACTCTGGTTTAACTGCATCTTTACTCAGGCAAGCCACATATTCTACGGTGAGATTCGGTGTATACGAGTATCTAAAAGAGGAATATCAAAGCCGATATAAACACATGCCCACTACGGCAGCCTTGTTGCCAATGTCAATGATATCAGGTGCTTTGGGGGGCTAGTCGGAAATCCATCTGATGTTGTTAACATCAGGATGCAGAACGACTCTACTCTTCCTGTCAGCCAAAGGCGGAATTACAGAAATGCATTCGACGGTATTATCAGGATAGGAAGGCATGAGGGTATTTTGTCTCTCTTCCGAGGCTTAACCCCAAATCTAGTAAGAGGTGTTCTTATGACAGCATCCCAGGTGGTTACTTATGATATTGCAAAAGGGCTATTGGTAGATGTTTTCTCGTTGGATGGTCTGAAAAAGTCGACACATTTTAGTGCCTCATTGATGGCAGGCTTGGTGGCAACAACGGTGTGTTCTCCTGCCGATGTGGTCAAAACTAGAATCATGAATGCAAAAGGATCCAATGGTGGAGCGTTGAGCATTTTGATGGAGGCAGTACGGACGGAAGGTCCTGGATTCATGTTTAGAGGCTGGCTTCCCTCCTTCATCAGGCTAGGCCCGCACACGATTTGCACCTTCTTGGTTTTAGAGCAGCTTCGAAAGTTTCGAGTAGGCATGAACTCCTAGTTACATTCTTCTTGATCTATGTAAATATAATAGACTTATAGAGATAAGACATCGTTGAAAATGTTCTACTGATTTTGTCAGTAATCTTTCAAATCTATTCAATACTTGGTTAAACCTTGATGTTGTCCAACTCTTTCTTCTCAAATGCTTCCTTTTCAGCTTCCAAAAGATAAGGAATCAAGTATGGGGTGTCATCCTCGGGCTTAATAGCCTTGTTTGGGGGAAGCAACTGGTGTGACAAAGCACATTGATGAGCAGTGATGATTCTAAAGTTCCTGGCGTAACTTTCGTCTTCAGGAAGTCTAGAGATCGCCTTTTGGGCTATTGGGTTCTCTTCGGCGATTAAGTCATTGAATCTGTTTATTAGTATTCGTTATCAAATCGAGAAAATAGTACACTTACCTCAAGCCCATTTCTCTGTAACCAGCATATGCCACGAATGTTTTAGCAAGTGGAGTCACTACCTTGGCCAACGTTGGCCTTGACAAAATCCAATCAGACGCCTTGACAATGGAAGTTATGGAAGCCATGGTCACTTATCGAAGAGGTTTTAGATATGAGTGGAAGATTTCGCGTGATGAAAAAGTTAGTCCTCCATTGGCCGCAGTATTTTGTATGGACTGCATATATTCTGACTTTCCTACTGCAACGAAGCAACAACTATCGAAAATCTTTATTACATTTGGTTACGTGAGAGTCTAACTAATAATCATATTCAGTTGACGGCTTTCCGTATCGCGAGGAACAACCCACATTATGAAGTATATTGAAGATTCCACTCAGTTTGACCCCTCGTAAACTGCTTGGTCCTTGCATAGTATCATACCCATATAACCGCAAGAGTTTATGCCAATGACATCGTCAAACTTGCCTTGAGATCTTGGAATCATCATCATATACTGCGATGTCAAGCAGAAGTTGTAGCTAATGGTCTCGATCTGATTTTTTTGTAGTGTGGTCAATGTTCTTTGAAGAAGAGATGCAAACAACATAGCCAAAACCTCAGCATCCACTCCGGGCCGCTCCGGAAGAGGGACTATAAAATGAGCATATGGTAAGCTGGGGTCCTGTAAGGGTTCACGGTTTTGATCCGGGATGAAAAACTCTGTACCTCTCGCTACTTCAAGATTAAAATCCACATTGCCTTCAGGAAGCGTCAAGAACTGAACATGTTTATGTGGTTGGGAAGCGCCACTATTAGGTCCGCAATTGTAAAAAGCAAACCAACGTGATTCTTTGTCCTGTGTCTTCAAAGCGTCAACGATCTGATACGTTGCCAAGAGCTCTGAGGGTGTCAATGGGGTGTTTTGTGACTTAAATTCTTTGGTCACCATCATAAAATGGTTTCGGGAGACGGGAAACTTATTCAACAATAGCCTAAATTCGTCTGAATCTCCGAAAGAGTTAATGATGGTTAATTCTGGTTCAGGTTTAGCAAAAGGATTTTTTTGAACTGTGCCCGATTCAGGTCGGTGCTGAAGGTTGGGTAATACCGTAATTTGGAATTCATATTTGGAAGATTCACTGGTTTCCAGAATTCTCTCATGTTGTGCGCCGTCACCCTGGAAGATCAAAGAGCCGTCAATTTCAGCAGCTTTGAATTTTCCCTCAACAGAATTCCAAAGTTCACTCAAGCTCATGGTTCCCAATGGTCTGGAGCATTCAACAAGAGTATGGTACATTGGGTGGTAAGTTTGGACTGCATGTAGTGTCGAACTGGCGGCGGAAACTCAGCGACAGCGTTCTGTACTGATTATTTCATAGCCCTCGTTGCTCAATTTCCACCATTAGAATCTCTGTCTGTCTTCGGTTGCTCTTTGTGGTTTTCCATCTACTTTGCTTCACCTGCACTGCAAGTACTGAAACACCCATATTCTTCATAAGTCTCTTCCAAAGTCTACCTTATAACTATTCTTCTATCGGACATTCCAGCAGGTTTAGTCTCCACTGGCCTCCTAGTTATTCTGTCCACTAAATTTTCTAGTCCTGTGGTGCTCTGTATAATATTATATTTGCCAATGGGGCATTGACTGCGAGAGTTCTGAATTAAATCTAAAAATTTGAATAATTAAGAATCTCTTGGGTACAAAAATTCGTCTCTTTCTTTTAATGCTTGCAACAATCGAAAATTACTTGAGGAATGAAGTTTTTAAAATTCATTGATTGTGGTGAAGTCATGAATGCAAGATTGTGTCTGATTTAACTCAATTCGCAACACCCCTACGACTTTCTGCAAATTTATTTGAGTTGAACTTTTATAGTGTTCAACTACAGTCACTAGCATAGCGAATGCCTTTTGCTGAAATCAATCCAGCGGTCGCCACATTTGATCAAATTCTCGAAATTTTAGTGTTAGAACATTTTTGCCTCAAAATTGTAAATACGCGGTTTACCACGACTTCAAATTTCAAATCTCAGATACTACGGCTTTCGAGATTAAATATAAATTAGAAAATAGTAACCTCTGAACGTATTTTTGTAGTGTCCTCAATTAGATACAAGGTATGATCCTACTTACTGGTGACACACATTTCTTCACGTCGACATACACGCTCACTGTCTTTCAGATGGCAGACTAGTACCTATTGGCGACACAGGGGATATTATTAGTGGTAAAGCGGTGCTAGTATGGAACCTGATAAGGCAATTCTTCTCTAAATAGATCTCACTGGGCTACCATCTAATCAGATGAGGTGAACAAAACAATCAAATAAAACAGTTTGCTCGGATGGTGCTGTTCTAAACGCTGGCAAGATGGTTCTAATTTAGTCAAAGTCAAGTTAGGCTTCTCACTAATCAGATAAATAAAGAGGAACATAAAAAAGATGAAATTGACCATCACGAATGGGCTTATTTTCGGCCTCGTGTCGGCTGCTCATTTGAGGATGAAATTGGAAATGGGCTAGGCATTATTGCAAATACCGAGTATAATTATGATGTCTATGTTCTACTTAGATGGTTCTGAATTGATGCTACCAGCTTATTCTTTTGATTCAGACACAAACTTATGGAGAATGCAGGTTGTTTTAAGAACAAGCACGCTTTGTTTGGACCAAAGTCTCCACTTAAGAACGTAATCCAAAAGGCCTCCAGCTTCCTTGCGAAGCCCATGGTGATCAATCTTTTGCAGAGCAAAAATTCAGAGCTAGCCAACACACACAAGCTGTTCGAAGCTATGAACGTCAGTTGAAAAAATTGAATTATCATCTGACAGGCCAAGGCGGTACCCGAAAATTATTTCAGGTGTGAAATAATCGAAGAAGTTATTCCTGATTTTTCATTCGCGGATCTTGTTGTACAGAGGTTCAAAGTCACTTTGGCCAGATCCTTCGTCTTCACCTGCGGGTTCTAGCGACTTTGGAATCAGATTGGCGTCAACCCTTTTACATTCTGCCTGTAGACTTCTAGTTTTGTCCAGCATGATGTTGATCGTGTCAACCGAGTTGGTATAATCTAGCTGCCTCCCTGAAAGAGATGCATCTCCCGCCAAATTGCTTTTCGCCTGGCATTTCTGAGAAGTTGACCGACCAATGCCAAAAGACTTTCTCAAGTCGTAGTTGGATTCTTTCTCCTCGGCACAACATTCTGACGTTTGACGGATGACATTCGAAGCATCCTTAGATTTTGCCTCATGGTCATAACTATGTGCCTGCAACTCCTTACGGCTTTTGTCGGCATTAGTCAAACAGTTTCTGGGACCATTGTTCAATGAGGTGCTTTTATCGAATGTTCGAAAAGAGTCAAAAAAAACATTCTCCGTTCCCAGGGTATTTGACAATCTCACATAAGATTCCGAAGTGTTTTTACGATATTGACTGACCCGTGACACAGAATCGAGGTCTATAATCGCATCTGGAACATTGCCCTCTCCCAAAGTTGTCTCCTCGGTCAAGAAAAAGCGAGGCGTATAACTCGTGTCTTCGCGTACGTGCTTCCAGCGGGATTTGAGGGACGGTTCTGTGTTTGAGGTTGCATTCTTTGGTAATGATGAATCAGGTGCAACGGGAGTTGAACGTTCGTTCCGAATTTGAAGCTTGGAGGGGAAGGAATAGCTCTCTTTAGAGGGGCAATTGCAAAAATCTTCCGCCTGAACTAACTCTTGTTCACGGTAATTTAGGTCGTTGTTCAACTCGAAATTCGCTTCGACATTGGAGGAAGTATGCAATTGTAGACTCCGAAATTCGGTGGAATTGCCCAGGTTAGCAACTTCAATAAATGGCGGGGATGCCACAAAACTTGTCGCATCAAACGATCCCGAAATGGCCGCCGACCTTCGATGACGATGCCACAGACGCTTCTCCGAGTTCATAGGATCACGTCGCCGCAGTTGGTGCTAATTTCCCAAAACACAATCTATAAGACTCATGAGGCCCTTGCAACAAGATGCAGCTATGTCAAACGAGTGGACGCTACCAGGTAGCAAATTATTATTGAATGGTCAGTCTGGCTCAGCAGGGTGACGTATGAAAGTTCAACAGGGTTTGTTGAACAAAAAAAAGTGTTGAAGACGTTTTTAATACCACCTAGACTCGCGAAGATTCTGCTACGCAGATTCCTGTATTCTGACGTAATCCTCCATTTCTCCTACTCAAGAAACACTGGTCTTACAGAAATATATTCTATAAAAGGCTTTTGAAGCAATGTCAGAGACAGATCGCGGATTATTTGTGCTTTTTGGCAATCCGCCTAAGTGCTCTCTGTTCATTTTTCATGACACCATCCACCATTTTATATTTGCCCTTCACTCCCTTGGGCCTGCCACTAAGACCACGATTATGACCCTTTGCGACCACAAGTGTCGGCTTAGGCCTAGTTGCCTCCTTCTTGGAAAGCTTTCTCATCATGCGCTGAATTTCATCGGCCTTATCACGTTCACTTTTGTCAGCATCTTCGTTAATAAGGTCACTCTTCTTTTTGATTTTCTCAAGCCTCTTGATGGCACGCATTTTCTTCCGACCCTGAGCTTCTAAAATCTTTTTGATTGGTCGTGAGTTAAGTTGCTTCTGCTTTTCTTTGATCGCTGCTGCTGCTTCTTTAGTAATGGGTTTGATGATCTTCGAATGCCTCTTCTCATCCTCGATGAACCAGTCCGGAAGAGAATCTTTGTCTCTAAATGAGTAGCGATGAATTCCTTCGTTAACAAGATCATGCTTGTTCTTCTGACCAAGCGCTACTTGATGCGCCAATGTCATGGCCTCAGCAGTATCTAACTCGACGGTGGACGCATGCTTCTCTTTCATATCGAAATCTTCCGCACGCTCCTTGTTGTCGGTAAATTGCCCCTTGACAAGTTCGAAATCGATCTTTTCAGAAGACTCTGGATTGGTCTCGATCACATTCAGAGTTCCGGGTACGGTAGTTTGAAGCGAGGAAAGAAGAGTGCTGTCGTCAATTTTGCCAATAAGAGGATTGACCGCATAAAAAGCATGCGCTTCTTTAGACAAAGAAGCCGACTGAGAGTTACGCATCTCCATCATTTTCGAAATAGCTTCATCATCCTCATCATCAGAATCACTATTACTCTCCATCACCAACTGGTCATTCTCTGAATCATCACTATCCACTTCACTGGTTATACCATCCCACTTCTCCTCATCTAAATCGCCTCGATTAAGCTTGGCCCGATAATTGGCATTCCTTTCCAACTTTCTTTGCTTAAACTGATTGTGTAAAGCATTGAGTTGAGCTTCAAGATCATCATTCTCCTTCTCCGAGTCCAGAGACACAGCTTCCTCGTCATCCAGCAAGGTATCCACATTACGACCTTTGTCTGACAATATCATTGTCTTCTTTCCATCAGCTATGGATTCCATTTCACCAGTATTCTTGACCGCTTTCAAGTTAAATAAAGACTGAGACGCATTATTGGCAGCATCTATACCAATCGACATATCGGTGAGCATGTTCATTTGAAGACGCTTGAGTTCTCGCTGTTTAACTTCATTAGCTGATTTTTTCTCCCGTTTTCTTCTTTGACGCTGCTTTTCTGTGAGCGAAGCCAACTCCTGACTAATCTGCTCTTCCTCTGTCAAAACAGGCTTCTCTTCCGAGTCGCTTTCAGGAGCATTATCGAGTTGAAGCGCTTTCCTCGCGTTTTTTCTAAACTTGAGAATTCGTTTAAATTCTTTTTTACCCAACACTTTAAGATCACTCACGCATTCCTCGAGTTCTGACGACCAAAGCTTTAGCTTGCACAACATTCTCCATTCCGAATTTTTTGTTGGGATTGTTAATTTGTTTAATTCTCCCAATTTGTTGATGGGTTCGCCATCTCTGATGAACTCAAGGATATCCATTTCCTTAAATAAAATGTTGTTTCCCTCTTCATACCCCTCCCTTTTCCTTGTTCGCTTCTCAGGGTTGAAAACTTTAGCCTCATTATTGTCTTTTGGTTTGCCAATTTCTTCAAAAACGTCGGTGAGGTCAAGCAATCTATTGTCTAACTTTTTGGGTGCTTTGAAACCTTTGCAAACAACGAAGATCTCAGCGGAAACATTTCTTGAGGCTGGTGGCTTCGTGGCTTCAACTTTATCAAAGAGCTGCTGGAATACCCACATCAAATTATTGTAGTCCTTTGACCGAAAAACCTTTGTGACAAAAGTTCCGCCTTGAATAAGATGCTCGACAGCTAGCTTGAGGGCTTTTAAGACAAGCTGAGATTGCGTGAACGCATCTTGAACCCATCCCAAACCCACGTTGGGAGCTCCGTCATGTAGAAATGTATCCACTTTCCACGTCTTGAGATGTCCTCGAAGCTTTGAGCGGCAATCTTCAGTGGTTATATCGGATTGAAATAGAATGCATTTAGGAAGAGGTTTCATCGGAACGATATCCACACCGACAATCAATGAGTTCATTGGACAAAGGTTGGAGGCTACCTGACACCACGATCCAGGAGCAGCACACAAGTCTACCACAACTTTGGACTTTTCCAAGAAATGACCATATTTCTCATTAATTTGTATAAGCTTGAAGGAAGATCTAGCTCTGTAACCCTTTTCCTTTGCCAAATAGTAGTAGCGATCTAAACGACCTTTACTGTTCTTCTTTTGAGTTTTTCCCATAGCAGCTTTGAGGTACGATAGATGGCATCAGGCGCAAAAAAAAGAGATGCCTGTAGTATCACGTGTATGATATGCAGTACTAGAGAACCCATTCAAAGACCTGCTGCTTGTCTTTCTCAATGTCGATTATATTATCGTCAATAGAGCTTAAATTAACTTCGTGGCACAAAACGCATTGCTTTAAAAAAATCTGATCAAGCTCCTCTCTGTCGAATGGTGTAGATTGCTGACGAAATTTTTGAAACATCTCCTTGAATCGATACTCGCCTCGTTGTTTGAGGTGATAACGTGCGACGCAATCTTTATGATAGCAATGCTGACAGTTAGCGAAAACAACGATGTTTTTCTCCAAAAGTAGCTTCGAACAAAGAGCACAGGCTTCACCGGCCTCTACCAAAACCCCAATCTGTCCATTGCGTTTCTCATCACGAAATGTAGTAATTTGCTCTCTTAATTTTGACGAAATGAGAGCCAGCTCCTTCATCTCACTAGTCAATAATGCAATGGAGTCATTATGGCTATCGAGTGAGTCCACGATCTCCTCCTTTAATTGCGAGATCTCAACTCGCTCTGGCAAAAGCGCAATTAAATCTTTCACATTCAATGGAGACTTGAAATGTGATGTCTCCTTTGCATACTCGATGAGATAACGAATGCGATCTTCGAATCTGGGAAAACCATTTTTAAGATGCCTCTCAAAATAAGTACTCTGTAGCGACATGAAATCACCCGCAGAGTGTTTCATGACAAATTGAGCAAAAACAAGCCATAGGCGCTTTCTCATGTTTTGATCATTGTCTGATAGGTGGCTCAATGACATCTGCAACTCGCTAGTCGTTTGTCTCTTATATTCAGCACTTTCCGTCAAGTTTCTTTCAAATTTTCGCAAAATATACTCCGCTGATCGGACATCCTTGTGCTTTAATGCAAATTTCAAGGATGTCTCGTAGAGCTGCATATCCTCTATCATGATAACAACCGCGGGCCACAACTTCCCATGTTGTATGGCTAGTCGAAGTATGAGTTGCTTGTCGTAAGTAGCTTCAGATTTGCTATCGCGAAGATGATTTAGGGCTTTAAGCAAAGCTTTAGTTGCTCGCTGTTGATCGTCATCAGGATACCTCACTATGAGAGCGAGGTATGCGTTTATCGCAGTTTCACAATTGCTATCATAAATCACACCTGCGAGAAAATTGAGAGCATGGTTCTCCGGTAGTGGTAAATGATCATGTTTACGGACGTAATCAAGGATCGCAGGAAGAAGTCGCTGGATCTGAAGTCCCGACGTCTTAGCCCAGGTATCAACCGTCACTTTCGGGCAGATCTGTAACAACAATGGCGCCGTTGTATACAAAAGTTCTCTACCTGAGCTCCCCTCGCTATCTATCGCTTTCTTCAATGTCGCTATAGCACTTGTCCAATTTCCGTTCTCTAGATGGAAGGTGAGAATATACTCAAATTCCCCCCGAATGACCGCATAATGCATTCTGACTGAATCAAGATCCGCCTTCAAAAGAATCTCGATGACCAGCTCCGGGTCGAGAAAACCTTGATTTATGTCCAAGAATTGCTTCAACTCTTCGATCAAATCCGACGTAGCGTGGCGAGGATCTTCTCTTGCCAATATCAGATTTGCCTGATCATTAGAAGCTGCTATCTCCTGTGAATATAAAAGCAAAGTCCAAGTCGCTATGATGACGGCTTTCAATTTCGAACGCTCCTTCTTAGCAAGTGAAAGCTTTTCCCGAAGATATGCGATCAATAGTTCGTAATGCCAAGTTCGGGACTCCAAATGATTGTGGGCTTTGCTGAGCAAAAGACAGACTTTTTCAAAGGGTTCCATCGAACAAGCCAAATTTCGAACGCCACGAAGCTGTAACTCAGACAACACTTTGCGATTTTCTTCTTGTGAGATATCCATTCCGAAGCCACCTTTTTGAAGTAAATTATACCCTTTTTTAACTTTAACAAAATTTTTGTAAGTCTCCAAGTTATTATTTGATGGCTCTTCGTCAAGTAGTGCTAGCGCCTCGTCAAAGCGCCCCATGATGTAATAGCCATACCATATTGATGAATGCTCATTAGTCACAACAATCTCGTAGATTGAGGAATCAGTATAAACCCATACCGTCTCATTTACAGGATCAGATATTACACCATTGATACCATGCAAATTTGGGTTCAATTCTATAGGTGGATGCATCAAAAGCTTGTCTTGTATCACAATTCGATCAGTCTCGTAGATCAAAATGTAATGGTGTCGAGTAGTAGTAAATGAAAGTAGTTCTGTGATGTCCATGTCATTCCATTTTGAGTTTGGAGCGAGCAATGCCTCTTGGTCATTGCTTACAAAAGCAGAGGTGTCTGTAAGAACATGAAACTCGTTCAATTTAACAGCAGATCTATAGTCGCCCAATGTATGCTTCAGTATTAGAGGTTGAGACGCAAATACTTCGACCAACAGCTTCTGTGAGAACTCTGCGGTTTCGTAAATGGCCACCTCGCTTTTTGAAACAACATAAACACGACTTTCACTCGTGCTGACACATACACAAACGACTTCACTTTTGCATCTTAGTATTTGTTTCACTAATTTGTCATCACGCTTATTTTCGCTTGTGTGAGGCTTGATGTTAACAACAAAGATACAATCATTGGTCGTCGTGGTCACTAGCTCGACCACCCCAGAATTCGTGAGGTCTTCTCGAAAAGTTATATTTCGTATTTTGAGGCCATTGAGTTTAGGAAGTGCCTTGAAGGATGTGTAGCTCTCATGAAGATAAAAATGAAGCGAGTGATTGACCTGAATTATGAGATGTGTCGCACGCAGATTAGCCCATAGTCCAGAAACTGTGTCTTGGGGGACTGTCTAGGTAACCGCAATGATAGCACTTTCGATGGCTCGTCTAAAGAAAACCTTCGGACGACATCCCCACAAATCACGAAAGCAGTGTTGTTGGTAATTAGGAAATGGCTTAATTTAGATTCAATGTCAAACAGGAATCTAACCTCATTAAGAGAAAAATTAGGCTTTTGCAACTTTGCATCGTGCATCATTTTCGAGGATAAAGTGAAAGTAAGATGAAGATTCATGCTACTGCGGGCGTCTACAAACTGCAGGAGTATCATGGTAACGACAGAATCTCATCATCTACATAGTACGTCAAACGAAGCACCGATGTTTCTCTCCAGCGATGCTTAAAGAGAAAAATTGAATCACAAGTCGTGAGTCGTGGTATTGTCTCAAGTTTCTGCCCCTTCAGGAATGCAAGCACGATTAGAGCTTTACTGACAGACAGAACAGCCGTGCTTAGGCTATGAGCTATTCTCAACTTCTTTTTCCAAAGTTTAGTCATTTAGTCTAGTGTTGATTGAGCATCAGATAATAGCATAGCTTCAGTGAAGCTATATCAAGGGTTTGTCTCCGAGGACCAATACTGCACCATTTGCTTTTTCTGAGCCGGAGAGCGCAGCAAAGAAGACATGACTGTTTTTCGACTAAAACTTGAAGAGCACTTCTCTTAACAGCTATACTATAGTAAAAATCTGGTTTCTAAAGAGAAATTGGTCAATTGAGTTTGCAAGGATCGATAAGCAACACGTACCTAGTGTTACCAGGCATCAATTTAGTTGTGAGCCACAACCAAAGTCGTGTATCTACCAAGTAAACACCCCTACTGTTAATGCGCTGTTATCAACGTACACTTAAATCTTTCCATTGTTTGATCCCATTTTGCAGAAGATGAACGTGTTGAAATTACAAAAGAGATTTCCACAATTGGAACAGAGTGAGATCTTTTCGGTCATCGAAGAGTTTCGCAGTATTGATTTAGAAGAGAGGGGCTGGGCTGAGAAGAAAGATGTCATCAATGCAATTGCTCTGAAAGGTGAATCCTCCTATGATCACGTTCGTGAGACACTTAAATCTGTTGATGTTGATGCTTCTGGCCATGTTGAGTTGGACGACTACGTCGAGTTGATTGCGAAATTGAAGGAAGAGAACACGACGCCTTCTAAGGGACAATTTTCGATTGGATCGTCTCAGATTCCATCTCAAGATTCGGCTGCTTCGCCAAATCGGAAAGCTGGAGCTGGGCATAAGACCTATATCAGTGGCAAGACATCTGGTACAACGCACACCATCAATGACGAAGAGCGCACCGAGTTCACTCGCCATATCAATTCAGTGCTTTCAGGTGACTCTCATGTCGGGGATCGGTTGCCATTTGACACAGAAACCTTTCAAATTTTTGATGAATGTCGTGATGGTTTAGTATTATCGAAGCTCATCAATGATTCTGTGCCTGACACAATTGACACCCGTGTTCTCAATTTGCCAACCCAAAAGAAGAAGACACTCAATAACTTTCAAATGTCTGAGAACGCAAACATTGTAATCAATTCTGCAAAAGCAATTGGTTGTGTGGTTGTCAATGTTCATTCAGAAGATATCATTGACGGTAAAGAGCATCTTATCTTGGGATTGATTTGGCAAATTATCCGTAGAGGGTTGTTATCGAAGGTTGACATCAAGTATCACCCTGAACTTTACAGACTCTTGGAGGAGGACGAGTCCTTGGAACAATTTTTGAGATTACCACCGGAGCAGATTTTATTGCGTTGGTTCAATTATCATTTGAAGAATGCGGGCTCCCAAAGACGTGTCAACAATTTTTCAAAAGACATAAGCGATGGCGAAAATTACACCGTGCTTTTGAACCAATTACAACCGGATTCATGTGATTTGTCTCCTTTGAAAGTCAATGACCTTCATGAGAGAGCTGAAAGAATTTTGGAAAGTGCAGAAAGAATAGGTGTAAGGAAGTATTTGACTCCTAGTGCGCTTGTTAATGGTAATCCCAAGTTGAATCTTGCGTTTGTTGCACATTTGTTCAACACGTATCCAGGCTTAGATCCTATTGAAGAAAGTGAAGCTCCAGAAATCGAAGAGTTCGACGCAGAGGGAGAGAGAGAGGCAAGAGTCTTTACTCTATGGCTTAATTCGTTGGATGTGGATCCACCAATTGTGTCCCTTTTCGAAGATTTGAAAGATGGCTTGGTTCTTTTGCAAGCATTCGACAAGGTGTTACCCGGAAGTGTTTCATTTAAGCACATTAACAAGAAGCCAGGAAATGGTAGTGAACTCTCTCGTTTCAAAGCCTTGGAAAACACCAACTACGGTGTCGAGATAGGTAAGGCTAACAACTTTTCTTTGGTGGGTATAGAGGGATCGGACATCGTTGATGGTAATAAGTTGTTGACGCTTGGACTAGTATGGCAGTTGATGAGACGCAACATAGTCAACACCTTGTCCAGCCTTGGAAACGGCAAAAATGTCAGCGACTCCGACATTTTGAAATGGGCCAATTCTCAGGTATCCAAGGGTGGGAAGAGCGCTCCCATTCGGTCCTTTAAGGATTCTTCGTTGTCGAACGGTGTATATTTGTTGGACGTGCTCAATGGTATCAAGCCTGGCTACGTTGATTACGACTTAGTATATCAGGGAGCCAATATCAGCGAAGACGAGAAGTACGCAAACGCAAGGTTGGCCATTTCTATTGCTAGAAAACTCGGGGCCTTGATTTGGCTAGTACCTGAAGACATAAACGAAGTCAGAAGCCGTTTGGTATTATCCTTTGTTGGAAGCTTGATGAATGTCGCGGATCAGAAATAATGAAATCCGTACACCACACGCAGTTAACCAATAGAATAAAACAAATTTGCAACGGAGAAGTTAGAGCATATACGTAATAGTCTTGCACCATGCTGAAACATATAATGCCGTTCACCGAGGCTAACACAAAGCGTGTTGCTTCATTATTTAGACAGGCTTTGAGGACGGCGTTCGATTCATCGCTCAAATTTGATGCATACAGAAGAGAGACAATCAAGATTAGACAACAGTTCGAAGCTGGAAGACATGTTTCAGATGTTAACGAATTGGAGACGTTGATCGAGAAAACCAGGGCCAAGCTCCAAGAGTGGAAACACCCTGACCCTTACATTCCTCCTTGCAGACCTGGCGGTACGAAGTATGAGAGAAACTTGCCTTCACCAAAGGGGGCTGTTATCCCAGGCGATTGGTAGATCGTACCATTTGGCATCTTGTCGGTCGCAGGTTAATTTCAGAAACTCAATAACTGAGGCAAATGCCGCAGTCAGATTTATCAACACTACTTTTCAAGCTGAGTATACACAATAAAAAGAAGGGTCTTGACATTGCGGTTGTAGCTGCACCAGATGATAATTTATCTTCACATTCTCTGGCTTTTAGTTTGGTGGCCAATCAGTTAAACAAAGCAACTTGCAGACCGAAGAAACAAACACACTTTTCTGGTAGGGTGGGTCTTACCCACGGGACCGTGTGGCAAAATGCTACCATTGGCTTCGAATGAAGTTGTGATGAGACTGCTCCTTTTATCTAGGAACTGCTTCATTCAATCGCTATCTATTGTTGATAAGAAGTGCCTTCAAATGTAGTATCCTTGCTCGATTTTGCGAATAACGTTGACAGTAAACTTGGTCAGGAACAGAAGAGCTGACACGATTTTTGATTGAGGATGGGCAAAGTCGGTTTTTGATTCTTATAAATTAAGGTTTTCAAATAAAGAAGGAAATTAGGACTATACCATGGAAGCTATCATTAAGGCAAGTCACGTGATTCTGAATTACCATCACTAAGGATAATGCGATGCTCATCACCATAAAATAACCTGCTTTGAAAACAAAATATGCCTAGATCTAGACGCTCGAAGTTGGTTACACTATCCAAAACCGATAAGAAGGGTAAGGAAAATAAGCTTCGCATTTTTGACTCCATTAGAGAGGCGTTAGACGAATACCGATACGTGTATGCTTTGCATTTAGGTGATCTCAGAAATAATTTTCTTCAGGACATAAGAGGCGACTGGGCTGGTTCGAAAATTATTGTGGGCAAGAGAAAAGTATTCCAAAAGGCTTTGGGCGAATCTGTCCAAGATGCCTACAAGGAAAATTCTAATAAGGTCAGCGAGATAATCGCAGCCCCAGAAGGTATCACCGCATGTTTATTCACTAATGAAGCACCAGAAACGGTCGAAGCATACTTCGAAGCTTTTGTCAAGTTTGACTATGCAAAAGCCAACAATGAGGCCCCCATAGACTTCACGATCCCTGAGGGAATTGTTTACTCCAGAGGTGGCCAGATACCGTTAGAGGAGGATGTTCCAATGTCCCACTCTTTGGAGGTAACATTGAGAACGAAGTATAAGTTGCCCACTAAGATCAAGAGCGGCAAAATATTCATGGAAAATCCTTATGAAGTTTGTGCTAAAGGCGATAAATTGGATGTGACGAAAGCATTGATTCTTAAGCAATTTGGTGTTGCCGCTACAGAATTCAAGGCGCACTTGCTCGGGAACCTTGACATTGAAAATGGCCAATTTAAGAAGTACTAATTGATTAAATTCTGTCAAAATGTCCATAAACGATCATCAGATTTTAATTCACGTGTATTGTAGGAGTAGACCCAAGCTTCATTCTCTGCATTGAACAAAAAATAATGTGGCACTCTCTTGACCGACGTTTCTCAAACTATAGATGTTTGAATTGGGAACAATGAAGGAACAGCCCGTTAAAACAACGAAACGATCTTGATTGAGCTCCACTTCGATGCGCCCTTGCGTCACATGAAATATGCACGTCATATCGTTGGAGCTTCTAAGGCTTTTGTAACCGTTTTCTGGCAAGTTGATGAGTCCAGAGGAAATTGACCCTTTTGATGACCTGAATAGTGGAGCTGCCAGAAAGTATTCTGTCTTGTCATTGTCGCCTGTGTCCCTGAAGGACACCCCAGTAGCTGTCCATGCAACTTCCTGCTTAGCACTTGTATCGTCATCAAGGAAAACTTCTACTTCCTTCACACCCTCATTGAACCACAAGGGATCTAGACTTTCGTCCTTTTTAACGGTTTCACCCTTTTTCTGTGATTTTCGTGTCATCTTTCGCTTCTTTGGTTTTGGGTCTGTGTCCTTAACATGTATAATTTCGGTAATTTCTTGTAGAGGAATTTTCTTCAAGTCGTTGATAAGTGTATTATCTTTCTCTGAGATGAAGCCTTCATCTGCACGAGTGTAAACTATTCGTTCGTTTCTCCAGAAGTCTAGTGGCTTCACTCGAGTTCGTTTAGAGCGTCGTAAACTCGTCGACTCGGGAGGAGGTGAAGGTAGCAGAGAATGAGTTCCAGCAACCTCTTCAAATAGTTCATCTTGCGTATTATCAAAATCATCATCGTCAGATATTTGATTATCATTGTCCCACTCAAATTGGTCATCCTTTGATACATTTGATGTGAGCTTTGAATGATCCCTAGAACCGAATTTGACAGGACTTCCTTCTAGGGATGATGCCTGAGGTGAATCAGACTTGTGCGGGCGTTCCAGAGGAGCCATATCCTCGCTTACTGCGTCAACTTCGTATGTTGAGGATTTTGTTGGTGGCCTTAGTTCAAGCGTCTTGAGCTGTTTCGGGCTGGTGGCATTTCCGACAGCCATCTCTTTCGTAAATTCCTTCATCTTAAAAGACTTCTGGCTCAAATCATCATTTGATGAACCCTTTTCAAGATCCTCGAAAGTGATGTCTTGGAAGTCGTCTGCATGTGCATCAAGCATGTTGTCTCCATCACTACCAAAAGATGTTACCTTAACAGGATCATGATGACTGCTGAATGTGAATCGCGGGGATTCTTTAGGGATTGGATCAGATCTTTGGCTCCGGCTCCCTCGATCGGTTGATGAATCTTTATAATCGTTTGATGGTCGGGTATCCTTGAGTGCTGTTGGTATACTTTCCCGTATGCTGCTTCCCTCAGCAAAAAACTCATCTATGTCCTCCATGTCATACTTGTCTCTTATAAGTCCCTCACGGACTCTGAATCCCGTTTTACGAGCCTCTTTCCCAATTTTTATTAGATCCATCGGCTTGACTGTTCGATTATTTGAGTAAACACAACATCTACAACGAGCGCGAAGTCGCGAGGCGCACCTTTGTAGCACCAAAACAAAGTTTCGCGATAAGAGTGCTCTTATCTTGACAACATATGAGACACTAAACATCAAGTTGCGCTATACTTGAGCATTCTGTCCTTTGGCGTTGAGTTAGCTCGTATACAATTGCCTTACCGTCAGAAAATGTGACACAGAGGAGAAATCTAGGGATTTGAATCAGGACGGAGATGTCTCTGGAAGTAACACCTAAGATCGTTCTCGAAAGATTTAGCTGATTTGCAGGGCCGGGAAGCATGAACTCTTGTCTCATAGCATGATTTCCATTGTAATGGCAGAGTCGCATAATTGTTAGCAAACCAGCTTGCGTAGCCAATACAAGTACCAGTAGCTCAGGAATTAGGTGCGAAATTGAAATTCTGTCAGACCAGCCCATATCATTTTGACATTTATGCTCTTCGAAATCAAAGAGGGCCCCGCTGTTTGCTTGGCATAAAAGTGAATCACCTCTCAATAAAGCGACTTCTTTTGGCGTGGAGACGACGATGTGCACATTCAGAAACAACATTTGGACATTCTCCACTAGTTCTGAATGTAAAATTTGCTTTACTTTGTGGGAGTCATCCTCTTCCACAGTGACTTGATCCACTTCATCTAAGGAAGCTAAACCACCTATCCAATATAATGATGGGACGTGGAACTTTTGAATTTTAGAAGCCAATGAAACCTCCCCTTTTTTTTGATTAAGGATTCGTGATTCAACTTCTAAGTTTGTCTCAAGTATCTGCTCATCTCGATAGTGGGCTCCTGTCAAAGCCCTAAACGAGTTTACCGGTAAAAAGTATCTATCGGCAATTGGTTTAGCAGTCCAACAATCGTTGTAGAGCTTCGCATTCAGAAGCTTCTCACATCTTGCGTTTTGAAAGTTCTTGGGATCAAAACGAAAAACAGCTGTAAAAACATCCCCTGAAATACACGCGATGCAGACATACACCTCATGAACATCGTCACCGATGTGGTAGTCCAATATCGAAACCTCAGGAATGTTATGATTCATGGGAAAGCTTTCAATGGCTTTGAATGAATCCTCCTCCGAGCTGTAGTAAAATAACTTGACGAGGTGGTCATTGCACGAGCCGATCGCGACATAATGATAAGATCCCTGACTGTCACCACAGGTAGCAAAATCAACACACCAACACGACGAACCGAGTCGAAGCTCGTAATCGGGTACCACCCTTACGCCGTAGTAGGTTGATCGTGGTCGCTGGTTGATTTCAAATTGACGTATTCTATCATATAACAGGTTGCACCTCCAGATCAAGATCCTGCCGTCATCTGTACACGCTGCAAGAACTGAATGATCCATCCAAGATGAATCATACTTCAAGTAGTTAATAGTATGTGGATTAATGTGCGAAACGGCTGCTCTCAAGTCGTTTGGTGAAGTCGATAGCGGCCGACTATCGAAACGAAATAAGGGAGTTTCTGGCTGATCAGTTGAAGTTGCATCATGAAGTAGGGCAGTATAAAATAGGAGACTTGATTCACAGGCCACAACGAGCAAAGGTTCAACTAAGTCATTATCGTCCATAAACACCAGCAAGTTGTTTTTAAATGGTAGAGAATCACGAAGGCCGTCAAGTTGTTGGACCGAAAGTAGCCTTAGATCGAGCAGGTCATTGTATAGCTCGGCAGGATTGTGACGTACGAAGAGTCCTGTATTTTCTGTTTCCAAGCATGATTCATCCACCTCGTAGAAAGAACGACCATTGTACAAATATTCCGAGACCTGGTCAACTCCGATACTCTGAGCATCAGCAAGCCAAGTTTGATTAGTTCGATCATTGTGGTGCCTGGTTTCGGTGATGTCGGCTTGAGTACTGCGAGTTGGGTTCAAGACAGTATTCTCCACATCATCACCCTCAAATGGCTCAATTGAAAAATCAGCAGCTAGAAAACCTAGACCTTCATCGAGATTTCTGGACCGACTTTGTGAATGTTGCAAAGGTAGTCCTGCGTGGGATTGATTCGTCCTGGAGGCACCGATAAGATTGATCCTTGGGTTATACGATCCCTCGGCTGCCCAAATATTTTGTAAACGACGAGACTGGAAGCTTGTTAGACGTTGCGACTGCCGCAGACCAGTTGCGTTACTTCTGTGGGAATTTAGTGAATTAAGGGTAAGTGCAAACTCCGTTTCTGTCATGGGCATATTGGAGATATTGAAGGGTCACTCAAACGCGAAAGGTAACATTAAGCATGTGTATGCGAGTGTCACAAAGCACCTTCAGAACTTAAGTCGAGTAAAATACCCTCTATTCTTTTAATTGGTAAACAATTTCACGTTATCGATCCGATGAGAGTATCGTTATTTGCGTGCATTATCTGCATTCTATGTACAGCCTTAGGGGAAGCTTTCGGACATCAAAGGGATTATATTGAAATTACCGAGCAAAGATTAGAAAATCGAATTCGGGATAAATTCCACTTACTCAGCTCGAAGTCAGATTTTCGATCACACAAAAACAAAGCTCTTTTATCGGATCGTGAGAATGAGTTTTTCATAAAAGATACTAATCAAACCGTATACTTCGACTATTCGAGTAAGATGTGGTATACGTATCAACACTCAGGTTTAGGAAACCCCATAGCAGATACACGTATTCCACTCACTTGGTGTTACGACACTGTTGGTGGAGGAAAAGGTGCAATCAATCATGCTTTCGAGATTCTGCTCTCGGCGGAGCAGGTCTTCTCAAACGAGGGCAAGGTCGAGGGTATTTTGCAAATTAAGGGCACACTCATTCTGGGGAATTTGGGCGTTGCTTTGTCTGAGAGCATTACATTCAAAGGCGCCCACTCATGCGAAGTGGAGCCAGCGCAATTCGCAAGGATTTACTTAAAGCCTTTTTACCAAGAAGTGTTCGAGGGTCTGCGAGTTGCTGTTGTTTTTGATGATCAACAGGGCCTCAAAGAAGTCGGAGATTGGCAGAAAACATCCTCGTTCAAGCGCTTTTCGCCTCTCCCACCCTTGATAGAGTGCGCACTCGGAGCGGAGCCAGAAATCTGCGATCTGGGAATTCTTTGAATACTCATCGAATCACACAAAACAGAATGGGAGAGGGCAAATTTCATGCTGACTACTCGAATTTTGGCAAAACTCTGAAAAGGGAAGCGTTGGAACTCGTGAGAATGTCTTTTGAGGCTCTCGCTGAGGACTCTAGGTATTGGGTCCTGAATTTGTCTAATGCAGCATCATTACTTTGGCACGCGTATCATTCGCTTGAAATTCCCGTCAATTGGGCTGGCTTCTATGTGGTGGACAAAAACGTCTCCAAAGATTTGGTTTTAGGGCCATTTCAAGGAAAGGTTGCTTGTCAATCAATTCAGATTGGGAAAGGCGTCTGTGGTGTCGCGGCACTGGAGAAGACCACTCAATGCGTGCCCGATGTGGAGCAATTCCCGCGTCACATAGCCTGCGATGGGGAAACAAAAAGTGAAATAGTTGTGCCGATCGTGAAAGATTCGCAAGTTATTGCTGTTTTGGATATCGACTGTTTGGAAAAAGCTGCATTTGACCAAGATGATGCCGAGCTTCTAGAAGCTTTGGCAGTTGCAATCTCAAAATCGCTGGATTGGCCTCAGTAAAAACTGTTTTTTCATACAATAACTTTTGATAATTACACAATAAGACATACAAAAAGAATTGAAAGAATTACCGAATGACTCGAAGCAAGTGAGGAGTATATGGACAGTAGTCAGCCCTGCTCAGATTCGGCTTGAACACGTCTACTTTCCTCTCTCTCCAAATTATGATAAAGCAATGCTTTGGCCTTCTCCACAGCCTTTGCCGAGCCCGTTATAGTGAATACACGCTCAAGAACTCCTTCTTCCTCATCGGAGATGCCGATAGTAGCTCCACTCACTTTGCGAACCCCTTGGATTCGAGCACCATTTTTGCCTATCAATGCACCCACGATATTATTGGGAAAAGAGACAGTTGTAGTAATAGTACGCCGTTGGCCTCCATTAACATCCCCCTCGTTTGAGAGCCTCTAGGCACGTAGTATGTAGTGCCTACGGCGGATGAAAAGTCCTCAATAAGGCATCTCAGGATGATACGCAAGGAGTCGTATAGATTGTCGACAGTTCCTTGCAATTTCACCAACCTCTCAGTCGACTCTGGAAGATGGAGCTTGGATGCTATCATCAGGACGTTACACTCCCTTTGGATTTGTTGGATTCGAGCGCCTCTTGATCCAATTATGGTACCCATTTGGGCATTTGGAATCAAGAGACGTAAAACTGTGGTTTCCCCCTCTATGTTTGGTATCAGCAGTAACTGCTTGAGTGGGAAGTACATGTAGGAGAATTGGGTCTCTGTGGATGCGTTGACCAAAGCCTGGGCGAAGTAGCTTAACGCTTTTGAGGCATCATCAAGAGTTCCACTCACGGTCAAAATTCGCTCGTAGGAACCAGGCTGTAGACTGGATATGCCCGCTCTAGTTCCTGTCTCTTCTCTGATGGAATCAATTACAGCCCCATTTTGTCCAATGAGGCAACCAGCTTCTTTGGCAGAAACAAGAACTCGATAGTTTATCAACGCTGAGGCATATGATGGTTCAGAAAGTGATGGAAGGACTAGCTCAGAAGTATTTTCGGGCCCATTGAGTGCTTCAGGTTCGATTTGACCATCTACTTGAGCCAAGTCGTCGTCATTAAGCTCCATTATGAACGGAAAGTTGGTAAAAAAGCAGCTTGAATTCGCTGACTATAATTTTGTGATGTTTATCCTCAATTAAGACTCAAATGTCGTTAGCTCGTAACAAGTCGCTTGCACTTGTCCTCAGTGAAATCGCTGGTGAAATGCAGCAATTGAGGTTGTGGGGCTTCCAAGTTAAATAGTTGTGGATAGTAAGAGTCCACAGCAGGTACTGACTAAACACAGTAATGTTACGGCAACACGATGCTCTCTAGATAGCACGATGACGAAAAGTGCTGTTGTTTGCTGTGACACACTCAAGTTACTGATGAGGACAATGTATGAGCCCGACTAGGAAGTTGCATAATTAAATGCAGGGCGGTTAGGGAGACCCTTGTTACCTACTGCATCATAAAAGGGAGGAGGGAAAGGAGGAGAGGAAGAATACGTCCGTGTAAATGTTACTTATCAATCAAATGTTGGCCTGATTTTAATTAAATTTATTGTTTGTTGCAAGAAAATGTGGTGAGCTTCGAAAGCTTCTCACTCCGCGATCTCCTCGTATATATTATTGCACCTTGGGATGCATAGCAAGCAGCCACGGCACATCTTCAGGATGAGTCCAACGTAGAAAAATCGGCTTGCCAGATCTGTGGCGATCGATACTTTCAAAACCTTGGTTAGGCGTGTGTGGATTCAATATCAGCTCGACAGATTATTGAGGATTGGCTCGATTGGCTATTATACGCGAGAGAGCGCATGAGGCTGTTAGCACAGATAACAAACGGGCTTCTAAACTGTTCGATGCGCGCAAGTTGGAGACAGAGTTGCAAAGATGCCCTTGGATCTGATGATTTTCATGATAATTTCGAGTCTTAGGTGTTCACTTCTGTAATGCCATTAGTCTATTTGCAACTATCTCGCTTGTATCATGTGAGCAACTTACTCATGCGGAACGTATTAAATTTTTCAAGATCCTTCTCGCGGTTGAGGATATCATTGAATGAGTAAAAATTAATTGTCTCTGAATCAGGAGAACACTCTTCTACGGATTCGGAATCTTCCTCGCGAACATCCGTTTCTTCTTCGTCTTCTTCCAGTGCCAATGCTTTTAAAAGAGAGTTGCATATGAATGATCTTGATCTTGATCTTGACCTCTGACGAGGTCTCAATGCTGTTTTCTTCTCACTAGAGCGATTTGAACACTCTGCCTTCTCGGAATGCTTGAGTTTCTTTCCTTCACCATCGCAATCGCAACATACGACGCTGACCTCGCTAAAGTCTATCTGAGGGTTGGTCAAGATCTCTGCTGAGTGATCCAAGACGGGTGGAATAAAGTCTTCAGTGCTATGGTGGAGCGCAATAGACCGCTGTGAGTCTGTGGAAGCCACAGAGCTCAGTCTTGCATTGTTGAGTTTATTAAGAGCCGTACACATCGACACTCTTGAATTTCTTCTGCTTAAAGAGCCAAATGACAGGGTGCTCAAACAACGTTCAAAAATATCTGGTTGACTGGAACGGCGCAGTTTATTTGTAAGTTTGGAAGCGGAATCTGTCGCCAGAGGCCAAACAAATGGTTCGACGTCCTCTTCGATACGTTGCTGTCGAGACTGCTCATTATCTTCTGTCAGGCAGCTGGTATCCAATGGATCAGGCATTTTGTGAATGTTCTATAGGGACGGTTTCTTCTCTGGTTTTACCGAATGTGGGCTTGGTTTCTCTTTCTTGCAACTTAAAAGAGCGCTTCTATGTGGGTTTGCAGGGGGATTGTGAGAATGGAATTGTAAATGCGCTACCAGAAATCAGGCTAGGGGACCACAGATCTTATATATCAAGCACTCACCAATCTTATATATGCAATTTCCACAAATAATTTAGGTACTTATCGGGTCAAAAGCTGGCATGCAGCGTGACCGTAGTGCACACAGACTTGTTACGTGAGGCTCATGGAATGCACGCTCTCGTTTTGGCTCGGTCAAGGGCCGGCGCCATGGCGATCGAACGAGCACGACGGCTTCGATACAGTTTCGCATCCTGCAAGACGCATGGAAAGGTTTCTTTCCAAATTTTGCCCAGCATTGATGCCCAAAAAGCGGCAAGGCTTTTGGGTGACATGGATGAAATTTTCTTGATTTGACACAAGACAGCAGTGGGTTATTGACGAAGACAATTGAGCTTTCAGTTTCGCTCCTCGCTAGTTTCAGAATTTTTTTTTGCGGCGTTTTATGCGAAAAACGGCTGACGCTTCGGCGACGAATGACTGACGCCTCACAGTGCTTGGTGCAAGGGCGTGTGGAACCTTCAACACCTTGATGATTGCTCCTCACAGCCGTGCCAGTCATTTTGGGTGAAACCTTGTATTACCATCATCAGACGTAGCTGCTCTAACAATCCGAAATTTTAGTTGCTTTTCAAAACACTTAGCAATAGACGGTCCGCAATGAAACGTCGAGCAAGAAATATCCTGAGTGCAAAAAAAAAAAAAAAAAAAAAAAAAAAAAAATAAAAAGTCGTGAGATTCTGCAAGGCCAAGATCATGAAATTTGCCAAATATGTTGTTTAGGCCTTGAGCTGCCACTCCTCCAGATAGGGCGTTTCGCTGAATACAATGAATGACACTGCAAACCAATTGTTAATGAAACATGCAGATTTTTGATCCCGGAGGTTGAAGCGGGGGGCCTCTCATAAATATCAAACAATGGGGCTTACGATTCACCCCGTTGGGATTGGGCCATTTTGCTGATTCCTTCAACTTTTTGAAAACTACATGTTTTTAGTTCCTGGAATAGCAATGCAGCGATAGTTGAATAAGGTTTGGCGTTTTGGAGCGTTAATTATAACGGAAGATTTGGCGGCTCCATACACAACATCACGAAAAGATATACCTTAGGTTATGTCCGGTCCATAAACATTCACTACTACCATCGTAGATCCGTTCTTGACACAAATATGTGGCTTCTGCCGATGTGGCACTCCCGTTCTCCACACACGGCCAAATTCAGAAAAAAAAAAAAAACAAAAAAAAAAAAAGTGGTCTAAAAAGAAAAGACAATTCTCATAAAGGTGGTAGCTGAGGGGCTACCAGAGTTCTTGGAGTCTGACTCCACAAACGGTGACAGAGCCACAGCTACACTATAAGTGATAATTTATGTGAGACATATCTCCACACTCAATTATAAACACGACTCGTCTCCTGATGTGGCATATTTGCAGCGGCTAAATGGTAGATAACGACGGAATTGAATCGGTATTCCTGAGTCTTTTTTTTTTTTTTTTTTTTTTTTTTTTTTCTATGTGGAGAAAGGTAAGGGCCCAAAAGCGCAGCAAATTCGCGAAGCCGTTCGGGGAAAAGGTGCTAGAAAAGCGGAGGCAAAAAGCGCGAAGCAACGCTGGCGGCAATCATGGCTATCTTTTCGGAAAACCCTGGCTCCAATCTGACACTCAGGGGAGCAATTTAGAAGAAGAAAAAGATAATTGAAATGCGCGTATCAAGATGTGTGGCACTGCCTTCGATAAACAGTCCGGTTAGACGACATTTGGGATTGCGTTAACACAGTGATCACAAAATTCAACTCGAGGTGAAGATAACACAACTTCCATGGTGTGGGGTGAAGTGGTGCTCAGGCGGAGAAACTGAGAAAATTAGTCTAGGTTCGTGTGGTGCCCCGTTGTACCACTCGGCGTAAAGTTTTCGTGAGCCCGCTCGAATGTCGCAATTTTGCGCCGATAGAGGTATCATTGCCGAAGGTTGGGCTTGATGGAATTTTCGCCGCAACTGTGCGGGGCCTAATACGGAGCGGCGCTGCTTATCAAAATCATATATAATCGGCACTCTCCACAGTTTTTGCGTTTGACACATTTTTTTTATACGAAGCTTGTCGTAATGCAAAAGTCTAGTAAAAGAATCAAGCTAGAGAAGGAGATTTTCTCCAAATCCATCAAGGACATCGAGAAGATGTTTAGTTGTCCCATGATAGACGAAGAAGAGCGTTTCCACAAACAGCCATCCACGCTGGCCTCGGCGCTGCTCAATAACAACAGACTGGATATTTTCAGTGAAAGCATACTCAAAAAGACTACTTTCGATTACGACTGTGTAAACCTCCTGTTGATGGAGTCTCAAAGCGGGTCGATGACGCTGATTTGGATGAGCCGGAGGAACCCGAACAGCACTTTTTGAAAGCACATAACCTACAGGTGCCTATCTTGCCTTCCTCCTCGCTAATACCTGGGCAGTTACCACAGGCTGCTTCCAGTCCAAGCCACATCCCGCTTGACTTGCGTGACGAGTACGACTTCTTTGATGCCGATGATGAAGCAGGTCTCGTGAGCCCCAGTATCAGATTTCCTTATCACAAGAACTTGGAAAGAGATTTGAAGATTATCGACCAGATGTTCTTGCAGCCTCTTCAGACAATACCTGGCGTTTGATGGCGTGCTTTTGAAAGTAAGACATCCGATCAAAATAACCACTACGCGCCGTGCGCGATGTGGCTTCGGATTTACAAATCCAGAAAACAGCAAGCGTCACAGAATCAACAAACGCCAAATCGCATCGCTATCAGCGAAGCACAAAGGTGTTATGTGAAGCATACGCTTAGGCAAACCATACATTGACGGCATTTACGCATTGAGCAATCTCTTCCCCTCCCCAGACCGGCTTAGTCTGGAAAAATTGTTCATACCTTGTCGGCACATGCAACAGGATTGCGTGTAGCCGGTGAGTTATAGAAGGCATGAGAAGATTTTTTTTTGGTAAATACCAAACGCAATCTAATAGACGTATCATCAAACAATTGGAGATAATTATTGTACAAGCGACATGGCGCGAACGTGGGGGTTGCAAAGATAAGAGTTAGCGACCTGCGCCCCACAGATACCAAGAGAAAATCCAAGAGATAAACGCATTTTCAAACCACAACTGACGGAAAACTCTTAGCGTTGTCGGTTTATTTTCGTCACACAAAACACCACAGAATTGGAATGTCAGACTCGATCTTGAGCAGATTTTTCTGCCATTTCGGAGATATTTGCGCTTATTGACACACGTCAAAATGCGGCCCGGATTATTATAACAATAGAAAAAACCTTCGATGCTAATCACGCTAATCTCCACCCAGGTATAGCCAGCGATAAAATTGCTACTACACATATTAGACGGTAGATGTTTTTGAGTGAAATAGACCCTTAAATTCATTGAATTTTTTGTTCCATCGTCTCTAATTTGCGTTTATGGTAGTCTTCCCATTATTACTCAGCTAATTATTCCTGAAGCCACACCTATTGCAGAACAGGTGAATACTCGTGGGGTAAGGGATACTTTATTTGCGCATTGCAGATACGACTTTCTTATCGCGTTATCTTAGTATAACTTTACTGCGGTAGCACATCGAGGGGAGAAGAATGTCGTCGAAGTCTCTAGATAAGAGTTAGGAAACTCCAACTGTTGTGGTCATAGTTGAGCATGAAATTTCAAGTCATGACTTTTTTATTCCTTCTTGTTGAGGAAAATGCTTCATAAGACGTCAGTCATGCTCTTATCTGAAACATCAGCAACCCATATATTAAATGGCCATTTTGCCTTTCGATCCATAGGCTCCAAACAAGTTTGAAAAACCTCCATACACCAATATTCATTTGTCGGTGCGAACATTTTTCTTCAAGGAGGTACGGGTGTCAACCACGAAACCTCATTTCTTCAAGTCAGGCGGTCTGAATCGAATCAAGTAATCATGGTATTAGCGGACTTGGGCCTGCGCTTGAGAAGCGCATTGAGCACAGTCAATTCCGGCTCTGAATCTGAGGTTCAGAGTTTGGTGAAGGACATTTGCACAGCATTGCTAGAGTCTGACGTTAACGTCAAGCTCGTGGCCAAGTTAAGAGACAATATCAAGAAAAAGTGTGCCACTGAAATCGCCAATGAAAACGAATCATCCGCCAATAAGCGCAAGAAGTTGCAAAAAATCGTGTTTGACGAGTTGTGTGGATTAGTGGACTCTCACGAGGAACCTCCAAAACCTCAGAAACTAAACAGAACCGTCGCAAAGACAAAGGGAGGTAAGAAGACCAAGAAGCAAGCAAGCTCGCATATTATAATGTTTGTCGGTTTACAAGGTGCTGGTAAGACGACATCGTGTACGAAGTTGGCCGTATACTATAAAAAGAGAGGATACAAGGTCGGTCTTGTCTGTGCGGATACATTCAGAGCTGGTGCCTTTGATCAATTAAAGCAAAACGCTATCAAATCCTCCATCCCCTTCTACGGTTCCTATTTGGAAACTGACCCTGTCAAGGTTGCATTCGAGGGTGTGACAAAGTTCAAGGAGGACAAATTCGACATTATTATCGTGGATACCTCCGGTAGACACAAGCAAGAACAATCACTTTTTGACGAAATGATTCAGATTGGTGACGCTGTTCAGCCGACCCAGACAATCATGGTCATGGATGCATCTATTGGTCAGGCTGCCGAGGGTCAAGCCAAGGCCTTCAAAGAATCTTCCAATTTCGGTTCCATCATCTTGACGAAGATGGACGGCCATGCTAAAGGTGGTGGTGCTATCTCCGCAGTCGCTGCTACTAACACTCCAATTGTATTTATTGGTACCGGTGAGCACGTTGGAGACTTTGAGGTCTTTAAACCATCAACTTTCATCTCCAAGCTTCTTGGTATCGGTGACATCCAGTCGTTGATTGAACACGTGCAGCTGTTGAACTTGCAAGATGACGAAGGTCACAAACAGACAATGGAAAACTTCAAGGAGGGTAAGTTCACGTTACGTGATTTCCAGACGCAAATGAATAACTTCATGAAGATGGGACCTTTAACGAACATTGCATCCATGATTCCAGGTATGTCCGGCATTATGAATCAGATTGGTGAGGAAGAGACCTCTAAGAAGATCAAAAACATGGTTTATATCATGGATTCCATGACCACCAAGGAACTTGATAGTGACGGAAGAATCTTTACGCAAGAGCCAGAGAGAATCTTAAGAGTTGCCCGTGGTGCTGGTTGCAGTGCCGTTGAAGTCGAGATGGTGTTGCAACAACAGAGGATGATGGCTCTGATGGCCGGTGCTGCTAAGAACATGAACGCAGGTGCCGGAGGTCAAATGCCAGGAATGGGAGGTGGCGGTGGAGCTGCTAACATGCAAAGAATGATGCAGCAGGCGCAGCTGAACCCTAACTTCATGCAGCAGGCGATGAATATGTTTGGTGGGGGTGGAGCAGGTGGTGCTCCCGGAGGAGGTATGGGCAACATGGCTAACATGATGAACAACCCTCAGATGATGCAACAGGCCCAGCAAATGATGAGACTGAACCCCAACTTGATGCAACAAGCCCAGCAAATGATGCAAAATCCTGGAATGATGCAAAAGATGATGCAACAGTTTGGCGGTATGGGCGGTATGTAAACGGCTGCAAAACAATAAGGATGGTTTGACAAGCCAGGTGTGCATACATTGCTCGCATTGCCCGCCATTATCCCGAGGCTGACGCACCAAGTTAGTACGATCTCAGTTAAGCGCTTTACAGCAGAAAAAAAACGAGGCCTTGTTGTGTGGCGTGACCGAACCTTGCTACTCCCATGCTCATTCAAACCGTTTGTCACGACTTTGTCAAAACACAATAGCTCTTAATCGTCGCCAATGCAGCACTCTGAAGCATGATCGTATCTGGGTGCACCAGCATGAGCTGGCCGAAGCACCGAAGTGTCTCGCCTCACTCTTTTTTGTGTTGTCCAGCGAGGCATTGTGTCTAGGACACTCCGCAGTCCTAGCTTCTCTTGATAAACAGGCTTTGCTAGGAAATAATAAATGACATTCTAGCCCTTCGATGTGTCTTTCCGGGTGCATTCGGGTCGTGCATCTTCCGCTCCCCACTTCGAAAGGCCCGACCTAAAGTAGTATATGGAGGGATAGTGATCATGTCGGTCACCTGACTTTCGAATGAGGCTGCGCTGTGTGACGGACGATTATGTAGCCGTCTCTGCTTATACCCGTAGATCCCCAAATAGTGAATTCCGTATCATTAGCTGTTCTTCGATTTTGCTCATTTCTTCCACAAAATTATCCCCGACCATTTGATACCTTTTTTACAGAGGCTTACTAGACCCAGATCCTTAACCCCACATACACAACACTCCACGTCCCATTAACAATGGCTGAGGATGAAGAGCCCAAAAGCTTGAACTGGGATGAGATCCACGACATGGTGGTCCAGAAGGGCAATAATTGCATAAATGGCATAAAGCTAAAGGACATTGACTGGTTCTTAAGAGACTCTAACGTCTCTGCCAATCTCACCAGAAGGGATCTGGAACCAGATATACCACTTCCAGCCGACGATAGAACACTTACCACCCCAGCATCGCCACAGATGGCCACCACCGTTTCCAATACGAATGACAATATCTCAGGGAAACTGAAACCCTCAATATCTCCGATTTCGGAAGAACCCATCACTTCCGCGTCCAATGGACAGGCTTCTTCTCTGCGATCCCTTCCAATTTACCCAAGAAGACGATCCAGTGCTGCCAGTTTGGCCAGTGCAAGCAGCAATGGTAGCTCAGCCAGCAACGGTGGATTCTTTTCGAAACTCAAAAACAAATTCCACAAATCAGATCCGCCCAGTACAAATGCATCTCCTTCCCTCCCTCCACAGTCGGCCAGCGCAGACGGCCAAGACTTATTCAAGAAAGATTATCAAATGCGGCTTTCGAGACAAACATCTCCTTTGAACATCTCGTCATCACCATCCCAATCGGTACCTGATGTGAGGGGGTCCTCCACCAGCCGCAGAGCTTCGCAGGACTCCACTGATCCCAGGCTTGATGAGTACGTTCGCTTTTACAAGCAACCCGATCTGAGACGAAGCTCATTGAGTCGTCGCAACTCTGTACGGTCTGTCAACGGGCTCGAGAGTTGTCTTTTAAACCCGATTCCGCAGAAGAAGCCCTCTATCTCGCAAGAGTCTACTAAGGAGAGCACAACATCCAAATTTTCGTCCTTGCTTCGTCGTAAGAGTGTGTCATCTACTCCAGCTAGCATCAGAGAAGAGACCGGCCGCGACTGCCAATCTTTCGATTCGGCCGATTCTAGCAGTGGCCTGAACTGTACAAGTGCAGAGAACCTTCCACAGTTCAAAGGCTTGAAGCCCTTGAAGCGTGTTGCATTTCACTCACTGACATTCCTCATTGACCCACCACAGCAAATTCCATCTAGAAATCCTCGTAAAGGTAATGTCGACATCTTACCTGGCAATGTTGTCAGGATCAATCCTCTCACAGAAGCTGATAAGGAAGCTATCGAGCGGTCACAGCGCGGACAAGGTGGGGGTTTAGTTGTGGGTGGCACTGGAGCTCTCGGACTCATCAACAAAGATGAACAGGATGACGATGGCGATGCGGCGCCTCAAGAAGATGACGATCCTGAGGCAGAGGCGGAGCAGAGTCCGGTCCAAGATGACAAAGAGGTGGAACAAGATTCCGCTATCGACGAGCATGCGAAGCTGATTGCCATCGACAAACCAATGTTGCATCACACTGCCCGCAAGGGCTACTCAGTGCCTATCAGGAAGATGGCTCTTGATCTCATGTATACTAGATGTTGTCACTTGCGTGAAATTTTACCCATCCCAGCTATAGCCAAGCAGATTCCAAAAGGCACAATGACTCCACTTCCTATAATCCAGCTCCGCAACCCAGCACCATCAATGATCGAGATACAGACTTTTGCCGACTTTATCCGAATTGCACCCATATTCTGTGTTTCTCTTGATGGCGTCAGTCTCTCCCTCGAGCAGTTCAAGATTTTACTCAGCGCCATGGCTTCCAAGACACAACTTGAAAAGTTGAGTTTGAGAAATACGCCCATAGATGCCGAGGGTTGGTCGCTCCTTTGCTGGTTCCTCTCCAGAAACAAAGTCATCAGCAAATTGGATATTACGCAGTGCCCACCATTATCGGTTAATGTTCTCAAGAAAAAAAAGAAGAAGACAGAAGAGGATACCCTCGTCCGTATGAATTGCAACAAAGAGAATAGATCTGATATGGATTGGTCATTGTTTACAGCAACTCTTATTGCTAGAGGAGGTATTGATGAACTCATTCTTACGGGTTGTTGCATCAATGATATTGAAGTTTTCGATAAGCTCATTTCCCAAGCCATCTCGCTCAAAACCTATAGACTCGGAATGGCGTACAACCAAATCCGACCACAACAGTTGAAAATCTTGTTTGAAAAGTGGGTGCTTACAGGTAAAAGCCGTGGACTCGATTTGGGCTACAATGATTTCCTGTCACCAGCCTATTTACATACTATCGTGGACTTGACCAGAGATCCCAGGCTGTCGGCTCTCATACCAAAAACTAATTTAGCGTTCATGAGTTTGAATGCAACAAACATGAGATTCAGCCTGCTCTTCAAAGAGGCCTTCGAGAAGTTCTTGGTTGAGTTACCCAACCTTAAATACCTAGACTTGTCCAACAATCCTAGACTTTTTGGCTCGAGGGTGAGCGGCGAAGCTGATTCTGAAGAGAGCTCGACTTATAATGATGCGCTGTCTGGCTCCCAAAAGGCTCTCAACCTAGAGGCAGAACAGAAACAGAGCCAAGAGGCTATCTTCAGTTATTTCATGTTGAAGCTTCCGTTGTTCAAAGGATTAGTTCGTCTTCATTTGGAGAACAATGGTCTAACCTCGGCTTCTTTGGTGGCCCTCTCAGAAACCATCCCATTTTGCAAGAGACTTGGCTACTTGTCAGTTCTTGGTAACGAACTTGATGTTGTTGCAGGCACAGCTCTTATTGAGGGTCTCAAAAACTCTAAGACTTTAATTACCATTGAGTGTGACTACAACCTTCTTCCAGACTTGTTCAAGGAGCGTATTGGTCTCTACACCATGCGCAACATGGAACGTGCGGTGGAGTTTCAGAAGAATGTTGCCGAGAAGCTGCAAGTTGACCCCGCTGAGATGTCGCTTACAGAGCAGCTTTCACAAATTGTCTCGCAGAAAGCTGCCGGAAAGCTTGACGTCAAATCTCCCGAGGTCAACGCATTTATTGAAAGAGCCAGAGCGGACAGAAGGAACTTGCAGACGACCATTCTTGAATTGCTTCAAATGCAATGGAAGAACGAGCTCAACATTGATGGTAAGGAGACACTCATCCGGTTATTGTTCATTGATTCTTCCTTGGTTAGAGGACTTAAGCTTATTGACGAATCTTTGGTGCCCGAAGAACATTTCAATTCCACTACAAGAGTCAAGTTACTGCTTGTGGAGGATGAAAAGAAGGCAGACAAGGATGATGATGTCAGAAATCTCCAAGATCATAACCACGAGGATCCTGATACGAGAGACCTCTTGGATGTCTCCTCGTCATTACCCTATTCACGCTCGCATTCTCTTACAAGTTTGAATACCCTCAATAAGGAAGAAGGGTCTGTGTTGAAGTTGCTGAAAATCAACAAAGATACACATCTCCTAGACGAGTTTGAAAAGTGCTCTGGTGAAGAGCTTCGTGAGAAAATTCTCAACGTTGATCTTTCCGAGCTCGATCGAGTCATCGCTTTCCTCAACAGGATGAAAGATAAAGGCGTGAGCTTGAAGAGCGTCTTCAACCAGGCACCAGGCTATGATACCAAGAATCTTTTGGCCGAATTCCATCGTCGTCTTGAGACTTTGAAGAGCGGCTCAGCGAATCCGGGAAATGAACCTTCCCACGAACAAAGAGAATACGTCGAGCCTACCGAAGATGAAATCGAGGTCAAGGCTAAAGAGGATGGTAACACTATACATGAAGCATTTGACAGTGTCCTCAACCAATTTCGCCCAGCGAGGACTTAATACACATAATATTTTGGCAGCTTGACGCTGCCTTGCATTCTTCAACTTTCCCGTTTATGTATCCTATGTAACCCTTTTTCTGGTCTTTGCCAGCTGCTCTATTTATCTATCCTTCAAAAATCGTTGTCAGAAAGAACGGGGTCCCGGGTTGATCTTGATGGAGCGTCGTCATCATCACTGTATGCGTCCTCATCATTGTCCAAGTCTGCACCTCTGGCTTCGGCTTCTTCGGCCAAATCCTCACAGGCATCAATCCAATCTGAGTAGATATCAACTGGCTGTGACAAAGAATTGATGGCGGTTTGAAAACTCTGCCCGCAGATCTTGCAAGACAAGTCACCTACACCGTTTTTCTTGTCCAAAGTGCAGATGACGGACTTTTCATGATTGCAAAACAAACAGCGGAAAGTCGTGTCAAGCTTTTGCTTGATCTTCTTCTGTGGCTTGGCAGCGGCCTTCCGTTTGCCCATAGTCGAAACAAGTTATCTAGTGAGCACCAACTCACCTCTCGTTAACTATTAACAAAACGAACCCGTACACCAACACATAATCACAGCTTATTATTCATCATCTCTTCGGCCCTCTTTTTAAGTCTAGCTTCGAGTCTAAATTTTTCAAATGCCATTCTCTCGGCCTTTGGGTCGGGCGGAAATTTAGCCGAGGTTGGGGAAGATGGTGCGGGTGACGGGGAATTCGATCTGCTGAGAACTGTGGGGCTAGCAGACCCATTAGGGGAAGGCGTGTAGCCTAGATTCACCTTGATATTATTGTTGTACTTTTTGTTCATCTTCCTGCCGTATTCATAAAGTTTCATGTCATTTTTCTTGTAGTCCGTCAACCTGAGCGCATCTTGGAAAACCAGTTCGATAAAAGCAGGGTTCGTCTTGATTTTGGCTGCAATTGGATAGTGAAGAAGCAAAGACAAGGCCTCCGAAAAATCACAAAGAACCAACTCGGACTTGATGTGGATTAATAAGACAACCACAAGGAACATGATGGTATCCGGGACAGGGCTCAGGCCAGTATGCGTGTCGATAGCAGCCAACTTATCCCAGAGCAAAGACGGTACTTCCAAGTCGTTACCAAGCTCGCGTAGAAGCAAAAGCCTTAAGTATCGAATGATCCAGAGCTGAGACTCAAGTCGGAGTTTAGTCACCAAATTGTAGTGAATGAGCTGATCAACCTTCATAAGATAGATATTAAACACATTAATGGAGGACATGAGCTCTGCTTCGCTAGCGTAGAATTGCAGTACCAACCCACTCGACACTGTGAACCTATTGAGCATCGTGAACAAGTCGTGCTCGAGGTACTTTTCGTCGAATAGCAGGAAGATATGGCGCTCATCAGCAGAAACAGTATTCGTTGTCGGGAGCGGAATCAGCTCCTTCCTCAAATTGAGGAACATGAGCCCTATTATCTCATGAATGCCTTGCTTGTAACCGATAGACGCATTGCATTTTGACCACACATAAAGGACTGATATGATCTGTCTTTTGTATATCATTGCAGCTTCGCTATTTTCATGAAAGATTGTCTCTCCTGGAAAGAGTCGCTGGACGTCCATGATAATAGACATGAGGAGATCGTTATCGAGCTCAGCCTGAGATGGCGTATGTGTTTCAGCACCATCTAGGGGCATTGCTAAAGGATCATCTGCGATGTTCTCAATTCTATGGAGATGCTGGGGTGCTGGTTTCAGGTTCTGGTTTGATCGGCTGGACTTGGTGGTTTTCTGTTGCGGGAGATAGAACTCATTGTCTTCGTCTAGAAGGTGCCACTGCACAATCATATCCTTCTCTTGACGGAGCTTATGGTATATGACGCGAGACAGGGTTAAAGTTGTGTCCCATTCTCTAAAGTTGAGCGATTCTGTAATCAAGCAGGCCTTCCATAGAAAGAGCCTGGAGAAGTACTTCTTCGCTGGAGTGTATTCATTTCGAAGGACGGCGGTTCTGAACAGGTCTATGCTACCTTTATATTGTTCTATAGATAGAAGAACTTTTGATATAATCTCGTTTTCCTTGATCATTCCAGAGATCTGGTGAGGGTATGGTGCAGCTTGGGCGGTTTTATGTGTGAGCCATACAACTCAATACACAGTGCGTCGCGGTAAGCAAGATCAACCTCTATCTAGACCACAGCAACCACAAAAATAGCCTTGAAATAATCTTTGGCTATTCAATTGCTCAGGTAAACCGCCATCACGTTCTGTTGGTACCACCAATGGAAAGCTCCATCTGGAATCCGTCTCTCACACCAGCAACGTCAGAGGTACGATATCTTTGTGAGACAAAGTATCCAATGTCAAAGTTCACCCACTCGTTGAAATACTTAAGGCCAACACCGCCACTCAATGCTGCACCTGTGCTAGTGGCCAAAACATCCTCTCCGACATTTCCAACAATACCCGTGGCGTAGAGACGAAGGGGGCTGCCCTCGGTTTTCTTGCGCTGCACAAGCAGTGGAAGCTTACTATAAAGGGTAAGGCCAGTTTTGTAGAATTGCAGACCACCTTCGGTGTTCACGCTGTTTCTGGCAAAACCCTTGAATGTCTTGTAACCACCCAAGTAGAACTTGTCAGCCAAGTGGAGCAGTTTGGAGCCATCCGAACCCGAAAGATAGATGTTTCCGGCCTCATTGAAGACGTGTGCGGTGATGGCATTTTTGAAAAATGACTTGTACAAGTTGAGGGAGAAGATCAGCTTCACAAAGAAGGCCAGCCCCAGTGCACCTTCCTCTTGTTCTTGGTCAGAGCTGATCTCGTTCGACAAGAAGGCAGAGAATCCGTCTTGAGGATACACCTTGGTCTTGTCGTTGTAGTAGGAAAGGTTGTTGTAGGCCAAACGGTTCACAATGGACAGCTTGAGGAAGTTACCAGCAAAGTACTTGACTGAATCGGCAGCACCATCATCGATATCGTAAGCTGTTCTTTTGGTCAAGGCCAATCCCGTGAAAGCCGAAAGCAGGTTGTCACGGTTCGCATAAGACACACCAATTGTACCTCCAGTTCTCTTAAGAGAGTTCAATTGCCAGGCCTGGTTGTTGCTCTGGGAGTGGTACAAATCAAGCACAAATCTATAGGTTGGGTCGCGTAGGTTGGAAACAAATCTCAAGGAGGAGAGAAGATGTTCGGAGGGCTTGTATGGTCTGTAGTTGACACCTACATTGATGAGCTCCGCGTTATGGTTGAAGTTGTTGTTCAAGTAGCCCAAATCCACCTCCAAGTTGTCCTCGGTATTGAAGCCCAAGGCAGCATCTCCGCCAACAGATGGAGCACCATCCAAGTCAAAGATCACCTTGGTGGGGATCAGCTTCTCTATATTGTAGCTCTTTGAGGACTGAGGAACAGAACGCAAGTAGTCCACATGCAACGAAGGCTTGACGGATCTGAAGACATTGGTTTTGAGCAAATTGTCCTGGCTTTGGTCCACAATATGTAACAATTGACCCAAGGTGTAGTCGCTCTGGTCAACCAATGGAGATAATAGTTTGGCGAAAAACTGCCTCAGAAGATAGTCACCGCCGGTGACTTCAACACTGCTCAAGTAAACCGGACGAGAGGATGTGTATTGCAAGGCATCCTGTTTCAGAATTTGCGCCAGCAAGTCGCCGTGGGTGGAGGCCATTACGCAATTGAGGTGGTTGCTGATATCTTGAAGAAACAACTGCACTATTGGTCCCGAGATAGTCGTGCGACTCTCAATACAATGTTTCACAGCCGGGCCGTCGGGTGAATTGGATACTCTGAAAAGATTATTTTTAATATTTCGTAATTGTGTTCGTTTCTATACCTTGTTTTTTTTTTTTTTGTTTGGTTCGGAGGTACCCTCATCAAACTGTGGCCGGCCGATCTCGCAACTCTACAGATTTCGCAGCCATAGAGGTTCGTATGACAGAAGTGTGATTCTCTATTTGTGCTCCACAATGGCACCGTCATAAGCGAGATCAAGCAATTTCCACTTACACTCGACGCCGCTCGCCTTGAAAATGCCAATCACCTGTTCGGCAATTTGCTCATAGTTGTCAGTAGCCAAGCACAAGATGGTAGGACCAGCTCCAGAAAGGCAGATTCCACAAAGACCGGGGTTAGTCTGTGGAGTGAGTTCATTCAAGACATGCTCGAGACCAGGAATGAGCTGTGCACGGTAAGGCTGGTGAATTTTATCTCTCATGGCCTCGTAAATGAGTTTATGGTCTGGCTCTGGAAGAGTCAATGCAGTAGTCAAGACAGCCAATCTTTGCAAGTTGAACACAATGTCCTCCTTTACGTACAGCTGTGGGAGAACTGCACGGGCGTCGTCGGTCTTGACTTCGAATAAAGGAATGATGGTGACACAACGGATCTTTTTGTTCCAGTTGTACTTGATGTACTGCCCGATATCCTTTGGAGGTTCTCTAGTTTCGTAAGAGGACTCAGGCGTGGAGGCCTTAGGCAAGATGTTTTCAAGAGGAACGTTCTTGGCCTCTGTCTCAGCTTCGTTAAGCTGGTTTAAGTACGAACCCACGAAACCACCAAGCATGGCAGCTGCGATATTGTCGGGGTGTCTTTCTATTAGCAAACAGTAGTCGAGCATTCTTTCCTTAGACAAGTTGAGCTTTCCAATCTCATTACCTAACATGACACCTCCCACAATAGCAGCACCAGAAGAACCCAAACCTCTACCGAGCGGAATAGGGTTGATAACGTGGATTTTTGTGCCCTGTGGGAAGTTGGAGATGCCGTTGCAGCGCATAACATACAAGGCTGTTTGGGTGATCAAGTTCTTTTCACTCTGAAGAGGCACATTCTCAGCAGCATCTCCTTCATAGCTTAATTTAGCGTGGTGCTTATCGTCTGAGGTGTCTAGCGAAGGATACACGGTGACCTGAACCTCCAAAAAAAGGTTGAGACCGATTCCCAAAACGTCGAAACCAGGTCCGATGTTGGCACTGGACGCAGGGACCTTGAGCTTGAAGTCCACCATTGTTATGATTTCGTTTCTCTAGAGTGAAAAATTCTATGTAGTAGGCCTCAACTTGAGTCAGCCTGATAAACCCGTGCACCCCGATTCAGGCTACAATGATATCGACAGCTTCGGCACCTTGGCGCCACATAATTATTAATCCTATTTAGTAAACACAAGTCTCTCTCTTCTCCCATTCAATCTCAGCAGGCTCCATTGGCAAAGTCACCATAGACTGGTAGTCAACAGGTGGAAGCGAGCCGTTGTTCTTGAACTTCCACTTGATGTTGTACACATAGGTTGCCAAGATGGTGCCAAGCTGGACATAAGCGAACTGCTCACCAATGCAACGATGTCTTCCACCACCAAATGGCAAGTATGGAGAAGTAACACCCTTGGTCACCTTACCGAAACCGTAGTCCACGGCATCAGAGTCAATGTTGCTAGACAACTCTTCGTCCCATCTATGAGGGTCGAACTCGCCGGCCTTGGGGAACCATTGTTCAGAAGTCTGAGCGTAACCAGGCGACACCATGACGTAGTGGCCTCTAGGAACAACGTAAGTAGAGTTGGGAACCATGAGAGGGTTCATGACCTTTCTGAAAATGGAGTGCAATGGCATGTGCAAACGTAACGTCTCTTTGATGGTCTGGTTGATCAAAGGCATCTTCTGCAAGTCATCGTAGGATAAGTCCTTCAAGCTGCCACCCTTTTCAGCCAACACAGAGAGCACCTCGTTGTAAAGCTCCTCCTGCAATTTAGGCTTCTCGGCCAAGTGCAACAAGAACCAGGCAGAGGTAGAAGCGGAAGTGTGCTGACCACCCATCAAGACGCCAATCAACAAGTTGGCAACCTCCTGGTCGGTCATCTTGACACCGTCTTTGTAGGTAGAGTTTGTCATGAGCGTGTCGATCAAGTCTCTGTCTGGGATGATGTCACCGGTCTTTCTTCTCTCATTAATCAAGGACATGTAAGTAGCCGAGATCTTCTGCTGAGCAGCGTCTCTCTTCCAGTAAGCGGGCAAAGGCAAGTGAGGGAAAACAAAGTTGACAGGGGTGAAACCCTTGTCCAAGTCGGAGTACAACTGAGCAAAAGAGGCGTCAAACTTGGCTCTCATGTCGTCACCCATCAAAGACTTGGAAGCAGTCAAGATGGTCATCTCAGGTTGGGTCTTCATCACGTTGGCAACACCGTCGTTGCGCTTGTTCATCTCATACTCAGGACAGGTCTTGAAGTAGTCCAACACTTCCTCCTGGATTCTGGGCACGTATCTCTGGAAAGCTTCCTTAGTCAAGGCAGTCTTTGCGAACTTCTTCTGCTCCATCAAACGAGAGTTGGGGCAGTCGTAGATGACACCCTTACCGAAGACAGGAGTGGTCAAGTGGGCGTAAGCTGCCTCGGCGGAAACGTCAGCAAGCTTAGCGTTAAGCACAAACTCGTGGCCCTTTGGACCCAAGTAGACCGTCATGACTTTACCCAACAACATGAAAGCAAAGACATCGCCGTACTTTTCACGGCAGTTTTCGAAAAACTCGTATGGCTGCATACCGTAGGTCACAGCTGATCCAAACCATGGGATCCAGTGGAAAACAAGGGGTGCTCTATCTTTTCTAAAGGAGTAGATGAACTGCCAAAGAACATTGTACACGATGGGGGCTGCAATGAGGATCACAAGCTTCACCGGCGTAGGCAAAGCCTGGAAGTGGTCCACTAAATCCGCAAGATGATCCTTCAAGGTCATTAGGACGGATAGTAAAGAGCGAATGCGGTGAATCTAAAAGTTGGCCAAGACGATGAGATTATATAATGTGGATTTAAGACGGGACTATACGAAGGTGCACGGGTGTGTGAATAGAGACGCGAGCATGGCATGGTTCATGGGACCACAAAGGGGCACGGTAGGCAGTGAATTGGGGAGTTTTTTTAGATTCTTTTAATTGACGGCCAACGTTTCTCTTCCCTTTGTGATTGATCAAAAATTTTGATTGGAGACTTCAGATTCCAAATAATGCACCATCAGATCTCATGTGGTCAGCATACTTTGGCGAGCTGCGATAGGCAAGTCAGGAGATGTACGATGCACTGATAGGGGACACAACAACAAACGCCGACGTGTACTAAAACGCTATGGCACATACGCGAGCCAATCAGATCACTTGTATTAATATCCGGAGCTTACTAGTATACTTCTATGGGCACGTCGTATGCGCGAAAGAACGGTTGCAAAATGTAGGCGGTGTAAACGAGAAGTGAAAAAGCGATGCGTACACTGCGTCGCCGGGGATGGTGCAAAAAAAAAAAAAAAAGGAGTGATTAACGGCCGTCCAATAGGCTCTCGTCGATTTGAAGCCCCATCATGCGGGCCCGTTCGATCAACTCACGGTGCTCCATCTTTATGCGCTCGTTCTTGCGCTCAAGGAACTTGATGTACTCGATCGACTTGGCCAAAATCGTGCCCTTGTTAAGTTTTCTGGCAGGCTCCAATCCTTCGAGATCTTCACTGTGTTCGAGCAGCGGCGAACAGATATCGTCTTCGTCTTCTTCGTCTTCGTCCCGTGAGCCCACTGAGCCCGAGCGGTGCTTGTGCGTCTTCTTTGCAATCACCCGAAGCGTGGGAACCAGCATCTGCAAAGCGGTGAAGCGGTCGTTGATCTTGTTTCTGTATCTCTGTTCGATCAAGTTGTGAGCCGATTTGGCCCGCACAGGCGGCTGCGGCTTGTTATTAGCCGGGGCGTTGTCGTTGTAGCTGTTCTGGAGCGACGTCTGCGAGTCCTCATCGTCCCACTTCTTGAGCCCCGTGTAGTTGCCCGAGAGGAACTGCTGGTTGTTGAACGACGTCATGCCGTTGATGCCGCGGCCCACGGATCCATTGAGCCCATGCGGCTGCTGTGCATTGTGGTGGAGGTGGTGCTGTTGGTGATGAGGAGGTAGTCTGACCAGATTCTCGGAAGGAGGGACCAGGGGAGGCCCCAGGGTCAGAGCCAGGTTGGACGAGGAGCCGCCCAGCTGAGGGTTGGTGTTTGGGTCCATGTGGGCGTATCCCATGGGGTTAAGCAGGGAGAAGTCGTTACCCATAGCTGGGCTTACGGCAAACGGTTCATAAGGAAGACGGTCCCGATCGTAATCTAGCGGGTGGTCGTCCAAGATGGGCGGGTTTTGCATGCGTGGGTAGGAGAAGTCCATCTGGTTGTTGTTGGTATTGTTGGTGTTGTTGCTTGGAGATTCTTCAAAGATGGGACTAAACAGGTCAGGCTGGGATGCCGAGAGGTGAGCCGGGTCGAGGTCTTGCTGTGGTGGGGGTTCGGCAGGGCCGTCAAAGAGAGACGGTAGCTGGGAGTTATATAGACGGGACGTCTTGCGACGGTCGTTCTGGGGAAGCATACGGCAGATGGGGTGGTTTTTCTCAGGTGGTACTTTTTCCTTTGGAGGTGCTTGGTTCAGGCTATCAGTACTGCACGTCAGCGGAGGCTACGACAGACAGGAGATGGTTCTGGGGAAGCGCCGGGAGAAGAACGTAGAAAATAAATAGTTTAATTACGGTGCTTTGCGTCGGGCTGCGGCGGCGGCGGCGGGCCTTGAATTTACGCCGGTCATTAGTCTGGCGGTGGTTTTTCACATTTTCCAAGGTCAGCCCCAGCACTGCGGCAGAATGCACGTTTTGAAAGAGGCGCCGGAACAATTAAGCTTAGTGAGGGCGGCCGTTGGACCGTGAATTTTTCCACAAAAGTACGTTTTCTTTTTAGCCTCCTGAACCCCCGCTTTTGGTCCCTGGAGCAACAAGCTCGGGCTATTTTGGTGCTCTTGTCGCTTATCCGCGCGGTTTTGTCCTATGCTGTCCTGGATCCAAGCTGCATCACTCCACTGGATCATACGATTTAGTCCGCGAGCAAACAAGGCCCAGGAACGACAAGCAAAATCGACATAGAAAAAAATTCCAAAGCAAGACTAGAACATTCGCGCTTCTTCCTCGGTATTGTCGGTCACGAAGGTCCGCCACCAAGTCGATTAAGACGGAGAAGTCAGTCGAGCCAAATACTTGTACTAAGCCCTTTTGGCCCCCTAGATCTGCGGTCTGTAACTCCGAGCTCCTCGGTCCAACACACCATCTCCGCCGTAAATGCCAGTGAAGCAAAGTATTTTTTTTTTTCTTGCAGCAGTAGGAGCATGTAGGGTCTTCGGTTCGCCGCTATGTACGTGTACTTGTGACTAGGGTGCTGCTTGACGCACGATTCTGAGCCATTTTTTTGCAACCGTTCTGCGCCTACAACATCACCAAATGGCGGCGAAAACAGACTTTATTTTTCAGAGTTTGCTTCCTCGGTACGTCGGCGTGCCGTCTCGCCACCTTTTCAGTGCTGCTCTACGTTACGGTAATTGGATCCTCGGTACTCTGCAACACTAGATCTGGATCTTGTCGATCACCGCCCCATGTCCAAGAAGCCTATCTTCAAAAATTATGCTGTCTATGCCTATTAAGATCTTGCCAAGCCACGCACCACTCCTATCTGAGACACTTATTATCTATTCCATCAACCAAAAGCGGGGATGGCCTGGAACCGTCTGGGTCTCCTGACTGGCAATCTAGATACTGAAGATCGACACTGCCTTGACGTACGCATACAATGGTTGTCTGTCCCTATCTACGTCAAGTACGTTACATCGACGGCAGACCAAACTTAGCCGTCACCAATTAGGTATAATGCTGATATCTCCGAAATGCACGAAGCTGCTTCTGCATCATGCCCAAACCTGTAGCTGGTCGTAGAAATCTATCCGCTTCTCTGTCTTGTCCATCGCCTGCAACACAGTGTACCTGACATCGTCCACCATAGCTGGATGACCACAGGTGACAAAGGCTGCTGAACTCGTAGCCTCGTCCACATCTTTATGAATCAACTGAGAGAGCTCAGGTCTTCCTTCGAGTACTAGTACATGTGGAAGCGCCAGCCGAATGTGCTCCATAATTTCAATACCATTCGTCTCAACATTAATCTTCAACTCTTGTTCCTCATCCTTATCGCCCGAGTGGACTGACTTGCTGGAGGAAATGGAGTGGGGCATTTTTTCCATGCTGTCCTTGTTAAGGGCCGAATGCAACCCCTCGATACCATCTTGCATATCTGGTCTTGTGATGTAAATCGTGGTCTCCACGGGCAAGGCCAGCATCGAGTTTAGCTCGTCGATAAACCACGAAAGCGACTTTGCTTCTCTCAAGATCCAAACAAGCTTTACTTTCTGATTCCTGATGGATCTCTTGGCAACGTCTCTGCCCAGATGCAAGGCCTCGGCAAAAATGCCTGGAATACCATTACCACCGGCAATATAGGTGACACTAGAGTGGCGACTCACAGGGCTTTTTTCTCCATAAGGTCCTTCGACACCAACTCTCATGAATAACGTTCTGCCTGGAACGTTTGCCAACTTCTTGCCGATTTTTTTTGTGACTCCACTTTTCACTTTGCAATAGAAGAAAATGTCTTTGCCTTCTTTTCCTTCGACTTCCACAAATGTGAAAGGATGTGACTGCCAGAAGTACCAACCCAGAGCAAAATGCAACCATGCATGACCTCCAGGAATGGACCTCCAGTGCTTGGGTTTTGGCACCGTCACCTTCACAGCATCATTGGCAACAAGCTCAACTTTGGCTAGCGGAAACCCAAACCAAAATAATCTAAGAACCCTCACCAAGCGATCCACGCCCCAGACGGCGAAAATAGGATACACTAGCTGAGGATAATTGAGCAGCGAAATGTGCTGCCAAAGTCCAACCACGAAAATTACGGCAAGCACTATGTGGATCACCAAGAACGTTTCGTAGTAGGCTCTTCTGAGGAAAAGCAATCCCTGGAAACAAATGAGAGCACCGCATGTGGTTGCAACAATACCCCAGACAACGTAAGTCTCGGCCATTTCCTCATAATAAATGCCGTCCATGACGTATAGCGCTGTGAAGCCGATGGAGTGAACGAAAGCCATGGCAACCATGAGTCTGGCGATCCAACGGTGGTAGGTGATGAAAGAAGCAAAGCTCCATCTGGTGAGCCATTGAAGGATGTTGTTTCTTCCACCGAATAAAATAAGCAATGGAACAGTCATGGTAGCCATGATACCTGTTCTGTCAGCCACATAACGAGTGATGGCCTCCTTCTTTGCTGTGAATAATGGGTCGTTGGGAAGGTAGCGAATCTCGACAATCAACATGGCAAACACGAGCCAGAAAAATACGATGAGTATAAGTGATTCCATTCTGGAAGGAACCAAGTAGCTGAGGAATCCACCCAAGAGATCCTGTTGTGTTTGTCTTTTTCTTGACCACAATGCTGGAACAGTAATGTATCTTCTCCAGGCCCTAGACACCCTTCCGTTAAAGAAATTCTTCGAGCCCGGCAAAAGTACAAACCCCCAATTGGCCACACCAGCCAACAAAAAAATGAAAAACCAGTACGAGACGGCTCCTACACCGTAGTAGATGGAGTGGTCGTAGTTGCCCAAGAAAATCTGGTACGATTCTCTGTACAACAGCGCCTGGCTAGCATTGATTGCAAGAGGTGTGGTCATATTGTCAGTGGTTGAGTTGAAGTCGGGATTCGATGCAAGCGGGTCCGTAGCATAGTCCTGGTAGTACTGATACGAATCCTCAAGCTCATCCTCAGTCAAAGACAAGTCGTACCATTTTTGACAATAATCGTTCCAGTATTTCCCGCCCAGCTTTGTGGAGCCAGATGAAGCTAGACATCCCATAACTGTTGCCCTGGCATTTTCGTTATTGCAGTAACACTCGTAGTCACCAGGTACCTCACAGAAGAGGTAGGTTGATAACATATATGCACATGCCAAGTACGAAATACCGCCTTCGCCATAGAGCTCAAGATTCAGCACTTTTGCCGAAGCTCCAAAAAGAAGAAAAAAATATGTCAAAAGCATGCCCGCTGGTGGCTTGGTGGTGGACGCTGTGGATATAAGTAGTCCGCATGGACCTCGTAAATCAGCGACTCTTCCCCAGATTGGCATCGAGGCGTTCTGCCGTCGGAGCTTTCTGCCCAATGAGAGACGGTTTATCTTTGACCATCTATATGCATCAAGGTGTCTGAACGGCTATTGTTGGAATGCAGCCAATGGGTGAGGTTTGAAGCGGTGGAGGAGGCTTCGACCCGCATCCAGAAGATACAAGTACGGCGATGTCAGGGCCACTATACCCAATTTCCCTATCTTTTGCATCTTCATTCTTTTTCTATTAAATTTTGATCTTCAATGGTGAAATTTTGACAGAGAGCCGCTTCTGCTTTGACAGGTGGGGTGCTTTTCTTGGCCGCGTTGACAGGCAAAATACGGTGGGGCGAACATGGGCGTTGCATTGTGGCACCTCGACAAATTTCAGAAAAAGCCGTCCGCAATCCCGTCTGCCGTTTCAGCCTGCGCCTGGGGTCTGGCCGCTTAGGCGACCTGCAGCAAATGTACCTCTTAGATCCAATCAGATAATCAGTTGGCGATGGTGTCAAAGTGGTGGCACATGCAAATTTTCCCGTAACCTGCCCATGCAGATGGGATGCCAGTAACCAGGATTAAGACGACAAAGTTTGTGATTGGATTTATGGCAGGTTCAAAAAGCCTGGCTCTGCAGAGATGGCACAATGTTCAAAAACGATTATCAGACCCCAGAGGCCTTTGTGGGTTTCTGATATGTGCCGGTGTGCCTACAATGGGTTCCTGGAATGGTTGTGGCAGGCATGGATAAAGGCTTTTCGGCCCTGCGCTGTTCACCCAAAGCCCCTTCGGCTTTCCGTTATTTTCAAAGGCCTAATGGATTTTCTTGATTGGCCCCTGGCGGGTGGAAAATCTGACAGGGCGTTGTGGGCGTCCCAGAAGCTTAAGCGGTGTGCGTTTTTCAGGTTCGAGCTGCATTAGGCTACTGGCATAATCACGAAGGTTCAGCTTTTAGGGGTACACAAAACGGGGAGAGAAAAAAGACAAGCGTTTCTTGCTGCTTCCTTTTCTTTGGGTTTCCGGAGATGCCCAATACCAGCTTCCATGGTGAACATTGGTGGATGATCAAGTAACATGTATTGTAACATCAGAGAAAGGAAGTTTACTAACAATGAGAGAATATTTACAATTGCATTTACTGTTAAGCCTCTCAAGACTGCCCATTTTGTGGTTCCGTAGTTCGGTTTATACCGCTTGTGCAACTGTACTATAGGCCTTTCGCAGCCATTGTAGAAGTTCAATCCAAGCATCAAGTCCACACATCCCAAAGAAGAAAATCGTCGACTCTTTAGCGAAAACAAAGTTTTTACCTCCAAATAACCCACATTTGAATAATCTTTCAATACATCCTCCTACGACTCTTCGCACGTGATCTCATCGGCTTTTCAGTGCCCCAGACTTCACTTCCATCCTACATCATCATGTCTGATCTTCACGACTTGTGTAAATTTGCTAGTCGGCCCATCACCCAAAAAGCCGTGGATGACCTCAAATACTACTTGAAGGCTGGCATTCCCGCCACCTATACCATAGAAGAGGCGTACAATTACATGAATGGCATCGAAGAAGGTGGAGCTACTACCACTACAACTCCCCTCCACCTTATAGCCACGCATGTTCCAAAAGATCTTTCTGAAGAGGAAATGAATATCGTCAACGATATGGTTACGATTCTTTTTGAATACGGCGCTGGCTGGTGCTTGACGGATGTGAATAACGACACCCCAGGCTGTATCTTCATCAACAGAGGCATGAGGGATACTCCGTTGTATAATCAGATTGTTGATGCTGGAGTTCGTGCCGAGCTCCTATTGCGTAAGGTCAGTGAGTTTGACATGGAGGTGCTCAGTGATGAAGAAGCTCTTGAACTAGCAGCTCGTCAAGAAGAGGCTGGAGAGAATGCTGCTGAAGAGGACACTGAGGAGAAAGCTGAAACCAAGGAAGGGGCTGAAACTAAGGAAGCCGAGAAAGAAGCCGAAACCACGGAACTGAACGACACAAATGATCCCTCATTCAACCAAAAGGCTTACCTCGAATCCAAGCTACAATACAAGGACGATGCCTTGGTCACCGAAGAGGGCAAGGATGGCGTCATGATGTCGTGGGAAACGGATCTCATGAAGCTTGGAAGTGAGTCCCTATTTAAAAACGCCGAAGACTCCAAGGACACTAACATTCTCAACATCGGTTTTGGCATGGGTATCATCGATGGCATGATCAACGCCAAGAACCCTACAAAACACTATATCTGTGAGGCCCACCCTGATGTACTTGCAAAGATGAAGGCTGACGGCTGGTACTCCAAACCTAACGTTGTTATTCTCGAAGGTCGCTGGCAAGAGCTGCTTAACCACTTGCTTAGTTCTGGACTGGTGTACTTCGACGGTATCTACTACGACACCTTCTCCGAACACTACCAGGATATGCTTGAGCTTTTCGACTTTGTCGTTGGCCTCCTCAAGCCCACCGGTGTCTTTTCCTTCTTCAATGGTCTCGGTGCAGACAGACAGGTGATTTACGAGGTTTACAAGAAGTTGGTTGAAATCGACCTCGGCAACTACGGTTTGAAGACGGAGTTCAAGGAGGTTGAGGTTCCGCAGGAGACTATGACGAAGGGCGATGCTAAGGATGAGAGCGTCTGGGACGAGATTAGAAGACCCTACTGGCTGTGTCCCGTGTACTACCATCCTGAGGCCACCTTCCACGATATCTAGTTGGGTCACAGGACACTGGAGATCATTGAGAGGCTTTTCGAGCCATCATTACATATGTATCATAGACCAAAGCTCGATATTGCATCCTTCACACATGTAGCACACATGTAGCACTCTTACTAGCGACTACTCCAACTACTGAGGATTTTGATGGTACTTTTTTTTTATTATTTTTCTATTTTATTTATTTTTTTTCTTCTTTTTTTGTTTTCTTGTTCTTTTTTTTTTTTTTTTTTTTTTTTTTTTGGTGATGTTCAACGTGAAACCACCAGTACAAACAACGACTGGCGGTACACAAAAGGTGAGAAAGCCCCCACATCAGTTCCAGAAATCGAAACCAACGTTTCTAAGCTTTCCCTTGATTCCCGTGAGCTCGGAGTCCTCGGGAATGTAACGAAGCTTCTTCACATCCTTCCACTTCTCACGGTTAGCCTTGTAGCTGTCTCTCTCCCAAACAGGCTTGCCCTCCGGCCTAGGTGGCGGAGGAGCTTCAACGCGAATAGGTTGAATGTAGAAGCCGGCATCGGCCTTGGGCTTGGGTGGCGTGGAAACGAAAACGTGCTCTGGCAAGACTTCGTTCGAGTGAACAGTGGGTGCCACAGAAACAACCCTAGACCCAATGGCGGTCTTCTTGGGCTTGACGCCGAGAACTGGTCTCTCACGAGCAATGGCTTCACGAAGCTCCGAGTCGCCGGTGAGGTGCCATGGGTTGGCTTCAATCTCTCTTGCGTTGAGGCCCTGGTAGGGTTGAGGTTCCACAGGAGAAGGCTTCTTGGGGTGCTCTTCTGAGGAGGCTTGGTGGCCTTGGCCTTGTGGACCTTGCAGCCTGGCTTGTGGCCCTTGGAGGTCTGGGGAGAAACCTTCTTGGACTGGGGCTGGGGCTGGGGCTTGGGCTTCATGGCCTTGAGGTAGGCAGCGTACTTAGCATCCTCGGCTTCCTTAGCAGCCTCAGCCTGCTTGTACTTGCGGGCAACCTTTCTGTTGGCCTTGGCAACAACGGCCTGGTACTCGAGCATCTCCAACTTGCGTCTGTTGGAAGCCTGCTTGGCTGCAATCTGTCTTTGCAACTCAGCCTGCTTGTGGTCCTTGTGCTCTTGCTTCCGCTTGTGAGAAACCTCCAGCAAGCGGGCTTCCAAATCAGCCAACTGCTTCTCTCTCTCGAGCATCTTGATGTTGCGCTTCTCGAGCTTGATCTCTCTCTTGATCTTGCTCTTGGTTTCTCTCAACTCTCTGTTCTCACGCCAGTGCTCTCTGAAAACCTTGGCACGAGCCGACCAGCGGTGGGAAATACGGCCGATTGCAGAGGCAATACGGCGGCAGCGAGAGTCCTTCTTTTCAACTTCCACGTCGTCGTTGTGGTTGTTGTGGCAGGGAGCCAGGAATGTGACCGTAGCATCGCGAGGTCTGAAAGCTGGAGCATCGGAAACGGGATGACTGGAGATCGCTGGTTCAACGTAATCTCCAGCATTAGTTTCAGCCAACTCCAAAAACCTCTGGACGAATGACTCCTTGTGGGACTCGGCAAGGAGGGCATCGACCCTCAGGCTCTGGATACGAGGTGTGTTCACATACTCAGTGGTAGCAACCTGCTTGACGAGCTCCTTAAGAATAGGGAGCTTCTCCGTCGTCTGGGCAAAACGGAGGGCCTGGAAAAGAGTGAGTTTCTCTACGTCAGGAATATTCTTGCGGATCTCGGGGATGCTGGCAGCGTATCCGGGGACCTTGCGGCATCCCACTTGAACACAAACCTCTGGGGAGTGGAGGCTTGGCTCAGGAGTGTCCTCGATGTATGGAGGGTGGAGGGGCTCAACGTAGGGCTTGGTTGGGGAAGTGTTGTGGGAAACAGGCTTGGTTGGGGAAGACTTGGCCTGTTTGTGTAAGGTGGGCTTCAGAGGGAGTTCTGGGCTTCTGAAGGTACCGTCGTGAAGAAGGGAGGTTGGGGCGTCCCCGATGGATGCAAATGCAGCGGGCGACTGAGTGTTGTCACCTCTTCTTCTGAAAACGCCTCTTGAGAGAGGCGCATTGTGTTTGTGGTTGGAGTAGGACTTGGGTGTCTGAAGCTGTTCGAAGCGGGAGAAGTCAGTCCCGGGGAACTGAAGCTTGGTCGAGGGACACAAGCCTTGAATCGAAGAGCTTTGACCGACCGAAGTCTTACTGGAGTTTGTGGACTTGATCAAGTCCAAGCTCTTCTTGGACTGGTTCAGAGAGCCAGATTCCAGAGAGCTGTTGGCCCCGGTGTGGGGGTGGTTGCTGAAGTTGAAAAATCTCATGATTGGCTTGCTGTTCTTCTGCTGATGATAAAAAAAAGGTTGATAAGAAAAATAGTTGGATGGGTCACACAAGAGCGCTTTATAGTTGGTCCCACCGGGCTTGCAGCCAGGACTGCAGAATGAGAACCTGTCAAAGTAGGAAAGAACAAGCTGCACCTGCCTCTCTCGAATTCAGCAGTGTGACCAGGACGGGATTGATCATGCCAAAGAAGCATTCCGAACCTTTTGGATAATTTTTTGAAATAGCTGTGGTCATTTTCCTTAGGAGAAGCTGGGGTGCATCGTTCTTCGACGCACTTCCTGTGCAATGTAAGGGACCATACATAGGCGAGATTGTCTCACGATGATCCGCTTCGCTGTGGTAGAAGGATCGCCCGGTGTGGTTTACATTCTAAAAAAGGTGATGTAGGGACAAATTTTTCCAACACTGAACATTAGGGATAATGAAGCCCGAGGAAATTCTGGCGTTAGTTCACACTTATACCGTAGGCTGCAGGGGTGGGTGTTCCACTCATAATATGATACACGGAGTAGGGCATAAAGTATGAATTGAATGTTTATTATCACTCGATGTTTTTAGTGAGCTCCAGAAGTTGTGGTAGGTTTTGGACGAAGTTGAGTACTCAAATGGGCCTGCAGCCATGGGCTTCATTCTTCACAGAAAAGACACTTTTTGCCCTTGGGAGTCCTTCTCTAATCCGTCGATACCAAGTATTCAGGCTCATATGACGCAGGCAGGCTAAGCCTGAAGTTTAACTATGACTCTCGAGAAGCCACATTCACCAAAGGCGGGTGTACAGTCAAGACCCTTTCAATTTCAGTTTTCGGATTCGTTGAGAGGAAAGCAGCCAGAATACGATGTCCAAGAAGTTTCGATACTTATGTGCAATTTTTGATTTATTTCAAATAAATGCGGTCTAGTGAAAAGTCGCTCTAGTTCTCAACGCATGGTTGTATATGCATATTTGATGCGAATTGTCGAGAACATCGCCACTTACAAATACACCACTCCATCAAAAAAACATCTGTAAAAGAAATCTAGCGGATAAATCGGCTTCAATTTACGAAACCCTGAAATACCTGCTTCCTCACTCACTCCCTCCAATTTTTGCTCCTCACCTTAGTAATACGAACCACATCGTTGCAGTGGTTTTTTCGCACCCAGTAGTATCGGGCCCTAGAACCACACTCTTACAAATCCCCAATCCAAGAGGCAAAAATCGATTCTTTATCCCGAATCAATCCCGTTCGACCCACACACCCAACCATCTAAATCTTCTCCCACGTCCCTCCACCAGTCTTGCCTCTGCACGACCCATCGGTACATACATTCTTCGACCGAAGCTTCACGATCCATCACCAACATGCTTTCTAGAACAGCCAGGCTCGCTCACCGCAGGCTTCTGAGCTCAGCGGTGCCTATAGAAACCACGAGGCTCCCCAACGGCCTTAGGGTCGTCACGGATTCCACACCGGGCCATTTTTCAGCTCTAGGAGCTTACATAGACGCTGGACTGAGGTACGAGACAGACGCCACCTCGGGCCATTCCCACCTAATGGACCGCTTGGCGTTCAAAAGCACATCGCAAAGAAGCGGAATCCAGATGATGGACGACTTGGCTCGGTTGGGTGGCAACTTCATGGCTGGTGCTCAGAGAGAGTCCATCATGTACCAGTCGCTGGTGTTCAACAAGGACGTTAACAAGATGTTTGATTGCATTGCAGAGACCATCAGAGAGCCCCAGCTCACGGAATCGGAAATCGCCGAAGCCGGCGACACCGTTGCCTACGAACTCAGCGAACTCATCCACAAGCACGATTTGTTTCTTCCCGAGGTTTTGCATGCTGCCGCTTATCCAGACAACACATTGGGCAGACCACTTCACGGACTGCCGGAATCTTTGGAAAATTTGACTCCTGAAGGCATTGTCGGCTTCCACAAGCAGTTTTACACTCCAGAGAACACTGTCATTGCTTTAGTGGGCGTCGATCACCAGAAAGCCTTGGATATGGTTCAGCTGCGTTTGGGTGACTGGAAGAACCTGGGTATCCCTATCGCTCACGAGCCAGCCGTCTACAAAGGCGGCGAGGTTGCCTTGCCTTACCAGGAGCCGCTCTACAGTAACTTGCCCAAGCTCGTCCACATGCAAATAGCATTTGAGACCTCTGGCTTGCTTAGCGAGGACTTGTATGCTCTAGCGACGCTCCAGAAACTCCTCGGCGGAGGTTCTTCCTTCTCCGCTGGTGGTCCCGGTAAAGGCATGTTCCTGAGACTTTTCAGAGTGCTCAACCAGTACCCATTTGTGGAGAACTGCCTGTGCTTCAACCACGCCTACACAGACCTGGGCCTTTTTGGCATTACGATTTCTTGCTACGTTGGTCACGGCGAGTATATGGCGCAAGTTGCTGCTCATGAGTTTGCTAAAGTGCTTGAGACCGATATTGCCAAGGGCGGCATCACCAGCCAGGAATTCCGCAGAGCCAAGAACCAGCTTATATCGTCGCTTATGATGAACGTTGAGAGTAAATTGGCAGCTTTGGAGGATATTGGCCGCCAGGTTCAATGCCAGGGCAAGGTCACCTCTGTGGATGAAATGGTGCAAAAGATCGAAGCTCTCACGATAAGCGATGTGCGTAATGTGGCTCAGAAGGTGTTCTCTGGAAATGGCAACGGCCAGAAACAGAGCCCTCCTTCGGTGGCCATCCAGGGAGACAGAGCAGAGATTGGCGACGTCGAGTTCGTCTTGCGCTACTTTGGTCTAGGCTCCTGGAGCACTCCCGCTCCATCCGAACCTCGCGACTACAGCAAACACAAAGAGTCTTCTTTGAGGAAGTGGTTCTCTTGATGTGTCATCGCTTAAACTTTGGGAATGCATTGTATTAGGAACAAGATTGACCTCGATGCTCAATCTCGTTGGTTTCAAGCCTTCGACGGACTCTAACCATTTTTATACACGTCTGTGCAAGGTCATTGATGTCCTCCAAAAGCTTTCTTTCTTTCGCTGAAAGCTTGTGGGACTCCAGTATGAGTGTGCGAGTGTTTGCTATGTGATCATTCAACTCCTTGCTCATCTCGCGAGGATCTATGACTCGAATGGAACTCAATGAGATTGCCAATACCTTGAGCTCTTCGTGTACAGCTGCAAGCTGCTTCAAAGACATATTCCGGTTCTCAGCGACCATAGGTGATAATGTCGAAGATGTCTCATAAATATTTTATAGTAGGTGTATGTTTCAGGTTCGCATACAGCAGATTACATAGTTGACATAGGGGGTGGCTTTTACAATAAATTACCCGATAAAATCATCTCCCCTCTAAACTTCACGACATTATTGTACGTTTTGGAGGTGCATTGATTTTCTTACCCAGTTGGGAGCTATATCCCTTCTCACTCGAGATCTCCACCTTCCCTTGCGCTCGTGCTTTGCCTAAAAAGTCATGCATGTGATGTGCGGTTATGTGTCTTATCGCTGCCTGCTGAGCAACTTGAGTACCTACTACTCAACTTTTAACGTTATGGTTTTACATCGCTTGAAGAACAAGATCGGGGGCTCGGATGCTGGCTCTGCTCCAGAGGAGGGAGACGAGATTGGTTCAGAGAATCAATCGATTCTTATGGGCATTATTTCGCAATTGCGTCCTGGCTGTGATTTGACCAGAATCACATTGCCAACATTCATTCTAGAAAGAAAATCGATGTTGGAGAGAATTACAAACGCATTCCATACTCCCCAAATTCTTTTAGAGGCCAATTCCACTTCCGATGACATGGAACGCTTCTTACTTGTGGTCAAGTTCTACTTGTCGGGGTGGCACATTACCCCTAAAGCGGTCAAGAAGCCACTCAACCCAGTGCTAGGAGAAGTCTTCTCTTGTTTCTGGGACGATCTTCCTGATCAATCCACCGGATACTACGTGGCCGAGCAGACTTGTCATCATCCACCCGAATCCTCCTACTTTTATTTCGTGCCTGAAAAACGTATCCGAGTAGACGGCGTTGTTATTCCAAGATCCAAGTTTTTGGGAAACTCACTGGCTGCAATGATGGAGGGTCTTGCTCACTTAACTCTCGGAGAGCATGACAATGAAGTTTACTCGATGAATCAACCAAATGTTTACTGCCGTGGAATTCTTTTCGGTAAACTTAAGATGGAACTTGGTGACCATATGGTGATAAAGTGCGAGAAATTAGGGTTAGAAGCAGACATCGAGTTCAAAACCAAGGGGTTCATTACGGGAGATTATGATGTGATCGAAGGAACAGTCAAGGATACTAATACTCTGAAGACTCTATACACGATTACAGGCAAATGGAATGGTGTAATGGAGATTCAAGAAGGCAAAGGCGCCAAAGAACTTTTTATTGACACAAAAGAAACGAAGACATATCCACTTCAAGTCAAACCATTGGATGAGCAACTTGAGAATGAGTCTCGCAGATTGTGGGAGAGCACCATCAAAGCGCTCGCTGAAAATGATCATAGGACGGCTACGGACGAAAAGTTTAAGATTGAGGAAGAGCAGAGAGTTAAAGCAAGGGAGAGAGCAGAAAATGGCACACAGTTTGAACCAAACATTTTTCGAAAAGTTGATGGCGAGATTCCCTTCGTGATTGACAGCTCAATTGACATGGTGAATGATTCTCCAGAGGAAATGAAGTTCAAATTAAACCAATTGTTCCGTATTGTGCCACAGGATAGAGCTTAGACTTTGAAAGGAAGAAGCTTAGAATAGAGTGTTCATGAAATTTTATTCATTTATTAATTTCTTCGAGAATGCCCACCATTTTGTAAAACATTCCCACCCCTAGTTAGTCGCATTCTGCATGCTGCGTTAGGGTCTTAGCGAGTTTGATTTGTATGTCAACTGTACTGCGTATAAATCTTGAATGAACAACCAGAAATCTCAAGCCCACAGGCAAAGGTTCCCCCACATGGTGGAAGACGCTGAAGGACTCCTCAAGGAGATAAACTCTCCGGATTTTGATGTATTTCAATGTGTCAACTATTTGCGGCGATATTCTGATGAAATTGGTGTTCATTTCTACCTCACCAAGAAGCTTCGCCTGTATAAATATGACGATTTGGAGTTCTTAATACCCCAGCTTCTACAGCTATTCGTTTCATTTGAGACAAACTCTATGGCGCTTGAAGATTTCCTTCTAGAATACTGCGCCAAGTATACTCACTTCAGTTTGATTGTGTTTTGGCATTTGCAAGCCTACATCTTCGAGCTTAAAAATGAGCCAAACTCATACTCATTTCAAGTTGTCCGAGGCTTGATTAATAAGCTTCAGGACGTTATCTTCAACCCATACGAAGCTCTGATAGTTACACAATTTCGTGAAAACTTGCATCCATCGCTCATATTATGTGGAGCATTGGCGGCCTCAATTGGGCTTCCACAGATTCACGATTATACGAAACCACTTCTTGCCGTTCAAGGTAAACAACAAAGATCATTTGTTTTCAAACTCGCAAACTTCCAGAAAGTTCTTACCAAAAATCTAACACTCAAAAATCAAAAACTCTCAAGTGAGCGCAGAGCAGCTCAATCTGATGACGAGGGACGAGATCCTCGTGTTCATCAGACAGCAAAGCCCGAACGTCATTCGGAGTCCTCTGCACGTCAAAAGAAATATTCAAACTCTAGTTTTGCATCCGATGATTCCGAATTAAATACTAGTGATGACGAAGCGGAGCAAGCAAATCATGGCCAGCTCAGAAGGCACCATTCATTCAATGCCAAGCATGTGCCTCGTGATACCGAGAGTGTCGCGCTTCTTAAGTACATGGAAGAAAAGTTCAGTGTTGAGTCAGTGATCAAGTCTCCTCGTACTTCGATGCAAGCTGAGAGCAGACACCCTATAGCTCACTCCATGCCAGATTTAAGCTCGACCAGAGGAGATAATGGTGACTTGAGTCTGCCAAGCGAGGAGGTCTTTCCTTTTAGCGAGAGTGGAAAACTTAAAGCCGTGAGGAAACAGGAACTGAAGTCACCTGCAAGCACCGATCTTGACCCGGTAAAAGCTTTGAAGTCGAATTATTCAAAGAATGTGACCGAGTTCATTCTTGCTTTACAAAACGTTTCACTAAGACTATCACAATTGCCGAAAGAGGCACGATTATCTGCCCTTCGGGCCGAGCTTTCGATCATCAACGATACCTTGTTACCCGCTGAGGTGGACATACCACAACTTCTTCCTTACACAAGTACTAGAAACAAGAAGTATCACAAGCTTCTCAAACTTAGCGTGAATGAAGCTTGTGTTCTCAATTCCGCCGAGCGCGTTCCCTTCTTGATGTTTGTCGAGTTTTTAAGTGACGAAATTGATTTCAATCCTGACTCGACATCAAACAGGATTATACTCCTGAAACGTTCCAAGTCTGGTCAAAATACACACTCATCGAAGAGCACTTCCCTCATGAGCAGTCAAGATTTCGAGTCCATTCGTGAAGCATCACAAAGTATGGAGGCTGATTTGAGTGAACTCAAGTCGACTAGGCCAGATTATGATATGGAGACGTTGAAAACGGGGGTTTCTCACATGGACGTTCTCGAAAAAATTACACACAGATCAACAAGTCTGGTTGACGTTGCTTCTAAAACAAGGGCGGATCAAATGCGAATTGCTGCTGTTATGCTTCAGCAGCTCGAGGCATCTGGTCAAGCTACAACTGAGCAATCGTCAGCAATCAAAAATCGTATTATTGAGTCAATGATTGCTTTGCAAGACCAATTTGAATCCATTGACTACGAGAAGTTCAACCATTTGAAAGGTAATGACCCTGATGCTGGTGAAAGAAAGCTTGAGAATGATTTCAAGTTGGCTGAAGACTGGCACGCTAAAAAACAAAGAATCAGAAAATCAAGTATCTACGGCAAGCTTCCAAATTGGGACCTCTGTTCTGTCATTGCAAAAAATGGGTCTGACCTTCCTCAAGAAGCTTTCGCGTGCCAGCTCATCACGATGATTTCTAACATCTGGTCGTCAAGGCAGATCCCAGCTTGGACAAAGCGGATGAAAATCCTCATCACGAGTGCTAACACCGGTTTAGTTGAGACCATCACAAATGCTATCTCGATTCACTCCATCAAAAAGTCATTAACGGAAATATCTATTGCCGCCGGAAGTAACACAAAGGGAAGAATCTTTACATTGAAGGACTACTTCGAAAAGCTTTTTGGGGATTCCAACTCACCATCTTACAGAATTGCACAGGATAATTTTGCCAGGAGTTTAGCATCTTACTCAGTCATTTGTTACGTGTTGCAGATCAAAGACAGACACAATGGTAACATCATGCTCGACGACGAGGGCCATATTATTCATATTGATTTTGGGTTTCTCTTGTCAAACTCTCCTGGCAGTCTTGGTTTTGAGGCAGCCCCATTCAAGCTCACGATGGAGTACGTGGAGTTGTTGGGAGGGCTTGAGAGTGAGGTCTTCAAAATGTTTAAGGATTTATGCAAGGACTGTTTCAGAGCTCTCAGAGAAGAAAGTGACCGTGTCATCAACATGGTCGAAATTATGCAAAAGGACTCCAATCTTCCTTGTTTTAACAATGGCGATAACACGAGTGTTCTTTTGAAAAATCGTTTGCAGTTACAGTTGCAGGATGATGAAATTGATGATTTCGTGGAGATCTCGCTCATTGGAAAGAGTTTGGGCAGCATGTATACGAGACTCTACGATCAATTTCAGTTGATTACGCAGGGCATATATAGTTGAGCGCCAGCTGAAACGCGAATCTATGACGAACTTGCATTGGTTTGCCCGTCGTGCCTCGATATTTAAAATAATGCATCTGCAATTCAAGTCGATTTTTGTAGTTTTTTAAAGATGTCCATCGAAAGAGCTTCGAAGCCGAAGTTTAAAATTGGTGTATTTAGGATGAGATGTCTGATGGCCCCAATCCCCGAGGCCTCGGAATCTTTGAAGCATGCACTCGCAGAGTGCAACGCTAGTATGGACGAGGTTGATCGCTTCAAAGCATCGAAGAGATCAGAAAATCGAAAAACTCAGGGAAACAGAAGACTTAATGGATTTATGGCATTTCGAATTTACTACTCAAGGGCTGCCAAAGACTCAGCATCTCAAAAGAAGCTCTCTGCTTTACTCGCGAAGGCTTGGAAAAATGACAATAACAAGCATATCTGGAGTACGTACGCCTCAATGTATAACGAAACCGGTGGAAAAGATGCATTTATATTTTGGTTGGAAAAGTCGTTGAGCGCGCATGGCAAGACCAAGCAAACTCAATTCACTCGAAAAACCCCTCCTAATGTCTTCATCAATGGTGTTGAAGATATTTTTTTGGGATAGATTTGCTTTGCGAAAATAAATTAGGCTGCGGCGGTGGGAGTCAATCCTTTGGGTCGTTTCAACTGCTCACCATTTGCGTCCTTCTTGCGTTTCTTACCAGCCTTCACGGGACGAGCCTCACCCTCTTCATAGACATCACTTGGCAAGTCATGCAATTTCACATTCTTGATTTGGACGAAGTTCTTGCCCTCCTCGTACAGAGTGGAACTCTTGCAGAGATTATAAAACTCGGAGCAAGGGTACTGGATATCAAGTTTTTTAACGCCGCCGACTTCTCTCACGAGACTTACGTCTAAGCCAATAAACAATTTGGTGAGATAAATGACCTTAGGAGGGATTGCATCGGCTTCGCCTTCAACGGGCTTCTTGTCTTCCGATGGCTGCTGCAATCCATTTATGAAAGATTCACCCAGAAGGCTACCGTATGAAGCCAAAACATCTTCAACCTTTTCCTCTCCTAATATGTAAGCGGAGCTAAATGATTTGACATATGGATGAGCGAGTGCGATACCCTCAGCAACTTCGAGCTTTTGGACAAGAATACGTAATTTACTTTCAATCAAGCCGCTCCATTTATGGTGATCTTCATCGGTGCCAAGTGTAGCACCAACGACACACAAATAGAATTTGTAGTCATGAAAGAAGGTGTGCCTCTTCAACAAACTTGACCACGTTTCTTCACCAGTACTAATTTTCTCCATTATCTCATTTCCTCGTGATATTTCTTTAAGAATAACCTTTTGCGTAGAGTTGGTTATGTTATGGGTAGCACACATCGAAGGATATGCTGGGGTGATCACTGGCATTCTGTGTTGTCTATCGTGTGGATATATACGTGGGTTCCACACTCTGACTTGTAAGGGGCCATCTTCAATAGGCTTGAGTAGAACCGGTTGAGGCCAATTCCACTTCGTGTAAATGCTGAAAAACTTTTGAATAATGACAGCACTAACTGCATTCGGATATAACTGACAGATCCTAGCTACTAACATTGCCCATGCAACACCACCAGGGAAACCGAACACGTTTGCATACACAGCACGTTGTTGCGCCCACATCTTGATGCATCTGAGAGCATGTTTAAAAACAGTCGGTTTGGGAACTAGAGTCAATATTTCATCCGTAACTCGAGTTCCATTGAGAGATCTGAGGTCTCTTTCTTCGATGTTTTTTAGCAAGTTTTTGTCATCTAATGTCATGTCGGATGGAACACGAGAAACATTAAGACGAGCGAAAATCAAATCGATGGATATCCCATCAAACTCAAGCTTTATGATAGGCACATACGCATCTGGAACGGAAGTTATCTCCTCGAGTTCGGGTCTTGCCCTAATTATCTCCTCGAAAACAGTGAAGAAGTCTTCCCGTAGAACATGCTTTGGGACAACGACCAAAGTATCGATATCTGACCCGGGTCCGTAAACTCCAAGCCTATAGGAACCAAATGTAAAGATTTTTCCTCCCGCATCTTTGGCCATACCATCACTCATATTTCTTTTCTTTGAAACTTTGTACACAAAGTCTTGAACCATCCTTTGCATCAATGCTAGGACATCAACTCTTTTCCTTGTTGCCTGCTCACTTTCGAAGGACCCACGAGCCTTTAGTTCACCAATGAGAGCATCATTGAGACTTATTTCTCGTTGGGTGGGGTTTGCAAGAGAAACTGGGCCTGTTACTCCGTAAGCTTTATTGGACATGAGATAGTCTCTGAAGGTGCTGTGAATTCAATGAAGTGAGGTAGACGCTACTTTTATGCAGTGTTGAAAATCTAGTTCTCTTATAAAGATTTGGCTTTAGACCAGTTTTTAATAATTGCGAGAGGTACACCTTTTGAAAACCCAAGCTCGATCGCATCTTGCAATAAAATTGATAACGATTGTCTCAGCTGGCTGTCAAGCTTCATTATCAGATTGCCTAGTAATACGATCAACCTTGCACTCAATTCATGTTTGTACCCCATGTCTTTCGCGCTTTGCCTGAATTGGTTGAAAGCCACGACTCTTTGAGAAGGGGTAAGTCGTTTTGACCGAAAAAGACCACGAGTTATACCTTCCATGATCGGATTGGTTAATATTGCCTTTCTGGATTTATAGTTTTTCAAAATTTCAAAAGCCATTGACGGCTCGTCATGGACTATGAATTCGAAAACGGATGCCTGACCCGTGGGAGAATCAAATTTTAACAATTTTAATATGTCACGGATTTGCTTCACACCGTCTTTCAGATGGGTTTTGGTATGACTTTTGTAGACGAAGTGCATTGCCTTCTTCATTATCCTGTCCAAGATGTATGTTTTTCCCGTTTTCGATTGTATGAATGTGAAGTTGTTTGATGCAAATAGGTAGTCGTAAAGATTATTGGTGAAATCGGCCATGTGTTCGGTGTCTAGGGTCGATATTGTTTGACCCAATGTCTGAAGCGTATGAATCATTTTTGTGCGTTCGTCCTTAGACGCCATGGCGTAGTAGAACCTGAAATCATCTTCGAATTGATAGTTAACCGTTTGTCCTCGCTTCTCTAAAACTGTAGTGTTCCAAGTTTTCTTGAGAATTCTGTCAAAGATGGCACATGCTCGATTGTCGGTGATGTTATTGCGAAAGGCGAATCTCAAAAGCTCAGTAAGATTGTATGCGGTGAGTTTGGTCTTTTCAAGGCCCTGCAAAATGATTCCGGAGTTTTGTGGTTCAACCAGCCTGAGGGCTGTTCGTAGGACATGACGGTTATTGTTGCAATTTTCGATAATAGTCACAATTTCATGCGGAGAGGCATCTTTGATATATGCTAGACATGCTTTTTGAAAAAGTTCAGGTCGTTTTTCTTCAAGTGATTGCAAGACTTTTGGAGACCTCTGAATAATGAATGGAAAAGCGAGCTTCAAAGTCGTCGCTGACATGTGTTTATAAAACTTTTTGATAGCCTCCAACATCACGTCTTCTTTGCAGCTAAATAATGCCAATTTCACCACGAAGTCAAAGAGTCGTTGGCTCTGTAGAAGACCACGTTGGTTGTTTTTGTATGCAATTAGGAATATGCGGTGGGCGTCTTGGGCAGATGCTGATTGTAGGAGAGAGAAAAAGTCACTCTCGTTGATGTGTGCCAGACGGAAATGCAAAAAATGGGTCATGAGGGCGGATCGGGAAGAGTCTTCAGAAATTTCAGGTACTTGACTCGGTGGTAGGTAGGGTATTGAATCTGCCATTGAGCTGGTGAGAAAGGAAAACCATCCCGGTCTCTCGAGAATGCTGGGTTCATTTCTTATAGCTTTGATAGCAGACTTTTGGTCCATGAGATTGAGCTGCGCTTGCAAGAAAAAAGCTTTGCTAATGGGATCATTGGATATAGTCTCGAGGTGGTTTTCCTCGAAAAATACTAGTTCGTCGCTGTTCTCCACATTGTCGAGTTCATCCACAAAGCTCATGACCGCCGAGACCTGAGCCTTATTAAGGGAGAACTTGTATTCGACAGTCTCCACAATGGAAGTTAAAAGGCCGGAAGTTGACGATTCATGTCTGGCTGCTCTGAGTGCTTGCCATACTCCTAGGTAGACGTTATTGCAAATGCGTAGTTCGGAATGTAGAAGATCGACGATATCTTCAATGTCGCTCAAGGACGTAGCGTCTGTGATAGAGACCTGCCAGAACAGATGCCATTGGCCGTAGAAAATGAGTCTTTTGAGTAGTAGCTGCTTCTCGGATTCCTCTACATGAGGCAAAACCAGATGTAACTGAAGAAGCACGTCCGGATGAGCGGCGAATTTGGGCAGATGGAGAAGTTTCACAAATTGCTGGTACAGATCTGGTTCGGACGATAGGCTAGCCTGGAGAGCTGGATCCATCTTGTTAGGAACAACCTCTGGAGTAGGATCCACCGATTCGTCTATGTTCATGCTGTCAGAGAGAAACTGGGTTTCTTTTCGGATAAAGCGGATAAGCATACCGCTGAGGGAGTCACGTTCCTCGGAGGAAGGCGCTGGAGGGCTTTGGTCCGCTTTTCTATGCTGATGTCGTAGTAGAGCATGGTATATGCTGGGTTTTGGAGGATGTAGGAGCCGATGTCGGCTGCCACAGCGCCAGGCCGGTCTGGAGCCGAGCCGGAGCGCATAAAGCATGCTTTTGTGGAAAATATGCAGTTATTGGGGTGTTGGACCGAAGGATGGTAAGTGATGTCTCAGTAGCTGGATGAGCTTGATTTTTCGCGATGTTGTATGTCGACAGTATGGGGAACCTTCAGAGGCAGAAGGTTGAAAGAAATTTAATTCTACGATTTGTTGATTTGGCGAGTGGCGGGAGAAGACGAAAAGAGTCATTTTGGTCGATTTTTGGCAGGAGATGAATTGAGTGATCGGTGCTGTGTGGACTCTTCTGGAGTATAGAAAATGGCTGCGAAAAGTGTATCCCGACTGACATTCACTACTAAACGGCCGCCAAGATAGCGGAGAGACAACTTGGAAATTTCTGACATTTCGCTTTTGGAACAAATCCAGAATTTCGGCTTCTGATTGGATTTGACGCTGTCAGCTCCGATCCATCTGTAGCACTAGTGCGATAGAGATCAACCCCATGCTACCGAAACTTCGTCCAGCTACGCTCTCAAGTTAGTTTAGCTCAAACTCTCTCTTTCGTCAGCCGATGTCTCTATCTCAAGAATTCTTAAAATTGACTTTTCACTCACCTGGCGACTGGGGTAGCCAAGGCCGAACAGCCGAGAGCCTGCATGTCACGCATATCAACAAGCTCTACACCACTTCATCTCCAGAGCCATGGCCCAAGTCATCTGGAATGCAGACATTGATGTATATAATCCGCTGGTCATGCCGCTCCCGGTGGCCAAAACCATAGCGTGGTTTCTCGATGTGCCGGATTTGCTTCAATTTGCCAAAACTTCAAAAAACACATATAGAGCGGCCAATGATCCCCAGCTCTGGATCCTGAAGCTCAAGAAAATGGGGCTTTGGCAAAATGGAGTGGAGGCTTCAAGAGAAGAGCTAGCAGGCTCAAAGTTTGAGTGGCTCGATAACCCATTGACCTGCTGTGACAAGATATACAAGATACCCAAGATCGCCAAGTTCCAGATCCTACGCATACGAAGAAGCCTACACCGGTTTTACGCCGACTTGCAACTGAATCTACCATACGAGCGACTCAAGCTTTTCAAAACATTTCAGTCACCACAGGAACAAGCGAAGATGTTGAGCAATCTCTTAATGTACAACGCTATCAATCCTGACGAGACGGTCGGCAGTATGGTCGGTGAAAAGATCACCGATCTCATGGAGATTTTTGAAAATGCCTTGCTACGAGAACTAGAGATTCATTATGACATTCAGGATTACGAAAGGACCAGTGAGTTCGTCACCATCCTTGTGGAGCTCAAGAACGAGCAAACGCTTATAGACTTTTTCCTCCAGAAAGTTTGCTTCGATAATGATACAACGAAGTTCTTGAACCTGGAGGCCTTCAACGTTTGCAAGTTCTTTAGTGCCGCCACAAACGGTGACCTTATCGCTCAACTGGACGATGAAGACGACGAGGACGAAGAAAAAGAGAAACCTGAGCCAAAGTGGGAGCTCAACCAAGAAGAATTAGACGGGTTTATTTACGAGCTTGCATCGGTATTCAATGAAGAGTCGAGAATTATCGATTTGATCTTCCCCCAGACGATTCCCATGATGTACAAAGTGAGCGAGGAGCTCATATCAAACCAGCTCCAGGATGTCATTCTCCTTCTCATATCCACATCAAAAGAACGTGGCTTGTATTTTGAGATGGTCACTCAATTATATGTTAGACTCACCCACGACTTCCTTGACCAATTGAACCCAAGTGTGAATGTTGGTGAGAGTTACATTCGTTTGACTCGACTGCTCATAGATGTCTCCTACGAGTCAATAGCGGCCGAGTATCTTAATGAAGAAAAGGCTGTGTTCAAGCAGCGCTGCTCTGAGAAGGTGTCTGAGTGGAAGGATAATGTCAAGCAACGGGAGCATGAAACCACGCAAAACATTCTTAAGCACGTCAAGGCAGAGTCAAAGAGTGACTTTTTGCTGAGTTTCAAAAAGGTCTTCACAATTTCAGGCAAAGACAACGAGGACCTGAAGGAGGAGGAAGGTGACGAGAAGCTCAACTACTCCAAGATCCAAGCTCAAGCGAAGATTCTAGCAGAAAACATCAAGTCCTTGAGAAGAGTGTTCAGTCCAGAGTTGACACTCAATGTTCTCAATGATACAAAGGTGTCTCTTGCAAGACTTTCGCTGTTTGATGACTACACAGTTGCCGCCTTGCGCTTCGACATCTACGGAGTGATGCAAGAGGAGTTCATCAGTGTGATTGAAAGCATAACCAATGATCACCTTCGAGAAGGATTCGAAAGAGCTCTCAAGTACCTCAAGGATTACAACCCTAGAGACGTATCTCTCGCTGACGATAAGAGAGGAACTGCCATCGAACCCCTTGTCATCTTCTTCGAGGCAATTAACATGGCAGATATGATCGTGCAAATGATCGATATATTCTACAAGGAGGAGATCATGCAAAGAAAATTGACCAAACACGAGAACTCTGTTCTCAACCCGTCTCTTCAAAGCAAAAAGGCAGCAGAAGCTCTCGTTGACAAGTACGTTGCAGACGGTCTTCATATTGGCATTGACGTTCTTTTCAAGGAAATAGAGTCTGTGTTCCTTTCTGGTCTCAGTGACTCCGACTACAATCCACCTCCTAGCATGGCCCACGATATCCCGGGGCCCACCAAGGCTGCTCAACATGCCGTTCTGATATTAGAGGATAACATTGACTTGTTGGTTGATTGCGCCGATAAACCGATTGTGGAAGTCTTCCAGCAGGAAGTTGCAGAAAGATTCTTTCAAGCGATCGTGAAATGCTTAAAACGAAGCACGATCTCAGTTGGCGGCGCTGTCACGCTTATCTCGGATCTTAACTTGTACTACGACTTTATCCTTACCCATGTCAAAAGTAACAAGCGTATGATCTTCCCGCTATTTCAGGCACTTAAGAAGGTGGGATCAATTTATTTAATTGGAGGCGAGGATGCCAAGGCCATTGGGCAGCTCATCAGTGATTTGACTAAGTTTAACGGTATTTTCAGTCAGGAGGAGATTTACGAGTTCGTGCAACGCAGAGCCGACTGGCCGTTGATCAAAAAGCATGTTCAGAAGGTGATGTATGGACTCAGTTTGATCGATTGCACAATTGTATAGTCCATCATCTATTGCATAATGAAGAATTTTCGATTGTAGCATTGAGCTTAGGTGAGTCTATTGTTTTGTAGTATTGTACGGTTTTTGTGCATATTGTCGAAAGTATTAATACCATCAACACCCTGCATTTTTCGCAGCCATTGAAACTAGAACGTACAACACGCAAACTCCAACTAATAGCCGTGGAAAAATAAAAAGAAAAAAAAAAAAAAAAAAAAAAAAAAAAAAAAAAACAAGCAAAAATACAAGAACGGAACAAAGCAGAAACATTGAGAAAATACAATTCTTCCTTGACATCACAACCGTTAACCTTCCTCGTTTCTTCTCTACACAGCGTGAACGGACTGCTACGGCTGCAAAGAGGCTTTGTCCAACTACATCTCAATGCTGGACAATTCCATAAAGGTAACCACTTGACAGGATCTCAAACCGTGCATATGCGACCAAATGTGCATTATAACCGTATGGCATGAACCAGATCTAGTGCACCAGAAACATACTATGACAGTATCACCAAAGCTAGATAAAACTTCATCAACAAAAAAGTCACCTTTGTTCATAGCGGTGGTTTCAAATCCCAAATCTCACCTCCACTATGGGGGACCAATCAAGACCCACGACTCATGCGAATATTCCGTTCTGGTCGAGCCGTGTGGGGCTGACAGAAAACCGTTATGCAGAGTACTTACGAACAAAACTTCCAACCAATAAAAACATAAACTTTCGTCCGCAGCCCCAAAACTCAATTGCGGTCCACCGATTCCGTTATTAGCTAGATTTAAGCCCCGCCTGCGCTTTCGGATCTCTACAGCCAATGCACTCGGTATAGAGGACATCTCCACAGTGCATTAGTCATCAGGAATACACCAGCGGAATTGATTCTGCTGAAGCCAGCATGTCTCGACTTTCGGGCTCTTCTTGTGAATCGACGGCAGATGCCAATAAACTGGCATATTCCAGTTGCCATAACCAAGACCATAGACTGGCTGCAAATGACTCACCCAATCAGCTCTACGACACCACAGATGAGATCCAGCTCGACAGCCAGGAGTATGTGGCTCGTTCGGTGGCGCCGCTAGCTGAAGAGGCGTACCATGAAGAATTGGAAAGGGTCTCTCGACAACTTACCAGTCAGAGCAGGGAGAAGGATGCCTCTTTGGATTCAGTTAGTGAGGAACTGGAAGAACCTCAGGATCACCCAGTGGATGGCCTTTTTGCAATATGGCAGGCCGTTTTGGCGCTGCTTTTGGTGTTTCTGACGTGGGGCGCCAATGCTTCGTTCGGTGTGTTCTTGAACTACTACATGTCCAATAGCCTGTTTCCTGGAGCCACCCACTACGACTTTGCGCTTATTGGTGGTATAGTGGTGTTTCTAGTGCAAGCCCCAGCGCCATTGATATGCTTTTTGGTTGCCATGTTTGGCCAGACTCCTGTGCTTTTGCTTGGTTTGGTTCTACAAACGTTGGGCTACATTCTAGCATCGTTCAGCACGAAGCTCTGGCAGATATACCTCTGTCAAGGTGTTCTTGTAGGTGCTTCTTTTGGCTTGATTTTTTTCCCTGCCAGTTTGGTGATCCCAACATGGTTTCAAAAACGAAAGTCCACCGGCATGGGAATCTGCGTTTGTGGATCGGGTGTAGGCGGTGTGGTTTTCTCCGTGGCGTTGAATAAGCTTATTTCCCAGACAGGAGATCAGCGGTGGCCGCTTCGGATGGTTGGTCTTGTCACCTTCGCTACGTCGTTGTTCTCCATCTGCTTCTTGAGACCCCGGAACAAGAAAACCATCGATATCAACACTTCGAGGATTACATGGGAACGCACCCGAGCGATTCTCAAAATTGTGTTCGACTTTGAGCTTTTCAAATCCCTCCACTACCTAGTTGTGGGTGTTTGGTTCACCGTGAGCTTCTTGGGCTACGTCATATGCCTCTACTCATATTCCCCGTACGCCTCGTCCATCGGCTTGACACACGATCAGGCCAACAATCTTTTGGCTATTTATAATACTGGACAAGCCTTGGGCAGACCTTTAGTGGGACACATTGCCGATCATTACGGCAGAACCAACACAGCAGGATTTTTTTCTATTTATTTGGCAATCATGGTGTTGGCTTTCTGGCGACATGCTGTGTCGTATGGAGCTTTGATCGTCCTTGCTATCTTGCTAGGCGGACCTTCGGCGGTTGGGTACGTCATGAGTCAGTCTCTCGTTGCTGACATCTTAGATATCCAAGAAAGACCTCATCTTATGCCTGCTGCGTGGTCAGGCCTCAACATCATGGTTTCCTTCATTTCACCTCCATCAGAGGTTATAGCCATTGCATTGAAGGAAGAGAAAGCCTCCAATCCGTTTGACCATGCTCAGGTATTCACCGGCTGCATGTTCCTCCTTTCGTTCTTGCTTCTACTATTTAATCGTGAATTTCTCGTTCGTGAGAGATTGAAAGATAGAAAACTGCAAGCTCAAGCTGCTTATTTGCGGGAGGGCGATCCCTCAGACGAAGACAAAAAGGAGCTTCTCATGACCCAGATAGACCGTTACGACAGATTTCTCGAAAACAGCATTTTAAACTATTTCATTCGCATGTTCTATCCCATGATCGTGTGAAGCTACTGATTTGATGAGCTAATAGAAAATATACATCATAGTAATGAGACAGCTCGGCTGCAAAATAGGTCCATCTCGGACATTTCGGGTGGTTGAAGTCTAACCGCAGAAGTTGAAGAAAGCCCCAAAGTGATAAAGTATTCGAATTCATCTGCTGCATCCTTGAGAAAAAACCTCTCACTTCATAAATCAAACATTGGCTATCAGAGCTCACCTGGTGGTTGTAGTCGCATATCTGTGAATACAAGGTCTAACGAGCGAAAGCACCTAAAACAGTTCATCATCATTTCGCAAACATTATTTCATTAAGGAATCATCTTCTTATTTCTAGACAAAAAATTCATGAAAAAAATTCACATATCAACCAGACTGGTTTGGTGATGTTCACGACTCAACTGCAGGAATATATCATCTCAACCAACTACTGTCCTGCTCCAGCCCAGAAAGAGAGAATTTCTCACAAATCCTACATAGCCATGCTATCACGAATACGGCATGAGCTGCATCACCATTTTCATAGAGTTCATAATATCAAACTAAGGCCACAGACAGGCCTTGTAAGGGTACTACATTTGAACCGAAGGGCATCAGGATCTTCCCAGGAAGCCGTTTCCACATACCAGCGTCTTTCTGATATCTATAAACTATTCAGAAACGAAAAGCTGTTCAAAAGATCATCTGTGAAGTGCTACAATTTCTATAAAAGTCAAGATCTGCTGCTATTAAAGGATGTCTTATCATACCCTCACATCAACCAAGACATACTCTCCTTCCTATGCCTCGGGTTCAGGCAGTCCAAGAGCATGAAAGCAATGATATACCAGAACTTGTTTGATCTACTATTGAAGAGGGACTTTGCGGTGTTTTACGATACTATACAACGCATGAGCTCCGAAAGACTAGTCAGCCAGAGGTTCGTGAAATCCATTCAAACCGTCCAAACAAGCTCAAAGCATAACGATGACATGTTCAAGCAAATTGCTGAGCAATTTATTATAGAGGTCGGCTCAGCTGGCGAACCCTTCATAGCCGCCTCGTTTGCGGTTCAGTTACTTGAGGGCAAGGTCTTTTTGGATTCCAATGTCATGGAGCGCCTAGTCTTGACACTTGCAGAATTGTCATCCGAGCCTTCATTCATGGCGTACACTATTCACAAACTCTTCAAACTATACGGACACAAGAACGTATCTGCTGCTACAAAGCTTGGTGCCATCAATGGCATGTTGAAAGAGCCCTACATCCCATTTTATGCCAACCATCTTTACGACACCATCAAGCCGCTGATGCTGGGAAATGAACGTCTTGCGCCCGTGCTCATCAATCTCATATCAGCCAACACAGAGAAGGGACACCTTTGTCGGACCATTGATTTGTGGAAGGACCTTCGAGAACTTTTCCCTGAAGTTGCCGCTACAAACACATCACTCATTGAAAAAATTGCATTGAGGATAGCCGAGGAGGACGTTGGGAGGGCGGCTGACTTTCTTGAAACTATTCCAGAGGAGGCCAAGTGCACTTCCGGGCTTCTTGAAACCTCAATTAGCATTGTGGGAAGGTGCCAGAACAGGTATGACGATTTCACATATCTTTCAAAGCACCTCACTGCACCACTTTCCAGAAAAGCGCTCTCGTCGCTTTTTGTTTCATTTTTGCATCAGAACAACGAAACTGCCTCTGACAAGATGCTCAAGGCAATTTTCAAAACACCCACGGGATTGAACCCCAATGATTTCGACGCATTAATCAGCAAACTTCTACGTCGTGGCAAGCTTGACAAAAGTTTAGAGATGTGCTACAATACCGATGTCCATATCTCGAAACTCGGCTACTTGAGGGTTTTGGATCACTTGCTTTTGCAAGGTAATGTCAACCTCAATGGGTTTTGTGATCACTTTTGTCGCCAATTCAAGAAGCTCAGTAATACAGACACAGCATTGCATACCTTCACAACGACCATGTTCCGTCACTTTTCCAAACGCATAAAGAATAGCGTGAGCAGAACGCTTTACATCTCAAAGGCCTACAAGGACGCTTTCCACAAAGAAGCAGGATTCAATTTCCGAAAGCTCGACTTGCCTACAAAGTTCAACGACTTCATTCTCATAGACGACCAGAATCGGATTGCATGTTTGAACATCATATACAAGCAAGCAATCTCCGAGCAGGACCAGGTCAACATCAAGTGGTGCCTTGACGAGCTCAAATCGTTAGGAGTATCACTGGGTGATATCATAGCACATTATCTCAAGATCTGAGGTATCTACCCCATGTACATATTTGCATCAACGTTTCACGTCTATTCCCATTATTATTTACAAGTGCCGCTTATTTCTTCTTTTTGTTGGACTCCCACTTGGCCTGGACCTTACCACCCTTGTTTACCTCGGTAGCATTCTCACCCAAAAGCTCGAACAAATCGTCCTTCTGCTTGGCAATATGCTTACGTCTCTCCTGGATACTAAGCTCCTCATCAACCTCCTTCGTACCATCGAAACCACCGAATCTCTTCTTGAACTTGTCGACCTTACCCACAGCGTTAGGATCAGTATCGTCCAAGTCATCTCTAGTAGGGTTCCACAATGTGCTGGATCTCTGGTCAGAAATCATTCTGACTTCGTCCTTAGGGGCCTGAGAGCGTCTTCTGACAACAGAACCATCTGAAAGCTCCACGAACGTCTCAAACTGGTGGAAAATGGCAGGTCTGGCTTTTCCCATCCTGATGGTGTTCATCACTCTCTTCTTGGAAAGAGAAGCCGATTCACCGGCATATATCACGGCACTCACGCGGACAGAGCCACGGGAGACGCTTTTGAGCGATGCAGAAAACATGTGTGTATGAGGAAGATTTGGCTTCTGGTTCTCAGAGCTGTAGGTTTTTTTCACTACTGGGGTTGATGTGTACTGCAGGAAGGGCAGTCTGTCCTAGAGGGTTGGTACGTTTCGACAGGTATGTCCAAGTACTGAAAGTAAAATATCTCGAGGGCAATAGCTACCTGAAAATAGGAATGAATTTGCAGGCTTTGGGACAATCCATTGGGACATTTTTCTATGCTGTGGATGTATAGTTGGTGCACCATGCAGGACCACCAAATCCCTGGATAGTACCCAAGAGAAAATACGATGATGAAATGTAGACAGGAAACTATATGGTTATAAGATTTAGCTGAATTTGGTAATTTAAAGATTTTTCTTCCAAAAGATCACAGGGTGGCCGTTCTCTTCACATCCCTACTGAACAGCCTTATGCATAGTGCGATCGAAAGGTCCGAAGAAACTGATGCTTCTACCAATAGTCGACAATTATTTTTTGGACTATTCATTCGACCCCATTGAAAGAATTGACAATAACGCCATTTTTTTGCCCCACCACCTCTTACGTGTTTGTTTGTTGGTAGTGCGCGAACCGGGTTCGAAATCTTCGCTAGTATCGAAAAAACGTACAGGCAGATTCAAGACGACAAATCACCATGGCCTTTTCCAACCAGACCCCGACCATTGTCGTGCTCAAGGAAGGAACCGACGCCCTGCAGGGCAGAGGCCAGATCTTAAATAACATCAACGCCTGTTTGGCGATCCAGGAGACCCTCAAACCCACGTTGGGTCCATTTGGATCAGACATTTTGATCAAGTCTTCCAACGGCAAAACCACCATTTCCAACGATGGTGCCACGATTTTGAAGTTGTTGGATATTGTTCACCCAGCTGCCAAGATGCTTGTGGATATTTCCCGTGCCCAGGACGCTGAAGTCGGAGATGGTACCTCCTCTGTGACCATCTTAGCAGGTGAGTTCTTGAAGGAGACTAAGACGTTTATTGAGGACGGCATTTCGCTGCATCTCATCACAAAGGGATTGAGAAAAGCCTGCGAGTTGGCGGTCAAGAAGATCGAGGAGATCCAGGTGGAGATCAAGAAAGAGGACACTACACAGTTCAGAGAGCTCTTGGAGAGATGTGCCAAGACGGCGATGTCGTCGAAGTTGATTTCGAAGAACTCGGACTTCTTCACGAAGATGGTCGTTGATGCCGTCTTGACGTTGGATGACGACTTGGACGAGAAGTTGATTGGTATCAAGAAGGTTCCAGGTGGAGCCATGGAGGAGTCGCTTTTCGTGGACGGTGTTGCATTCAAGAAGACGTTTTCCTACGCCGGTTTCGAGCAGCAGCCCAAGAGATTCACCAACCCCAAGATCCTCAACCTCAATGTCGAGTTGGAGTTGAAGGCCGAGAAGGATAATGCCGAGGTGAGGGTGGACCAGGTGAAGGACTACCAGGCGATCGTGGACGCCGAGTGGCAGATTATCTTCGACAAGTTGGAGGCCATCAAGGACTCTGGCGCCAACATTGTCCTTTCCAAATTGCCTATCGGCGACTTGGCTACGCAGTATTTCGCTGACAGAGACATCTTCTGTGCTGGTCGTGTGAGCAGCGAAGACATGGACCGTGTGATCAAGGCTGTGGGTGGTTCAATTCAGTCTACAGTGAGCGGCATCAGCGAAAAGGCCGTCGGTACATGTGCTGAGTTTGAGGAGGTCCAGATTGGTGGAGACAGATACAACTTGTTCCGTGGGTGTCCCGAGGCCAGAACGTGTACGTTAGTGTTGAGAGGAGGCGCCGAGCAGGTGATTGCCGAGGTCGAGAGATCGTTGCATGACGCCATCATGATTGTCAAGAGAGCCGTGAAGCACCGCACAGTTGTCGCTGGAGGAGGAGCCATTGAGATGGAGATCTCCAAGTACCTCAGGGAGCACTCCAAGACGGTGGCGGGCAAGCAGCAGTTGATCATTGGAGCGTTTGCACGTGCGTTGGAGATTATCCCCAGGCAATTGTGCGAGAATGCCGGGTTGGATGCCATTGAGCTCTTGAACGTGTTGCGCAGCTCGCACGCCAAAGGAGAGAAGTGGTACGGTATCGACTTCCACAAGGAGTCTGTGGGCAACAACATGGAGAGTTTCATCTGGGAGCCATCACTTGTGAAGATCAATGCGCTTCAGTCGGCGACGGAGGCGGCCACATTGCTTCTTTCTGTGGACGAGACCATCAAGAACCTGGAGTCGGAGCAGGCGGCTGCGGGACGTGGGCGTGGAGCGTTCTAATGTATATACTAATAGATCAACAGCGGGTATGATGTGGCGACGAATCGGGAAGGGTGTATACCGAAAGCTGTGGATCCACGGTTCTAAAGTAGGATCCACGCGATAAGCCAGGGTCTACAATGGCTTGAGCCAAGCCGCCATGGAATGTCAACGTCGGGCAGGTGAAGTCGATTGATGGCGATTTTGTAATTTGAGTCAATTGGTGTCGAATTAGTGGTTTGGTCAAATGATGGTTTAGTGTTTTTGGAAGTCAAGTGGATGCACGGCTGCACGGCTACGAACTTTTCACAGTGATTTTCCACCCACACAGATTCCACCCACAGATTAACCTCTCGGTAGCAAATCCCTAATGCAAACGCACCACCCAAGCAAAGCCGAAATCTACAATTCTCCCAAATCCCACAAAATCCGAATCCCTATATTCATTCCTCCCACCACATTCTCCGGCGCAGGCACCCAGCCGTTTGTCTACACGGTAAAGATTACCGGTGGAGCGTTTTTTATTTTTCGCAGCCATTAGGCCTTCACTGAGCGCGCCCGCCAAAAACGTCGCCTGAGGTACCCAAACGGGTCCGCGCGGTGGACCAGGGGCAGTCCCTGGCGACGAAAAGGGCGGCCAAACACCGGCGATTTGGCGGGGACCGCATTTTGAAGTAGTTCATTCAAAAAAGATTTTTCAATTATTATACAATTCCAAATTTTTTTACATACTTTCTTCCCCCAAGCCCACTGTTGCACGGTCGGGTGCCTGTGGCCGCGTCGCGATCGTGAATCGATTCACGCCGGGGTGAATGGCTGCGAACCTACCCTACCGTGGATTCGCGTAGTCTCCTTCTGAGGCCTCGATAAAACCCACACCTTTTCCTCGTGAACCTCCAGCTCTCTTCTGCTCTGGCCCTCACCCCATACATTCACTTTCCAGGCAGCCGGGCACTTACCTTTCTTCCTTCGGGACACATTCGCTTACCATTCCATTGACTGTCCCATCGTTCTAGGCATTCTGGTCCACCGTTCTAGGTCCATCCTGAGACACATCTGAGACACCTCAACCAACTTTCACAAACCAAACCACAAACCAAACCACAAACAATCATGAAATACGGCCCGCCCCAAGCCAAACCAAGACAGTACCCTTACACGCTCGAGGTGCTCGAGAGCCAGGCCAACAAGAAGCTCATGGCCGAGTACAGAGCAGACAATAAACAGTGGCTTGCGCTGCTCGAGGCCCAGCTGGCGCCCAACGCCCAGATGATCGACCTCCAGCCCGAGGTGCAGTGGTACATGAGGCCCTACCTCTTGGACTTTTTGATTGAGCTCCACCAGAGCTTCCGTTTGCAGCCTGCCACGCTTTTCCTCTGCATCAACATCATCGACCGCTACTGCGCCAAGCGTATCGTGTTCAAGAGACACTACCAGTTGGTCGGCTGCACGGCGCTCTGGATCGCCGGCAAGTACGAGGACAAGAAGCTGAGGGTGCCCACGCTTCGTGAGTTGGCCATCATGTGCCGCCACGCCTACGACGAGGAGATGTTTGTCCAGATGGAAATGCACATCTTGGCCACCTTGGAGTGGTCGCTTTCCCACCCGCTGTTGGAGGAGTGCCTCCAGTTGGCCATTGCCGAAACCGGCGTCACCGCTCATTCCACCCCTTGTAAGTACAACCGCCCCTCTCTGGCGACAGAGCTGCTGAAGGTGCTGGCTGTGACCGCCGTGGGCCGGTTTTTCTGTGAATTGGCGCTTTACGACCGCTACTTCTTGACCGTGCCTATGTCGCTCATTGCCATTGCAGCCAACCTTCTCGCCTGCTCCATGCTCGGCGTGGACGCTGCCGCTTCCAACTTGAGGACCCTTCTCACCCAGGCGCCTCCCCACGACTCGCTGGCGGGTCTGGAGGAGAACATGGCGCCCCTGGTCCAGGGAGCGTTTTTGCTGGGTCTTGACGGCACCTCGTTGAACCAGTTGCGCAAAATCGCCTTGGTGCTCATTCTACAAACAACCTCGCTTCTGGAGGTGCTCCAGCGTAAATACGAGGCCCTTGGCGTGATCCCCGTGCTCCACAATTACACCAACAAGCACGCGCTTCTTGTCAAGGCGGTCATTGAGCACCTGCCTGCCATTTTGGCAGACGAGCCTAACGCATTGGCGGCTTCCGAGGTGGCTCGTGTGGCTGACGTCTTGTTGCAGATTGGCCAGGAGGACTTGAAGCCTCCTCAGATGTTCTCTTCTTCCCAGGCCCTGCTCCCATTGACCCCTCCTTCGGCGTCCCAGCTGCTGGTGTTTTCCCACCACGCTTCGTCCTCCGCTTACTCCACGCCCATCATGCATCTGGGCCAGTTTGGCTACTCGCCCATGCCAACGTCTGATCCGGCTTGGCTGTCGCCTCTTGTGCCCAAGGGCCACTAGGACGCTTTCCAGCGCCTCCTGGCTCCCACCAAGGAGCCCTTTATACCCGGCCCCATGCATTGCCGCTCCGGCGGCTGAAAGTCATAATCTCAAGAATATTCGTGTAGAGACCCCCGTGGAGTCTGTTCTTCGCAATCGACCCGTATCGATATTCAAGTATTCGCAAAATTTAATGATATATAAGTCGACAAGATTTCATGTTTTGGTAGAAAATTTTCAAAAATACTCTTCTCTGACTACTGCTACGAGGAAGCCAAGTGTCAACCCAGAATGGCGGGCAATTGACCATTGGAGTGTGGTTTTAGAGCAGGATTTCAAAAGTCAAGAAATTTAGAAGAAACTTCACGTTTTGCAAAACTCTCCTTTTGTGTGCCTCCAGCAATAAACGGTTTCGTGAATCTTTCGTGTCTCGAGAAGACCCCTGCCAAGGTTCACGATTATGTTATGATAACACATTCCACGTTAAAATCGTGGAGAACAACCATTCATCCGTTTACGCGTGGGCTGTGAAAGGAGGCCCTTCACAGTCTTAATTGAAAAATTCACGGCATAATTTGAAGAAAGAGGAGGGGGAGATAGGAGGTTCCAGCATCGGTTCTGTAGGGTAGACCGTTTTCTCCGTTGACGAGATTTGCAGCCATTTTGCAGCCACTCTATTGCTACGTGATCTAGCCAATTCTCAAAAGTTTTTTTTACTTCAGAGATTAACATTCCTAAACGCATTGAACAATTGGCTCTAGAGCGTCGTAAAAGGCCCCTAAAGGGTACTGCAATCTACTGCCTCAACCAGTAGGTATCTGCACCGCCACGCCTATGCTTGTAATGGGGTCCCAAAAAATCTGACTGAAGCTATCTGAAAATTTTTTCAATCCATGAATTATTAAAAATCTATTTCGATTATTACTAATAAATTGTCCAATAATTCGACAGGCTAATTGAGGTCCGAGCCGTCAACTATGGACCCTTTGTTCGTCCCGATTAGGCACAATTCTCAATCTTCATTTTAGTGTACTGCACACAGTGGCACCAGATCAGAATGAGTACCCCTGAGTACCTTCACCATTAGGATTCGAATTGACAAAGTTAAAACGTCAAATTAGGCTTTCAAGACTGTAAGCTGGGTTCTGTTACTGCGAGCTGTCCTCTTAGCAAGACGCGTCCGAAAACCCAACTTTCTCATCAATGTCACGTGACCGTGCAGCGTTTGTTTACTGTTGATATTTCTCCAGTCCAACTACAACGCATCAGTCTTAAACTCATACCATGTCCGACGACTTCAGCACGAAAAACTGGGTTTGGGTCCCGGATAGAGATGAGCTTTTTGTCCGAGGCTATATCACTGAATACCAGAAAAATGACCTTTGCAAAGTTACGGTGAAGAAAAATGGAACAGAAACTGTCCAAGAGCTCCCTCTGAAGGTCTTGGAGAATTGCAATCCTCCCAAATTCAACAAGTGTGAAGATATGGCCGAGTTGACGCATTTGAACGAGCCTTCCGTCATTTATAATCTTTTCCTCCGGTACAATGACGACTTGATCTATACGTACTCCGGATTATTCTTGGTCGCTATAAATCCATACAAGAAGCTTCCGATTTATGAACAGAGTGTATTGAACAAATTCCATAAGCTGGCAGAGAAATCCAGCAAACTGGAGGACCGCTTGCCGCCACACATTTTCGCCCTTGCAGAAAACACATACAGAAACTTGCTAGAGAACCAGAAAGATCAGCTGATCTTGGTTACCGGTGAAAGTGGAGCTGGTAAGACAGAAAACACCAAGAAAGTCATCCAATATCTCTCGCTGATCTCCACCGACGACAAGTCCGACCACGCTAATGATATCCATAATAAGATCCTACGAGCCAATCCCATCTTGGAGTCCTTCGGTAACGCCAAAACCATCAAGAACAACAACTCGTCGCGTTTTGGTAAGTTCATCAAAATCTTCTTCGACACCAAGGGCCTCATCTCGGGAGCCACAATTGACTACTACCTTCTTGAAAAGCTGAGAGTGCTGCACCAGTCGCTGGACGAGAGGAACTACCATGCATTCTACCAACTTCTTCGAGGCGAATCAAAGGAGACGTTGAAATCAAAGTACTTCTTGGACTCATCAATCAAAAACTACAACTACATCAGTCTGTCTGTTGCCACGATACCCAATGTTGATGACTCTAGAGAATACTCCAACTTGAAAGAAGCATTTCTGGTCATGGGATTTGAGGATTCTGAAGTCGAGAACATCTTCATGGCTCTAGCCATCATCTTGCATCTCGGTAATATTGAATTTTCGTCATGGAAATCCGAACAAGCAAGCTTTGCCAAGGACGTTGACATTGATCTCATAGCCAAGATGCTTGGTATCACATCTAGTGACTTATCATCGAACCTCCTTAGGCCTCGCGTGAAAGCTGGTCGTGAATTTGTCCAGAAACTGAGGAAGGCCGCTGAAGTAAAGCAAACCATCGATGCATTCGCCAAACACCTTTACGAAAAGGTATTCCAGTTCATCATATTACGCATCAATGAAAGTTTAGGTGACTATAATACTGACAGCTTTATCGGTGTCTTGGATATTGCCGGTTTTGAGATCTTCGAGGCCAACTCTTTTGAGCAATTGTGCATTAACTACACCAACGAAAAGTTGCAACAGTTTTTCAATCACCACTCTTTCATTCTTGAACAGAGCGAGTACTTGCGTGAAGATATCCAATGGGAGTTCATCGACTTCGGCCTTGACTTGCAACCAACTATTGATCTTATAGAAACAAAGCAGCCTATGGGTATCCTTGAAATCTTGGATGACCAGTGCATTATGCCCAAGGCTAGTGATGAGACATTCATTTCCAAGCTTCTCGAGCTGTGGGCTGATGGTAAGTCGAAGAGTTTCAAGGCTAATAAGGTGAGAAACGGATTCATCATCGATCATTATGCTGGCTTGGTTGACTACAATGTCGAGAACTGGATTCAGAAGAACACAGACCCTGTGAGTGAAAGCCTCGTCCAGCTTCTTCCAGAATCATCCAATGAATTCATCCAGAAGTTGTTCCTGAACAATAATGAAAGCACGCCATCTGGAAGCATGTCGCCTAAGAAGAAGGGATCAAAGCTCAAGACAGTGTCTCAGAAGCACAAGGAACAATTAGGTGTTCTCATGGATCAGCTCAATAGTACTGAGCCTCACTTCGTCAGATGTATCTTGCCAAACTTGGCCAAGCGTCCCAATAAGTTCGACAAAGAGCTTGTCCTCAATCAACTTAGATGCAATGGTGTTCTTGAAGGTATCAGAATTGCTAGAGCTGGATACCCCAACAAAATGACTTTTGAAGAGTTCTTTGGCCGTTACGCTATTTTGAATGCCAACGACATTGTCTTCACCAAGAACATGAAGACGAACAGTGAACTCATCCTCAAGGATATCCAACTTGATCCTGAAGTATACAAACTTGGTATCACAAAGATCTTCTTCAAGAATGGCATTCTCGGTAAGCTCGAGGAATTGCGGGACTTGAGACTCAAAAAGATTATTACTGATTTCCAAAGCGCATTCAGAGGTCAAATTGCTAGATCCAACTTCAAGAATCAAATTGAGACAATCCAGGCTTCGCAAGTTGTGGCAAGGAACTTCCAAAAATTAGATGAGCTCGTGAATGAGGGCAAGAGTCCATGGCTCAAATTGTTCATCAGTCTCAAACCACTTCTTGAAGATTCCGTCAAGGTTCTCGATTCTAAGGAGATGAACGAGAGTCTCAAGCAAATAAATGCCAAGTTGAAGGATACAGAGAGCGCAAGAAGCGCTTTGGAGTCTGAGAACGAGAGGCTCAAGTCCCAACTCACAAACCTTGAGGATGAAATAATCAAGAACAACCTGGTGATTTCTGAAAAGGGAGAGTTGTTGAAGAAGCTTCAGACTGAAGAAACCTCTAGAAGTGACAAATTGAATGAGACCAACAGACAGCTCAAGGAAGTCATGGCCACTAGCAGCAAGCTTGCCACCGAGAGAGCGGAGATTTCACTGGAGATGGATGCCATCAAAGCTAAGCTTGAAGAACTGGAGAAGAAGGTCGAGGCATTAACTTCCGAGCTCGCTGCAGAGAAGGAAAATGCTAAGGGATTAAAGGACCAGCTTGATCAATCAGAGAAGGACAAGAAACATCTCAAGGAGAATGATGAAGTCTCCAACAGCCTTAAAAAGAGGGTCGAGACTCTTGAAGCCGAAATTGTTGCACTCACTGCCAAAAATGACGAGTTCCAAACATCTCAAAGAAGTCTGGACTCCGAGCTCAAGGAGCTTAGGTCCACGCGGAGCATCCATGAGAGAAAAGTTATCGATTTGGAAGCTTTAAAGCTGTCTCTTGAGAAGAAGCTTACTCTGATGGAGAGCGTTAATGACATGAAAAGAAGCACACTTACAAACAAACACACGGAGGAGCTCAGTGGTTTGCAGGTCAAATACGATGAGGCCCAGAAGAAGATTGAACGTTTGCAAGATGAGCTCATTGAGAAACGCAGCGAGATGAAAGAGCAAGCGGGAGAGCAAAAGGAATTGGCAAGGAAGATTCGGAGCTTGGAAAATGAGCTTGGCGATGTCGACCGTTTGAAGCTGGACTTGGAAGCTGAGAAGAAGACAAGTGCTAGGATTCAAGCCGAGCTTGAGAACTCCAAGGATGAGCTCGCGAGACAAATTCAGAGCTCCAGATCCCACTCCGAATCGCTCGAAAGCATGCGTCACGAATCCCAATATCTCTTGAGAGCTAAGGCTGAATACTCCGATGAGATTGTCCGACTCAAGGAGAAGGTCAAGTCATTGAGTGCAAAGCTTCAGGACAAGGAGAATTTCCCACCCAAGAATGGCAAGTCCATCGACCCTTCGCTTGCTGATGAGTTTGCTCAAGTTAAGCTCAAGTTGAACGAGTCCAACGCTATGATAAGGAAGGAAAAGTTCGAGAACCAGAAGCTCAACGAGGAAGTGAAGGCCCTTCGTGAAAAGGTCAACGACACTTTTGAGAGTCCTCTGAAGAGAAGCGAGCTTCGCAGATCAATGGCTATGGGAGAAGAAGCCAAGATGAGTCTTTCCAATGGCACCAGAACGTTCGAGGAGATAAAGAACTTGAGGGCGCGGTTGCAACAAGAGGAGGCTAATGTCAACAGAGCAGAGAATTATGCTGTCGAGCTTCAGAAGAAGTTGAACAAGCTTCAGATGACCAGAGGCATCAACAGTGCTTCTGACTTTGAGGTGAAGTACAAGGAGTCTCAAAAACGTATCGTTGAGCTTGAGAAACAGGTTGGTCAAGCCATGCTGATGAGCTCCCACTCCAACGGTTCAACTACATCGTCTCCGCTGTTGCCTTCTGAACTGAGCTCTTCACTTACTCCAAGCAGCAGTATTGGTACCATCAGCAGCATCACCAACAGCGGCGACTTTGCCAAGATCTACAAGGATATCGTTGGCACTTTGCGTACTACCAGAGACGAATTGAGCAAATCCAAGAGTGAAATTCTTCGACTCAAATCATTGCTTCGTGAAAGTGAGGACGAATTATATGAAGCCAAGAGAAGTGGCGTCAAGACTGCAATTCTGGACTACGAACAAGAACTCGCCAAGATCAAGGTGCAAAACAACTCTCTCAATAAGCGCCATGAGGAACTTCAGCAGTCTCTATTAAAATATAAAAGCCGAAGCGAGGAATATTACGATAAGCTTGAGCTTGCAGAGTCAGCGGTTGGCATCAGTAAGAGACACGAGGAGCTGGCCCGCAAGGAGCTTGAACTGAAAACAACAGAATTGAAACTCTTACGAGAAGAGGTTCGAGCAAGCGAGCGAGTGATCAAGCAGTTGCGACAAGCCAAAAACGAGCTTGAAGAGTCTCTGAAAAAACAGCTTCATCGGGAGCAGCAGTTGGAGTCTTCTATCAAACAATTGGAGGATCAGTTGCAGTATTTGAACGACAACTATGGTGAAAAGAAGCACAAGATTGGGGAGCACAAGGAAGAGATCCGGATCTTGCGCCAAGATATCAAGTTCAAGATGGAGAAGGAGACTGAATTGATCAAGGACAATCAAAGATTGAAGCTTCAGAACGATGAATTAGCCCGAATTAAAAAGGAAGTGATGGCAGAAAACGAGGAAGTGTCCGAGGAAAATGATAAGATATCTGGCGAGAACGAAGACCTCAAGGTGGAAAATGAAAACCTTAAGAATGACAAGCTCGCCTATGAAAGGAAGATGGACAATCACACCAAACAGATGACCACGTTCAAGAAGCTACTCGAGGACAATGCAAAAGAAATGGAGGAATTGAACGGCTTGAATAGACTGCTCGAGGATACAAAGGCACGGCTCGAAGAGGAAGTCGCAACGCTTGAAGATACAATCAGAGACACACGTGGGAACTTGGACCTCGTGAGAGAGCACTTGTCCGAGGTTGAGCAGGAAAAGAGCAATTTGAAGGATGAGCTCCGAACCATCAAGGGCCGTTGGGACAGCAGTGATGGGCAGTACAAGGAAGCCAAGACGGAGATCTTGGTGATGACGCAGGAAAACGAGAGTATCAAGAAGGTCAATGAGGAGCTCAAGAGAAAAATTGGCGATCTCGAGGAGAAGCTATACCTGAATGATCAGCTCAAGTATTTGGAGCAGAATGTCGGCAAGCTTAATTCGCAGGTTGACCGATTAAAGCACCAGCTTGCAGAAGGCGAGTTGCGTGAGGAAAAGCTTGAGAAGCAGATCCGGACGCTAGAGTTTGACAATGAGAGCAAGACGACGCAAATGAAGCGGTACAACGACGAGAACTTCAACTACCAGAACATGGTGAACCAGTACACGAGCAAAGTGGAGTTTCTTCATCAGGAAAACAGCGAAAAGGATCTCAAGATCAAAACGCAGGCCCGGGAACTTGCAGACTTACGCGAGAGGCTTCTCATGTTTGAAAAGGACCGCCTAATGAGAGAGTAAGCGGCGTGCGATCTTGGGCTAACATTAGCGTGTTAGCGTCAAGGCGAGACTTGTATGTGGGTGCAAAATAATAAGATTGAGGCACACGGGGTGAGGCAACGTGGGCCCCAACCGGGAAGTGGTTGCCGGAGCACTTACAAAAAAGAGCAGAATAATATGAAATTTACAAATAGATGGTTTCAATAAAGCATTCTCAGAAGCTTGATGAATTTTTTTTAAACTCACGCCGGTGGCCCGAAGGCAGCAAAAAAGGGTCGTAAGCCAGTCGTGGTTGCATCAATAAACGTGGTGCTGAGCCGCACGCATGTATATGCAAAGATAACAAGCGCCTCACCACGTGGGAGAAATTAGCGAGAGAGACCGCGCCAAGGCTACAACTGGAAAGAGCTCACACTACCCAAGACTCTGGCGGATGAATCACTGCAAAAAATGCCAAGAGAGAAGAGAGGGGCTTGACGAGGGATCCTAAGGACAAGAAAAATCGCAATCGATTTGACAGCTTTCTACAGCAGCTGACAGCTTGACGTGTAACGGCGGATCATGGCTGCAGTAGTTGGCCTCCTCATGGTAGCCAATCTACCCCATACGAAAGGCACACGGCGATTCGCACGAGCATGCTAGTCCGATGGATTCAAGCGTATGGAAAGAAAAGAATTGGGCGGCTTCGGATGCCTGCAAGCCTCCAGCCATCGGCCCAAAATTGGACCGACTAAAAAACCAACCACTTCATCCAAGGCTCCATTGAAAACACCCACCTGGCATGCAAATATATTTCTCTCCGCAGGGCTCGTTTCTTCTTTGTCACCTCGAAGGGCCATGTGCCATATGTACGATATGCGGGCAGGCTGCATCTGCTGCACCATTCGCTGCAGCACATAGGTAATTAATGCGCAGCCAACTCTACGGCCCCAGAGCCGTTTGGTATAAAGTCCGTCGAGAATCTCGTCAGACTAATATTTTTGTAAGTCTAAATCACATCAATGTCTGAAAAACACACTGGCGAAGTCAACCAGAGCGGCGGTAAGACCGCCTTCAAGGACTACTTGGAGAAGTTCGCTCACATTGAGGACCCATTGGAGAGAAGAAGATTGGCCCTCGAGGAAATCGACAACTCGGGTTTCGGCTGGACCCAGGTGAAGATGATTTTGATTGCCGGTGTCGGTTTCATGACCGACTCTTACGACATTTTCGCCATCAACTTGGGTATCACCATGTTGACCAATGTCTACTGGGGCGGAAAGATGCCCGACTCCACCAACACCCTTTTGAAGGTGTCCACGTCCGTCGGTACCGTTATCGGCCAGCTCGGGTTTGGTATGATGGCCGATTTTGTCGGTAGAAAGAAGATTTACGGTTTGGAGTTGATTGTCATGATTTGTGCCACCATTATTCAGTGTGTCATTGGCTCTTCCCCAGCCATCAGTTTCCCAGCCATTTTTGCCTTTTTGAGAATTGTCATGGGTATCGGTATCGGTGGTGACTACCCCTTGTCGTCTATCATCTCTTCCGAGTTTTCCACCACCAAGTGGAGAGGTGCCATTATGGCTGCTGTTTTCTCCAACCAGGGTTTGGGTCAGATTCTCGCCGGTATCGTTGCTCTTGTTCTTGTGGCTGGCTACAAGTCCAACTTGGAGCCTTACGAGTCCCACGAGTGTGTCGGTGAGTGTATCAAGGCCTGTGACCAGATGTGGAGAGTCTTGATTGGTTTTGGCTGTGTTCCAGGCTGTATCGCTTTGTACTACAGATTGACCATTGCCGAGTCTCCTCGTTACTCTCTTGACGTTGAGGACGTTACCCACTTGGACAAGCAGGCTGACATTGAGGCTGTTCTTGACGCTGCTGCCCAGGACATCACCCCACCAAAGGCCTCTTTCAAGGACTTCTGGAAACACTTTGGCCAGTGGAGATACGGCAAGTACTTGATTGGTACCGCTGGCTCCTGGTTCATGTTGGACATTGCCTACTACGGTTTGGGTCTTAACACTGCTGTCATTTTGGAGGCTATTGGTTACGCTTCTGACAAGAACATCTACAGAGGCTACTGGAACACTGCTGTTGGTAACTTGATCTTGGTCTGTGCCGGTTCTCTTCCAGGTTACTGGGTGGCTGCTGCTACCGTCGACACTATCGGCAGAAAGCCCATCCAGCTCATGGGTTTCATTCTTTTGACCGTTTTCTTCTGTATCCTTGGTTTTGCCAACGACAAGATTGGCCAGAATGGTAAGTTGGCCCTCTACGTCTTGTGTCAGTTCTTTGAGAACTTTGGTCCTAACACCACCACTTTCATTGTCCCGGTGAGTGTTTCCCAACCAGATACAGATCTTCTGCCCACGGTATTTCTGCTGCTGCCGGTAAGGTTGGTGCCATTGTGGCCCAGACCTGTCTTGGTACCTTGGTGAACCACGGCTGTGCTCCAGACGACGAGAACTGTTTCCTTCCCCACGTCATTGAGATCTTTGCTCTCTTCATGTTGCTTGGTTGTTTCACCACCCTCTTGATCCCAGAGACCAAGAGAATGACCTTGGAGGAGATTTGTGAGAAGTACCACGGTGAGGTTGACACCACCAAGTTGGGTTCTGACAGATACGTGACCCAGCAGGCCGAATCTTCCGACTCTGACTTGAAGCAGTAAGCGCAGTGTTGGGTTCCTTCAGTTCTACACCATAACTTTGATATAACATGTTTAATAGAAAATAATGCGTTGCAAAATGAGATGTAGCGTTTGCTAAAGTTTCCAGAGCGCAAAGCACTTTTACTTAATTGGTACGGCGGCTTTTAAGAATGACGGGGGTTAGTCTCATGAAGGAATTGTCATTTTGTGCAATGTCGGCCCAGGTGGCCTCCCGGTATGATGACAATGGATTAGGATTTGATTTTTTTGAACGGCTGATTAATTTTTGAATAGCTGATGTCCACAGTATCAGGTTAATGGGGAGTTGCTTGCGTTGATTGGTGCATTTAAGCAATCATACCGAGACGTTTAAGTAGATCTTCGTCTAAATGATGAGGTTGAAATTGCTCAAAAGGTGGGCTGCTTCAGCTACTGAAACGGAAGAAGTTTTGAGAGGTTCGGCATGATTTAATCATTCAGGGTTGTCGGCTAGCGAGACTTGGGCAAATTTTTCGGTAGTTTGGCAACTTTTGTATGTTGATCTACTGAGTCTGTTAGTGATACCAAGACCAGTATGGTACTTATTTTGACAGACATGCCAATCACCCTAACGCTTCTCTGGACGTTCTGACAGGTTATCGAACACTTGGCAAAGTCTTAGAGAAAACACATGCATTTTAATATTCACCCACATCGTCTGTCAATACGTAATCGTGAATCCGTAAGCGCCGCATCACACGGCTGTTAGAGAAGAATATCTTGGACGACCTTAATAATTATTATATCGGTCAGGGCTGTTAGCGCTGCAGCATCTGAATCACGAACATTCCATGGATTCTTCGATCACAATTTATGGTGATCATAGCCCTTCCCACCACGCCTATATATCCACCAACTCATCCAACTACTCTCTTAAATCCTAAAAGTTACACAAACTTCTTTCAACACCTTCACCATCACACCGTTTGGTTTTACCATCTTCACAATCTTCAAAAACTCATTCCCCTACCTTTACTTGGCATCTATTTGGACCCTGGGCGCCGAGAATGGTTGCAAAACATGGCTTAGCACGTGGCCAATTACCCAAACCGGCACCGGCGAGCCAAAAACCACCCAAATTCAACAAAATCTCATTCCACTTTAGTCCCCAAAAATTAGGCAAAAACTTCCCTCCTCGTCGTCTCTCTTATCGTGAGTCACCACGGTCCGCTTACCCAATACAGGCTATAGTACACGGTTTATATATGCAGCCGATGCGAACTCCACAAGAAGATACCACATCGAAAATGGGCAGATTCCACCCTGACTGGCTCACTGTGGGCGTGCTTTTGGCGGTTTTCTTTCTTTGGTTGGAACCAGCCGAACCTTTCTACAGGCAGTTTCTTCTTTCTGATCTGAGGCTCCAGCATCCGTTTGCTGAACAGGAAAGAGTTACTGATAACCAACTCTACTTTCTTTCGGCAGCTGTGCCCACCTTGATCATTGGACTTGCCCAATTGGTTTCCAAGAATGAGAGCCAAACTCCCAAGTACCACCTTTTGGGTCTCTGGGTATCCCTTACGGTGAACGCGTGTGTTACCGATTTGCTCAAGAACTGGATCGGCAACCCCAGACCCGACTTTCTTGACCGCTGTTCGCCTGTGGAAGGGACCGTGACAGACGCGTTTGTCATGGTCAATGTTTGCACTTCACCAAGAGGCCCCTCGTCTATTGTGGACGGAATGAAGCTGACTCCGCTGGGTCACTCGTCTATCGCTTTTTCGGGCCTCTTGTACTTGCTGATATGGGCCTGGCTGTGGGCCAGGGCTCAGAAGAAGGAGATCAGGTACGCTTCGTTTTTGGTCATTGCCGCTCCTACGATATTGGCCACCTACATCGCCTTGAGCAGGGTCCAGGACTATAGACACCATTTCTTCGATGTTTTCCTTGGTCTGTCCTTGGGAATCGTCGCAGCTGTGCTTTCTTGGATCAAGTACCAGTAGAGATGCTCCTGCTTTATTTATTGATGCTAGCGCAATATATGGTCTAGTTACTGTTCTGCACCCACACAGTGTCTGATGCGGACCCTCTTGGAAGTAATGTCTTGGTTGTTAGTGTCCAATTGGTCGATGTTTCTCTTTTTGGGTGACAGGTAGCTTTCCTGAGAAGTCCATACGAGAGGGTTTGGATTGGAAGTATGCTGATAAGAAGAGCGTGGTGCTTGGGCCACATAGTGGCTAGGACTCAAATTAGAGGGCTCATATTGCTTTAGTTCTGGACTTCCATTCTCGTTTCCTTGATGGTTTTCTTGGATGGCTTTCACAGCATTTGGCTTCCTTCCTCTTCTCTTCAAACTGTCCCCAGGCTTCTTCATAATCAACCGTGGATCGATACACTTGATATCTTCTTCCGTGACTTCGACGGCCTGAGGAGTCGTCAATGCTGGCTGTTGCTTGGCGGTCCCATAGACATAATCGAGGTACTGGAGGTACTTCTGACGGGATTCCCGATCTTTTGGGATAAGCATGCCAGGTTCACACATATCTCTCATGACCTTATGTGGAACGTAAATGAAGCTGTGAAATGGCTCGTCTGTAGCGTCAGGTGGATATTTGGTTTCACTTGGAACAGACATGAACATGGGTGGGTTGGTGTTGTCGTAATATAGGCTGATGTGTCTCATTAGAACTACCATTAAGAATTGCAATATGGAGAGAGTTAAACGGTCGTTAAGAAGGGAAAATATGAAGGGAAATAATAAGATGTGGCGGTGTAAGAGTTGTGATGTGTTTGTGAAAGGTTTGAGGTGCTCCACTTTCCAAATGCACCAATGGTCATCGAACGGGAAAGCTTTTGAGAAATGACTGGGAAAGTGAATGAAGAGAATGCCGTGTCAACGAGATTCTATCCAGGCAACTCAGTCTAGGCTACTTTTCAAAATTAGAGGGTAGTTTCAACCTATGAGAAAGCAGCATCAACCTTTCAATGTATAGAAGAGTTAAGCTGTTATGTAATAGTACGAGAGAAGAATGAATACCTCTATATCCCCTTTACGGTTCATTAATGTGCTCTATTCTGATTTATGTCGTTCCAGAAAGTTGGGTAGTTCGGCTTCTCAAGTAGCATATTAACCTGATTAAAAGCAGACACGAAACATAACCATACAAGCTGATCGAAAGTTTTATAAATTACGGATAGTCACTTCTCAACAATTGCATTTACAAATTCAAAAGACTGATCGCCTGTGCATCTACTCTATCAATTCGAATGATAATTCCTTCTATCAACTTCTGTATCACCTTGAGTAGTATGTGTATGGTAGACCATTTAAACTAGCCACCGGGTTAGCAAAGCTCAAAAATTCCAAACTGGCCTCCTCTACATCAACACATTGATAACATTCGTTGTACATACGGGCAAACTGTGTCGTTTGTATTCCTCTATTAACTTAATTGTCCGTTGAGGACCCCATTAATGCAAAAACTCTATCCCAAAATAAAATAAAAAAATGTAAGCTGTGAAGTGCACCAAATGATGGATCTGGTTGAAATAAATGTCAGGCAGCCCTCGGTGTTGAGCGAAGGGCCATGGTCATAAGCGAGTCGTCGCATTAACTTTTAAGTCTGTGGCTATCGTGCCAGCCACACGGGCTCGGTCATGTTGTTTAGTACTTCAACTCCTTTGGCTGCTCCCATGGGTTGGCCTGGTCGGTGAAGTGACCGTAGGAAGCAGTGTTGAAGTAGATAGGTCTAGCCAAGTCGAGCTCTCTGACAATCACACCTGGTCTCAAGTCAAAGTTCTTGCCAATGATCTCCACCAACTGCTCAGAGGTGTACTTGGAAGTACCGTAGGTGTCCACGTGGATGGACAATGGCTCAGCAACACCAATGGCGTAGGAGAACTGGACAAGAGCTCTTCTGGCCAAACCAGCGTTGACAAGAGACTTGGCGACCCAACGGGCAGCGTAAGCAGCAGAACGGTCAACCTTGGAGAAATCCTTACCGGAGAAAGCACCACCACCGTGAGCACCCCAACCACCGTAGGTGTCGACAATGATCTTACGACCGGTCAAACCGGCGTCACCCTGAGGACCACCAATGACGAATCTGCCGGATGGCTGGATGTGGTAGACGGTCTTGTCGTCCAACAAGTTGGCTGGGATGGTTCTCTTGACGATCTTCTCCAAGATCTTGGTTCTCAAGTCCTCAGTGGTGATCTCGTTAGCGTGCTGGGTGGAAATAACCACCGTGTCGACTCTGACGGGCTTGACAGCACCACCGTCCTTCTCGTACTCAACGGTGACCTGGGTCTTGGTGTCAGGTCTCAACCAGGCGAGCTCACCGGATCTTCTGGCGTCAGCAAGAGCCTTGTTCAACTTGTGCGACAAAAGAACGGTCAAAGGCAACTTCTCTGGGGTCTCGTCGGTGGCGTAACCGAACATGATACCCTGGTCACCGGCACCCAACTCCTCAAGGGCTTTTTCGTAGTGCAAACCCTGGGCAATGTCGGGAGACTGTTGCTCGATAGCAACAAGGACGTTACAGGTCTTGTAGTCGAAACCCTTTTCGGAGTTGTCGTAACCAATGTGCTTGATGGTTTCTCTGATGATCTTCTGGTAGTCCAACTGGGCCTTGGTGGTGATCTCACCGAAAACCATGATCAAACCGGTCTTAGCAGCGGTTTCACAGGCAACCTTGGAAAGAGGGTCCACGGCAAGACAGGCGTCCAAAATGGCGTCACTGACCTGGTCACAGATCTTGTCTGGGTGGCCTTCGCCGACGGATTCGGAGGTAAAAAGGAACTTCTCTGGCATTGCTATGTTGGTGGTGGGATAGTCTTTTTTTTTTTTTTGAGGGGGTCTGTCTCACTATTTATATGCGGGAGCCACAGTCGATGGCTTCTGCAACGTTGAAAAAATTCACGTCCTCGTTATTGACGCGCATCCTGCAGATAGGCTGAAAAGTCTACCGCTCTCATCCTAATAACTCGTGGTCGCAAAAACACGTGACTGGGAGAGTGTTCTTATCTCTGGGGTTTTGCAGCCATGCCGCGTGACCTAGGATAGATGCACTTCATAGGGGAAGTCCTTAGGCCATGAAGTTCTACTATAAGAGTTTTGGACTCGCCAGGACGCTCCAATGGATGGTTGTTTAGTGGTGCACGGATGTCCAATGGTGTACGGGTGCTGTCACTATACGACTTGGCGAAACTTCGATTTCCCTCGGCACGCCCGGGCGAACTAGACATTGACCTGGCGGGTAAATCCAGCAAATCTCATCATTTAGGCTGTAGTATTTTGAAAAAAGATCCACCCCAAACACCACGATTATGGGGTCCCTCTTAAACGAGAATGTTTATGACCTGCATACAGTCTGTTGACTCGTACTGATTCGGCCCAACGTAGCACGTTGGATCTCGGCCTCGTTCGGGAAAAGCCCATGTGCTGCGAGCCGGCGGCTAATGCCACTCGAACAAGTGGAAATTCTGTTTAGTGGTTTTTGAAAATGTGGCTGCTTTAACATCAATTGAAATGGTTTGATTTGATTGGTCAAATTTCAAAATTCGAATTGTCCATGGACGGCTGATTTGATCGCGATGAGCCGACTCAAATTGCGCTGTATGTTATGAGCCGCCTCACCAGCCATTGTGAATATCACAGTACATGTTTCGCTGTGGCCTCAATGACAGACGGGTGATTGTCGCTGAGCATCTTTTTACTTTTTACATTTTCTGTTTTTCTCTAGACCCCTTTTCAGGAATTTGAATGTAGGAGCAATCTGCCAAGGCTGAAACTTTGGTATTCAAAACAGCCTCCATTCTCTAAAATATGACGAGTTGTTTGTTGAGTCCTCAGTGCTTCCGTTCAGCCATCCACTCCAAGGCTTAGGCTTATGTGAAGTATGGCAAATTGTTCATAATGAGCTGGGTCTCGGTCGCCAGCGTAGAGCTGAATGCTTTTTGCAATTGAGAAAGATGATGATGCACATTGTCGAATCTGACAACTTTGTGCTCAAATGACTCCATTGCACCTGTTGTGCTTCTTCAATCGGGGAGTGCTCTCTTCATATGCCTGAGCTGCCGCATCGATTTTGCAGCCAATTCCAACGCGGTTTTCGATAGCATTGAAGCCAAGGGTAAGTTGACGTTCCAATTCGAAAAACTCTATATCGTTTGACGATTCGTGAAGGAGGCCAAAAATAAATTATGCAAAGACATGTTTTCTACTTGCTCCTCATTTACGTTACCCGTTCCAAATCTATGAAAATGGCTTGCGAGAGTAAGAACATGCTATAGATATTCAACATTTAGCAGCACGATTAAGCTCCTCAAAGAAAGCAAGTCCATCCCTAATTGCAAACTTGCTAGTTTCTGGCAGTAATGTAGAGTGCAACGTGATATCACTGTATCCTGCCCGGTCACTTGTTGACCATTCTTTCTGTTAGGATGCGGGTTTGCATTCATAGCATATACGTAGAACAGACTAGGTAAGCCTTCCTTATTTTAGTCAACTAGAAAGACTTCGGATATTTAATTCATCAAGTTGCCAAGAATCGGTGCTGGCCCAATCATTTCACAACTTCGGCCAAGCCTGTGACCTTTGACGGTGTACCTAACAGTTTCCGTGTGGTTTATCACAATCTTCGATATGAGAGGAACTAGAAGAAGTCTGGAGACGTTTGGTTTCATCATAATAATGTACCCGCAAGATTTCATTGAAATCAGGCACTGGCTACCAAGTGCCAGTTTCCCAACGTCTGCTAAATTTCTCCTTAGTATACACCCACATTCTCATGTTCTTGACTTTTGCAATCTCATCCCCGGGAGGCTGCTTTAGTTTAGAACGTTCCAAATTGATCATGAAAACACTCCATCCTCTATCTGGCAAGTGATTCACAATGCGTCATTCATTTTCATTCATACTATCTCCTACACCCACATTTTCGGAGGAACTCCATTCTAAAATCCTTTCATCCTACCAGAAACATTTCCACTTTCAGAAAATGAAGCCTCCATTCGACTCTTTCTTCAAACACTGCTATCCCGGAGACCCGGGAGAAAAGTCCGGTTGACACCCGCTCGTAGCTCCGCAGGCCCCACAAGTATACCCTAAATCCGGAGATTGACAGGAAAAGCAGGTACTACACATATGTGTACTGAGAGTGTGAAAGTGTTGATGTCATGGAATACAATACGTTCAGACTTTGAAAGTCCTACGGGGTACAATATCAGACAACGCGGTCATGCTTTTAATGGTCACACTAGACGTTCCATCACTTTTTAGCCGCTGATCGAATAAGGGCTCACTCCGATTCATTTGTTCTTCGTGCATAGATCTAATTGCCTATCTAGGATAATCAACTACTGGCATACCTTCGCGAGGTGCTTACCGAAAAACACAATAAGCACTGAGGAAACACAGGTCCATACAATAGTGATTTTATTCGGGGTACTCAATCATCAACAAAGGAATGGAGAAACCCCGAATAGGAAACACGGCACTTGAGTTTGTGAGGTGCAACATCCTCCTCCACTGAGTGGCTGCAAAATCTGTACCTATTGTGGTCCCCACTGTACCCATCAGCCGTTTCATCGATGACAGTTCTCGGAGATTCCTTTTCGGGCGAGTTTTCACCACTTTACTACCCGCTCCAAAACTATATAAACTCGGTATTTGACTTCTTTGCTAGCCAGACAATGCTTGTTCTTCAGCTAGTTCTCTCATTAACAGTGGCTTTTGCCCAAGTGATAAAACCAACGCTTCCTTCAAAAGACAGCTTTTACGAAGCTCCATCAAACGTCTCTGACTATGACGTCGGCGACATTATCGACTACAGACAAGCACCATACAAGCTTCGGTCCTTGTACACCGAGATGGATGTCAAAGAAGCATGGCAGCTTTTGGTGCGTTCTGAAGATTCCCGTGGTGACCCAATTGCCATGGTGACTACCGTTTTGGTGCCTTATGATCCAAATCCATCAAGAGTCGTTTCATACCAGTTCGCTCAGGACTCTGCAACTATGGATTGTGCCCCATCCTATCATATTGCAAGAGGAGCTAGTATGGGAACGCTTGTCCAGCAACTGGAGACCCTTCTTGTTCTGGGGATTCTCGCCAAAGGATGGTATGCTGTGCTTCCAGATTACGAAGGTCCAGATGGAGCTTTTACTTCGGGGTACCAGGCAGGTCGAGCTGGACTTGACTCGTTGAAGGCTGCTTTGAATTCGACAGAAATTACCGGCATCTCTTCAGATGCTAAAACGGCACTTTGGGGCTTTTCTGGTGGTTCTTTTGCATCAACATGGATGGCTTCGCTCCAGCCTGAGTATGCTCCAGAGCTTTCTGACAATCTAGTTGGTGCTGCATTGGGAGGATGGGTAACCAACTGGACAGATGTTCTTGCGGCTTCAGAGGGAAGATGGTTTGCCGGGCTTGTTCCAAACATTCTCAATGGCATGATTAAGGCTGATCCAGATCTCAAAGAAATCTTTGATGCTGAGGTGAAGGAGGAATACCAAAAGCGGTTGTACGGAGGAGCCGACGACTGTATTTTTACCGCAGGTGTAAAGTACATCCTCAAGAGTTTCTTCGAAGGAGAGAACCCCTGGTTTAAAAGCGGCTACGACTTTTTCGATATTCCAGAGATCCAGGCCTACGCTGAAAAAAACGTCATTGGCGTTCATAAAGAAACCCCTCGTCCAGAAATCCCCCTTTTTGTTTACCACGGTGTTCCAGATGAAATTGTGCCACATGCTGCTAGCTACAATGCTTTTAAGCAGTTCTGTGAATGGGGTATCAAGAGTCTTGAATATGCTGAGTCAACGACTACTGGACATATACTTGAAGCAATTCAGGGCGCTGGTGCCGCTTTGGCATGGATCGAAAACAGATTCAATGGAGAAGCTCCTGTTGACGGATGTAACCACACTGTTCGTACAAGCAATGTGCTTTATCCAGGTGCCGATGCCCAGTTCCACCAACTTTTGAGGACCATTCCCGTTGCACTCACAGGTCAGGAAGTAGGAGAATCCACTAGGAATATCACTGACTCGACGATGTTCACGAGAATTGTACAGAATACCGTTGGTGGAATTCTTGGACTTGTGGGGCCTATCCCATGGAAGAGAGATTTGACGGGTGTTCCTGATGAATTGGCTGAAATGTGGCAGAGCTGAGTGTATTTAGATTAATCGAGTTTTTAGATTACAAATTGTAGTGAATACTTTAGAGTAAGAGCAGATGAGAGGTTCTATCCTAAGAAGTAGGTTTGTGAGAAGTATCTTTATTGCAGTAAAATAGCTATATTTCGCAGCCATTATGAAGATCACCCCAGATATCATCTACTTAGATTTCAGAAATATTTTGAGAAAGGAAGCCAAAACGACTCAATAATGAAAGAGTGAAAAGCTGTGAATCTGTCATCCGAACACATTCAACTATTGCTTGTAAATTTCGATCGCCTTTCTTCCATCGCAATGTTGCCATATTTCGCAGCCACTCTTCACCAGCTATTCAGTACCCCCGAATCACCAAAATATCTCGAGAAGCAAAACATATCTACATAACTGCCGACTTCAATCTTTTTCTATTCTACTATTCATATTCTACACTTTTTTGTTGCACCCTACTTACTCACCTGCCTCCTACATGGTCTGTTTACGCGACTGCAACGCGCTTTTCGTGTCTCACCATAACACTTCATCTCAATTGCACTAGAGCTTCTTCATAGATATGGCTGATATCGACTTCAGCGTGCTTGAAAAAGTCAAGAAGAGGCTTCAGGGGCCTTTGGATCTCGAGGATTCCCCTACCCAAGTCATTGACGATGCAACCCAAGTGATACTGAAGCCAGATACTCAGAACTTGGATGATACACAGAGGGTGGAAGAAACACAGCAACCTGATGATACAGAGATTGATTTTGGCCAGTCTATGCTCTTTGCACAGCCAACACAGAAAATCCAGGCACCACTGAAGTTGCAACAAACTCAGGCCATCAAGCTTCCTCAACTAGGTCTTGAGGATGTGGAAGTGCTAAACCCCGATGCTTCTACCCAGGTGATTCCTCCACGTCAGCAAGCAGAAGAAATAGAAGCTGACCTCACCAAGGCATCGCTCACGGACGAGGAGAACGAAATGGCTGCCGATAATGCCGAGACAACCATGGACTCGTCTATACAAAAGACCGTCACGACGAAGACCGAGTTGGAGAAGATCCAAAAGCAGCTCAGCGAGCAGAAAAGAGCCAGGTCAATCAAGCCTGCTTTTGAAAAACGCCAGATCGATCCAGTGAACCGTTTGGTTGCTGCATTCGAGTCTGACTCCGAGGACGAACCCGCCAAGGTCTTGAGCGACCACGCCCTTCCTAAACTGAGCCCTACAACGTCACCCGTGAAGAACCCCAAAGCTGGCATGGTTGAGCTTTCCGATTCCGAAGACAATTCCGATTTTGAGACCACTAATGTGCTCGATTTCATTTCGAAAGCACGCTCGCCCCGTCTGCCTGTGATGAACATCCAGAAGAACCCAATGGAGACCTACGCCATGAACCTCAAGCGCCAGATCCTCTCGTCTCCCACGCGGCAAAGTGAAGAGAACCCTTCGATCAAACTCGATGATTCTGATGACGAGGAAAAGGGAATTCCCGACCTAACGAAAGACCAACGACTCATGATAAAGCAAAAGTTTGCCAAAAGAAAGCTCGAGAACACCAAGAAGGCAATCTTTTCAAGATTTCAGCATTTGCATTCTTCGAAGAACCCCAATAAGCTTTTCCAAGAACTTAAGAGGGCCAACGCCAGGCAACTCCATGAACTCAAGCGCGAGAATGGCGATGCTGAGCTTATTGAGGAGATTGAGAAGGAGGAAGAGGAGATGGGAACCTTGTTGGAGCGTGAAATCGAACGAGTCCGTCGTATCAGAAAGAAGGAGAAACTCAAGGAAAAGGCGGCTCAAGCACTTGTCACAGGTAAAATGGGTGGAAGTGATGACGACGAGGATGCAGACTATCACGATGGTCTGGATGATGCGGAGGCCGTACCAGACAGTGACGGCGACCCTGAAGAGTCAGACTACGAGCTGGAAGACAACGAGGAAGGCGGTGACGAGACTGAGCTTGTCAAAAGAAGACGCAGGGTTGTACTCTCTGATGATGAAAATGACAGTGCAGACGTTACTCTGTCTCCCGTTAAGAAAGCTCCTGCTGAGCGTGAGAGAAGACACGATGACAGCTACATGTTCGGAGGCCCTGCCAGTGGCTCAAACCCGAGTCAGAGGATGAGGAAGAGGTAATGCATGTTCAAAGTGACAATACGCCACATTCTCAGCCAACTGAGCAATTTCACGATTTCACGAAAGAAGATCAGGAAACTTCTGGTTCTCACAAACTCTTTCAAAACCTTGGTCCTCGCGATTCTAACTCACAAGCAACCAATGCTTCATTCGCAGACGACTCCTTGGACAAGAGTATTGAAGTTCCTTCATTCCAAGACATTCCCCAACGCAAACTTCAGTGGACTCCCAAAGCATTTTAGCTACTCAAGCTGATGTCATCTCATCCCAATTAGCAGCATCTACTCAAAATGATGAACCTTATTCGGATGACGAAGATGATTACCCTGCGGCTGTTTCTAAAGGAAGGAAGCTAGTCAAGAGCCATCTTCAGCCTGTTGTTGAGAATGAAGAAGAGGAGGAAGATGAGAAGGTGGATGAAGAAGAACTTAAAGAACGCCTTGCATTCTACGAGGCGAAGATTCGCCGCAAGGAGCTCAAGGCACGTCGCAAGCGGAAAGAGTTGGAAAGAAAGGGTATGAAAGGCATGGTCGAAGGTGAGGCCGAGGAGTCAGAAGATGAGTGGAAGGGAATTGGTGGTTTAGATAATGATGAGAGTGACCAAGCCAATTCAGAAGATGAACAAATGATCGATAACACGCTCAACCTTGACTTGAACGATGAAGAAATCAGGAAGAAGTTCATGGAGGAGTACCAGATCAAGGACAAGAAAGACTTGGAGAAGTTGATGGATGATATCAAGAATCATAGGCTTACTAAGCGGGCTCGTGGCAATGGTTTCGATATCGAATTGAGTGACGAAGAAGACGAATTGTTAATGGCCTATAGACGTCAAAAACTCGAAGAGCAGAAACAGCGACTCATGGAAAGTCAGAAGCTCCAGAAGTTGGCGAAGAATGATCGTGCTAAGGCCTTTTTTGCGTCGATCCAAGATGAGGTTTTGTCTGTGGCTCTTGATGAGGATTCAGACGAGGATGAGCAGGAATCTCAATCCACTCAAGAGGATGCAAAGAAGCGCGATAGCCAGGCTACTGAGGAAGACGAGGAAGAGTCACAACCTAAGAAGAGAATTCTACATCTCGAAGAGTCTTTCGTGCAAAAGAAGTTATCATTCCTTTCTAGAAACGATGAAGATGACTATGTTAATATCCAAAATTTGTCTAGACGCCAGCATGGTATCAACTCAGACGATGAGGTCGAGGATATCCGTACGCTCAAGAACAGAAGTATGATGAACTTGTTCAAGTCTGCTACTCCTGAAGTTGTTGAAGATGAAGACAACAGCAAAAAGAGACTGATTGATGAAGTTGCAACAGATGACGATGATGATAATGCCAACGAGAACAGTGACGACGAATTGTCTCAAGTGTTCAAGAAGCCTTCAGTTGTGAGTCTGTTCAGGTCCTTCAGGGGTAAGGGTGATGTTCAAGTCTCGAGTAATTACTTTTCGGGAGTAACTGTTAACAAGCAGTACAAGGTGGCCACTGGTTCGGAGGCATCCATCTCATACATGTCACGGGCAAGCAAGAAGAAGGAGAACAAAAAGCTCGACTTCAAGAGCACCAAGGCCTTGAAGATTGAGCAAGGCTTGCGGGAAGTTAAACAGAAGAACTTTTCAAGCAAAATCTTTAACTCAAACACCAGTTTTGAGTAAACCTCACGAAGTGAATAGCATCAATGAAATTAAAATAATAGACTCTCGCTGAGAACCTGTCTAAACAGCTGTTGATTAGAAGGGCCGTTCATGGGTCTTTTGGAGAGACCTCTACCTTGTACTATGTTGGCCTTGTTGTTCCCGATAGTCAATGAAGAATGACTTCCACTTCTGAAACTGTTCTCACCAGGAGGTAGTCTTCTTGATTTGATGTCATTTGGTATCGAGATTGGATCTCTCAACCCTTTGCGTAGTTTCTTGATGCCTTCAGGTGGAGATTCGTGATTAACAGTTGGAGCAGCTGGGGCTTGTGTTTTGGAAGGTGATGGATTATTGTGAATCAAATGAAGGAAGCTGGATGTCAAGGACTTCCCAAACTGATCGATGCTTCCTCTTCTAGCAGTATTGTGAGCTGGAGCTTGGTTACTGAAACCTCTAGGTGACCCTAAGGGTGAATTCAATAAATTGAAAATGTTGATGTTGCTTCGCTTAGGAGTGACGGGCTGCTGTTTCTTGATTGGGGAGTCGTCGGGTTTGAGTTGATGCAAAATGTTCTTGGAGTGGTCTTTGAAGGATCTAGAAGGACCCTGTTGTGGTTTATCTTCAACAGTGCTGGTGAAAATCGTTTCCACTGTTGGCTGACTGACATTGCCCTTGTTGATTATCGTGGCAGCCGGATTATGAAACTTGAAGGAAGGTTTGAATGTCTTTTCCTTTTCTGAAAAAATCAGATCGTGGGAACTGGATTTCTTGAGGGGAGCAGGGAAGGCCTTGCTGACATCGACTCTAGAAGGCCGCAAAAAGTCATCAAAATTGTCCAAGTCAAACTTAGGAGAAACTGGCAGTCCAGAGAGACCTGAGCAGTGAGACAAACTATCGATATCTAGATCCAATTTGTTCATATCCACGGGATTCAATCTTTTAAAGGTTGGACTTTCTGATGCTGATCCTCCGTAGAAGTCGTAGTCGTGGGTTTCGGAGGATGAAGAAATGCCGGTAGTATCGTGTTGCATGTCCATGATGGAATCCTGATGATCGTATGTTCCAGCTGACAGCTTGGAAATGTTTCTGATAGCTTCCTCGTTTTCCAGAAGGGGATTCAAGGTATATGCGGCTGAAAGCCTATAGCGAGACTTCTTCTTTTCAACCTTCTGATTACGACACCTGAGAGGCCTCAAGTTGAGGTTCGATATGGAGAGCATGTTTTTGAGCTCCTTGTTGGGAACATGGTTCTGTTGCACCGGTTCCTCGTGGCTCAAAAACCGCTGATTGTGGTGTCTAAAGGTGTCAAGCATATAGTTGTACTCCTTGTTGAGATTGAGGAAGCTAGTCTCATTGGTGAAGCTCTCGTTCAAATGCAAGTTGGAGTCCAAGAAGTAGGACCGTTCGTGGAGCTTTTCAAACTCATTGATGCAAACGTTGTTTTTGTTCAAAAGCTCGGTCATGGCGTCGATCTCCGAGTCGGCTGCCGTTATCTGTGAGTTCAACAGAATGATTCTCAGAATAAGAGTGTTGGATTCATCCATACTCAGAGCTATCGAGTCAGAGCGATTCAGTATGGCATCTGCCATGCGAAGAAGGTCGTCAATGCGGGACATGCCTTGGAGCTCTAACTAAAAAAGTCAGAAGTTGTAGGATCAAACGATTGTGTGGGTATATGCTGATGCAAACGGTCTATGAGTGTGTTGTGACGAATGGTCGAAATCTTTGACTTTAACACCCTGGAGAAAGCAAAATATGCTCAGTGAAAGGAGTGACTTGGTGAGTTTGCCAGAGATAGGATTTGCCAGGGATCAAATCAAATATTTACCGTTAGCGATGTTTGTTTACCTTAGCCTGCATGGCCCGCAGAGTCGTATTGTAAGCGGGAAGAAATGCCACAAATGTAGCGAGGTGCGAGACCAAAACGGTACACCTTCATGCACGTACCCTAAGCAGACCGTTTCTGTACCATTTTGGAGGGTCAACTTCGAGGGACAAAAACATGAAGAATTGAGTTTACATCAACATTTATCTAAATGAAGATCTCACATATTTAGGGACACCCCCTGTGGGGCGGTTCGGGGCTCTGGTATGGTACTTGGCGTGGTATGTGGCTTACCACAATGGCTGCGAAAAGTCTTATCAAGACTGGGGAGCAGATCCACATATGTGGATCCACAAAAACCTGCGCTTCTACGGTTTTACATAAGTTCAGTTTTATCGTTTATTATGGCGTGTTATGCAGTTACTCATCGCTTTCCTTCTTCAGTTTCTTCTCCTTTTTCTCCTTCTTGTCTTTCTTCTCCTTCTTCTCCTTCTTTTCCTTCTTTTCTTTCTTTTCTTTCTTCTCTTTCTTTTCTTTCTTCTCCTTCTTCTTTTCTCTCTTCTCATCATCGTCGTCATCGCGCTTGCGCTTCTCGCCCACCAACTTGTTCTCATACAGAGCCTCCTCAGGAGCTTCAAAGGCCTGGTCTCTTTCAACTCTACGCTGCTCAGCAACTTCCTCCTGCTTGGCACGCTTCGACTGAAGATCACGAACGTACTTCTCTCTCTTGCCCAAGAAATACTCACCACTCTCGATCTGCAAATCGACCTTTCTTGGTTGTTGTGCTGGTGGGAATGGTGTGTACACCTTCTTCTTCTTGTCCTTGTTCTCGGCCTTCTTTCTTGCCACGTTACGCTTCTTGAACATGGGCAAGAACCGGGACCAGTCCTCGTTGGCCAACTCTGGATTCTTGGCGAGCTCCTGCTTGATCATGAGCTCCTTGATGTGGTAAATGGGGTGAACGTTTTTCATGCAATCTTCAACAACCCTACGAACATCTTTCAAGCCCTTGTAAGGACCCATAGCGCTGACAGTGTTACCTTGAACTAAAATGTAACATTTCGTCAAAAGCTCCAAGGCTTTAAGGGTGTTACCATTAGGACCCACCAAACGCTGTCTTCTCTTGACAAATCTCTCCTTGTTCAGCACGAAGTTGCCAATCTTAATGACATCACAGGCAATGTCGTCCTGCAAAATCTTCACCGCCTGGGGGTATGGAACTGAACGGGCCAAAAGTTTTATGAGGTCTCTGGCCTTCAAAATGATGGCTGGGTCATATGTCTTTCTCGTGGTGCTGACAGTCATGGAACCCTCAACAAGATCAAGCTGGCAGGCAATTTGGTGTTTTTCCAAAGCCTGGGTCAAATCGGGCCAGATGGACCGAAGGTAGTTTTCTCTGTATTTGGGGAAGAGGGTCATAAAAGACGATTCCTCGGCAAATGGCAAACCCAGTGCATTGTCGGCCTCAGTGAACTCGTCAATCTTCCACTTATCTATGTCTGGCGTGTCCCAGGGCTTGTCTTTGTTGTGTGTAGAAGGCATTCTAGGTGTAGTAGGATTTGGAGATATGGATTTTTGGAAGTCCTGATGCCCATCGCGGCACGTGATACAACTACAAATCTTGATTCAACACGAACCAGGGGCCCCACCTACTTCTTTCTGGATTTTTAAAAAATGGGAACAAAATCATCCAAATCGAAACCCAGAAATGCAAAGGTCGCCAAAACATCCTCAAAATCGAGGCTCAATCAAAAAGCAAAGATTTCAAAGGCTCAAATCGACAAGCTCAATAAGGATGCTGACCACATAGAGGATATTCACAAAGCGCTAGCACTGCAAGGGCAGGTCCCCAAGAAAATCAGTGCTTTGAGTGTGGGAAAGTTGAAGGAAGATATGAAAAAGGACGAGGAGAGGAAGAAGGCCAATGAGGAGTTGAAGAAGCAGTTGGAGTTGATGACCGGAATGGCTTTGTGAGCTGCCTCTGTGGAAAAGTATCATATTTTTTTGGCTTTATGATTTGAATGATACCAAAAGTTCACCAAAGGTGCTGCTGGTCAATTCTTACGTTTGGATTTCGGAGACCAAGTTAAACATATCGAAGGTACAGCTCCCTCTTGAATATCCTCTCTGACGGGTCGTTTCTGATAAGTGCAAGAACCTCCCTTTGAATGTAACTCCATATTTTTTGGTCACAATGAGCCCAGGATTGAAGATTTGGTATACCAAGCACCTTTAGATGTGGGATCACTCAAACCCTTCAAAAGCTGTCTTCAAAAGCTATTCTCCCTTACACATTCTAGATGGAGTCAACCTGAAGAGTGCTTACTCAGCTGATTCTTTCGATCTTTACACCTCTTGAGAGATGCCAGGTTCTCTTGCATCATTGCGGACCCATCTTCAAGGCTTCATTGGACACAAAACACAAATCCAATGGACACCAAAGAACATATTTATACAATTTATAGAATATTTTTTTATCCTTCGTCATATTTTCCCCACCTGCTACCACACTTTTTGTAATCATGTTGCACCCACTGCGCCCTACATATAGAGACTACACCTCGATGGGTGAGATGAGCTTACAAATCTCACAGCACCACTCGTCTTTCTACCACTTTTATTTATAAACAAGAGATGAGTCACGAGGAGGCTCCCCAGGAGGGTCACGAGAACCAAGAGGAGTACGTTGATCTCAACGATATCGCCGAGGAGGTTGCCGATGACCATGGACCAGCTCCAGAGGACGATAACGACGATAATGATATGGACATGGACGGTCAGGAGGACCAGGAGGAGTCGATAGAAATTGATCTTGCCAACAACTCGTGGACGTATTTTGACCAGCACAAGGACTCCATTTTCACCGTTTTTTCGCATCCTTCCTTGCCTATGGTGGTCACAGGAGGAGGCGACAACACAGCATACTTGTGGACAACACACACACAACCACCCCGTTTTGTTGGTGAGCTTCTGGGTCACAAGGAGAGTGTGGTTTGTGGTGGCTTCACAGGCGACGGAAAGTTCGTGGTCACTGGTGACATGAATGGGCTTATTCAGGTGCACAAGGCTGCCAAGGGTGGCCAGAAATGGGTGAAGTTTGGCGATTTGGAGGAGGTTGAGGAGGTTTTGTGGATTACAGTCCACCCCACTTTGCCCTACTTTGCCTTTGGTTCCACAGACGGTTCTGTGTGGGTGTACCAGATTGACGAGGAGTCCAAGTCGCTTGTTCAGATCATGTCCGGCTTCTCGCACACTCTAGAATGTAATGCTGGTGTTTTCGTGGGCACGGACAAGACGGATGAGTTGTTCTTGGTCACTGCGTCTGAGGACGGTTCTATCGTCATGTGGAACGGTTTCACCGGTGCCGTTCAGTACAAATTGCTGCCTCACGATGACTTCAAGGGCGTGGAGAGCCCCTGGGTTTCTTTGAAAGCCCAAGGCTCTGTCGTTGCTGCTGGTGCTCGTGACGGCCAATTGGCCATCATCAACCTTGACAGTGGTAAAATCGTTCAGCACGTCAAGACAATCGAAAACGTTGAGGATGTTGCTGACTTGTCTATTGAGGCTCTCGCATGGTGCAAAAACTCTGCCGTGCCTCTTCTAGCCGTGGGTCTCGTCTCTGGAGATGTGCTTCTTTTCGACTCTAATTCGTGGAGATTGAGAAAGACGCTCAAGGTCGACGATACCATCACAAAGCTTCAGTTCGTTGCTGACCTTCCCGTGCTTGTGGGATCCAGCATGAACGGTAAGTTGTACAAATGGGATGCTCGTACCGGTGAGGAGTTGTTCGTTGGTGTGGGCCACAACATGGGTGTTTTAGACTTTGCCATTACTGATGGCGGTAAGGCCTTGGTTACTGCTGGTGACGAGGGTGTTTCTTTGATTTTCCGTCCCGAGGCGTAATATAGCATAATTTAATGAAGGGGAAGTGACGCGGCTGTAGGATTCTGTTTGGAAAAACAATTCCTGTTGGATTTGGTAAGGCTATGTCAACGCTGATATGGCTGCGAAATATGCCTGTTACTACCATAGAAAGAAGTTGATTCACTAACACTCGGCGAATTAGCGAAATCAGCTATTTTATCAGCTTCCTCTTTTTTTGCTCAATTTGAAGAAGAATTCAAAATCTCAATAACTGAAAACTTTCTTTACATGTATCAAGCTAGCGTGAATCCCTGTATCAAAGAGATACGCACTTTAGTACAGGTGAGTCTCGCATCAACATCAACAAAAATCTCCACACTCCCATCTCACTTCAGCATTTCGCTCACAGAGCATAATTAGAGATTTATAAAGTAAAAGGACATTTCCATTCTTTTATCTTCGAATCCTTTAATTCCAGACGCGAATTTATAACAGCACCCACCTTCACATCATCATCTGGTAACGCGTCGCGTCATGACTGAAGAACCTAAGTTGGCGTCGTTCTCGCCAGACGAGCCTCAAAAGCTGTCAAAACCTTCGTCAGCTGATATGCTGTTCTACTATGAACGGATCCTTCCTTTTCGTCATATTTTCCAGTGGTTGAACCACCTGCCAAAGCCATCCAAGGATTTCACCATGCGTGAGTTCGCTTACGAGTACCGTTCTGGTGCCTACCAAAGATACAACTCCTTCAACTCTCCAGAAGAGTTTAAGAAGCTGGTTGTTGCGGCCAACCCTACAAGATTCGAGGTCGGTGCTGTCTACGCCGTGAACCCAAAGGAAAGAAAGAACTTACCTAAGAGCGCCATGAAACCACTCTCAAAGGAGCTTGTTTTTGATATCGATTTAACCGATTACGATGAGATCCGTACCTGCTGCTCTGGGACAGCAATTTGCACAAAGTGCTGGAAGTTCATCAAGGTGGCTTCCCAGGTGCTCACACACTCCTTGAAGGAGGATTTCGGGTTCGATCACTTTGTGTGGGTCTTTTCCGGTAGAAGAGGTGCCCATTGCTGGGTCAGTGACGCAAAAGCGCGTACATTGGATGAGTCTGCAAGAAAGTCGATTGTTGAATACTTAGATGTCTTGGGAGGTAGGTCCTCAAAAATGGGCAAGACATCTTTGTCGTTGAAAAAGCCATTCCATCCACACGTCGAGCGTTCGTTCGACATTCTCAAGACGTACTTCCAAGAGATTGTTTTGGAGGACCAAAACCCATGGGAAACATCAGCTTCTTCGGATGAAAATGCATGGGGAAGGTGGATGAACTCTTGAGCTTTATTCCTGATCAGGCACTCCGAGCCGCTCTCAAGTCAAAATGGAAGGAGTCATCCAGCTACTCCAGCTCAAAGGCCAAATGGGACGACATCAATACTGTCGCCCAGAAGATTCTCAAGCACCAGTCACAAGTTTCTCAGTTGAACGATGCAAAGAAGGAAATCATTATTTATTTCATGTATCCAAGATTGGATATTGAGGTGTCGAAGCAGTTGATCCATTTGTTGAAGTCGCCATTCTGTATTCACCCAGGAACTGGTAACATTTGTGTTCCCTTTGACCCTACGAAAAACTTGAGTGCAAACACAGAGGACGACCACTATGGGTTCAACCCAATGACTGCACCAAACTTGTCCCAACTTCAAGATGAAATAGACACATGGGAGGCAAAGAGGGTGAATAGAGACTCAAGCCAACCATTGCTGGATTCCGAGGACCAGAACGCTGCATCAACAAGAGTTCCAGATTACGAGAAGACAAGCTTGAAACCATACGTACAATACTTCTCCAGTTTCGTCAATGGTCTTCTTAAGGAGGAATTAAAGAGTTCGAAGAGAGAAAGAGAGGAGGACCCTCTTGAGTTCTAGTAAACTCTCCTGTCATCATTTTATTAGCCTGAATTAATTGTATAATATTTAAAGTATCTCTAAACGATTGTGCATACGTCCCCTAAGAGGTTTTCGTCCTTCTGGGAAATATCCTCGTATTTACCGCTGTGATTTTTGATTATAATAGTTTCATCATCAGTGGGAGCACGAGCCATAGATGATGTGGAGCTGCTATTGGCAGTGTCATCAGTGTCGAAATGGTACCACTCCAAGTACTCAAGTTTTTCATTGTACTTGACATGACCAGACGTCAAATAAATATCGTTGTAGTTCAAGAACGGGAAATGCCACTTGGGAACAAAGATAACTGTAGGGCATTTTTCAAGAGTCTCCTCGTCCAACTCCTCCTTGATAGTCACGGTAAGGGCGAACTTTGCTGCTTTTATGTCAAACTCGGTGTCCTTGACAACACCCACAGAGGACATGAGGAATGGACGAAGGACAGCGCTAGGGGCACGAAGCCCATCTGGGGAAGGGTAGCAGTTCTTCATGTGCTTGTAGCGAAGGTTGTCACTGGAGACTGAAATGAGTGTCGAATTATCAAAGCTAGGTTCATAATCATCATCAAGCGTGTCCTCGTCCCCACAGAATTGTTTTTTGAACATGTTTGGCATTAACCGCTTCTTATGGTAGTTCAATCTAGTTTTGATGATCGACGAAGAACCAGCAGTCTCCTTAAGTGCCCTTATGGCTCTAAGTGAAGGAGTCACACTGCTTCTTCTCGATGGTGAAGAAGTGTCAACATCCTCATCGTCGTCGAACGCAAGATCTCTGTCTTCAGGAGACCAAAACGAAAAGTCCTCGTTGTTCCAGCGGTCGCCCCACTTGTGACAGTTGATACTCGTGTAACACCAATAGGTGTGATGCATTCTCAGACCTTCTAAAGCATTCGCCAAGGCATCGATAGCAGCTGTTTGAGAAGTGTACCGGCCATCTTCATAAGCTCTCTTGCCATCCATGTCAAATGGCATACCTGTCTCGGACATAAGCACAGGCACGTTGCCTAAGAGGTCCCTTGCCTCGCTGACAATTTCACAGAACTGTTTCTTGATGCAGTTTCTGATTGCTCGTTCGCCAACCACAAGACCCAACACAGGGTTCAAGTAGCGACCACGCATGATTCCCAAAGTGTCGACGTTATACTTATCGTTCCAAGTCTTCATCAAAAGGGATAAGCCATCATAATAGTGAGGGCAATAAATAGTACGATCGTCAATGAGCCCGCGCTCGTCATCTTTAAGTGCTGGCGGAGGCTCTAACACTGGTGGTTCGATAAGCATGAATACACCAGGAGTGATGGAGCGAATCGTTTTCTTGAGTCTTCTGTAGTACTCCACAAAGAAGTGATTAATGAAGAAGTGCAAGTCGATCTGGTTAGGAAGCTTGTCGTCGATAACGTTAAACGAGATACGTGGCGACACCTGGTTGAAATAGTTTGGCACCACCAACTGACACTCTTGATAACTGAACTCTAGTCTGCGTTCCAAGGACATGAGGTTTACCTTGTCCCAGTCTGCGAACTTGTTCCATTTCCAGATCTTCAAACCGGCAAAGATACATTCACCTTTCCAACCCGAACGTCTCCAATTGTAGTGTGCGTCAACCTTCTTAAGGTCATCAGCCAGAAGCCAGGCACGGACGCCATGTGGGTCCACCATACGTGATCCGTCTTTCTGAGGTCCGGAAACAGTAATCTTGTAGACATCAACCTCAACAGGAAGACCCATACCCAAACGGAAACACTGGTATACCGTGGGCGTGGTGTCTAAACGTAAATGCTGGTTGCCTGGAAGATGGCCCATGTGGGCTTGACCGACAAGACCGCAGTTTGGCTCGTTGATGGACTCAAAGCCTAGAAGCGTGTTGTCCTCGAGCATTTCAGGGACAGCATCGGTGACCTTGCGCCAAAGGTAGCCCATGGCCTTGAGATGGCTTTTCTGAAGGAACGTCTGGATGTTAACGCCGTTGATTCTCAAGTGAGGGAAGTATGTGCTACCAGCGAAGAAGAGCGTGAACATGGTGAACGATGCCAACCGTTTGTAATTAGTGGTCCAGAGCATCTTGGGGTAGCACTCTTGGTCGTGAGCTCTTTCGAATCTTTCATCGTTTTGCAAGATGGCCGCTTCTGTGGCACTGAAATTCTTGGGCTCGAGGCCAGCAGCATAGAACGTCCAGAGAGGAGCACCAGAGCCACCAGAGTAACGTGACCAGACGTCCTGGTGGCATTCCATGAATACGTATAATCCTCCAACCTTGTGTATGATTTTAAGAATCTCAATCGTATAGTTGACAAAGTCGTCGTCGTACTTGCCTGGGCCAGCATGTTCTATAGCTTCCCAGGTAAGTAAGTAACGAATAACGTTGAAGCCCCAACTCTTGATACGGTTCAAATGGAGCTCAGCTTCTTCTAACGGAAACGGCCTTCCCACAAAAGAAACGTTGTCACCATCAAAGAACACATTGTCAGGGTCCAGCGAGTTGCCCTCATACGAAGGCATGCTGGGTTTAGTGGGGAACTTCATAGCAGAGTCCACGTTTATACCCTTAAGCATTCTTTTGCGGCCCAGAGCATCAACCAAGTGGCCATCTTCAACGTGTAAAGGTTCACAAGGTAAGATAGTGTTGGTGTCGTTTTCAGTAGGAGTGATTGGTTCGTTTGGGTCAAAACGCTTTCGAAGCGGACGGACCCCTGAGCCTGCAAAACCCGGGCCTGCCGAGTACAAACTCAAACGGTCAGAAATGACGGTTCTGGCACTTTTCATGGTAACAAGGAAGATCTCCTTTGGGGTATTTTTTTAGAAGCTGGTATCTAGGTTACGAGCCTGGCGGCTGACCGGAAAAGCACACCCGTGCACCACACCTTGAAATCCCCCCAACATTGGCCAAAAGAGATGATCTAGAAAACGCAGGACCAGTGACGATCATTTTCCCCAGAGTCAAATTTCTGTCACACGAGCCCCCACCTCATCATCAGATCCCCTCATTACTCCACATGGTTGCTGTTCAACGGCAATTTTCGCAACCAATTCGCACCTGCGAAAAGGCCAAAAACCATGCGAAATACTCACTGGTTGAGCTGCTCCAAAGCGCGCTTTTTAGCTTCAATCTGAGAGGTGAGTCTCCAGGCATCCTGGTTTTCTGCAAAACGGTTGTATAGAGGTACGATTTTTTCGTTTTTCCTCGAGGTGTGATCACCCTTTTTGAAGAAACGAGGCGCCAACTCGAGAAGCCACCGAGGGTCAATGGCACTAACACAGTGCATGTACTCTTTGGTGGTGAGGAGCACAGTGTGGTAGATGACATACTCTGTAGATTTTCCGAAAAGCGCCAGCAGCGGGTGCATGCTCACGGGAGTTTGGTCAACTAAAGTATTGTAGATGCCTTCGTGGGGGTCTCTTTTGGCGGAATTCCGGAAAAAGCCAGAACAGAAGGCCTTGCGTACGGCTATAGTATCTGACCCACAACTGTCAATAGGGATTCTGAATCTCTTCATGATTTGGCCAAGCTGCTTGCGGACATCAAGTGCTCTTCTCATGCTTCGTTCGTGAATGTAATTGTATTTGCACCAGCCTGCTGAACGGCCATTGAGGTCCCAGGCTCTGTAGACGTTTAGAAGGGTAATGTGGTCGCCATAGACCGAATGGAACCGTTGTTTCTTTTGATCAGCTGCAGCTTGTTTGTCCTTTGGTCTGTTGAACACAGATTGGACCGAAAGCATGGCCACAATGGTGAGAACCTCTTCCACACATCCTAACTCCGTAGACTCGATCAACGTTTTGGCAAGAGCAGGCTCCATAGGAAACTCGGACATTTTTCTGCCAAAAGGCGTGAGGTAGCCTTCTTCGTCAAGTGCATCGAGATTGTATAGATCGTGCAATGCATTCACTAGAGTTTGGGCAGGTGGTGGATCCATAAACTCAAAGTTGAGAAGGTCGTTGATCCCCATCGCCTTGAGCATCAAGATGGTGAGCGAGAGGTTCTGACGCTGGATTTCCGGAATCGAATTTGGAAGCATTTCCGTTTTGAACGCCTGTTCAGTGTATAGACGGTAACACTTTCCAGGACCGGTACGTCCAGCACGACCGGATCTCTGATTTGCTTGTGCCTGTGAAATCGGTGATACCACCAATGTGTCCATTCCCATTTTGGGATCATATGCGTTTACCTTGACGTAGCCTGGATCCACGACGTAGCGAATACCGTCGATGGTGATGGATGTCTCGGCGATGTTGGTTGCCAAAACGACTTTTCTAGCACCTGGTGGAGCTGGTTCGAAAATCTTCAGCTGCATGTCTGAGGATAATGCAGAGTAAACCGGTAAAATGACGAGCTCAGGAACTGCCGACCCTAGAGTTTTGATTCTGTTGTAAAGCACCTCACAGCTGGCGTCGATTTCTTCCTGACCGGTGAGGAAAACAAGAATGTCACCCTCAGCCTCAGCAACATGAATTTGCATCACACAATCAAGAGCTGCTGCTAGGTAGTCTGGCTCTGGTTCTCGAGAGAAGAGTGTCTCGACAGGGTAGGTTCTTCCGGGGATTTTCAACACCGGACATTCGTTGAAGAACGATGCAAACTTTGCCAGGTCAAGCGTTGCCGATGTGACAATAACCTTCAAATTAGGATTCTGTCGAGCGGCCTTTTTCAACAACGCAAATAAAACATCAGTCGCTATGGTACGTTCGTGAGCCTCGTCCAACATGATAACCAGGTATTTCAGCATGCTGGGATCAAGCAACGCCTCTCTTTGAAGCATACCGTCTGTCATATACTTTATTTTGGTTTTCGGAGAAGTAATGTCCTCAAAACGAATGTAGTAACCCACCTCCTCGCCAACTTTACAACCAACTTCTTCAGCCACACGCTTTGCAACAGAAACAGCAGCAACTCTTCTTGGTTGTGTACAGCCGATAATTTTTTCTGTACCACCCACAACATTCAACGCTTCCTCGTAGATATACTGGACAATCTGGGTGGTTTTACCGGAACCTGTCTCACCAACAATCACCAAAAACTGATTCTGCTCGATAGCCTCAATGAGCTGAGTACGCATGGCAAAAACAGGCAACCCTTCTCGCTGCTCTCTTATGGAGAGTTTCGGTAGCTTTTTCAAATCCGACCGTTGCTGCAGTTGGCTTTTTCTCCATTCTGAGATGACTTTCTGCTTGATGATCTCGTCACGCTTCATTTCTGCCAAGGGGTCATTGGAGTCCTGGGCCATTCTCATCTCTTTTTCAAGCTCTCTTTGCTTCTCGGCCTTCTCCTCTTTGAACTCTTTGGCAAGCTTAGACCCGTTCATAGCGGCTCTATTCATGGATCCCTCTGGGTTTTTCAAAATCATCATGGGGTTGAAACCCAGACCGGTTTGACCGCCCGTTTGGCCCTTGAGAAAAGTCGGTTCATTGGTATTCAACACAATGTCCACTGCCTCATCGTCCTCTGGTTCCTGGTCTGCCTGTTCTTCAGTAGTGCCATTGAGTTCTGGATAGTCGGCAGCCAGAGCAGCACCAGAAGCTATAAGCTGACGAATTTCCCATCTTTCTGGCGATGTAAGTCTTCTTTTCTTGGGTGGTGGCTGATTTTGGCGAGACCTTCCACGGCCTTCGTTCTCAAGTTCTTTCAGTCTATCCACACCAACCAACTGGTCAATGCCCACCATCGACAACGAAATCTTCTTCTTGTTTCTACCGTTCCCACCCTGAATGTCGAGCACTTTGACGAAGACCTCTCGGCCCATGGAAACGGCATTTTCAGCTTTTGGTACTCGGCGTCCATCGTAGGCTAGCTTAGAAACATGACAGAGGCCGGAAACGCCGGTATTGTCTAGTCGTATAAAAGCTCCAAATGCCGTGATGTTGGTGACGATGCCTTTATATATGTTGCCCACTCGAACGGGTTCTTCTTGCTTTGGTTGCAAATCTGTATCTGGAATATTGGACTCCTCGATCTTGATCTTCTTGTCGGGAAGAGCCAATCCGGGGAAGCTCTCTTTTTCTGCCTTCACCTTAGTCTCTGTTTTGACTGACGTCGGCTCTTCTTTCGGTAGATCGTCCGTGGATGGTTCTTGTTTTATCAGAGGTTCCTGTTTGACGGCAGTTTCCGCCTTGATCTCTGGACGCAGCAGTCGAATCGTCTCAAACACACTTTTAAGGAACGTATCAGGAAACTCGTCTCCACCGTTATTCACCACCTCCTTCTTGAAATCCCCAAAGCTGCTGGTCATCAGGCTGCTTCCTTGAGATGCATCATAGAGTCCGATCAAGAATCTGGAAATCGTATATCCCTCATCCTCAATTCCAAGGGAACGTTTCACAATGTCGCCTAGTCTCGGTAGAAGGGCTCCGGTATCTGTGTCAGGCGATTCTTGCTTCATTGGCAGATGCTATCAGTTTGATGCTAGTGCGATGGATCAGTGATTTCGCACCCAAACAATGAGGTTGATGAGGTTCATCACTGGAGAAGTATAGATTTCAGAAATTGTCAATTTTCGAAAAGATTGAATTTCATGTATCGGAGAGAATTTCGATTTTTGCTTGGGTGGCCAATTTTATCTCCGGGCTGCTGCATGTTCTTATGCGGCTTTGCCTCGGTCCCTGGTCATAGCCACCTTGTATCCTACGGTTTCATTTATACATGATCTAAGAAACTCCAATCTTGCTTTTGATCTACAGCATACTTAAATATTTGTTCCTCAGAGCAGTAGCAATAACCACTGAACGTATACATTAATGAATACGAAAGCTATAAGGTACCCAATGAGAGCATGCTATCTTTCACGACAAATAGATCAAAGACATAAGGGCAAATCACGTTCACTGCCTTGCAAAAACGAGCAATTCACACTGTAACGCATATCCTAACGTGGCTTCGATTGTTACATCGCCACCTTCGTGTCTGCCTCATCATGTATTCAATTTCTCTGTGGACTGGAGTTTGCACCCAAATCAGCAGCCAAATTGAACCACCCATTCACCAAGATCGTCACATCCTCTTGGAAATCTAAGCAGCACCAACACCTACACCTTCGTCATTCATTCGTTTCGCTATTTCTAACTCCACGGGCGCTGCCCATCGTCTAGAGCTCCACTTCGGTGATTCCCTCGCCGTCCACCTGCTTCACGTAAACACCCTTGAACTCAATGGGCATTCTCTTTTGCAATTCTGCCAAACTCATGCGCAACAACTCCTTACCCTCGTCCACGCTCATGTCGGGTCTGTAGTGGCGGTCAAAAAGCGACACACAGTAGAAAGCAGCATAGCCGTGGGCACCGTAGGGCAACTCTGTTTGCGTGCCCAAGTAGTCCACCCAGTTCAAGCTGGGCGTCTTTGTTTTCGTGTCGTAACCGCCCAACAAGACATTCACCTGGTAAGGCTTTCTGGATCTGATGGAGGTGGCCAATTGGTTTCTGACAAACGATGCCGTGGCACGAGGCAGCAACTCAATGTCGTTTTCACGCATGCTGTATAGCTGGATGTTGGCTTGAATGTATTCGGCAAACTGGACGGTGTCGCCTGATTCACCGGTGAAGGCCATTAAGTTGTGGGCGTTCAATGCTCTTGTTTTGTCATCGGAATCTTTCAAAACCGAGATTCCTCTGGTGAATGCCTTTGACGTGGCAATAAGTGTTGCGTCCTGGACCTTGACGCCCAAGATGATATCCATTGTGAGGTTGGTTTGGTGGAGTTGTAGATCTGGTTTCTTGAGACTCTCACAGTGTTTGCCACGGGTCGTGTGGCGCACATAAATGGAGAAGTGGTCGGGGACTCACAATTTACTTGAAAATTAGCAATAAGTAATTGTGGTCAGACTTTTTGTCGATTTGGTTCATAAAAAGGTCAAAAGGAAGAAACCTCTTCTCATTCTATCAGTAAATTTTACTGTATGCTTGGATGTCAGAGGTTGTGAGATGTACTCTCCATCGTGCATGCAAGTGATGGTTTGCATTACTTTTCTATAACTATTCAAATATACTTCAATTGTTGATTTTTGGGTAAATTCTTTGCATAGCCCTCTGGCGTCTCAGGCAGTTTGGCATCTGTCGCTGGGTCAAAGTCCATGAACTTACCCTTGTCCTACCACGATCAATTGATATCACCAAAACTCACTTACTTCCCGCAAGCCTCTTCTCAACGATACCCTCGATCAATCTGACCAAGGGAGAGTTCTCCTTCTTGAGCTGGCCCTCGAGGGTCAACTCGATCTGCTTCTCCATCAACTTTCCAGTGAAGTCCACCTCAATGTTCACAGAACCGCCCTGTTCCTTCTTGGCCAAAATGACCTTTTCTTGCGAGTAGCTCACCAACATGATCAGGAACTCAGCTGTGGCGTAGTCCACCTGCGTTACCGTAAGTGAAGTACCATCCACAGCGATAAAGCCCTTCTCCACAATGTAGTTGATGTTTTCACGGTCACGAAGCTGGAACGTGAAAGTAATGGCATTGCCGTCAGTCTGCTTCTTTGTGATTGTCGCCACGGTATCAACATGGCCTTGAACGACATGACCTCCAAGTCTGACTTCAGAGGTCACAGCTCTCTCCAAGTTCACAGGAGAACCCACCTTCAAATCACCCAAGTTGGATCTTCTCAACGTCTCGGGAGCAACGCCAACCTTAAAGTATGTCTTTTTCTCGTCAAACTCAGTCACCGTGAGACACACTCCATTGGTACTGATAGAGTCACCCAAATGGACATCCACAAGAATCTCGCTGCAGTCGCCAATGACCATGGAAACACCATTGCCGCCTGAAGACGACTTGTCAAGCTCGTTGTACTCGAGCACAGTGCCGATTTTCTCCACAAGTCCGGTAAACATGGTGGTTGTGGAAAATCAAGTGGTTGATCTGGGGCTCTTATGCTGACACATCAGTACACCGGCGACGGAGGCTTTTATAGCCGACCTTCGGAATGGCAGAGGAGCTGTGATTGAGAGGTTTCGGTGGAGGCTTAGGGTTGGAATTGAAGTTTATTGGCTATTCGTAAAAATGTGTCATGTGTGGTTAAGCGACGGTGGGTTCGCATACGATCGGCACGATGCTTACTAAGACAGTGGATATGGGTAGTGGGGAAGATTCAAGACATCTAGAGTCGGATATTGTGGATTACTAAATGACTTTTTGCTGAATAAAAATTACGAGAGATTGGTGATTTTCTGATGAGTTTCGGGAGCCTTGCATTGGGTGCAAAATTCACGAGAGGTATCTTGCATAGCTGATGAGAGGTGATGGCATAGTATATACCTTCGGAGTATAATCTCCTGTTCGACGGATTGCCACAGAATGGTAAATTATATTCTATACCGTTGCTTCAAAGTTGGCTTCTTACTGAAAAGTAGACTACAACGTTAGAAGTCGAATGCCCACCAGAATTGTCTTTAGCCTCTAATAGATCGTACCAATGCATTATATCGTTAGGATAAGTTTGCAACAAGACAGAACACTTCTTTCCATTGCAATTGTAAAATCGTGTGTTCGTAAGATAACCATCACATTGTCTGGATGCTCGTGTGCGGATTCTATGTAACATCTACCAATACACCAAAAGCTTACAAAATACCTCGATTACATATTTCAATAATTTTATCACCAATGAGCTATTCTACTTGTAAACACCTATTTGAGAACAAGACAATCGACTGTGACCCGTTTCTGAAGATCTTATCAGTAACTCGCGGAATAAGTAAAACTTCGATCCCAGCTCTTATCTGACAACTCCAAATGCACATCCGTCTCTACACGAATCGAAGCCCACGTGTCTGAACAATGAGCTTCTTTGAGTTCAATATTGTCTTTCTTTCATAGACAGACCGTAAATGCTAACCCAACTCATACACTCCACTTTGAGACACTGAGCATCCGATAACCCCAAGTATCATGAACCTCTCTTGATCCACATACCTTCAAGAAAAAAATTTCAATTCATTAGTCTCCACCGTCTTGAGCAACCCTGACCAACCCAAACATGTTTTTTTTACATGTCTCCATAGAACAATCATTGCGGCCTGAACAATGGAGCCGAAAATAGCTCCGACTCAGTGTGCCTTGTCATTCACAATTCTCCAGAGCAACCTTTTTGTGGAACCAAACCGCGACTGCTACATTTTCTTTGGTTGCTGCCGTTTTGGTCATTTCGTATTTTTTTGTAATCACCCATAAACTTCATAGCAAGGCCCACCCTGAGAACCGGGCAACCCAACAAAGGACCGTCTTTGCTTGGCCCGCCGTTTTCACAACACCCTTCCGACGCCATTCCTTTTGTTTACAAGAAAAATGAAAATCGGGTCCTCCACAATTGCCATTGACGTTCCGCTGCCAAAGCTGTCAAGCCCAGACCAATCGAGCCTTCTCAAGGCCACAGTGTGGAGGATCCAAAAAGCTTAATTCTAATTTTCTCTCTCCATTTTTCAAAACGCCTTGTCTCAATTTTTTAGCAACCTTGCCTGAGGAGAGCTTCCAAAGAAGTTTCCATAGTGGGGCAGCCGCGCACCGAGAACCACTTCTTGGCCTGCCTCATCCAGCAAGCATATTGGATGTCGCCAAGCGACGATCAAAGGCGGCTCGGAAGTACGACTAGAAATAGCAACGGGGAGTCAGGGGCAATGGCAGAAAATTTCTTTGGAGGCTTCCATGGACACCGGACCAAGGGGAGGGGGCTTTTTCAGGAGCCCGTGCACCAAAGACGCAGCTCGAGATAGGCGCCGTGCAAATGGTCTACGGAAGGTCTCACAGTTAGTTTGAATTGTATTACATACTCGAACAAGTGTATAAATTAGCGTATGCTGGTGGGCCAGCCCAGACACAAACGGGGGTAAAAAGATGATATAAAAAAAAAAAGCAGTATTATGGGGTCTGGGCGCAAATCTATTACCGAAACCGTAAACCTGGACCCTCCGGGGTCCTCAGGGAAAAGCAGCGATTCCGCTTAGATCAACATGGCAACACCGGCGGCGGCAGCGGCACCAAGAACACCAAAGGAGGCAACCTGGCCAGCACCAGAGTCACCGCTGCTGGTGCTGTCGTTGGAGGTGTTGTTAGCGGCAGACACGGCGGTCACGGCAGTCAAGGCAAGGATAACGTTGGAGAATTGCATTGTGAATATGAAGTAAGGATAGATGGGGAAGAATGGCCCTGGGGGAGCACGCCCGCCTTATATAGTTTTTGGTGGCGGCGGTGTAATGGGGCCTGGCCTGCACAGGAGATGGCACGAGCTTTTGTCTTATAAGCCTCCTTTTGATTGTCGCCTGTATTCCACCTTTCTTTTCTGGCGTTGCCGCAGCTGTTTTTGGGGGGCGCGGCGCCCCATCGTACTATCTGCAGGACGCCTGCTACTCACATGGAGGAACCCACGAAATAATCAAGGCACTTTGACAAGAAAGACGGAAAAGAAAAGGTCCCATGGAGGAGTAGATACGGCGGGCGCTTTGCCATGCTCACTAAGTGGATGTCATAGAATCTGACCAACTTGGCGTTTTGGCCATCACATAACGGAAATAATAATTTACAACGAGGCACCTGACCCGTCTCTGATAATATTCATTTCGTGGAAAAAACCATTGTCGCGTGGACCGTGAATCGCGCCTTGGCGATGGGCTAACAGTTACGAATAAGGCGGGATTCATCGGCAGCCAGAAATGGAAAATTAAGTGCGGGCCAGGAAGTGCGATGGAATTGGAGGGAAGTCTGAACACCAGCACAATATAATAAGTGATGTTCTTTTTTAAATTTTCACAAACTGATTATTTTCAGCTTCTCCTGCTCCCCACCGACTTCGCCTCATTTCTCCGCTTCAGCGAATCCTTCCTCTGCATTTCCCCTTCCTGTTTTTCGCTTTGTCTCCTGAAAAATACGCGGCTGGTGCTAGGGCGGGTGATTCTCGAAAATCGGGTGGCTCGCCTGGGCTATGCGAGGCTGAGTCCCCTGCGCCATCTTCAGCCTTCCTGGCTGCAAATGCCAATTATACGTCTTTTTCGGTGATGCGTTTTGCAAAAATAGAATAAGTTCCACTTCATAGATGGTGTTTTCCATTGGGCGTGTTTTTAGAAGGTTGTTGTTTTTCTTGGAAGCCCGTCAACGTGGGGTCTCACGAGGCTTCTGTGTTTTTTAGCCGCTTTACTCGCGCTGCGCTTCAGCCTACCTCACCTAAATCTGACCCTGCGTTGCATCTGGCTTTGGTCTGGGGCACCTGCAACCCGCTTAAAGGGAGATGAAGAAGTGATGTGTGATTTGAAGGTATTTTTGGATTTTGCAAATTTGCAGTTGAAGACTTTCTATTTAAAGAAGTCTATTGCAACACCAGGTTGCATTTGCTGTAGGATACTATGCCAGGTGAGAGGGGCCTGATTGACTCTGACATGCCCATAAGCCTCAATCGATCGCGCTACCCTAATTTCGTAAATTCCTCCAATATATTGAACCCTCCTTACACAATGAATCCAATGAACATAATGAAACTCTCTAATCCAACCTCTAAGTCACTCGATCTAATTGGTTACGTCCCATGGCTCATAGAACACAAATTTAACTTCTCATAACATGCGATATTTTTATCTGCTTCGCCCCATGCGTGGGGATCTCACTCCTATAAATACTACCGCCAAGTACCGTGGTGGTCTTCTCCATGGAGGAGAACATTTTATTGTCTTGGTGCGGCCTCCACTGAAAGCTGGGTTTCCGGGAAATTTTTCTTTTTGAAGACCAAACTAATTGAATTTCATAGCACAATCGAGTATTTTACCGGTGTCTCTAATTTTTAAAGGTGTCCCTACATCGTTAGATACATACAAATCCCGATATCGCCAGCAGTGACATCATCCTTGCCTAGACCTATTCTCGACACGAAAGCCTTGTCCAGATTTCATGAACCGCTTTGTCCATTCTCCTCGTTTCTTGTCTACACCTTATGAAGTACTCTTTCGTCATATGCCAATGGTACCTTGATGGTATACCCTGTCTACAATATATCTCGTTATATAATGCATGCTCGTGTATCATTAATTGCTGGCGGCTTGCTCCTTGTATTGAGCTTCCTGTGGTGGCTCCTGGGGAGCTTCGTTTGGTATATCTTGTGCAGCCGGGGCCTGCTCGGCTTGGACCTCTTCCTTGGGTGCTTCTTCTATGGGCACTTCGTTCGGGGAGACCTCCTCAGCTCTGGCCTCCTCGGCTGATGTGTCGGGAGTGACATCAGAATCATCCGAAATCGGAACGAGCTCTTCTTTGGCGTCGTCATTAGCGTCTTCGGCTTTCACCTCCTGATTCTGCTTCGCCGCCTCTTCCTCTTGCTTCTGCTTCGCCGCCTCTTCCTTCTCTCTTGCCCGTTCACTCTCCTTCTGGGCCTCTATTTCTTCCTTCCTCACCTCGTCCTTGTATGCGTTGCTAAGCTCGAGAAGCTTGTCGACTTCCTCTTCGTATCTGATCTTATCAACATGGATATGATGCATGAATGTGTCGGCCCAAAGTGGGTGGTTCACAGTGTTGGAGTTTGAAAAGTGATTCACTCCTTCGATATACCGTTCCATACGGTTACGCAAAAGATGCTTCATCTGCTCCTCGTGGAACGCCGTGAAATCTCTCGTCAGAACATACTCCCTGAAAATCCACTCGTGCTTGATCAAGTTCTTGTGGTCATCCAAGTTCAACTTTTCAATCATCTTGGCGTCATCCTCGCTGACAACACGCTTCTCCTTCTTTACCGAGTTGTCCTCAACGAACTTGCCCTTGTTCTTGATGTACTCCGTGACAATCTTGTTGTTCACCCAAATACGAAGGTTTCTGAGGTAGTAGTAGTCTTGAAAGTTGGTCTGCAAGAAACCCTTGACTTGGTACTCCTGGTCAAGAAGCAAGCCAAAGTTCAGGGGAACGTAGCCAAGCTGGTTCTGGACTCCCAGCACAATCAAGGGTGACAACTCCTGTAATGAGCTGAAATGACGGTTTCTGCAGTTGTAGACCTGCTTCAATGCATTATCGACGAAAGTCAGCTTGCTCTGGGTACTGAGCTTCTTCTTGTTCTTGTCGAGGTTAATCTTGTAGTCATATCTGGATGGGGCTGTCTCATTACTGAGAGCAAGGCCAGTGATATCGACGTACAAACCGGTAGACACGTCAATAAAACGAGCGTCAATGTTGTTCATACCGTTACCACGCTCTCGGTGAGTGATACTGGAGCCAACGTCAACGAAGAACGAGCCCATACCGTTGAAATTCGTCTCATCACCAACGCCGTCAACACCAACATTTTCAACAACAAGGGTTTGATTGAACTCTCTGCCCAATCTATGCAAATCTCTAATCGGCATCTGAGCATCGGTGTCTGCATCCCAGGGGAAAGCCATACCGTTCCAGTACCAAGAAAGCAAAGAGCCATGCGCAATCCATGTGACAAGACCGTGGGTCTTGCAAAACTGGAGGTAGTTTTTGATGAGTCTATGCAAGACAAGCACTTGTCTGTCAGAATTGATTGTGAGACCATCAAAGAAACGCCAGTCGTGATGTTCGCCGAAGATCTTGGAGCTATCAGAGTTGACCAACTTCGCCTCGTCAAAGTACTTGACTGGAGTGGAAGTGCCAGTGGAGTCAAGCAAGCACTCGAGGTACTTCTTGTCCATGACGGATTTGTGGTCCATTCTTTTGAGTTCATCAATGACCTCTTTGGCGTCGACGTGGAACATGTCCTGGTCGAGGTGGATGACGGAATCACGCATCACGCCGTCGGCATTAGTGGGCGGTCTGGACTCCACAAGCTGGTTATACGCTTTGAGAACGTCGAATGAACGTCCGTCCAACTCGGTCATAATGTCTTCGACCATTCCATTGAACAAAACCGAGTTTCGATAGTTATTATTCTCGTGGTCTTCAACATCGATGACGTAAGAGCCCGCATCGTTCGTCAAAAACACAAGTTTCGTTGGACTGGGAAAGCCAGAGTAAAGGAAAGACTTGCCCAACATTCTCATGTTTTCTCTAGTTTGCGCATGGGGGAACTGACTGATACGCCAGCCCAAGGGAAACAGCGAGTCATCGTGACAATATTGTTCCACCGGTCTAGCCACAGAGCCCTTGAGCACCTTTCTCTGGTTGGAGATATCATACACCTCGGTACAATTGGGCTTAGCCTTCTCGGGTAAAAGAATGTACTTATTGAGATCTTTGAGGTCGACCCAGTCGGACCAATGAAACGGAACTGGCTTGTCTGGGTTCGCGCGAATCCAGTGGTAGTAGGCGGCGAGGGTAAATCTTGGGTCAAACGGCTGGATTAAAGGCTTATCGTCTGTGCCGTAATAGGACGGTATGGGCAAGGTGGTTTCGGGTATGTAGTTTGGGTTTATAAAAAAATTATCTGGGGAAGTGTTGTCGCCGAGTTTCTCGGTGGACACATCGTCTAGAGTCTGCTGGAACGAGGAGCTCGTATCTAGCTTAAGGTCGGCGGACATGTACTTGAAATATAGAATACGGAGGTTCAAATAGACCAGTTTGTGGTAGCGCTGAGCTAGCGACTTCATCGGGTTCAACGCTAGAAGCATTGAGTAGGCCACGATGACGGTCAAACATAGCACGGCGATTCGTGTTGTTTTCTTCAAGGTGACAACAACCATGCTGTGAAATGTGGGTGTTTGGAGGGGATCTAGAAAAAGGCGGTTGCGAAGAGAAAAAAAGAAGCAAATGGCTGGGTTTTATGCCCCAGGTGCTAAGCTGCTTGTCCGACACAGAGAACAGGTACCCAAGTGGACTATATAGCAGAAAACATACGCACGATCTCACAGCCATTGTAGCACAGGAAGTCGCGTCTGCGATGCAGGTGTTGCTCGGCGGGGCAGTCGAGGTGAGAAACGGGGAACCAGCGAGTGGTCAGGCGAAACTATTTAAAGGACGAGTTGGCCGCTATTTTAAAAAACTTGTTTTTGTGGTGGGAATCCGCGTATATATATAGTTCTTGGCGCTGGTGCTCAGCCGCAGGGGTAGCCAGGGCTCGGGCCGGTTTGTGGGGGACCGCACGGCACTAAATAAGCGAACAATCACGCCAATGACGACACATGGATTTTGTATTTTTGAACGCTCGTGTGACAGGCGGTTACAAACAGAGGTGTATGAAGGAAGACAAAGGGCGATGGATCAGAAACGGAAATGGGTGGAAGTGGTCTAGGTGGAAGTGGTCTCGGGGTGGAATTTGGCCTGTGGCTGCAAGTGGCGTGGTTTGGAGAAAATGGTCTATGGCGGTTTAAAGTGCACCCTTGTGGCTGCACCGTTGTCTTAAGCTTTGCCTCGCACACGCTAGCTTAAATTGTGGATGGATATGGGTGGAAGCTTATGTTCCACAGACGCACAATGGAGATGACGCGGATTCGCAGCAACTTACACTTTACGGTTTCGTTCAAGGCAAACGACCCCAAACAACCTCAAACGAAAGTACAAATGGATTCTCGAGGATCCCTCGTTTTTCAACCGTCTCCAGGGCTTCTTTCGGACGTTTCACTAACCTTCTTGGCTGCCAAGAGGCGCACTGCTTTCCACCTCGCGCAGCGCTTCATTGCTCGTGTGCGTGGAAAACGCTCACAATCAAGATCCCTGGCACATAGTCGAGGCTTCTGTCGTGAATTTGCTGCCATTGACACGATGGCGCTGAGGGGTTCTGATACTGGTACTTTTTTCCGCGATGCAGCCGCCGTGGTGGTTGTTATGGCGGTGGTGATACTTTGATATTTTTCAAGCGAGGTGCGTTTCCGGACGCTCGGTTGCTATGTATATTTTCCTTCCGGTTCATGTGGGTCCCACGAAGCGGCTGTTTCTGCTGCGCTGGCTATTTGGCGGCCCAATTGTGGAACAAATGATCCGGGTCCTGGCGGTTTCGAGCCATGCTCGGAAGAATGTCATCGCGTTTTGAAAAATTGCAATGCATCAACGGCGGAGGTTTCTTCTTTGATTGGGTCAGAGGTTCTCTCAAAAGGGAGCCACAACGGCCTCGGCTTTTTGTGTGCTATCTCGCAAATTGTGTTTCTGCAAGTTTGCAGCGGTCCGCTGGTGCTTGTGCTGCTTTTCTTCTCTCGCTGCTAGGTCTTTCCGATCCCTCCTCAAGCAGCTTCCCTATTCGGTGTTTTTGTTTCGGAAGCCTTTTACTAAGCTTTTTGCAACCAGGTTATTTCCAAAGCCGCCGGCTTGGCTTGTTCCGGCGGAGATCTCGATTCGGACCGGCCGTCTGTGCGGCTGTGGTGAAGAGTTGATGATTCTGAAGCGCTACATCATTGATTACGCAGAAGCAACGGATGGAGGCTTCCTCAAGGGATGTATTGTGCAAGCCTTTGTTCTGCAATTCGTTCTCTTCATTTTTGTGCCGATCATCCTCTACTGGCCTTTTTCAACCATCCTTTTGGGCCTTCCGAAACCCAGCAGGTAAATTCTCGGCACCACGCCTCACGATGCCCAGGCGTCTACCTCTACTTTCGACGTAAGTTTTTCACTGGTCGATTATCTTTTCGATCTTCGGCGCAGGATGTTCTTCTCGAGTTTTTCAGTGACGTCATGTCTGCTAGTCTCTTGAGCTTGTCTTGATTACCTAAATGGCCCGCATGAAATAGCTCAAAGGGTTATGAAGGGACCAGTACTCAGAGTTCAAAACGGCCATCGATGTAAGATGCAACGATTGGATCGCCTTCAAAACGAAATTGCCGATCAGAATAACGTCTTGGTTATGGTCCACGATCTTCCACTACTGGATAACTCGTAATCTACTCTACCATTTCATATAGAGGCGTTCTTAGGAGTCTTTAAACAGCGCATCAAACGCTTTCAAGCTACTAGTTTGAGAAGTTCTGATATCGTTTCTCCTTGACACTTCAATCCCTTCTCAACGGCTCCATAGAAGCTCGGAAATACATTCCTGCGGCATCGATATAACCGATGTACTTCCAAACGAACACAAAGCAAAATTCACAGGCTTTACGAAACGGGATTGGTCACAAGCGGACCCAGCCTATTCGTGAGACATGTAGCAGTTTTGTGATATTATGAAAATGGCGACCTTCGTCTTCGCCTTCTTCGCACCGGGGCCTACAAAATGCTAGTTCATCAAATGGCGTAGATTCCGTAATAAATATTTACTTACTCTCTGACAAGAATGGAGGCAGCACCCATACCGGTACCGATACACATGGAGGTCAAACCAATCTGGCCCTTCTTCAACAAAGGCAAGATGGTGGCGTACTGTCTGGCACCAGTACAGCCCAATGGGTGACCCAAGGCAATAGCACCACCGTTGATGTTCAACTTGTCAGCTGGAACGTTACAGGTCTCAGCAGAGTACAAGCACTGAGCGGCGAAAGCCTCGTTGATCTCGAAAATGTCAATGTCGGAGACGGTCAAACCAGCCTTCTTCAACACAGTTGGGATGGCAACAGCTGGACCGATACCCATGATCTCTGGTGGGACACCGACAGCGGAGCAGAGGACGAACTTACCCTCGATTGGGTAGCCCTTGGCCTCGGCAACAGATCTTCTCATCAACAACACGGCGGCAGCACCATCGGAAACCTGCGAGGCGTTACCAGCGTGAGTAGTACCGTCGGACTTGAAGGCTGGCTTCAACTTGGCCAAGGACTGGGCGGTAACACCCTTTCTTGGACCCTCGTCGGTGTCAACGATGATCTTCTTCTCGGCTGGCTCAGCGTTCTCCTCCTCGTCATCGTCATCGTCATCTCTGAGGATGGCCTCAATTGGCAAGATCTCGGACTTGAAAGCACCCGAGGAAACAGCCTGCTCGGCCTTTCTGTAAGACTCAGCAGCGAAAGCATCCTGCTTCTCTCTTGGAATCTTGTACTTGTCAGCAACGTTCTCGTTGGTGATACCCATAGGGATCAAACACTTGGCCATCTCGGCGTTCTCAGCCAAAGCTGGGTCAACCTTTGGAATGGCATCGGCACCGTAACCCTTGGTCATGGACTCGACACCGGCAGCGACACCGACATCGATCTCACCACACTTGATCTTGTTGGCAATCTCGGAAACGGCCATCAAACCGGAAGAACACTGTCTGTTCAAGGCAATGAAGGCAGCGGTGTTAGGGATACCGGCAGCAAGACAGGCACCTCTGTGCTCAGAAGCACCGGCGGCTCTGTTCAAAACGTTACCACAGGCAACGTCCTCAATCAAGTTGGGGTCGACACCGGTCTTCTTGAGGAAAGCCTCCAAGAACTTGGTCAAAATGTAGTCGGAACCAACATCTCTGAAGGAACCTCTACCACCCTTGGTCATGGCGGTTCTGTAGGCGCCGACAATGACAACGTCATCTGGGTTCTTCTCGAGAACGGCCTGCTTGGAGGAAGGGCTCAACTGGCCAGCCAACTGGTTCAATCTATCCATGGTGATATGTGAAAAAAAATGTGGGGTGATGGGCGAAAAAAATGAGGGAGCAGGGGGGTCTTTATACTTTTTCGAATCACATTCATACGCCAGGGCCACTCCGCATTTTGAGGCCGGTGCTGCATATGCACTACACACGTACCGAGGACCCCAGATTTAAGTCCTAAAACCCGTACACCACTCGCTGCAGCCGGCTCGCCGACGCCGGTAGAGCCAACGTTGACTTGGGAAAGGCAAAGATTTCACATTGTACTAGTGAAATGTCGCTGGCTAGTAGGCCAAATCAGCGTCTCCCAGTGCGACGCACATGAAAAAACCGTACACCACAAGCAGGACCGTTGGTTGCTTCCGCCCGCTCCGCCATGTGAAACCCCGCCGGAAGAGCACGTGACCGCCTTTCTACCGAGGCCTCCCCACGTCAGTCCAAGGCCACTATACGATTTGCATTGGGGAAATACGGAAAAATGAATTAGGGATCTGGGATCTTTTCATTACGAAGGTGTTTTTATTAAGAATTATAATTAATTACACTGGCCACTGGCGGGGACCTAGGTGGTACCCGCTCGATCAGATGCTATTGTCCCGCGACTAAGTCCTAAGATTGAACATGATAATATGGCATGACGTAGTGAAGATGAAAAATTCGGTGTCACAACCTAGGAGGGCTTGGATTTGCAAAACACGCAATCCTGTGAGTTAAGCTTATAAAATATTTTAAATGCCCCCTCGAGAACCTTGAATGGAGAAACGACCTGGGTATCTTTCACCTGCCACGATATCCACGGTTGCAAAATCGCACCGAGTCGCCCAGCCCCGAAGCCCGACTATCGAAAAACGGTGATTGGCGAGACAAAATGCCAATGACTCTTTGTTTGAACGGGGGCGAAACATAATCGTCGTTTTTCTTTACATTGATCCGCCCTCGTTATCTCCTCTACTACCCTTTTTTTCGATGGCAATACCCCAGGGGTCACCCTAGAGGCAAATGCAGAGGCTGGCTGCATAGCACCTATTATGCCAAAGAAGCCCGCAGAAGCCGCCACCGAGTATTTCGGCATCACGACTTTTACACTTTAGAGTTCAGGCATAGAAGGTTTCCAGCCAGCTCGGTTCCGGTGAGCCAACAAGGACCCGAGGCATCCCCAGCATAACTCCTCTGTACCCAATATTGTCTTCTCAACATAATCGGCCCCGTAACTGTAGTTTTTTGGGTTCGTGTAGCGACGGCCTTAAACCCTATCTTAACTCCACTCCGGTGCGTCTCCGAGACTAAAGCTGGGGTAGAGGGGTTCAACGGAAAATTGACGGGTGCGCCAGGTGCCTGTTTGGTCTCGAGGGAGCATGGTCCGAGGAGTTATTAAAACGTCGTCGTGGTGCTCTGGTGTGAGGAAGGTATTAAAATCCGGGTCTGCCGACTGGTCATTGACTCTGGAGGGTCTTTGGAGGGTGGTGATTGGGTAACAAGCGGTGGGCTCGATGATGGTGGTGATGGTGGGTGGATTCCCGATTGGGTAATGGCCGAAAGGCTTTTGTCTGTCTTTCTATCGGGTGAAGCCTAATAGCGCTTTATACTGTTCTGTCTTGGGGCCTTTGATGTCATCCGTGGTTGGCCAATGCTAAGTGTAGCTCACGTAACCTGCTCTTTAAATTAGTCTTTATGGTTTGAATCCACAAGCATAGGGCCCTCCTCCCCATCCTTCAATCTCTCGTTGAAGCGTTCCACCACCTACGCCTTGTCCTCTCTCTCAAAAGAGAAGATGCCAATGAAAGGATCGATCTTATCGGGCCTTCCTTCAGGGCACTGACCCGTAAATATAAGCAGAGGCTCCGCGTCTTCCTTGCCCAACTCCACCTGGTGCACCTTTTCCTTGTCATCTCCAGAAAGCCCTATGATCTTGGTGAAGTCGATCCGTAGCGTGTTTTCCTCGTCCACAACCACAAAAAGCTTATATCTCTGGTCCTGCAAGTCTGCACTGTCGTTGTAGTGGATCGTTCCTTTGGAGGTTCCTGTAATTAGACCCATGGTGGACCCTATGCCCATGATATTCGTGCCCTTGACCTTCATGTAGACACCTGAAAGGCCAAATGGAGAACAGTGGATTTCAAGGTCGCACTCGTTGGCATACTGAAATTCGAGGTCTTTTTCCGACATGGTGCTGTGAGTATGGGATTAGTTGGAGTAGAAGGTGTAGTTGGTTTTGGATGTGATGCGTACATCAACAGTCTGCAGACAGGGAAGCGGAGGAAGACGGCGGACGCCAGATTCCATAAAATAGAGAAGCTTTATCGAAAGAGGAAAAATAACCTGGAACCTCCTGGTGTAGGGAGGGTGTGGTCTTGTTTTTATGTGATTTTGATGAAATGTGGTGGTTCATAGGGTGGCTGCGAAATGGACCCTGAATGACTCAGAGGTGGAAGGAAGCGAGGACTCAAGGACGGAGTGAAAAGAATTCATGGCAAATAGTAGAGTGTAATTGATGGAAGCAAAGAAAAAGTTGGCCTTTTTGCTTTATTGCTTGTGGGTGGTTTAGTGTCTCGTTGGTATCCACATAAGCCTGTACAAGTAGTATGGGCCTTGAGAATATAGAACCCCCGCTTCAAGACTAAGAAACATACAAGCGATCAAATATATCTTCCTTTTCTTTGAAACAAATGTTGTTAATATGGCCTGTGTCCGCTTAAGGGCAAAATTCCTACATACACCTCCAATGGAACCCCAAATATCCACTACAAACACTACTACTTTCCTTTTCACATTTTTTTTATTTTTTTCTATTTTTCACATTTTTTTTTTTTTTTTTTTTTTTTTTATAATTTTAAATTTTTGGAGAAGCCATCCCGTCAGGGGCCGTGCACAACATAGGCACAGGCAGGCTTCTTGTTCCGTCTTCTTCTCTGTCTTCTCTTGAAGCCGGGGAGATTCTGCCTTCTTCTCTTTGTGTTTCTCCGGCAGCTTCTCTGCTGAGGCACTGGCGACCTCTCGGGGGCAGGAAGCTCCGAAACACAAACCTTGGGTGGAGAAAGCAAAGTAGCAGGTTCCTTGAATTCAACCTGCTCCACCTCTTGTGACAGGGGAGATGTCAAAGAGGGAGCCTTGGCTCTGTCGGACTCCAGAGGGGAAGTTGATCTGAAGTCGGAGGTCTCGATAACCTCGACACGTGGTGGGAAAGGGTCCTTGATGAGGATTATTTTGGTATCATCAAGCACGCAGGTAGTTGGTGTAGCAGAGGTGTAAAAGACGGCCTTCTTCACCTGGGGAAGGTGCTTCCAGTACGAGTGGTAGTACTCGAAAAGCTGCAAAAGCTTGGTGAAGTTGGGGCCCATCTTGGCCACCTGCTTGGAGGTATCCATTGGAACCTCTTGGACCAATCCTGGATGGACCAACTCGGGGACCTTGAAGGTCTTGGTCAAACAAAGAAGTTCTCTCTTTTCCCTGCGAATAGAGCGCTGGAACTTCTTCAGAGCAGCTGGGGGAGCATTTGGAGCCACAAGGTTGAATCTACCATTGTGAATCTCCAAAATGTCGATGGGGAAGATGGGGGTGTAGCACAAGTCCACTGCTCTGGATACCTGGGGAAGAGTGGGGTATCTGGACTTGTACAAGTCACAAAGCTTCAAAAGCTTCATGAAGTTGTGGTAGGGCGACAAGAAGCCCACCTGGAGGTTGGCTGGTTCAGTCTGAGTTGGAGTAGCTTCACTGCGGTTTCGAGAGAGGCTGCCTCTGCTGGTTGGGACGCTAATCTCCAACCCAAATTCCTCGTCAGACTCAGAATCAGACTCGTTCAAGTCGTTCTGAGTGTCGCAGCAATGCTGAAGATTATCAAGAGTCTTCATGTCGCTGTCGTTGAGAAGTGGAATCTCATACAAAGCGTGGTCGCCAAAGAAGGCCTGAGAAGGCTCGTTCTTTTTGATCACGGTAGTCTTTTGGTGAGAAGCAGCAGCCTCGTCCACCTTGGACTGGAAAAGGGCACTAGCCTCAGGGCTAGACTTGGACTTCGCATACTGGGTAAAGAAGTCGTTGAGTTCCTCGGCGCTGAAAGTGAGCTCGAGGGGCTGGGTGGACAAGCCACCGAAAGCGTTAGCTGGAATCGAAATAGTTGTAGACATTGTTGCTTGTGTTTGTGTACGGAGTAGATGCTCTGGTGTCAAACTGGGGAAGAAGATGTGGTGGATAGAGAATGGGAAGAGAGGAGGGAAGGGCTCTATTTATTTTCCGATTCTGGTGGGTTTAGAAAATATTCGAGTGTTGATGACCAGGCGAGGGCTGGTTGAAGTCATGCCGTTGGTGTTGGAGTTACTAGTTTGGTGCGAGAAGTGGAGGAGGACGTAGCTTAATGGGCTGAAGTCTGGGGTGGTTGGATTTTCGATAATCAGCAATAACCTGTGTTTTCTGATCATTTCGATACCCACAAATGTTCATTTTGTCTGGTTCAGGCAGAAACTAAATGGGTGCAAAAAACAAGTCCTCAGTATGTACTATCGCACCTGGGATCAAAATGGTAGGTGCAGCGATAAGATAATGCATCAAGAAAAATACGGATCAACCTGTGCTCAATAAGGGAATTGCAGAGATAAACGAGGTCACGTCGGAGATGAAAAAGCATTTATTTTACAAATTTGGGTCACCCATGGTGAATATTATGAGAACACTATGGAAGGTGCTCGGTCAATGGGCATTTGGCGTCATAGCAGGCACCGTAGAACCGTGGACAATAGCCTGGAAGCACAAAGAACTTTCTGAACTAATAACTGGACTGTAGAGTGTGAATAGGAAAGAATCGTAGTGTCCCGTTCATAAATCTATCGTTCTACGAGCAACTGTGTGTTTCAAGCAATCATCTGTTCTTTAAGAAACGCAGTCTCATCGCTTCTGCCACTTTCGGTGTCACCTTCAGAAATGATCTTCAGAATCGGTCTACCCTGAATTAACCTCTACCCCTCAGCAGCTAGTACCCTGCTGGATCCTAGTTTTGCCGTAGACCAAAATCCAAAAACGCCTTCTCAAATCATCCTAATAAAACGCAACGGAAAATTCCCGCCATACCTTTTTCGTCTTGTCCAGAAGCCGATGTGCATCCACCATATCACCTACCCGGTACTACCTTCTTATCGCTCATCCACACCTGAGCCTCACTAATCTGATAACGAATAATCACGAAACCACAGTCCCCACCACAAACCTGCTAAACCTTAGATGTTTCAGGCAAACTCTGACTTTTGACCACATCGAACGCTCAATCGGTTATGGCCTCCAGAAACGGAAGGTCTATGCTGGTAGCGCAAAATCAGCACCTTCTTCGCATACCTCAGGCGACCTATGACGCAATCGGAACAATTATCAAAAGTGCATTTTCCAACACCTTTTCCAAAGAACACCGAATCCGGGCTTCTATGCTCAGCGGATGCGGGCCGGTGTCAAAAACAAAAAACGCCTTGTTCTCTACTGCGAGATTGCCTTGCCAAGCTGCGGCTCTCCATATAAAAAATCACTTCAGCACGTTCCAAGGCGTCATCTCGGACAACTAGCCCTACCTTCTAAAAAAAAAAAACCTGATTTGAATCTACCGCCTAATTTGAATCACGGCGATTAGATCATCGGAAGATGCACTTTTGTAGACTATGCAGCCGCCGGCTTTTCACCACAGTATCAACCGCACTGTGGCTCTTGTAAATCGCCTACCTTGCTTATTAGCAGCCACAGAAACAGTGCAGATGTGCATCGAAACGTCAAATTCCAGCAACGCCATTGGTCCATCTAAACAGTTTCTGCATTTGACGCTGCACCTTCGGCGTTAGCGGCCTTTTTCTCTCCTTCTAACGCATCCAATTGATCATCTTCTTCATGAGCGGCTACTAACTTCTGCAGTGCCTGCGTCGCCTAGATATCTTGCAGCCATGTATTTAAGGCATCGAAATTCCCCCATTTTTCATCCAGCATGAGCAAATCTGACAGTGTCATCCTGGAGACGGCTTCCGTCAGGTCGGCCTCCAGCACAGGCAAATCCAACAATGTCGACGTTTCCGTCGTTGATCTCGAGTCGCTAAAGCCGGACTCCGACTCGCTCAAGAACAATGTTTTCGAAAAGGAAGCCAACCTCGATAGAGGCCTTAAACAGCGTCATATCCAGATGTTGTCGTTGGTGGGTGTTTTCGGCACAGGTTTGTTCTTGTCGAGTGGAAAAACGCTAGCCTTGACAGGTAATGTGGGAATGTTGCTTTCCTACTTGTTCATCGGGTTTCTTGTCGGTTTGAACCAATTGGCCATGATCGAATTATCCTGTTTGATGCCCGTGACAGGCTCCTACATCAGACACGGCGACCACTTTGTGGATTCCGCTTACTCCTTTGCATTGGGCTGGATCGGTGTGTACCAGCATATTCTTCCGAGTGAAATTTCAGCTACTGCGGTGGTGATGGGCTACTGGAGCGACTTGAACCCGGCCGTGTGGATCACCGTTTTCATTGTGGTGATTCTCGCATGCAACTCGTACAAAATTCGGTTCTACGGTGAAGTCGAGTTCTTCTTTGGTGTGCTCAAGGTGCTTCTCATTGCCGGTCTCATCATTCTTTCCATTGTTTTGGACCTTGGTGGGGTCGCTGGCGTAGACAGAATTGGCTTCCGTAACTGGAAGAAAACGCCATTTGTTGAATACTACACCGACGGAAACCTCGGCCAGTTCTTGTCCTGGTGGAAAGCTACCGGATCCACCGTCTACGCTTTCGGTGGTATCAACGCTATTTCCTTCTATGCTGGTGAAACTCAGAGCCCCAGACACTCCATCTACACTGCCGGAAAGCGTATTTTCTTCAGAGTGTTTGTGCTTTACATCCTCACAGTCTTTGGTCTCACGCTTATTCTTCCAGCAGACAATCCAAAAATTGCCAACACCACAGGCGACTCCACAGGCTCTCCTTTCGTCATTGCCATCCAAGACGCCGGCATCAAGGGTCTCCCCAGTGTGATCAATGCCGTTGTGTTGACGTCAGCATTTTCTGCAGCCAACATGGGTTTGGTCCAGACCTCCAGAAACCTCTTTGCCTTAGCATCCAAGGGTCAGGCACCCAAATTCTTCCTCAAGACCAACAGATTTGGATTGCCCTATTGGGGTGTGGCGGTCTCGGCTTCCTTCATGCCCTTGGCCTACATGAGTGTCAGCTCTAGTGCTTCTACGGTTTTTGGCTGGTTCCAGAACTTGACGAGTGCCAACCTTCTTTTGGTGTGGATTGCCATTGGCATCAATCATTTGCACTTGATGAGGGCCTTGAAGGTCCAGGGCTACAGCAGAGCAGATTTGCCATACAGAATGCCCTTGGCCCAGTATGCGGCGCCGTTCTCGTTGTTCTTCTTTGTCGTTCTTCTTTTGACAGGCGGCTACGAGAACTTCTTGAATGACAATTTCGACATTTCCTCATTCTTCAGTTCCTACTTTGTGATTCCCCTTTTCACATTTTTGTTCCTCTTCTGGAAGATCCTCAAAAAGACCAAGTACAAGAAGCCTGAGGACGTGGACTTGAAGGTCTTGTTCAAGGATATCGAGGAGAACCCAGAGGACATTCCTCCACCCAACCGCGGCTGGAGAATCATCAAATACCTTTGGGAGTAATATGCGAGTCATTTATACATTTGAGAGTAATTATGCATTAATGCCGTTATGTAGCCTTTACTTCTTCCATCAACTGGACGATCCTCTGGTACTCCTGTGGAGGAAGTCCCAAAACCTCAATATTGTTGCTCACAAAATTGACGATATCAACAAGCGGCAAGCTCTCTTGCAGTTTTATCCAGCTCTCAGCGTTCACCTTGAAGTTCTTTTCGAAAGCCTTGGCTTCCTGCGTGATCTCCACCAACGACTTGTCTGTCTTATCTAGACCAACCTTCTTAGCCACAAGCAAGTTTGTGCTGAAATTGGTGGGGATGCTCAAGGTCGGTGTGATATCAGGATACTCGATTGGAATCGAAAGGAAGATGTCAGCGTGGTTATTTTGGAAGTTCCAAAGCCATGGCACTTTCTTACCAGCCACTGGCACAATAACCTTATAGCGAATCTCCTTGGCAGATTTGTGGAACAACTTGACGTGGTGGGCAAGTTTCGTGCACATTTCATCGATGTACTTGATTCTGAGTCTGTTTGTTTCACTGCTGATGTGTGGTGCTGGAGGTTCCGGTGGAGGTGTAGGAGGAACCACAACAGGCGTAGTTTCTCTAGTAGCTTGAGCAGGTGATGCGTTTTCTGTAGGCTTGAAGCTCACAAACTTCATTGTCTGTCTCTTTTCCTGCTTCAAGAAATCTTCCAAGTACTTGTTGAGCGTTTGAATCTGCGATAATAGGCCTCTCCCATCCACAAGGGTAATATCAGACTCGATCTTCTTTTTCAGTCTTGCCACAGTGGCAATCTCCTTGAAGCCTCTTTCAATATTGATGCTGAAGCCTCTGGGAATATCGCTATTGAGAACAATGATCGATGGGAGCTCTTTCGTATCCTTGGGGTAGTTTGGAGGAATGGTCAAGTTGAACTTCAACGTATCCAACTCAAAGGGGAAGTCGGGGTCAGCGGGGGGTATCATGAAACTGAGATACAACGGTTGCAGGGCATCTCGTTTTATTAGACGGAGTACATGGTTAATGACGATCTCTGCTTTTGCCTTCTTGGGAACGTTTTCCTGGTTCTCTAACTGTAGCAGAACAATCTTCTCGACCGCAAGACCATTTATCGTTATAGGAATGTACTTTTTGACGAGCTTCACAATCTCCAAGAATCGGTAGTCCTGTTCGGGTGTCTCTGGGGTCGATGCCTTCTTCAGCTTGCCTCTTCGACTCTGCTTCTCTTCGCCTTCTTTGGGAGACTTTCTTGGGCGACGCCTGTGCATTCTCCTTTGTTTGCTGGAGCCTTCAGCCAGCGACAGACCCTCCATTTATGCGATAAGTGTTTCGAGCTGAATCAGGATTATCACTCATACTGAGCAATGGTGGTGATGTTGTCACGTGACTCCCATTTTAAGGGGCGAAAATCTGGCAGAAGTAGGGGTAAAGGGATGCTTTGCTGGACCTTCATGGCTAGAATATGAGCCAATGACCACTTCCAGTCATATATCAGAGTCATTGGCTGGAATTGGAGGTATCTAGGGTATGGTTGATTGGTGGTGTACGGGTGCAACATGTAATGGCTGCAAAAGGGTCTCCCGGTCAATCAAAATGCATTATTGCGATCGAATTATTGTTTTTTTTTTTTTTTTTTTTTGGTTCCGCTGTCTTCAAACGTCTCCTTCTTCTCTACTCTTTTCTCCGCAGCCTCCACTACCTATTGAAGTGCAAGCAAATGCTAAGTCACAGCACAAATGGCCATTATAGTAGGTCTAGTGGGAGTCCCACTTCATTCAATTTCTTCTTCATGTCATTTGAGCAAATTTCTGGTCACTAAGCTCCTAATCCTCCCACATCCATCACTTCCACCTCCTGCTTACATAAGCGCTGACCAAGCTCCTCCATCTACCACATCCCTCGATCAGCTAATTGCAACGTAGAAAGTGCAGTGCTCTATTTCCAAAAAATAAAACGTCCTAGTCACTCCCAGTCCATTGATCTTGCCTCAATCGTGCTTTGTGACGCTGGCCTGAGGTCATTCATTGTGCTACACTTACTCCATAGGTGGCTGCGAAAACGGTAACTCCAACTCCAACAAGCCAACTTTGCAACATAAATTGAAGTCCTTTTCGCCAGAAAATGAATCGCCCATCACCACATTCACAAAGCACTTCCCCACAGGCATGTCCGTTCTTACCGCCATGACTCCAGCTTCTACCAAGTTTGTGCCTTTCAAGGCACCTTCCCAGATGCCCAAGGCAAAGGCCACCTCGGCCATTGCTACGCCACAAGCTACAGGATCCAAGTGGGTCCCTCTTAACCCAGACCCCTTTGCGCCGCCCAAGAAGAGTGTGTTCAAAAAGGCCGTTTCTCTGGTGAATAGCGCAATGCCAGTTGTGCTAGACAAGCTCCACGCAGCCTCGAGAAACGCTCTTTTTGTAACCAGGGCAATTTTTGGCGACTTTGTTCCTGAGGTGATTGAAAACGATCACTACGCCTCGTCGTCCTCGAGTTCCTTCCGTTCGAGGTTCCTGGACAAACTCCCTAGCGAAATCGAGTTCACCCACTCGTTTACCGCTTTCAAGGTGGACAGAAACGGAAAGGGCGTGAATTTGCACAATTCTCTACAATTGGCCATTCCTCGTCTTTTCAAGCGCCGTCCAGCCCAGCGAATCGCTCGGTTTCTCAATACTCTTGAAAACCAAACGGTGAGCCACGATGCCACCAAGATTACCTTCAAGCCAACGGTCAGATTGACCACCTACCTTACTGAGGATCCAGCAAATTTTGTTCCTCGAGTGTGCTCCCCAGATGCCTCTGGTTCTGCTGTCAGAAAGCCCAAGACTTTTCCCATTCAGACGCAGCAGCCATGGCAAAAGGTGAATTTCGAATTTTACGAGAAACTCGCCTCTAAGACCTTCGACGCCATCGAAGGCGATACCCTGTCTTCTGCCGAAGAGTTGGCCCACCGACTCAAGACCCTTTACCGTGTGCTTCAGTCCCAGATGGTGCACCAGGTCAGAGCCAACTTTGTGTCTGGAGGACAGAAGATGCTGTCTTTTAACAGCCGTATTTCCAGAATTTCGGGCCATCTTCGTGCCCTTTTCATGGAGCTGGACCTCATCAACGAGGACTACAAGGAGGGTGTTTGCAACCACCTGATCCAATCCAGACTCACTGATGTGTTGGACAAGCTTCGCCGGGCCAAGTCCGAGGTGGAGTTTTTCAAGAAGGACCTCGATGCCGCTTTAAGTGAGGCCCTACTGGTCCAGATGCTCACGGAAGCCAGAGAATGTGTGAGAATCAGCACCATGGTGACTCTTCGTCACTTTGACCTCACCGAAAATGTCAAGGACAGTGACGGCATTTTCTTCGCTGATTGCGGGCAACACTCTTACAGAAGAGCGCTAGCTGACATTGAGCGAATTTTGCCTGTTGTCACTGACGTTTTTCTGACTGACCATTTGCATGTCACTATGAGGGCCACCTCCAGGGTGTTTCTGGTTGTGGACTCGTTGATCTACGATGCCGAGCGGTTGCGGAGTTTTCTCTAGGGTTTCGCTGGCGGTCTCACTAATTAAAGTATAAAAAATTTAAAAAAAGAAAAATATGTTGTAGTGAAGTAGTGGACATGATGTGTTGGTTCGTGATATTGGGTTGAGGATCGCGAATGGAGACAAATGTGATGATACACAAAAAAGTGCAAAATAATTTGTAGTTTGTGAGGGCGGTACAAAGAAGCTTGAGGGTTGTTAAGCTGGAGGTTCAAAACTTATGGACCTGGTGATGGTTTCAGATTCGACAAAGTAGGAAGTATTACGTTGGTTTGTTTGGCTGCAAAATGGATCTGCGAACTGCCTTGGTTCATTCCTGGTATAGAAATCGCTCGAACGGATTATAACGTTGCGTTTGGGCAATATGAATGAAGAAGAATTATCATTGTTTGTTAAGAATTATATAAAGCAAAATGCAAAAAAACTAGCGCAGCCAGGTTTCGATCCTGGGACATCAGGGTTATGAGCCCTGCGCGCTTCCACTGCGCCACTGCGCTTGACAGTAAAGAGACAATAGGCCGGGTTTGATAATTGCCATAAAATAAGCGGTATATGCAGGCCGTGGAAAATGGCAAAAATCGAAGAAGAGCCGGTTTTTGATGTTTTTAGCAAGCTGAGGTCTTTTGTCTATTACTGAGGACGTGATGAGGCTGCAAAGAGTGCCTCCCACATAATCCCCTTCTGCCCCAACAATTGAAAAGGGCAATGTTTCGCCGAAGGGTCGATGACATAATATGATTTGAAAAACCAGCAAAGATACATTGTCGCTCGCTATCCACCCCAACTAACAAGAACAAGGTGTGAAGTCATAGCCACTCTGGTATCTGGTAACTTGAGAGAAGGTTTTTTACTATATAATTTCGGTTTATAGCTTTTAAAGCTAAGGAGCAGGTGAGTGAGACACCGATCCCGAAGCGACCTTCAATCAACGTCTTCAGCAAAAAAAAAAAAAAATAAGAGGCGTATACGACGAATTGAACAGTCTCTAACTTTGACCGTATGGAGTGCCAATATTTTACTACAACAATGATGCTCTGAATGAAACGATATGACAAAATCGAAGGCTCAATGCAACCCCTCATGAAATTCAAAATTCATTAAACTATTTTGGGTATACGAATCAGAATGGTAGCGAAGGAAGAAGCGAATAAATAGGCGACATCTACGAGTCGATGTCTGGAGCAGAGTAGTTCTGCGTAGCATAGTCCCACAAGAAAGTTACCTGGTCAGGCACATCCTCAGCCTGACACTGGGAGGCAAAGTCCTTGCCCTCGAGTCTGGTGTTCACGTAGTCCTCGTAATCAGAAAGCTTACAAGAAAAGCCTGGACCGTCCTGGCAGTGTTTAACTGGAATGACAGCGTCGTTGACCAAGAATCTGACGTAAATGTCGTCACCACACTTCAACTTTTCAGTGTACAATCTGGCGCCCATGGGCACAATCAGGGAGTGGGCGTATGGAATAGGGAAAGGAATGTGGTCATATGGCAAAGGCTCATCTGGAGCCAAAAGGCCAAGGGCAGAGTGGAAGTTCTCAATGTTGGTGTCGTGAGTAAAAGACAAGACAAACTTCTGTGGAGGGTTCTCCTCCTTCAAGTAGGCCAACGTGGCGTTCAAGTATGGAGCTCCGATGGTCTCGGTGAGCTTGTTGCCTGGACCGTTGTTGTAGTAGTAGGAGATGTCCAGACGGTAAGAGCTCTTGACAAGCTCGTCGTTGGTGAACAAGTTGCAGAAAGGCGAGGAGCCCCTGACGTTGATTTCGTAGGCACACCAGGCGACCAAAGTGTTTAGGTCGCCCTTGGACAACTTGAAGTTGTTGCCCTTGGAGATTCTCTCAATAGCGGCATCCCAGAAATCCGTGTTGAAGTTTCTGTAGCTGTGGTCGACGTCCTTTTTCCAGTCCTTGCAAGCGACATTTGGAGTCAAGGAGTTGGCACCGTATTTGCGTTCTTCAGCAATCACAGCAAACTTGGCGGTTTCGTCACCGTAGTCATCGCCAAAAAGACCTCTGGCAAAGTATCTAGCCGTAGCATGGCATCTGCCTGAATTGGAAGTAAAAACGGTCAATGGTTCCAGAGACTTTGCAAAAAGATCGCTGTATCTGGCTCTGAAGTCAGCTCCATGGTTGTAGGCATCAGAGGTACCAGCATAGAGACCCTGGGAGTTTTGAGGCGACGTCTCCTTTTCGTAGTACTCCTTGTTGGTGACAAAGTACTCGTAGTCGTTGAGGAACGCCAATTCACCAACGAACGTTTCAGTGTGGTTCTTGATTCTGCCGTACAACTCCTCAAACAGGCGACCCTTGCCCTTCGATGGAAACCTCTCTCCGTGTCTGGACAACAAGTGGACCTGTTCAACAGTGCACTGGTCAGGAATAGAAGTAGAAATACCGTAGCCCGGGTGTTGAATGTATGGACCAGCACCACCCAAGTACTTGATCAAGTTGTACTGTTCAGTAGAGGCCTGGTTGGGAGTAGCGACATCCTGGAACACCAGCTGGGTGGTGAGGAGCAAGCCGTTGTTGATCAAAGGAGAGATTGCAACCATTTTCTAGAGATCATAAACAAGAAATTGCCGTCCATTTATATCTTATCTTGAAGCGCACGTGTGGTATGTGCGTGATAAGGTACCCATGTGGTTTTCGGAAAAACAAGCAGTTGTACCTACAGGACGGCCATTGTAAACAAGCACGGCACGTAGGCGAGGGTGCTTTTGTGGAGGTTTGATCTGGGGATTTTCCATGGGGCCAAGACAAGTGCTACAGTTAGCACTCGTTAGTATGCGTTGACAGCATATACGAATGTGTCAAATGAGGAAAGAAGGAAGTGAAGAAGACGTTTCGGCGCCTGGTGCCTAATTAAACTATTGTTGATCACAATAGCCGAAATGCACAATATAAGTCTTTTGGCCATGTGGGGCAGTGTATTGATGCAGTTGTATTAGGTATCAGTGCAGCATCAACATCGATGTGCAGATGGTCCCTGAGGCCTCAATTGGGGTAATAGAGTTCAAGGTTTTACACCAATCTTTCGCTTATCTTTCTGATCATCCTCTTGATTGTTGATATGTCACCGTGGCTTGGGGAGGCTCAGGTTGTGTGACGTACGGTAAGACCCACCTCGCTTAAACCTGACACAACCGAGCATTATCTACAAAGCCTTGATAACGCAAATCTCTGCACAGTCCCGGGAAATCAATTTCCGAGGTTTTCGGGGAGTTGATTGGAGGAGTCTATTTGGAACCGTGTCGTGTGACCGTGTTGTGTGTTGTTGATATTTGGTGTTGCCGCTGTTTAGTGTGGGGTGGGAATGTCACTTGTCTTTGCAATACATACAAATTGGCGAATTGGATTGGGTACTTGGGTCACAGTGGGGAACTCGTGTGGGGTGTTTTATGGAGAGGGAAATTCGAATGTCATGTTTATCTCGGGCTCGTTTGGTTGATAGTTACAACTAGGATGGTCTTCACTGGGCTCTGAAGTACCGTGAATCACTAGTAAAGCCATGGTTCATGGGATTTAGGGGAAGCGCCAGAATGTCAGTGTAATAAACTGTACATTTTGATCTTCTCTTGGGTCATTCTCAGTATCCACTGCCTCTAGTGTGTTATATTTGCAGCCGGATTGGTCTACAATGGAACCGCATCTACCTGGTGGGAATAATCCAAAACCCAATGTTCTCAATGGAAGCCCCATAGAGCCTAGTTGACAGGGAGTGCTATAGTAGCAGAGGACACGCCTAAAGTGGACTTCTGTGAAAACTTCAACCTGACTTTCACTGCTTTCTATATGATCACCATACTACAATTGACTTGCTACCGCATTGCCGAAACAACCAGGGAAAAGAACACAATCAATTCAATTCTTTTACTCCTTCCTCAAATCATCTCTGTCCCATAAACTCGGTCACTCGTCACCTCTTTTCGCTGCACCACCTACTTCTTGTACCTGCTCTGATGGCTGCGAAAAAGGGCACTTTGAGAAACTCAAGCACAAATCCACCCCAGTTCGGAAATTGCAAGTGAAACCAGGATATATTTTTCAGAAAGCCCACTCAGCCTGCTATTGGAATTTCCTTACCATGAACCCCGTGGCGGAGCCGTCCACGTCCAATGGAGTATTTGTACCACGGGAAACAGCCTCCAGTCAATTGCATCATCACCACTCTACCATTCAACAACCATAATGCCCGCTCTCAATTCAAAAGAAAAAAGCAAAAGATTAACCACCAATCTGGTCATTCTTGGCCTCACTCAGCCAAGTGATTGTGTACTTCCAAGAAAGTACAGACACTTCAGTCAGCTGCAGCTTGATCTTTTCGGGGAACAACATAGTCTGGTCATTCCGGAGCAGCAGCCTCCTCATGTGGAGAAAGATCTGTTTCCAGGTTTGAGCCTGGCATTTTCCAAAAGGAAGTGTGCAAATGGTGATATCCAGGCTCAAGTACGTTTTGTGTCAGATCGTCTGAGTGAATTGTCCAGAAGCGACTCTGACTCTTCAGATGCTACATTTCACTCTTGCTCTTCAGAAACTCCCACCGAGCCACAAGAGCCACCACAGAGAGATGATGACGAGGAACCACCTCGGAAGATCAGAAAGAAGCTCAACTACCGGGTCGCCATGAAGCTCTACAACATCAAGAGAATTCATGAAGAGGCGAAGAAGAAGTATTTGGCTTCCTTGGAAGCCAGCCAGTCTGAGGTAGAAATTGAGCAGTCCGAGGAAGAGAACAAGCAGCCTAAGGAGGAGCAGTCTGAAACAGACGAGGTAGAGGAAGCCTCTGAGGATCTCTGCTTACGCCGTTTTCCTTCCAACAGAGCCTTTGAAAAAGTTGATAAGAGCTCTCCAATTGAGCCTGCGGAACTTCCAGACGACCTCTTTGAGGACGACTTGTTTGAGGGTAACTCAAATGGCGAAGTTAACGAGGACATCGAGGATATCTCCGAAGACGATTCCGAGGACAGCTCAGATGAGGATTCAGAAACTGAAGAGGATCTTCCAGAACCCATTGCAGCCATTCGTAGGCACCAGCAGACATACGTACACTCGAACTACGACCTCAATCGGTTGAACATCCTCGCAAAGAATGTCCAGAAACCAGAGGTGTTCAAAAGACTGCCGACGAAAACCCGTTTTTCCGACGACGAGTCAGACGAGGAGATTGTGTTTTCCATTGACTTTGAAAAAGAGGAAGCTCCAAGTGACGTTGTTTCTTGTCCAGGCAATTACTCCATCATTTCGCAGCCACTACTCAAACCACAGCAGAAGACTTATGGGGTCAAGAAGCGCATTGTCACCGAGGACCTCGACCTCAAAATGCCAACTTCGCAAGTGGAGCTTGAAATCGAGCGTCTTTTCATTGCCACCGATTTCGAACACCAATGCTACTCAGACGAGGACTACTACATTGAGATTGACAGCTTGATCACCCGTTTCTGCGGTCTCTACCGTGTGGCTGGACAATGTATCAACGAAACAGTTGCTCGCTGGTTTGTCCAAATAAACAACATCTACCATGGCATTCGTGTGGATATTGAGGAAAACACCAAGCTTGTCAACGGTCTCATCAATGTGCTCGAGTGCAAGTATGCTGAGGACGAAAAACTCGTTGTCGATATCAAGCAACTCGAAAACCTCGTGACCAAGTACCTGGAGCTCGAGCAGAAAGTGAAGGCACTTCGCCAGGTTGGAATCGTGGAGCGTTTTGTGGATAGACACAGCTTCTCACTTAATATCCAGCAACGACTTGAGGAACTTTTCCAGGAGTTTTGCCGGGTCCACATGGAGCAGCTTGAAATTGATGATGAGGAAGAAGCCACTTTTCTTCTTCACAAGCATGTGTACGACGAGGCCTGTTTGTTGCAGGATAGCATGAAGGAGGAGGACTGTTTGGCGGCTTTTGAGGAGTACCGTCTTGAGTTGGAGCGGTCTTCGAGGTACTTCGGTGATCTTCTCCTTCTCTTTTTGGAGGCCTACGAGTGGCGGGGTCAGCAGGTAACCGAGCTGTCCCAGTAGCTAGCTTTTAACATAGGATGTATATTGGGTGGTGTAGGTTGGTAGAGATGAAGTAGGGTTGAAATTGACCCAGCAGTTCGATTTTGTTGAGTTAGAGGATTTAAGTCTATGGTGGAATTGAATGAAGAAGTACAGGTGACGTTTGCTGAGGTGAAGTACAGAAAACGGTAAGTCCATCTTTCAGTAGGTTCAAGAAGACATGACATTGCTCAATAACCGATAGAGAAGGGGAGGTGACGCAATTGGCAGAGGGGGTTATTCAGTATCATTTGAGTAATCGCTCGATTTGTGGCATCCAGAGTTCATACTTTTTAAATATCACCATATGTCACTAACCTACTATTATGTCACAGTAGGACCATTACAGAACAACAAACGAGCCTTCCAATACAAAGAAAGGTTGTTGGCCACTAAGATTATGGTTCTAGTAGTACTTAAATGTATCTAAATCAGCAGAGGTTAATATCGTGGATGTCGACTCCATTGATGACTTGACCCACAAGTGAGTATCTCACCCACATAGCATCACCAGTGTCTCCAACAAAACCACCACCATTTCACTCCCGACTACTAAAGCCACATCCTCCGCCTCTAAGGCCCCTTTACTCCTCAATTAATTTCTTAGTCCTCTTCATCACCAGCATACACCTACCCCCAACTACTATAAATACAGCTCGGTGCGACCATCTCCAAAACCTCCACCACCTCTTCTTCTTCTCATGGCCAAACTCAAAATCATCACCGCCAAGATGGTCGCCGAGTCCATCACCGCCGCCCCGGAGTACGCCTTTATTTTCAACATCTTCGCCCAACTGTGGAACAGCCTCTACTTCCTCTTTCGTTTGGCTGCAAATCAGCAGAACTCCTTGATGTACCTCTGGATCTTGTCCCACGCCGCCTGCCTTTCTGGATTTCTTCTTTCTTTAACTTACCCTGGTGCTTACGACGTTGCCGTCGCCGGCTGTTTGGTTACATACGCTTTGGCAGTGCACCGTCAGTTGAAGTTTATTTTGAGGGACGACAGAAACCTCAAAAACAGAGCACCCATTTCGGACTTGCTCCGGGGTGAAAACACCGTGCTTTTGGCTACGGCGCTCTTGATGGCAAATTCAACAGCTTCGCCAGTGAAACTCCTTCCTTTTGCCACTTACGCCTCCATGAACTTGGTGTCGTTTCTTCTCGATCTGTTCCCCAATACAGCCTTCACCAAAACGTCAATGCCGTTCTTGCGCTACGTCGAAACGTCCTTGTTGAACTACATGTGTTACTGGGATTACGCCGTGATGGCGGTGTATGCGTTGGAATGGTACCAGCAAGGAACGGGCTGCTGGTTGTGGTTCTATATGGTCACCTGGCTCGTCAAGTTGGAGATTTCCGAACTCAGCAGGAAATCCTTGCACGGCCTTGTGGAGATGCTGGCTTCTGCAGCTAACGCTCTGAAACTCGATTTTCTTGTCTCCACAGCCACGGAGACTCAGGCAGCCTTGTCGGTGTTGATTCCCACAAAAGAGAACCTGCCGGGATACATCCCATCCCTGGCTCTCTCGAGGGACCGAGCCGACTCTATGATGTTCGACACCTTCTCGATCATCAACGACGTCGATAGGTAGTCTCCAGGTCCCAGGCCTCCCAATTGTTAGTTTGTTTTCTTGATCGTTGTAGACTAGTTCTTGAGCTCGTCTCTCATGGCAATAAGCGACTCCCAGCCTTCAGAACCCTCCCACATGTTTTTGCCCTTGGACATGAGCGAACGAACGGCGGTTCTGGCCTTGTATTTCCAGTCCTTGCAAACAACATCTCCAGCACCGTGCTTGCCTGGCATTTCACCGAGAGATTCGTAAGCAGAAACCAAATCGGAACAGGCCTCCACGGCGTCCGTCCAGATCTTTCCATCAGTCTCAAGCTCTGGTCTCTGAGAAGTAGCTCTGAAACCCTTTTCGTGACATTCGAGTGCAGCCCATGGTCTCTTTCTCCAGAGCTCTACTTTGCTGACGATTCTCCAGCATCTGGCCAGGTGGTTGATGACGCCCGGCAAGATATTGCACACGAGGTCGATGCACGATTTCTGGAAATGGGTCATTCTGGTGTCTTCGTCAGGATAAGGCTCCTCCATGAGGATTTGCACGAGCGTTTCGATGACAGGCAAGTCCACAACCGTCTCACCGCCGGACTCCTTTCTGATTTTCATGAGCTCCTTGGTGGCATGAAGAACGTCGTTCCACTCTCCCAATTTGGCAGCCACCGTAAGGTAGTTTTCATAAATCCTCCACGACCTGTTTGCACCTTCACCTTGCTGCAACGCTTTCTTCAAAGCACTAAAAGCCTGTTTGGTCTTGTCGAGTCTCAAAAGGGCACTGGCCAAATTGGACCAGGCATGCGAGTTGGTGTCGTCAAGAGAAACACATCTGGTGAAGGCCTCAGCAGCCAACTCAAACAGATTGGTTTCGAGACCCATGCAGCCGTAGAAGAACCAGTTTTCGTAGGAAAGAGGGCTCACAGAAAGACACTGGTGCATGCTTTCAATAGCATTTGTGTAGTCTTTCTTTGCGTAGTAATGACGGGAAAGAGATGCCTTAGCCTTGGGGTATCTGCCAACTTCCCATGCTTTTTCCCAGTACGAAGGGTCCTGCTTGATGTCACCGAGAATACTGATGGCTCTGGCATCTTCAGGGTGGGCATTTACACGATCCACCAAAAGCTGTTCAGCGAGGTTTTCTTCTTCAACAGCAGCATAGCAAAGCGCAGCCTCCACAACCATACCGAGTCTCTCGTAAATAGCAATAGCCAGCTTCAACACACCCAAAGACATGTACTTTTCAGCAAGTTTAGCGTCTAGACTCCACTGGGCCATCAACGGCATCTGGTGGACGAATCTGAGTCTCGAAGCCACAGATGTCTGATTATCTTCAGCCTGAGGCAACACACGAGATTTGATCTTGATGCCGATTTCCTCGACCAACGAGGTCATTTGGAGAATACCTCTCTCCACGGTTCTGGCTTTGCCGGTTTCAAGAACCGATCTTTCCCAGAGGGCTCTACCAAAAACGAGCCAGTTGATGTTTGCAGACGAGGAGTAGACAATTCTGTTGACAACAGCGGAGAGTTCTTCGTCGACCAAGGTATTTCCCAGTGGGGAGGTTTGTCTCAAAGTGGTGAGTCTGAGCAAAAGCTGGACGTTGTCTAGATCACTCAATGGCGGCTGGTTATTAGGATCAAGTTCCTTGAGCAGATCAGGTACCTCTGAGGAAAGGGCAACTGGAAACAACCGATCATCTTCAGAATCCTCAGATCCGCCTTCAAAATCGATCTTGATCTTCTTGGACGCCTGTTCGTCCTTCATGTCCACGTCGGCCAAACTCTCGTATTCTGGCTTTTCCAAAAGCAAATCGGAATTGAGCTCAAACGCCTCTGGTGCCTCGTTCTTCAGTTCTCCGTAAACCAGGTTCTCAGCGGACTTTGCCAAAAGAATCAACAGGGCAGTGTGGAATGTCTGAAACTTTGTTCTCTTCGCCTTGGCTCCTGTCAATGCAAACTGCAACTGAGACACTTCTGCGGCCTTCTTCAACATAGGTTCAGCCAAGTGTTCCGTTTGAGCATGAATGCCGTTTCTAGCGTTTTCTAGTAGGAAGATCAATTGCACGAATTTTTGAAGTTCAACGTCAGCGGCGCCACTGGGAACTAGCCAATTGACAATGGGCTGTTGAAGAAGAATTGAGCTGATCGAGGCTAGCGTGTCTGAAGGTTCAGAAAGAACAGAAAGGTGAACCTGTAAAGCACGAGCTCTCCACCATGCAAGAGAGGCCGTCACAGGCGAGTCTCCTAGACTTTTCACGGCAGCGGCTGTACTTCCGGAAACTTTCTCCAAATCCAAAGCATTGCCCTCGGCAAGACCCTCCACGTTCATGAGTTTCTCGAAAATCACCAATGATAGAAGAAGTAGCACAGGCTCGTTCATGAGGTCATAGGCCAGTTTACCTTCGATGCTGAGCAAACGGACACACTCTTTTTGAAGCAAAGTCTCGTCAACTCCATCAAAAATCAACTCTCTAGCGGTAAATCCAATTTCAGGTCCGGTGAAGTTTGCCTGGATATATGTTTGAAGAAGACCTATAGCGAGAAGCTGGAGGTTCAAAGCCGACTGGGGACCGTTTTGTGTGGAGATTATGTAATCAGCGTAGGTGAATAAAGCAGATTTGAGATCGCCAGATTCATTAATTTCAACCTTTTTAGTTTGGCTTATCTGTTGGAGTTGTTCATGGACCCATGCTGCGGATCTGCCACCCACGATTTCCTTGATGACACGTGACACAGACAGAAGATTAGAATCACCAGTTTCTGGCAATTTATTCTCTGGAACTAATAACAAAAGCCCCAGTAGGAGCACATTCAACTCGTCCATGGCTACTGGTGGTTCTACAGTGGTCGCGATGATCTGCGAAAAACACCATCCTCAGAGCACTGCATACCGTGGGGTATGCCTTTTCTATTAGATTCTAGTACATCAGTACCGCTGCAACGATATCAATCGCCAAAGAATGACCGCCGCTTGTGTTCGCTGTGCGTGCTGTCGCTGCGGCGATGTTCGCTCAGCTTACGGGATTTCCGAAGCGAGTTGCGGATCGACAACCGGCTCATCTCCAGCTGCTGGTTCTCGTCATCAGAAGCAAAGTCAATCACCTCTTCCTTGACGGCGAAAGGCTGACCGGGGTTCTGCGACAAGCTCTTCTTCATTTTAGGCTTTCTCTTCTCCTCTTTGTTGTCCAAGTCCACAAGGACCTCCTCGACCTGCTTGCGTGCTGGGTGGGGCGGAAGCGGTGGAGCATCCTCTGAACTTTCACCCGACGAGAGACCAACTTCGAGCTCAATGAGGTTACGATCAAGTTCAAGCGAAGGACCTCTGCTGCCAGTTGGTGGCTGTGGTGGTTGCTGCGGTTGCTGCTGCTGCTGCTGCTGCTGCTGCTGCTGCTGTGGTATTGACTGTGCTGACGAAGGCAAGGAATCATTCAATGACAATTGACCGATGTTCATATCCTCCATTGTGGGAGCCGCCACTGCCGGCATGGGGCTTCTTCCTTGCTTCAATGATTCGCCCCAAGGGTTGGCGCCCTTACGACTATCTTGTAAAGGCACAGTACCCATACTGTAAGAATGCGAGTGATTAGGCTTCTGCGCCAACGTGGCCGACAGGTCCATCGAGAGAGATCCTTGCAAATGCGAAGGCCGCTGCAAACCATTGCTTATGTTATCATATTGGGATCTTGGCTCTGGCGCTGGTGCTTGTGTTGCAGGTTCAGCGCCCTTAGTGGTGCCCTTCTGAACATTGAGCTCACTCTTCACCTGTGCTGCTGGCTGTTCGTAGAAGTAGTCCTTCGCACCTTCATCCGTCTTGGGCGGAGGAATTGGCTCTTTGGATGATGTGGATGGAACGGAGGTGCCGGCGGTATCGCTGGGTCCGGTTTTCGAAGCAAAGATATCATCCACTAGCTTCTCGGCATCCTTGTCGATCGCTTGCGATGGCTTTTCCCAAGCATGTGTAGATTCAAACTCGGTGGGCCTCTTCAAGTCAGGGTCTTGCAGATGCTTGCGACTGCCTGGGGCACTAGGGCCCAGCCCAGTTTTCACACTAAAGTCCAGGGACTTTCTGTGCGTCGAGGCAGACGCCGACTTCACAACATCGTCGTTGAGAGCGTCCAAAGATGGGTACCGCTCCTCGGCATTAGCCAACTTGGATATCTCTTCCAAGTCTTGCTCCAAATCGGCAGATCCATCCGCAGATCCATCGGCATTCCCGTCAGCATCCCCTCTGATTGCTGGTCAACAGGGTAAGGGGTTTCCTTCAGGATTGGGAATGGATTATTGGACGAGTTGTATTGGTGGTTCAATTGGGCAAGGTTTGCCTGAGAGTCGTTCTTGATTGAAGAAACCTGGTGCAACTTGCTCTTTTGTGAAACAGGAGACGAGGCTGCAACAAGTGGAGAGCCCTGAGGAAGAACATGACCCTGCTTGGGGACCTGTGATGCAAGGTAGGGCAGTTGAGTGGCAGCATCGTGGCTAACTGAGACTGCGGACGCCTGAGCGTGTTGCTGAGATGCAAGGGATGCGGATGATCCGTGTGCTTTGATGCTAGGGCTAGGAATATTCAGCACACTTGGCAGCAAATTGTCGATGGATGGTTGCTGAGACAGGGAGCGCTGGGACGAGGATCTCTTGGGCTTTTGCAGCTCCTGTTGAGCCTTGATCTTGCGCATTTCGTACTCTTGCTGCTTCTGCTGCTGTTCGAAATAGAGCTGCTGCTGTTTGCGGAGCTCCTCCTGTTTATGCTGTTGCATCTCATGCAAGGCTTGGAAGTTGTAAGGTCCCGCGTGGTAGAAGTCCTCGACATCATACTCCTCAAGCTTCTGCCCCGTCATCTGACAAAGGAGCATCAAGATCTGCACCACATTAGGTCTATAGAGCGGATTCTCTTGGAGCATGATGATAATGAGATTCTTCAAGTCGCCCGAGAATTCCGGCTGGGGCAAGAACTGAAATGATGCATGGAGGATGGCAATGTCACCCTGGGCCTCAAAGGGCGTCGTGTAGTAGCAAAGCTTGTAAAGGAAACACCCCAAGGCCCAAATATCCGATTTCTCGTCAATTGGCTGGGCACGGTACAAGTCGACCATTTCGGGCGCCCGGTACTGCGGAGTTGTTTGGTAAAGGATGTCGTGGCTCAATAGCTGAAACTCACGCTGGTCTTTTGGAGGCCGGATCGGAACCGACACGGAGCCAAAGTCACAAAGCTTGAAAACGTTCTTGGCGTCTATCAAGACGTTCTCAATCTTGACGTCCCTATGTATGAGTTTGATCTTGTGCATTTCGTAAAGCCCCAAGGTGATATCCACCATGATCTTGAGGATCTCCTTCTCGGTCAACTTCGTACGGATGCGGGCGTTCATGTACTCCAACAACGACTTGTTCGGACACAACTCCATTAACACAAGCACCTGGTACTGGCCGTCAGCCAATCTCTCGGCATTGGAATCGTAGTAGCGCACAATGTGTTTGGCCAGGCTCAACGTCTTCATGACATCCACCTCCTTACGTAACGCATTGAGTCCGCTCTTGTCCGGAACTATGACCTGCTTGAGGCAGCCCACCTCCGTGTCGTCGTGAGGAGGATCCATGGTGACTTCGTAGATCTTGGAGAACCCGCCCTCAGATAAGAAACGCACCACGTTGACCTTGTGGCTTCCCACATTGAGGGAGGTGCCTTCGGCGATGTTAGACATGGCTGGAAAGGGAAGGCACTGGCGACAACGTCTGGCTAGGAATTGTGGCTTCGGTGCCTAGATAAGATTGAATAGCAGGCGATATCATGTATCGCACTGGGCTGTGATTCTGGCGCGCGCACGACCAGGGTGTTGGGTAGACGAGACGGAAACGAGACTCGAATGCAACGAAAAGGAGCAGATGATGAGGGGTTCATATATTTGAGAGATTGGAATGATCTCTCTTTGGTTTTGTGATTTCGGCAGCGGTTGTATTCATGTACTTGTCCCGATAATGCTATGCGCATCCGTTTGCAGCCAATCTGGGAGCAGGTGTCCATTGTTTCCTAGTAGTTCCGAAAATGGCTTTCCACCGATTTCTGCCAGATCCTTTTTTCAAACACTTGTCAAGGATCGCTTTTTAGGCGGGTTGCAGCGGACTTGTCACGCGCCTGCTACGCCTCGGTTTCCTGCGGGTTTGCAGCCATTTTAGCGTTTGCAGCCGCTGCGGTTTTAGCCACAAAGCTACTTTTTGAAATGGTCCTTCAAGATCAAGGCGATCTCGTCGTAGGCGTACGGAATGAAAACAATCTCCTTTCCGGACGCGTTTTTGGTGAGGGAACACATCTTGTGCTCGACGTATTCGCCTAGGATGCTTCGGAAGTTCATCTCGTTGGAGGTGACGTACTCCTTGAGACACTGATCGTAGAGAGCCTTGAACTCAACACCGAGTTTGATAGAGCCACGAAGACCAGTTCTTCCTGATTTTGAAGCTGTAGATTCTTCGAGCACCTTCAATTGCATCTGCAGCAAGACCCGGTAGAGATTCTGAGCATTGGAGCTCAAGGACGTCAAAACGTATTTGGCACCCTTGCTTCCCACAAAACGCTTGGAACGGCCCATGCTGAGAACATCCTTGAAGGAGAGCTCCACTCCGTACGGCTTATATGTGGTGGCATCATGCCAGAGGAAGTTGAAGTTCTTGAAACGGTAGAGGTCCCACAAAAGACTGGCATTGACATTGTCCACCGACGTGAGAAGCCATACGTCTGGGAGGGAGGCCAACTGAGAAAGGATGTTCTGTGACCGCTCGTCTCTGAATGCCTCGCCATCAATATTATGAACCACGAGAATGAGCTTGGGTTTCACGAGACCAAACTCAGCGTGGTGGGTGACGTGCTTCTTCATGTACGACACTAGAAATGGGAATGCTTCACCAATGTGTTTCGGCATTTTGATGTTCTTCTCTTTTCTGATTTCTGGCGTTACTATCGCCAGGGCAATATCGTGGATCACCAGTTTGAGCTTGGTAGCCGGGTTGTAGCCGTTCACCACCATCACCACTGGATACTCGTCATCTTCAAGCAACGTTTGCTCGTACCAGTCGAGCAAGTAGTCGTTGACGAAATCGAGAATCAAATTCGCCTTGGAGCCGATGCCGTAGAAATTGAGATTGTATCCCTGGCTCAACTCGAAACACCATTGGTGGTATAGCTTTTTGTGGAGCTCATTGAGAGCGTTTCTTTCGTTGTGGTGAACAAGACTGCCTAATCTGACCATGGGTAAGAATTCGTCGTAGTCGAGCTCGGGAGCTTTGGAGCTCAATGCACTGGAAGAAGGTCTGAATCGAAGATTGTGCTGCTCAAAGTAACCTTCACTTCCTTCCAAGAAGTAGGCTCTTTCGTCGGTGAGGCGTCCAGAGAAATTAGTCTGGATATGGGAGTCTGGGAAGTATTTTTTCACATATTCCTGGTCTTTGATGTTGCCCTCCAGGTCCACCTCAGGTACCGGGAGGGGCTCAAAATGTTGGATTGGTGTGGCCTCAACTTGCTCCTTCTTCGGCTTATCAAGACCACTGATCAGAGGAATGTAGGAGAACGTGCTGTCACCGGTATTATCAAAATTGAGCGCAATGGACAGCTCAGCTTTTGAGGGAGATGACTCCTTGCTGACCGTTTCCTGTTTATCCTGGAAAAATTCCATGTCGTCCATGTGGAAGATACTGTGCACTTTGCCAGTGACCTTTTCCTGTTTACTGGGTCTGCCCTTCTTGGTTCTTCTTTCGATGGGCGTTTTTCTCACCTTTACAGGAGTCGGCAGCTCCGCCGGCGGAGTCTTCTTGGGCTTTCGTGGAGTGGTTACTTTCTTAGGTGATTTCTTAGGCGATTTTTGGGGCTTTTCTTCCTCTGACTCTGAGAATTCCTCATCCTCCTCATCTTCTTCTTCCTCTTCACTCTCATCCAGACTGGCTTCCTTCTTAGGACGCCTTCGCCTTTGTTCCCTCAATTCAGCTTGTCGTTTCTTCTCTTCTTCCTTTTCAAGGGCTCGTTTCTCAACCACGGCTCTTCTTTCTCTGCGCCTGGGAGTCAATTCCACGGGCTGGGGCTTTTTGACTTCTTCGCCTTTTCTGGGTCTTCCCCTCTTTCTCTTTGGCGGCGTAGGAGGTGCCAGTTCTTTCGAATCCTCTATAATCTTCTGTGCTAGGTTGAGCTCTTGTTCTCGAAGTACACTGTCAATTTCATCGTGATCTTCGTCCATGAGCCTTGAATAAGTAGTATGTGCCTTTTTTCGAGCAGAATTATCTAGATCTTCTGTACTTCGTTTAGCAGGCAGCCTTATTCCAATCGGACGCGTGGGTGTTTTGGCTGGTGATTCGAGACCATCCTCGGATTTGATTTGAGTTTCATTGTTGGAGCCATTTTTCACATTTTCCCGGCTATCTTGAGCCTCCAGGGGATGGCGCAAGTCTGGAATTTCGGCCATTGATGAAGTATGGGGAAGTCTTCCTGGTTATCAAAAAGCGGTAGATCTTGGAAAGTAATGTATGTGTCACGTGACCATTTTTCAGGAACACTCATTTACAGCCTCCCCATGTGCTCTACATCAATTCTGTATAGCTACAAGGGCAAGTTAAAAACAAATGTAATGGTCCTCATACCTTCCATAATTACATACAACGTGGTGGCGCAGAATTGGGGCCTACAAGTTGCAAACTTGATCCTGCGCACGTGATCAAACTGTCTCATCGCTGCACATCGAATTTCCACCTCCTACATCAACCTCGAGATCCAGAATGCTTTCGTTCTGCCCGTACTGCTCAAACATGCTCTTGATGTCGCATGGTGAGGATGGCATGAACAAGCTTCAATGCAACACGTGTCCCTACGAGTTCCGGATTCTGGGATTCCAGATGTTCGAGCGTAAGGTGCTACCCAGAAAGGAAGTTGACGATGTTTTGGGAGGTGATGGTGCCTGGGACAATGTCGATCAAACAACGGCACAGTGCCCATTGGACTCTTGTGGTAACGACAAGGCATACTTCTTCCAGTTGCAGATCAGATCGGCCGATGAGCCTATGACGACTTTCCTCAAGTGTACCAAGTGTTCCCACCAGTGGAGAGAAAATTAGCATTTGTTTTTTGGTATTTCATTTTATTGCATCACCCTTTGGTGGACTGGAGGCTCATAGAAGCCCAGCCCATTGGGTCCTCGAGAAGTCTTCGAGAAAAATGGTCGATTTGGATCTGGTCGGGCTCCTTTTCGGAGCGAAAGAGAATACTCGACTGAGAACAGGACAGGGAAAGCGAGTCGACTTTTTTTGGTTTAAGCGACTCCTCATATGTGTTGAAGGAGGATCTGACGAAGGATCTTTGGAGGCCTTTGTTGAGAGGCTGGGAAGACTGTGTTTCTTGAACAACACTCCCAACAGAAGCCTTCTCTGCGCTGCTACTAGAAAGAGCCCGCTTCATATGGAAAATATCCGACAGGCTCGAGCAACTATCTGTATCATAATCACTAGAGCCTCCCAACGTGGAGTCGAATTTGCGCATGTACTTTGGCGATTCGTAGTCTCGCTTGTAGCCGGGGAGATTGTGCTTCTTGTAGTACTTTTCCTGCTGCTCCTCAATAAATTTTCTGTAGGAAATGTCACTGCGGCCTTCAGTGATCTTTTGAAGTCTGAAGTCCTTTTTGCGTTTGTTGACAAAGTCCTGTTCTTCGGCAGAGCGCTTCTCTTTGAAGGCGGAGGCCTGAACGACTTTTCGGATATTGATGAGAGCCACTTTTTCTTCCTTTATTTTCTCGACGAACTTCTCTTCTTCCTTGCATTCATCAGCGTTCCAGCGATCAACCGTGGACACGGGGCGGTCGGCGATCTCAGGTCGGAGGTCTCCATTGAGGAGTTTCTGCTCCTCGTCAAATGCAAATATCTCTCCCTGGCAGATATCACCAAAGAGGCGTTTCATGCTGAAACCGTTCACCCACAGGCCTTGGTCCTCTGTAGGGAATACTTGTCTTGGACGAAACATGGACACCAAACGGGCCGTTTCAGAATAGGATGAGTGTCTCGCAAAGACAAGTTTTATGTCAGCCGGTAAAAGCTCGGCCCCATTTTTGGGTAACACCCACTGCCGATCACGTAGCTCGTAGATCCTAGTACCAGCCTTGGTCTCTCTGAGCATACGCAAATTGGCTTTTTCAGTCACACGGAGGGAATCGAGACGTAGAGGGAAACAGGCCCCTGTCATATCCATAATGTTGAAATTGACGCATTGTTTGATTCTCACAACGAAACGGTCGCTCGGTATGTCTGAGCATCCTTTGGGACAAACATGGAAAATGCCATTTGTAAAGCTGGCCAGTCTGTAGCGCTCAAACGCTGTTGCTAAGCTGGGACCGTTTACAGGGTCATGTTTTGAGACAACCTCGACCTGCTTTCGTAGTATGGGATCGCTGATGTGAAGAGCGCTTCTGAAGTAGCTGGTGATGAAGGCCCAAGCATGGTCGAACCCTAGCGTGGTGTCCTGAAAACAATATGCAATTTCTGGATCTTTTGGAAATTCTTCAAGAAGACGAATGGCAGCGTGGATTCCAGCATTTTTTGGAGGTATCTCTATGTACGGCTCACTGCGATAAGAAAAGGTCATATCCGCATAAATATTGTCCAAAGTCTTCATGCCGTTTATGTACGGGAATAGCAGCGGGTACGTATTCAAAGACAGTATCCACCAATCCTCTGCTCGAAGGTCTCCCGTACATAGCACATTTGACGATTCAGACTCAATCAAGAACATGGATGCACCAAGGCAGTGATGAGCAGGGAGCAATGTCACAGTTACCAAGCAAGTGTCATTTTCAGATCCTTCAGAAGATCCTAGTGGCCGAAGCTCCACTTCAAACGGTTCATTGAACCTTTTTGTCTCCAAAAGCGGAAGGATCCTCTGGTAGTCCTTCTTCAATGATAGTAGTTTCTTCGTTTCCACAGAACAAAACACCTGGCCTCCAAAGGACTTCAGAATGAGCCCGACGAGATGATCTGAATGGCAATGAGTTAGGAGAAATGCCGAACAGCCAGTGTTGAAACGATCCACCCCTAGTAAAGGGAATTCCCTAATCCGTCCATCGAAGGGCATTTTTGGGATATTTTGATTTGCAAGGACGCGTTGGGGAAAATACGTCTAGAGCTTGCAAAATCGGATGAACGGAGACACGTCAAAACGCGTTATTGGTTGCTGCTTCGGGAAGCGTGTAAGGTGTATCTGAGAAGCAAGTGGTGATGGCTGCGAAATGGTGTGGTGGTTGATGTAGGAAGGACCCCGGTTGCAAAATCAATAGATTCGCCAATTTTTTTTAATGAAAAGATTCGAAATAGTGCAGAACTTCTTATAGAATTCTAAACTTTCAAGTTTCAAAACACCGCCGTTCTTCTCGCTTACGTTCTTGTATGTCAAGCTATAATGCAAGGTTGACTGGTTGCAAAATAGTGCAAAATACCAAACTCCTAATATTCAAGTCACCTTCCAAATAAAAGCTTCAAAAGCCTTGAAAGGTCGAGAAGTTACATAAAACTGAGAAAATCACTTATTTTGTTTGCGTATACGAATCCCACTCTATGCTACAGTGAATACCAGTAAAACATCCCGGGGCCGATCACCCAAAGTACATTTCTATCAAAAACCCCATCACAACTCTATCTCCCTCTCGGCATTATATGTCTTCTTGGGAGCCTTGCGGGGCTCCTCCGTTACCGTCTTCCGCTTCCTCTTACCCTCACTGGCATCCTTCTCGGCCAATTGCTTCATTACCTTCACCACCACTGCACCAATTTTACCCTGTTCAGCACCAGACCCGCCAAGTGGTTTCGGAGCGCCCCAGCAGAAACGCACAGGGTACTTCTTTTCTAGAACCACAAGAGCCGCCGTTTTGCTGGACTTGCTGATTTTCACGCTCTCGAGCTTTTTGGCAAACTTGTCAGCTTCACTTCTAGATTCAAAAGTAACGAAGCCACAGCGTGCCCGGTGGGCTATCTTTGTCGAGACCGGGCCAGCCAACTTCTCACAATAGTCCTTCACCACGTACTGGGGTATCTGCGGGTCGAAGCCAAAAACAAAGAAGCTTTTTAGTTCTTCATCTGATGATGCAAGAGTCGCTCCAAACGGTAGTTTTGCCACAATCTGTGAGAGGTCTTTAGCTGAAGCTGATTCTTGTTCTTGAGTAGCGACAACAGCAGGTTTCTGCTTCCCTAGCTTTTCGGCCAACGTGGCCAATATCTCCTTTGCTTTCTCCTTTTGCCCCTCATTCTTGAACCCCTGCAACTCCTTCTTATCAGCCATAATCGCCTTGACTTCTCTGTTCTTGCTCTGCTCAGCTAGATAAGGATTCTCGATTCCGGCCATCTTCAACGCAGCATCCCTGAATTCCATGGGGATTTTGAAATAAACATCGACAAGACAACTCTGACAGCAGTTTCGTATTTTCAGACAGGTTCCACAAACAATGGTTTTCTTCATCTTCTGGCCCCTTGGTCCTGGCCATCTATAAACAGTGAATGGTCTCGTACAAAGCTTGCACTCTTCGCCACCGGGCTGCCGGATCATTTTGATGTTCCGTTCATCCGGAACTAGGCAGTCCAGGCATAGTTGTGGGAATTCGGACATGGAGTTTTGGTAGTAGGTAAGATGCGATGAGTGTTGATCTTCGCGATAAGAGATGCAGATGAGGTTTGCGAAAGTGCACTAAAGGTGCAAATTTAGGGCGTGGTGATGAGAGAGAAAAAAAAAAAAAAAAAAAAAAAAAAAAAAAAAAAAAAGAATAAAAATGTATGCTGAAAATGCTAAGAATTGATTATTTGAGCTATTGCTTCTTTCGACTCTAAACGCTATTGGTGAGTGTCTGCAAATCAGTGATAGCAGCATCCGATGCTTGCAAGCGCTTCTAATAGTCTCTCTCTATCTGCCTCGGAGACCAAGTTCATCAATTTGTGCAAACTGACATCAAACAGGTAATCGTACTCCCAGGATTTGAGAAGCGGTGATGTTTGAATGATCTGCAACACTTTATCAACATCCTCACTGACTTCTATCTTGGTTCTTCTTGAGAACTCACAATGCACCGTCACCTCATTGATGTAAAGATCGTCCCTATCGAGATCCAACTGGTCCTTTTTTATGAAGTCTTCGAACCCAGTTCTATACAGCGTGAGAAAGTTTCTCAATATGGATCCTTCTTTTCCACTGAAATTGCCATGAGCCTCAAGGGCCTTTCTGAAGATATAAGTCGTACTGCAATCACTCGATAAATTGAAGCAACGGCTCAAAACGTCCGCAGCCCTGCGACGAGCGGGTCTATACTCTGACTTGCATGAAATAAGCAAAAGGACAATAACATCTTCGATGTAGTCGCTATCGAGCTGTTCTTTCAGCCTCATGAGTCTCTCCAACACCTTGACACAAAGGAGAGTCGTCTCGTCTGTTTGATATGACTGTATATACCTGGCAAGTTGCAAAGTATCTGGAAGACTCTGAGCAGCAAGATCAAGGATTTGAAGTTCTTGTGACCACTTTGTATCGAGCGTCTTGATCCGTTGGTTGGAACCTGTTACCAATAAAAGCTCAATAACCTTCACACGTATGTAACTCCATGTCAGTGGTACTTGTGCTAATTGCTCCAATGTCTGCCTTAATCTCTCACTCATTATTTCATGCTTTTGGCAACACTCAATCACCAGTTCTTGAATCTCGTATGCATCGCTTTCAAGTGCAAGAAGAAGAAGGTCCTCTGCCACCTCGACTTCATCGTTTTCGAGGTGATAACGGTGCAAGAGTTTGATCACCTTCGCTAGAGTCGAGTGTTTTGCCCTATTCGGCCTGATGCTTTCTCCTATTAGCAGTTCCACAAAGAAATCTCCAAGAGGCTCCACCAATGATAGTGGAAGATCCTCTGGCAACATGTCGAGCCAAACTGAGAAGACCTGCCAGTTGTTAAGCTTCAGGACAAAATGAAAAACATCTCTCATGTTTTGATCATTTATGCGTACATCTTGAGATAGTTTCGATGCGAGCAAGAGAAAACCATGGATCTTGTTCATCGAATTCGAGGAGTAGATACCTGTGATGGAATGCTGAGTAGCCTTTTCCCTGTTCGACATCAATGCCATTTTATACAACACCCTAGCGGTCATTTCTCGTATTTTCCACCTCTGGTGACCCAAGTAATTGTCTTGGAGCAAAGTGTAAAACCTGTTGGAGAGACCTTCGTCAGTACCATTCCATTCAAGTCTCTCCAAAATGGTCAAAATGGAAAGAATGCTCTCTACTGAGCCTCCTTCGTTTTCCCCAAATTTCGATAAACGAGAGTAAAATTTATCATCAAGGTCACGGTACATGCTAAAGAAAACAGATGTCTTCATGCCAGAGAGCAGATTGCCAACCATGTTTGTGCCAAAGATCCTGTTTTGAAGCGAGGTGAAGAGCATCAAAGCTGCGTTCTTGATCGACCATTCTGGTGAGTCGATACTTTCCAATGCTAAGCTGAGCGCTTTATTTAAGTACCTTTTCGCTGATGAGAACAAGGCTGATTCCAAGAATAGATGTTTGATGCAATTAAAAGCGTGAACCTGGGGAAATCCTGATTTGGCACGGTCTTCTTCTCTGAGGGGAATTTTGGTATATTCAATGAGCATCTTCATGGTGGAATCAATTATGCCATCAACATCACCGTTTTTCTTGTGGGCCATGATAGCTCCGGTGATTAGAAAAGGTAGTCCACCTGATCTTCTTGAGACAAACTGAGTTTTTGCCTTGATGAGGTTTAAACTTTCATGGAGCCAAACCTTAGGGTAGCCTTCAAGACCTGGGCTCTCCAAACAGACAACACAAGCAGAGACATAGGTATTGAAAACAGCCATAAAGACACCTCTATGGGTTATGTTGCTGAGCTGGTCTCGAGTGAGCTCACAGGCTTCTAGGAATAGTTCGTGATCGAGAAAGATAAAAGAGGATTTCTTGTTCAACGCAATCATTGTATCCAATAGAAGAGCAGATTCGCGGATAGGTCTCCATGATGAAGCTTCTAGACCATCGCTATCTTCCAAGGTCTCGAATGTCGTATTGGATTTGTATTGCTGCCACAGGTTCTGACAGCATTTGAGAAGACATCGAACAAGTTCTGTTGAGTATGTCTCTTGTTCCAAGAAGAAATCTGGTAATGTTTGGAAGGCTTTGGAAAAGAATGTGTAAAAGCCGTGTGGAGATTCTCCATTGACTTGAAGGAGTCTTTCCTGGAGTAGTTTTATAAATTCGAGTAGCTTTGGTGGGTTCCTTGAGTAATGAGTCGCAAGAAGCAAGAGCAAATTGACGTTTTCATCGCTCTTTCTGCCTTGCACAGATTTCAAAGCTTCTATGGAATTGTTCAAGTAGTCGAAGAAGAGGCTGCTCAGCTCATCAAACAAAAGGCCACTAGGGCATGTTTGAAGTAACTTTCTAGCCTTTCCTCTGATATCCTCATAATTGTTCGTCGTGAAGCGAAGCATGACGGAAATAAAGGATGGTGTGAACACTTCCAAAACTGGTATGAGGTTTTTCTGCTTTCGGGTGTTCTTACGTGCCACCCCGTCGAATTCTTCTTCAACCAAAACTTCAAAGAAGTCAAATGCAATGAGTAGCAGCAGGTAGCTTGAACTTGGTGAAAGCTTCATCAGAAAGTATCTCAAAAGTGATTCAAGTGCTTCTTTGATGGCCTCTGGTGAAGACTCTCTATTGTGAATGTAGCAGTCCTTTAAAGAGATGACGGCTTTTCTGATCGTAGAGGAGAATGCATCTCGTGTCTCAGATGACCTTGAATCCTCCACAAATCCCTCAAGTATACACTCATCAGTGAGGAGTCTGAGAATGTGTGGTGAAGGTATACGACTTGTTTTAATCGTTGAAACCACTAGTTGCATGGCCGAAAGACGTATGCTCTCAGTGTCGGAAACCAAAAGCTCAAATACTTCGCTTTCGGTCAAGATGCCGCTATCAATAGGATCCTTCGATTTTGAAAGTTTCTGGCTAACATTTAGCACAGAGAGAAGAAGCTCTGGCTGAGATGCATCTATATGGTTCTTGATAAGGATCTCAACGGAATTGGGTGTCATTCTGAGCAATATGGGAAGTAAATGCTGGATGATGTTTGACGAGGCTTTTGGGCTCTGGAGACCTGAAACAACAGGATTTGCCCAGTAAGTGACAAACTCGCCTTCTGAGAAGTCTGTTTGTAGATTCTGAAGCAAAGCCGCTAGGCATTTCGCTGAAGCATTGGCAACTGCTCCAGATGCACAGGCTGAAACGAGCACCTCAAAGAAACCTGGATCATTCTCCTTGAAGCCCTGAGAGACGTGGGGACATTCTTTCGCTAAGATCTCGATTATCTGGAAATGCTCTTTTTTGAGTGACAGGTTCTGGAAAGTCGAAATGGCCCATTTAGAGCAAAGCTCGTCACCCCTGGTTCTATCCAACAAAAGTAGAAGCTGAACGAGTCTTCGTAGGAGTCCCAAACCAGCATTAGCCTGAGCTCCATGAGAAAAGTTGAGCGATCCAGTGACCCAATTGAAGACTGAATGTGAAAAAATGTCGTTCAAAGGTACCAATTTTGGGTCTGCTCCGGCCTTGAGCGCTTGAACGGCTCGTAGGTACCAGATCAGTAGGGCATCAGCTGCCTGAAGGTTTCTTTTGGGTGCTTCATTGGAGGGTTGACTGAGGAGGGTGAGAATGTCTTTTTGAATCAGCCAAAACGAGGAATGCAAATTCAGCAGCGAAGGTGATATCTTGATGAGTTTGGCTTTTATATCTGCTATATTGCTGCCATTCTGGTTCGTTTCACTCATGCCATTAGTAGTAGAAATCAGACTAGCGATGTTGGGCATGTGATGCTGGTCACGTGTGGGCATCACCAGGAAGAGGCTACCAAGATTAACGTCGTATTAGAAATTTATAGCTTTTATTGGCGTATATTGATAAGAGTTTCATTTATATGGGGATTGGTGTTGGGATGCACGTCGTGAAGATATTTGTGTGGACTCACCTGTTCACACTGTGGAGGCTAAGTTCACCACCACGAAAAAATACGTCAAAAAACCTAATCTGATGGACATGAGATTGACCCCTGTTTTGATTTTTTCTTCTTTATTCACATCCTCTCTAAGTTTTCCAAAACTTTTGTCGCCGAGCGATTTGGTAAACCGCTGGTCCAATCAGACTCCCTCTTCCTCCAGCCGAGATTAGCTCCCAATCAGTAACTAAAGTACGAAATTAATCTCTTATTTAACTAATAGGGGTCGCCCACATGGCACCTTGCGGAAGCGGCTAACCTTCTTTCATCAAGACATACATTGTGCCAGAGCTTAAAGGATAAGCATGGTGTGCTAAATGCAAGCTGCTCGGGTAACAAAACGTCAAAAAGGTGTCACCTTCTGAAAGAAGAAAATGGAGCCGGCCTCTCGGTTGGCAGATGTTTCTTGGAAATTGGGTATTTTTGGAAGTTGACAAGAACCATCAATACAGGTACTTAAACTAGTAGAGAATGTACGCCCACCAGGGCACCTTTTTAACAATTCCCTTCTGGATTCGGGCACTCAAAACGTAGGGCTCGGAGTCTAGAATAAAATTCCCGCCTTCGACAAAAACAGAAGGCGAAGGCCTCGGGCTCCATTGTAGAAACCGTAACCATCTCCATATCTCCACAATCCTCTGGCGCCAGAACAAATTCAGAACCATCCATTTCTGCCCCTACCAAAACGGCTTCCCGTATTGTGGCGAAGTGCTTTAGAAACAGTGCATCACGTCATCGTCAAGAACGTTGCACCGCATGAGTTATGAATCCCAGCAACAACCCACTACACAAAACCTCTAGTCAAACGTGAATAAGCACTAAATACAAATTAAAAATTACAACGCTCAGGCCTTGTTGCCTCTGAGCTGGTGGCCCCATTTCTTCAAGTACTTGAAGATCAAATCGTCGTCCTTGGAGTTGACCTGGACGTAGTTATTGCCCTTGTTGAGCTTCTCGGCCTTACCAATAGCTCCAAGCTCGCCGTCGTCGGCACCCATGGCCTGGACCTCCTCCAACTTGTGGTCTCTCAAGCAGAAACCAGCGAAAAGCATAGGAACACACAAGCAAAGACCGACGATACACAAGAGTCTCTGGACGTCGGCGTAAGCGAACACAACGGCTTTTCTGGCTGGGGTGCCCCAAGTGTGGACATCGATAAAGTTGTATGGCTTCTTGTAGGCCTGTTTGGCCAAGGATGTATCCACACCCATTTTCTTCATCTCGTCGACGATGGTGTCGTACATTCTCTGGGTCCACATGACACCAGAAACACAGTCACCGAGAGCAGAGCCGAATTTGTAAGTAGCCATGTAGACACCGGTGACGGAGGCCATGTACTCGTGGTCAGTACAAGACTGGATGGAGACATCGATAGTACGAGCGAACAAACCAGAACCGAAACCGAAAACAATCATGGAGCCCGTGACACCGTCAACGAATCTCTTGTCGTGAATACCGTCGTTGGAACCACGGAAGTAGTAAAGCATACCGGTGCCGATGAACCAGAGCGAAATACCAGCGAGAATGAAACCCTTGGTTCTCCTGACACGAGCAACCACCAAACCAAGAAGAGGACCCACAACGGCAATCATAAACGAGTTCAAAGAACCGATTCGGGTGGCAGTGGCCTTGGAGGCGTTCATTCCGACAAGCAAAACGGGGTACATGTAGTCGTGAGGCATCAAGTAGACGAACTTGTAGAACAAACCGATACACAAGGCGGCAATGACACCACGGTCCTTCAAAAGAGGGAAGGGGAAAATAGGGTGGGTGGCGCCTCTGAGCTCCCAGTAGACGAAAACAGGAACCAAGCAGAAACCAATCACCAATGGAGCAATGACGTAGGCATGTCCCCATTTGGAGGTGGTACCACCAGCAAGAGTCAATGGCACCAAAATGAAACCAACGCAGATGGTGAAAAGGAAGATACCCATCACGTCGGACAACCAGAAGAACTCCCTGAGGTAGTAGTAGCTTCTGATGAAGAAGGCCCTGATGTTGCTGGAAAACTTGTGGTTGCTGCTGCTTCTGACCTCGGCGATTCTGTTGTTCATGTCAACGTAAGAGTCCTGTTCTTCCTGGCAAAGATCAATGAAGGCCTGCTCCTTGCGCATCTTGAGTCTGGTCCAGATCAAGCAGCACATGATGGGGATGTTGGAAAGCGGGAAAATGAAAGCCCACATACCGATGGAGTACTGCCACGAGTAGTTGTCGGTCAAGTTGTCCACAATGTTACCGGACACCCAGGTGTTGATGATGTAGGGACAGGTGACGATGGAAATGGCGAAAAGTCTCCAGTTCATCTGGGAGTTATCGGACATGATCAAACGCAACATGACCTTGATACCGGCCTGGCCAAAAGCGTCGATAACGGCACCAGCAGCGAATCTGGAGAGCTCGCCGGATTGCGACTCGATCAAAGACCCCATGGCCTTGAAAATCACGGCAACCAAAAGCAACTCGACACGACCGTACATGTCCGACATTCTGGCGAAAAATGGCAAAGAAGCAGCAGCCACCACCGATCTGATCACAGCGATAGTGGACAAAAGCGAGTGGTCAGCGAAACTGTTGGTGGCGTAGGAAGTAAGCACTTTTCTGATACGAGTGTCCAAGGTGAAAACATAGGCAGAGCAGAACAAGCAAAGGTAAAGAAGCACACAGTTACGCTTGTTCTTGTAGTGCTCGGACAAAAGCTCGTTCTTTCTCACACCAAACGACTTGGTCGAACCAATGACGATTTCCTCCGAGGAGGTGTCGTTAGGGAAGGACTTCTCTTGAGCAGAGCCATTGTGGCCCAACTTCTCGTCGGAAGAAACTGAGTGAGCCGTTTGGGTGTGCTCGTTGGAGTTCCTTGTCTCCACAATTGGAGAGCTGGTTTTCTCAGGAGCGGACATGGTCGTTGGTGATGAAGAAAAACAGGGCAGGTCTGGTCTACTTAAATATCTGATCCGATCAGACAAGGCAACACAAAGGGATTTGGCGAAACCGACTTCGGGCTTTGCAGCCACTCGTGTGTTTAGCTGCACGGGAGAAAGCCTGCAGCTGTGGTGTGGGATAAATTATGCGGCACATTAGCGCTGAGGGCCAATCAGAGGGTGGTTTAGCAAAGCGGGCCCATTGCTTTTTTCTGAATTAGTGGATTGACATTAGACACTGACACCGGTTTTGAGTGGCATATGCATGGGCCGCTGCGCGCAGCAGTCAGAACCTGCGTGTGCCGCATTCCCTGCAGGCGTTTGGCTGGTATTCGTGTTCTGTGTGCACTCCGTTGACAGCTAAGAGGGGGCGAGAACGCAGTACAACGTCAAGTGGTTTTTCCGGGGCCTTAGCGAGAAGTGGGGGCGGGGCGCACAAGCCCCTTCAAAAGCGGCTGGCGTTTTGAATTTTTTGATTTTTCTGGTAATTCTACTTGTATTTTTCACCGTGAGCACGTTTCACCCAACCCGGGCAGGCTGAAATGAGCGCTTATTCACACTGTGGATTCCCAAAGTGAGCGCAATATTATGTACCCTGTAGAGCGCTTTTGTGCCGACAAGGCCCACCACTGGCTGGAAAGCAACGCTGTACGGCCGCTTGTCAAAAAAAGATCCGTTATCTGATCACGTCAACTTTACCCGGTTGGCTTTTCGCCAATAGCACCTTCTACTGAGTCCGGCTCGTGGAATGCCGATGGCCTTCCAAAAGGCCGTTCCCTGCTTGGTCGAGACCTTTGTGTCCTTCTAGTTAGGATCCTCAGAAGCTGGTGCAATAGTGCGTAGAATTGATAATCCGAAATGTCTCGTGAAATGAATGTTAAGATCTACCTGAGGTAGTTTCTATAGATAGTTTTTCCTCTAGTAAAAAGATACCAATTGAAAAAATTTTTCAGTTGACGGCGCCATGCACAGTCTGTGGGGGACCAGTAAACCTAGCTTGTCTTGCTGGTCCAGGGCTCTCCTTGACAGGAAGCCAAGAAAAAGGAAAGTCAATGACAGTTTCTGACATGCGTGAGGGAGAGTATATTGAAACTATACTAGGGAGTTGTACTAAATGTAAAGTCCACGCGGGCGGACCCCGCCACTCCATGTAGACTGTTTTCTTCTCTTCAGATTCTTCGTTCACAGTGCTCTTGGTATCGAGATGAAACTGATGGGAAGTGAAATTTCCACAAAACCGGTTTTGTGCCACCTCGTAGACACCTGCCAAACCGCCTCTGTGCAGTATGCGGCGTCAGGCCGCCTCATGCACCAAGGGTGTCTTTGAAATCAGGAACAGTGGCTTCTGCCTGATAACCCCGGCGGTATCTGCTTTGCATGGAACATATAGCCAATTGGTGAGAATAGAGAAATCTGCAGATTTTTTTTTCTTGTGACTGGTTGCCGAATCGGTTGCAGTATAACCGTTTCCAAACCTGCCTTGACGTCTTTTCGCCCGCATAACCATTACGGGCGTCGCCTAAGCGAGAATCCCAACCAGTACGCCGTAGCCATATCGGAAACCCGGGTATCGGTGCATGGCAATCCTGAAATCAATACAACACTTTTACAAAAAAACGCCCACAATTGTAACTTTAAAGTTTCACCATTCAGTCTTTTTTGTGACATGTTGAAGCGCCCGGGGTGCGCCTGGTCGGATTATCAAATTGCGCTTATAAGCCTTGTCTGACATGCCGGTCGGGATGTAGTTTTTCCAGGGATGCGAGTGGCTGAACCCGGAACGGATACTGGCATGAAGTTGTGAAAAATCTGATAATTTTGGTGAGTGGTTTTTCTCTTTTTTTCTTGTCACTTCATTGTTTTTGGTTTTCATTGGCTGCATGGCATACTCTACTAGCATCCCGGAATAACAGGACCACAAGGGTGGGCCTATCGGCGCCGCAACTCCATTTTTCAGCCGCCGACAAATCAAATAGCCCATGATGACCAGAAACTCATTTTTTTCAAGCTCTCTGCTCGTCTGCGTGTCGTTTAAATTAGGTTAGCGACTTCTGTCGCAGATAAGATGGTGCGGCACCAATTAATAAAAGCCTCTCTTCAGGAGATGGCCTTGCTTTAATTGCTATTGGCTCTAACGGCGAGACCGGATCCGAAAAATCTGTATTGTAGCTCTCGCCCAATGTCGTTGTTCTGGGTTGTTGATGCATGGATTATGAGGTGGTTAGACCAAATTGAGGTGCTGGTTGAAAAATATAACCATGGAGTGGCCATGGCACGAAACCTGCTTTTGCGGCACTCGGAGCACGTCTTTCTGGGGAACTCCGTTTGCAGCTTCCTCGTGTGAGTTTAAGCCCCCATAGGCTGGATTGATAAAAGCGCTACGCCGGCTGTGGACGTTGCAAAACTAGTTACTATTGCTTGACTTTTCGGTTTGGCCTCTTGAGTACGAGTTCGGGAAATGTGCTGTTCTGGTTGGAGGGTATTGGTATGATGCAAGTGTTCTTTGGAGGCCGCCTTGGAATGCCCAGAAAAATTTGAAACTGGGCGACAGGGCCAGGCCAGGTCTTATTGGTTTTTTCATGGATTTCGTGGCTCCGTGAGACTCCGGGGCTTTTGAAATGAAGGGTAGGTTATTGGGCTTAATTTTGGGGAATAATCGGTTTTTGAAATGTCCCGGGTGGTTGTTGCCATGATGTGGATTTTGAAGGCTGGAGAGTTGCCGAAGAGTGATTGGTTCGTCGTGGTTGCTGTAACTGGAAATAGAGGACTACCATGGTGACTCCGGTGCCACTTTTGCACAACCAGAAATCTTTCGGTTTGACACTTACAATCCTGCCAATTGAAGAGTTTGCTCCCAATTTAGGAAGGCCGGAATTGACTGAAGAGATGGTATATTCATTGTGGTGGCTTTGCTGAACTAAACCTACAACCTTGGTGAAGTGCAGTGCTACGCTTTATAACAATGGCTTCGTGGGATTTGGCCTCCTTAGAAATCCAAATATCACAAGGGTACAAAGAGCTGAAAAGTGTCATCACGAACGTGGCTGCTACGAAAGATGAACCACCATGGTGAAGTCCGGTTCTACTGCACTGAATACTCCCTACGGCCATCTCCAATAACCACTATGTTTCTCCATCCCAGAAACAACAAAATTCCGAAATCCTATGCCTAAAGTAATCCCTGCTGCCACCGCTTTCTATTCCCCATCACCCTATGGTGAAAAACGCCATAATGATTTCTTCACCGGTACACCGAAAGCCGACCTGAACCACCAGTTTCCACCAAACCACGCCACAAAGCCTGTTTAAAAAACTTTCCAAAATCTCCCCAAAATGACCCCCGAATCACCACACTTTGCCGAAAGCGGCACAAACGCAACGTTGTATTCCGCTCACCTCGGAACCTCCACAGTGAAAAGTACGATACGGCTGTGCGATGGACCGAGGCACACAAGGTCCCCTTGCCCCAATAATCTCGACATTGTCAAAACAAAAATCAACTGTCAAATTAATAGCTCTTCAAATCCAGAATCAAAATAAATCCAACCGACCCCCCTCCGCTTTTGCCTGTTCGGCTTTTGTGTGTAATAACGGCACGTTGAGCGCAAGGTGTGCGCAAAAGTGAGCCATCGTCACTGAGCTCTTTCTTCTTATAAGGGTCCCTTTCCATCCACAAAAATTCCACACCGATTTCCAAAAAACCTCGTCATGTCCAGCGTCACCACAGGCAGAAAAGCCTGGGAATCGTACTACCACTTTTTCCCCTTCTACATGCTCACGGGCAGAGAGCTGTTGTTGTTGCACCTTTTCGTCATTCTGTTTTTCCTGTTCATCGGCTGGGGCGTCTACCTGTGTTTGCCCGCCTATGTGCCGTTTGTGCTTTCGAGAGGGAAGTACTATTTGACGGGCTCCCAGGAGGCGCTCGGCAATTTTGTGTTGAAGATGAAGTAGATAGCTAGTTAATGAATATCATGCGCACTTAGTACCATGTATCGCAGAGGTAGGGTTCGTGGGTTCAAGGCCCCACGGCCGGTGGGGACTAGGGGAGATATGAAAACGGGGTCTTTAGGGCCCGGGGATTCGGAAAATCCGGTTGGTTTTGCGTCAAACGGCGGGGATGACGGTATTGTTGATGGTGTTGGTGAGAAGCGCTTGACCAAAGAGGGTCCACGTTTGAAGCGGACACAGGGCGTCTTGAGGCGTGGAAATGGAGATTTACGTGGATTGGGAGGTGAAGAATCTAGTGGAAGTACTGGAAATGGCTTACCGGCGCTGGACGCGTCAGAAAGTGGAAGTCTACGAAACCACAACAGTGAGGACACGAATGGTGAAAACGACGTGGAAAAGTCGCCTCCTCTATTCTGTGAATCCACTTCGCCAAAAGCGTCCAAATCACTTTCCCTCTCCGGCCAGCATCGCCGCCTAAACGCACCAAAAACCGGAACCGTCCTCAAAAGACTCAAACTAGACATCAACAGAACAGCCAGCCAAGCCACCCAACCGTCCTCCTCCACAAAACTCTCCTGCCAGTGGCGGAAAAGATCAAACAAAAAGAACAAGTCCTGGGAAGGCGACGGGTTTCTCTATGTGCTGGATTCTGGTGTCGTTCTCAAAGCTGATACTAAGGGAAACGGCACGCTACGAGTTCTAGGGCGATCTTCCAATTCGAACACCAGTGGTCTTCTCGTTCTAGGGCAATTTGAAGCGGAGGTGGACGAAGAAGGCGAAACAAGGCATATTTCAGTCAACCAGCCTGAACCACAGGCGGTTCCTGCTCCCACGAGCTTCAAATCGCCATTTCACGCAAGGGAGCCGAAATCTATAGCTCCTGAAGCATTTTGTCTTCACGATAAGGTCACTGTGGATCCAACACTTACCAGGTTTCTCAGGCCTCATCAGCGAGAAGGTGTGCAATTCATATACGATGGACTTTTAGGGCGCCGTGTGGAAGGCCAGCGGGGTGTTCTTCTAGCGGACGAAATGGGTCTTGGAAAAACACTCATGACCATCACCGTCTTATGGACGCTTCTAAAGCAAAGCTCCATGGGCAAAAGCCAAGACGCACTGAAGGTGCTCGTTTGTTGCCCTGTTTCTCTCATTGACAACTGGCGCAAAGAGTTTACAAAATGGCTCGACAAGAACCGCATAGGTGTGCTTGCATTGAATGGCAAGAACCAGCTGCCCGCCAAGGACAAACAGGATATCAACGGTTTTGCCAAAACCAACGTCTACCAAGTTCTCATCATGGGCTACGAGAAGCTGCTTCTGTGTGCCAAAGAATTGGGTGCTGTTGATTTTGACGTGATTGTATGTGACGAAGGTCATAGACTCAAGAACAACAGCAGCAAGGTTATGAAACTATTGGACGGCCTCGGCGTGGAAATGCGGTTGGTGCTCACGGGAACTCCGATCCAAAACGACTTGAATGAGTTCTACACCATCGCCAACTTCATAAATCCTGGCATTTTGGGATCGCTGGCAGACTTTCAGAAACGCTTTGCCAGACCAATTCTACGAGCTCGTGATGTCAACTGCCTGAGCAGGAATATCATCAAGGAAGGACGGAAGGTGTCCAATGAGTTGATCGAAATCACAAAAAGCTTTACCCTTCGAAGAACGCAAAATGTCATCAGCTCGTTCTTGACCAGGAAAACAGACGTCTTGCTTTTTTGTCCGCCTACAAAGCTTCAAAAGTCTCTCTTTAAGCTTGTGCTCGGCTCGTCTAACTTCAACAAGATCATCAATTCTGACCCCAGAGACGTTCTTGCATTGATTATGGTGTACCGAAAGATTTGCAACTCTCCGTCATTGTTGGCGAAGGATTCCTTCTTCAGTACACTTCTAGGCACAGAGGCCCGGAAACAGCTTGATCCAGCCTCCCTCACCACACGAACAACAGGCAGTAAAATTAATGTTCTTGTTCCCCTCCTTCTTGAGTTTAAGAAACTCGACGAAAAGACTGTTCTTGTGTCAAACTTCACCCAAACTTTGGACTTCCTAGCGACGGTTCTTCTGAAACTCAATATTCAGTTCGTCAGGCTTGACGGCTCAAGTGCTAGTAATACCCGTGATAAGCTTGTCAGTGATTTCCATAAAGCGGAAGGGTTCACCGTCTTCCTCCTACTGGCCAAGGCTGGCGGTGTGGGGTTGAATCTTGTCGGTGCATCTAGACTAGTGCTTTTCGATAATGATTGGAACCCTTCGGTGGATCTTCAAGCAATGGCGAGAATTCACAGAGACGGACAAAAGAAGCCCGTGTACATCTACAGACTATTCACCACCGGCTGTATTGATGAGAAGATTTTCCAGAGACAGCTCATGAAGGGCACGCTTAGTGACATGTTTCTCGATGACAAGTCTGAATCGTCGCTGAATATCTTTGACTTTGAAGATCTCAAGGACCTATTCAATGTCGCCGATACCAACTGCAACACCCACGACTTGATTGAATGCCCATGTTCAGGCGAGGGAGAGAGTCTCGAATCGTCCCAAAAGCAGGATACACAAGACGACACTGATGAAGACGACGAATTGCCGTCTCTGGGCTGGATGAGCGCTCTGGATCTACACAAAATGGCTCCAGATAACAATGCAAAAAAGCAGTCCATCAGATTGGCATTATCCCACTACAAGCATTTTGACCCTACTGAGTGTGACTCCGGTGTGGATGTCCTGGACGAGGTTGTCAACAAGTTGCTACAGAAACTCAAGGAGGAGCGTCTATTAACGTACGTCTTGACACACGTCACCCAAGGATACTCATAGATTAATTATTTTCCCAGGAGCATCTTCATTCTTGCCTCCGCAGCTCTGGCTCGTTGTTCCCTCATGAGGCGTGTCTTTTGCTGGTCCGTCAACTCACTCGTCTCAGATGGACGGTTTTGGACTTTGCCACCAAGAGTGCCACCGGAGGAAAATGTAGGCTTCTTTTGCTCCATTTCTGTCTTTTTCGCCAATTCCTCCTCTATCAAACGACGGTTTTCTGCCTCCTGCTGTTTCTTTTGCTGCTCTTCCTCCTTAGCCACTTCCTCCCTGGTTCTTGGAGGTCCCACTTTAGCAGCAGTCCAATCCGTAAACTCCTCTCCAAGTGTATTTCTTGCAATTTGGAAAGTCTTCTTCGCCGTAGATGTGGAGCTCATCTGAGCGGCGGTCTTTCCAATGGCATTAAGAATGGTTGGGTCTGCTTTTAGATTAACCAACAACACGTGGATCATGTGGTGAAGACCCTGTGATGCAGCATAATGAAGTGGTGTGGGAGCATGAGCATGCTGGTTACCAGGTGTGAATTGGTAATTGGCATCCAATCCATTCTTCTTCAAGTAGTTGATCAACATCGGTGCCTTCAGCTTCTTGAGCAAGTTGATAATCTCTTTTGTATGCTTGTCAGACTCAGAAAGCTCTGGCGCTGGAGACGGTGTTTTCTGCACCTTGGAGATATCTGCCTTCTTCACAGTAACCTTCTTGGCTTTCGGGAGATCCACCACTTGCATGTGAGCGAGCTGGACCCAGGCCCGCTTCAATTCAGAAAGAGTGGCTCTTTTGGTGGTGAACGGAAAATTCCTGATTCGTTTATCGTCAGCTGCCAATGGGGCGCCTTCGTAACCCACCAAAGCCCGCTTGTTTGCCACCGCATTGGCTCTAATAAATACAAAGTCGGCATTTTGCAAATGCGACTTCCACAGATTGAGTAGCTCTCTGACCTCCTGCTGGAGCGCCTGCTCGTTGTACCTTCTTATAGAAGAACCTGCCGAATTGGCTTTTCCTCTGGAATTATCCGAGGCACTCTGCGATCCACCCTGTTTCCTTCTCGTGGTGTACCTGTGGAACGTCTTCGACTCAAGCACATTCACCTGCTGCTCCTGCTTCAGGATCTTGTGGTTGGGCGCTAGACCCTTGAGGTTCTTGGGTGTATGAGAAACAACGGCACCTGCAAAATGGCCTCCTCCAATCATAAGAAGCACAGAAGTGCCCAGCCGCTTGGGCTCCGACGAGATCTGACTCACCTCCTCCAACACGTTTCCGGTATCTAGCGACGCCTTCGAAAAGAGTGCCTTGTACAATCCAAAAGCCTTACCTTGGTCCACCAAGGGGGACTGAAATAGAATGTATGGCGAGTTTGTGTTCATGTGACTCACACTCTGCTCTTCATCCTCGTTCTTCGTAGATAGCTGTTCGAAAATCGTATTAAGCTTGCTGTCCTCTTCGTCCTCTGTTTCACTCTCCTCTGATCCAGATATGCTCTCCACCGATTGGGTCTCTATAAGTTTATCAAATTCATCCTCTGTAAGCGGTGGAAGCGAATTGACCTGTCTCTTGAGATTGAGACGATGAAGATCTGATTTATAGTAGTCTTTGGACTTTTCGGGCTCGGTTTTGGGATCGACTATGTGGTTTTCGGAGTGACTCTGGGTTTGAACTGGAGCGTCATTGACAGCCACAACAGCAGCAGATTCGTCAAAATGAAGAAGGCTTAGACTGTTTTTGACATTCTCGTCCAAGGAAAATATATACAAGTCGTCTTTGGCCACAGAAGTCATCCTTGCTGTGAAGAAGTAGTGGTACGGTGATAGTGGCGCGTGTGCACACCCTTTTAAATGGCTGCAAAGTCTATGGTACACTATTTAGCGGCGATTCTCCTGCGACAGGAATTTTTTTGGTGAGTCATTTAGGCAGACCCGAAACGGTGGCACTCCTTGAGGAAATGCTCGATTTTCTCTGGCTTCATGAAGGGGTGAGTGCCGTGACCAAAGTTGACAATGTAGTTCTGTTTGCCACCGCCGAAACCTTTGATCATTTGCTCCACTTTTTTGGAAATAACCTCGTCAGATCCGTAGATAATGCCGGGGTCGAGGTTACCCTGCAAAGTGATTCTTCTGCCGTTCACAACCTTCACAGCATCCTCAGGCTTATAGAGCCAGTCCAACGAAACAGTGTCGTAACCAGACTCACACAAATCGTCCAAGGCGTACCAGGCGCCCTTGGCGAAAACAGTAAGTGGGATCTTTTCCTTCACACCGAGCTCTGCTAGTCTTGCTGGCAACTTGGCAGCAATCTGGCGCAAGTATGGCAAACAGAATTCGTCAAATTCATTGGGACCGAGCTCACCTGCCCAGGACTCAAACACCTGCAACATCTGGGCACCAGCAACGACCTGCTGGGCCAAAAACTCAATACAAGCGTCGGTGATGGCCTGGAGCAAGGTATGTGATTCCTTGGTGTACTCGTAGATCCACTGCTTGGCGAAACGGAACATCTTAGAGCCCTGGCCCTCGGTCATGTACACTAAAAGGGTCCATGGAGCACCGCAGAAACCTAAAAGGGGCACTCTGCCCTTCAACTTTGTTCTGGTGAGTGTGATAGCCTTGTAAGCCCAGTCCAAGGATTTCAACACATCGGGCTTCAAGTTGACTCTGTTGATGTCCTCGCGAGATCTCAAGGGGTCGGCGAAAACAGGACCCTTGCCTTCAATCATGTTGATCTCAAAGCCCATGGCCTGTGGGATCACCAAGATATCTGAAAAGATAATGGCAGCATCAATGAGACCGTCAAAGTGGTCCACTGGCTGGATGGTGATTTCAGAAGCAATCTCGGCGTCTCTACACGTTTCGAAAAAGTCTCTGCCGCCCTTGACCTCGTGGTATTCAGGAAGATAGCGTCCTGCTTGTCTCTGGGGTTAGTAAGGCTGATATACGAGGGAGCCTAAAATGGGGGTTTTGGTCCACATACCATGATCCAGATGGGTGGTCTTTCGACCTTCTCGCCCTTAGCGGCTCTCAAAATCAAGTCGTTTTTCAATGGTTCAAAAGAAGGCATTTTGGTGTTGGAGAATCTGGAGAAGGATTCAGAGGGTCTCGGGAAATGGGTGGTGATGGTGCACGGGTGTCATGGGGTCCAGCAAAGTCGACATGGCAGTTTTCAAGGGCTGGAGACCTGGCTTTTGGAAAAATAAAAAATGGAATGATTTTAGAATTAAGTAAATTTGGGATTGGCTGTTTAAGTGGGCCTTTGTTGGGGGTGGAAGATAGCCGTAAAAGCAATTGAGGCTCTATCAGCAGCATAGCAAGCAATGTATTGGAACTTTCAATTATTTCAATATTTCACCTGATCTTTCGAAAATAAAGTCCAGCAAAAGAAGGTGGTTGAAATTCTGAAGCCATTTTAAATGGTGTGTTTGTAGCAGAGGCTGACAGCTTTGTACGAGGGATCTCACTATGATTTGGCTGCGAAAGTTGAAGCCTTCAACTGCCATACAAACATGGAAAAAAGAGGCAAGCAATCATTCAGGGCAAACTTCAACACTAAGTAAATTTCACTGATATTTCAAAATCTTTCAACTTGCCCCAATAACGGAAATTGCTGTAACTCTCCCAATTTTGGGTTTGAGGCCATTTCCGCCTCACATCAGCTTATTCAAGATTCACAAATTTGAATGAAAATAGCCGATTTTGCGAGAATTGAGTCTCATTTAAACTGCTCTTCCTGTATATGCAGTGCTTTTTTCCCTCCCAAATTAGCCTGCGTGGCGTAATGGTTAGCGCATTTGACTTCTAATCAAAAGATTCCGGGTTCGAGTCCCGGCGTGGGTTCTTCTTTGCGGTTTTAGCTCAGTTGGGAGAGCGTCAGACTGAAGATCTGGAGGTCCTGTGTTCGATCCACAGAAATCGCATACTTTTTTGCTTCTTTCAATGCTATTCCTACTGTTTTTAACAAAATCATCACATTAACTTATTTCCCAAAACTCCGGCTCATTAAATCTCGACATACCTCGTAACCGACACCAAGCCACGCTCTCTGTTGGCCCAGCTGACCCAGTTGGGTGAGTAGTGAAGAAGCTCATCAAAAGCGGGTATTCTCTCCTTCACATCTTCCTTTTTGTCGGCGATATAGCCAGTCTCACTCCAGTAGCACTCCACATTGATGCCAAGTTTCTTGACCGTCACCTTCGAAGCATCCACCTCGTTCGTGTCAACCACGTCAGGAACCCACTGGAACGCCAAGTGGTACTCCTTGTCCCAGTCAAGCTTGTTCAACTGGATGGTTTGAATACCAGCATAACTCTTGTACAAGTAATTGCCGTCAGCATCTCTCGAGAATCCAGCAGGAACGCCGTTAATTAGGTAGGCTGGCGTGGAGCTATTCTTGTCTGCGCCTTCCCGATACACGATAGCTGTTCTGACAGGCGAATCCTGTGGTCTGGCATCAAAGATCTCGGTCACCGAGTCTGAGACATTGAAATCAATACGGCAATTTCTGTTTTTAGGTGTGAGAAGACGGATCTCTCCCGTGAGCAAACCGAATGGCGAGCTCGTCTCGGAGGACGAATTCTTAAGCACGTCAATGGTCAAGTAGTCTTGCACGTCCTTGACGCCTGGTGCGAGAATGGGGTCCCATGTGGAGGGGTATTCGTAGCGGGAAATGCCATTCTCAATGGAGTTTGTCACTACCTTGAGGTCGTTTTGCTTGACAGAAGGTATGTCCTTCAAGATGTTCTCGACAATAGGGTCCTCACGACCAAAGACCTTGACGGTATCTCTGACGGGGGTGGTATTCAAGTCGAGAGTCTCCAAGAATCTCAACTTGAGGGGGTTGGCCTGGTCGAAAGGATCGGTAAGGTTGAACCTCAACACGCCATAAGCCAAAGTTCCGGCAAGGAGTAAAACGACAATTCTGTTGACCTTGAAAATGAATGGCAAGAAGGGTGCTGCCCAGAATATAGCGAGCGCCTGGGCAAAAATGTAAAATACAACTTGTCCCTCCAAATACTCCTGGAACATCTTATCAAAGCTAGCAAGCATAAGCTCACCGTTGCTGTAAATTAGGTAGGAGGAAAGCGGGACAACAATCAAGAACTGGATCAACCAGTCATAACTGAAGGACTTGGTCTCGTGGACCTCGCACTGCTCTGAGAAACCTGAACCCAACGACAAAGAGGAGCCCACAGAGACGTCATCTTGAGAACCGTAGTTTCTCTGATTTCTCTCGTATTCCTGATCGTGGTGCTCGTTCGAGGTACCCAAGAGTGGAGCAGACTCCTCCTCAGTGCCCTTTGGCTTTGGAGACCTCTTGAAGTTCCATCCGAGCAATCCAATGATAGCAGCCAAGGCCTGAAGGAAGAAAATAAAGCCCACGTGGATCTCTCCGGTGTGATCCGACGATGAGCGGATTTTGATAGTCGAGTAAAGCAAACCGATCCAGGTGAAAAATGAGATTTCAATAATACTGATGAGCTTCTCGTCATGGAAGTGGCCCTTGAAAGGTCTCAAAATCGCATTCAAACCATTCAAAAAGCCGTAGTTGAGAAGCAAGAAGAGCGAAAACAACGTAAACACAAACAGATCTTTTGAGTTGTTCATGAAGAATGGGTTGATGGGGACGAGGATCACGTCAGTAATGAAGTTCAAAAGAATGGCAGACAAAACGACCGAGATAGGAAGCTTGATCACATTGACAAAATTGACATCCCAGTTCTTCTTGTATCTGAAGATGAAAAATACCAATGGAATGCTCACCAAAGGCGCAATCACCAAGAGAACAATGTTGAGAATAAACACGGTATTCATGGAGATGAGGATGTAGTTGTTGAAGATCGAGGTGAAGCCTGCTGGTTCCATTTGACTCTCCGGGTCGGAGTCCAAGCCGATCAGTTTGAAAGCCACTTCCTTGGTGAAGTCAAGGGCAGTAGACAACATGTGCCACTGCGACAAAATGCTGACGCTGGCCACGCTGTCTCTGGTTGTGTGGTATAAGTTTCTGGGCTTGTGGAAGGCAACATCAAGACCTCTCAAATGGCCCTTTTGTTGGTACACGGTGAAATCTGTGTCGCTGTGCACAAGGCCGTTATTGAACCCCTGTTGGAAGATGGACGAGGCGTAAGGGTATCTCACGGCGTTGTAGAGAGACAAGACACCGTGGTCTGTACCACGGAAGAGAATTGCCTTACCACCAGCGCCAGTGCCTTCCAAATTGAGGAAGTACTTTGTCTGCTTGTACCAAGGATGGAACAAGAAGGCCTCGGCGCCGTACAAGCCAAACTCCTCGTTGTTGTTGAAGTTGAAGATGACAGTTCTTTCGGGCTGGTTGGTCTTGTGGGAGGTCAAGTAGTCGAGCACACCCAAGAGAGACGCAATTCCCATTCCGTCATCAGTCACACCGTAGGAGGAAGGCACCGAGTCAAAATGTGCACTAAGCAAGAGCGCCGGCAACGAAGGATTGGTACCGTTGATACGTGCGAGCACGTTGTTACTCTCGTAGTACGTAACAAGTTTGCCCTTGGCCAGTGGAGACAGGTACATGATTCTGTTTTCACCATCCAAGTCATTTTCGTGCTCGGCCCACTCCTTCCGAGCGACCAATTCCTTCACAGTTTTCTCGAGATAATCGTGGACCTCGTCATTGGCCTTCGACGTGTAGGTGTGTTTCTTTCTGGCGATAACCTGGAGATGGAGCCACAGGGAATCCAATATCTGCTTCTCCTGGGGGTCAGTTGGCAACGAAACCGAGGATTCCAACGACAAGTCCAAGTTTGTGAGGAACACGGTGGCAACCACAACAAGGAGTGTCAAAAACGTCAATGTCGTTTTTCTGTAGCGAAACAATGACCTAAACAGCCTCACAAACCAGTTTGCTCTGGGCTGTTTTCTGCCATTGCGAGGAGCAGGGTGCCTCTTATTTTGAGCCGGGGTCTGGGGGGTCCGGGGGTCGTCACTGCTGTCGTTTCGAGGCAGCGCTACCGAAGAAGCCATGTTTATGGAAGTTGTTATGGGGATAATTGCTGGTATGCACCTCTTTGGGTGAGTGTTGACACCCGTACACCACGGAGACCCACCTCCAAGTCCGGTGCTCCGTGTCCCCCGTGTCCAATTTGTTCAGTTTTTTCAGGTATTTGGGGAATTGTCGTTGCTGTCGTCCTGTCAATATTAAAATTTCTTCAATTGAAGGCCTGAGTGCACAGGTTACGCTGTGCTCGGATGGCTGCGAAAAGCAGCGGAATGCTAGTGTGGGGCATCACGAAAGCATATTGTGAGCCCACGGAGGCTTTGGTGTTTTCATATTGTGTTGATATTGAGTGTGGCGCGTGCAGAGGGAAGAAGAAAAAGTGGTTACTTTTTAGTGGTGTCACATTGTGTCTTGGGTGCAGTTGCCCTGTGCTACTGGATGTATAGATAACAGGGAAGTCGTAGATCTTGTGGATTTGATGATGGAGTTGGTATCTCCGAAAAGTAGGTTTTAGCCCCACATAAACATTTCCAGACAATGGCGATCTGCCTGCCTCGGATCCCGAGATTGAAGCGGTCTATTGGTTAGCGTACGGTAGGAAGATGTAGATGGGTTAGGGGTTAGGGGTTCTGAATTCTGTCGTCACCTTAGAATGGTCAGCTATCGCCGTAAAAGTTGACGAAGAACGTGATTGACCAATGTGATGTGTTGAAGGGGTTGAAGGGTGGTAGCTACTTTCCTCTATAAGCTAATAGTACTAAACCTGTCATGATGAGGGAAAGGACTCGAATGAAGGAGGCTTTTGGAGGAAGAATAGTGAAGAAAGGGCCACAATGGCACAAAGAATACTATGCACTTGTAGAAGCACTGGACTGGGGACTTCTCAATGGATTACCTGTTTAAGTATTCCCTTCACCATTCAAACCTCTGGAAAAGGCAACCGAAAAGGCAACCTCTGGAAAAGCAACCTCTAGAAAAGGCAACCTCTGGAAAAGCAACCTCTAGAAAAGGCAACCTCTGGAAAAGTCAATTGCCATCCGAATCGTTTTCGACTGGATTGGTGACCCTGCACTCATACACCTCCCTCACCACTTCCACATTTTTGCAACCATTTCGCACAAGCATGTTTCTTCCTCTTTTCGTCCTATGGGCCAATTTGGCACCTGTTCTCTCATCCATAAGCCCCATTTCCATCCACGGCCGCTACTTCATCGACCTGGTCTCCCAGGAACCCGTATGACCGACAAAACCACAAATCTCCTTCTCAACTAACTCCAGTTCTTCATCAAGGGAGTAGACTACCAACCAGGCGGTTCTTCAGCCACTGACCAACACAGCGATCCGCTTTCGAATCCCGATATCTGCGCCCGTGACATTGCCTTGTTTCAGCAGCTCGGCATCAACGTATGATCCACCGTCCTTATCTCTCTTCTCTACTAACCTCAGACCATCAGGGTATACTCTGTGTATCCAGACCTCGACCACGATGTTTGCATGACGCTTCTTGCTCAGGCAGGCATGTACCTTGTTCTCGATGTCAATCTGCCTCAGCAGTTCCGCCACCTTAACAGGTACGAGCCTTGGTCAACATACAACACCGAGTACTTAGAGAATGTGTTCAAGGTGGTGGAGCAGTTTGGCGGGTACAACAACACGCTAGGCTTTTTCGCTGGGAACGAAATCGTCAATGACCGTGTTTCCGCCAGAAACTCGCCTCGTTACGTCAAGGCGGTGGTTCGTGATATCAAGCAGTATATTGATGCCAACTTGGACAGGAAAATCCCCGTGGGCTACTCGGCCGCCGACGACTTGGACTACAGAATATCCATGTCGCTGTACCTCGAGTGTGTGGACGAGTCTCCATTTGATTCTGCCGATTTTTACGGCGTCAACTCGTACCAGTGGTGTGGAGAACAAACCTTCTATTCGAGCCGCTACGACAAGTTGGTGGAGGACTACGCAGAGTACACACGGCCTGTTTTCCTCTCGGAGTACGGCTGCAACGACATCACTCCTCGCAAGTTTTCCGAGGTTCAGGCCATCTACTCCAACGACATGGTGGGCGTTTTCAGCGGAGGACTCGTTTACGAGTTCACGCAGGAGCCCAACAACTATGGTCTCGTGGAGGTTTTGCCCAACGGCGACGTCCAGCTTTTGGACGACTTCATTGCGCTCAAGTACCAGTTTGAGCATCTTCCAGAGCCCACCTACGGCGTCATGACTCGGTATCTTCTTGCGAATGAGATGCAGTTGAGGAATAGCAAGAAGCAGCAGCAGCAGCTGGCTCAGCCCTTGTGTAAAGGTGAATTCACCAATTTGGCAATCGAGGAGGGAATGCCGCTGAATCCTGCGGTGGAGCTTTTGGGTGGCATCGCTGCTCAACGAGGGAAGTACGTCAAGCTAGATGAGTCTCAGTTACGCTCTTCCAAAAAGGTTTATGGACCTTCAGGAAAAATGTACTTGGCGGCGCCAACGGTACAGATTGTGGAGGATACCACTCTGGCGCCTGACTCGGGAAGAAGAAGAATTCCCCTGACTCCAAACCACGGTATGTTGCACCTCGGCCTGATTCGACAAAGAATCGCCTTGCTTCTCCGAAAGGGCTTTCACCGAGTCCACTACTAACCAGCAGCGTCCCTTTTGCGGCCTTCCATCGTCATTGTCTTGTGCGGTTTGGTATTCCATCTATTTGTCTATGCAGAGGTTTTCTAGTGTCTCCCTTTTCTGGAAAACAAGGCGGTCCAGGCGTGATCGTAGATGTTCACAGAGCACTTTGGTTCGCAGAGAACAGGAGCCAAGATGATGCCCCATTCGTGGGGAGCCAATGTTGATATCTTTTTGGTGGCCTCCTCCAACGTGAACCCACACTTTACGCATGTGTGCATCACCTTGGGCCGCTCCTTGATCACAATAGTAAGATTAGGCATCTGCAGCAAGTACCGTAGAAAATACTCAAATGTGTTTTTGGACGGCTCGACCCAATCATCCTCGGGCTCCTCAAGCGAGGCCAGCTCGCTATCTTCAACAATCACATCCAAGGGGCGGTTCTTGTGCTGGTGGGAGAAGTCATGAAACAAGTCAAAGTTCACAAGCACGATTTCCTTGAGATCGCAGTAGCCGCCCTGGCCAGAGCACACAAGCTTGAAGAAGTTGTTGAACTTGGCGAAATTAAATGTCTTGTTTGCGTTTTCGCTGGTGAAGAACACCTTGGAGCTGATATCGATGACGAGCCGCTGGAGGTGTCCGTTTGGCTTGACAAAATCAATGAGGGACAAGTCTGCGCCGGTTTGGATGTCCAAAAGCAGAAGCAGGCGGGTGTTGGTCAAGATGTTGATGCAGCGCCGTTTCACCGTCTTTTTGGCGTCACTGTAGATACAAGCATTGGCGACGAGCGAGTCCACCCAGATCTTCTTCTCCCACGAATCGCTCAAAAGCTTGCCCTCGTTGATGACGAATTTGTTCAATTGTAGCTCGTTGATCTGGCCGAACACGTGGGCAAAAATCAGCATTTGGCCGAGCTTGAAGGGGATGGTCCAGCCAGACTGAGCCGTCAAGGTGAGCTTCTCCAATGTACGGGAAGGTGCCTGGCGGCGAAATGTAAATTTGGATGTCAACAGCAGCGTAGACGCCATCATGTATTCCGCTGGAAACTCAAACTGAGGCGAAATCTCACTGAGTGTCACTTCCTTGAGTCCATAGGCCTCGTTCAAAAGACACTTGAAACTGGTCACCCAGGCGTCGTACTTGGATGTGCTTCTGCTGACGTTTTCCACGCTGTAGGTGCCGGCGATTTTCGTCAGGCTGGCCTCCATATCGTTGGTAGGCGGGTTTTTGAAGTGCACTGTTCGTATGTAGTTGATCATGGAGCTCGGCTCATTGAGACCAAAGCGTCTAGCCAACGAGGCCCTCAGAGACAAATGAGCAGCGGCAAACCTCAAAAAGTGAGACGTCAGCTTGAAGAAAACATCCTGGTAAATGAAGTTCTTGCACACGATGTGGTGGAACTTCTGGCACAGTAGCGAAAGAACAAGAAGCGTTTCAAGTGGGAGCTGGCTGAAAATGGCAAGGAGAATTTCATAGGGAAGGGAATGCAAATGCGATAACGGGTATTTTGGCGATGTCTTGGGACTGGCGACCTTGCGCCGGCCCATAAGCTGGTACTTTTTCATCACTGAAGCATAAAAGAAGAGTAGGTGCTTCGAGAGCCACAGCTGGTCTGCAGGATTCCGGGGAACGGTGCCCGTGGAGGTGTTTCAAAAATGGGGGTGGATTGGGTTTTTGAATTTGGACGGTGGTGGATTTAGGCAGGTTTTGATGGTGATGCTTAGGTTGCACAAAAATGCCGTTGATATCGATTAGGCGAAGGTGCTTGGCATATGCCATTACACTTCCTTTTTCGTCGAGACCCTTTCGCAGCCACGAGGTGGTGAAGGAAAGTGATGTGAAGACTTCATGGTTGAGAGGTTGAAAAAAAAAAAAAAAAAAAAAAAAAAAAAAAAAAAGAAAGAGCTAATTGAATTGAGAGAAGCTGGTTTTGAGTTGAACATATAGTATAATTGCATTGTGGTGGGTTGTTTGTTGTCTTCAATGGAGGGTCGGCTCTCGCCTGACATTTTGAAAAATTGTGGTTTCACCAATATGAGGCTGAATAACGGCGAGATCTGCGTTTAAGACGTGTTAATTGCTCGTGTTGCTTTTGCAGCGTATTATTTGACGCAGAGAGGTTGATTGCAAGTTGGAGGTTTTGACAAGAGAGCGGATGTAAATCTGAGACAGCATTAGTCAAAAACCATTCTTGTTGAAGAAAGCTGAAATTGGTAAATCTCGGTTTCAACGCTGGCAGGTTCCGTCCATCGAAAATTGGACATTCCAGGAGGCGGGTGGCTTTTTCATTGATAGCACTGGAACAATACACCCTACAATATGCTACAAAGGAGTGAGATCTTCTCCAAGTGAAGGCGCCTCCAAATATTATGAGGGTGAAAAGACCGTCTCAGATTTCAGTATTGGCGTCTTTTGGGAGATTTACGAAGTGTATGGTCGACTGACCCGTCAGTGGTCCTACCATTACCTTCCACTACTCACTAAAGCTCAACCACAGTCACTCCTATTATCCAATTTTTTCCAATTAAGACGCCGATTGTACAATCGAGGAGCCAAGGCTTCCTTGCTTCTAGACTCGTGGATCTTTTTCACCTCGCTGCACTATGTTGCAGATTGCAACATCCAGCTAGTTTACGAGCACCTCAATCCATAATCTATCGCCCTCTTAAAGCAATAATTCAGTTGCCTCAATAAAGCAGTAACGTATCAACTAGGAATAGAAGAATGAAAACGATGACAAATTTATCTGACCCTCGTTCATCGTGAAGCTGTGATCCTACTCTATGGCTGCAAACGAGAAAGAGTACCACCAAGCCATCCCACCACACTCCACGAAAAAACAAAAACATCCGTAAACCCTTCAATCCTATCACAAACAAGCATCAAAAAACCAAACAACATCAAACTCTCCTCCTTGTCTTCTTCTCCGGACCTACCCTCCATCCCGCGGTACGGGTGCAACATATCAGACCTCTTCTCCAAACCAACACTTTCCACAATATCATGGCATACGAGCAGCGTGAGCTCCTAGAGCGGCTCATGGGCAAAGACGCCCTTATACTGCCGCAGGTGCGCCGCAAGGAGGTGGAAATCACTTCGCCTAAAGTTTGCAAGGCATTTCTTGTTGGAACATGCCCTTACGATCTTTTCGATGGAACCAAGTTGAACATTGGCAAGTGCCCGAATTTGCATTCCGAAAAACACAAGCTAGAGTACGAGTACCGTGTGAAGAAGCTGGGGGAGAAGTTCCCCGAGTTCGAGTTTGAGTATTTCAAGACATTGAAGAAATGGCTTGCAGAGATTGACTTCACCATCACCACAGCATTGAAAAGACTAGAACACACCCCTGAAGAAAAACAGAAAATTGCCACCGTGACGCGTCAGCTAGATGCTGCTGATGTGAAAATCGGCCTCATGGCGCTGGAAATCACCCATTTGGGCCGTGCAAAGGAAATCACCATGGCTCTCAAACAAACCATAGCTTTGGAAAAGCTCCTACGAGAAAGAGAGTCCTTGGCAGAACAGGCGAGAGTGATTGCAGAAAACGTGGGCCAATCAGCACAGCAGAAGCTCCAGGTTTGTGAAGTTTGCGGTGCTTACTTGTCCCGACTCGATAATGATAGACGATTGGCAGACCACTTTGTGGGCAAAATCCACTTGGGGTACGAGCAGATGCGTACCGAGTACAATGAAATGAAAAAGAAGTACGGGTAATACTATTTGCGGGCTCAATCGGCCTTTTCGGCTTTTTCGTCCTTCTCGATATCCAACTTGAGGTTACCCACTTTAGCCTGTGACTTGTAACCGAGAGCGCTTAATCTGTCGGCCAAGATGGGGTGGGAATGGTTGTAGGACGAGAACAACCAGTCGGTGTTCATCGAGCTCAAGTTCTCGGTGGACATGGTGATCAATGAGGTGGCCAACAAGTCCAGGTAGCCCTGGTCCTTGGCAAAGCCGTCAGCCTGGTACTCGTTCTTTCTGGAGATGAGGTTGTTGAAAAACTGAATGGCGCAGTTCACTGGGGAGCTCACATAGGAGAAAAGGACGAATGCAATGATTGGTGGGGCATTGGCGGCAAAGTTGAAGGACTGGAAGAGCGACTTGTTGGTTAGAAAAGCGGAGAACAAAAGGAATGTGAGGGCAACGGTACCTTGCGACACAGCCAACATCTGGGGCAAGTGGTTCAACTTCCAGTGGCCAATCTCGTGGGCCAAGACAGCAACAACCTGGGGCACAGAGCTCTGTTCAATCAAGGTGTCGTAAAGCAAAATCTTCTTACTCCATGGCAAACCAACAAACATGGCGTTAGAGTGAGCGGATCTGGTGGAGCCGTCCATCACGTACAAGTGGGTGAGCGGGAAGTTGTTTCTCTTTGCCAAGGCCTCGATCTCGGTTCTCAACTCGCCTTCTTCCAAAGGCGTCATTTTGTAGAAAAGGGGAAGAATGAAGGTGGGGAAAATAGTCATGATAATCAACAGCGCAGCCAAGGTCAAGCCCATGGCGTACTTGACAAAGCCAGGGCCGTAGGCGTCGACAATTCTCAAGAACAAGTAGATGAACGGCGTGCTGATGGTCAAGCCGAGCGTGAGGGTCTTCAAGGAATCCTTGACGAAGGTGCTGAGGGTCATCTTGTTGAAGCCCCACTTCTCCTCAAGAACAAAGGTTTTGTAGTAGGACAAGGGCAAGTCCTCCAAGGAGGAAAGAATTGTGTTGATAGCGTAAAAGACAATGCTCTGCAGCATGATACTAGTACCAAACAAAGCACCAATGAACTTGACACCACCCAAACGAGCAGAAAGACAGCCAGCGACAGACCAGAGGCGAGGCAACACATCAAACTTCACGACGGCCAACTCCTTCAACAACTCGACAGCATCAGAGACAAAAGTGAACTTGGCCTTCGAACGAGAGTAAGCCTGGGCTTTGTGAAACACTTCAGGCGAGATTTCTTTCTCGATCGACGCTGGAGCCTTGGTACGTTGGTACACCTGGTATTGTCTGTAGTTGATGTAGGTTTCAAAGGCGTATTTGCCGACCAAGAGGGAGGTCACGATGGCCTTCCAATTGACATTGGGGTTGTCCAAGAAAGACTGGGGTTAGAATGTGGTGAAGAGGGGGTGAAAATAAGGGACATACTGTGACAGACTCGAACATGGTGTTGTCTATCAGACGTGTTATATCTCGATCGGATAATGTGTGAGGTGCACGGGTGTCGGCACGGCCTCATTCGTAGTGCAATGGTCGAATGATGGAAATGGTAGTGAGGGGGGTATTGATAATGATAATGTAATTCTTGATTTTCAAAAGGGTCGTTTTAGCTTGAAGCCCCAAAATTGAGTGTAGACGAACGAGATTTCAAAACTTTAGTTCACCGTTGGCACTTTACCCAAATCGGTGAATCATAATTCGAAATCTTCTTATTCCGATTAACTGAGGCTGCCAGCTAAATCACAGGTGCAACTGGCTCTATCGCACCTCAATAGCCAGCATCTGGTGTCCAAAAGAACCACATAAACCTTATAAAGATCCCCACAAAACATCCCAAAAATTCACAAAATCTTCAAATCCTCAAAATCGCTCCACCCGCCGAGTCAGAAATCCTTTTCACAAGCTGGTCCTTTTTCCTTGGACGACGTTTCGTTTCTTGTGCCATTATGGACCTGCGGGTGGCTGCGAAAAAGAGAAGTAACTAAAAGCTGCAAGCCCTGGACAATACAGCCCAGGCCAGGAGCACCAATGATCCAGAAACTGAAGCTAACCTTCAGAATCCCAAATGAGCATTTTCCCTTCCTCGCATTACCCACCCGTTCTATGCAAATTCACGTTAAAATAGACTTTCACTTTTCAATCCACCACCTCCCCATTGTGCCTCGCATTTCCTCCTCAAACGCCGATCGTTGCAAGGCAAGGTGCTCGTACTAAAAAACGGCCCAGCTCGAGCTTGCCGAGGCCAAAAACACACAAACTCCGGAATCAGGCTATTTTCGTGCGTTTCCCAAAAACACCCGTAGGGTTTGACGAGTTGACGACGTTGGTGCCCTGCGGCGCCAAGATCTCTGGACCAATCCGCTTTTTCGCAGCCATTTTGGCGCAGCCACATGAGGCGCCCTCCAGCAGGGCATCCAGAGATCTGAGCTTCACGAGAAGAAAAGAAAAGGAAACAATAATTCAAATCCAAGTTTTTTAAGAAGCAATCCTTTTCTTTTCTTCAAGTTCCCCCTGGTTCACCTGGTACTTGCTCCAGCCGCGATAAGCTTCAGACTGCCTCACGCCGGACCACACCACATTCCTGCTCATCCCCCAAGGCGAAATTGCCGAAATCTTGAAAAATAAAATTCTGCTGACTTCCAAACTTCATTTTGAAATCGTCCCCAGCTACGCTACTTCGTCTCCATCCACGCTTTTTCGTCTCCATTTACCCTACTTGGACTCCTGATCTGGTACCTTATTTCTGCAGGCCTCGAGCCCTGAAGGCCCTTCAAAACCCACCAAAACACCCTCTAACCCTCAAAAAAAGACCGTTGCCGTGAATTTCAAACCCACTTTCGGCGCCATTTTCCCTCAGCTTTTCCCAATTTCACCCCTGCCCTGCCGCCCTACTCCTCCCATTGTCACATTCCGACCTACTACTGCCGCGATTTTCCATCTTCAACCACCACCATGTCTGAGCTGTGGAAGATCAACCGTATTCTAAATGAGCTCATGACGAAGCCGCTGGCCTCCAGAAACAGGCTCGACGCCTCCACCACGTTGCAGTATGCGGCGGCCTTGAAACCAAACATTTTGGCCTCCGAGGACCAGGACAAGGTCAACTCCATTCTGGTGCTAGCCAAACTCTTGCAGTGTACTCCAGGAGCTGGACCGCTAGACTTGCTGCTGATCTTCGACGAGGAGCTTTTCGGAGTGCTTTTGGAAACGGCTCGAAAGACAAACTCGCCCGACTTGTACCGAGCCATTCTCTCCATCTGTCTGACTTCCATAACAGGCTCCATCTACCCACCCCAGGCGAACGAAAGCTCCATTGACGTCCACCTCCCGCTCTACAAGGCGCTTGTGCTGCACTTGGACGCCATCGACATGTTCACCGCCAAATTGTACACGGCAGATGTGAAAACGTTGCTTTACTCGGTCCACTTGGTCACGGGCTTGATCAAGCGGGCTTTGAAGTTTAAGTATGACAAGATCATCACTTTGGCGGGCCGTTTGAAGCATGTCAAGTTCTTTGCCACCGTTTCCAACCTGGCGGACCCTCAGGACCAGATTCTCCAGGAGGCCATTGCCCAGTTGGAGTACTACTACTTCTACTTGAACGAGTACCTCTTGAACACGACGTTTGATCTTTCCATCGACTCCCACAAGGTCATGATGCGCAATTTGTTCGAGTTCTTGGACGTTTCGCTCAACGAGTTCGGTACCCCTGCTCTGACGGCTGAATACGTTAAAGCTGGTTTCACCGCTGACCCTGAACAGTACATTGCCGACCACTTCTCCATCTTGTTGGCCATGGACCTCAAGATCTTCTTGAAGGACCCCAACATGACGTTCAAAAAGCGCTTCCACGAGGAATTAATCATGAGCGACCACAACAGAACTTTCCCATTGAACCTCTTTATCAGCGAGTGCACCAAGCTCTGGGTGGCCGTTTTCCACGACAAGAAACGCTACGCCCGCCTTAATGTCCACATTCTCTCCTGGGAGCTCATGATCTACTACTCCATGTTCAACTGCTTGCTTTTGTGGCAGGACACCAAAGCCCAGCTTGAGAACAACGAGGACATGACGGGAATCGTTAAGCTTCTCCTGGCAAACGTCAAGTACTTAGAAGAGAGTCTCGGCCAGGATGTCTCGATTGAGGACGCTTTGGAAGTGTTTTCTCGAAGAACGTCCGAGCAGATTAGACACTACCAGATTCTCGAGATGAAGAAACTCCACAATGCCAAGTGGGCTCCGTATTTTCTGGAGTTTGACCGCACGTTGCAGAGTGAAGTCATGGAGTTTGTGTGTGAACAAAGAGTCATGCAGCTTTTGAAAGGATCGTGGGTTCTTACCGAGTCCCACGCCGAAAAGCTTAAAAACAAGTCTGCTGTGGCCGACAACAGCTACTACTTCCTCATGCTCAGTCCGAACAGAAAGGCCATTTTGTACAAGCGGTTTGCCGAGAAGCCCACGTTGAAACCTTCTTTGGAAGAAATGGAGGCTCTGTACGTGGAGCTCAAAGACATTGCACACTACTCGTCGGTCAGAATTGGCCAGTCGTTGGGTGAAGAAGAAAAGGCTAAACACGGCAGGTTGATTTCCGTCAAGGGCTCCATTTGCTACGAAAGACTTACACTTCTCAACAAAGCCGACAGACCTTTGCTTACCTTCTTTACGGATTCCGAAATGAAAAAGGCTGTGTGGCTTGATGGACTCAAGATGTTGAAGGGCTCCTTGGGCTTTAATGAGCTTTCCGCCGAGACTTCGAGCCAATTGGCCTCGCTCAAGGATATTAGAAAAAACACTCAGCTTTTAGTGCTTGAAGGTCAATCCTTTGCCAACGTGGAGTTTGATAATGAAAGCGACGACGACCTCTACGACCTTGCAGAGTTGAATAGAGCCACCGAGGGCTTCCACTATGCCTAGACAATCAATGAGCTTACGTGATCTGGACCAATACAAATAGACATATATATAGGATGGAGCGGGGTGTAGAGCTAAAGGATTTTGATTTTCAGATTTGGTCTGGCGGTTGAAGAGTGGTTATTGGGTTGATATGGGGTGCACGTGCCGGGTCACGTGACATTTTCGAGATGAGATGCCTCTCTATTTTCGACTCCATATCAGCTACTTGATCTACACGAAATGGCCAAAAAAACAAAATCCCAAAAGGCCAACGGCAATGGCGCGGTCCGGGCCAAGCAGCCAAAGGATGACCTCATTATGACGATAGATAGTGACTCGGAAAACGAGGCACCTGTCGAAGAGCCCTCCGATGAGGAGGAGGAAGAGAAGCCTAAGGATGACGAAAACAAGGAACACGACGACATCAACCCCAATTTCCAATTTTCTCTTGACGGTTTTGAAACGACAAACACCGCTGACGGATGGGATTTCCGTGTGGCGGAGGAGAAGACCGAAAACAAGAGGAAGGATGTGAACTTGGACGATATTTTGAGATCCAAGGGTGGTCTTACAGGACTTGTAGGGGGTGAAGAGGCTGAAGAGGAGGAAGAAGAAGAGGAAGATGAAGAGGAAGAAGATGATGATGAGGAGGTTGAGGAGGACGACGACGAGTTGGCATTGGACGGTTTTGGTATGAATGCACAGAGTGGGGATGAAGAGGAAGAAGAGGAGGAGCAAGTCGAAGAGGAAGAGGAGGAGCCTGTTTCTGATAATGAAGATTCCGACGAAGACGAAGATAAGGACTCCGCCGAGGCAATCGCCAAGTTCTACGAAAAAGCAGAAGAGTCCCAAACCCACACTACTTTCCAAACCCTTGATCTTTCTCGTCCCGTCCTCAAAGGTCTTGCCAACTTGGGCTACACAAAGCCATCTCCCATTCAATCGGCCTCCATTCCTATTGCCCTCATGGGTAAGGACATTGTGGCTGGTGCCGTGACTGGTTCTGGTAAAACCGCCGCTTATATGATCCCGGTGATCGAGCGTCTTCTTTTCAAACCTACCAAAGTGGCCTCCACCAGGGTCATCGTTTTGACGCCTACCAGAGAATTGGCCATTCAGGTTTGCGATGTGGGTAAGAAGATCGGCCGTTTCATCAACAACTTGTCGCTTGGTTTGGCAGTTGGTGGTTTGAATTTGCGTCAGCAGGAGCAGCAGTTGAAAACGAGACCAGATATTGTGGTTGCCACGCCGGGTCGTCTTATTGACCATATCCGTAACTCTGCCTCGTTCTCCTTGGACGCCTTGGAGATCTTGATCATGGATGAAGCCGATAGAATGTTGGAGGAGGGTTTCCAGGCTGAATTGACGGAAATCTTGACTTTGATCCCCAAGCACCAGAGACAAACCATGTTGTTTTCCGCCACAATGAACACGAAAATCCAGGACTTGATCCAGTTGTCGTTGAACAAGCCCGTGAGAATCATGATTGATCCTCCTAAAGCTGCTGCTACCAAGTTGGTGCAAGAGTTTGTTCGTATCAGAAAGAAGGAGGAGATGAAACCAGCGCTTTTGTTCCATTTGCTCAAGCTTTTGGACCCTGCCCAGCAGAACCGTACCGTTGTGTTCGTTTCTCGTAAAGAGACAGCCCACAAGCTCAGAATCATTCTTGGTTTGCTCGGTATGAAGGTTTCCGAATTGCATGGTTCGCTTTCTCAGGAACAGCGTCTTAACAACGTGAGCGATTTCAAGAACTTGACGGTGCCTGTGCTTATCTGTACGGATTTGGCTGCTCGTGGTTTGGATATTCCCAAGATCGAGATGGTGGTCAACTACGATATGCCCAAGACTCACGAAATCTATTTGCACAGAGTCGGAAGAACCGCCAGAGCAGGAAGAGAAGGTCGCTCTATTACATTTGTGGGTGAAGCTACTGCTGACAGAAATATCGTCAAGGCCGCTATTAAGTCTTTGGAGAATGATGGAAAGAAGAACGGCAAGGCTGTTTCGAGAAACGTGGAGTGGGACGAGGTTGAAAAAATCCAAAAAGTCGTCGAAGAGAAGAAAGACGTTGTGGACGAGGTTTTGGCGGAGGAAAAGCTGCAGAAGGAGCTTTTGACTGCCGAGATGGAGTTGGCCAAAGCAGACAATCTCATGAAATACGGGAAGGAAATCCAGCTGAGGCCCAAGAGAACGTGGTTTGAGACCGAGGCCGAGAAGAGAAAGCACCAATCCGAGGCCATGCAGCAGCTCACAAAGAACAAGCACAATCTTAATGCTAAGAAGAGAAAGCAGAAAGAAGGAAAAGAAGACGGCGGTCGGAGCTGGAAAAAGACAAAGACCGTCAGAATGGCCGGCCAGGGTAAGCCCAGAAACAGCGGCAGCGGCAAAAAGAACAAGAAGAAGCACTGATTGGATGTTGGATATTTTGGCTGTCTTGGACAGAATGCATTGTACTTTACTTTGGCCCCGTGGCCCTCGCATTAATAAAATAGATCGGAAGTTGGTGTAGTAAGAAGGCAGTTGGGCTTTTCATGAATTTCAGGTTTGGAATTTAGATTCACTTGGGTTAATCATTTGTCTGTTGCTGGAGGATCAGCTCGTCATTGAGATGGTCCAGGAATGCCACCAAACAGCCAATTGGCTGTGGATTTCGTGTTGCAACTTTTATGTATTCCACCTTTAGCGACAATTCATGAAGTTTTAGTTTTTTTTTCTCAATATCCAAATTATGGTCTTCCTTTCTCGATCCTCGTATTCACCACTTCTCAGTGTCTTACATACGTTCACACTTTTCGCAGCCAGGGTCCACCTTTCAACAAAACCACAAACCTCCAAAAAATAAATAAACAAATAAACCAAAGACATCCAGTCTTCTCTCTCCTATCTATTATATCCCACAGCTTATTCTATTTGAAACACAGCGGTGCTTGGACCTACCTTCACTGCCTCCACGTGACCAGATCAGACATCAACACCGAGGCGGATGATCCAACCATTTCTACATCTACACCATGTCGTGGTTTTCCGGCTACACGCCGCTTTCAAACAATGAGAACGTGACGCTGCTCAGTACACAGAGTCCAGGCAAAATCCTCATCCAAATCCTCGTTCTTCAATGTTTCTACTACCTCACAGCCCTCATCATCTTCTATCTAGTGGCACTGCTAAACGGCTACGATTTCAGTGTGGACTGGATTTTCTCGTGGGAGCTCATTGAGCCTGACAATGCCATGGGGCTTATTTTGTTTGTCATGTGGCTCGTGGACACGTTACTCTGTGTGTTGTTCGTCACCATCTTGGTAGGTCGTTCCAAGTTGGCTTGGGACTTTGCCGTGACGGTGCATGTGGTCAATTTGGGCGTCGTTTTACTCTACACGGGTAAATTTCCTACCAGCTTGCTCTGGTGGTGCCTCCAGATCTTGTCTGCTGTGATTTTGGTGACGCTTTCGACGTACTCCACGCGATGGAAGGAGCTCAGGACCACCTTTTTCGACAACATGTTGGACCAGCAGGAAACGGGGCAGGTCAGGCATGAGGACATCCCCATGAAGGATTTGTCCCGGCCGCAGTCGTAGGTGGGATAAGTCAATTGGGAGTATTTAAAAACTGGCGATTGTGAAGGGGTTAGCTATAACAATGGAGAGCTTAGTTCCTCATCACCTTGACCACAACAATCATATGCGAAATCACACACCATCGAAACAATAGGTGATTTTGGATTTCTAGGTATCACGTTCGACTAGATGGTAATGGAGCGGGATACCAACCACTTGACCGGCCATAAAGGAGACGTAGTCTACAGAATTCTTGGATTCAACAAAGTACAGTTTACGGGCACGTTGCAATCTCCTCCTGCTCGACCCACTGTTCCTGAATCAGCCCTATTCACGCCTTGGTCAGTCGTTATTCCGTCCGACTTACGGTCCTCGGTCGACTCCCAACTACCACACTCTTGGCAATGCTGACACTTTCACTGGTGCCTTTGCTGCTACCCAAAAATAGGGTTTGTTCCTACACTGACTGCTCGCAACAATGGGCTCGAGGATGCCGTATGGTCGAAAACAGAGCCAACATTATCACAAGCAGCCGTTTGAGTCACCAGTCAAGCAGCATGGCGATACCGCTCAATGAGGCAACTTCCCGTGCTATCACCAACCATGGTCGGTCTCTAGATGGTCCGATCTCAGAGTGCGTAGGTGAAGTTACACAAAATGCCACCTCCCCCACAGTGGTCACACTACGAGTTCCAGAAAGCAACAACAAAAGTTTGGCAGAGTTTCCAATCATCAAATCGAAAACTCCCACAAATCACCACAATCGAAACTTGAAGTCAATCCTGACTTGACACGATCTCATGCTGCTTGGTCGCACCTACCCCCCCCCCCCAGGTTGCAGCCATCATTATCAACACCGGCCGAGGCTCTCCTCATTCCATTCTGGCACTTCACATGGCGGTGGAGAAGGATGATCCCTTACTTTGATCAATATTCCTAACGTATAAAGTATTGTATCTCGGAGAATACGGCCCCTCCTCGGTGAACATGTTGGCTGAGACCGGTCCGCCACGAGCACCGAGATACCCCACTGCGCGGTGGAACCCGTTTTCAGTAATGCTTGGGCCGCCATACATAAGCAGTCTGTTAGAGTCTATTGTTAACGCTCCTCGGCTTGATATAGTGCCCCATGGTATCACATGGAGGCCAGCACGGACTTTCGCGGGGGCTCCCCGCGCTCGGTGATTACAATATAAGAAGCCGATAGTTTCTCCTGATTTTCAAACGCCACCCCACGATGACTGAAGAATCGCTTGCTGAGGAGGGCTTTTACGGCTCCGAATTGTTTGACTTTATGAAACTGATTGTGGATGACGACCCCGATTTGAAAAAGAAGTCTATTGCCAAGGTGAACTCCGTGTGTGTGATCACCTTGAAGAACCCCAAGGGCGAGACCAAGCTGTGGTTGATGGACTTTAAAAAGGAAGGTATTGTCAAGAAGCTTGATGGCAAGCCACCCAAGAGCGACATCCACTTGACCTTGAAGGACAAGGATTTCGTGAAATTGATCAATAACGAGGCCAACCCTCAGAGAATGTACATGGGCGGCCGTTTGAAGATTAAGGGCAATTTGATGAAGGCTGCCTCCATCGAGCCATTCTTGCGTGAGGTTGACCCTCGTACCAAGCAAGAAAAGGCCAAGTTATAATTTCATATATTATGAGTGACACGAAATGTAGTGCGGTGAGGAGGTGAGGAGTTTCTCGCTGGGCGAGCCAGCCACCCCACCAAACAAAAAAAAAAAACACATGAGATACATAAAAATACAACAATAATTTATAACAATAATTTATTTCATTTCGTAATGCATATATTAAGGCCATAAATCTATTCCATGGACAACCAGTTACCGGTGGCGAGGGTGGTTGTCAATTGAGACACCTGGCGTGGTGGGTAACGCTCAGGCTCGGGGTAGTGGGACTCAAGCTTGTCAAACTCCATCAAGAATCTGGAGATCACATATGAAGCTTCAGTAATGGCAAACTGCTGGCCCAAGCAGATTCTAGGCCCACCGTTGAAAGGGAGGTACGCCCAGCCGGGCTTCAAGTTACGGTCGGCCCATCTCTCGGGTCTAAAGACGTGCGAGTCCTTGCCATAGTACTTTTCGTTTCTGTGTGTGCAGCAAACCAAGTAGCCGATACAAGTGCCCTTTTCAATGAACACGGGCTTGTCGCCGTTGGGGCCACCGCCTCTTGGCAACGTGGTGTGCTTGTTGGCAAATCTGTAGTTGACGGGCACGGCTGGGTACAATCTGAGCACCTCGTTGATCACGTACTTCAAGTAGGTACACTTTTTGAGCGTCTCAAACGTGATATCCTCGACATTGACATCCTGGCCCAGACCAAACTTCTCACGAATCTCCGTCTTCAACTTGTTGTAGATGTCAGGGTTTCTGGCCAACTCGAAGAAGGTGAAGGTCATCAAAGCGGCGGTGGTGTCTCTGCCGGCAATCATGATGTTCAACAATTGGTCACGCAACACAGCGGGGTCTCTAGTCTCCTTGACAAGCTCGTACAAGAAAATGTATCCGTCTGAAACCTTCTCGAGCTCGGCCTCGCTCATGCTAAGAGCACGCTTGACGTAGTAGTCGGCAAAGTTGTGGACAATCCTGGTATTCCTCTTGAAGTCCATTGGATTGTGGAACATGTACCACTTCTGCATCCAGGCTCTGGTGGACATAATCTCTTGGGCACGGTTGAAAGCCTCGTAGAACTGGAACTGGCCCTCAAATTCCTCGTCACGGTACTCGCCAATAGAGTCGTCCAAAAGACCGTAGACAGACTCACCAAACAAAAACTCGGTGGAGGTGTCAACGGTGAAACGGTAAAAGTACTCTTGCAAGTCGAATTTCTCGCCAGCATGCTTCTTGATGTGTCTGAACAAGTGCTGGACGTGCTTCTCCAAGGCCTGAGTGTGCGACACCTTCTCTCTGGAGAAGTTTGGTCTCAAAAGCGCTCTCGAGTGTTTCCATCCCAGGTAGTCCAAAGTGAAGACACCATCACCCAAAACGGGCTTGAAGTGGGAGTGTCTCAAGGCCAAGGCAAAGTCGTTGAACTGGGTGGCCAAAACGGCTCTCAAGTTGTCTGGATCGGTGGTTACGAAAAGGGTGTCACCGCCAATTCTCACTCTGTAGTTCTCGTGTTCTCCGTTCCAAATGGTCCACAACCAACCCACCAAGTTTCCCTCTCTTTTACGGGCAAACATCTCAAGAGCGGGTCTGGAATTGAACCAACCCGATTGTGGGATCCAGGGGGCCTCTTCGGCGCCAAACTTCTTTCTCAAGTAGAAAAGCTTAACTGTTCTGTAGAGCCAGTAGGCGAAAATCACCAGGAAAACGACGCCAGCGTAGCCTAGCACGCCGTACTCGGCAACCTGGGCATTGTGTCTCTGGATCGAGTCTGTAATATCGTGAACGAAACCCATGGTGATTAAGAAAAGAGATTAGACAGAGGGGGGATAAAGCAGGGCATTTATTAAGTTTTTAGAGCTGGCATGTGAATTACAGGCTTGGGGTAGGTCGAGGGGTGGGAGGCGACATTTGATAATGGGGCGCTGATACAGCGTGGTGCATGAGTGCAGGGAGGTGCAGGTGTGAGTGAGGGGATCGCTGACGGAGTTGCCTCTGTGTGCAGTACTGCAGTCTCGGAGCGGCACCAAAGCGACGTTTTCGTTAGAGTCCGAACGCTTGTGTGCAGTCGCGCATATTGGGCAGCTAATCTCGCGTAGTGAGAGAAACGTTGGTCAGAGAGGTTCACATGCCACGGACTTAGGACCCGATATCCCGGTTCTGTAAAAAAAAAACAATGTAGTAGAAGGAGAAGACTAAACGGAATTGGCTCCACTCATGTGAATGAGATTTTGCGGTTGGGCAGGGAGGCAATGGAATGTGACAGAATTTGTCAAAAAATGACAAATTATGGAATGTGTGGTTTCTAGACCCACATCCCATTCACCTGTCGCTTAGAGGCCTTAGTACCGTTAAAGTCCGCGCAGCCTATTGTTTCTGCACGGGCCTGTGAATTGCTCACACTAGGGGCCTTCATTTATATAGTTGCAATTGGCAGTGGATTGCTGGTTTGTATGGTTATGTAGAGGAGGACCAGATCGAGGACCGTGACGGCCGAGCCTTTAATCACACGGCGCTATTGTTGGAAATTTCATAACATGTGTGGAGGCGATTCTGTATTTGCCGCTTCTGTATCGCCGCTTCTGTATGGATGGTGATATTGAGGAACAGAATGTAGTAGCGACGCGAGGTTGCCATTGTGGGAGAGAGATATTCACATGGACGGTTGGAAAAGACGTTGGGCTGTTCTTATTGCTGGGGCGGAAGATCTTCCTGATTTGGGTTGTTCCGAGTTAGGCAAGTGGGGTGGCCGCCATGTTGGTTGGATCTAGGCGAGATGATATCTGAAGCAACGGTGAGATATGGACAATTGGGCGAGAGATTATCGAATTTTTTGTTTCCGATAATTGCATTACTTTTTTTTTTTCTTTGTCATCTCTGTATTTTTTTTGTTTACATAGCTTCTACGGTTATAGCCAGCGCCATATTTGGCGCCCCATTTGTTTCATATCATTGCTCCTCCAAATGCAGCTGAAATTCATCCGACGCCTAGATGTCGCTGGACGGACGGTGTATCCGATCGACTAAACGGGAAGCCATCGAAACGGACGCCTGTGACGAATCCATTGTGATTGTTGGGCAAACGCTCCTTTGTCTGGATGGCTCGCTTGTTCGTCCGGTTTTTGTTTTTGTGCTGGCTACGATGCTTTGGGTTCGCTGTGAAAACGGCAGATCAAAAAGTTATATGGGTTTCTGCTGTGGATTGTTGTATATTGAGGAGGATCCGCCCGGGCCGATCCAGAAACCACGTTGATCATAATGGCGTCGTTGCCCAGGCGGTGAAGGGGTCGAGGGGGGATAGTAATAAAAAAAAATAAAAAAAAGAAGGGAAGAGATCGAGGAAAAGCGGGGCTGCTTGGAGATGGATGGTTGTGTTTCAGAATCGATGTTTGGCGGGCTAGGTTGAGGGGTATTCAGGGTTACAACGAACGGGCCAATCAGGAACGCAATGCCAAAGACAGCACAGCTACTGAATTCCAAAGAGCCCAGGATCTAGATATTCTGAAGAGATCTGGTCCTAGCCCTCCATCGTTCAACAATCAGTGTTTGAAGACATGTCCATGCTCAGGCTTTCTTCAGTCACCCAAATCAACAACCAAATTCGCCTCCAAACTCAAAAACCCCTTCTTTAATCAACCCCCACCAACATCTCGTTTCCGGACCACTAGACACCAACTAGCGCAGTGCATGCCTCAACAACGGTCTGTGCACCGTGCTATCCAGCTTTGTGCCCCTGCCTTCTACCCTTCCTACGCCATCTGAGACATTCCGGTAAAAGCGAAACAGCGCCATGTTCACCAAATGCAAATGCCCCTGCCTCAGGAGAGAAAAGCTCAGCCGATGGTTTTTTCTTTTTTTTTTTTTTTTTTTTTTTTTTTTTTGATGAAGCAGTAGCTTCCCCTGCGGCAACGAATCCAAAATTCACTACGAATAATCTGATCCAGTTTTCTACCGAATCAGAACAAAAATCTGATCGGACCCTGGGCCAAATCTCAAAAGTCACTAACCTGAGTGTCTATCTCGTCTATATCTCGCACACTATTGTCCAGGGCTATGCTGCTGCACCTCATCCGACCGCAGGCATTGTTTGGTGCACCTGGCGCAGCTAGCCCTGGCGGAAAACCCCTTACAAATAAAGCTGTCGAGCGAAAGCTAATATGTAATTGTGGCCTCCGGCAAGCTATTTTGGTGTTTCTGGCTTTTTCCACACAAAATACCCCCAAAACTACCCCTTCCACTCGGACCCTCCTGATGAGGCGCAGCTTCTCCCCTGCATCCACAGACGTCAAAGATCGCTTCTATATAGGCCCGGCAGACCCACTACATCAACCACACACTTGCCTGTCTTTCCAGTAAGATGGGTTTCTCTTCCAAAGCGACCCTGGTGGTCCTGCTGCTAGCGGGCAAGTTCCGTCTGCCCACACGGCGCTTTCTACTACTTATAGGCGTCATTGTGTGGATCAACACCATCAACTTCTTTGTCTTTCACCACAGGCACCAGGCCTTGAACTACTTGACCAACAAGTTCAACCAGTTGAACCCGCTCAACAACTACGAGGGACACGCGATTCCGAAAAAGCTCGTGGACAGCATCACCGTGAAATACTGGCTCAACGAGGCCAAGATCGTGTCGGATCCTCGCCGCATAGAGATCCACTCGCTGAACTACGATGATATGCTTTCGGTGCATCCGCTCGAGGAGCTTTTGCAGTTGTCGTACGGGGACCGCTGTGACGCGTTTTTCAAGAACTTGTACGTGTCGTCCGAGTCCAAGTGGGTCATGGACGCTCCCGACCGGTTCCGGCTCGATATGGAGTACGAGATGTCGTGGGACGACTACAAGAAGAAGTACGAGGAGAGTTTCCGGGAGAAAATCGCCCAGGCGCAGGGCAAGAAGCCCGAGGACGTCGATCCCAAGAACATCCACGACGCCATCGCCAAGATCTACGATGGGCTCAAGGATAGGGCGAAGAAGGATGAAAAAGTGATGCTTGAGGAGATCGCCTTTGGGCGTATTTTCAACAAGTGCTACGTCACGCGGGACGACCCGAAGCAGAAGCAGAAGTTGAACAGATTTGCGTCGAGACAGGCCCGGCTGGTTGGCGGTTTTTCCGGCGGCCGTTTTGTGGAGTCTGATGCAGAGAGAGAGCTTTCTCCAGAGAAGTTCCCCAGCTGTGCCGACTTGGAGCAGAGAATGTACCCGTGGCTCTCGTACCAGTTTCCCGTTTACGAGCGGTATTCCGGGCAGGTGATGAAGACACCTCCGGAAACCAGCGGAGAGCACAGCGGAGAGCACACTAAAAGAAGCAAAGAACCTCTCCGATCCAAGCTCACAGGCAACAAACCGTGCTGGTTGAGCCAATACAAGAATAGGCTCCACGGGAAGGGCATTGCCATTCCGTTCGATACCTACCGCATGGACGAAATGGTCGCTCTTATACGACTTCTCCGGGCTCACGGAAACAAACTCCCTATTCAAATCGTTTCATATGGGCAAATTGAGGAGCACCAGAAACAGGCCCTTAGTGATGCCGCCCGTGAACCGTATGTGGATCTTCCGCCCAGCTACGTGAAGGTGGCAGAACACCTTGGCAATATCTTGGAATCCGAGGACAGAGGTCTTCGTTCTCAGGACGTCTGGTTTGTGGATGCACTGACGCTTCTTGATCCGCAGGTCAGAGAGGACTGGTCGGACTACCCGATTTCCATCTTGGCGACGTTTGCCAGTTCTTTTGAGGAGGTGGTTCTTATGGACCCCACGATCGTGCCGCTCAAGAACCCGGATTACTTCTTCAATCTCAAGGAGTACAAGCAGAAAGGCGCCTATTTCTACAGAGCCAAGCCCATGCACAAGCGGATGGAGAAGAACACAGACTTCTTCAAGAGAATGACGCCGTCTTTGATCGACACGGTTATGTTCAATATCCCCATTTTGACCGACCAGTCGCTCTCGCTTCCGTTTTTCGAGGGTCTTCAGGAAATGCAAGATGCAGCCGTCGCTGTTGTTGATAAAAAACGCCATTTCAACGCCATGGGGTCACTTCTCCAGCTCGGTGCTTTTTGGCCAGCAGACTACCGTGGAAGCGTGGCTCAGGAGCTCTGGCTCGGCTTCGTTGTTGCTGGCGACGAAGATTTCCATTTCAACAAGTACTTCCCTGCTGCTCTAGGTGATGCAGACCCGCTTGAAGAAATTGCTCCTCAGGTCTGCAGCACGCATACTGGACACTTGGATCCCGTGAGCACCAACGAGCTTGTTTGGATGACAGGCGGCTACGCTGTTTGTCCTGTAGGAGAACCTGACGTCAGTGAAGATTTCGGAAGGGCCTTCATTTGGCACACTTTCGACGGTCCGGACGAGATGGTGGAATACTACAGGAGCCGATTCAACCTAAAAGTTGCAATTGTGCCACCGTACGAAAACATCGACAGCTTCGAACTTAACAACAACGACGGCAATCCTGTCAGTCCCTGGCAATGGGGTATCGGGTGCCAGGGTAAGGTTCTCTGTGCCAATGGCGAGATCGGCGGCTCAACGGATCACGAACCCAACGTACAGAAAGGACAGTTTATCGAGTTTGACCCGCTCGAGAGAGATTTGCATGCCTTCTATGGCGATATCTACATGGGGATTCTGGGAACCAAGAACCAGTGAGGCGAGACGTTTCACCCATACACGACAAGAGAGGCTGATTCTTCAAGCAAGCCAATGAGCAGCACGGCTTGTGTTATCGTTGATGCAGAGAAACCCGGATTACCGCTGCCGTACAGCTAAGCGGCACGAAGCGCAAAAATGAAAAGTGGCGATAACGGCTTTCTCGGCTTTGACACCCGCAGGGTTCAGATAAGCTGTGGCGGCGCTGCAAGGTTACTGACGGCAACGGCTCGAATTGTGGATATTGACGTGAATCGGCAATGTCTACGCACTTACATAAGCATGAACTACACTATAGAGGGGCCACAGTAGTGAGACACATGTGATGGTGGGATGTAGTGGTTATGGTGAAAAGGGGTATTGCGGTTATGTGGGGATGAAGGTGGAGTAGTCGAGTCGGGATTTGTTGATTTGGGTTTCATTAGGTGGTGTAGTAGTAGGTTCTCCAAGGGTACCTGAAAAGTCAGTCATGACGTCAACAAAAAGGCGTCATGACCTTTTGTTGACGGAATGATGATTGTTGACTTCTCTGGAACTGCAACCTTGCGCCTTGGTTGGTTTTGTGGAGTTTTACTTCCCGGGTTTTGCGTTATCTTCAGAATCTACGTGGTTTGCTACACCCGGGGACCGACTCCAAAATCGACCATAAATTTTGAACTCGATTAGTTTTTACTATAATTCGAGAGTAATTGAAATAAAACGCTTAGTTCTCTTTTTAGCCTGCCCTCCTCGATAGTTACCTCACCACCCTCGGTTTTGCAGCCATTCTCAAACCTCACTTCACAAACCACTCACAAACCACACCAACCACCACCCCATTCTATTGAAATCTCTCAAAACACCTCTCCAATCAAATTGCATGTATCGCCCGTGTCTGGCCCCCAGCGGGATGTACTCGTATCCACCGGTTCCCTACAGTCATGGAAACCCAGCTTACGACGGATGCCCTTCACCAGGCCACACCTTCTCAGCGTGGGAACTCAGTGAATACGGACCGTACCACCACCTCAGCGAAGCATGTAATCCGTACCTTCCCAATCCGTTTCCTGGTTCGAAACGCTACAAGCCTGGCGATGTGTGGGAGGGGGACCCCCGGGTTCAAGGATATCCCAACCCTTACCAAGTTCACGGCAGCTTGAACGACAGTTTTGGCAACGGCAGCTTCAATGGAGCAATTGCCCCAACGTTGCCTATACCTGGATCTACAGGGTCCGGATGGGAAGGCGAATTCGGCTTCGACGTCAACGGAAACAGAGGATTCAAGGAAACAGGCTCCAACGGAAAAGAATGGCTCAATCTCGGTGTACCCAGCGACGACCATTTCTTGTTCAACCATGAGCCCGTAGTAGAGCGCTACACCAATGGGGTCCGGGACGAACCCACCAATTCCCACAAAAGACGACCCAGGCGCCGAAGACGACCATCTCCTCCGCCTCCACTAATTCCACCTCCTCCACAATATCCTCCTCCCCCTCCACCACCACTTCTTCCGAAAGCCAGATCAGCCGATGCCCTTTTACAAAGTGTCACCACGTTCTCCCCCACCGCTGCAGACCTCAACCTCCACGACAGGCACTTCTTTCCCAAAACCTACACGGAGGAGCGTTTGCAGGCAGTTCTTGCCGGAAACCACCCCATTGGATTGACGCCGTGATTGCAGAAAGCAACCATTGTCTGGAGCCGTGTGGGAGCCGCATGGGCACAGATTCGCCTACGTACGCGGCGTTGGCTACAATGGTGGAGCGGCTTCTGGAGAGTGGCTCTGACGAGGAGATCAGGAAAATCAGTCCCGCTGAGTGGTAGCCATGGCTGTGAAATTTCAACAGTTGATTCCACACTCAATTGCCCGGCTCCACAAAAGCGGACCAGCGTCAGGTACCAATACCTCTTGACATCCAAATAGCCGCCCACACATGGCCAAGAAAATGGTAGGGTGGAGCTGCCTCGAAAGTGTGTGTGGCTCTTTCCGAGCCGATAGCGGTTTTCTCGCCGGAGTCCACACTGGTGCCAGCGGCTCGGGTGGCTTCAGGGGCTTTTGCGTGGCTTGCTGGCCAGGGAAGGTGGATTTACGGGATTGTGTTTTCTGGTGCGTAGCAGGGTGTAGTTGGGGAAGACGGGAGGGTGCCGCATAGACGAGAAAAATATCCGCACGTCAAAGCTGTCAAACTGGCCCGGTGCATGCTTGACACATTTCGACAAAAGGCTCTTGGCGATAAGGTATCGACAATCAGCCGACGCGTCAGTTCCACCAGGGCCCTGGCGCATTTGCATATTCCGTCCCGGAGCCTGTTTACTTTCCAAGTGCATTCTTGCGCTCCACAGTCGCTTTAGACCCACCGCATGCGCAATACCACCACAGCTATAGCACCAAACATAAATAGGCCGGCTTTCCTCTCAATTCTCTTCATCCAACAATTCCCATGCTCCCCTTCCTCACCATCTTCTCTCTCGCTTTGGCCTTCACCAACGCCTTGGTGGTGCCTCACCAGAAACGCTCCGGTGCTCCACTCAAGCTCGACTTCACCGTGCAAAAGTCCTTTTCCAACGCCACCTCCACCGACGAGATCGCCTCCAGAGCGCACAATCTCGTCTCCCACTTGGCCGTGAACAAGAGAGAGGAGTCCGCCACTCTCACCAACGACAGAGATGTCACCTACTTGCTTGACCTCAAGCTCGGCTCCAACCACCAGCCCGTCACTGTTCTCTTGGACACAGGCTCTTCGGACCTCTGGGTGTACGGTCCCTCCGTGCAAGACGCCCAGGGTGGAACCTACGACGTCACCTCGTCTTCCTACAACCAGAAGACCGGCGAGGACTTTTTCATTTCCTACTTGGACGGTTCCTACGCTAGCGGCGACTACTACAAGGACGGCTTTGCTCTCGAGGACGGAAACACTCTTTTGAAGGATCTCCAGTTTGCCGTGGTGTCCAGCGGTCAGACCAACTCCCAGGGTATCTTGGGTGTGGCTGACAAAAACCAGGAGGCCACCAACAAGAAGTACGACAACTTGCCCTGGGCTTTGCAGAAGGAGGGTGTCACTCCCAAGGCCTCCTACTCGTTGTACCTTGGTTCCGAGGCCGAGGGCAAGGGTTCCATCATTTTCGGCGGTATCGACACCGAGAAGTACGAGGGTGAGTTGACCAAGTACCCCGTTGCCGGTTCCAGAGGTTTGGCTCTCAATGTGGAAAGTGCCGATATCGGCGGCCAGACCATCCAGTTGGACAAGGAGATTCTTTTGGATTCCGGCACCTCCTTGAACTTGTGGCCCCAGGACCTCATTGACGCTGTGGGCAAGGAGCTCAACGGTAAGTACCAGCAGGGCTTCTACTTTGTGGACTGTGACCAGCCTACCGACAAGCACTTGACGTTTGACTTTGGCCAGAACAAGATCGACGTTTCGTACCAGGATCTTGTGTGGAAGTCCCAGGGCTACTGTCTTTTGGGTGTCCAGCCCGGCGAAAGCACGCTTATTTTCGGTGATGTCTTCTTGAGATCGGCCTATGTTTACTACGATCTTTCTCTGCACGAGATTTCGATTGCCCAGGCCAAGTACACCGATGCTTCCAACATCGTCGCCGCCTAGATGGCCCGATGGTTTATAAAATTCAATTCTTCTTTATCTGGTGTAGGCAAGAGAGTTTGTAGTGGTTTAGGGTGTGGTCCTGATTGAGGCTGCTTATTCTTAACATTCTATCGATTCCAGACAAAATCTTTGGTATAGATAATGGATGAGCATGTGCCAAGGGTCCAATCAGTTAACAAGAAGTGCTCAATTGCCTCGCTGAAATCATATAACAATAAGTACCAATTTGCACAATTGTCATTGAAGAGCTGTTTTAGTTTCTATTGATAGGGAAGAACTTTTTAAGTTTCTACTGATAGGGCAGAACTTATCTGGATTCTATTGATAGTGGAGGGCTTTTCAAGTTTCTATTGATAGTGAAGATTTTTTCAAGTTTCCATTGATAGCGAAGAATTGTTCAAGTCTTCATCGATAACGTGCTTCAAGTGTATAGTGCAGTTCATGGGAATCCACTACTCAGTGGGCCTCCATCACACCCTTGTGGTTAGCGGCTGGAAAAGACAAAAATGAGATGAGCTGGTTTTGAACATAAAACGCCAAGTCCTCCAATGCTAAAATGGAAAAATAAGCCTCGCTTTTGATGCATAGAGCCTGAAAGCTGTTTTAGGTACTGCTGCATGGTTCTATTGAAATGCTATACTATACATAAATTGTCATAATACGTCTAATACGTGTAAACATAAAATTGTTGATTCGGGTGATGAATTTGTGAAGTCAGTTATGTATTCTTCGAAGACATACTGCTAACTAAATTATCATATGTATACCGTAGTGGTCTCTCCGGAAAGCCAAGAGATGATGTCGGTTTGGGCCGAAATCGGCTCATTCTGTATGAAAACTAAGACTTGAAGGGAATTGCTTTAAGGTTGTGTACTTCATCCATCACCTTTTGATGGCCTTCAACCAATACCACATAAAGCCATTTTTCTTCTCACCTCCTGGTTCCATTTGAACTCAGATCCTACAACCTTCACTTCAGTCAAATTAAATTCAAGCAAATTAGTCTATAAAGTGTAGCAGCGCTCACCAGAACTTCACAGCCCGGTAGCCTTTTCTCAATATATTGAAGATAGGGTCGTTGTCGTCGGTGAATACCATCTTGGTGCCCTTCATTTCGCCCTTCTGGTGTTTGTTCTCCTCGTCTTCGGCATCCTCCAAAGACTGGGCATCACTCAAGAAGTGGTCTCTCAAGAAAAGACCAAAAAACAAGAGTGGAACACAGAGACAGAGACCAACGACACAGAGCTTCTTCTGAACCTCAGCGTAAGCCAAAACAACAGCAATTCTGGGCGTAGTTCCCCAGGCGTGGTCTTCCATAAAGTCGTATGGAGCGTCATAGGCCTTCTTAGCCAAAGCGACATCCTGGCCCAACTTCTCCAATTGCTTCTTGATGGTAGGGTACATGGTCTGGGTCCAGATGGCACCAGAAATACATCTTCCAAAGGAACTACCGATCTGGTAGATGGCGTTAAACACGGCCGTCACAGCAGCCATGTACTCGTGGTTGGTACAAGACTGAGCAGAAACAACGACAAGTCTGTTGAAGAAACCCTGGCCGAAACCAAGCAAACACATACCGACAGCCACACCGTCACGGAAGTACTTACCACGAACACCGTCGTTGTCGCCTCTGAAGTGGACAAAAAGACCCATGGCAATGAACCACACCATGATACCGAACAAGACGAAAGCCTTGGTTCTTCTGACCTTGGCCAACACGAAACCAATAACTGGCAAGGTCAAAGCACAAACAAAGTGGAGAAGCAATGGTGTTCTGGTAGCAACCACCTTGCTGGCATTCATACCCACATACAACACAGGGTAAGCGTACGAGTTGGGCATGCCAGAAACCACAGTGTAAATAACACCCATGGCAAGAGCAGCCCAAATACCTCTGTCTCTCAACAATGGGAAAGGAATCAACGGGTTGGAGGCGAGCTTCATTTCCCAGATGACGAAGCAAGGAATGAGGCAGAATCCGATCACCAAGGGAACAATGGTAGAGGCCTGGTGCCACTTGGTTTTAACACCACCAGCCAACGTCAAGGGCACCATAATAAGACCAAGCATCAAGATGATGATGATACACCCGATGAAGTCCACCTTCAAAGCAGCCTCTTTGGTCCAGTAGAAAATAGTAGCAAACCCCATCTTGGTGTAAACCCAGAGCTTGTTGCTGCCGTTGTCCAAATCCTGCTGGTAGCGGGCCAACTTCTCGTTCAAAGTGACAGTAGAAGCCTTCTCCTCAGCACAAATAGCCTTCCATTCCTCGGTCTTTCTGGCCTTGAGCCTCATGTGGAGAGAACAGCCCAAGTATGGAATACAAACCAACGGGAAGGTGAAAGCCCACAAGGCCACACCGAACTGCCAGTCGTATCTTTCCAACAAGGAGTCCACGATTTCGCCCGACGCCCAGGTGTTGATAATGGCCGGGAGGTTCAAAATGGCAATGGCCAAAAGTCTGTATTTCAAGCTGGAGGCATCCGACAAGTTGATCTGCCACAAGAACCGTCCGCCGGAAGAACCAATGGAGTACAACACCATACCGCCAGAGTAACGCTGGATGTCGTGGGCCTGGGACATAATGACAAGACCGACGATTCTGAAAACCAAAGAAATACAGAACAACTCGAGACGACCAAAGATATCCGACAATCTGGCATAAGCAGGCAACGACGCAGCGGCAATGACTCTCTTGATGATACCGACGGTGGTCATCAACGAGTGCTGCTTGTAGGAGTTGGTAGCGTAACCAATGAAAACGTCAGTAGCACTGCCTTCCATGGTTTGCACGAACATGGCAATGAAAATGGCAAAGAAGTAGATCCCCTTGAGGGTCTTGGAATCGTACTGTTTGACCAAGATCTCGGATTTTCTCACACCAAAAGACTTTTCGATGATCTTGGAGTCCTGAGTGGCCTTGGTCTCCACCGAGGTGGTTCTCAGAAGATGGGAGTTCTTAGAACTGTTCAAGTCCTTCTCCGCATTGACAATCGAGGAGCTGTCCCCCGAGCTTGGGGTTTTGTGAATCTTCTCCGCCATGACGATTAACGAGGTAGAATGGAGCAAAAACCGGTTTCTTTAAATACATCAAAATAATCTGCGGAGCTCAGAGCTCCTGTGAAGTTTTTCCGCCTCGGGATATCCATCCTGCCAATGGGGCTGCTCAGAAACAGCCTTGTGTCCTTCATATGTGAGCTTTTGGCGAACCAGCTTTGCATTAGCCGTAGTCAGGCCGCTTAGGTCCAATCAATGCATGTTAAGACACACAAAACCAGAGGGTTGGGGGACCCTTCAAGAAGCGGCGTGCATTGCAGGAGGAGTTTCGCCGAGAAATTAATCCGAGAATTGACAGTGACAGGGCGTGGGGCGTGAGGGGGGCTACTTTTGGGAGACTTTTTGACATGGAAAAATTTGTCACTCCTAGACGAAGCTACATTCAGATTTTAATATCGACCCGATAAACGGTTGCGTTGTGGCGCCAAAATTTGAGCGCTAGATCGAAACATGTCTTTATGCATGGTTATACCCGCTGTGCGTCACACCTGGTTTTTTTGGCCGAGTTGCTGAAATTGAGAAAAAAACTTTTCGAGGCTCCTGGCAGGCGAGTTTGCAAAGGTTGTACCAAGTCATGATAGTAGCTTTTTGGAACCCGAATAAAAGGGGCATTTTGAGGCCAGCCCGGATAAACCCTAAACTCCTCAACACAGTAGCCTAGTCAATAAGGTACCTCCACTGCCAAGTAAAACGCCCGTTTTGTGTAACTGATCTTACTCACAAATGTAATCAGATGCATCTGTGTGCCAAATATGCACGGCTTGACACGGTGCCTTGACGTGAAAGGCTGCTGAAGCTTGTCAGGTTTTCTTGTCATGCCAAGTCCTATTGGTTCCAGAGCAAGCCTAGAAAAGTCATTCCAGCGAAAAGCCGTTCATTGGCTGCAAAGCGCAAATTTGAGTTATAGCACACGAGAGCCTGGCGCCACTTGGCTGTCAATTCTGCGAGAGCCTCCACGCTGACTCAAGGGGCCAAGACTCGACCATGCAACCCGATATTGGCGCCAGCAATGAGCAAAGCCGCTAGTTATTCCGAATTGGGCTACGCTGCCGCATCGAAACTCTTCTACATTGAAAACTTTTTATGGCTTTTTCGATGCTCATCTATTCGTACTTACCCTTGTGGTGGTTGAATTTATAAAAGCAAAACGGCGATTCCAGCGGCCAAGCTGCCGGCGCCAAAGACCACAGACCCGGCGGCGTTGTCGAAGGAGGAGGCCGACAAGGATCCCGAAGTGGCAGCTGAGGATGCAGAAGCTTCAGCAGAGCCTGATGAGGCAGAGGACTTGGCCTCCGAACCAGACGACTTGGCCTCCGAACCAGAAGATCCGGAAGAAGCAGAAGACTTGGTCTCCGAACCAGAAGTCTTAGCGTCCGAACCAGATGCACTGGAGGTTGCAGAGGAGGTGATTCTGGCGGATCCTGAAGCAGAAGATGAAACAGAGCCCGAGGCAGCAGACTCCGTGGCAGCAGCGGCAGCAACACCAGAGGACCCGTCCATCTCCGAGTTCATGTCATTGACATCGCTGGGCTGGGCGCCCTGACCCATCCAAGTGAAAAAGGTCTTGGTGTGGGTGTGGTGGGGCTTCTCGATGGTCATGTGGGTGGTGGTGAGATGCTAGGCCTTTTCTCCATAGAGCGTCTTCGTGTACGTGTTGTGTGGGTACGAGAAGATGTAAGTCTTGGACGAGCCGGTGGTGATGTCGTCGTCCGAGTCAGAGTCGGAATCAGTGTCCGAGTCCGAGTCTGTGCCGTAGTCGACGTCGGTGGGTGCAGCACCATCGCCCATCCACGTGAAGAAGGTCTTGGTGAGCGTGTGGTGGGGCTTCTCGATGGTCTTGTGGGTGGTTGTAAGGTGCTCAGCTTTGGAGCCGTGGAGAGTCACGGTGTAGGTGTTGTGGTCTCTGGAGAAGATGAAGGTGTTAGTGGACTCGGCGGCGGCGGTGGCGGCGGAGACGATGGAGGCTAAGACGACGTTGGAAAGCTGCATTTTTGATGTTGGTGGATGGAAAAAGTGGGAAATTCGGGGTGCTTATATATGTTTCCGATGGGCCCTTTTCGCAGCCAAAAAAAGGAAAGACATGCATCGCCGTTCGGTGTGCACCGAGCTAATTCCGTGGCATTGTCCACCTCCATTGATGAATAAGGCGTTTTTATTGACATTACGATTAAGAATATGATTACGAATTTGACGAGATTAGTCAGAAAATGTCATACTACGACCCCAAAAACAGATTTCCACCATCCCTCGAACCCTTCTGTGAATCTCGTTCTCTGCAAAGAATCTAATTTCCTGCACCTCCCGGCAGAGGTGCTAAAATTAGCCCACACTAAACACGCAACACGGCTCGTTCCGACCCCTCCGATCTTTAGCCTGGTTCTCTTCGCAGCCATTTACGTCTATTCTTAGAAGCCGTTGCACGTCATCCAAACAGGGCCGTGTTTGCGATGCCGTCTTCGTGGTCTGGCCAAGATCCAAATTCCGTTCCTTGTGACGGATGAGGCTGTTGCTGAAAAACTATTGGCTTAGCCCTAGGCGAACGGCAGCCTCGTCCACTATATTTAGAATTCTGGGGTAGTGGAGAGGCACGGCTGTGGCGAGGTTTTGATGCAGAGAGCTGGATCGGGCGGTTAATTGAAGATTAGGTTCGGAATTGGGCGGCAGAGTGCCGAACTGTGAAAGTGGGATGGCATGGCTCATGACTTTGAAGACATATGAATTGGATTCTTGACGTGGCATTCACTGGATCTAAATCATCTATTTCGAAAACCTTGGTCCTCGAAAACCCTGGTCCTCGAAAACCCTGGTCCTCGAAACCTGGTCCACTTCGTTAAATCTTTCCACCTTGCTCACATTCCCTCGCGATGGCTGCAAAGGTTGTGCACCCACTTCCGAATAAATCCGGCCACCGCAAATCAAAGATCTACAACTCACCTTAGCCTCTGTTGGTGTGACTCGGCAAGGTGCACAATCCGGTGCCGAGGAAGCCAATTAACTAAAATTAGCCGCCGTTTGCCGTTTGAGAGGTGTTTGTTACAATGGTGAAGGCATTCGGTCAGTTTGGCATTTGTGGCTGGGTTTGGTGAATCTGGATCGTGACCGTCAAGTGAAAATAGCACCGGTCATGGCCCCCACTGCCTACATGGCTAGAACTGGCTAGCAAGGAAAGGAGTAGTAGTTCTAGATTTACCCTGTCGAGGTTGTGTGTCCAAAAGAGACATGATGGTCGGTTCTTTTTCAGATTGACAGGGATAAGGAACAGACGTCCTCTGCAGGCAGGGAAGGTAAAAAAAGCGTTCAGACAGCAAAGATAGAGTTTAAGTTTATTTGAGAGAAAAAGCAGAAGGTTTTGCTTGGTGAGTTTGGACGGTGGTCAGTGGCTTTTGAGCTTTCTCGATCGGATGCTGCGGGACACATTCCCAGGGTTTGATGGTTGCTGATGGTTGATCTACGTATGTATGATTTCGGCTCTTTAAAGATTGGGTTTTGTCCGACAGCAATGCTTTTTACAAATTGAATAAACTAAGAAAATATCAAAGATTCCACTTAGATCATTCGGGCTCATCGCTAGCAGTACGTTTTCGCAGCCATCGATGTCGCATCACCTAACATCCATCCTAAGGTATCTGCATGTGTTATTGAAACGTGAAGGCATGTAAGGAATGTAGACATGTTTTTGACACCGAGCTAGTGCTGGCTGTCATATTAGCATTTCTTTAAGTATGTAATTCTTTTCAAATAGTTAACTTTTGGATTGCTCGCAAAATAGGAATTATTGGAGATACTACAAGATTGCACAATAGCCACCGAACAACCCAAGTCCAAGCATATGCTACGAAATCCCTCTAACTTTGAGAATTTGCATTTGAAACAATTTGTGATTAGAACATGCCGTGGATGAACAATCTAGAGCTGCTCAAAAAGCAAATTGAGTGTCTTCATACTTTATCTCGTTCATTTCCTTCATCTAGTCTTGTCGAAGGAAGACGTACGATTTGTCACGCTTAGTCTCTTGTTTGCGACTAATGGTCTTGATGAGATGAGCTTTTTGTTTGTTCGACAAGTTGCAATTATAACGGTTCATAATCTATTTCTTGATGAATAGCTCCGTTCTGCAAAGTCTTCTCTCGAGATCTTGGATCTCTTTGTCTGACGATCTTTCGTTAAGCCACATAGACAAGGTTTCGGTTTCAGATGACACAGCTGTTCATCTGTTAAGTGCCAAACTCTTCTATGTAGCCTGGTTTCCTCTACACGCATTTTTATTATACCTTGACATTCAGGCTGTTTCCTTATACTGCTTACATTCCTCAGAGGCTGAATTATGTGGATACAATGTCCTAGCTGAGCGAATGACCTCATATCTAACAACAGCACTAAGATAATGAAAAGTGTCCCCCGACAGGGAGTCCTTTTGTTTTGAGTATCACCGATCTCTGGAAAACATTGTGCCTCAGCTGGCCAGACTCAGTGCTTATGAGAGCCTCTGGGTATCGAGAATTTTACTGAGTCCAGTACTGTTTGCCATAGTCTTCAAGTGTCTGGAGCAGCTTTAGCGTGGTTGGAGACAAGATTCAAAGGATAAGACCTCGTGGAAGGATTCAATCGGACCATTCGAACAAATGTGCTTTTAGTGCCGAAGTGCCATCAGGTTTTCAAAACCATTCCTAGTGCCTATCGTGGGAAATGTCGGCGAAACTACCAGAAATAATATTGTGTCAACTGTTGTTACGAAGTTAATTCAGCAGACTGTTGGGGTATACTTGGGTCCGATTCCGCTCAAAAGGGACTCAGCGGGGAATGCCGATGAAAGCGCCACAGTCCATGAGAATTCCTCATAAGTTGTTACTAATTATTTTGAATCTTACTGTATCCTGGCACTTATTATATAGTTGAATCTTATTGTGGCTTTGTTTTCAATCGTAGCGAGTTCGGGAAGATCTTCATTGACCAATTTTGGGGTACACTGTATGATCGAAAGGGACACATAGATCATCTAAACACAAGGACGCCACTTTGACCATCCGAAACTTCACCATGTTCCTTTTTTCAAGCCCCTTTTCTGACAAAGACATGCTTCATTCTTTGCATCAAACTCACATATCAAACCTCCAAAAACCACCTGATCACCCCTGCCCGACCACGGAGATCACCCCAACAACCCCGATTTTTCCTTATCTCGGAAACACAAAGAAACCTTAAAGTCAAAGGCGTCCCCTGAAACCAATCAATTACGTCAGCGTCAGCCGCGTATACTTGCCCTTTTAGTGCACAGCCGTGAATACTTTACCAATTTCCAGCAAAACCATTGGCTGCCAAAATCCACGGATGCCAAGAAGACCACCGAAAACGATCTACTATAAGCGAGGCACATCGTCGGAAATTGATTTTGTGTAAGCTCTCGGAAATTGCGCCTTCTCCACTGTGGAGGGCTTCTATATAAGTATGGAGATTCGGTGAGGTGCTATTCTTCATGATTTCTGCAACTTTGGACCTTTCCTTGTGGAAATTGCTTGCTGTCATTGTTGTTTTTTACAATGTGGCAACGTACGTCAGCTACCGTATCCGTCTTTGGAAGCTGAAGGCCGCAGAAACGGTGTACCTTGACGATGGACTTTTTGGGTTCAGAAGAACCAAGGATATCTTGAGAAGACAGAAGGCTGGAGAGATTCCGCCGCTTTTCTATGAGATGTTCAACGAGGCGAAGAGGGACACCCTTACTTTCAGAACCACCGGCACCATCAGATACTGTACTCGTGATCCAGAGAACATCAAGGCGATTTTGGCGACCCAGTTCAACGATTTCTCTGTGGGCCAGCGCCTTACTCAATTGGGCATTTTCTTGGGAGAAGGAATCTTCACTTTGGACGGAAACGGGTGGAAACACTCTAGAGCCATGCTTAGACCCCAATTTGCCAGGGAGCAGGTCTCCCATGTGAAGATGCTAGAGCCTCACGTTAAGCAGGTGATCAGGAGGGTGAAAGGCGCCAATGGCTCCAAATTTGACATCCAGCCATTGTTCTTCAAGTTGACCGTGGACTCAGGAACGGAATTCTTGTTTGGCGAGTCGTGCAAATCGCTCCGAGACGACGAGGTGGATATTTCGACATTGGGAGGGCCAAAAGAGGCCGGACAATTTGCTCGAGCCTTTACCACGGCGCAGTCGTACCTTGTGAAGCGGGTGAATTTTCAGAAACTCTACTTTTTGGTCAACAACCAGGAGTTCAGAGACTGCAACAAGACCGTGAGCCGTTTCTGTGAATTCTACATCAACAGGGCTTTGCAGTACGAAACGGAGGAGCTCGAAAAGCTCTCCAACGGAAAATACGTGTTCTTGTTCGAATTGGTCAAGCAAACAAGAAACCCCAGGGTCTTGCGGGACCAATGCCTCAACATTCTAGTTGCAGCAAGAGACACCACGGCCGGGCTCATGTCGTTCTTGTTTTTCGAGCTTGCCAGAAATCCCAGAATTTTCCAAAAGCTCCGTGCAGAGATCGTCGAAGCCTTTGGCGAAGGGGAATCTGCTGATCTCAGCAAAATGACATTTGAGTCGCTCAAGAGGCTCGAGTACCTCAAGTGGGTGCTCAACGAAACGCTCCGCTTGTACCCCTCTGTGCCCCAGAATTCTAGAACCGCTGTGAGAGACACCACGTTGCCAAGAGGAGGAGGACCCGACGGGAATGAGCCTGTGTTCATGCCCAAGGGAGACGTGGTGCTTTATTCGATTTTTTCAACACAAAGAAACGAAGCTCTTTACGGCAAGGATGTGCTTGAGTTTCGTCCCGAAAGATGGGCCGAGCCTGAGCTCAAGAAGATCGGCTGGGGTTTCCTTCCTTTCAATGGAGGGCCCCGTATATGCTTGGGCCAGCAATTTGCTCTTACCGAAGCCTCCTACGTCACCGCCCGCCTTCTACAAGAATTCTCCAATATCGAGTCTTTTGATCCACCGGGCGATCCTAAAACAAGTGCTCAGTTGACTATGGCGCTCCACCGCGGTGCCAACATCGGCTTGTACTAAACGGGCTTTGGTTTGCACGAATACGGCCAACGAGGGGTGAACAAGCCCCTTCTCGAGGGATATCCCAACGCATAGCTGAATTGAAAAAGCAATGTTTTCATTAACGCAGGGTCGGTGGTGCTTTGGGTGGTTGCGAACCAGCCATTCTTATCACTAGCGCCGTGCGCAGGACCATTGTGGTGATATGACAGCGGGAGAAGTGGAAAAAGAAAAAAATAAGACGTAGGCTCAGGCTTTGTATTGAAATTAGCGTATGTTCAATTTCTGCTTCTCCCATTCAAAGCCCCCATTCCCTCTTCCCCATTATACCCCAGGAATCGGAATTACCATCGTCCTGCACGAGTCCGAGATAACCTCCACACAAGCCCCCTTAATCCACACCACCTCCCACCAGCTTTTCCTTCTTTTCTATATAACTCCACTGAATCCCGCTAAATCATAGAAACTAAAACAGCCTTGAATCTCCATTATGCAATTCAGGCTTACCCCACTCGTGCTAGCCAACTTGGCTTCCGCCATGGTGCTTCCTTCGCTTAACGGTTTTGACGTTGAATCCGTGTTCGGTCAGAACGCCATCACCGAAAAGTCCAAGGTGGCCAAACCATTTGAGAAAACCCGTAACTCGCCAGCTCCTTTGGTGACTGGTTCAAATGTGGCTCCAAACAGGTACATTGTGGTGTTTAACGAAGATGTCCCTGAGGGCGACTTTGCCATTCAGAAATCGTGGATCACCTCGCTTGTGCAATCCGCCATGGGCGTGGAAGAAGATGAAACGCTTTCCTCGTTCCAGCTTCCTTCCTTCCTGGGCTTGCTGGGCGCTTTCAACGACGACGTCTTGAAGCAAATCCGGGATAGCCCCACGTCAAGTATGTGGAGGAGGACGGCGTGATCGACCTCTACGGCACCAAGGTCCAGGAGGACGCCACTTGGGGTATCTCCAGACTCTCGTCGCGTAAGAACGACCAGGCGTTGGACTCCTACACCTACGATCCTTCTGGTGGCGAAGGCGTCACTGCTTATGTCGTGGACACCGGCGTCAAGGTCTCCGACGCTGACTTCGAGGGACGCGCTGTCTATGGCCAGGCAGTGGCATTCCCTCACTTGAAAGTGGATCTTCATGGCCACGGCTCCCACGTGGCAGGCACAATCGGGTCCAAGACCTGGGGTGTGGCCAAGCTGGTGGACATTGTGGCTGTGGGCGTGATGGGTCCATTGGGAACCGGTTTGACTTCCGACATCATCAAGGGTCTTGAGTTCGTGGTGCTGGACCACCAGAAAAAGATCAAGGAGAAGAAGAAGGGCTTCAAGGGCTCCACCGTGAACATGTCTATTGGCGGTGGTATCAGTGACGCTTTGGACGCCGCCACCAACGCTGCTGTTAACTCCGGTGTTCATGTGGTGGTTGCTGCCGGTAATGACGATGCTGACGCCTGCGAGTACTCCCCTGCCAGAGCCAGCGGCCCAATCACCGTTGGTGCTGTCGACAAGTCTGACAACAAGGCTTCTTTCTCTAACTACGGTAAGTGCGTGGACATCCACGCTCCTGGTGTTGACATTGAGTCCGTTGGTCTTGTCACTAACCCTACGGTCATGTCTGGTACTTCCATGGCCTCTCCACACGTTGCCGGTTTGGCCTCGTACTTGTTGTCCTTACAGCCAGGTTTGGGCTCCGAGTTCAACAGCAACCTCATCAAGCCCGATGACTTCAAGAAGAAGCTTATCAAGTACGGCACCCAGGATGTCATTCACGGCCTCAGCGGTGACACCGTGAACATCCTTGCCTACAACGGTGGAGACAAGCCTACCGAGATTTGGAACTAAGCCCCACGCGTACGATTGGTTTCTACATGTCTTCATAGGATCATCTTTAACGTTGAGTATACGAGTTCAAAAACAAGCACCCATCTAGGCTAGGACATCAATCCCATAAGCACGAGTCCACCAAGAACAGCTCCTCCAATTTCAGCGCTTAGATTTCTTTGCCGGCGAGGTGGGCAACAGTGGCAGTATCTTGGATGGCCAAATCCGTAGTTATCAGGGTAATGGTTAGGGCATGAGTATGGTCCATTGTAAGGTTGTGGAAACGGTGTTTCATAAGTAGGTTCTCTACTTGGACCAGGCACTGTGTAAGCGGGAGGAGGTTCTTGTGGAGGTCCAACGTTAGCAGGTTCAGAAGCTCTTGTATATTCTGAAGTGCTGGTAGTATTCTTTGGAGTAGTCGTTCGGTTTGATGTTTGGTTTGATGTTTGGTTTGTCGTTTGGGTTGTTTTTCTGCCGTTGGATTTCTTCTCATCAACCATGGCGGCACACACACCTACAGCGATTAATAAACCCACTACTCCAACTAAAACAATCCAGAAAATGATTATACCGTCCATGTTTCAATGATAAGTTCTTGTGGATAAACTGTTGATCGAAGCATTTTTACTTTTTTTTTATGTTCTTGACACAAACGCCGTGACTCGATCGCCTTGCGTTTCAGTGCATAACAGGACGGTGACTGATTATTTAACTGATCCACTTGAATTATCGAACTCGGTCAGTTTTCGAGATAATCGTTTAAAAGAAATGCAATTTTATTCCCGGCTAGTGGAAAGGATTCAAGAACGACAGCCTTGAAGCTTCAATATATGAAGTCTATAGCTTTGTAGAAATTTACTGGTTGGAGGATTGCTCGTCATGGTTTATGACGAGAAGGGAGACCTGATTCAAGAGGTGGAAGCCAACCGAGATTTGGAACTAGGTCCCCCGCGTACGATTGCCTTCTACATGTCTTTCGAGGATCATCTTTAATGTTCAGTATACGACTTTAAAACAAACAGTTTATCAGCGCTCGAGCCTAGGAGATGAATCTCATGGTTACGAGTCCACCTGGAAAAGCCCCTGCAACTGCAGCATTTGGATCTCTTTGCGGAGGGGGTGGGCAATAATGGCAGTACCTTGGATAGTTGCATCTGTAGCCATCAGGATGATGGTGAGGGCATGAATATGGTCCATAAGGTTGTTGAAACGGTGTTTCATAAGTAGGTTCTCTACTTGGACCAGGCACTGTGTAAGCGGGAGGAGGTTCTTGTGGAGGTCCAACGTTAGCAGGTTCAGAAGCTCTTGTATTTTCTGAAGTGCTGGTAGTATTCTTTGGAGTAGTCGTTTGGTTTGATGTTTGGTTTGATGTTTGGTTTGTCGTTTGGGTTGTTTTTCTGCCGTTGGATTTCTTCTCATCAACCATGGCGGCACACACACCTACAGCGATTAATAAACCCACTACTCCAACTAAAACAATCCAGAAAATGATTATACCGTCCATGTTTCAATGATAAGTTCTTGTGGATAAACTGTTGATCGAAGCATTTTTACTTTTTTTTTATGTTCTTGACACAAACGCCGTGACTCGATCGCCTTGCGTTTCAGTGCATAACAGGACGGTGACTGATTATTTAACTGATCCACTTGAATTATCGAACTCGGTCAGTTTTCGAGATAATCGTTTAAAAGAAATGCAATTTTATTCCCGGCTAGTGGAAAGGATTCAAGAACGACAGCCTTGAAGCTTCAATATATGAAGTCTATAGCTTTGTAGAAATTTACTGGTTGGAGGATTGCTCGTCATGGTTTATGACGAGAAGGGAGACCTGATTCAAGAGGTGGAAGCCAACCGAGATTTGGAACTAGGTCCCCCGCGTACGATTGCCTTCTACATGTCTTTCGAGGATCATCTTTAATGTTCAGTATACGACTTTAAAACAAACAGTTTATCAGCGCTCGAGCCTAGGAGATGAATCTCATGGTTACGAGTCCACCTGGAAAAGCCCCTGCAACTGCAGCATTTGGATCTCTTTGCGGAGGGGGTGGGCAATAATGGCAGTACCTTGGATAGTTGCATCTGTAGCCATCAGGATGATGGTGAGGGCATGAATATGGTCCATAAGGTTGTTGAAACGGTGTTTCATAAGTAGGTTCTCTACTTGGACCAGGCACTGTGTAAGCGGGAGGAGGTTCTTGTGGAGGTCCAACGTTAGCAGGTTCAGAAGCTCTTGTATTTTCTGAAGTGCTGGTAGTATTCTTTGGAGTAGTCGTTTGGTTTGATGTTTGGTTTGATGTTTGGTTTGTCGTTTGGGTTGTTTTTCTGCCGTTGGATTTCTTCTCATCAACCATGGCGGCACACACACCTACAGCGATTAATAAACCCACTACTCCAACTAAAACAATCCAGAAAATGATTATACCGTCCATGTTTCAATGATAAGTTCTTGTGGATAAACTGTTGATCGAAGCATTTTTACTTTTTTTTTATGTTCTTGACACAAACGCCGTGACTCGATCGCCTTGCGTTTCAGTGCATAACAGGACGGTGACTGATTATTTAACTGATCCACTTGAATTATCGAACTCGGTCAGTTTTCGAGATAATCGTTTAAAAGAAATGCAATTTTATTCCCGGCTAGTGGAAAGGATTCAAGAACGACAGCCTTGAAGCTTCAATATATGAAGTCTATAGCTTTGTAGAAATTTACTGGTTGGAGGATTGCTCGTCATGGTTTATGACGAGAAGGGAGACCTGATTCAAGAGGTGGAAGCCAACCGAGATTTGGAACTAGGTCCCCCGCGTACGATTGCCTTCTACATGTCTTTCGAGGATCATCTTTAATGTTCAGTATACGACTTTAAAACAAACAGTTTATCAGCGCTCGAGCCTAGGAGATGAATCTCATGGTTACGAGTCCACCTGGAAAAGCCCCTGCAACTGCAGCATTTGGATCTCTTTGCGGAGGGGGTGGGCAATAATGGCAGTACCTTGGATAGTTGCATCTGTAGCCATCAGGATGATGGTGAGGGCATGAATATGGTCCATAAGGTTGTTGAAACGGTGTTTCATAAGTAGGTTCTCTACTTGGACCAGGCACTGTGTAAGCGGGAGGAGGTTCTTGTGGAGGTCCAACGTTAGCAGGTTCAGAAGCTCTTGTATTTTCTGAAGTGCTGGTAGTATTCTTTGGAGTAGTCGTTTGGTTTGATGTTTGGTTTGATGTTTGGTTTGTCGTTTGGGTTGTTTTTCTGCCGTTGGATTTCTTCTCATCAACCATGGCGGCACACACACCTACAGCGATTAATAAACCCACTACTCCAACTAAAACAATCCAGAAAATGATTATACCGTCCATGTTTCAATGATAAGTTCTTGTGGATAAACTGTTGATCGAAGCATTTTTACTTTTTTTTTATGTTCTTGACACAAACGCCGTGACTCGATCGCCTTGCGTTTCAGTGCATAACAGGACGGTGACTGATTATTTAACTGATCCACTTGAATTATCGAACTCGGTCAGTTTTCGAGATAATCGTTTAAAAGAAATGCAATTTTATTCCCGGCTAGTGGAAAGGATTCAAGAACGACAGCCTTGAAGCTTCAATATATGAAGTCTATAGCTTTGTAGAAATTTACTGGTTGGAGGATTGCTCGTCATGGTTTATGACGAGAAGGGAGACCTGATTCAAGAGGTGGAAGCCAACCGAGATTTGGAACTAGGTCCCCCGCGTACGATTGCCTTCTACATGTCTTTCGAGGATCATCTTTAATGTTCAGTATACGACTTTAAAACAAACAGTTTATCAGCGCTCGAGCCTAGGAGATGAATCTCATGGTTACGAGTCCACCTGGAAAAGCCCCTGCAACTGCAGCATTTGGATCTCTTTGCGGAGGGGGTGGGCAATAATGGCAGTACCTTGGATAGTTGCATCTGTAGCCATCAGGATGATGGTGAGGGCATGAATATGGTCCATAAGGTTGTTGAAACGGTGTTTCATAAGTGGCTTCTCTACTTGGACCAGGCGTTGTGTAAGCTGGAGGTTCTGGTGGAGGTCCAACGTTAATAGGTTCAGAAGCTCTTGTATATTCTGAAGTGCTGGTAGTATTCTTTGGAGTAGTCGTTCGGTTTGATGTTTGGTCTGTCGTTTGGGTTATTCTTCTACGGTTGAATTTCATGACATCAACCATGAAGAAACACATGGCTCCAATGATCGTTAAAAACGCTCCTGCCATCAAAACAATCAAGACAATTTGAAAAACTTCCATGTTTCAATGATAAGCTCTAGTGGGTAAACAGTTGATCGAAGCATTTTTTTATGTTTTTGTCACAAATGCCGTGACTCGATCGCCTTGCGCTTCAGTGCATAACAAGACAGTGAATGATCCTGATCCAATTGAACTTTTCAATTCGGTCAATTTTTTAGGATGACCATTTGAAGAAATGCATATTGATTCTCTGGTAATGTAAAGTTATGAGAACGACAGTCTTGAAGCTTTAATATATGAAGGCTATAGCTTTGTAGAAATTTACTGGTTGGAGGATTGTTCGTTTCGGTTTAAGATGAGAAGGGAGGCCTGATTCAAGAGGTTGACTTGAGTAGAACGACAATATTTCAGAGGCGACTATTTGCAAAATTCATTTACTGAAAGCCTCGTTGCATATATTCCAAAAAACTCTTCTATCGATGGGAAACCTTGGTCGAATAGAGCACGCCAAAAGCCTGTCATTTACGGATACGGGAGCTCGACAAAACTTTTCACAAGGAAGTTACCCCGAAAACGAAACAGTGAATGTTCAAGGGTTGCAAAAGCCCCATCACCAGATAAGCCTGGACAAGATAAGCCTTCGAGAGGCCCTTTTGCAGCCATTGTTCGGTTCTCCTACATGTACTCCCCGAATCGTTTCTGTTCAAGTACGGCGTTTTCATGGAACGCCAATGGAAGACCGTTTATTCAGGGCTTCATTGTCCAAGTTGTCATGACAGGTTCGAGGGTTAAAGAACTAGTTGCCTTTTTTGGAGTATCCTCATAACCCCAGTTTGGACCCATTCCCGATTTGTCCTCAACAGAGCTATTTTTGGACTTCGCCTGGTGTTGTTCAACATTCGGTGGATGAAAGACCGAAAAGAGCATCAAATAATAATATTGCCCATCTTGTTTCAGAATATCGCTCAGGTGTTTCATAGTGCACATTGCCGTGAGGCTCCAGCACCATTACGACACAGCCAACCAACCAGATGTCCAAATTTCAATTCATTTTTCTATTGAGGCCTCCTCAGAACGCTTCAAAAAATGAAATCAATTTTCTTTGATTCAACATGACGAGGTTATCAAAACGTCCACTATGCTGTCGGAATCCGGGGTCGCATTTGACTCACTATGGTGAGCCGCATCTGATGTTAGGACGGCAGCGTGCAGTATATGTAAACTAGTAGCTAATTCCCTGAAGTACCCTTTCTACTAGGGAATGAAGGCATATTTAAATACTTGAATCAGAAATTATGGTTTAACTCGGGGTTATGTCCATAATTGGGAAATAACCGTATTCGGAATATAGCTAATAAACGCCTTCCTTAGCGCGTCTAAACCCGGTCGCCTGTCCTGACATCTGACGCATTATCGCGATAAGACTCATCTGAAACCTGATCCAAGCATATAAAAGGCCAGCCATTCCCACTCAAATCCATATCAAAAAAGATCCAAAAACTTCATGTTCCCATTTGACTGGATATGGCTGTTCATAGTTGAGGAAGAAACCCCCGCCCCGATAACGGAGAAACAACAGAGTCAAAAGAACGGAAGATACCATCGAAGGAAGGGTGGCAAGGGCAGACCCAGAAAGAACAACGGCGATGTGGGCGATAAGTATTTGGATTTTGATGCCATGACGCGTCTGCAAGACTACGAATTGAGACTCAAACGCAACCAAACTATGGACGGCTTGATCCGTAAGGCTTACGCTAAGAAGACCAAGATCAGCCAGAAGAAAGCCTTGGCTGATTTCATGGATACCATGTACAACCAAAATTTGACATTTATTGCAATTGACTTTGAAGGACACGAGCAAACACCAGGCACGGTGACGGAAGTTGGCATTGCTGTCTACAAGCCTGGTACACTGAGAGGTATGATGATGCCTTTCATCGAGCTGAAGCATATCATCATCTTGGAAAACAAGGATTTGAAGAACGGGAGATATGTACCCGACCACAGGGAAAACTTCAACGGTGACGTTAGCTTGGTGATGGGTGAAGATTATGCTGCAAATGCTATTGAGGAGATTATACACCACCATAGCGGGCCTTCCAATATTCCAGGACTCGGAGTGTGCATCGTTGGCCACGGGCTTGCTAACGATTTGGAGTGGCTAGATCGAATGGGCGTGCGTATCGAGCCAACTTGTACAATTGACACACAGAGGGTTCTTGGCTGGACCCACGGAAAGAAGGGATTGAGTTTGAGGAACTCTCTTGATCTCGTCCGCCAACCGTATGCATTTCTCCATAATGCTGGAAACGACGCATACTACACCATGGTACTCTGCCTCTGCTTGGCTGATCCTTTCTACCGCCAGGCTTGCGGTATCGATACACAGGAAACTAAAACCTGGTTTCGGCTGAGACCCCTGACAAAGGGCGATTCATACAACGTGACCAAAGAACTCCTTTCCCTCGATATATTGGGAAGTCCTCTTCGTGATCAAGAGACCCTTAACAATGGGTCTTGAGAATGAGCTTGAATGGCTTGTGTTCTTCGATCAGGCGGTTATGGTTAGCCAAGGTCGAAAGTATGACAGAAGGACTTTACTTTTATGAATTATGAAGTTTGGAACGCAAATACACGTAGGCATCAGAATGATGTACCTGATCATCAGACAACTACTTGAGGTCCCGCTACAATGCTGTTTTTTTTTTTTTTTTTTTTTTTTTTTTTTTTTTTTTTTTTTTTTTTTTTTTTTTTTTTTTTTTTTTTTTTTTTTTTTTTTTTTTTTTTTTTTTTTTAATATTATTCCTTTCTTATCATCACTCGGCGACTGGAGTATCAGTCCACCTTATCAAGGCAGACATCAAATTCAGAGTCACTCAAATCTGCATCCCAATGGCGTACCATCTCAAAGAGGGAAGACTGCTCCGAGCTGTCCAGCTCGTAAACCTCGTCAGGATGCAGATTCTGTGGGTTCACCGTAGGCTTTATAGTAAAGGCCTCAGTGAAGTTGTTCTTCGGAAGCTTAAAAATGACTCCAAGGTATGAAGTCACTTTTTCAGTTTGGCTCTTCCAAGGAACGAAGCCTCTTGGAAAGAACTCCGAAGTCAGGCGCTCCAGGGGAAGATTGGATGCCTTTGTTTCATCGATGGTTTCAGGAGCAAAAGGGGGCTCAACTGATTCGATGATGTTCTGAAAGAAGCAGAAATCCTGGGGAAGGAAGGATTCGTTGCTTCTTTCGTTGAAAATACTCTGCCAGTGGAAAAAGTCCCTTGGCAAGAATGAAGGAGTGTCTTCGTCGTTTGTGGCATCCTTCCAAAAGTAAAAGTCATTTGGAAGAAAAACCCTGTTGTATTTGGGACTGGAAGTCCAGAGCTGGAAGAATTTGCAGAAGTCGTCGGGGAAGTAGACCTCCTGAGTCTTCACAGGCTCCTCAGAGTACAAGTCAAACTGCTCTTCACGCAAGCAGAACTCGTAGTCAGACAACTCACCGTCAAGTGATTCGAGACTTTCAGCGATCGTTTGGAAGCTGAAAAAGTCGGTGACGAAAAATTGTCCGTCGTTCACGAGAAAGACCTTCTTTTGCTTTGCGGTCTTCTTCCGTGGCTCAAGAGCCAAGAGCTCCTCCAGGATGAGTTGGAATTCGAAAAAGTCCTCGATGTCGAAAGACTCGGCAGACTTCTCGGAGACGGTCTCCTTCCAGAAGTAGAATTCCTTGGGAAGGAAAGAGGGTTCCTCCTCCTTGAGGCACTTTCTGAAATGGTAAAAGTCGCCTGGGTAGTAGGTCTTTTCAGTCTGCGACAAAGACGACCAGGTCTTGAAAACAGGGAAGTCCAAGGGCAAAAGTGTTGCCACCTGGGCGTAGTTAGTGACCAGCTTAGGGGAAATCGCTGGGATAACCTCTGGTTCAGGAGTTACCTGAATTGGGTTGACTGGTTCAGGCAAAGAGGTCTGAATTGGGTTGACTGGCTCAGGCAATTTTGGTTCGACCTGAAAGATGACCTCGGGCTCAGATTCCTTCACCTCTGGACAAGGCTCATTCTTTTGGGTCTTAAAGTCAGAAACCTGACCTGGGTTGAGCGGTACAAAACCCTCAAGAATGAGCTGGAAACTGAAAAAGTCGGAAATGTAGTAGGAGTCGCCCTCGTTGGAGAGGAACTTCTGCTTGGACTTCTTCTTTTCCTTGGTTGGCTCAACAGGCTTGGATTCCAGAACCTGCGGAGATGGGGTGGAGTTGGAGTCACCTTCGTTGGAAGGCTCCTCCTTGACCTGGTTGGAAGGAAGAGGATTCTCATTAGTAGTACGCTTTCTCTTGGAGCGCTTTCTCTTCTTGTCCTTCAACTTCTTTTCCCTAATGTGGGCGTCACTTTCCTTGAGGCTGCCTCTGTCAGTGGACGTCTTCTTAGGGAAGCTCTTCTTCTTAGATGCTTTGGTGATAGTGCTGGCGGTAGAAACGGCGGGCATTTTTGATTGATATGTGGTGGATAAGGAAAAAGAATTCAGGGAGAATGGGCCTTGCTTTATACCCCAGAGGCCTGTTCTACGAAATAATATTCTTCTGTCATGGTGGTCACAAACATGGGTTTGATCATGAGGGCATATTCGAGAGAGGAAGGTTGTAGCAAAATGGTCACGGAAGCGGTTCTCAGAACAGTAAGTATAGCTACGATGCAGAAGGTGGTCAGGCTTTTGGGCGGTTTTTTACAAAAATTTGTCCATCTAGAGTAGGTCCAATACTCACTCACGCACTTGTGTTAAAAGAAACTACAGCACATAAATCGCCATAGTTAAGGCTAAAAAATATGAGAGGGCCTTAGATAATAATTTACGGTGCTTCTTCCCAATTTGGGGGTTCTGGAGATTCCCACCTGATTTGGGCTTAATTGCAATTTTTTGTCTCACATTTTGCGTCATTGTACGGCAGTGGGGTTTATGGTGATATAGAAGTACCGTGAGCTCTACCATGTTGGTATCCGGCTGAGCTGGTAACGATGGACTGGTAAAGTAGAATTTCAATTATTTCTAGTTTTACTGATTTCTTTTGCTCTAATCATGTTTTGTTGGCTTGAATATTAGGTGTCCGTTGATGTATAAGGTGTTCTTTCATAAGTACCAGAAAGTCAGTACTCCATCGCTCTATAAATCTTAGAAGCTCAAGCCGAAGCTAAGCTGTATGCTTTTATGCTTCACGACTCTTGCCAGAGATAAAGGCTGATTCATGCCTGATGTGGATGAGTTTTGGTTGATATGATTTTCGTGCAGTTGAGGTTCTGACAGCTTTGAGGCGCTTTGAACGCATACCCTAGCAGCCACTTCTGAGGCTATTTTGAGCTCCCTAGTGAGTCCAGTTACTATTTATAACTAATATTGATTTCCTTATTGAGAGAAAAGTGAGTATTGTAGGTCGTTAAGGCGCATTTGGGTTAAGGTCATCAAAGTGGCACTATAAGTCGTAAACGAGCTCAGAAAGCTCATCTATAGAAATAAATAGTGTCATTTTATGTATCTGCCGAATTTCTGGTCTTTCGATGACATATTTGAATTTTGGTGGTTCTATCAAATTGTGTGTTCACGGGAGATACATACTTTCGCACAATAAATGCATAATCTATCACCCCTTTTCTAACATCGTGAACATCGACCAGAGCAAAGGAAAATCAAATTTACTGAAATCACAAAAAAAAAAAAAACAAACAAACAAACAAACAAACTCCTTTCAAGGCGCTAGTTTAGAAGCCAAGAGTCGCATACATCTGATGGGTCGATGACATACACTTTCACTGTCCTTGTTAGGATGCTCGGGTGCATCCATAGTAAATTATGACAGACCCTTAGATTTAACTTCCTTGACTTCTAAAGTAAGAGGACTAAGAGCACTTAAATACTTGAACATATGTTATCAAGAAATTACCTAAAGCGGTTCTCTTGTCTGGTATCTGAGTGACTGTGAAATTCTTGTTATACCGTGTATCTCCTAGTGTCCTTCCTTAAATCAGGAAACTAGCTCTAGCGGGGAACCTCCTTATCTATGTTTGATATCTGACACGCTTAATGTTAAGCGTGTATCCCTACTTCCTAACGTGTTCCTAACGTGTTCCTAACAGTCTGAGATGGCAGTTCACAGGTGTGGTCAAGCGGTGCTAGTCTGGAGCTGATATGGTTTCTCTATGTAGATTTAAATAGGGCTTTCCATTTAGTCAGATGAGCTTAACAAAAAAAAGAAAAAAAGCTGATAGATGGTTTCTATGTAAATTTAAATAGGGCTTTCCATTTACTCAGATAAATTTACCAAAAAAAAAATAAAGCGAATGTAGGTGTATTAAGCGAATGTAAAGGGGTATCTAAGAACGGCTGCAAACAGTCCAAGCAAAGTCCAAAAGGATCGAAAGGTCATAAGATGAATTAAAAAATTAGAACAACAAGCATCAACAAATTAGTTCAAATTAAAGAAGAGCCAAAAGGCCAAGAGGGAAGGCCAAGCCAAGGCTCAAGAATGGCGAGCCAGCTCCACCCTCGTAGGTGCTGATTCTGGAGGCAGCTGGAGCAGAAGATGCACCGCCCTCCTTGGTCTCATAGGCAACAGCACTAGAAGTCACCACCGAAGGCTCGCCTGCCACAGAAGAAGTGTGCTTGTGGCCCCAAACGTCGACCTCGACAATCTCGGTCTTGGTGATGGTTCTGGTCTTGCCGTGCTCCACCGTCTCGTGCTCAGACACATGGGTGCTGGCTGGAGGACAGTAGGTGGTGTACTGAGTGACCACGCCGTGGATGGTGGTCTTGACAATGGCACCGGTGACCTTGGACTTGGAACCAGCCTCGTCAGAAGTGTCACACACATACACCGTCTTGGTGTGGACCTCGCCCGCATCGTCGGTGTCACAGACGGTGGTGGTGTACTCGGTAGGGTCGAGATCGCAGGTGGTGGTGATCAAGTTTCCGTCGGCGTCGGTGGTTTCCTTGACCACGCCGGAGGTGGTGACTGGGTTTCCGTCGGAGTCCGTGGTGGTCCAGGAGGTGGTGTGTTCGTTTTCGTCTGGCAACAAGGAGGTGGAGGTCTGCCAGTCGCCGTTGGAGTCGGTGGAGACGCCGATGATGCCGGACTGGGTGGTGGGGTTTCCGTCGGCATCGGTGGTTTCGAAAGTGGTGGTTTTTCCGTCGTCGTCGCCTGGGAACAAGGAGGTGGAGGTGGTGGGGTTGCCGTCGGCGTCGGTGTCGGTCTTGATCACGCCGGATTCAGTGGTAGGGTTACCGTCAGAGTCAGTGGTCTCGAAAGTGGTCGTGGCACCGTCATCACCATCTCCAGGGAAAAGGGAAGTGGACGAGGTAGGGTTTCCATCGGAGTCAGTGCCCGTGGAGACCACACCGGATTCGGTAGTAGGGTTGCCGTCGGAGTCGGTGGTTTCAAAGGTGGTGGTGGCACCGTCGTCTCCGTCACCTGGGAAAAGGGAGGTGGAAGATGTTGGGTCACCGTTGGAATCGGTTCCTGTGGAAACAACGCCAGACTCGGTGGTGGGGTTACCGTCGGAATCGGTAGTCTCGAAGGTGGTAGTAGCTTCATTGTCGTTGTCGTCACCGTCACCAGGGAACGTAGAAGTCGAAGAAGTTGGGTCACCGTTGGAGTCCGTTCCAGTGCTTACCACACCAGACTCCGTGGTTGGGTTTCCGTCAGAATCAGTGGTTTCAAAGGTGGTTGTAACTCCATCATCTCCATCGTCTCCATCGCCTGGGAACGTAGAGGTAGAGGAGGTTGGGTCTCCATTCGAGTCGGTACCGGTAGAAACAACGCCAGACTCGGTGGTTGGGTTTCCGTCCGAGTCGGTCGTTTCGAAAGTAGTAGTGATTCCGTCGTCTCCATCGTCTCCATCGCCTGGGAACGTAGAGGTCGAAGAAGTTGGGTCTCCATTCAGGTCAGTTCCAGTAGAGACAACGCCAGACTCAGTGGTAGGATTACCATCGGAATCCGTAGTCTCAAAGGTGGTTGTGATTCCGTCGTCTCCATCGTCACCGTCACCAGGGAACGTAGAGGTCGAAGAAGTTGGGTCGCCGTTTGAGTCAGTTCCGGTGCTTACCACACCAGACTCAGTAGTAGGGTTGCCGTCAGAATCGGTGGTCTCGAAAGTAGTAGTAACATCATCGCCGTTGTCAGCAGAAGAAGTAGTCTCGTCGTCTGGCAGGGTAGTAGAAGACTCAGGCTCAGAAGAAGCTGGGTCAGTGGCAGAAGAAGCAGCACTGGTCTCTGAGGGCTCCTCTGGAGGGTCAGCACACAAACACTTGTCTGGAGGACCGCCGGCTGGAACAGCTCCAGTGTAGGAGATGTAAGTGCCACTGCTTCCACCGCTGCTGGTTCTGAAGTCGCTGAGCTCGTAGCCCTCGCCGATCTTGATGTTGATCTTGGAGAGCTCGAAAAGACCAATGAGAGACAAGGTGTCGTCGGAGTAGGACCAGTCGTTGAAACCGAGGTTGGTTCTGATCTTGTTGCCGTTACCGAAACCACCGACGGTGTAGGTTCTCTGGCCCTCGTTGTTGGCGTCCAAGGTGACCAAAACCAGCGAGTTGGAGGCGGCGAGGTAGAACATCTGGTTCTCGTTGGTGGTGTAGCCGAAGGTAGCAAGAGTCATGACAGCGTCGTCACCAACATTGACACATCCCTCACCTTCGATGCTGACAGACTGAGACCAGTTGATGTTCTCAAGACAGATGGTACCGTCGTTGGTGACCTCGCCCGAGTTGGCGGTGATGGTCACCGTGGATGGGGAGCCCTGCTCCTGGATCAAGTGGATTCTTCCGGTGTTTTCCCAGGTGCCCGAGCTGAAGAGGTTACCACTGGTAAGCGAGATGGGCGAGAAAATGTTGGAGTCCTTCAACTGCAACCAGATGTTACCGCTGTTGATGAAGTCCTTGGAGGCCTCCAAGTTGTAGTAGGTGCCGAAAACCGAGTTGGTGCCGTTGAAGATAATGTCACCAGAGTTGTCAAGACTTCCGGAAGAAAGCGTCACACTGGCGGTAAGACCGTCCTGGGACTCGACAAAGAATTCACCCTTGTTGTTGATGTCACCGCCAATTCTCGTAGAAGAGGAGCTGGTGACAAGGAAGTACACATCGGGCTCGATGAAAAGACCATCGCTGATGTAATTGGTACCACCGTCACCACTGCTGGTGGTGTCGGTATTGACTTGTAAAGCTGAGGTCGTAGAGGCACAGAGGGCCACTGCTGCCCAGCTGATGCTGTTCGTGAATCTCATTTTTTTTGTCCTTGGCTTTCTGTGAATTTAGGGCAGAACCTCTTTACTTTATAGCTCTCCGGTTCTGGAGGCCAAAGAGACATGCCCAAGTCCGCCCAAAGGAGATACAGCGATACCCCAATCGGAAGCCTGTTTATTTTTTTTTTTTTTGGCGAGCTAGCCATTTGGACAAAGAGGTGGGAAAACAAGGCGAGCTGGTTTTTGCAGCTACTCTTTAATGTACTGCAGGGTCCTGGGGCCTGCTGTCGATATGCATGGAATGCTTCAACTCATGCGCGACCAACATGTCACTGGACGTGCACGTAACGCCGAGCTGTCGGCCATAATACCCAGGAAGTTACCCATTGTCGAGGTTTTTGATTATTTGTGGTTTGAATTGTTAGGTCGAGACCGTGTATTGGGCGGCCCCAAGTAGAAACCGAGTGGTACAGTGGTACCTTTGACGTTAATGAGCCTTGTGGCGATTGTTACTGACTTTTTTGCCATCACAAATTGAATTCCTACAAAAGAAGCTCAATTGGAAGCTACGTCTTGAAGCAGGTTGACTACACCCTCGCGTGTTTCTCATCTCGTATTCATCCTCGTATTTACATTCCCTGGCATCTAGGCCAGAACCGAGCCTGGGAATGCTCCAAATTCGGCTCAATAACGCCAAATGTAGCAAGACGTGGTTCATTGCTCAAATTCATCTCCATACGAGTAATTACGCTACAGATGTAGCTGCGGCGGCAAAATATGCAAGAAGAAGCGAAATTCACGCAGTCTAAAGTCGAGGCGCCTTGATCTTCAATCGTTTTTTTGACAAAGCGCACAATGGACTTCTGTACATAAAAAGTGCCTTGGAGAGGCTTTGACAAGCTAATTGTTTAAAGCGTAAAATAGTTTGCGCTTCATTCTACTACTTTTCCTTGTTCACCAAACAAGAATCCTTTGAACTACAGGGCTCGACCATCAGCCAGCAGAAACCCTAGTTTTAGCACATTCCAAGCCACGAAAGTCACTTGTTGTTTTTATAGAATTCCACGGTAGTACAATAAACCCGCAGCATTGAAGTTAGGGGGCTCCCACTCTCAAGCCATATTTTTCAATCAACGCAGCCTTCATTGAGACAAACAATGCATACGTCTCGGAATTTTGAACAAGTTTCCTCGTGGTCACAAAATGCAAATATGTTCAAACACAAAGTATCCTTCGATGTCTCAAAGCCAGTGCAAGCTTCGACACATAAAAAAACTGTAGACTCACCCAGAAGCTTGATGGGTTTCTGGAAAAACCGATGAAACTATTCTCATATTGCTCAGACTCAATAGGCATTCTCGAGATCCGTGTTGCTTTGTTCATTTTGTCAGCTTTGCGCTGCAGACCAAATATGCTGGCGATATGCAAGTATTGCCGCACATGTACGACTAAAGATGAGACATCAGGGGGTCTATGAGCGTCTAGCGCACGAAAAGTGGGGTCTATAAGTGTCTAGAGTACGAAAACTAGATGGGTGGAGAAAAGTCGAAAAAAGTGGTTGCACAGAATTTCCAGTTTTTTGGTGTCTCATGATTCTGGTACGTTGTGGAGCTTCCAAGGTGTTTTCCACCATAAAGTGTGCCATTAACGCCGAAGAGAATAGCTGAAGATCTTCACCACTTGTTAAGACTGCCTCGCTTCTTGGCTCAAGGCGGGATTGCCTAGGCGTCTTTATTTGAATTCCGTGGTTTCGAATTGTTTGCATGGTCTTTTATTTACCATACACGTAGTCGGTTGCATTGTTGGAATTACGTAAGCGCCAGTTTTGTGTTTCGGACTTGCTTAAACGGTCTCGATTATCTGGAATAATATTCGCGATTAGGATACATCGACAAGAATACACTGGCGGTTTATTTGGATTCGGAAGAACACCTGCCGAAATGGTAGTTTGAAGATATTGATCTACACTCAATTCCGTGTTGGATCAGAGGATCAGATTCCTAAAATATGTAAGGGTACCGTTGCGGTACTTGATTAGTCGCCTGCTCGGTTAAATGAGATGTTTTTGAGCCGAGAGCAGAACCTCCTTTCATTGTCGACGCAACTCCACTGTTTGAAATTCCAACTTTCATGTTATGAGAGAGTTGATACATCTCGTATGACTGTGGCTCTTAGCTGTGGCAGAAAGTATTACCTGGACGTTCAGATTGAAGCATTGTCCCACGATATTGACCAAATCATGTGAAGCGTTTCATCCACAAAGTTGTGTTTCGCTATGTGGTAATCAAGAAGTGTTTATTTGTTTTTGTCCTTTACTTGAATTTTTGCATGAAATTTTTTTCCAATTCCTAACTTGTGGACGTGAGTACCTGTGGGGTGCTTTTGGAAATCCCAGTACATGGCAGCTCAAACTTACAACTTCTTGCAACTTACACAAACATTCAATTCATAACTCAATGGTGGATACCCATAGCTCTGCGTTTCTCCACCAAGGCCCAGTACAGGGCGCCTGTTTTCACTCTCCAGTACTTTCCAGTGGCCATCATAACTAGGAAAGTGGCAAGACAGAACAAGCAAATAAACGCAGCAGCTATAAAAGTATGCTGCAAACCCTGGTTTTGCACCCAGGGCGTAATACCATAACTAACTGCAAAACTCATGATGTTTCTAATAATGACAACGGCAGCAATAGCCTCACCAGAAACTTCATGGTAGCAGTCTACAACATAAGTAACAGTATTGACACAGCCAAGGATACACAAACCAGCTGTGACTCCAAAGCCGATAATGACTCCAAACCAGTGGATGCCATGATAGGCGCCCACACCCCATAAAATAAGCGAGGCGGGACCCAAGATCATATAGAGAATTAAAGCCCAAAGACGGTCCTCAGCTTCAGAGATTCCCCCTCTTTTTCTGGCGATTTTCACCTTCAACCAGTCGACGACCCAGCCGGCGTAAAAGTATAAAAGAACGGTGAAAACACACGGAGAGGCATACGCCAATCCACACATGGCACTGGAAAAATTGTAAGGTGGGGCACTGAGAACCATGGCCTCAGTAGCATTGAGAACAGTATACCAGATAAGCGTCGAGCCATAAAGGAAGCCCGACCAGAGAACAATGGGATAGCGGAACATGTAGGCGGTAGTTTTGATGAACTCCCACATCAAGAATTTTTTGGTGATTCCCAGGGTGAGAGAGAGCTTTTGCACAAAACTTTTAGGTGGAGCATAAGCTGGAAGGTCATCTGCAGAAACCAACTCGGCCTGGTTCCCAAGATTTGTCACAGCCTGTAAAGCCTCTCCACCGTCAGACAGAGATTGGGATTTGACGGTGACCACGTGGTTCACTTTCTCCCATTCACCTCCTGATGTGACCACTGCCAAAGTTTCTCCCGAGTCGTCTTTGGCCACTCTGAGTTTCCTTTCGTAAGTAGTCTCCTCCATGAAGAAGAAAAGAAACACAAAGCTGACACTGGCAAAAATCACCGACCAAAAAATGACCCATTTCCACCCGCCTACATCAGTATCCCTCAGGTTCTGGTTGATAAATCCAGCCACCAAGGGGGCCATGTAGTTCGAGGCATAAAGAGAAACGGCGTAGATACCCATATAAGTGGCTCTCTCGTGCTCGAAATAGAGCTCGGAAATGGAAAGTTCAGGCAAGGCCTCAATTGGCGAAGTGAAGAGACCAGCAAGGATTTTGGAAGCTATCCACTCACCATTGGAGGTGATCCAGGGCTGCCACAAATTGAAGAACCCACCTCCCAAACACGAGAGAAGATAAACGGGTCTTTTGCCGATCTGCAAGGCCAAGGGCTGAAAGAAGATGTTTCCAAGACCCAAGAACAAAAAAGCATACCCGGTGCCAGCATTGAGGTCTGCCAAACTAATGCCTGTGCCTTTGGAGATCTGAGGCAAGACAGAATAGATACATGTCCCGGGGACACCAGCAGCAAAGGTGTATAACACAATACAGAACATGTGGAGCCGCTTTCTATTGGGGGACCAGTTCAATGGGTCATTGGGGTCGTCGGAAGGCGTGGGAATAAGAATAACGCCTTCTTTCTTCTCTTTGTTCTTGTCAACCAAGTACCCGGTGCCCGGCACCACAGAGTAGTCAATCATGGTTTTGTGCTGAGGAAGAAATGTAGTCCATAATGTGTATTTATACCACGAGGTCCTCGAGAGATAACGGTATCTTATCGGGGTGCACCGGAAGAAGCACGTATTTCGGCTGCTCGGAGAAACCCCTTTACATCAACACATGATGCTATTGGAAAGCACATGTTAACCGTTTTTGGGGGGCTTAAAGCAGCTTGTGTTCCTGGATACCTATCTTGACGCAGCGGGTAAATAAACAGACAGCCACAAAGTCCAATAATCAACAGAAATAACAAAACTGACCCAGCAAACGATCTTCGAAAGTGACACCTCCGTGCATGGGTTATCGCCTTCTTCGCCTAATCCGGTCTATCCTGCCGCTGATATCGATCCATCGATACCAAACCGCCTTATCGCACTTAAAGCCGCCATGCAGCAAAATCGGCTATCTCCAGACTGAGGATCCGTAATGAGACAGAATTACCTGAGACGTAATTGGACGCCTCGTTTCTACGTAAATGAGAGCAAATGTAATAGATTCCCAGAATTAAGAATTACGAGTATCAATTAGCCGGACGTTTGTCCTAAACGACAAAGCATGGTTTTCCTCACAGAAAACATGTTTTTCCTCCCTTTTGGTGACATCTTCCTTATCGCCAGCGAACTTTTTGATAACAATGGTCTCCTCACCACCGCCCCCAGGATGGTACCACTCCAAGTACTCAAGCTTCTCATTATTCTTGAATTCTCCAGAAGTGGCATAGATGTTGTTGTTAGGCAAACTGGGAAAAGCCACATGGGTTGATCTTGAGAGTTTCTGATAAGCCTGTTTGGTCCGTGAATTCAATGGTGAGTGAGTACTTCGACGCCTGGATATTAAATTCAACAGCTTTTGGTGTACCCTTGTGGGATACCAAGAAAGGTCTTAAGACAGCACTAGGAGAACGAATACCGTCCTGGGATGGACAACAGTTTTGCGTTCTTAAAATTACCCTGAGTAAAGTTTGCACCTCTTTCTACGGGAGAGCAGAAGACCATTTTTTCGTTATTTCAGTGGCCACCATATTTGTGGCTGTCCACAAAGGAGCACCAGATCCTCCAGAGGATCGAGACCATACCCGGGTGGCTTTCCAAAAAGACAAAAATTCCACCCACCTTGTGAACAAAGTTGAGCATCTCAATGCTGTAATCGATAAACTCGTGGGTCGTATTTTCCGGGACCTTCATGTTCGATGGCCCCAGGTGAGCACGAACTGACGATTTTGTATCCCCAGCTCATGAGATGGCCCACCCACAAAGCTGACCTTATCTCCTTCAAAGAAGAGACTGTTCGCATCCAGCGAGTTTCCACCATAAGAGGGCAGAAAAGGCTCAGCAGCAGGAGGCTTCATGCTGTTATAGACATTGATAAATTTGAGGATTCTTTTCCGTACCAGCGAGTCCACAAAGTCCCCATCGACAATTCTCTTTTCAAAAGGCAAGATTGAAAAGGAGGCTTTTCGACAGCAGGTACAGGCTTACTAGCGTCGAATTGGTCTCTGAGAGGCTTAACCCCGGCATGGGAAAAGTCAGGGCCTGGGCATGGAAACCAAGTGTTGTTTCCAAGATATCCAGAGAGCTCATATAACGTGAGTCAAGAGAGTATGATCATACATGCTATTTAGTGAAGCAGGTGCTACGCAATAATCCGATGGTATCAGCACACCAGGCTTGGAAACAAAATCTGTAGTAGGATGTGCGGAACGATCACGGGGGTGCACAGTTCAAGATAGGCTGCATCTCGGAATCCGGGGTGCGCTTAAAGATCGAGTGTCGGCTAATTGAGGATAATGCCGCCTTGGCAGAGGTGCAGCAGCATGACATGAGAATTAAAGAAATACCGCGCCAACCGGCATTGTAAGCGGAAGGAGGAGCAAAGGTTTTTTGCAAAAACAGGGAAAAATCAGTTTAGGCTGATTAGAGGGTTTTTGTGAATGCGCACATTTTAGCCGTAGTTCGCAATTATGCACTGATATCGTAAAAGAGGGATTCGCGCGTTAAAATAAGCGAGAGCCGCAGCCACCCTTCACCAGCACAAATGGGGAAAGATCCGGTTTCACAATAGAAGCAGCTTAAACAATCGATTACCAAAAATAACTTTTTTTTTTCGCCCGACGGTTTGGCCTCGATTTCGAGAGGGGATCATCGGATGTATACTATCGAAGTACCATTATCTTCCCTTTTGGTGCAGATTCCGCAGACTGTAACTTTGTATAATTTGATTGATACAACCATGCAGGTGCTGATGATTTCAAAAAAGCTTACTAATAGGTGAGACGCCTAGCTTACTTCAATTTCTGAAAGCTTGTCTGGATCAAGGAGATGGCGTATTCCTGAATCCTTCGTTCGATTGAGCTGCAGGGTGACCTTTCAAAAAGTAAATCTGCGTGCAAAAGCTCATTGTATCTTGAAAAGGAACAATTTAGATATCTTCCCCCCACCTCTGTAAAGGCTTCCATGCGCCCAACAGCCCAGATTAAGCACCGCAAGCTTACAAATCTACAAGTCACTCCACATCCCCGCTACATTTCTCGGCGTTGGTTTTCTTACGGGGAAAACTTCGAAAGTGTCAATCATAGGATGTTTATCAGCGTGCTAGCCGAATCAGTTAGCCGTTTGTGGTGATACTGGCGCTTCTTTGACCTCTTCTTTTACTGTGCCAAGCGCTAGCGGCCTGATCTTGGAAGTGATAAAAGATGATGCCCTTGCGGCTATTTCGATGCAATTTGCAATGTTAAAACTAAGGCCAACACCCATAGAGGATATTGTGGGTGAAGAGATTGCCAAGGTACTTCCAGACCATGGAAAACCTTGGTACAGAGTCAAACACTTGCTTTTGCTCAATGCGCTTTTGATTGTGCCGCTTCTCTCAGCTGCAACAACCGGCTATGATGGCTCGTTGATGAACGGACTTCAATCTATGGAGGAATGGAGAGCTGAGTTTGGCCACCCTCGTGGGACAATGTTAGGATTCATCAATGCCGCCATGAGTATTGGAGGTGTTGTTGTTCTCCCTATTGGAGGTTATTTTTCAGACAACTTTGGAAGAAGAATCACCTTGGCAATTGGTTTATCAGGAATCGTCGTTGCCACAATCATCCAGTCTACCAGTAATAATCTCGGCCAGCTTATTCCATCGCGGTTTATAGTGGGTGCGGCTGGTTTGCTAGCAGCTCAACCAGCCCCATTGCTTGTGGCCGAGTTATCCTACCCTACGTTCAGAGGAAAAATTACATGTTTGTACTGGGCCTTTTATTACATTGGCGCCGTTTTGGCAGCTTGGCTGTGTTTCGGATGCACTGGTAGAAGGGATTCCTGGGCATGGCGGATTCCAACCATTCTTCAAGGTGCATTTCCTGCTATCCAGCTCGCCTTCTTGTTTTTGGTTCCTGAAAGTCCCAGATGGCTTATATCCAAGGGAAAAGTCGAAAAGGCAAGACAAATATTGGTAAAGTACCACGCTGGTGGAGATGAGCATAGTAAGCTTGTTGAGGTGGAAATGCTCGAGATTTCTACTGCTTTGGAGATGGAGAAAAATGCCAATCAGACATCCTGGAAAGCCCTCGTTGCCACTCCTGGTAATCGTAAGCGTACGTACATTGCCTTCACGTTAGGTATTTTCTCCCAATGGAGTGGTACCCCTGTTGTGTCATACTATTTTACTTTGGTGCTCGATACCATTGGTATCACATCGTCATACATGCAAACGTTGATCAACGGATTCTTGCAGGTGTTTAATTTTGTGTTTGCCACTTTGGCAGCATTGTTGGTTGACTTCTTTGGAAGAAGATTTTTGTTCTTGTGGTCAGGTATTGGAATGCTCATATCCTATATCATCTGGACAATTTTTTCGGCAATTTTCGAACAGACTTAGGGATGTCTGGGTTTTTTCTTAGGGATGTCTGGGTTTTTTTCTTTCTTAGGGATGTCTGGGTTTTTTTCTTTCTTAGGGATGTCTGGGTTTTTTTCTTTCTTAGGGATGTCTGGGTTTTTTTCTTAGGGATGTCTGGGTTTTTTTTTTCTTTCTTAGGGATGTCTGGGTTTTTTCTTAGGGATGTCTGGGTTTTTTCTTAGGGATGTCTGGGTTTTTTCTTAGGGATGTCTGGGTTTTTTCTTAGGGATGTCTGGGTTTTTTCTTAGGGATGTCTGGGTTTTTTCTTAGGGATGTCTGGGTTTTTTCTTAGGGATGTCTGGGTTTTTTCTTAGGGATGTCTGGGTTT